TATCAATAAAAGGTAGTATAAATAAAACAAGTAAAGATACAAACATTATAATAATACCATATGCTTTATTTAAAATAGATCTTAAAATTCCATATAACGGTAAAAATACCATTCCGGAACAATATGAGCAGGTGTTACTAAAGGATTGGCTTTATATAGTTATCCGAATGGTTGAATGCTTCAGGAAAGAAAAATACAAATATGCTAAATAAAAATAAAATTAAAAATAAACCAAATAAATCTTTCACTAAAAAATATGGATAAAATGAAATTTTATTTAAATAATGTGATCTTATTCCTAACTCATTACTACTACCAGATTTATGTAATTGATAAATATGATAAATAGACAATAGTAAGATTACAAAAGGCAATAAATAATGTAAACTAAAAATCTATTTAATGTTGCATTATTTATGGAATATCCTCCCCATATCCAATAAACAATATCTTTACCTACTACTGGAACTACTGTAACAAAATTAGTAATGACAGTAGCAGCCCAATAACTCATTTGTCCCCAAGGTAAAACATACCCTAGGAAAGCAGTACCCATCATTAATATATAAATAATACAACCAGTAAACCACACTAATGTTCTTGGGAAATAATAAGAACCATAATAAATACCCTTTAATATATGAACGTATACTAAGAAAAAAAACGATGCTCCGTTTGCATGAATATATCTAACTAACCATCCGTAATTAACATCTCTCATTATATGCTCCACACTTAAAAAGCTAAATCTACATGCGGAGTAAAAAAAGTTAAAAATAAACCACTAACTATTTGAATAACCAAAAAAATAGCAGACATAAAACCAAAATTCCATAAATAATTAATATTCATTGGTGTTGGATACTTAATTAAATAAGAATAAACTGCTTTATTAATGAAATTAACAAATAATAGATTATTAAAAAACGCATAATTCATTTTATTATATGAAAATAAAGATTATTATTTATCTTAAAATATAAATAACTATTTATATTAAAAATAAAAAAAAATAATTGAATACACATCAATAAACCTAGAACATAAACCTAAAACCCAAACCCAAACCCAAACCCAAACCCAAACCCAAACCCAAAACCCAAACCCAAACCCAAACCCAAACCCAAAACCCAAACCCAAACCCAAAACCCAAACCCAAACCCAAACCCAAACCCAAACCCAAACCCAAGCAAACCCAAACCCAAACCCAAACCCAAACCCAAACCCAAACCCAAACCCAAACCCAAACCCAAACCCAAACCCAAACCCAAACCCAAACCCAAACCCAAACCCAAACCCAAACCCAAACCCAAACCCAAACCCAAACCCAAACCCAAACCCAAACCCAAACCCAAACCCAAACCCAAACCCAAACCCAAACCCAAACCCAAACCCAAACCCAAACCCAAACCCAAACCCAAACCCAAACCCAAACCCAAACCCAAACCCAAACCCAAACCCAAACCCAAACCCAAACCCAAACCCAAACCCAAACCCAAACCCAAACCCAAACCCAAACCCAAACCCAAACCCAAACCCAAACCCAAACCCAAACCCAAACCCAAACCCAAACCCAAACCCAAACCCAAACCCAAACCCAAACCCAAACCCAAACCCAAACCCAAACCCAAACCCAAACCCAAACCCAAACCCAAACCCAAACCCAAACCCAAACCCAAACCCAAACCCAAACCCAAACCCAAACCCAAACCCAAACCCAAACCCAAACCCAAACCCAAACCCAAACCCAAACCCAAACCCAAACCCAAACCCAAACCCAAACCCAAACCCAAACCCAAACCCAAACCCAAACCCAAACCCAAACCCAAACCCAAACCCAAACCCAAACCCAAACCCAAACCCAAACCCAAACCCAAACCCAAACCCAAACCCAAACCCAAACCCAAACCCAAACCCAAACCCAAACCCAAACCCAAACCCAAACCCAAACCCAAACCCAAACCCAAACCCAAACCCAAACCCAAACCCAAACCCAAACCCAAACCCAAACCCAAACCCAAACCCAAACCCAAACCCAAACCCAAACCCAAACCCAAACCCAAACCCAAACCCAAACCCAAACCCAAACCCAAACCCAAACCCAAACCCAAACCCAAACCCAAACCCAAACCCAAACCCAAACCCAAACCCAAACCCAAACCCAAACCCAAACCCCAAACCCAAACCCAAACCCAAACCCAAACCCAAACCCAAACCCAAACCCAAACCCAAACCCAAACCCAAACCCAAACCCAAACCCAAACCCAAACCCAAACCCAAACCCAAACCCAAACCCAAACCCAAACCCTTTGTTCCTCTAAATTAACCAAACGATTCTTGTTGTTTACGTCTTCGAAACATTATAATTCTTCGATTTTACTCGTTGGATTGCTTATTGAACAAGAAGAAGGTAATTAAGAGTCTCAATAATCCTTAAACAATGATTCAATCAATCGATAATTTTGAGAAAGTAAACAAAACAAACCATTTGAAAGCAAGCTCCCAACGTTTTATTGAACCATTTCATCCTCTTCAATGTCTTCGTCCATTTCGTCATCACTTTCATCCTTATCTGTGCCTGTCATGCTGAAATTCTCGAGATCTGCATCGAAGACAGTTAACATGGCTTCTTCTTCTTCTTGAATGATCATTTCAGGAGACATTGTGGTCGACGATATGTCACCTCGTGTGGTCGTAATTGTGGATAGATTTGAACTCTCTGAAGCCGTGTTATTCGATGACGAGGAAGGAACCATCAAATCTCCTCCATGTGTGAAGGGTGATGTCAATTGCTGATGTTGTTGCTGTTTCAACTTCTTTTTCTGTTGTTTCTTTTCGAGTCGTTTTCTTTCCTTATACTTCTTGATAGTATTCACCAAACTCATATTGGAGATATTTCGACCGGAAGTGAGATCATTGTAGAGAGTGGCAGAAAGGTCTAGTTTGTGAGCGTCTTCTTTACCCATACATTCAACGACAGTTTTCCAGACAGGATCATTTGGACTTATTTCTGGAATGTTGTTAATGTTTTTTCGAATGTATTCATTGAAACCCTTCATCATTCCTTTTGCTCTGTCCATCCGAAGCATGTTGATGGCAGGTCTGGCATTGCCTCCAACATCGAGTAAGTGAATTTGTGAAATAATGGTTCGGTGAGAGTCTAATTTCTTAATTTGGTAAAATTGGAAATCTCGAATATCGATAAGCTTTTTGCCTTCATTCACATTCTTGCCATCTTTGTAAAATTTTTCATGTTCACAAGGTTTATACAATAATGTCAATTTTTGTTCATTCTTGTCATAGTATGATGTACAGGCACTAAGGAAACTTCGTTTGGTTTTGAAAGGGAATGGAAAGCAAACTCCATAACGAATGATCGAGACAGATCGTTTACCACGCTTGAATTTCTCATTAGGATACATCTTTTTCAGAGTTTCAAAATCATAATAAGCAAGTTCTTCACAACTTGTAATATTTGGGTCCTTAAAAGTGTTTTCACAGAAAATGAAAAGTCATGCAGTCCAACGAGTAAAATCGAAGGAGTGAAGGATATTAAAGTGTTAAGAAATATTGGGAGTTAATTGAAAACAAAAAACGTACATATCTGTGCACATGAAATCCTGGCATGCAACATTGACGAACGGCCTATTCATTGTGGATCAATGAAAAACAAATTCGATCACAAGGACATTTTTAACATGATCATGTTGTAATCGAGAGCACTTACATCCTGACATTTCCATAATGGAAATGTACAGTCGATAAAAAGATATGACAAGAGATGATAAATATTATTAGGAATCAATCCTTTAGAAGAAATGAATTCTTAGCATAGTACTTACAAAAGGATGTGGTAAAATTCCCCACCACTTATTGGTTTGCATCTTTTGATACATTTCCACATTAGGAAACAACATTTTTCCTGAAATTTTGTACACATTAATACTTGGTTCCTTCGTAGATCCAATTAACTTCCAATTGTAATCATCTCGTGCCAAATATTCCATAAATTCAATATCTCGATCAAAGACCATTGGCAACTTGAAATCATCATCTGTATAGGGAAAGAATGTGGCCTCTTTCAAACGACCAATCTTATTTAAATAGACCACTCCTTGTTGTTGTACACATTTGAACCACAATTCACTTCTCACAAATCGAGGAAAACTGTCATTCTCCAATTCGAAAAGGACTGAATTTTTCACAGTTCTAAATAACAAGTGAGGCAATTGTGGCAAAACCCATTCATCAAAATTTTGATATTGTTTGTATTTCCAAAATAAATTCACATAAGTGGTCTTGTCACGAGAGGAAATATTGATTTCCTTTTTGGAATCTTCCTCAATAAATTCTTTCATAATTTTGATGGCACTCATAATGATTTTTCGTTTCATACTATTGATGCTTTCTTGCTTGGAACGAGGTGTATTTGAGGGAAGAGCCATTCGAGAGAGAGCTGAAGTGGCTTCTTCTGGAGATGCATTTCTTTCCTGTTGTTGATCTCGTCCGTTGTTTTCGTTTTGTTGCGTTGAATGTGGAATGAGTGAGGAAGAAGCATTGGAGTCTACCGTATTTTGATTTTCATTGGTTGTCGTTAATGTTGTAGATGACGAGTTTTTCACTAAATTTGAAGCAGTATCTGCCGCCTCATCATCATCCTTCTTTGTCAATGAGCTTAATTTAAGGTTCAATGATGGAACATTTGGATTTCGTGTAGGGTTTGTAGTACTTTCGATCACCAATGAATCCTCCTCCACACCATTGTTCGTTAAGTCTTGTGAGGTCGGTGATGATGATGTTTGAAAATGTGTTTGTTCCTTTTTTCCAAACAAGGACATGATGAATGATTGGACACTCATTGCCTGAGTGAGATTATTAGTACTACCACTACTACTGATCGAATTCACAGCTGTTGCTGCACCAACACCAACACCACCACCGCCACCGCCAACACCACCACTACTACTCGTTCCAGTAGAATTATTATTTCCATTACTACTACTACTGTTACTGCTGTTGGTGGTCAAACTCTTAATCGCTCTCATCAATTTATAATAATCCATCTCCAATTCATTCACTTGTTGAACAAACTCCAATGGCTCTGTATTGTGTTCGGTTTCGAGATAATTGTAAAAAGCTTTGAACATGTTCTTATCGATAAAAATACGATCAAAATCGAAAATGTAATCTTGCATGGTCTGCATATTAATGGTCGATCCCTCTTGTACTGCTTTTATGACAACAGCAGTGGAATTACTTAATTTGGAAAGAGTTGACTTCTTTTTTTCAGAAGCTGGAATTTTGAACACCACAGTATTCGGATAGGATGGATCATCCACATTTCCATCTTGCTTGGCACTTGTTGATCCATTGTCATTGTCCGTTGTCAAAGTTGAATCGGAGATCTTTTTTTGTTTTTGAAATCGGCTTAGCACTCTCGCAGCCAAAGATTCTCTTCGAATCAATGAAGACTGTTGTTGAGGAGAGGAATGATCATCCTGTGATAAAGGTCGTCGAGGAGTAGAGGGTTGAGTAGAGGGTTGTGATTCTTCTTGTGTTTGCATTGTTTTGTTGTTGGAAGGTTGTTCTTGTGGTGGTTGTTGTTGTTGTGATGATGATGAGTCTTGTTGTTGGTTGTGATTCTCTTCGTTCTTCTCATCTTGACAAGACGACACGTCGTAAGAATTGTTGGTTGTTATTATTATTATTGGATTATTTCCTTCAGGATTCGTATTTTCAACTTCTGAAGCAGTTGGTATGACTTGTGAGGGTGTTTCTAAAGAGGAAACCGATGAAAGAGTGATCGATGCTGAAAGGGCAAGTCCTTTCGACGAAGGTGTTGCATCTTCCATCTCACCAAGTGATGTTGGTTGTGTTGATTCTTGTTGTGAATCAGCGTGAATGCAGGATGATTGGATTGGATTCGTTGTGGTTGTGGTTTTTGAGTTGGTTGTGATGATTGCTGTTATTTCTGACGTTTGTTTTTGTTCCTCATGCATGAATACCTCTTGTTGTTGTGTTATCATTTTGTTGAATTTGTTGACAATCAATCTTATTTTGTGTAAAACCACGACAAGACTCTGAGAACTGTCAAAGGTTGTGAGGATGTGGAGAAGGTAAGTGTGGTATAAAAAAGGTCAATCCGTGACATTTAAATCCATCCACGGAATGTAGAATAATGCAAATAATAATAAATATATTGAATATTTACACAAAGATATGTTGGGTTCATGGTATGTCATCATTCCTACACATCATCAACCAATCACAAACCTTCTTGAAAATATATTTTAAACTTTCAACACGTTCCAGAATTAACGTTTTTTCCAACTTGACACGAATCAGCACGAAATTTTGTGTGAGACAATGGTGAATTGTTGTTGTTGATGAGCAAGTTCACTCCCTTGTTATGGTTGAGTCACTGAATTCAAAATAGTGTTGGAAGGATTGAACACTTTTTTTTCGCAGATGTGAACTGAAAAAGGACCATTTTGGTGTTTTTTGGTTGAAAATGACACGGTCATATGTGTGAATGGTTATTGAGCGATATGAATGTGCTGTTCACGGGTGTTGGTTCATGCTGAAGTTTGTCTTCTCACAAGAATACAGATCTCGCCTTTTCTCTTAGCTCTCCAACACGAGGTTCATTGAGGTGTTATTTCTTTAAGGGAGTTAATGAAAGGTTGTTTGTTCTTGAAAGGTTGAAGCAATGAATCCTTTAAACCCTTCCGAAAACGTCACTTGTCACCAAGAACCAATCAAGAAAAAAAATTTGCGCCATTTATTCCGTTATCCGTCATCCTCTACCAACACAAAAACTCTCGAATGTCCTCTGCCACCCTTGCATCTCCTCCCATTTCATCCAATTCCTCTCCACAACAACAACGAGCATCGAGCACACCTCCTTCTCTTTCTTCTCCTTACACAAGTCCGAGACAACAACAAACCCAACAACAACCATCATCTTCTTCTTCCCCTCGTTCATTAAATAACTCTTCATTGACTTCAAACAGTTATTCTTCTCCATCATCAACAGCATTGCCTTCGAATAATTATAATTCATCACAACAAACAACTGAATTGACATCACCAACGACACCTCGACAGCTTTCGGATTTTAATGACATTGACATTTCAAAGGTGGCTCAATTTTTTGAAAATGATTCATTGAGTGCTCTGGAAGAAGATGCTTGGAAGGAAATGTTGTTGTGTTGTTTTGTACCATCTTCACAACATTTGACGTTCAAACGAAAAAAGTATTCTTCGTTTGGAAAGACGAGAAGTAATTCATCGGGCGGGAATGTCATTCATCAAACACATCTATTGACAACGATGAATGAGACACAAAATGATGTCATAAAAGTAATGAAAGGATTGGATCATACATCAAAAGGAACAGCATTGATGGATTTGAGTGGATTGCATCACATTTCTAGCAAGTCCCTTTTTCGATTGAAACAATTATTATATTTTAGATTTTTCTTTTATGCCATTCAAAACTCTGCATTGGGAAATGTCACAACCAATGAAAATTCACAACAATCAAACACTCATCATCATCACACAACGTCCTCTTCTTCTCAATTTCTGAGTCCAAATGCATCATCGACAAACACTAGAAATTCGATTCGATTGGCTCGAAGTAGCACTCGATTCGGAGAAGGAGGAATTTCAAATGCTTTGGGTAGTGATGCCAGTCATTTGGAAATGTCAAAAAAAGAATTTTCAGCCATGAAAGAAGAACAACTCGATGCTTGGAAACAATTTAAATTTACGACAAATCCTGCTTTGAAACCCATGTGGATCAAATTCTTGTCTTCGACTCGTTTTACTCCCATTCAAAAATGTTCACTCATGCATTTAGCTGCCAAATATAACCAGAGTTTAATTTTGGAATGGTTATTTGATGAGTGTGGAAATGAGTTACTCTTTGCAGTAGATACCATGAAAATGACTCCTCTCTTCTATACCTCATTCTTTAATGCGACTGAAAGTTGTGCATTTTTATGTACAAAAATTAAGAATGCATCCATGCCTTCACGTCAACGCAAGCAGTCGAATGAGCAAACTTCAACTGGAAGAAAGACATTCTTCAAGTCAAAATCAGATTCTCCAACCTCCTCTTCGAATAGTTCATTCCAAAATTCAAATGCACTCGAAAAGATCATTCAACAAGTCGACGATGAATACGGATATAATGTTTTCTATGTTGCTCTCAAGAGAGGATGTTTTGCAGTTTGTGACATGTTAATTTTATTTGGAGCGACTCTTGATACAACCATTCGAGGAGGAGAAACCATGTTGCATAGAGCTTGTTTTGAATTGCCACTCGATCGAATTGTTTATTTGATTCAGAAAGGAGCTGTCTTGTTAAAGAAGGATCAAAAAGGATGCATGCCACTATTCAATTTAATTGGAAGAGAAATCGAGGAAGAGAAAGCACCACCAGAACAAAACAATTCTGTGCCTCAAAAATCCAATATTTCCGAGAATCATAAGGACGAAGACGTGTCGAAAGAATCACAACTGACCCATTCTGACTCCTCTGAAGAAAATGCTAATAGTATCTCTCATCACACAACCACCACTGCTCCTGTAACTCCTCGAGAGAAAAAAGGAGAGTTGAATTCATCACTAAATTCACAAAATCCATCGAACACAAACTCGACAGATGCAACGTCTTCGGTTCAAATTGAAGATGATTCCAAAATTATTGACGAATATTTGGAGAATCATTCTCCAATTACTGAAGGATGGAATGGAGCACAAATCACAGTTACAGCTGCAGATCATGATGAAAATTCGAGAGCTGTCACTCATGCATTGAAACATTTATCACCAAAATTGGTCATTGAAGGGAATGTTTCACCTTCTTCGAGTGCTGATAGCTCTGACTCGATGGATATATTTAGAGAGCTCGATGAAATGTTCGTGAGCGAGACTGGACAAGTTGATTATCAAGTGAAAAACAAACTGTTGACTAGTGACAACCGTAAAAAGAGAGAACCTGTCAAGCTTCCAACAGCTCTCAAAATGCGCTCCAATTCTCTCAATGCAATTTCTGCTGGATATACACCTCCAGGATTATTAGACGATATCAAGCTTCGATCGTCTCCAATTCTCATTTCAAATTTGTCTTCTCAATCCATGAACTCGGGTGCAACCAGTAGCAATAGTAGCCACAGTAACAAAAATCCAAATAATGCATCTTCCACAACAGTTTCTTCATCAAACCTCTCTCCAAATAATGGTTCTCGTTTTCCAAATCATATTTCACACTGCTTGCAAGATGAATTTTCTCTCAAAAAGAATGTCATGTTTAAGGCCATTGAGCAATTGGTTCCACAAATGGGATGGAGTTCTAAAACTCTCATTATTGCTGCAAAGAAATTCTATGGTCTCAGTGAACAGGAAGCACGTGATTTGTTTTACAATGAAGCATCGGTGATGACCACAAAATTAATAGCCAGTGCAAGTCGAGGAGGAGAGCTTACACCTTCCACAATAGATCATAATGGCAATGAAACAGAATTGAATGGAAATGTTCATCATCAAGGTGGCTCTACTCTAGAAAATGGGTCAAATCATTCATCGTCCTCCGCATCTGCTCCACAAGCATCACCATTTCCAAGACCCACAGCCATTACTCCTTCACATCAAAGCATTCTCAAACGAAAACATCCCCTATTGGAAATGGTATTACCCTACATTTCGAGAGAACAATTTTGTAAAACTCTCAAATCACAAAATTATCATGGTAGAAATATTTTACATGAATGTGTCATTAAGGGTGACTTGAAAACCATGCAATTAATTGTGAATGATTTATTACAACCTGGCAAGAGTACCCTAGGTTCAGCATTGAAGGTTCTTTCTCACAAAAATTCACATCAGCAGCTTGCCGAGTTGTTACAAGAACAGAAATTATTGGAAAAGCAACGCTATGAAGAAGAGGCCATAGAAAATATCTTTATTTTACATGACTTGTTGATAGAAGCGGATAATGACAAGTCACAAACTTGTCTTGCCTATGCATGTGCAGAGGGAAATTCATTTGCTGTGAAATATCTCATTTCTGTGTATAATATTGTTGGAGTTCAAATGATGAAATTTCCTCCAAGACCAGTTGCCTCCTCTCTTTCTCAATCGGTCTCTCTATTGACTCCAAGAAGTAATGACGGTACAAGTTCCTCCACATTTTCCTCTTCATCAACATTCTCTCAGAACAAGAGTTCCTCAACCATGAATTTGGAAAAATCAACAAACTCTGGATCCACAAAGACTTTGTTATACAAGGTATTGCATATGAAAAATAAGCAAGGGAAAACACCTTTAGAAATTGCCAAGTCTTTACATGGTCATCTTCCTTGTGAAGATATTATTGAAATGTTAGAGACAGCATTGGAGAAGAGTGGAGGTCATCATGGTGACACTTCGTCTACATTCCAATTTTTCAAACGAAAGAAAAACAAGCAATAAATGATGATCCAAACACAGAGTGATCAGCATCTTTGAAATCCATCGATCGATTCCCGAGAAATCCTATGAAGGTGGGATTCACAAATACGAATACAAATGACCTTCACAGTACTTGGCAAGTTCTTTTTCAAATTTTTCTCGTTGATCCTCCACAGTTTTGACATAGTGCAAACTCATGACACATTTCATGCTCTTATATTCATACTCATCTCGAGTCCAGTGAGCCTGAATAAATTCTTTGGCGTGTTGAATGGTTATTCCTCCATGTTTGAGACACCTCTCAATTCGATGATCTAAACACGAAAAAGTAATAATCATGACACACATAATTGTCAGCAATGCAAAATTGGAAACGAAAAGACAACTCATTACAAACCTCCATTCAATCCTATATCCCAACTTCCTCCTTTTTTTGTGTTTTCCACACATTCCTTAATATGTTTTTGAAGTATATCCTTCACTCGATGATTAAACATCAATCCAGGTCCTCCCATAAATCCCTGTTTGCTGTCACCTAAAGCAAGAGGGCAAAAATACGTCCATTGACCATAATATTGAAAGAAATTTCCAAGACAATGCGAATCCACATACGAATCCGTATCCACCACAAAATACCATGGCGAAGAAAATCGCTCCACAACATATTTCAATGCGTAGATAAATGCAGATTGACTTCGTTTCCACTCGTCAGACCAACCATCGAACGATGAATCGGCTTTCATGGAAATGAAATTGGGATCGACATGCTCAAAAATGTTCACAAAATAATTCTGAACTAAATCCAATGAATGTTGATCAAGATATAAAGTTTCTTCGTTATTTTTCTTCTTCTTCAAATGTTGATCAATTTCTTCGCTTGTCATTTCATAGCCATCGATGAAAAATTGTTTCTTCTTCCAAAAGACACTTTCATAAGCTGAATTCGTTTCCAATTCTTTTCGTTTTGGAATTGGGTCCAAAACAAAGACTCTTTTATGTTCAAAATTTAAAAGCCATCCCATTCTTAACATGGATAGTGTTAAATTCATATATCGAGGTTGAATCGAACTCATCACTCCAACACTTATGTAATCAATGAAAGACGAGCTATCAATGGATCGTTTTTTGTGAAATTTCATATCGTTCATGCATTTCAATTTGAGAGGATCCAATACGATTTGTTGAATGAGTGTAGAATTCTTCATAAGGTCCATCAGTAGTGTGGCAGAATGTGAAGATGACAATGAATTGATAGCAGTTGTCGAAGGATTTTCCTTGTTGTTGTTCTCATCGCCACGACGATTTGGCTGCAGTGAATTTCGAATAGTTAATTGTTGAAGTAAATGATGTTGTTTGGAAGAGGATTCTTCTTGTTGTTCCATCAATCGATTCATGTGTTCGTTCATTTCTTCAATTTTTTGAGTTAATTGTTGAATTTCCATGTCAAGATTTGAATTGTGTTTACTTTTCGTCGATTGGAAGATAAAGATGATATTACACACAATGAATAGGATCAGTAGAATCATTAGGAGAGAGAAAGAGGAGGGTTTCATTACTGGAACACAATTGAAAAGAGAGGAGTGCCACCATCCCATCGAGGTATTATCATTGTTGTTGTGGTGGTGGTGATTCGAGTGTGAGAAGGTCATTTCGAGAGAGGATGTCTCAAGATCAATATTTTTTTTCAGCGAACGTTTGCCTCGAAAGAGTTGGTGACAGGTAACTAGATCTCTCTTGTGGCCAAAGGTTCAAAACGATTCATTATGAGAACGCAACGACGAAGCGAACCCCAAAACCCTTGAGCGGAATTTGAAAATGTTTAAAAAATCATTTCATCTTGCAAGATGCTTACACACATTATCACTCAATCATGCATGGCCATGTCATTTCTGGATACAGCAGTCAGACAACACCCAAGAACACCCAAGCGAGCTAAACCCGCTCATTTTTTGTAACGTCTAAAAAAATAGCCCTTTTTGCTGCCGCAAAAAATTTTTGATTCTCCAAGCCACACGATTTAAACTCTCAGTAGCAACAACAGCCAACAAGAAATTTTAACTTATCATCCCGAATAGACAGTCTAGTCAAACAACAACAACAACAACATCACTACCAACATGTCTGATAGCGAGGATAGTACATCCATAGGTGCTACAGGAGAACAAGTAATTGATGATCTTTCTGAAGAAGAACACCATCACGATCCAACCTCCCTTGATACGTCGACCGTGGACGATAACATCATGCAAGATGATGATGAGGAATCAGAACCCGAAGTCTTGAAAACCACTCGTAATACACGTACCACACGAGGGTCATCACGGACGGTAAGTTTTTCCAACTCACATCATCACGATATTCATACAATTGATTTACAACTATATTTATTCCATTAATTGAAAATTCCAACTCTGATTAGAATTACAAAGAACCCAGTTCAGATGAAGAAGAGAACGACAATCAAGACAACGATGAAGAGGACGAAGAAATCATTTCTACCATCACACCTGTACGTTCTCGAAGGTCAAGAGCTGAACCCAAGGTATGTATGATCTTGTTCACACCCTTTACACTCAATTCTTCTACCTTATATGTTTTACAACGCTATTAATGATGATCATCCTTCTCGTAATTTATTATTATTATTTAATCATTTGATGATGATATGATGGTCATTCGTTATTAATAACGATTGGTGTTCCATCATCATCGTACCAACCATCACCATCACCGCCACCTCTACCTCACCCATCCCACATATAATGGTAACCTTGATAACACCACACAACTCCAAATTATTCTCATCACTTTCATATTGCTTGATATCATCAGAATTATAATGTTGACGACGCTTTCAAACAATTAGAACAAATGGATGACATGGAAGAAGAAGAAGAGGAAATACCGAAGAGAACACGAAGAATCAGAAGAAATCCTTTATCATCAACAACAACACCAGCTTCGTCCGGCACAACAGGCCGAGTAATGCGGAGAGAATCCAACAACACCAACAAATCTGCAGGAATTGGCGCTGGAGATTATGAGCTTCCTAAGCGAGGTCTCAGAGAAAGATCCAAGAAGGTCAACTATGCAGAGAACGACGAAGATGAGGAAGAAGAACAAACCATCAACAATGACAACGACACCATCACTACGACATCCCGAGAAGAAACCTCCGAAGAGCGAATGGTTGACGACGAGGAGGAAGAAGAGGCAGAAACCATTGTTCCCGTCAAGAGTAAAAGAACTGTTTCACGTGCAACACGCGGAAGAGGAAATTCAACAAACAACACGACCAAGACACGAGCTCGCACAGCACGAGCCAAAAAGCCAGCACAAAAACCTAGAAAGAGAGTGGTCGACTCGGATGAAGAGGAAGAACTCGATGACAATGCTACCAGCAGCGAAAGCGAATCCGATAATGACAGTTCCTCGGAAGACAACAACGATGAAGAAATTGAGAACGAGATTGATGAAGGACCAACCATTGTATTAGATGAAGACAAGGATGATGAAATTGAGGCCATTCTTGCATGCCGAGAACGAAAGCAAGAAGAAGAAGGTTTAGAAGATGACGACGAGAATGCATCCAATGAACAGAATGGAGCGTCATCATCATCCGATGGAAAGAAAGCATCCAACAAAGGAGAAGTTATTATTGAATACTTGTGTAAATATAAGAAAAAGTCCTACTTACATTGTGAGTGGATTCCTAGGTCGGAATTGGATGAGGATATTCAAACCAGGAACAAACTCAACCGATTCCACAAACAATACGACGTCAAATACTTTGAAGGATTGGAAGAATATTTCAATCCCGAATTTGCCGAAGTTGAACGCATCATCGATAGAGGTATTTGGGATGGTTCCGAGGTGTATCTAGTCAAGTGGAAGGGCCTCTCATATGCCGAATCAACATGGGAGTTTGAAGAAAAGGTTGAAGATAAGGATAAAATTGAACAGTACAAGAGATTTAACAAGATACCGCCTGTGAATGAACGAAGAATTCCAGCCAGACCAGCCCCAAATAAGTTCAAAAAGATGGAAGAGTCACCAACATTCAAAGATGGCAATCAACTCAGAGAGTATCAGTTGGAAGGTTTGAATTGGCTCGTTTTTTGTTGGTATCAACGAAGAAATACTATTCTTGCAGGTACGTTTGTGATTATGTTACGCCTTACATTGAGATTCTAATGATTGTGTTTATGACATTACCGTTTATGCTTGTGACATTATGTGAATATTCCGTGTGATTAATGATTGAAATCTCACATTTGAATACAACAACAACGTCATGACCATTGGACACGCCATCCCATTACGAATTTCACCTTTATTTGTTGTTGCCATCGTCATTATCATCTAAATGTACATTTACAGACGAAATGGGTCTCGGTAAAACCGTACAAACAGTTGCCACTCTCGAATACTTGCGTTCGTATGAAAATATCAGAGGTCCTTTCTTGATTATTGCTCCATTGTCTACAGTTGAGCATTGGAGAAGAGAATTCGAAAATTGGACGGACATGAATGTAGTTGTCTTCCATGGTAATGTTGACGCAAGAAATATGATCAAGAATCATGAATTCTTTTATAAGGATCCAAAGACTGGAAAACATGTTCATCAAAAACTTTACAAATTCAATGCACTAATCACCACCTATGAAATGGTCATGACTGAATCATCCTTCCTTTCCAAGATACCTTGGCAATACCTTGTGGTTGATGAGGGTCATCGTCTCAAGAATCGCAACTCTAAACTCACCCAAGTTTTAAAAACATTCTCGGCAGGTCACAAATTACTGCTCACAGGTACTCCCATTCAGAACAACTTGACCGAGTTGTTTTCTCTCCTCCAATTTCTTGATCCCGATACATTTTATGATTTGGACGAGTTTACTGAAATGTATGGAGACTTGCAAGGTGAAGGTGGCTCAGAACGAGTAGAAGAGCTACACAAATTAATCTCACCCTACATTTTGAGAAGATTAAAAGAAGATGTCGAAAAGAGTATTCCTCCCAAGGAAGAAATTGTGGTCGAAGTTGTTCCAACCTCCATTCAAAAAGCATATGAGCAAGCAATTTTCAAGAGAAACAGAGAGTTCTTGATGAGAGGAGTCAGTAAGGCTCAAAACATTCCAAAGCTTACCAATATTTTGATGGAATTGAGAAAGGTTTGCAACCATCCATTCCTAATTAGCGGTGCCGAAGAGAATATCACTCGAGGAATGTCCGACACAGAAATTAATGAAGCTCTCATCAAATCATGCAGTAAAATGATTTTAGTGGACAAACTGCTCAAGAAGCTCAGAGAAGGAGGTCACAAGGTTCTTATTTTCAGTCAAATGGTACTCGTATTGAACATTTTAGAGGATTACTTGAGGTACAGAGGATACACCTATGTGAGATTGGATGGTACTATTAAGGGCTCTGTTCGTCAACAAGCCATTGATCGATTCAATGACCCCAATGTTGATACTTTTGTGTTTTTAGTTTCCACCAAAGCTGGAGGTGTTGGTATTAACTTGACCTCGGCAGATACAGTCATTATTTATGACAGTGATTGGAATCCTCAAAATGATCTTCAGGCACAAGCCAGATGTCACCGTATTGGTCAAACAAAGGAAGTCAAAGTGTACCGATTGCTCACCAAGAACACTAAAGAGAAGGAAATCTTTGAGAGAGCCTCCATGAAGTTAGGTCTGGATCGTGCCGTTCTCTCCTCGAATAATGAGTTTGTGCAATCATCTTCAAAGAGTAGCACACAAAACAAACCAGCCCTTGAAAAGGAGGAATTGGAACTGTTGCTCAGACATGGCGCTTACTCTGCTTTCAAAATTGATGACACTGAGGAACAGAAAATGTTGATGGATGAAGATATTGATACTATCATGGCTCGAACAGCTACTGTCGTGCGATATGATCAAGCATCCCAAGGTGATGGTGAAAATGGCGGTGCTCTTTCTAGCTTCTCTAAAGCGACATTCTGCTTCTCTGAAGATTTGCAATGGGAGAACTTGTTACCTCGTGAGAAAACTGCCACTGGTCTAATGAAGTTGCTGAGTGAAGACTCTTCACTCGAGACAGAAAAACAAAAGGAAGATTACATGAACGATGTGAAAGCTTTGGTCGATGCTAAAATGAACGAAATTGAGAAATTCCGCTACCAACCTGACGAGGAGCTTGCAACTCTTCTCACTCAAATGATGTATGCAAGACTCTTGGATGCTGAACATAAAGAGAAAGCAAAGGAATGGTTAGCAATTTTGGAACAGCCAAGACTGAGAAATGGTTCATCCAGAGACGAAGCCACTGAAGTATCTGATACTGAAGATACCAAAGAATCAACCTCCAAGAAAAAGACTGGCGGATGGTACAAGGCCGAAAGACAACGATTCCAAAAGACACTTTTGGAAATTGGTTGGGGCAAATGGGCCAGAATTCGTGAAAGCAAACTCCACAATCACTCAATTGAGGACATTCATTCTCTCGGTGAATGTTTTATATCACAACTTGCCACTCTGATTGAGGGTGAAAAGGAAGTTGAGTTTTTGAAAATGCTAATTGACTCGGCTGCTGTTCCAGAGGAAGCATCAGAGAATACTGATCAATCACTCAAGGTTGATCTCAAGTCCAAACCTGTCCGTGCAGCTGATCATATCAAGATTCATTTACCTCATGATGAGGATTTATCTACAGCAAGCCTCGAAATTATCAAAGTTGCACAACAGAAAGCAAGAGTTTCCAAGAAAAAGAAGACCAAATCTCAAGCTAGCTCATCCAAGAGTTCAACAAAGAGCGAGAAAAACATGTGTGTACGTTTCTATGAGCTCACTGAAAAGGATAAGGAAAAACGTGTGTGCGAATTAGCTGCACCTGGTTGCAGTGGTGAATATTTTGTGAGATTGAATCTTGCAACTGGTTCAAAAACTAGCCCTAACTTTGATGTGAGCGGTATTCATCCAGTTCTCGAGGACAAGGAATGGGTCGAACAAGCCAAGAGAGGAGGTAAAACTTGGGTCAAAAAATTGAAATTTAACTTGTGCTTGACCAAGATTTTGGAAGCCTATAATGGTAAAATTACCACTGATAATATTCCAAAGGTAAATTTGAAACCTCCAACAGATTGGTGGGATAAAGAGTGTGACAGGGATTTGATGCTTGGATTTGAAATTCATGGCTATGGACGATTGGAACAAATCAAAGAAGATACCTCTCTTTGCTTTAAACAAAAGCATGATGATCATGTTGCAAAAGCAAAGAGTAGAAAGGAGAAGAAAGATGCAGACTCTTGGCCATCCATTGCAGCAATCAACAAGAGAGCCAACAAGCTCATGGAACTTCTCACGAAGGAGAAGGATATTTCAGCACTCTCCATCCTCAAATCTGGAGATGATACTGATGAGTTGCATTTCGAGGATGAAACTGAAATTAGTGAACCCAAGTCAATTGTAGAGTCATGGAGCAAGAGAGAGAAGGCAGATATTCAACGTGTATTGATGAATCACGGTTTATGTCCCAATGAAAGCACGCACGAGCCAAACTTTGCCAAAATCATCTCGTTGGCCAATCTGAGAAAAACAGAGAGTTCAGTCAAGACCTATGTGGCTCATTTCGTTAAATCTGCAAAGGCCATTACGAATGTAAGTTCTGGAGACGAGGAAGAAGAATCAGATACTGAATCAAAGAAAAAGTCCTCATCTTCATCCTCCTCTTCGTCATCATCCAACGAAAAGCTTGCAATACCTCCACAAACAGCTAAGAAACTTTTAACTAGAATTGAACTTATGAATGGCTTGTATACCCATGTTTATCCACATTGGGACGAATGCAAAACCAAGTTCAGCTACCTCAAGTCCTCTGGTTTACCAAAATGGTGGAAATCAGGTCAACACGACAAGGAACTCGTTAGAGGTATCAAGAAACATGGTTTTGACTTTAAGAAGATATTCGAAGATAAGGATTTCAAGTTTGGATCCAAGGAGCCTCCAAGAGACGGTCTTATCATTGGACGAATTGAAGAAATTGTTCAATTAAGCAAGAAGATTAGTGTTGTTGGCTCACCAACCAAATCCAAGGGATGGAATTTCACACCAAAGAAGACTCACGTCACTCTCAAATCTCCTCCTCTGGCAGAGAAGAAGGCTTCGTCGAGCAGTAGCGGTGGTAGTAGCAAACGCAAGATCAAACGTCAAACAACTCTCTCTGAATTTAAGCCAGTGGAAAATCCAGAAGATCCAATCGAGGAGAGTAGCGACCATGACGAAGAAATGAAGGACGAAGCTACCGTTGCCTCCTCCTCCACTACCAATTCGAAGGACTCGGCTGTTACTGCCTCAGCATCTTCCTCAACCATGAAAGAAGAAACCTCCAACAACAAGGAAACACCTACCAAGGATTCCTCTACCCATCTCAAGACAACACCAACCAAGGAACACGCATCAACGGCCTCCTCCTCTTCGTCGTCACAAGAAACCTCCCAAATGGCACCTTCCACAGCTGCAGAGGAAGAAGATGTACTTAAAAAGAAGATTCCAAAGAAGCCAGCCAAACAAAAGGAAGAACCCTCTCCTTCACTCAAACGAAAGAAGGATGACATTGGAAGTTCTCACCACAACAACTCATACGGAGATTCTGATGAGGAACGAGATTATCACACTCCAAGAAAAGGCGAATATGAGCCCCATGACAAGAAGAGAAAGACCTCATCACCTGCGCCTTCAGAGCATGATTCGCGAGGCAAATACTATGGAAGTGGCAGTAGTAATCATGGCAGAGACAGTCGAGATTACAGAGACAGCTATGGCAGAGATTCCGGAAGGGATCACTACAATCATTCACCAAGTCATCATCACAGAGACCGTGATGATAGAAGGGACCGAGATTCGAGAAGAGACAGTGGTTCATATCGAGACAGAGATTACAGAGACTCGAGTCACAACAGCCACAGAGGAAGTAGCAGTAGGGACCATCGATAATCACCTTAATTGAACTTTAATTTATTAAAAAAATTATTAAATTCACATTAATGCAACTCATGTCTCATACAGAGACACTTGTAAAGAACGAATTGTTGCAATTGTGCAATTGTTCGTCATAATTGTTGCAAGTGGCTAATGTGACGTTCTTGACATGTCAAGGAAGAAATTAGATTTGTCACACCCATTTCCAAATTAAAAAAAATTGAAACTGGCCGAAAACCAACAAAAAATCTCGGCATGAGAATGAATGGTTTAAAACTCATAGGGTCACTACTGATTATTATTGCCATTTTGTTGATTCAATGGCATCATCCATACACCTACGTTTGCAGTTCTCAAACAACAAATTCAAAATCAATTTCTATCACATCCACACAAGAACAAGAATCACCGAAATTTCCATATGCTTCTTCTCATCACAACTCCGATGCATCAGATTCGGTCCGAGATTATTTTGTCTGGATTACCGATGTCCATTACGATCCCTTGTATGATGACTCTATTCCGGCAAGGAATTTCTGTCGACCTCATCCTCGTGATAATATTGATGGAGGATCATTCTCAACAAGAACCCCAAGAACCACACCCTCTCAACAAAATATTCTCGCAAGAAATTATCCCCTTTCCAAACATGATTTATTGATTATTGAACAAATTGAAAAAGAATTTCATGAAATGCGGAAAATGGAAGAGAAGGAGCAATCGTTTCGTTATTTGGAAGAAAAACGTAAAAAATTGGAACAATTAATGAGAGAAATGTCCTCCCGTGGTGGTAGTAGTCGTGGTCATTATCGACAATATCAACCATCATCGTTAGTTTCATTACAAAAAACCAAATTTGGAAAATATGGATGTGATGCTCCAATTTCTTTGGTTCAATCGACTTTCCAAAAAATTGGACAAGTCATTAAGGAAGAACATGCCAAAGATCCTGACTTTATTTTAATGACTGGAGACTACAATGCTCATCATTTAAAAGATGCACAACAAGCTCTCTTGAATATTAGAGATGTCACACGAATGATGCAACAAGAAATTGGTCGTTCTGTTTCGAATATTCAGAAAATTCCCATATTACCTTGTATTGGAAATAATGATTTATTTCCTGACTATTATTTACCATTTATTGAGGATCCTGATAATGGTTCGATTGCTCTCAAATGGTACGATCAGTTGTGGAATGAACCTGTAGGATGGAGTCAATTATTTGGACTCAATGAAACTCATCAAAGAGAGACATTCCTTCGTGGAGGATATTACAAGTATGAATTGAAAAAAGTTTCACACGGAGGTCAACCCAGCAAAATGGTCATTCTCGTATTGAACTCGTTGCTCTATTCAATGAATCGATGGCCAGAAATGAGAAATGGTCAGATGCCAGCCGATCCTTCTGGTCAATTCCAATGGCTCCAAAACGAATTGTTGAACGTGAAAAAACAACACGAACAAGGACTTGATATTTCTGTATTCATTGCCACTCACATTCCTGCAGCTCAAAACTCATACGATGACAAACAATTATGGGAAGAGGAATATTTGGAAAAGTTCTTGAATTTAATTCAACCTTTTAGCATGTACATTCGAAGCATCTTGTATGGTCATTTGCATAAGGATGAATTTCGAGTGTTAGTTTCAAAGAGTCGAAAGAATTTGAGAAAAGGAGCCACTCACACCTCTCAACAGAATTCGCAAATCAACAACGATGACATTTATGGAATGATTGGACTCTCTGTCTCCACTGTTTTTTCCAATAATCCAGGATTTCGAGTATTGTATTACAATTCACAGGGAACCATTCAAGACTATGATCAATACTTTATGGATCTCTACTCGAGTAATCAATTGAATCAAGCACTCTGGAAAAAAGAATATTCCTTCTCATTGGCATATCCATCTGTGTTTGAAAATGAACAATGTGTAACTCCAAGAACCATTTCAAATTTATTGAAAACAATGAAAGATCCAAATTTCACACAAAATGAGAAGGACTCCAACAACAACACCATGATGACCACCTTGATGAAATATTTGAGTTATTACACTGGAATGTATATTAAGGATCGTTACAAATATTATTGTGAATTTGATCAATTGGATGAAACTTCATTTTTGCAATGCATTAATAATGGAACGGATAGTGGATCCTCTCTATGGTAGTAATAATTCTAAAATTGTTTCACAAGAATTAGCACGTTTCTTACTAATGTGATAAGTCCGTCAAGTAAGACCAGGGTATTCATTTCGTACATCATTACAATAAAAATAATTGAACGAGATGCATTGTTCCGTTCACTTGATACAGTGTTCATAATTTCAGGGCTCTGTGAATATATGATATGGTATTCCACTTAATTTGGAAGGTAGACACACCTAATAATTATATTGATATCTGACAAGTGGAGAAAACAAGAACTATCGTTTGAAAAAAATACAACTGCTCTCAATTTTCATTGAACAACACATTGACCAATTAATTCCTTTCACACCACCACACTATTGGCCATTCACAACGTCTTTGACTTTTAGCAGAACTTTTGAACGAATTTTCATTTTCCAAATATATCCAACCCAACACAACCACAAAAAATGTCTGTAACGGAAACTACGACCAATTCAACCCTCTCTTCTCCACTTCTGTCTTGTTCTTCCAATATCAACCAACATTCCCACTCAAATCCAAGTATTCCAAATTCTTCTTTTTCTTCCGTAAATCATCCAAATTCTTCTTCTTTCATTCCGTTGAATGAATGGAATCATCATCAAGAAGGAATTGAGGCTTCGTTCATGACGATGAAAATTTCAGCAATTCCCCGTACAGAAGAAGTAAAATCATCACTTCATCATCAAATATTGAATAGTAATAATAATCATCATAATACGAACATCACTTCTTTAATGGCAACTGAAAATAATGAAAGAAATGACAGCAATCACGTTAATACATCAGCAACAACAAATAATGACAAGGATAGAACAAGTGTTGATTCTACGACGAGGAGTATATCGATTCGTCCTCAACAAGAACACATTGCCACCACAGGTAATGATCGAGAAGGAATGTGTTCGATACCGCTGTCAGTTGTCAAACCATACCAACCACTCTCCATTCATCAACAAGTTGAACTCGCTTTACTTCATTCTTCAAATAGTAACACTCGCAACAGCAGTTGTAGCAGTATGGACGATGACATGTATGATGAAGATGATCAATCGGTTTCAACTCCAATTTCCATTCCTAGTTTACCCTCCACTCCTTCTCGATCCAATCCAACCTCTTCAACCACCACTACCAATATTACCAACACTTCCACAACAACAACCGAAACAACAACAATTCTATCCGTCACCTCGACTCCTTCAATCATTCAATCAAGCTCTGCAAGTTCGTTGACAACGACCACAGATAACAACAGCACCGACAAGAGCAGCAACTCATCTACGACGACCACTCCTCTTCGAAAACAAGCCGAAGAGCTCGAGGATTGGAAAATTATTGTTCGAAATCGAAATGCTCAACAAATGAGCCGAATGGCAAACACAAATTTAACGGACAGCAAACCTTCGTCGACGATTTCAACACCCTTGTCACCTTCGACGCCACAACTTACGCATCAACAACAAAATCATGATGAACCATCTTCTGATTCAACACAAATTTCGAAAAAAGGAAATCAATTATGGTCCAAATTGAGAAAATCATTTAACGTCAAGAAAAATGCATCCTTTGAATCGATTGTGACTTCAAATAGTGGTGGAGGAGGAACGGGTTCCTTGGGATATTCGAGCTCAAAAAGTTCATTTAAAAGTGTCACTGATTCTGCAACTTCATTAACGAGTTCAAACGGTTCAATCATGCCGTCACAAACAGTACGAGTTCCAATTATTGGATCAGCTGTTTTCACCAATTCACAACAACCACAGCTGCAACAAACACCAACCTCAAAGAACTTGGAAAGCACCACAAAAGACCAAAGTTTTTTAGAATTTTTGGATAGTGTCGATTGTCGAATGAATGTTGTTTCGATCGATTCGTTAGATGATGGAATTTCTGTAAATTCTTCAACGATGGCTTCTTCGTCTTCTTCGAGTATGTCCGTTACATCCGAATTGAAAAAATCAAAATGGTGGAAACCTTTAAGGATTATCAAGAGTACCATAAAGAAACAATTACGAGAAGAAAAGCGAGAGTCCAAACAGAAAACACAAAACAATTCGAACAATAGCAGCACAAATCTCATGACAAGCGCCACCAGTCAAACTGCACCTTCTTCTTCGAGTGAAACTCTCTCAACAACAACCTTACAAACAAGTAGCAGCGATGAAAAATTCAGTGTCTTGGTCGTGAGTAAGTCAGCAACAACCATGAGCGCTGCAGAAGATGAAATGAGAAATTGTTTACAAGATCCAATTTGTATGCAATTATTTCATGATTTTTGTTGCCAAGAATGTTCACAGGAAAATCTCGTTCTGTGGAAAGAGCTCAATAAGGTCAAGGCAAATTTCAAGAAATTATCCGATCGAAGAAGAAGTCGAAGTTTGAAATCCATTCATTCCAAATTCTTTGCCTCTGAAACCGGTGATTTAGAAGTCAATGTGAGTGGAAAAACCAAGCTTCAAATTGAGGAACATGCAAATAGCAACCGAGTGAGCCTTCAGTCAGGTGCCAATGTGTTGAACAATTTGCAACGAGATTGTATGAATAATTTATGTGACAGTTTTTCGAGATTTATTTTAACGGAGGAGTATCGACAATGGAGACAAATGCGGTTTGGTTTGGATGATTTTTTTGAAGTTGGTATTCATTCAACAACATCAACGACACCCACGACAAGCATGCCAACAACTTCCTCTTCGACTACAGATTCGGAAATTAAATAAAAGCGGTCACGTTGTTGTTTGGGGATGAACTAATAATAATTACAAGTTGCCTTTTTTAACCTGTTTTTTAAGCAAATTAAAGCGATACAGAGGCTAGGATTTTGAGTTTACTTGATAATTCACATCAAACCAGTTAGAGCTGTGCCATGTACAACAGATCATGTCAATCATGTGATGGCCAGACTATTTTTTGAAAAGAGGGCTGTCATGGTTGTAGTAAAATTCATTCAAATCACATCCAACACCATTGGTTTTTCTCCATTCCAAACCTTTAATTAAATTTCCTTCTCCTTGTGCTGGAATAAATTTCACAAACCAACTGTTTCAAGAATTATAATAATAATTTCATGCATATAATTGAACGTTTGAATAAATCAACCATGATCGATATGGTCAATAAAAAATTATTGTGAAAATTATTGTTAATGAAAAAGAATCATCATAATGAGAAAATTCAACAATAATATTGTTTCAAACGATTTCAAAAACTATTTCAACATCACTTACTTGTAAACAGTAGCTGGAACCCATCCTCTTACATCAGTCTCAACAATGGTTGTATAGGTCGTAGTGGTCTCATTACCAAAACATTCATTCGCGAAATACTTATTCACTCCACGAATATATCCATTAAATCCTTCAGAAGGACCATATTTATCCACAGGAAGCGGTGGTGGAGGTTTAGTGACACCTGTCGTTGTTGCATAAGGAATCATTCGAAATTCCAATGCCTTAGAAAGTGTTACATAGTGAAATTCATTGAGTTGGACCACTCCGGTCATGGAAATGAAATCTCTACCTTGAACAGGAAATACACCCTTATGAGCTGTTCGTTCGATTGAAATGACAACTTTGTGTCCGCTTCTGCAATATTTTCAAGTTCAACATGGTTGATTAATTTCACGTGTTCATTGTTACAAAAATTATGGTGTCAACAATCAACATTTCAAAAATGATGATCCATGTCACAATAGTTCAATGTACTCGAATATTAAACGAACGAAAAACCTACTCCTTATCCACATAACTAAACACTCTCAATACATTTCTCTCTTCCAATCGATCATCCCAATTTTTTCTTCTCTCAAAATCGCGTACGGCCACAAACATTTCTTTGGGCGAACATGGAAAATTAGTTCGAATGTATTTGTGTCTTTTAATTTCACCGGTAGATCCTTCGCCTTTCTTTTTAACGAGCATTCGACGATAGTTTTCTGGTTCTTCGTAGAGTACTTCGTAATCTTCTTCATTGGTGGCTTCTTCACGAATGGCCATGATTTCTGTGTGATGAGTATTTGAAGCATTCAATATATTATATCAGATATATATATAAAATAATTTTGGTAATTATTTCGAATTTAAAATTTCAAAATCATGATCGTGCATTAAATAATAATAAAATTGAAAAATCACGAATACAAAATGATCATTGTAATGAACGAAATGATGAAATATACCTTCCTTAAGAAGCCAACAAACCTTTATACGAAAACAATAGCATTCCATCAATGATGATGGGAGTATCCGAACTTTGTTCCGGAAGAATAGTTACTTCGGGATGAGTTGGAAATGAAAAATTGTTCGTGGTGTTCTCAGAGGTTGTTTCTCCTGTTAGCCAAGACAACATGGTGATGTTGAGGTTTTGTGGTGAGTTTTAGGAATGGTGTGCTTGGTACGGGAGATGTGGAGAATTTTTTTTTTAAAATATCTCTGTCAAATGTCAGTAAGAGCTGGCAAAAAGGACATTTGGAAATTGTTGATTGTATTGAGACCTTAAGGATGGACATCAATGAATGCAAACAAACTTGAAAACACATGTCGATCACATACCTTTCACCGATCTCAGTATTTGAGATGTGTTTTCATCAAGTCAAAGATGCGTTGTTTTGCAAATTTGGAGCATTCGGCACTACTATTCAGCAATTCTTCGGAACAGTCAAACATGTGTCCCACTTTTTCATTTTCTAAATTCTCTCTTAAATTATGTTTCTCTAAACAAAATTTCAATGATTTCTCACAACTCATCATTATTCCTTTGAATAGTAACTCGTGATAAGAGGCTCCACAATGAGCAAATGCAAATTTTGCCATTAATTCATGATTCATGGTGACATTTCCATTCATCTGAAGATCTTTTGCACTGTGATGCATTTCCAACACTTGTTGCCATTTGTTTTTCTTATTGGACAAACAATTGGCAAGTCTGTGTTGAACATCAGCCAAGAATATATCAAACATTTTTGTCGTTTCATCCTGAGATTCCACATCCTTATACGCACCATGATTTGCAGCTTTCCATTCTCTGAGACGATTTAAAAATTGAGGCATTACATCTCGAATGCGGCTTCTTCTCACTTGATTCATATATTGCTCTTGCTGTTCGATTTGTTGTTCCATTAGTGATGATGAAGTGTCTGAAAGTTGTTGCATATTTTGTTGAAGAGAATTGTTTTCTGAAAATGAATTGAAATGAAATTGATTGAAATGAATCATGTTTGAATTTAAAGAGGATGACGAAGAGAAATTATATTCCGATATGGAAGCCTGCTTAATCTTTTGTCCATTTCTTTGATCATAATATTCTTCATCATTACTTTTGGAAATCCAAAGCAAAGGCTTTTGTAAAGACGATGAATCCAATGATGCGAGATCATTACTACCAACACTACTAAAACTTGATACTCGTCTGAAATAATCCATCGTTGCCATGCATAATGGATAAAAAGAAGTTTGGTTTTTCAAAGTAGCATCGGAATGTTTGTGAAGATTTTCGGAATCCATCGCCTTCTTCTCTTCATGATTTGAAGTATTTAAGTTTCCAAGATATTCCTTCTCCAATTTCAGACATTGAACTTGATCTGCATAGAAACGTAAGAAAGATCGAGTTTGTACAATTTCTGCCTTGTATTCGGCATTGTTCGATTTTGGTAAAGACATTTTTTTTGTGAACAATACATTCAATTTTCCTTAATTAAGAATCCTATAATTCACATCTTAATATATTAATCGATTATACATATTAATTATTTTTGAATAATATATTAATAATATATGCATGGGTGAGATTGATTTATAATTAAATTAAATATAGGTGGTTGAAAAATTAAACTAGTCATCTTTAATGAGATATTCCAAAATCCACTCAAATATAATTTCAAATAAATATTCATATAAAAATCGCCAAAAGATAACCATGCACACGAAAATACTCAAGCGAGTCACCCACGTGTTTTTCGGGGAAACAATCACATCAATAATTGTGAGAGAGGTCATTAAAATCACGAGAAAAATGGTAAAGAGAGTTCTGCCAACTTTCTTCGAGTAGGCAATTTTTTCTTCTCGTGTGGCTTTGTGTCGTTTTGGATAATAATGTTTGTGTTTGATGTGAGGATGAATGGGATCAATCACAGAGTCTACATCTGTGTAAGTGTTGGTCTGAGAGGTTGACACAGATGCTAAGCTCAACCTAGAGTGAGCATCCTCTTCGTCATCAACGATGATGTGTGAAGCATCTAAAAGTCTCCTTCGATGATCGTCCTCATCGGAAACACTATGAGACGTTGGGTCAAAATTCTTTCCTTCTCTCCTTTTGTTCGTTTTTCGATTCGAATTGAATTGAGGGTCCAAATTTAATCCATCGTCATCATCATCATCTTCATGTTTCATTCCTATATTACGGAGAGCAATCCGTTCGAACTGTTTCAATGATTGTAGCACAGAAGATGATGATTGGTGAATAGTGTTCGTGCCATGAACGAATGTTTCATCCTTTGATTTGCTAGTTGTTGTTGAAGGGAAACCTTCATGAAGTTCCTCCTCAATCAAACGTGTATGATGATGCCGAACCCTCGGGCCTCGGCTCTGTTGTTCCTCTGGATAATGAAATCGGGTAGGATCCTGTTGTTGGAAACGCTCTTCCGATGATCCGAAATTCATAGCCTCAATCATTTCTTCTTCATCTTGTTCCGTGTTGTTGTTGTTGCTGTTGGCTCCGATTATTCGATTGGTTGTATGATCATGTTCAAAGTCATCCGATGATGAAACTCCCCAACGAAAACTGGAGAGTTTGCTTTGGCTGTTATTCAACGAATTCAATCGCATCATCTTTTTTTTTATACTTCTTTTTATAGAACTCGAGTTTATAATTTCTTAATAAGGGCTTCATTCCTTCTTGGTGTAAGGAAAGCACAATTAAAACAATTAAAAATCATCATTCTTATCAATATTTAAAAAATCGTAGAGATCATTATAATAAATATATATTTATCTCAATAGATTTCATCAAAATTCCAATAGATACTCTCCACTTAAAGGGCATCTGAATTGGAAAAGACCTATGTTTCACAAACCTAGTAGCAGCAGTGCTGGGTGATGTGATGTTGCCACATGTCCTCTCCACTTTTTTTACAATTGCATGAGATCGTCGTCTTGAGAATTCTCTTCCTTCACTCGCAACATGCTCAAATATTCAGACAATGAAAACTTGAACACTTCTTCAGGTAAACCATCACAAGCTTCCATAACGAGATAAATGGGGAAATCTTCACTCGACTCTGACAATCGACACACACACAGTGCAGCATCTCCATCACCCAAAAAGATGAAATCATTCTTCTCCTTAAACCATTCAATGTGTTCGTATTGATCTTGATCCATTACAAAGATTTGATGTTCCACACAAATGTCTTCGTCCTTCACTTTGGACTTGTCTTCCACAATGAATTGATTTCCCTTTTTCCATTTAATGGAAGCAAACAAGTTGATGGCATCCGACAAGATCATGTCTCTATAACGATGTTTCTTCACTTCGGAAGGAATTTCACCACCTAATTTGGTAATTAATTCACAAACTTTAGGACTCAATGCATAGGACCATGAAGAGGTTTGAGGGACTTCTTCTTCTTTGACCTTCTTGTTTCTGCTCTTTGGTCTAGACTTCTTTGGAATGGTTTCTTCTTCTTCAAGAGTTTGTTGTTCTTGTTGATTAATATTTTCCTTCTCTTGATCAACATCTTGTTCTGCCTTCTTCGTTTGATTCTTTTTACTCTTTTTAGAAGAAGAATTCTTCTTTTTTGCAGAAACTTGTCTCTCCTCATAGGTATTATGAGATTCACTCACTCCTTGTTCCTTCTCGGTACATTCCTTATAATTGACATTTCTTCGACGACGAGTGCCATGAATGATATTTTCCTCAGCCACAGCGGTTGGATTTTTGAGAATTCTCTTGGAACGATCTTTAGGTTTGGTCTTGTAGCCACCAACCAACACGACGTGCTCACCAGTGGCTTCATCCACGACCACACGAGCCGTGGTCACTTTGACTTTCTCTTCGGGATGATCCGGAGTGATGACTTGAGCGATGGTTTTGATGGCATGTTTATCAAGATTATTGACAGGGACGTAGACATGGCCGTCTTGGGTTTTAAATTTTCGTTGGGAAGCTTCCTTTGGCATTGTGAGCAAGTGGATCCAGTGGTAATGATGATGTGGAAGGTGGTGAAGTGAGGTGAGGTGTGGATGTGTTTTTTTTAATTGTTGTTAAATTTTTAGGTGGCAACAGACATAACGGAAAATAATTTCAAAAGTGCAAAAAAAAACGGTCGTCTTTGGCGGGAATTTTTTGTTTCCTTCCTTTCTTAAACGAGGTTGTTGATCTTATATGACTGAACTGTTTAAGTTTCACCACAATTATATATGAGCATACAGATACCATCCTTTCACATGTTGATTTTATTAAGGGTGGCAGTCAAGAAGGCCATGAAAAAATTCTCAAAGTTCAGGAATTGGTGACTGGAAAGGAAATTATGATTGTCATCATTATTAATATTCCCAACCTCACAAGAGAGATTAGAAACAGAAGGGGAAAGATTTTTCTCTGTCTATTGCAAAAGACTTGAATCAAGAGGCTGTATTTGTCACAGAGTTCTTGAGAATACTCAAAATGGACCAACATGAATCATCGCCTCATAGCACATATCCTTCGATGTGGCCACGTTGCAAACAGCATGGTAACGACTGCCGTTGTTGCCGTATATGAACGCATTGGGTGAATGACCTAATGGAGACATATCCTAATGTCAACAAAAACTGACAAACGTCAAAGAAGGAAAATTAATTTTATTCATGGACAAAAAAGAATTCTTTTTCGGTTCCACCAAGAGCTTTTGGTCTCTTCATTCGCACTGGTCATTTCGTGTCGACACTTTTGCAAAGACCTGCCGCAATAACTCCTCAAGTCCACTCTTATTGTTTGAATATCATATACGGAGGCCTCACGACCACTTTAGCACAACAAACAAAACAACAACTGTCAGCAATCATCTCGTGTGCACACCACACGATTCGTTCGAGATCCCACCCACACATCTAGTTCATTCATAAAATGTCTCAATTACGGAACATCTGTCGTTCATACAAACATGAAGATAACAACAAGGATAACGAGGATTCTCATCGTCATGCTGATGACAGCTGTTGTTCTTCTTCTTCTCATACGATGAATTCTACATGGATGATGAAACAATTCCAACAACAACAACAACAAACAACAACATCCGATGATGACAACACACCAAACAAATTCATTTTCTTTCAAGTCGATACAAGTCTTTTCGGTGATTCAATCACAACATCCACAACACTCACAACAACAACAATGAAAATCACAACATCCACATTAATACATGAATCTTCTCATCACTCCTTTCGTCCTCCACATGTTCATGCTCCTCCTCCTCATCATCATCAACAAGCATCTTGGAGGTTCAGTATCCAAGTCATGATCATCATCACTTTCTTTCTCTTCCTTTTAATTCAACTCTTCAATGAACAACTCTTTTCTACAACGACGACAAGTGGCATGTTCATCCATCACAACAACACGACAAGTTCTTTCATCAACAACAACTATAACAACAATAGAATGTTATTGTCCCATCAATATATTCATCATCGGGCGATTCGTGTTGGTTTTGTCGAATCGTTCTTTGTTCTTGCTTCTCATCCCTCAATAGAGACGACGCCACAAGTTGTCTCATCATCATTCTCATCACTCTCATCATTCTCATCATTCAATTCAGTAGAATCTTGTACACTCGCGTTGGAACGATGGACACAGTTGACCACTTTACACGATTTTAAATTTACACCAAATTTGTATGGTTCATGGCGTTTGACACATTCACCTGAAACTGCACCTCCCTTCATGATGGGATCGTATGTGATGCAAGATCCCATGCCTTGTCCAGATTTAATTGAATTTACTTCCATTTCAGTGAGTGCCTCTCTCTATCGAGAAACTTATTTTGGAATTCACATAGAAGCCATTTTCAACCAAACAAATTTCAAGACTAATTTGTGGGCTGTCAGTTTTCAACCTCGTTTTTCACCTGTGTTTTTTGAAATGTTTGCTCAAGTTCAACAAACAAATACGAGTAATGGTTCAGAAATTTCAATTTTGAATCAAGAATTAATTTCGAACCAGACATTGAGTGATGGTTCATTTAAGATTTTACAAACAGGATCTTCACAATACATGCAACCCTTGTTGATGCGAAAAAAAGTTTCTGGATTTCAAGTGACTTTTCAAATGAAGCTTGATGACTTGTTTGTGACAAGAAATGTCAATGACACATTCACAACGAATTTCACCACCACCACCACCACTACTAGTGACATCATGTCAACAACAACAACTAACAAACCCTCTCTAAGAACATTCCTAGTTTCAAACACTCGTGAATTACCTAACAAGATAGAATCCAAATTCAGATTCCAATTACTCTATTCAAAATATCAACTTCCTTTTTCATTTCCTATTCAAGTCAAGACTCCCTATGGCATCAATTCCTTATTATTCGATGGAGTCTTTTCATTGAATGATCCAGCACAAGATGATTCCTTAAATCTTCAAAAGAGAGTACCTGTTGCCAATAATGCCATTTCAACCATTATTGTCATTGTGAATGGAATCATTGCATTAACCATTTTAAGTTTATTGATCATTTTTAGAAATACTGAACCTAGAGCATCGCGTGGTTATTTGCCTTATGTCATTTTCATTCATGTATTCATTAATTTTGCAAAGGATTTTGTTCAATCATTTTATGGAGAGGAATATTTATTGATTGCATTTGTGTTTTGCACTCTGTCGGTTTTGAGTTTTAGTTATCTCATGTATTTCTTGAATACTTTATTATTTTTCTATAAGAGGAAGGTGTACAATGATGTCTATCAAAAGATGAAACGAGATTCACTTTTGGATCGTAAGAAATCTTCAAGTGATGCCTATTCATCGCCGTCAACACTTGGCAACAACAACATGTTGGTATCCACCGAAAATGGAACTGTCACAACTGTCAACCATTCTTTGACTCACATTGTTCACCACACACCAGATCTTTCCATTCATCATCAAAATAATAATAATAATGGAATTCAACCTGTGGAGAAACAAGTCCTGACACCTTCAAATCCAACAACAGGAATCGAACTTTCCCTCACAACCACCACAAACACAACTACAAACATAACCAACATAACCAACACAACCACAACCACAACCAACACAATCAACACTTTTCCCATGAATCATTCAGTCATTCAAAACAATTCCTTGTCATCAACATCATCACCACCAAACGCCTCAAATCCTGCTGTGAGTAAAAACAGTTTCGATCCAGTCAAGACAGAACATTCCATGACGACAAGTTTGACATGGGTGAAATCAAGAAAAGTTCGATGGATTTCAGCCATTTGTGTTGCGATGGTGGTATTGCTCTCGTTGAGTGCCATCGTTCCAGTGTTGATGCTGTCAAGTGTCGCGAACGTCTTGTTGACCATTTATGCCGTTCTTGGAGTTTTAGTCACCATTGGTTCTGTACTAGTCATTGGATCACTCTCATTCGATATGATGTGGAATTGGAAACGTCTCTTTTACAAATGTGAATGGAAAGCTTACTTTTTCAGAAATGATCCACTCTATTATCGATTGGAACTTTTCATTCACATCCTTTCCGCGTTGTTTTATTTGGCTTTGTCCATTTCACTTCTCATTCAAAGAGATCAAATAGATAATTTATCATTACTGACTTCACAAACGTATAGAGGTGTCGCTCCAATTGCAACTTTTGTCTCTCTTCCAATTGAATGTTTGGCTGTCTTTTTTGAAATGATGGCAGCTGGAGGTGGATTTATTTGTCTCATGACTGCATATGAGAAAATTCGATTGAGAAATCAAGAGAAGTCGAAGATGGAGACTTTGGATTTGATCAGTGTGGATGATGAACATTCACAAGAAGAAGAATTTCCATCTTCTGCACAACTTGAAAAGTCATCTTGTTCATTTCCTAAAATGAGAACCAATATCCATTCTCCTTTAATGGAATTGTTGGGTGAGGATTTGTCGAGACTATTCATTGATGATAAGGGTTATGAATTATTGAGATTATATTCGAAAAGTGAATTTTCGATTGAAAATGTGGCATTTATTAATGACATTGAAAAGATTTATTCACAACTTTTTTGTGACATTGAGACAAATTCTCTCAAACAGAGACGAGGCAGTGGTGGCAGTACACCAAGTTTTTCACGTTTGATCAAACCTACACTCAAACAAAATCTGCGTCGTGAAGTTTTGGACTCGGTTTACAGTACATTATGTCAAGATTTTTTTGATCTCTATGTGAGTGATCATGCAAAACTTCCAGTGAATTTTTCATTTCAATCCAAAGTGATTTTTAACAATTGGCTTCAACAAGGATCATGGAGTGATGAATACGTCAAATCGGATGATTTCACAAGTGATATTGATTTTATCGCATTGGATGTCGTACGAAATTTGAGAGACACTTTTCGAAGATTTCAACTCACTCAATCGTATAAGGATTGGAAAATGCAAGCTCGAAAACAACATGCCTTATTGAGGAGTGCACTAAAAGCAAAAAAAGTTTCCACTTTGGCTGTTGTGGTTGACACGGCTACCCAAACAGTTGAAGAGAATAGAAATTCTCAAACGGTAGTAGCGGAAGATGCGACTTTGAGTGCAACTATGGTCGAATTGAAGGAGAGAGGAGCAGAAAACAATCAAGATAATGACACTTCCAATCATGTATGAGAAGTTGCATGTTCTCAGGAGGTTCATGATCAAAATGATTTATAAAGTCATACTTTGAACTATCCTATTTTAAACAATCATCATCTTGTCTCTTAATTGGTCTTACTTCTATCTTGTTTCAATCGCTCTGGCAAGACATACACAACCAAATACAAGAATCTCAATGCAGCACTAATCACTGAAACAATCACTTGAGAGACCATCTTGGTTTCGAGTGAACCCTTTTCCATCAAGACTGAACCAATATGCAAACAATCACCAACCAACAACAACAAGATGCTCAATTGAAAGAGACCCAACTGAACCAAGGTCTTTTGTTCTTTCTTTGCCAATACTGTACAAGTCACAAAAAGCATCACATGCATAAAGCCAAAAGCGATCAACATCATTCCGATAAATCTCATTAAAAAGTGAATATTCACATCACATGGATACGAGGTGAACAATTGTTGAATGAGAGCCAAGGTCAAATTAGGAGGTAAGATTCCTCGTGTGAAAAAACTGAGAAAGAATGGACTTGTGGGAATCAAATACATGAAAGATCCTAAAAACAGTTCATTGAAAAAAGGTTCTGCCCATAGAAAGATGTAAATGATGGTGAGAAGGAGAGGTTGTTTCATGAGTTGAGAGGTATTGTTTGAAAGGGTGATGAGAGGTGGCATCTTTTGTGGATTCTTGGAATATTTTTTTAAACTTGATCGCATTAAACGGATTTCCTAATTGGTGAAAATATTCAATAATTATTATTTTGATAACGGCTAGAGAATATGAACTTGCCTGCATCCAATAACACTCGAAGCATTGCTTATGCTCATCATGAAAACATGTCAATGATGATGATTAATAAGTCCAACCTAAAGTTTCAATTCCAATCCATTCCAAAGGAAATGCATTTCTTTTACCACATAAACTTTCTCTCTTTTTCATCCAAACATGTTTGGTTTTGTTGGGAAGCAATAAAAATCCATTCTCCTCAAAATGATCGATATCAAATCGAAGGGAAGATTTGTCGAGAGTGTCTCTATTGCAATAATGTGCTCCACTCTTAATGAATAACCGAGTGAAAAATGATGGAGAGTTTGTACAAGTGATTGAGAGTTTGATATGAGTGTCAGTTTCCTCTTCGATTTGAAGCGACAGAGAAGGTTTTGTCATTTTGTGCGCTTTCTTCAGTTCACAAAGGAAATGAATCGCTTGAAGAGTATGTCTTTGGCTTGTTTCTTGATGTGAATTAATTGAATGGTGAGCAATGACGTCAATTTCGAGAGAACATGCCAAAAATCCAAACGTCTTTTGTTGTAAAATGTCTCGAGTTAAGGGCAGTGAAAATATAATTTCACTTGCCAAATAATTAGTTGAAGAAGAATTGAATGCATCATGAGCTGAAAATTCAGTAATTTCTCTGCTCCACATTTCATGCCCATTCTCGAATGAAATCATTTGAATTTTCAAACTCTTAAATTGAATGGAGGAGTGTTGGTTCGAGTCTGAAGTGAACCAAAAATCTAACTGTTCTGAGGCGTCACTTTCATGATTTTCAATTTTGCTCATCTTTGAAGATGCAATGGAGAACAGATATGGAGCAAAAAAGTCCTTACTGAAATATTGCAGAAGCTTCCACGTTCCATTCCATTCCAAAGAAGACCATGAATTACCAGGCCAAATATCATTGAGCTGCCAATACAAAGCTCCAGAGCAAATTTTTAATTGTCTTCTCCAATGCTCACAAGCAGTTTTAATGGCCAGTGCTTGATTGACTTGTGACAGATAGACTAAATCTTTGAAAGTTTTTGGAAATCTAAATTCTCTGGAAATATGCTCGAGAATGCACTTATTTCCAACATAACTTCGTTGTCTGGATTCCATGACTGTACGTCATATTAGAATAACAAATTTTGGATGTTTTGTTTGGCCAAAAGAATGAAAAAGCCATTACAAACACTTACCTGGTGAAGTAATATTCAAATCTCGTTCACTTTCTTCTGAATGATCATTCCTTTCTAAAATAAATTGTGCCAATGTTTCAAAGCCTGGCAATGACTGAAAGCCAAATTCTGAGCTAAATCTTGGGATGACAGTTAGATAATTTGAAAATGGCTTACCACCATGCCAAACTGCCCAATAATGTGCATCTCCTTGAGTTAAATCTTGTGGATTTCCATACTTCATGATTCCGTTCGATGGAGAACTTGGCCAAAAAGGTGGAGTATTAAATTTAGAAGAATTATAGCATAATTCTTTCGAAACAACATCATAAATAGTATCATAATACAGCTTGTGATAATCTACAAACAGGCGCTGCTTGCAGTCAGAATTAATGCATTCAGGCCAGCTCAACAAAGCCTCCTCATTTTCATTATTACCAGCAAATAGAGCAATGCATGGATGAGGTTGTAAGTGTCGAAGTTGCTGAACTACTTCCACTCGGCAAGATTTCAAAAACTTTTCGTCTGATGGGTATAATGAACATGCAAACATAAAGTCATGCCAAAGAAGAATACCATATCTATCACAATACTCATAGAAAAAGTCGTATTCATAAAATCCTCCACCCCAAATACGAAGCATGTTCATGTGACAGTCATGACTACTTTTGATCAAATTATGAATGTGCTCTCTGCTATGAAAGCATCGACTTGGAAAACAATCTGAGGGTATCCAATTACTTCCTTTACAATAGATGAGACGATCATTCACTTTGAATTGGAACTTGTGGCCATACTCGTCTTTTGAGGTATCAAGTTCAATCTTTCTCACTCCAAATAAAATTTGCTTCTCTTGCTTAAAGGATTCATGTTGGATGGCAACTTTGAAATTGTACAGTGGTTGACTTCCATAGCCATTTGGATACCATAACTTGAGTTTTTGAATGGATCCAATATTCAATGTGACAATATACATGTCCTCCAATTCAATGTCTTTTTCTATGTGCTCACACCATAGAGATTGTTTGTGATGCATTTGTTGTGAAGAGTCATCCAAAATGGATACTTCAACTTTTCCAATAGTGTCATTAATTTGTTCACATCCATCGAAATTTTTACAGAATAAATACAGTTTGGCAGTGAGTGAAACGTTTTCACATAGTTCAGGATTTCCTTCTCTTTCAATTGAAAAGTCATGCTGATAAAGAGCAATATCTTTTAAGAACAAAATAGTTCCCTTATTTTGTGTCGCAGAAAATGACGATTCAAGTGAGATCTGATTATTAATTTCAATAGGATGTGGACGATTAAATCTCACTAAATAACATGGCTTATGAATTCCAATAGATGCAAAAGCTGGTCCCCAGTCCCATCCAAAGGCACATCCTAATCATCCAATTTTACACAGCCCAAATTTTTCGCCCAACAACATTAAAATTCAAGCAATTAATTGAACACATTAATAATCGTCAATCAATCATGAGAGGTCATTAATTATAAAAAACGTACCTTCTTTTCTCAAGAAATTTCTTCCTCTAGTATCGAAATCTCTAGTATAAGAAGGGCATGGAATCTCATAAGCTTGTTTTTGAAGATGACTTTCCAATCGTTCTCTCGATTCCACAAGTGCCGATTTAAAATCAATTTCAATATGAAGTCCACAACGAGCGGATCCGTGTTGATCCTCCTTCTTCATCATGGATTTACATATCAATTCGGAAATATCCAAAATGTAATACTGAAACATGTTATCCACACAAGATCTGACCAATTCACCATTCACTTTGATATTGGCAACACAATCCAGACCTTCCATGATCAATAACCACGAAGACTCCAAAGAAGAAGCCTTCGAGTTTCTCACTCCTCTGATCATCACATTGCAACATTCATCCAAATCATTCATCCAGCATTCCATTTTCCAATCCGAATAACCCACCCACAATTGTTTCAATTCTTCCATTCTATGGTATGGATTTCCAACTAAATTATTTTCATAGAGAATGGAATGAACATTACATGGAATTTGAGAAAACGGAATTTTATGAAACTTCTTGTAAAAGCCTTCTTGTTTTCCAACAAATGCCTTTGGATCCACTTCTTGATCCCGATGAGAACACTTCATCATCCCTTCATAATCATTGTTTTTCATGAGCTCTTTACCATCTCGGAATTGAGTCAAAGAAAGAAACCATTGTTGAATATTAGGATTCTTTGATTTGGAATCCCATTCCGATGAGAAATCCTTTGAAAGTGGAATCACTTGCATCCTCCCTACTCTTTGGATGAAATTTTTTTGTAAATTCCTTTTTTTTGGCGAACTGTTCTTCTGCTGTGAAAACAACAAGATGTTTCGAATTCTTGAGAATTTGCATCACGATGCATTGTCTATTTACACCAAAACACCTCTGGTATACTATGCTTCTTGTTACCTTTTTCATTTGGAAACGAGCGCGACAGATTTTTTAACTTTTGGGTATCGTCAGAATTTGTAATGACAAGCTTGTTTGATCCTTATTTGTGGAAAATCATTGCTTTCAGCAAATGTCTATTTGGATGGGTGGTCGTTCAGTATTTTCGTGGGGATCTCTTTCATTTCAGGTTGACATTCCGCTTTCTTAGCAGTTCCAGATTGTTCATGAGAAAGCAGTAGTTGTTCCTGCACAGACTGCTTCTCGGGAATGAGTGATTGTGAAAAATTCCAAGTCAAGACTCGATACAAGACATGAAACACTCCAAAAAGTGAATCTCCACTTAGTAGAATGCTCAAGGCGCTAAAAATGACCAAAAATCCTTGATAATAGCTGTGTCCGATAAAACCGTTCACTTCTTTTTGAATGATGGAAGAGGAATTGAGATGTTGAATAAAGCGTGTGACATGAATGGTGAAAAATGCAAAGAATCCACAAGCACCCAAAACGAGAGAAAGTCGTTCTTGTGTGAATTGAGTCGATAAATACTTGAAAGCTGCAATTCCAGCCCATTGAAGAAACGCAAGAAACGCCACAAAACTCACAATCAAGAATAAATTTTCTTGCCTTAATAAGGAATCTTGTAAGGTATCAATAAGGAAATATAATATTCCACACCATCCAAAGAGTACTCCAAAACTCTTCCAATCCATCACTCTTTCGAATAAAAAATCTCTCAAATTCATTGTCACATCATAGAGTTGATACGATAACACCATAAACAAGATGGACACAAGAATGGTATTCATGAGAGGAAATTCGCTCAATCCTCGAATCACAAGCACACTTTTCGCATTATCAGTCATCAAGACGTGATGTTGCAATAAATAAGTCTCCAAGGTCACCATTCCAATCGTTTGAAAACTTTTCATGTAGTAACTTCTTAGCAGCGGAGTTGCATTTCTCAAATACACAAAACACACAATAGGCACCACACTAAAATATGGATGGAAGGAATTGTAAGTGAATTTTGAAGTTGGAAAATAAATGTAGCCCCACAAGATAATCATACTTGTACACATCACAATTAGGGCCACACTCACCACTTGTCGACATTCTCTCTTCTGAATGGTATTCAATAAATCCTTCAAAGAATTGTAATTTAAAGCAAAAAGCATTCCAAAGAAGGCAGAATAATGGTCCAAATAAGTCCTAAAATAGAAATCATGATAAGCCAAATTGGAGGACCATAAATATCGTTTCCACCAACCAAAGGGTCCAGCAAAAACAAAATGATACAAGGATGGTGATTCCCAAATGGCATAAATTAAAAATAAATTCACAATTAATTTGATTCGAATTCTGAGATTGTTTTGATTCCAAAACGGGTTTCCAATTTTCATCACAAAGAAGACCATGACAAAGTACATGGTATGGAGAGGAACAATATAATAGAGAAAATAGCTGTTTCCTGTGACTAGACAAAATGCAACGGCAGAAAAATTCAATCTCCACAACATTTGTAAAAATCTAAATTCGTTTCATTGATCAACAAGTGTTATCAAATGTCATCATAACGATTCCAAAGTCGTTTTTCACACTTACCTTCCAAACGACAGGTCACCCTTATTATAAAAATACGAAAAGTTTCCAAAACCTGACATCCAAACGTAACTGCTCACAAAAACTCGAATCGGAGCATACAATTCTTGAGCGTTGTAATAGTGATACAATAGAAAAGCCAATTGCATCCAACCTTTCCATTCTTCGGTTTGTTCTCTCGAAAGAACAATTTCTGAATTTTTTTCAACTCGTCGAAGTGTGAAAAAGCCACAAATTAAAGAAATGAAACAAATGGAAATGAATAAATCTCTCGAATACACTCTTTCGGTCGTTTCAAATAGCAATGAATTTTTGGTGTGACCCAAATACACGACAAGTAAAATTCCACCTAAAATTCCTAAATTAGTAATTAGAGTTTCAAATTTCAAAAAATAATTTCCAAATAATTCTTTCGTGAATGAAATTGAATGATCATGTTCGAGAGACGATTCGTGAAATTCATCAATGATTTTGGCTGAAATTTTTGATTGCAATTGATTCTCATGAGTTGCCAGCAATGAATAATTATTTCGAATTTTCATGAATGATTGTGAAGAAAAAGCTTGTCCTTCTTCTTCCAATTGTAGTGATTCATCGAAGGATGAAATGGATGTAGGTTTCATTCTGGCATCGTATTTTTCTTGATGACTTGAATTTTCAGATTCCGAGATGTTTAATGGACCATTTTGATTAGTGACAGTTAGTGATTCTACTTCCTGACATGTCATTTGTTTCCCAAACGAAACCTCCCCAATCAAACTTGCGGAGTTGTTTGTTGATAATGATGTATTTCCGACATTTCCTCCGTGTGGTTTCGTCAAACATTTAGAGAACACAAATTTATACAATTTCATAAAAACAAAAAGAATAATCCAACTCGTGACAAGTGTGATCATTTCTTGTTGTTTTTGTGATGGTTGTAGTGATGAGAGAGTGTCAAGAAGAAATATGGGAAGAAGTATTAACAACTTTTTTTTGTAATGACTTTTTTGACGTTTTCATTCCATTGTGGTCCAAGATGACAATTTTAGGAAAGATGATAACAAATTAGTTGAAGTTTGGTCAAAAAGAACCTTAGAAAACACGAGGTTCATTCAGGCATTAAGGACTCCTCTTGTTTCAATCTTATCTGAGAATCCTCGTTTGTCATTCTGAAATGCCACTTGTCAACAACCCATCTTGAATTCAAATGAACTGATGAACTTGTAAAATAAAAAAAATGCCAACCAACAAATCCATCAGTATTTTGGACAGTGATGACCTTAATGATGGTCATGACCACACGAATAACATCAATTCAATGAATAACAACAAGAAAAGAAAAGAATCAACTCCGAGCGAAATAACAGAAAAAGCGAACCACGAATCACTCGAAGATGATGATGAGGCTTTTTGCAAACCCAATCCACAGCAACAACCATCATCATCCTCATTCATGAACAATGACGACGAACCGATGATGATTGATGCCAAAAAAGAAAACAATCCTCTCATCGTCGTCGTCAATGATGATGAACATGATATGATGCACCACCACAAGAGGATGACGATCATGACTGAAGGAAAGAAGAGAAAAACAACTCTGAACCAGACATGGAGCGTTCCAAAAGAGGAACTCCCTCATGAGGACGATGAAAAACAAGAGGAACAAATGTGTAGCACCATGATGACTACAGAACCATTTTCATCGACTCAGAGCAACAACAACCACAGTGGTGGTATCAATAATGGAATGATGATGAGTAGTAATAATCTTTCATCCTCTCTTCCTTTCTATTTAATGGATGATCTCTTGTATCACATCTTTTCTTATTGTCTTTTACCTATTGTTCAATTTCGATATTCTCTCGTATGCAAACGTTGGTATCAATTGACCAATTCGGAACAATTTCACAAAAATTATCATCATTATGTGACTGAACATGGACATTTAAAACAATTATTGGATCCACGTTCTGCAAATGATTGTCTTTTAAACTCTCGTTTGAGGAATGAAAGGATGATGAAAACATTTTTATTTGATTGGACCGAATTTGTGAGTCACACACATCCGAGAGAATACGAAGCATTGTATCGATTGAAAAAGAGTTTACATGTGGAAGATTGGTCACTTCTCAATGATGAACAATTTAAAGAAAAGTTGAATTCTTTACTTTCTGGAAGAATGACCATGAAATTCAATAGTCATTCCTTGGAATCGATTCAACCAATGTTAAGAAATTGTAAATTAGTGACTCTGGATAATGGATTGAATCAAAGTGTTTCGTTTTTTTGTGAGAGAACTTCGCATTCCAATGAGATGTTTTATGGATTTGTGAATGAAAAGTCAGAGTTGGTGAGCTTTCAACAATGCAATGATTCATCCATTATCGATCTTTCACACATCCACAACTCCTCACAAAAAATTCACGGCTTTTTATGGTGTTCCATTATGTATTCTTTTTACGACCGTGGATGGGGAGATACCCATGAAATTACCAGCAAAGAAGGAGACGAATGGTTTATTTCACAATTCAAAGGTCATTACAATATTCTTCCAAAACCAATACTTCTCTCTCTATTGGATTTTATTGCAGCATTTCCAAACGAACGAGAAGATGTGAATTCATTCATATACGGTCTTAAACCTCATCAACACGATACGCTCCAATATTTTCCACATTTCAAAGACACTTTGTTCAATCATGCCATTCAAGAGGCAGCCACACAGCCACTATTAGAAACAGCAACAAGAATTGAGAAATATTTGAAATCTGACATGTCCACATTGTTTGAACGATCCATTCTGTTCCCTTATAAGAGATCTACAATGAAAAATTTATGGTATCGATTCATGACTTGTGGTTATCGATTGAACGAAACTTCTTCTTCTCTTGAATTTACATTCTTTGTGTTTTCATTTGGTGTTGATCAATTGGAATTCTTTATCGATTACTGCCTCTATTTGAACAAACGATCATTTTGTGAGGAATGTCTTCTGGATAACATTTACAAATGTATGAAGAGTGGTCTCAATTATTGTCAAATTATTTACAAGAAGGGTTTTCAACACGTCTTTCCACGTGAAGTATGTCGCTTGGAAATTTTTAAATGTGATGAAGGAAACAAACACTTCCAAGCACTCAACTATGCCTTAATCGATTTCTTTAAGGAAATTATGAAAGATGATTTTTTTTGTCCATTTGATGTGAGAACGAATTGCAAATTTTATAATGTTTCATTGCCATCATCAGCATTGGAAAATTCGTCATCATTATCACAGAGTGCAGAATCGATGAATGGAAAACCACCACGAGTGCTAGTTTTACATCAAAACAAAAATTCAATGAGAAATTTTTCACACTTCTTCAAGACCAATCCTTACAATGTGCATTTAGAGAATTCCATAATTGAACAAGAATTTCTTCCAAAAAGATTGATCAAACTGAAGAGAAAATGGGAATATTTGAAAAGATTTTCAAAGTATGACGTGGTAGTATTTTGTCTTGGAGATTATTATTCAGAAAATAAGCTAATTTATTGTAGAGCGACATTGAACTTTTTATCACAAATTGCCATGAGTGTGAATGATCGCCACTCAAAGACAATCCAAGACACTGTTGTGGAAAATCCTCTCACTACCATTGATGGTAAACAAAACAATCATACTTCCAACTTTTTAAATTCCATCAATGACGACGATGACAACAACTTGTTTATGAATGAACAACCTTCAACAACCCTTCTGATAAACGAAGAACCAGAATTCAGAGCCTTTCCCAAACAAACTCGAATACTATTGGCATTCAATCATCAATCCTTTACTGAACCAAAAATATTAATTCCAAAATATTGTTCAGGATTACCAAGAAATGAATTTGTGAAATTATTGTATGTAACACAAGATTATCCTGAGAGTTGGAACGTATTGAATGGTGCAATATTTGGAGATTTAAATGAATTCATTTACAAATGAGTGGCCAATATGTTTTTGCCTTATTTGTAAACTTTTCACCAACACTGAAATCAAAAACAATTTAAAAAAAATATCGTCACACCTTGCTGTCACTCGCTATTGGATGAATTTTTAAATTTCCATCCGACCGATTTTATTAAATTTCATATGAATTATTGAGACCACCAAAACGTTAACGTGACATTCCGAATTTATTTCCTTCCATTCTCCCTTCAAAACCAGATTTGAAAATCATTGCAACCATTCTCTTTCCGACAAGTGACAGCTCATCTCTCACCATGATCATTCCTTCACATCCTATCACCTCTTCACCAAAAAACAATCAACATTTTCAATTCTTCTTCACTCTCTTCATTTCCATCTTTTCATTAGTGGCAACTTTCTTTCTATTCGCACAAGGAGTACTAAAATGGGAAGAATATCCTCGGACTCCTGTTCAATTCCATCGAATTGGTGACACGCATAAAAAAGTGATCCTTTCATTTGTGGCGTCTTTTTCTTCTCAACAACCACAACCACAACAACATGACACGATTATTGGAAATTCCGAACATGAAAATGAATTTTTACAACCTCCTTTACCTTTTAAATATTTTTACAATGATACCGAATATTTTAACAAGTACACGTCATGGAGACAAATCGATGAAAATTCGAATCTCTTTCAAATTAGCTCCATTTCGAAGAGTACCATTGGAAAGCCACACTATGTTTGCTCTAAAAAACATTTCGATCCAAAATTAGTTAAAGTTTTTGGACCATTTCGAAGTTCGATGGAACATGTGTATTTTTTAAGAATTGAAAGTTTTGATCGATTTGATTTGGATTCTCCATATTTTCAATTATTTCATGCAAGAATTGTAGAAAAAGAGATTTCTGATGAGAATCAGGTGAACATTGCAAATTCAGGAGATTTTGACACTTCTTTGGCAGTTTCCTTTACAAGGTTTGTTCCACTTTTGGAGACGAGAGAATTTAATGAAAATTTAATGCAATATGTGCGAGATCAAGAACTGGAAGAAGAATCACACTCTCGCTCTCCATTTTTGCACAAAGATTTTGAAAGAGTTCACAATTCCATCTTTGTGGATCTCAAAAAAGTAACTTCCAAAAAAAGAAATAAGAGAGTCTATATGGGACAATTTTTTCTCCCACGTTTGAAAGGAGGAGAATTTCAGGTGGATATTCGAATGACCCATCATTGTTTTTCTCCACGAGACTATTCAAGTCCAAGTATGGATTTTTCTGAAAGTCATGGAGTTCAAATTGCAAGAATTCCATTTCGAATTGAAAGAAGAAATGTTGAAACGACGGCAAATGACAACAATTCTCAAAGTATCACTTCTCATCATAAGTATATTATGCAAGAATATTTCAAATTCAAACAATTTCTTTCACATGAACTCTTCGGAAAGGAATCGATTGCTGAAACGACGACAAACGATCCTTCTTTGAAACTTTCTAAAAAAATATTCGATGAAAAAATTGGATTATGGATGCAATCAAAAAGTGGAGAATGTGACAATAGGTTGTGTCGAATGAACTCAAATCAGAATTTTCAACATTCAAAAGAGACGAAAACAATTCCCTTATTGAATCATGTGGTGAGATCGAATCAAGTCTTTGTTCCAGTTGCAACAATTTTTTACAACACTGAAGAAGGAAATCACAAGAATTCTCACACATTCACTCGTCCCTATTACATTTTTAATCCACAAGAAGTGATGGATTGTTTTCATGGAAAAAAAGTTGCCTTTTTTGGAGATTCTTCATTGGAAGAACAATTTTCACACATTCTCGAATGGATGTACGAAGTAGATCCCTCTGTGAAATACAAATTATCATTTCCCAAAGAATTTAATGGTGTGAAATTACAAAAGACTAAATTTAGATATTCCACATTGAAACATGAAAATTTTGAAATTCGAAACAGAGGACTCGCTCATGCCTATGTGGATTATAATTGGGGAGGAATTCAAAGTATAATGGAACTTGAAGCAGCACGGAGAGAAGTTGAAGAAATTGCCTTAACGTCCAATATCGTGATCATGACTTTTACTTTTCATGAAATGGCTGGACATTACGGAAGAGGTGGTTTTCGAAATTTTGACACGGCTTGGATTCAACAAGAATTATTTCCACAAATTGCAAAATTTTTCGAATGGGTTTCTGAGTGGAAACGACGACATGCTTCTTCTTCTCCTCTGAGGATTTTGTGGAGAGAGGTCATTCCTTCACACGATCCAAGAGTGGGTCCTGAATTGATCTTTGCATTGACGAATACTGAGATTCGACGACAGATTGCGCTCCGTCAAGACTTTATCGATTATGTGCCGTTGGAACAGACGACTTTTGGAAATTCTTTCAGAGGTCTCTTCTCAGATGGATTGCATTATACGGAGCAAGATAAGATGATTTCCAAGATGAATACTCAAATTTTGTTAAATCACATGTGTCAAAGAAAATAAGAATTTCGTCATGTTCCAAACGAACATTAACAAGGATTTGTTTCTGAGCTCTCTGAGAGGAGGCACAAGAGTATTGAAGCTTCTTTTGTGAAATGATCTTGTTGATGAGGACCTCCTTTTCTTTTAAAAAGTTTGTTTTATTAAACTACATTCAATTCCTTTTCCAAGGACTTCTTTGCCTTATATAAATTGTACTCGTGAGTGAGTTGCAATCTTCCAAATGTATCTTTCAAGTTGAGCCATACATCTTGTTTCAACGTGTCCAAAACGGTAAGATCGAGCAGTTCAATTGGTTTGTCGTCTGTTCGTTCTGGAATGTGATCCATTGATTTGGTACCACTGAATTTACTGACATCGTCAGCATAAAGTCTCTTTCTAAAGCATGATAATACCATCTTTCTAGTGGTATTTGGTAAGTTGACCTCCAAAACAGAATTTTCATTCAAGTAGGTCTTTAAAATTTTCAAAATAATTCGATCAATTTGTTGTGTGACACTTTCTCTATTGCCCTTTGTGAGCATCTTTGCAGAAGGAGAAGTCGGAGAACCAGGTTCATCCACATTCAAGTGTTGTTGTTCTGGTGGCTGATGACTTGGGCGTGGTGAGAGAGAACCAGACGATGAGTTGACAAGAGTATTGTCTGAAGACAGCATGGCGCTTCCTGATGAACTCTTTTTGACTGAAATGGAAGTGGTTGAAAGGGCTTCTCTTTCCTCCACCATTTCTCCAGTCACAACAGAAGGTTTTTGTAGTGCAGGTGACATGGCAATCTTGTTCAAAGATCCCTGTTGTGTCTGTTCTTGCAAAGCTAACACAGACAATTCCTCAACAAGCTCAAAGAGTAAATAATTTTCCAAAGAAAATTCACGTTCGCAATATTGTTGCAACATGACACGAGCTTCATCGTCACACATGAATTGTTCAAATTCTGTCTTCTTTCCAAGTGTTGAGCCGTCGTTGGCTTTTGGTTCTGGAACTGGAAGCAAGGATTTTCTTCTCACCGCCATTCTGCTGTATTGAATAAGGTAAACCACGGCAACGAATCCGCCACAACCTAACATGACAAGTGAAAACTCAAATAATGAGTAAATTAAACCGTGCACCAAGTAAATAACAGCACGTTGATTCAAGTCAAACCAATTCAAAGTGTTATAGTATTGATCCAAAATGAAGAGCAACACTCCAAAAATTACTGCTGGAATAAAAACACCAAATTCCAATCTAAAGAAGAGAGGATCGTCTTGAATTAAATACCAATGAAGACCCTTCTTAATCACTTTCTTAGCATTGATAATAGCATCAATAATAATGGAAAGAATGGCAGTTGGGACCACCAATCCCAACAATCCAGCCAATTTCGTGTAGGTTGCAATTGTAGAAATTGGTTGATCAAAGGTGGAAGCAGTTCCTGTGACCACTGAAATCAAAATAAACAATGAAAGGGCACAAATAACGATCAAAACGAGAATGACACCCACAAGGAATACTTTCCAAGATGCAAGATTTGCCAACAATCTCAATAATTTCAATTGACGTTCTTCAAATGATTGAGAGGTTTTGGAAATCTTTCTGCCATGATGTGTCATTCTCTTATCCTTCTTCTTAGATTTGGCATCTGATGAAAAATTAATTCTCATGGTACGATACAAATTTCTTGAGAAGAAGTATCTCATGGCTGAAAGCACGTACAAGAATCCCAACACCAAATAAAAGAGTACTTCCATGGAACTGACAATACTGTCATAATTTGACAAGGCAGCAGCGAAAATAATACCCAACAAACCATAAACAATGGCAACTGCACATACAGAACCGTTGATAAGGAAACGAGATTTCACCGGTTGACTCTTTCTTGAAAGGACAAGAATGATCATGATCACAAGACTGAAGAAGAGCACAATGGACATTCTCAAATAACGTAATTGCCTATAAGTATCGGTTGGGTTGTAGTGAAACATGGAATAAATTTCCACAGCTGATGCATCCTGGAATGTAGAGGATTGAGTTTGTTGCATTAGATCAGTTTCATGCATTGACTGTTCATTCCAGTGGTTGTTGTTACTGTTCAATAATGAGGCAAATGATGATGTAGTCGCTGCAAACGAAGAGGGTTGATTGAAAAAGTCAGTCAAATTGTAAACTAAAATAAATTGAGCAAAGTTGCTGTCCCAATCAGTTGAAAGTTTGCGAGTAATGGTTGAATTCATCAAAGGGAAATAGCTGCCAACGAAAGCAAAGAAGTAAATTTCCCTATTTCCATTACTGGAAGAAGAACTACCAACAATGTCTCGATAACAATTTGTGGTACGGAATGTAAAATCATAAGTTGTGACTTGATTTTCATACGAGTTCAACACTGCAATACGACCTGTCTTTTGAATATTATCCATGGAGAGTTCGGATCTAGATCTCAAAAAGTATGGAACTGAAAAACCACTCGAATCCAAAATTGAATTGTCTTCAATCGATCGATTTCCACTTCCAATTTTTTCTAATATCGAACCAACAGAGACACTTAAATTGGATGCAGCTTTGAGTGCAGAAGTGTCTGCGATGAGAGACACCCTGTTTCGAGAGCTGAGTATTCCCTGAGTGTTGTACAGCATTTTGGTGCTTGTAAACACATCTCCAAATGTTAGATTGAGAGATGACAACGGAACATAATTAGCAAAGGTTGGCGTCGAGATTGGATTTGTGTCACTCACACGAGAACCTTCTCTATAAGAGCCAAATGATGAGTAAAAGTTCACTCGAACAGATGCATCTGACACCGAAGTGGAGCCACTTGTGGTCCACTTTCCTCTCACATCCGACGAATAGACATTATCTTTTCTCTGTGACGATTGTGCAGAAACTCTCTTGATGGCATCCCAAAGAGCTCCATTACTTCCATCAGAAAAGCCGAAAAATGTATTTACAAATCGGTTGGAAATTCCAAGACTGAGTCGCCATCTCAAGCTTTTCAACCCACGCATATTAATATTGTTATTCACATCGTTCGAGTCTGCAGTATTTACATAGCCATTCAGTGCACAGCTTGACGAGAAAGGTAATAAATCGGTCATTGTACTTCGCTCCTCCCATTCCAAAACCATTTTCGCAGGCAATTTGGAGGTTGTGGGTGGCATAACCACAGCATTTTGGTAGAGAGCGGATGATTGTGGAATGACTTGAGCTGTTATCAGCGAAGTGGAATATTGTGATGGTGTTGATATTAATGACAATAATGAAAGTAATAACGCTAATACGTATATCATGGCTGTAGCAAGGGATGAACGAGAGGAAGAAGAAGAGGAGGATGGCGATGATGATAGAGTGAACAAGGATAGATGCGTCCTATTTGGAAGTTGTGACGATGTGGAGAGGTAAGATAATTTTCTCTTTTTGTTGGATCCGTTCGCCACAGCATGAGCCCTGTTGACACCTGTCATGTCTTGTTATTGTGTATTTTTCTTTAAATCAAAGATGCAATGGTTAGTTTGGATCTCAATTATGATGATAATGAAGAACAATACTGCACCATCAGGATGATGGTATCAAATGTCATCACGTGTTTTTTGTCCGACAGGTGTGGGATAATCACAATAAAAGAGGAGAGAGGATAACGGGAGTGCCACAAACAATTATTTCCATCATTTTCATCGAATATTTGGGAAGACGACAAGAGTAAAAGTTGAACGATGATTATTTTCACCAACACATTCAATTGCGTAAGAATCGCAATAACAGTGTCAGAAATATGGTATTTTAGTTATATAATAAACACATCACACGATGATGATGAGACACTTACGCAACTGAAAGCCGTCAAATAGTACCAAGCAGATTAGAAAGAGAATGAAAAGGCTGGAGAAGGTGGTGTGGCTGAGACTTAGAGAAGGGTGTTTTTTCTGGTTGGGTGTTGTTTTGGTCCTTCCATACAACAAGTCACAACACGAAACGAACAAGGCGTTGGTTTGCTATGTATATCGTGGAGAATTAACTTGGATGTTGGTGGCCAAATGTTGACAGGGTTCTCCCAACAGTTTTTTCTCTTTCGGAAAAATTCTTTCCTTTTTGAGACGCTTCTTCTTTGATAAGCTTTGATGGTGTTGAAGGAAGCAAATCGAACAGTATCTCAAGTTTGTTTAGCACTACTTTTAAAGTTTTTTCAAACGAAGAATATGAAAATCATGGTATTCATCCCACAAGAGATGCAAGGTATTATCATTGTGATACAAAGAATAACGTTGGATGCTGTTGATCCCAGTCGACCGAGCAGTACAGTCACACAATACACTCTTGATAGGTCTCAAAAGGAATCTCGTTGACCAATGTCAAAACACATTGGTGAAACTGTAACAAAGACCAATTTTGGTCATGCACACTTCCATAAGAAACAACGCCACCTTACGTGATAATTGAAGTCTAGTTTTTGAACCCCGAATATACGAAATTTCTATCAAATTGGAATATAATTGACGATTCATCGGAGGAGAAGACCAAGTTCTCAATCTCTGCAAAGCGAGTACGATCTCTCTCAACAAGTTCCTCCAGCGACAGTGATGGCTGGGGAGGTTTTCTTGATGGCGGTCGAGGTGTGGAGGAGCCCTCTTGCGACAAAGACGAAGTGTTTCTGCTAAGTGTGACTCCAATTGGATCTAAGGGTGGCAGTTCCGCCCTTGAAGGAGGTGAATTATTATCATTTCCTTGTGAGTCTCTCGAATTGTTTGACGTGCCGAGTTTCTTAAATATTGAATTTGGTTCCATTAATGCTGACCCTGCCTTTGATTCTAAATGTTTGAAAGATTTTCTTTCAGAGCCATTTTCAAATGAGGGGGTTGTAATTAGGTTTTGTGTGTTTGGAAGGAAATCGTCATCGTCTGTTTTGTGGAGAATGTGTAATTCCTTGAATTTTTCTTCATCACTCAAGTCAGAATTTGGACCACTCGATACCTCACTTGACAACCTGTTGTGATTTGCTTTTTCCAACTCCATAAAGAGTATTTTGGGACTAAAATACTTGCTCTCCATTTGGAGTTTTTGTTCAAACTCAAGGTCAGCAGAGCTAGTAGATTCGTCTTCACTAAAAGACGATTGATTGACACGGTCTTCAGACTCAAGGTCATCTCTACGCTCAACAATTTCATCTTCATTGTCAGAGCTTTGATGATTGTCCACTGACGTTCCTGATTGATCTAACAGACCTTCACTCGATTTTGTTTCATCCTGCTCTGCCTGATCATCTGTAACAGGAGGAGGTGGTGCTCTTCTAAGAATGGGTGAGAGAGGAGGAATCTGCGATAACCTTGAAATGTTGACGTCTTCGTTTTCTGGCACATTTTCCAAAGACTGGTTCATGTCTTTCTCTTCACATGACGTACGGATATTAGTACCTGAAAGTTCCTTCATGTCATGTATTTCAACGGAACTTGCATTGTCAGCATGAGAAAAACCGTCCAAAGTTTGCCTTGGTGATCCACAGTCCACATTCGATGCCAAAGTGGATGAGGTGTGGACGGATTCATTCTTGTTGTCTGATTCAATCAGATCCTTTTCGGAACTATCAAGAGCATCATCAAATGTGAACTTTGCTTCAGGTGAGTCCTGTAAATCAGAGTTGTTGTTGTTGTTGCTGCCAAGCTTTGTTTGAATCTTAAAAACTCTACTTGAGAAGGTTTTTCGGGGCATCATGCGTTTTGGCGTGGTAGGTTGAACAATTTCTGGATTATTGTTCGAGCTCTGCGTCAAATGTTTGGGAGAAATGGAGCCAATCGTTTTCACAGGCGACTTGAATGCAGAGCTTGGAGACGGAATGGGAGGAGTTCTTTTTGGAGTGGAACTGGTCGTTTGTTGTTCATTATTAGGTGAAGTGTGTTCAGTACTTGAAGGTGATACTCCCTCAAAGGAATCGCTTCTTAAGGGTGTAGTTGTGACCGCTGGCTGCTCATGCATTGTTGGATCATCGATCGATGGCTGCTGCTGAGGAGGACTCGTCGTATTGTTGCTTTCTCTCTTCTTCTTTTTCTTTACTTTCTTTAGAAAGGTTGGATCTTCTTTTCTGTGAAGAAAGCTATGCTTATCATGCTTGAGTTGTGACTGTTTCAATGGTCCTGGCGTGTAAGGTTTGGAAGGATTCATTTCAGCACAGAATTGAGCTGCCAAGTACTTGATTTGTCGAGCATAGTCTTCCGTGTCATAGTTTTCCAGTTTGGCTCGTTCCATTTCGAAAAGTGTGGTTTGAAACATGCTTCGAAGTTCTTGAACTTTTCTATTGAATCGATACTTTCGATTTGCTCTCCAGAATTTTTGAAAGCTCACAAAAATGTCAGCATGTTGTAGAATTTCCATTGCCATCTCAGGTCCAAAATAACTCTCGAGAGCGATCATTTCTTCCTCTGAGGCTTGATAGGGTTTGACTGGTCGAGATTTCTTCTGTTTTTTAGGTAATTGTTTGGACGGCGCTTTATGAAGGGGCTTTCTTGGAGTGGTAACGGAGGTGGGAGGTCCTTCTGGATTTTCACGATGATTTCTATTATCGGTTCTTGCATGTTTCTTTTCCTTGTGTTGTTTCTTGGACATCATTGTCATAGTTGTCTCATCATTAGCATCCAGAGCTTGATGCGATGAATGTTGAAAATGTTTCTTAGGCTTATCTATCTTGTCCAAGTTGATGAGGGCATTATTTTTCCCTTCACTCTTTGAAGATGTTGTTCTCTTTTTGTTTCTTTCAGATTTAAATGTTATTTCTCTCATGGCATTTCGTATTTTGGAATAACATTGCTCAAACGACAAGTCAAGAAACCAGTCCCTTGAATTTCGATTCATCATTTGTTGAAGCAACTTTTCAATGGAAACACTCTTGTTCCGAGCTCTACTTTCAAGCATCTTATTCATTAAGGAATTATTTTGAGAGAAGGTAATTTTATGTTCCAAATTCCTGGTAGTTGAATGAAGGAAGTGTTTGGAATCTTTGAGGGCTTTTCTTGCCTGCACTTTAATTTGAATGTCTTGCCTATTATCTTCGTCTGACGATGAGGACCTGTTGGAGGTGAGATGATGAAATTGTTCATCACCGTCATCCCCAACATGATTCAACTGACCCCGATCATCATCGCTGCTGCTTTCGTATATTTCTTCCTCATACATAATGTATTCATTTTGTTCCTCTCGGTCGGATATTTCATTTAAGGCTTCATCATCCACCATCATCCTTGCTCCTCCATCATGATGAAAACCTCTCTGAATTGAATCCTCAATCGATTGAGGCGCATTATGTTTTGGTCGCTTCATTTTTTCATTTGTTTTGATGTGTGTGTATTTCTTTATTGCGCAAAGTGCTTATTCTTATTCATCCATAAATTTGATGCCTCTGAGCTCTGATGCCTCATAACCATCAGTGACATCATAAGGTTTAATTTCTTTACACGACTTTTATTACCGGGCTGTTAAATGAGAGTGCAGTTCATGAACATTCCTCTCAATACTGGAATGTATTTCCTAAATCATCCTCTTGTCCAAAATCAACTGGCTTCTCAAGAGCAGGGGTGTCTTCAAGTTGGAGAGATGGCAACTCCACAAGCTTGGCTGGTGCTCTTTGCTTCTTCTTGGAAGATTTCTTTTTTGATTCCTCCTTAATCAGTCGGTATGTAATGTACTTATCAACAAGAAGAATATACACAAATCCAACAGCACACAAGAGGCCAATCAAAAACGAGCACGCCCCAATGACTAAAGAATCCAGCACAATACCATTCACACAAACACTATTGTTAACATCGTGGAGTGCTGCAGGAACATAGGCACATTTGAGGGGAGAACTGAAATCAGTGATAATTTTTTGCAAGGTCTCTGAGAGCAGAGTGGGAGCCAAAGCTAAAGTGTCATTCTTGAGCTTGGTCATGTTATTGGAAAGATCTGTCACAGTGGTTGTAATTCTTGCAGGAAGAGGTGAGAGATTGCTCTGCAAGTCACTGTTAATGTTTGAAACTGTGATTTGAATTGCCTCTAATTGTTGACGAATACTCTGAATCAATGTGCTACAATCTTGGTATTGTTTGGTTGCGTTCAAATATTCTGCATACTTGACGCAGACTGTTTGACTTTCTCTTCCCACACAATATGAACGAATCGTGTTCATGGTTTGGGATGAATTGGAGAGCTCAGTCTGGAGGGATGAGTTTGCTTGATTTTGTACAGTTAGCAAATCCCTCTCAAATGTTTCCAAGCTTGAGTTGAATGATGAAGCCATGGAGTTATAATCAAGGTTCAATAAGTCGAATTTAGACTGTAAATTACTTCCAACATTAATTGAGCTGGTATCAAAGGACAGAGATGACGAGAGGTCATTGAGGCCGCTCGAAAATCCGCTTCCCATATTGAACCTGTTTGTCACAAAAGTGGTCACAGCGTCCATGTTTCCGATCGTGGAATTCACAAAGTTGTCGTACTGACCACAATTTGCCACGCCATTAATCAACCGCGAAGGGGGTAGTCCAATTGCACTTGTCAAATCAATACCAGAAATGTTGGCGACTGAGCTGACAATGGAGTCTCCTCTGGTTGTTAAATTCATACAAGCGTCATTCAGCACGATATATACAATAATATGGAGAGAAGACAAAAGGAATAGGATCCAATACATTGAGCATGAAAAACACGCCGAAAGTTTCATGAACCATTTGACCCTAAAACAAATTCCGAGCAACGCAAAAAGGTACATGGATAATGGTATTACGAAAATGACGGTCATTGATCGATATTCTCACTGAATCACCAATGTTGACGTAGAGGGAGACGTCGGTTATGGTATCAGGTGGAATTTTCTTGAACAACTCTAGGGGAACTGACAATAATCTCAGAATTCCAGATTGAATGGTTGAAATAGCAGATTTAAATATTCCATTCTTGGTATCTCCCATTTTTGACTTGGTAAAATGTGTCGAATCACAAAAGGTCAACGGGCAAAGTGCATTACCGAATTGTGCCATATTGAAAGGCAGCACCGATAGAATTCACATGTATTCCAACGAAGACATTAATTGCCTCCTTCAAGGAACAATTACTTACCTCTGCATCAGAAAGTGTCGAGGAGAATGTCTGATGCGCCCATACGACCTTATCATAGGCATCATCAAGGGCAGAATTGGTGGAATCCTTGTACAGTAAAAAGTTATTTCCATTGGTGAAGGAGGACAATAAATTTGGGTCTGGCTTGGCAATAGAGCTTTGTCTATAGATCAATTTGGTGCTTGCTGTTCCGACCAAATTTGTAATGGTATTGACGTTGTCATCAATGGATGAAACTTGGGAGCCAATAATTGTCATTGTGTCCTTGGCTTGTGTGAGGAGAGGTTCAATTGATTGTAAATTGTCACATAATTGTTTAGCTGGCACAATGGTCTTTTGCTTAATGTTATTAATTGAGGAAGCAACGCTTTTAGGAACTCCGTCGATGGTAGCATCCACTGCTGAATTAATGGTTCTGTTGACATTTGCAAGAGATGATTCTGCAGTTGTAATTACCTTTCTCAAATTGAGTGTGAATAAGGCATTGAAGGCCACAAATATACCACCCACGATCACGATCATGACACAAGTTGAAATTACCATAGAAGCCATGCACCGAATTCGTCCTTTCGAATAGGCAGGTCCCGAATAAGGGTGATATCCCTATATTGGAGAGCCATTTTGTCATGGTGCCCATCATCATGTTGAATACATTCCAAATTTTGAAATGATGGTTGGTGTCAAAGAACAATACAAAAACGATTGGATTGGAGGTAATTAAACACATATGCTCTCTCTTCTTTCACTTACCTCCAATTTGGAGCCTCCACAACAATTACAAACTCGTCGGGAACACCAAATAATGCAATCCATTAACTCCAGAAGTATGCCTATCAACACGATACAAACTGCAACAATACCAACGAAAATGGCATAATCCACCCACATTCCCAAATTCAACATGTGATCATTGTCGGGCCAATCAACTCGTGGTCCTGTTGGGTTCACTTCCAATGAAAGGGACTGGCCTAAAACTGGTGAAATTTGTCCCATAAATCCTAGAATGAGCAGAATGGATGCAAAGATCGTTACAAGTACTTGACCCTTTGTGGTACTATGATGATGATGATGATAACGGTGATGTAAGGAATAAGGCTTCCCGAGAAACCATTGAGGTAACGTCGCCCTCATTTCAAAGCGTTGGTGGTAATGAGGGTCTTGTCGGAAACGATCTTTTTTTTAAAAACTTACGGCTCCATTTCGTCGAATTTGAATCGAGAAGGAATTTCTTCATTCATCTGTAAGAATAAAATGGTTAAACTTCTCTGAGTTGCTTTGGTTCAATGTTGACTTTCGTGACGAGGTACAGACATCAAAGAATCATTTCACCCAATCCAAATACTTTAAAAAACAGCTCAAAAAACCTGATGTAACGTTTTTCAAACCATCTCAATACATCCCCTAAGTTAACACTGTCAAAACTCTTATAAAGGAATCATTTGTGGTTCCCTAACATCGCTCCTCTCACTAAAATTTCACTTAATATTTCATTTGTGGTTTCTTCTTTCATTCATCCTAAAATTTCGTTTTCATGGGTTTCACAAAATATGAATAAACAAGTTGCGTACTCGGGGTATTATCATTATAGTCATTGTCAACAACTAAACAATGAATTCAGCAATAATATTGATCCAATTCCGATCGACATATCGCGAAAATCAAATTCTTCCAATTAAACAAGAAGCTCTGTCATGAATCTTTCCAATGTTTGAATTTTTTTTGAACTCTTCAAAAAAATGCCTGGCACACGCACCAAGAACAAGATGGGAGGTTTGGGAAAGACCCTTCTCAAAGCAAAAAACAAGAAGAAGGAAAAGGTATTATCGGATCGTCATCAGGAAACACTTGCAGCCTCGATACAGCAAGATTATGATGAAAAAGTTGGTTCCGATGAATTACCAATTGAAGAAGAAATTTTAAAGGAAGATACAGTCATGCACAATATGATTAACAAAGGAAGAGGAAAATTGGAAAGTCTGATTCAAACAAATGATTTACAAGATTTAATGTTAAATGCCAAGATGAGTTTGATAAAGTACGAGAAGGAGAGTGCAACATTTTTGATAAAGGACGGAGAAGGTGCTCCGAGAGAGTATAAAGTTGTGGAAGCTCAAAGAGGTAAGTGAAATTCAATCACATTTTATATATGCATATATTCATGTCAATTTTGACGTATCATGCCCACATTTTGATACTCTAATGTTTTGGACGTCATTATGCACTCCTATTCAACCAAAACAAACACTCGGATTTTTCATCATTTGTGGAACTTTAATTTTCATAATGATGCAAATATATTCCTTTTTTGAAATTCACAAACAAATGAATGAAACGGCAACTCCAAAAGATCACGACGAGGAGGACGATGATGGTGACCTTCAAGAAGAGGAAGCATACGCAGAAGGAACTCTCATTCTCAAGGAAAAGACTCAGGAAGAAATTCTCGATCGTGTTCGAGAAATGCAAGAGCTCAATATTCAATTACCAATTCCTCGTCGACCTAGAGAAGCCTATGAATTATTTAAGAAAAATTCTGACGACGAAGAGGAGAGTGAGGAAACAAAGAAAAAAAAGAAGAAGAAGAAATCAAGCAATGCAAGCAAAATGCAAGCTAAAAAACAACTCATTCAACTTGAAACAGAGTCCTTCTTGAGATGGAGAAGAAACTTGGCTGAAATTGAGGAAAGTTATGATGCAACATTAACTCCCTATGAAAAAAATATTGAAGTGTGGAGACAGTTGTGGCGTGTTGTGGAGAGAAGTGACATTGTTGTTCAAATTGTAGACTGTCGTAATCCTTTGCAATTCCAATGTGAAGATTTGGAAAAGTATGTTAAAGAAGTGGATCCAAAGAAGGAAAACTTTTTATTGTTGAATAAGGCCGATTTGTTAACGAAAAAGCAACGATTTAAATGGGCATGCTATTTCAAAAAGAAGAAGATTAATTTCCTCTTCTTCTCTGCCAAGAATGAAATTGCAAAAATTGCCAATCGACAAATCACACGAGAGGAGCTTCTTAAGGAGCAACAAGAAGAATTGGATCAATACGATGTGACCAATTATGTGTCTCCGCAAGAGAGTGACTGGACCTACATCTTTTCACGATCCGAATTACTATTTTTCTTTAAGAGTCTCATGAAGAATTTCCATCCTGAACAAAAGAAGAGTGACACGGGACGTGTGGTAGTGGGTATGGTGGGATATCCGAATGTGGGTAAGAGTTCTCTCGTGAACGTTTTGTGTGGAAAGAAGAAGGTAGCTGTGGGATCGACGCCTGGTAAAACCAAACACTTCCAAACCTTGCCCATCGGTGATAGCATCATGCTTGCCGATTGTCCTGGTCTCGTTTTCCCATCCATTCAAACGACTAAGGAGGAAATGATTGTTGATGGTATCCTCTCCATTGATCATCAAATGAGAGATTATAGACCACCAATGGAATTGGTGTGTGGACGTATTCCTCGACGAACATTCGAATTGACCTATGGTTTAACCTTCCCCAAGATTCCAGGCAAGGCCCGTATGACATTTGTGACACCAGAAAATTTATTGAGAACATTTTGCAAAGCTAAAGGTCTCATGTCGCAGAACGGCGTGCCGAATTATCCAATGGCTGCTCGTAGAATCTTGAAGGACTATGTGGATGGTAAAATTCTGTACTGTCATCCTCCTCCTGAAAATATTCAAGTGACTGATCTCGATGAAGGAGACCAATTGGCATCCAACAACATGCTCAATACAGATAATGATCATGAAGTGATTGTCATTAATCATGACGAAGAGCTGGCCGATGATGACGAATACTTTACAGAAAGTGAGGATGGAGAGGATCAAGAAGATCAACGAATCAATGAAGACGAAGATGTCTTGTACAATTCAGATGGAGAAATTATTGAGAATGAAGAGGATGAGGATGCTCAAAGTGACACTGCTAGTGATGACATGGAATGGGAAGGAGAAGTTGATGATTTCAATCGTGTCAATGTTCACACAGAAGTTCTCGAAAGAAAGAAGGAAAAAATTATTCAAGCAAAAGGATACGATCCATTTGAATTGGATGAACAAACCATCATGGTCGAACAAAAACCAGAACCAGGCGCTGCTCAAACAGGACCCGTTAAAACTCAGGATCTTTTCGACCATTTAACTGAAAAACAAAAGAGACGAAAATTCACCTATCTTAAAAAGTTCATGTAAGGAGACATGTACAACAATGTCCATAAAACAAACCTTCTTTTATTGTGAGATTTTGTGTCCAATGAGACACCTTCTAAGCTTGTACAAGCACAACAACAGAGCCAAATATTAAGAGATAAAAAAAATGCATTCACATGATGCGCTTCCTCCCGAAATATTTTGTCACATTCTCGATTACTTATTCCAAAATATTCACGACTTGATCCGATGATGTATGACTTTACGAAAAACAAGTAGAATTTTTTGTTATTTTCTCAAGTTCGATCTTTGAATGTGAGTTCCTTATTTCCAGACCAGATCATTTCAGAAATCAAAAACAAAAACCATTTCAGATTTTAAAACACAAATTCCTCGAAATACTACAACTCCGAATCATTCGAAAAAGAAGAGAAAATTACAAAAGGAGACAACAGCAAACAACGCATCTAAAATGCCAACAAAACAAGAACAACAAATTGAATCAACACTCTTATCCAACTTTTAAAAATCTTCCCAACACGTTTCATAACCCTATATCACATCCATATTTCCAAATCTTGAAATTTTAAATTTAAATTATTTGCAATTCTTAACCAATGACTTACTGGAACACAATTAAGAGAAATTTCACTCGAAGGTTGTGACAGTATTACTTGTTAAAGCATCTTTAACAAGAACATGTATTTCTTGGGATTTCATTCAACAAGTGAAACAATTATATAAGGCTGCTTTTTGTAACAACCAAGAAGATTCAAAAGATGAAGCAACACTGAATCATCAAATCATTTATGCTGACAAATGCTTGGAAGATTCTTTCACCTTATCCATGTATGCCATACCAAAAGAGAATACCTTATTTCTAGAGACGAGGAGAACTCGAGCCTCTTCTTCTTGTTCCTTTTCCTCTTCTGAAAGAAGTAGTAGTGGTATGAATTTCCGAAAGAACAAGTAATCACGCTCTTTATTCAATTAATAAATATAAACCAACAACCTTTTATGATCGTCAACGTGTGTCTTGAATTGTTTTCTTCTCAAAGAAAATTCTTTAATCCAAAGAAGAAGCACGACGAAGGAAAAGAGGATAAAAATAATCATTTTTTCAAAATCAAAAAAAAATTCATTGTATTGTTGTCTTGTGGTTTGATTCTTGGCTTTCTTTTTTCTCGGACAACAACAACATCAATACCTTACACTCATTGATTCCTGATATTTATCATTTCGGATCAACTCAACAACAACAATATAGATAACCAAAGTCCCGGAAATTTCTCTCCAAAATGCCATTACCAACTTTTGACCCTGAAGACCCATCATCCAATGAAGTCGATCAAGAACGAAAAAAGAAGCATATGGATGTAGATTATTCAGAGCAAACGGATCAGACCATTTCCTCAGCAAATCAAGCCATTGAAAAGGGTGGTATTTCTGCTCTCAAGCAAGCTTTGGAACCAGTCTTGGCACTTGAAAAGACCGTTCGTCTTGCTGAAGATTATGAAAATTTGAGCAAAGTTCTGGTGAATATTGTGGCCATGTGTGCCAAAGTGCAAGCTTGGGACGAATTGAATGATCAATTGACGCTTCTTGCAAAGAAACGATCACAATCGAGAGGAGCCATTCAAAAAATGATTCAAGAGGCCATGAAATATATTGACTTGACACCAAGCAAGGAAAGAAAGATTGAACTCATCAATACAATTCGTAAAATCACTGAAGGTAAAATCTTTGTTGAATTGGAGGGAGCTCGAGTCACACGAATGCTTGCCAAGATCAGAGAGGAAGAGGGCAACATTTCCGAAGCTGCCTCACTTCTCCAAGATGTACAAGTAGAAACCATCAACAGCATGGCAATCCGAGAAAAGATTGACTTTATTCTTGAATCGATTCGATTGTGTCTCGAAAAGCAAGATTATGTTCGAGCTGTCATTGTCTCCAAGAAAATTACCAAAAAGAGTATTTCAGAAGAGGATCACCAAGACTTAAAGATCCGTTATTATGAACTCATGATTCGATTCTACTCTCAAAAGAAACACTATTTGGACATTTTCCGTTCCTATCAACAAATTTTCACAACACCCATCATTCAAGCCAATGACGACGAATGGATGCGTATCTTGCAACACATGGTATTGTACATTGTATTGGCTGAGTATGGAAATGAGCAGCATGATCTCATGCACCGAACCTTTGAGGAGAAGAAATTGGAGGAACCAAAATTACAACCTTTCCGAATGCTCTTGAAACAATTCGTGAGTCGTGGAGTCATTAATTGGCCTCAATTCGAAGCACAATTTGGTGCCATCATTAAGAATCATCCAATTTTCACAAAATCACCAGAAACCTACGCCGACCTCCGTAGTAGAGTGGTCGAGAAGAATATTCGTACGATCGCTCAATTCTATTCGAGAATTGAGACCAAACGTATTTCTGAACTCTTGTACCTTAATGAAGATGAAGTGGAAGGATTTATATCGAGAATGGTCACCAACAAGACCATTAATGCCAAGATGGATCGTTTGCAGGGTGTCATTGTTTTCAAGCAGGTACAAAATGGAGAAGACAATGACGTATTGAACTCGTGGGCTCATGACATTGTCAAGTTGTTGCAATTGGTTGAAAAGTCCAACCACTTGATCAACAAGGAATACATGATACAAAATGCACGACAATAGTGACTGCAAGTTGAATGAATATTAATAATTAAATCACTTGAATCGTAATTTATCTTCAATCACTGGTCGTCGTTCCAAACTGATCCTGATAGATTGGTCATCTCGGCGATCAATATCAGTTGCAGAACATGTCGAAAATATTACCAATGTAAGGATAAGGTTCATCCTGCTTATCTGCAACAAAGAGATCTCGCGTCAGTCGATAGAATCAACACTCATCAGGAGGGACTTCGTGTTTTTCTCGACAGCTTCTCCTTGATCAAAAACACACAGATATTTTGAGTGTTGTGGTGTTCTTGAAAACCAATGAATGCTTGTCCTTTGGCCAAAGAGGAATGGAAATCTAAAAATATAAACTTTTTTCAAAATCAAAAAAAAATGTCTTCTTCTTCTCAAGGTGTCATTGGAGGCTTTGATTTTGGCAATGTGGCCCGTAATATTTATCTTCAAAATAATCTCAATGTACAACCTCCAAAAACCTTGAAAACAGGTACTACTATTTGTGGTGTGGTTTTCAAGGATGGTGTGGTGTTGGGAGCAGATACCCGAGCGACCAATGGACCTATTGTGGCCGATAAGAATTGTGAGAAGATTCACTACATTGCTCCTAATATTTATTGTTGTGGTGCTGGTACTGCAGCCGATACAGAGAATACAACAGCCTTGATCAGTTCAAAATTACAACTTCATCGTTATGCTACCGGAAAGCAATCCCGTGTGGATACAGCCATGACCATGTTCAAGAGAATGTTGTGGAGATATCAAGGTTATATCAGTGCTGCTCTTGTTTTGGGTGGTGTGGATGTGAATGGTCCAGCTTTGTACACAATTTATCCTCACGGATCTACTGACAAGTTACCTTTTGTTACCATGGGTTCGGGATCTTTGGCTGCCATGTCTGTGTTTGAAAGCGAATACAAAGATGATATGACTGAGGAGGAAGCTAAAGCAATTGTTCATAAGGCAATTTCTGCCGGTATTTATAACGATCTGGGAAGTGGTTCCAATGTCGATTTGTGTGTCATTAATAAGGATGGAGTTGCAAATTATATTCGTGGTTATGATGTTCCATCAGGAAGAAAGTATCGTCGTGAATATGTCATTCCACGTGGTACTACTGCTGTTTTGAATGAAAAGGTTTTGCAATTGAAATCCAAGCTGATCGTTGAGGAAGAAAGCACAAAGGACGTCATGCAAACCACAGAATAAGTGAGTGTTCGAGCTCAATACATTGTACAACTTGCATAAACAAAAATTGACTTGTATAATTTTGTAAATAATAATATTTGTGAGATGGTACAACTTTTAAGCTGAGACAACACCACTATTCTGTTTTTTTGATATAATAATACAAATAACATCACGACGTTAAGCTGATCAAGCAATCCATCAATACCTGAATTTTTGATAATATTCTTCAGAGTCTTCCTTGTCCACGTATGCAGTTTTTGAAAAGAAGATTGGTTGTGTCTTTTCTTCATGATCTTCAATCACGAGTTGTGTAATTTCTTTCTCAAGTTGAGGATTGATGTTAGTGTTCATCGTACCGATCGACGATTTCTCAACATGATTTCCATGATGCAATGACGATGTGACAGGAAGCGTTGGAAGAGGTTTCTTTGTTTTTGCATTGGTCAGCATCATCCTATTTGAATCGTTGACATTTTCAATATTTCCCATCGTTTCTGTTGTCTGCATTTTCTTTGTTTGACTCGAACAGGCCACTCGATGAGTATTAAATTCCAAAACAATGGTATCCTCAATTTTGGATGTGAGTGTTTCATGAATTGGCTCATGTCCGGAAACATGTTTCATTTCAAATGAATTGGTGGGTGAGTGTTGTTTCGTGAGAACAGAGTTTGTGGTGCAAGCAGTGGATTGATGATGGCCAAGTGCTGTCACTAAGGAACTTGCGGATGAAATGACACCATTGCGATTTTTTAAAACTTCAAGTTGATGCTTTTTCGAGTTGGAAAATTGTTTGTTCTTTTCATTTTGTTTTGAATTCATATGAATTTCCTCTGTATTCCTTTCAATGCCATCATTATGATCATTATTTAAAAAGAAATAATATTCCTCTAAATGTTTTCCTAATTTGGAAAAATTCAAACAATTTCCATGAGAGGAATGCAATTTATATTCTTCCAAAGAATAATGACATGGTATTTCAAGATGCGTATGTGCCAATGTCCATACAACTTCCATTTCTTTTTGAAAATTCACACTTGCCAAATCGGGATTTTTCACATGCTTGGGAAAATAATGATTCATAATTCCAATAAACAATAATCCATTATTCATAAAGAATTCATCTTGAGAATGATAAATTTCACAAATTTTTTGAGAGGAAATCGCGAGAGTTGAATTTGTTGAAATCGTTTGATTTCTGAATAAATTTAAATGTGACATGCATTTGTATTGACTTGTAATTAATTGAAGCCACGCGATCATACGATGAGAAAAGTGTTGTTGTGGTTGTGGTGGTGATGGACATGAATGTTCGGAAAGGATTGATTGTTTGCTGTAGTTGGAGAGTGACATTTTTTTCTGTCTGTGATTGGCAGGTGACAACTCCGCTTTCCTTCTTTGCAACAATTATTTTCCCAAGCATTTGAAAAATGTTGTTAAGATGGTATCATCACACACTGCATTCTAAACCAATAACATGAACTTTTATTCATGATGGTTATGATGAGGATGAATAAAACGTTGCTTATGTCCAGTAATGACATCAAGATATTGAGCATCAATTTTGTGAAACAATTGACCGTCCTCATCCTCATAAAAAAACTCTTCAGAGTAATCTTCAATGTATTCATTTGGAGCTGGATACTTCTTTAGGAAGGAATTGAATCCTCCAGATGGTACAAATCTGTTGAATAGATCCACATGAAAATTCACACCCAAATTCATTCCAAATATAATATTAATCAATTTCTGAAATGAATGTTTTTCACAAAATCACATACTTACATTTTCAAATGATGTAATTCCTTATGGTCTGCAATCTTTTCGGCAAAACTCGTTGCACATTGTGGTCCACGTTGTTCACTGTACATGCAATAAAATACAACAGTATCCAAACTTTGGGCTTTTTCTTGACATATCTTTACCAGTGTTGGTAAATGAGTTTGTTCGAAATTTGAAAAGTCTAAATGCAGACTTCCTTTAATATGTCCTCCTTCATAGTCTTCATCTCTAATTTTTGGAAAGAACAAGCAACAGATGATTAGGGTGTCATACATTTTGAATATACAAGTTTCCCCAAATTTCAAAGGTTAAAAATTGATTCATATGGCACAATCGTTACATCCGCATCATATTCATTTTGAAAACATGATTATTGAATGACATTCAAATAGAGAGCAAAAGTGATTTCCTACCTCACGTCCACAATTAATACATTATCTTTCCCGATCATGTTTGCAAAGGTTTGTACATCAATCTTCCTGAAGGATGGTTCCGGAACTAGGTTTTGAAAATATGTGTTAAAGTCCAATCATAATGTCATTTAAAACATATTTCATATGGATTTTAATCATCATCCACATGTGGTTGTGATCAATTTTTCATCCAATTTTTGTTCATACAAATTTCCAAAAAACAAAATCATTTTGATCAAATTGTAAAATCGTGAGGACCAAATGATCAACCATTCGGAACATCATCATGATCACCCATTTTGGCAATTCATCCAATCACCATCATCATCATCGCCATTCATCCAATGGAACCCAATCATCATCATCCGAATACCTACCCGTAATTTTCAATGAGAGAGCTAACGGATTGGATGCTCTCCTGCCTCTTCCTTTGACTTGTTCTATGTGTTGTTGATGTGAAGATTGAAGAACCGTTGTTGTTGTTGCTGCTGGTTCACTGAGGGACATTTTTTTTGGAAATTTTGAAAAACATTTTTAATTCATTGCCATTTTCAGAAATGTTTGTGTTTCGATTGACCTATATCGATAGATTGACGTGAATGAGTTGAAATTCGATCTGAAAGAGGAGGAGGAGGAGGTTCAATAGTGTTAAACTTTGCAATTCGAATTCGAATTCTCTCTCTCTATTCATAAACTTGAACAAATTCAGTTTTAGATCTTCCGAAACATTCAGGACAATACATTTCTTCAACATGACTTGGTGGAGCCACAAAGGATCCAATGGTTGTGGCTCGTGCAATGTAGCTGTAGGTATGAGAACCTTCGATGAGAATTCTTGTGAATGCTTCCACCCGTTCAGTTCTAATATTTTGATGTTCAAACCATCCATTCCAATATTTGGTCATGTCCAAATTCGATTGGTTTACATCTTGCAAATCTAAATGTTGACTCTCCAATTCAGGATTCACAGGTTCTAAACCAGCAGGTAATTTGTCCATTAAAGCAATGTTGTATCTTCGAACGGTGTTGGTAAATGTGAGAGTGACACGAACAAGTTCACCAGATTTGATTTTCCATGTATTTCCATTCTTATCAAACGTGACATGCTCCTGTTTGGTCACTCCTTCATAAATTCTAGAGATTGATAAACCTCGATCCAATGCTGAAAGTGTTAAATTTTCAGGAGTATAACTGAGTCCAATTCGATAATAAAGTCTTCCATCTCCAACTTTGGAAACGACCAATTCCTTTTTACAATTTTCCAAATGTTGTTTTGGATCAATGACTTGTTCTTCAACGAATTGTCTTGGAACAAAGGCCTTCACTGGTAACGTAGTGGTGATCTTATCTTTGCTTCGTCCTTTCCAAGTTTGAGCTCCTAAATAGAGAGTTTCGTCTTGCTTGTTGGTGTCGACAAGCCATGTATTCACAGTCATATCAGGAATGTCCTTTTCAAATTCTATGAAATAATCAGTGACAGAAATTATACACGAGGAATTGTCGATGGTGTTTCCCCATCTTCCATATTGATTGGTATTTCTCTCTGCCAAAACGCTTCTCAATAATTTTTGAATTAAATCACTCGAGTCTTCTCGATCAATTTCCATGAGAGTTGACATGACATTGGCATTGGTTCTCACATCTGAATGCAACATCACTGCCTTTGCTGTTTCGTCATCTCTATAGGAGGTCACAAAATGGGCATAAACACCAGAATCAACGGTGATATTTTCCTTAAAGTATGTTTTCAATTGTTGTAGCCATTGATGAGCAGTAAGACCCTTATCAAAAAGGAAGGACAATAAACCTTGATTTTCTTTCTGTTCATCACTTTTATCAATGACGGAACGATTTAATGCAACCGCTAACCAAGCTGCACAATCTGGACTGATTTCAGTAGTTAAATCACTCACATCCTTGTAGTGTGACAACACATTGACACAGCACTCTCGTACTTTCTTCTTGTCTTCATCGGATTCCATGAGTAAGGAAAAAACATAATAGGCAAATGATTTGATTGTGTCCTTAATAATTCGTGGCCACAAGAATCCTAAAAAGAAGAGTGATTCAATTCGTATAAGAATTTGTTTCAATGGAACCAACACGTGACTTGGTATTTCGTATCCGTATTGTTTACATTTGGCAAAGCAGAGTGCCACATGACAAGTCAAAAATGGATCTCCAATTAAGGTTGTTTTCCAAACTGAAAATGAACCATCACTCTTTTGTCGATCAAAGATCTTTTTCAATTCTTCCTTGACAAAAGCGTCAATTTCTTCTGCTGAGCTAATATCCATCAATTTTTTCAATTGTTGTGGCGTGTAGAATTGTAAAATAATATCTTTCATACACACAACTCCAATAATTTTGCTTGCAAGTTGTTCAGTGCACTCATATGGATAGGTAAATAAATAAAGGAGGGAATCCGTGAGTGTTGAGAGAGCAGTCGTGCTGGTTGAAAAGCTAAACTCTCCAAATTGTGAAAGAATTCGCTTGTTAGGAAGTGACACTGGTTGTGCAATGACAGAGGTCTTGTCTTGAATATCTCCATACGTTGCAAACGCTTCTGTGGTTGCTGGTGTGAAAACATTAATATCATTCTTAACAGCATCACTCCAACCAACCATATAATCCGCAGAATCCTGTGTGTCTGATGAGGAGGAAGAAGCTGAAACTGCCCTCACCACCCGAATACCGACATTAATTCTAGCTTTACCACATTTCTGAACTTGAACAGGAAGACGTACTTCCTTTCTTTCAAGGCCTTTCAACACAACCGTAATTCCTCTCTTGCGTTGTAGTTGATTCTTGTGCATCAATCGCAGATTAGAGGTATGACAAGCAAGAGCAACAGTGAGAGTTGCTGTGGTTTGGTTTTGTAAAACATAAGTCAAGTCACATGCATCTCCATAATTCAAGAAACGAGGTAAAGATGGTCTGCAACTGATTGGAAGGCACGTTGTAATTTTCGAAGTATTGACACCAAATCGATCGTTTGAGGCACAAGCCAAAGCAGTGATCCTGAAGCGAGTCAAACTGTCAGGAAGTTTGAAATCAATTTTCACTTTGCCTTCCTGGTCAGTTTGAGCAAATCCCACAAAATGAGCATCTGGTCGAAAGTCAGTTCTGACATTAAATTCGTGTTGACGTCCTTGCATTAAGGATTCAGCCAATTCCCTAGTCATGTTCACCTTTGTATCTTTTTTACCTCCTCTTCCTCCTGCATCACCACAACAACGACACATGGCACCTCCTGAACAAGACGCACCAATCGTGTGATTTGAGCATGACGACGAACGACAGCAAAAACATGATTTGAATAGACCACCTCCCAACGAACATGATCGGCACTTTTTCGAGCAACATTCATTTTGGCATGTGATACAATCGAGAGCACACTCTCTCTCGCAATAATTATCTTCGTCCCGACAGTCAAAGTTTGACGCCACTTGCTGTCTTTGAGAGGCTTCGAATTCTTTTTGCAGCTCCAATTCCTGTCGATTTTTGGGAGGATAGTACCAATATCGCACCAGGTCTCGATTGTTTTGAAATTCAGTACTGCAATTATTGTTAGGTAAAAAGACAGCTAATGGATTTGAAATTTCATGCTTTGCCATGTCAAGAACTGCCTCATCAGCCACAATTAAACACACTTCACAATTCGATTGATTTGTTCCTTGCTTATCGGTCACAATTACTTCCACAGAAGTTTCTTTACCAGGTCCGGTGATACTATGTTTTGGAATGATAGCAACGTCCAATTCATGGTGTTCCTTAGAGACTTTGAGTGACACGCGCCCAGTGGCATAGGTAGGATTAGAACGGTTCTTGTCATTCTCATCCACATATTGATCTTGTCCATATAATTTAACAATGACTTCAATATTCGGTCTGTATTCCTTTCGAATAGGAACTGTTAATTGTGCATAACCAACATCGGCCTTAATTTCAAAATTTTCCTTTTTCACAAGACCATTACAAGTGACAAACATGAACCCAATAGCATCTCCATGAAATGGATTGGAAACGTAAATCTTGGCATCTTCACCAGGAAGATAGTGGTCATTCTCGAATTTGTCACTCACAATATCCAGAGTCGACGAAGTCAGAACAGCATATCCCTTGGGTTGCAAATGTTTCTTGAAACCAAATTTCCGAATTGGAATAATTGCACGGTTCACTCCACTTCTAAACCGTGGGATACTTGCCTCACGAACTTCACACAGAATTCCATATTCGGCATAGGCCAAGTCTTGAGTATCGTTTTCCAATGAGAAGGAATAGAGCAGTGGTTCTGTAGTCGAAATCAAACTGAATTGACGAATGGGTGTCAATGTTTCCACTGTGTTGTAACCTGAAGAGGAAACATCAAATTTCACAATTTTGACTTGAATAGGAATTCCAGTTTTTGGTTTTCCTTGAATATTCGTAACGATGAAGAAACAATCAATCCTCTCATCTGCTTTCATGACTACTCTTTTGCTGCATCTCACACCAACATAGTATTTGCAGGCATGCACAATCACGCTGGAAGTTGTTCCATGTGTTTGTCGATTAATGTCTTGCACATTGGATTTGCATGTAATTTCAAGAGGAGACACAATGGTTTTTTCTGGATCCCATACTTGCACCAATGCATACGAGTTGCCATCTGAACCTGTTTGTGAGGTCAAATATGCGTTGGGATGCCATCTTCTCTTTTCTTTCTGTATAAAATTATAACAATAGGTACATGTGGACGAATGGTCAGATTCCTGGAAGCTATAATGACTCCATCCTTCAGGTGTAAAACTTGTTGGTTTGGTCATAAAGTTCGAGCTGACACTGGCATTACTGAGCCCAGAACCACTGTAATAATTCGCTTCTGTTTTGAAAAGTATTTGATCTCCAATAAAGTTATTGGTTTTCAAAGAGGAAGGAATGACAGAAGTTTGCACAATGTACTCTGGCGTTCGAAATTCTTCCACTGAAAAGTTTGTATAAGAAGAATATCCTTTGGTGGAAATTTGAATGCTGTGTGTTCCGAGTTTGACATTGTCTGGAAGTTGTACGTCAAAAGAAAACGTTCCATTCTGAGTGGTGCGAATGGATCCCTTGGTATAGGCCACATTGTGGCTGTCTTGAACAACATAGGAAACTTCGAGGTTTTGAGGAATGTCTACAGAGTATGTTCCAAATAGGTCGCTTTTCTTATTATTATTGAAATTAATGTTTCTCAGATAGCCCTTCACATGTAGAGTTTCTTTTGGTTTGTAGAGACCTCGATCGGTAATAATGTGAGCCTTCAGATAGGATGTACGAATTGGAACTGTTGTAATTAGAGGATGACTCATCAAAACACTATCTGTGTCAGTCTTTACGAGTATTCGTGAATAATTCATGGAGCTAGAGATGGGTGGCAAGTAGCCAATACCATTCTCATTGGTGGTTGCGGTCTCAGATACAAATTCAATCTCTTCTGCCTTAATTCGATGGAAAGAGTGATGTGAATATGTGAAAAGTAGAGAAGCATTTGGAACAGGTTTTCCAGTACTAAAATCGGTCACGAATACAGAAATCTTATCATCGCCAGTTACTCTGATAATTTCCACACAAAGATTAGTCACTTGAATCCACTTCAAAGAATAACGAGTAAATGTCTTGAAGATCAAACTTGTGTCTTTTGGCTTGTACTGAACCAACAGTTGGCCAGTTTTCTGGGCAGAGTTTTGAAGGTATGGGGAAAGAAAAAGTTGGTTCGAAGCCACTTTATCCTTTTCAAACTTGTCAGGTTTTAACTTTCCATCCATAACAACTTTTCCAAATGAAATTGGTTTCTTTGGATTCCAATCAAAGTATTCATACGTGTCACCTTTGATTTTAGGAATATTTGTCTCCACAAAGAATTCTTCTGGATCAATTTGATTGATCACCACATGAGTCTCTGGAATATTTACAGAGTCGAAATAGAGGAATGGGTCATCATTGTCGAACATTGCTGGAGGTAATATTGCCTGATATGGAAGAGTGTCATGAACCAATTTTCCTTGCCCCTCAATTTCAAACGTAGCCACAAAATCACTTTCTAATTCTTGTCCATAAATGTCTGGTAAACCTTTCTTGATGGTGACTGTATATTTTTCTCGTGGTTTCGTATCACCATGTATTGAAATTGAAGATGTATTTCTATTAATTCTCATTTGTTCGATTGGAGGCTCAACACTGATAAATTCTTCAATGTGCTTGAATTTTTCAAAATCGATTGGGTTTGATAAATAGAAGGAAAAGGATGATCCTGGATAAACGCCACCTCCAAATATTTTGTCAAAAATACTCCTTTTTGGATAATAATAGGTGACACTCATTTTGCCGTGTCCATAAATATAAAATAAAGAGGGAGAGTTTGAAGGAAGAGGACCTTCCAAAGATGGAACACCGTCCTTAATAGAAACAGCAATTTTTTCACCAAGTCCTATCTTTGGATAGCCCTTGCCAGCATTAACAGTTTCATTGTCAATCAACAACTTGATCCAAAAGTGTCTCTTGGAGGAAGCACTGTCATTATTCTTTAAGACATGAGCGTACATGTTGTACACCTGGTTGAATTTTTTCTTAAAATACAAATCTTTCAAAGTCTGTTCTATTAATTTGATATCTGTAAATAATTCAAATGAAATAGGGGTCCCACTAGAGAGGAGTGATGAAGTTTTCACGGTCACAAAGTTGATTACTTGTTGTGGATCCATGTCTTGATCAAATTCGAGATAGCAAAACGGTACTTGAGAAATGGGAAATGTGCCATAAGGAACAAATCTCGATAATGTCATGGTTGGTGTTTTAAATGTCACTTCAAGAGTACTGTCCAAAACTTGGCCATAGATACTCTTTGTTTTTTCTTGCAACACTCGGTATGTAAATGATGTGGATCGATCAAATCTAAACTTGGGCTGGAATAACAATGATTTTGTTCCAATCCATTTCCATTTTCCTTCCTTAATGTTCTGTGTGACAGGTACAATCTCCACAAAATCAATGGCTTCAAATGGCAATGGATCAGCATTAAATTCTTCAATCATATCATGACTAAATGTTATGGAAATGAAAGGAACAGAATGCGACTGGGAAAGAGAGCTGCCTGTAGTTGTTGGTACTGCCCGAACAATCCTGAATTTTTCTTTCAACAATTGGTCACGTCGTCGATGAGAATCCCGAACAATATGTCCCACCGATTCCATTTGAGCATTTTCTTCTTTGTCATCATGTTGGGGAGGAAATTCAACTTGTTTTTTCACTTCATTTAAACCTGGTTCAGGTGGTTTCAATGAATCCTCTCTCATCAGGAATTGTTGTTGTTGCAGAGAGGACTCTTCATCTTCGAGTGGATTGGATTTCAAGAGTTGAGAGATCAATTGTTCCAGACTCTCCTCATCCAAGTCTTCGATATCCACAACAGCATCAGAAGAAGAGGACGCCTTTGTCTCTTCTCCAAAGACACCCTTGTTGGTAGAGTTGTTTTCTTGATCGGACGATGAGTCTCCAATTGGGTCTTCTTTGCTGAATACTCCAAAAGAATCATCATGATGATCATTCAGAGTCGTCTCCACAAATCCAGCCTCTTCCTTCACCATGGCCCGAAGGACATCGCTCTGATCAGCCTTTCTACAATGCAGTTGGAGTGTGTGGATGTCTTTTAATGTAGAGGCATCTTGAGGAAAGATTTCTTCCAATGAGAGAAGGGTTTCTTCAATTGTTGAAGGTTGTTCGGAGAGTGATGATGATGGTAGTGGTGGTTGTGGTTGTTGTGCCTTCTCGATCAACAATGACGAGGAAGATGGCGTGGAAGAGATCATTGAAAATTTTTTGAATTTACTTCAGACATAACGAGAATAATGAACTTGGTACAAGTTCCTCGTCGAAGATCTCATGAGGGAATGATGACGAACGTCATGCCAGCGTGTCACCTGCCACCACCGCATAGAAATTCAAATTCTGCTAAAAACTTAAATCTGTTTCTTCTCTCTTGAGGCAACAACTTCTGAAAGACATTTCAATACATGTAATGGATTTTGAGAAAATTCCATTTCATCCTTAAACATTAAAAATTCATAATCTTTCAAAATTCCAACCAATTCATTCCATGTCGTGAAACGTTCATTCAATTCATTCACAGAAAACATTTTGAAAAACATTTGGTTATGCAATGTGACATGATCCGAGGTTACGTTCCAATCGCAAATATTTGGATTGAAGGAACAGGCCCAGTATTGAGGTTCGTATATTGCCTTTTGAGATTGTTTGTTCAATGCTGCTATCATCCCCTTGTGAAGAGGTTGATGTAAGGAAATTAATTCTTCTTGATTCATTGCTAATTCTCCGTCATAACCAAAAAAGTATTCTCTCAAAAACTTCATGAATACATCCCCAGCAATAAAGCTCCATTTTAACTCAAATTCATTCTTCTTGCGGAGAAACTCTTGTCGTTGTGTGAGTTTGGATAACTTTTGCAAATCTTCAATCATGCCCGCACGAATATCTGGAAAGGATTTAAATACATGTGGTGTTGATGATGGCGGCGATGGCATACTCAAAGAAGGTTGTGAGGAGGATGTTAAAAAAGAAGAAGAAGTACCAGAAAGATCATGCGAATCGATAAATCTCTCGACAGCACTCGCCAATACATGCTTATTTCCAACAAGGTCCACATGCTTGAACAATAATTTCAATGCATTTCTCATGGATTGATCAAAGTCACAAGAAATTTGCAAATTTCCACGTTTCTTCTTGTGGTCAAAATATTCCTCAACGCCATAATTTTTCATTATTAACATTTCGACACATCCAAAGAGTGTCTTGTAGCCAAGTTCAGAAATTTCATTCGTAAACGAGTACAGGCAGGGAACAGTGTTGAGAGAGCCCTCTTTTCTCACGTGGAAGACGAACATGAATCGAGTGTCTTCTGTGTACAATTCAATGGGTCCATCAATATACAAATGGTCTCGGCAAGTCAACTCTTCCAATAATTTAAATTGTTCCGCAGATGCAAATTGCACCAACACATTGGGTACAGTGGCAAAGGATTTGAGAAATTCTGTTCCTCGTTTGGTTTTAGTGTAATAAGGATTTTTGTAAACTTGTGCCAAGGTTTTTGTTGAGTATAGCAATTCCATTGTGTCATGAGAATCTTCTGCCTCGTCACGTGAAGAGGATAGATTCGAGATATCTTGAAAGACTTGTTCATTTTCTTCATCTTCGAGAGTCATAACAGATTGAGGTGAAGGCATTGGATGATTGCAATGATTTTTCACATGCACATAGGTATGAATAGATGGGTAGAACCGAATTTGTGCCTTACAATTATACTTTTGCTTATGCATTAGACATTGATAGATGGAGCAGAGAATTTGTGTCTGATTGCTTGTCACATCGGCCGTATTGCCCATCCCCGCACGAGTCAAATTATTATTCGAAGAGTCGCCACTGACCCATTCACTGACGACAAAGGTTTCATCGTTCGTTTTCACGTACACATGACCACCATAGGAGATGTGTTCACGACGTCCGGTGAGAAGTTTGTGAATGAATCGAGAGGGAATGACAACTTCATTGGATTTCAAATGGATGGTTTTCGTCAGAAGAGTGTGATGTGTGGTTGAGGAAATGAGTTGAGGAATGTGCAGTTGATGTATGTGAGAGGTCTGGGCAAAGACAGAAGGGTGACCACTGTAGTGGAGGTTATTGCTGCTTGATGAGGCCGAAGAAATGTTGTGCATTGTTTGAAAAAGTTGTGTTGCAATCAATGGTGCATTGCACGGAAAGGGCGTAATAGAATCCTTGGAAATTGCATAAATATGTATAATTTCCTTTCACATGTGTTGTCCCATTAATATTTTTGGTTCTGGTCCAGATCGATTAACTGTTGAGCTTGAAACTATTAAGGTTTCGTTATCGTTTGTGCACGCAATATTGAATATCATTATTGACATCTCAAAATAATAATAAATAATATTATGCAGTAATTGTATATCAATAAATTATATTAGATATAGATTTTCAAAAGTCAAGATGATTGCTGCCAGAGATACTAGACTGAGAGGCGCACCCAAAAACATGATCATCCGATGATGTTGCAAGATTAGAAGAGCTATTGGCAGGATTAATGGATGGAATGGATTTGAGAACTCGTTCCACTTGCAATTTGTGCCTTTCAACGTCATTGGATGCTTTGAATTTGGGTCGATCAGGATTTGAAGCTTCTCGTGTCTCTTCAGGTGGTAAATGCAATTTCTCAATATACATTTTTCGTTTCTTGAGCTTGAATGCATAATTGAGAGTGTCTGGAGTGAAATTATATGTCAGAGAATTCATCTTGAATAATTTCTTAATATAAAAGAGTCCGCTGTATTCTTTAAATTCCCAATCGCTCACGTCCAAACCAGCTCCTGTAAAACTATCAATGGAAAGAGACAAATCTGACAACTGTTCAAGTTCATTGAGAAGAGAAGGTGAAACGGCATTAATGGAGGCTTTGGGAACGGTGCACACACAAACGGAAAGGCTGGAACGAAGAAGAGCTTTAAGTTGCGACAAAAAGCGTAGCATGTATCGGAACTGACTGTGAGGTGACGCAGACTTGATGTCACCACCGTAGAATAGAGAGCCTAGTGATTGAAGGCCAATTCGAACTACAGCTCGACTCGAAATTTCATTACTCGTTGTATTGGCCGTATGTGTGTAATGTGTCTTACTTTCTGAAATAATTTTAGCGATTTTTCTCAATAATCCATCATAAAACGTGCCAATAGAGTCATCGAAAATTTCGTCCTTATCAAACAGCACATGAAGACCATCTAAGTTTGCTTTGATAATTTCAGGTTGCATGGTCTTGCTCAAATCATACTCACTACACATTACAGTACCAATTACTCCACTTTTTTCTCCAGATGCTGCTGAACCCGATGAAGATCGTTGTTGCTTCAATTTCACTTGTTGTTCTACAAAGTCTTGATACCTCCATGCAATTTTGAGCTCGCTATTGGTAGAATCGACGGAAGATGTAGGTTGTGTGTGCGAGGTTGTGGTGGTGGAAGTACTGGAAGAAGAGCCTGCTCCAATTTTTCTATTCAAACGATCCATAATACTGTTTCCTGGCGATTGATTCGAGGTTGTGCTGGTTGCTTTTGTCTCGGAATTTTGTGAGGTTTCGCTTGATGTTGGGTTTGTTGACGACGGTATAGATGAAACCACAGAAGAGGTAGCATTCGTTGTAACTACAGGAGTAGTATTCGAAGAATTGTTCAAAGATTCCTTTTCTTCCATCTCTGCCTTGTATCGAGAATAATTAAAAGCAAAATACGATGAGAGTGATGGATGAAGGCCGGACAAGGCATCATTTGCAGTTGAACCATTGTTCGATGATAACGATGCACTAATATTAACTCCAGAATATTGCATCTGATTAAACAATCCACACACCACCGAATGACGATTCGTCATTCCTTCCGACAGAAAATACCTCATCAAATGTTGGCAATATTCACTAAAACGATCCTCTTCAATCAAGACCAAGCTTCCCAACGGAAACCCTCCTCCAATAATTCCATCCAAATCGTGAAGACCCGATGATACCAACAATTGTCCATTGTGTACCGAAGGCTTTGTTCCAAATGGGAGTTGTTTCTGCAGGGAAGCTCCCTTCCTCACAAACGTTGTTTTCTTCATTTTTTTTTTGGCCAATTCAAAAACCATAATTCGGAGGTGCATTGTCCTTCTTGCATGCCATGAGAACGTTGAACGTGTTTTTTGGAATGTTGTGTTCATCTCGAGAGAAAAAAGAGGAGCCACGCAGCACATGATGAGATTTCAATTTACTAAACCCAGTTCACTTTGATTGTCCAAGCTGGACGTGAAAAGAACTTGTTCGACAAACTTGTCTGATGATATTATTGAGGATCACAAAAGTTTCGGTAGAAAGAGAAATACAACTCACACATTTTATTCAAAAGAAGCGAGTGATTTTGCCAAGTTTTGAGCTGGTGTGTTGTTGTTGAAATGATCAGCATTACCACTTTCTTTTGGCTTATCCAAATCATAATCAACCAAATCGACAAATGTCTTGATATACTCATCAATATTTTCCTCTTGTTTTCGTTCCTTAATCAGACGAGCAGCGCCTGCCAATCTACTCTTGTACTTGATAATGTCACTTGGTGATAACTTGAAACCACCCACCTCGAACATTTGTCGCAAATAATCACGTGCTTTTTCAACATAACCTTCATCGACGAGCTTGAACACCATGTGCTTGAAAGCTTGATATGTGGGTATTATTCCTTTTTCTTTCATTTCATCAAAGAGAGCCATTGCTTTTTCTGTTCGTTTTGTCCTACAATACATCCTCACTAAAAGTGCATAGGAAATGCTGTCTGGTACGAGTTGATTTTCTTGGAAAGTTTTTGCGAAGAATTCTTCTGCTCTATTGATTCTGGCCGCATTTGTAAAAACTCCAAACAATGCATTGAGTGTATAATTGGTGATTGGTAAATTACTTTCTTTCATCTTTTCAAAAACAGCTAAGGCATCAACAATATTTTGATTTTGTTCCTTTGTGAGATTGTTATTTCCTTTCACTTGTTGTGCCGTACTGTAGCAACTTAGGACTGAATTGTAGGTGTGTTCCGTTGGTTTAATGCCACAGTCTTTCATCTTTTTCAAAACTTTTTTCATTCTGGAGACGTCTCCATCATCTGCACATGCATTAATCAATGAATTGATGGTATAAATATCAGGCTTAAAACCTTGTAGTTCCATTCTATCGGCAATTTCAAATGCTTTGTGACGAAGATCTTTTCGTTTCGAGAATGCCTTAATGAGAGAATTGAAAGTGGCCTCTGATGGCTCAGCCATCATTTGTTCTTCCAACCTTCTAAAGAGCATCATAGCTTTCTCAGCTTGGCCTTTAATGGCACATGCATCAATCATTACAGTGATGGTGACTTCATCGTGTGGAACACCATACACAATTCCCATAGCCATGTAATGATTCCAAGCTCTTTCCACATCGCCCGTCTCGATGCATCCTTTAATGAGGTCTGTATGAAGAACTGTATCTGTTGGGAGATTATGAGAACGCATCACCTCTACCATTTGGAAGGCCTCATCGATCTTTCCTGCCTTGATCATGGCATGAACCACAATACTATAGGAGACAACATTGGGGCTAATTTGATACTCTTGTTGCATTTCTCGAAGGTATCCATATGCCTTTTTGTATTCTCCTTTTGCAGCACATGCTTGCATGATGGCAGCAAATGTATACTCTGATGGAATCAAATAGAGTGTATCGTCATGCACATAATCGTTCAATAGGGAAGCTTTTCGTTTCTGTATGATTGCTTCGAGTTCCGCTTTGGAAGGTCCCAAACTTTTCAATTTTTCAAAAGTTTTTTCCGCTAATTCCAGTTGGCCCTGGATGGCTTGACATCGAATGAGATAATTAAAGTTTTTGATAGTGAGTGGCTTTGACTTGAAAAACAGTTCTGGATCTGTTTCTTCGGATAACATTTTCAATTTTTCAAGTTGTAAAAAGGTACTGGTTGGAGTCAACAGTGTATTTGTTAACTTGGTAAAACCAGGGTCATCTTGAAAATAAATATCAAATAATCCTTCAGGTGTTTCTTGGAATCGCAATCTGTTTCGGATATTCTCAGGAACAATTTTTCCTTCCTTCCAAAGTTTGATTAATCTTGGAGATTTGAATGGAACAAGTGTCTCTGGCTTGTCCGTATCAAATTTGTGTGTATCGAGCGTTCTTTCTACAATTTGTGTGGATGTTAAAGATTGCGAATTTTTCTTTGAAAATCTCTCTTGGAGAGTCTGATTTGGTGCTTCCATCAATGAGAGATGCTGTCTATCTTTGTGTGTTGAAGATGATGATACTTCAGTTTTTCCACTATCATCGGGTCGCTTTGTGGATTCAAGTTTTTCTTTGATAATTTGTTCATCCCTCGCTTTACTTGTGGTAACAGCCTTCTTCTTTTTCTTCTTCAGAGTTACCGGTTCTGTCTTGTCCTTTGCTACAAGCTCACCCATAGCCAATTCCAGAGTCTCACGTTGTTGTGGGGTAATGTGTGTTGGCACTGATGTTAATCCCAAATGTTTCTTGAGTTTTTCCTTATTCGATAAATCTCCCAAGTTTTTCAATTCGTTTTCTTCATGCTCACGATCGAGTGTAATGATCGGAGTGTTTTTTCGTTCATAGACTTTCTTCGGAGCAGAAGCAATAACGGGTGAGGAAGATTTTTTGATTTTTGTTGCTTGTTTTGTTGTTCTTGTTTCTGATGATGGTGAGAGAGCTGAATCATAGAGTCCTCCACCGCCGTTGCTTGATGTTGATTCATTCAATAATAAATTCCGATGAAACTTCTTGGTCAGATACAAACCCAAATGATAACCGTTATCCAACCTCAAATTATTGTTGTTTGTTGTTAATGAGTTAAATTTCGTCGCTGCAATTCTTGATCCAACCACGCTGTAAAACCAAACTTTGTTGGCTGATGAAATGAGAACGACCGAAGAAGAGGATGATGACGTTGAGCCAAAGAGTGAATGTTTCAGCATTTTTTTGAAGTTGGAAAAGGAATGCATGATTGAAAGACAAGGGATATGGAATGAGAATTGTTGAACAACAACGCGTTCATGATTTGGTTCAGATCATCATTTAGGGTCATACAAACATAATGAGCAAAGAGAGAGAACGATATTCTTATTAACAGTTCTCATTGCCTTTCCAATTGAATAGAAATAGAAGTCATTTTGTGCACCTCTGCTTTCATATTTATTCAATCCGTTTAGACTCTTGGATCACCGTGTTGTTCCAATTTAGACAACTCAAAAAAAAGCTGATTCGGCGCAGACAAACACAACAGACACGCATTGTTCATTCCTGCAACAACAGCGAGGATAACGGACCTACGTACGAGAGAATCTAACAGAATCCAATATAGCCGCCTTCTATCTCTCTCTCTCTCCGCAATCAATTTCCTTTTTGAACATAAATATCCTCTCTCTCCATCCAAAAAAAATGCAAGATCAAGACTTGGCATCTGACAGCAACCCATCACACAACAATGGCAGCGAGTCGACACAAACCACCTCTCAAACCTCAAACACGAATGCCGACACGCATTCTACTTCCTCCTCTCATGCATTAATTCCCACAAAAAACCCTCAAACTCTCTCCGCAAACGACCAAAAAATCTCAAATTCGGAATTTGCAACCAATGCCACCACCACCAACTCCGCCACTAAGAACAATAATGCTTCAACTTCTCTCAAATCCCAGTTACACACACTGAGTTCACCCAATGCTCAACAAAACAACAAAAACAAACAACGCTCTCGTCCTTCTCTCATAAAAATCTCAAAAAACAAAGTGAGCATTCAAACATGTTGCGGAATTCTTGAATTGACTTGGATGAAAGTATTAGCAGTGTTGGGAATGATTGTTTGTGCCTTTTCTTTTTTTGTTCTTTTGGCATTACTTATTTATGGACAAAATTCAAGTGCCAAACAAGATATTGCCATTTTGGTAGCTCGTAGTAATTTAATGTTGTATCAAGCATGGATCGATGCCTACACACTCGTTGCTGCCTATTCACGAAATGCATCGTACATGTGGTATTATTACGAATATCAGGATGATGTGAAAAATTTAACCAACTATTTGTACGAAGTGGTTCCAAAAGATACTTACAATGTGTCAGAGGCAACAAGAGTGACAAGAAATCTGGAAATCTCGAATGATATTGCTGCCAAACTCATTTCGAATGGGAATTTCACACAGGCAGTGAGTTTTTTGACTTCCGATCGATTCCTTTCAGAACGAGCTTCTTATGGAGAATTACAAGATTCATTGTTGCTCTATGTGTTGAATTCACAGAAACAGGCCATTGAATCGAGTGAAATTGCGACACTCACGTCATTGATTTATCTTTCAGTGGCTCTTGCCATTACATTGCCAAGTGTGGTCTTTATTTTAGGATTTGCCATTAATCGAGATGGAATTTATCAGAAACGTTTGCAACGAGCGAGAGCCATCGAATTGCAAGATACAATGAATAATCCAAAATTGAGAGCTCTATTCAAGAAACATTGTATGAAGGAATTGAATCAAGAAAATTTCGACTTTTTGGAACAAGTGGATGTCTATAAGAAATTGTGTGAACATTTGTTTGAATTGGTGCATTCAGAAGATGATAGTTCGACCAATTCAGGAGATACGAGTTTACATTCACCACCTCATGGTGTCACCAATCAAGACCATCATTCATCGATTGTATTGCAAGTTCCAAATCTCCCCAACACTATGACTGCAAGTAGTTCATTGAGCGGTTTGGAAACCTCTAAAAAGCGTCAACAATCCTTTTCTTCAGCTACTGATTTAGGAAATGAAGTGGAACTTATGGAAGCAAGAAAATACACACTCGTGAAAGATATTTACAACACCTTCCTTGATGTGAATGGAATGAAATCGTTAAATATTACAAAAAGTTCAGCAGATGTCATTAAGAATGCTTTGGAACAATACGAAAATAAGACCATCCATTCCTTAAGTGATACCTTATTTGACAAATTAGAGAGAGATATTTCCATTACCTTATTGGATTCTCATTTCAGATTCAAGCAAAGTATGGACTTTTTGAAGGAAATGAAAATTAAAAAGATTCACGACTTGAAGACGAATCGAAATGAAAAGTCCCTTGATCAAGAGAAGAAGTAAATATCATAATATTCACTCCAGAGATTGTGGATTTTCACAACAAAATTTTGAACATCTCACGACGAGAACCGTTTGAGAGTCTCTGTGTATTCGTCATCCAAATTTATTGTCGATAAGAAAACATTGAAAAATAATAAAACCTAAGAAGGCACTCATTAAGCTATAAAAACAAAAAATTCACTTTCCTCCTTCTTTCACCACAAATTGGAACAAGTTGGTCTTCATATTTTCTCAAAGAGATCTCTTCCTTAAAACACTTTTCACTCCAAGAGGTCAAGTGTTTCTTCATCCCAGAGTGATGTACTATCAGCTCTCGCACTCCGTCTTTTTCTAGCGTTCGACCAATCAAACCCTTAGCTGTTGACATCTGAATCATTTTCATGGTGATACGATAATCATTGATTGTTTTGGTCTATTGGTACAAATAGGAAAGTTCCATAAATGGTCTCCCTCAACAGTTTCATTCTCCTTAATTACCGTCTCTCTAATTGAAAACTCCAACGCCATGAAATCAAACAAGAAGAAGAGAAAAACTTTAATCATTCAACACAGCACACTTGTGACAACAAACTACTCTCTCTGGTTGTTATTTCTCACCCCATAAATAATTCACCTATTCAATATATTAAACTCCGAGAATAATAGTTGAAGTTTTTATATATATATAAACACAGGAGATTTGCCAGATCTTTTGCTGCAATTGATTGAAGAATTTCTCATTGGAATATTTAAACTTTGAATTGCACCGTTGCTAGCGGTGACTTTTTCAAACAAATCCACCAAAACAACAACACTTTCAAACGTTTGAACACAACACCTTGAGATGAAGGTCACAACAACAACAACACCACCCGATGTGGCCACAACGAGTATGGACCATCAAAACGATGATGACAAACCTCTTCATCCTCTTCACCAAAAGCATCCATCATCAAATCTTCTTGTTCATCGTTCATTCATGATCATTTCCAACAACAAGAACGATCGTGATCATCACGAGGAGAAGGAGCCATCCACAGACTGGACCATCCAATCATCTTCCGATGATCCGTGCTCCGTTCGCAGATCACATCGACGTTCTGAATCGTTCTCATCACCACTCTCTCCGGATCAGAGTCCTCCCAAATCAGACTTCCAAATCATTGATCATCATTCTGTGATTGGTGACCATCACCAACTACCACAACAAGAGCAATGGAAGCAACAACGGGAACAAGAACAACTTTGCAAGGGTGATTTGAATTTCTCCTTGTCTTCTTCCTCGTCGTCGATGTCAACTTCGGATTTGAGTTCTCCTTCCTTGTTATCGATTCTTGGAGAATGGATGAAGAAGAACACTCACATTGGCGGTGCTGGTAGTCACAACAACGCCACTACTACTGCTACTACTGGAACGAATACCTTTGCTGTTTCTGGTGAGGAGGAAGAGGAAGAGGAGGAATGGATGATGAAACTTTCAACAAGATCATTTGGTGGTGGCGATGAAAAACAAAATTCGAATTCTTCAAATTCGTGTTCTTCACCTTTTGAAAGTCAAACATTTTCCATTGAAACGGAAGAAAGTATTGAATATGAAGAAGAAGAATTACCACTTGGATCAGAGGATCTTGATCACGAAGAGAATCAAGAAGAAATCTCCTCTCGAGAGATGGTGACTTGTTTTAGAGAAGATTCTCTTCAATCCATTAAGAAAGAAGTACAATCAACAAGAAGGATAGAGAAGAGAAGAACTGTGGAAAGAATATTCAGAGATGATCCATGCGGAAATGTGGTGGAGGAGAGTGAAGAATTGTTGAGAAGTGGGTTTTCTAAATTTGGAAGTCTATTGAGGCTTCTCAAAGAATTGATGTATGAAGCAAAAGAACAATTGATGCATGAATGGGATGAGAATGGAAGATACTTGTTCAACTATTATTATCAGCAATTGGCATCTTCAAGTGAAGAAGAATTGAATCCAAGTCACTTGTCAAAACTCTTTCGTGCTGTCACCCCTCAAACCATTCAACCATTGATCTTTGGTTTGGTGAATATAACAAATCGATTATTGTCACTCAAAACCACTGCCATCACAAACAACTCTCATGATCTCTCCATTCTGTCCAATAGTTCCAACAAATTTCACACAAACAATCCACACAGCTTTGCACTCGTTCGACAAAAACGACATCACATTAAGGAACTTCCTCGTGAAATTCTCGAAAATATCTTTAGCTTTTTATTTCAGAAAGGTGGAATTTCAAACAAATTCTCTTCCACGTCCATGAACTCTTTGTGTGAAGAGGATTTCTTATCACCATTCGCACGGGCCAATATTTTCAGTGTTTTACTCACATGTCGTGAATGGTATGAAGTCGTGACAGAATCTACTCAATTCTGGAGAGAGAGAGTCATTCGATTGAGTTTTCATTTGAAACGAAAAGAATCTCATGACATGAATTCTGCCTCCTTACTTTTTGAAAACGGAACAACCTTTAGATTACAATCTTCTCAACAACAATTTCAAAAATCGCAACAATGTCAAAAACCTCAACAACCACAAGAAATTCAAAAATCACGTCGAAAAGTAACCTTCGCCTTATCACCTTCCACTTTGAATCATGGAAATCACTTGGAATCAAGTTTTGTAAATTCACCACCAAATTCAATAATGAGAAAAGTTCACATGATGACTTGCAATCCACATCAGCAGGATCCTCCACTCACTCACATTTCTGTCCATTCCCAAAAGAAGGCATTATTAGACGAAACACTTCTCGATCTTGACTTGAAAATGAAACGTTTCCATACAGATCATCCTAAACGTGCCAAACAATTCTACTTTTTCTATTGGCTTTCACTATTAAGACAAGTTCAAGAACAACAAGCAAGAAAACATGAAAATTCCATCCTTCAAGTGTCCTCTCTCTTTCATGACGAAGACGACGACGACATTGAGACCACCGCCACTGCACAAGTATCTTCACAACAACAAGCATCGGGTGGTGTCTTGACAACAACGAATCGAATGATGATGCATCATCAGAGAAATGCATTTCTCTCTTCACGATTAAGATTTCAAAATGGTGTGGAAATTGTATTTGTGTTGATTGTGGGATTGTTTTTCGTTTGGCAATGGTTGGGATTGTTGGTGTTTGGTGGAATTTTCTCAAAATCCAATTCGAGGAGTGGACGAGGAGGAAATAAGATTGTGAGCTCTCATAAGAGGCGACTCATTCACTGAATAACAATCATCTTATTGATTAATGGTGGTGACCCCAAAGTTTGATGACACGATGGAACTTTTGAATAAAAAGCGACAAGTGACCTCCTCTTGTTTCTTCTTCACATCATTATCACCGAGTGAAAGTGTGTCACTCTGAAAGTTTTCATCATCCTTCTAAAAAAAAATGAGTCAACAACACAGAGAGGAAGTGAGAAAGGCTTTTTTCTCATCCGAATCATCATCATTTTCGGTTTTATCTGGTGGTGATGAAAACAACAACAACAACAACAGGAATCACTCACTGGCATCGGATAGAGTGAATGACCATGATTTTGGAACCTCCTCAGGAGCAAGAAGAATTGCTGTAAGTTCCCGATGGCTGGATGAGACTGTATCATCTTCGGGAAATTCTTCTCCGGTAGGCTCACCAGTGATCAATCATATGGTTGTGGTGGATGAGCTTCATGATGTCAAAGTAGAGGTCTTGGAGGCTGGTTTGCATAGCAGAAACGCATCGTCTTCGTTTGACTCGAAAATTGATGAGCAGTTTGGGAAGATTGAGAGGAAGAAGCAAAAGATTACTGTTGTGTCATGGAGTGCGACCAATGATTGGTGTTCTACGGTCTACAATGATGATGATAATGATGATGATGACAGTGATGAAGATGAGGATGAGCGAATGGATGACCAACGACATGAAAAGGTCAATAGACGAAAGAGATCGACTCTTCAGAAATTGGGCGAAATGGCCCCAGATTTGATATTGCTGCAAGATTTGAATTATGAGCAAACCATAAAAGCAATGAAATATTTGACAAAAGCCGAAGAACACTTGCATGATGATTACGACGAAAATGAAGACTTGGAGCCTCCTGTGTATAAATGGTTTTGCTGTGGTCACAAACACACTTCAGAACCAATCAAGGTTTCCAAGTCTTATCATTCAGATGATGATGAAGAAATTCCTACCTCCTTTGTATCTCCACTGGCGACAGGTGGCAACCATTCTATCATTTCTACCCTATTGAAAAATGATGTGAAGAAAAAAATTGAGACAGATCAAGACCCCGATGATTTGGTCCATGAGTATTTACCAATTATTTATAATTCAGAGACGTTGAAGTGTGTAGACTGTGGCGCATTTTGGTACAGCAAAACACCGCAAGAGCCAGGCTCCAAGTCATGGGACAGTATTGTACCTCGTTTTTGTAATTGGGGTGCTTTCATTTTTAAACCCTACGATGAAGAGGATGACCACATTGATTTGCTTGTATTTAATACACATTGGGATCAAGGAGTGGAAGCAAGAAGATATGCCTCCATACTATTGAGACAAGAGGTGCTTAATCGAATGTCCCTCTATAATTCCATTACAAATAGAACGACTTTTATCCCTACCATCATTGGTGGAAATTTGAATAGTTTACCAAAATCAAATGCTTTAAGCATTTTGGTTCAAGGTCAAGATTTGGGTGCTCACAACAGTGACGTTAATTTATTGGCAGATAGTGACGATGACGATGATGATGAAGAGGAGGGGAATGAAAAAATTGATAAGAAAAGTCTCATCATTCCATGCCAGAGACAATTGTTGCCTCCACAAGCACAAACATCCACACAAAAATCTACCAAAACGGAGCAAGTGACTGACAGCAGCAGTAGTAACGAGGACAAGGATGTCGTCAAGACGACAGAAGAAGAGAGTGACGACGAAGAGAGTGATGCTTCCTCAGAATCGTACTCAGGAACGTGGTATCATAACCTTAATTTACAACCAACATTTGTTGATTTTGAAACAAACACATTCGAAACGGTGGACTACCTTTTCGTTTCTCCATGTGTGAAAACTGTGAATTTGCAAGTACTTGATGCAGATTTAAGCTATGGAGAAACACACAAACCAATCGTAGCCGTATTGGAAATGTGACAGAATTAAGTCCAATTCGATATATTCAACACCACTTTTCTTTTTTGTATTTATTCGCATCGTCAAATGAATTTATTTTGATCGTCATCAATTCTCCAAAAGCCTTTCATTTCTCCAAATTCTTTTAACCAAATCCGAACGCATAGGTTATGTAAAGTGGTCAAGTATATCATCATCATTTAAGGGTTAAAAAAAATTCAATCAACTCTATGAACTCTTAATGATAGATACTCTTCTTTCTCAGAGACCGAACAACAAACACCAGGAAATCATTACCTTGCAAAGGTGGCCAAATATTTGAGCAAAACGGACCGTTTTGAAACTGCTTTTGGTTCTGAAGTCACTAAATGGAATATCGATTAGTCTGTGTTTCTTAATACCAATAAACTATTACAAGAAAACGAGTTGGATGATGATTCATTGAGAAAGAATGTCATTAAATTGGGGAAATTATTAGCAAAGAAAAGAATAGGTATTGGAGTTGAAAAATCATTTCCAGAAAAGAAAGCAATTCAACTACTGGACCAAAACCAGTAGAAGCTCTGGAGCTCATTGTTTACAAAGTGTTCGAAAAGCTCAACTTGTGTCCTGATGTCCATTTCATATGCAAAGATGAAAAAGATTTATTGATCGGTGCCCTTAATGTCGGTCAAGAGGAAAATTTTCAAATATTCGAAACAACAAAACAACTGAACAGTGACTTGAGAAAACTTATGGACTCAGCGTATATCATCATGAATATTTGAATGAATACATTGTTAATATTTTGAATGAATTCTTTTTGATTTCTACTTTCCATCTTGTTGTAATGAGATCATTCTCTTCAGTCTATCCTTTTTTGTCAAAGTTCATCTCAACGTGCATCAATTCTCACAAAGCATAATATATAGCGTATTAGTATTATACGAATCATGCACGATCTCACAAGTAAGACAAAAAAAAACATTCACATAGTGATGGAAAGGACAGATCTCCAAACAACTTCAATATCGATCAACCACCACGTGTTGCATCAAAGATTGAAATGCATGCAATTAGTACTACTCAGAATATGGAGTCATTCCCTGATGATGAATAAGTGTGTGGAAAACCTTTGGAACAACTCGTTCCTATTTAATATCCAACATGAAAGAACTTGGTGAGACATTCTGCCAATTTTGTTGTTGGTGAGAACAATGACAATAACCATAATGACAACCACCACCACCAACAAGAATTTGAATCTCTCCATAAGATACAACGACAACAGACTGGAACGAATCACAAAATATGTAGATGCTGCTTCTACTCCCAATTTCTCATTCGCCTCCAATGAGCTCATTGCAATCTGTAAGCAATCAATACGCTGTGTTGCCAATCTCAAACCCAAATTACAAATTCACTTTCCAAATCCTAATCGATCATCGATTACAATCCAAATTACAAAAAAAAAATGAATCCTCGTGAGCCTTTGTACGACTCCTTTTCCGAAGAACCCATCGGAGAAGGAAACTCCAACAATGGAGCGGTTATGAATGGCTCATCTGCCAATCCATCAACTCATCAATATTATAGTTTTTCAGCAGATCAATTCTCTCCACCACAAAGAAAACGGATTGGACTTGGAACATTGGCCATTTTGTTCGGAATTTCATGTGTCATTATTTCAGCATTGATTGTATTGATTGTTGTGAGTGCTGTGTTGTATTGGGGTCCCGGTCAAAATAAGAAGATATTTCCAAATCCAGAGTACACACCAAGTAGTGATTATTTACATTTTATTGTTGTTGGTGATCAGGGAAGAGGAAATGATGAACAGAAGAAAGTGGCAGAAAGTATGGCTCGATATTGTAACTTTGAAAATGGAATGAATCCACAGAAATTGCCATGCCAATTCATTATTGGAACTGGAGACAATATTTATGACAATGGAGTGACAGATGTCAATGATGTCCAATTTAAAACAAAATTTGAAGATATTTATGTACAAGATAGTTTGAAGAATTTAGATTGGTATTTTGTTTTGGGTAATCATGATTATAGAACGAATCCTGAAGCTCAAATTTCGTATTCGCAAGTTAGCAAGAGATGGAAAATGCCAAAACAATTTTATAATTTTGAAAAGACTTCTACTGAAAACAAATTTAAAGTGTCATTTGTCATGCTTGATACAAATCCATTTGTGAACAAGTACTTTTCAGATTCAAGGGCCAATCAAACTGCATTGGTACAACAACGAGCGTTTAATAATGACCAAATCAAAATGGTAGAGAATATCTTGAGTGCCAATATGAACAAGAATGATTCATGGAATTTGGTTGTAGGACATCATCCATTGTATAGGTATGTGTTGTGACTGCAGTTGTGCATTTAATAATTTCGTTTGATTTATTGGTATTTTTTATTCCAATAATGGAATTGAAATGTGTGACAATTTCTTTTTTCACAAATGCAATGCCTACACATAATTTTTAGTGCTGGACAACATGGACCCACCACTCAAGAACTTGTCGACAATTTTGAACCACTTTTTACGAAATACAAGCTACCAATGTACTTGTGTGGACATGACCATTTGTTGAACTGGCTTTCAAATTCAGATAGTGCTTTCCCAACGCAATATGTCATTTCTGGAGGAGGAGCAGGAAATACACGGCCAATGATTTACAACAAGTACTCGTTGAATGATTTGAATGATTCTGGATTTTTCTCTGTTGAAGTGCAAGCTACTTTTATGTTTGTGAGAGCTTTTGATAAGTATGGAAGCGAGGTGTGGAAATTTAAAATCACGAGGCAATAAAAGGACGATCATATCCAGCATTCAATCCCTCACATTCCTTCTGCTATTTACAACTCTACCATTTTATTGAACTTGCGAAATCACAAACAATTAAAGAACCTTACTTTTCTTCTTCTTTTGGGAAGGACCAGTGAACTCAATATCAAGCCTGGATCCTTTTGGTTCTTCAGCTTCTTCGATGATTCTCTCGATAGTGACGGTGGCAGAGGGTGACAATACCTCCCAAACTGAAAACAAAAATTCAAATGTCATTAATGCCATATTCGTAAGACATGTAACAATGAGAAGGGACTCACTCCATTGCATCACAGTTGGAGTTGCAGGTTGAGTTGTCACGTTGGGGGCACTACTACTAATGGTAACAAATGCTCGCGAATAATGTCTCAAGAAAATTCCGACTTGAGTCCACAACACCACTCCCACAAAGGTGAAATCTCTCTTAAACTTGGAAAACCACAATGCAATCACTGAGGAGATGGTAACCATTGTGGCTGCCCATTGCTCTTCATTCAATAAATTGGCAACATAACCACACATGGAAACCAGTGACAGAACAGGATGAGAGAAATCAATATTAAACAAATAGAGAGTATCTTTTTGCTTGGAAAAGACATCACTAAATGGTTTGATGACATCATATTTGAGAACAAGGAGAAACGATGCCAACAATTCCATGGTTGCCCAAGCCAAGTAGAGTGTAAAAGGTAAACGAACCCACAATGGAAATTCATGAGCCAATTCCTTTCCATATCGAGTACGAATGGCACTCGAGTAAATGACGAACAAATTCATCCACAAGGACATGAAGATCAAATGTGAAAGGAAAATCTTATCAAAACAAAAAGCCAAGACCCAACAAACATTAAGAATGTTGGCAAGTAAAAACCATGGACCTACGACACGACCAATTCTCTCACTCTCGGCTCGTTTCGTATTAATGATTGAGAGGAAGCTAAAGAGAAAGAGCGCTGAATAAATCACAGCCCAAATACCAAATGTGAAATGTGAGGGAGTGAAAGCCGTGTCGTATTTGGCACTCACAGCCTCAATGGTTTTTGCATTTCCAACATAGGAAGTGAGAGCACTGTGAATGAGTCTTGAATACTGTTCAGAGGGAATGTATTGTGTGAAGAGGAGAAGTCCTTTCTGATCAACAATAAAGGTTCGAATGAAATTTGAGAGGGAACTCTCTGTGAAGAACAGGTTCACAGCGAATACTCCAAGTAGGGAAACGAAATTAATTGTGTTGATGAGGTGACCAATCATGATGATTCAATATGGGTAATATGGGTGAATAGATGGTCCAAATGATTTTGTTTTTGTACGAGTCAATGCATGCGAGTGGTGTGTGAGACAATAAAACTGCAGCAATCCCTTTGCAATGCGTTGTTTGACCGACAACTAAGCTTAATAGACAAATATGGATCATTACCAAATTCTGGCAAATTTTCAAAAATATTCAATTGCTTTCGTTTTAACATCTTCGAATTCTATAGAATATCTAATTCTGAAACCTTTCATTGTCAGCAAGCTTAGTTCATGTAAATACATTATATTTACCAATTCTTCACCTAAGTGACACATTACCTCATTAATAACCTTCAAAGTCATCGTCCAATCGTGGCATGGACTCAAGAATAACATCTAATTTTCCAAACTTGAGAAAGTAGTACAAGTCGTCTGTTCTTGAAAAAGTCATTTCGTTATATTCAACAATGGGAACTATTTGAAGTGAAATGGCTCCCAATAAGCATCTCCAAATGAAGGCATTTCCTAGTTGTGTAAGAAAGTCATTCTGTTCACGGAAGTCGTCGTCCTCATCGTCCAGAGTGGATCCTCCAAAAGCACTTGGTGATAAATCACCTTTGAGCCAAGGATACACACTTTCAATGTCCTTTCCGAGTATAACAGAAAAGTTTTCGAGTCCAACCTCAGTGATAGACATGGAAATTCGATCGCCCAAATTATAAAAGATATCCATGTCAATATCAACATTAGGATTAAAGTCACTGTATGGAAAGTCAATAATAAAAGTCATTTTCACAAAATCACAATTCCAATTCACAAAAGTTCCCTCCACTTGCATGCTTCGCCGAGTAATATTCATGGATTCGATGGTTTCGTCTTCTGTTTCCTCCTCAATACGCTTTGAAAGTCGAGTAAATTTAAAAGTGTCCTCAATGATTGACAAGTCGTTCACTAATGAATCAAGATCTTTCTTGTGATGTTCCAAATAATTAGCTGTGGTCTTGTATGCATCTACTTGATTCAGAAAATAAGCAAAAAGTTCAATTCTTTGTATTGTGGTCATTAAAATATTACTCGAATAGGTTTGAATAAGATGAAAGAGAGCCTCTCTATCCAATTGTTTTGTTGTCAGCGTCATTGAAGTCGTGGTGTGAGTATTTTCTTCATGAGCTTGATCATCATCGTCAAGCATTAATCCTTCATCCGTGTGACGATCGTCTGAATTCAGTTCCATTGCATTGTTAGTAATAGCATTATCATCAACGGCGGTGGACATCTTGGCTCTGACATGACGAACGCTCAGTGCCAATGCTTCATCCCTCTTCAAATGTTTATACAAGGTCTGAAAAGTGGCATGATCTTTTCGTGTTTGTTCATTCGACATGAATACTTGTCCAAATTCAATTCTTTCAAGGAGCTTTTTAATGGCACTACTCGACGACGATGAATAATCTCGATACAATAACATCTCCCAAATTGATTTTTCTTCTTCCGAATCATGTACACTATCATGATTGGAATTTCTACCAATAAATCCATCCTCCTCTCTTTCTCCATGATTCATAAACCACAACAAGGAATGATGATTATTTCTTTCCGCAATGGAAGGATACAAAGTACATGCCCAGCCTTTACAAATATACGGCACCAAAGTAAAAGTTGTTTCAAAATCCAGGAATAATAAAATTCTCTTCGCGATGGCTCGTATGGATGATGAAGGACTCGGAGAGAATAAAATCTTGCATGAATGATTCACTGATTCATGGATGGAATGTTGTTGATGCTGATCACCATCAATTTCAGAGCAGATCATAATGTTGTGAGAGGCTTCGGAAATCATTTGAATTTCGGATGCCATATTCCCTTCAATATCTTGTTCTTATTTTTTTGTAATAATTTTTTAAATCGATTTCATATATGACTTTTGTTATTAATTTCATTCAAGAGTGAAATTCATGAATTCAAAAGTAAGCTGATGATCATTGTGAATCTCTCTTTCATATCCTCATGATTTCAAGTCTTCCATCTCTCAGTTCCAGCTCCAACAAGAAACAAAAAAAATGCCTCCAAAAAAGATGGAAAAAACCGTTACGGCATCTTCAACAACAACCACATCAAACAGCACCACAAGAAAGAAGCAAACCTCCTCCAACAACGATACAAATTCGGGCACTGCTCGAGCTGGTACTAATGGGAAAAATCAACAACAAAAAAGGCCCTTGGAAGATGAGTATTTGGACAATGACGATAACATTATTGATGATGATGAAGAAATTGTTATCGGAGAGCAATCGCTTTTATCAGTGGGGAGTAGTAGCGCGATAGGCAAAAATTCCGTGAACAAGAAATCATCATCAACAACAAAAAACAACAACAGCTATGATATGCATGAAAAATTAGAACCATCCCAAAAGAAAACTAAACCCAATGAATCATGCAGTACAAGCTCCAATGTGAATATTTCAAAAACCAACAAGGAGTTACAGAGCTCAGAAATGGACACTATGAGTGGCGATCAACAAGGATGCTCAGAAAAAACAACTGCTGTTGCAAACTTGAATGCATATAAAATTGTGGATGCTCACACAGGAAAGAAAAAGACGATAGGACCAAAACACAAAATAACCTCTCTCAATCAGCTGAAACATGCTATTTGTGAAGTATTCAAACTAAAATCAGTGAATGATATCGAGTCTATTCGTAACTTGGATGATAAAAACATAACGGATGCTGATTTACAAATTGCATCATCTTTGGATGGAAAATCCAACAAGAACGATCTCAATGATAGCACTGTGGTAGTCATTGACGACACGAACCAAAACAGCTATTCCACTAAAAATTTACCACCTACTTCAACGCATGGATATTTCATACTAACCTTGAAATCCAATACCACCTCTGAAAACTCCTCTAAGGTTAAAGCTAATTTACAATTAACTGTAGATATTGTACCTCATGTAAATATTCTCATTCATGGTGGAGACGAATATGATTTTATAACCGCTTTAGCAGAAGTTATTGACAACTCCATTCAAAATACTGTACTAAATAAGAATGACAGAATTATAGACATTCGTTTTGAAAAACCATCACATAATAATGAATTTAAAAGCAAGCTGCACATTTGGGACAACGGTAGAGGAATGAATTTCAAAACGCTTGTCAATTGGGCAACTTTGGGTATAACAGACGCTCCAGTCGATGATGCTCAGATGTCTGCAAAGACAAAGTCTGAGGTTCCAAGAAGGCGTGTTTTTGACAAATTTATAACTTCTGATTTTAGTAGGTATGGAGTGGGTTCAAAGAAGGCAATTTTTAATCTTGGCGATCAAGTGACTCTAGTTTCTAAACCAAAAGATTCTCGTTTTGTTTATGAAGTCACCTTGTCACGACAAAAATTAGAGGAAGATTTTGGCTCTGGAAAAGATAAACAATGGAAAGCGGACTGCATCTCACGTCCACCCTCTGACACTGAAAAACAATGGGAAAGCTTTACGCACTTCACCATTTCTGATATTAAGAAGGTCTATGTAGATCGTTATGATGCAAGTCTTATTAAGAAAAGGCTAGGCCACATTTACCACTATTATATTTATGGAACAGATGGAAATAAGGAGGGTCGAGACATTATCGAAGACGACGATGAATTTTCTGATACTCAAGACGAGCTTGAAGAGGACAGTGTACCTGCCAGCGATGAAGATGAACCTACAAAAACATCCAAATCTTCTTCCCAACAAAGTAGCACATCGTCCTCTCAGAAGAGGTCAACAAAGAAGGCTCTCAGTGATGAAGAAGATTTTATCGATTTCCGTAAACCAAAAAATGTAATTATTAAGGTTGACGGAGTTCCCATTTCTTCTGAAGATAAGGATTTGGAATCTCTGTATCTACAGGAAGGAAAGGCTCCATTCTCGTTTGAGATAAAATTGAGCGTGAAAAATAGTGACAGCGTAGGCACAGGACTGGAGCTGAGTATGCCAACTCAAAGCTCAGGAATTTCCATTGTCAATAGCACTGTGAGAGGAATTATTTATTACTATCCATTTAAACAAGGCCGTGAAACGTTGCCAATACCAGAGGAACTGTATTTGGAAGGTGGCAAGTATGTCCCTACAGATCAAGAAGTTCCCCTCAGCGAAAGAAATCCAGGATTTGAATGTTTTTGGAATGGAAGATTATTGGCCAATGAGAAAATCAAGAATTTACCATGGATGGAAAAGGAGCGAAGTAATCGTGACATTCCTGACAATTGTTATCGACGAGTGAAGGGAATGCTATTTTTTGATTATGCTTTTGAAGTTTCTGCAAACAAAATGTATCTTTGCAAACAGACGCCTCTATGTCAGGCGTTATTGAATTATACAGACAGGACTTTGATGCAACGATATCGCAAATGGATAAAAGAGTGCCACAAAAAACTCGATGAAGAAATCATTTTTGATGAGTGTGATCTTGAAAGAACTCAGAAAGAAGGAAAGGGACTAAAAACATTCTACAAAAGAATCAAACATGGACAAACCTCATACAACGTTGGAGATTACGTAGTCATGAAAACTAGACCTAAAATTATTGGCACACTTGTTGACATGTTTAGAGATTTGACCTCTGAAGAATATACTGTGACCGCAGTGGTTAAGGAATGGACTCCTGAAAGTCAAAACGATGATACAAGCAAGATTTCTGGGCAATGCTTTCCAATATCCAAAATTCAGAGCGTCTTAACCAAACAAGAATTCAAATCAGAAATTAGCAAGATGAAAAACAAATTACCAAGTTATATTGACGTTGTTGACACGCCGAGTGTGAGTGCAAGAGAGAGACGTCCACCTCCTGATCCAGTCACAGCGGGCTATGTACTGAAATACATCTCAGCGAGCATTATGACAGGTGATCACAAAGTCGTTACCGCTCAAGTATATCCTATAACGCTGACAATCCGATATGAGGGAGAAAATGAGAAAGAGCAAAAGTTTGAAGCCTCTATCACTTCCACAAAGGCTTTCAAAAAAGGTATCCATTGTTTTAAGCCATACAAACTCAAGCCAGAGTTCAATATAGCTGGTACATATCTACTTGAATTATCTTCGACAGAAGATAGTGGAATCAAATCCAAAGTTGTGAAATTAGATGTGGTTCCTGCTGGGCCAACCGATCTCAAAATTTGCAGTGAAATACCACAAGTTTCAAAGCTGTTCTCTACTCTAAAAGTAGACAAGAATTTGACAGAAGATGCTGTGGTGTTTTTCTTGAAGAAGGAGATTTCACCCATTGTAATTGAACAACTGGATCCTTATGGAAACTTTGTTCCTTTCACCACATCTGGAAACCTTTTGAACGAACAGCTTAAAATCACCACAAGTGACGATTCTATTGTGCTGTCGTCCTATAATGTGTCGTTTACTAATGATAAGAGGCTGCAAATCAGTAATTTGTGTATCACCAATGCGCACATTGGAAACGCAAAATTTTTAAACACCAAATTGCTTATTTCGTTTGGAATTTTGAGCGTGTTGGAGCTGAAAATATTTGTATTGGCTGGAGAAGTTTTCTCAATTGAATTATCAGAGGACTCAAAAGCGATCTTGAAGAATAATTCTGTGAAAAAAACATTGCCAGAAATTGAAGCCAGATTGCTCGATGAAATGGGCAATTGTGTTTTTCTAAAACCAGAATATGATGAAGATGAAGAGGTTAGTGAGCTTTCTCCACTTCTAAAGGGAGATGCTCTTAAAGAAGACGTTCGAGGTGTCTTAAATGTTGAGACAGGATATTTTGTGTTTAAAGGAGCAACAGTGCATTCTGACACCAATAGTTCACAAAGAAAAGAAACAGAAATCATGTTGTGCTGCAACAAAATTTTCATCACCATTCCTCTCACGATTGAGGCTATTTCAACAATCAAGCCATCCACTTTCAGTTTAATTCCTCCTGATACTGATAAGCATATGGTTAAGGATCGTCAACCATTGAAAGCAAATGTTCAAGCCATTGTTGGATCAGAATTGGTGGGATGGAAACTTGAACTCGGTAATGAAATGTACGAAAGAATGGTTTTTGATGGTTATGCCCGCACATCATGGAGTAATGCTAACCTATTGCCTATTGAAAGTGGTATTTGTCTCCTTCCAACGTTGGTGGTGCCCCAATCGGCAAAAACCACCAAATATACAATTGATATTCTCAGCAAGTCTTCCCAAAACGAAGATTTAATGCAAGATGAAGATGGTGACCATGATATCAACCCTGAATTCATCATTGCAAATTTTACAATTCATTTAAGAAGTGTCAATGGCGCTCCCTGTATTTTTAAAATTCATAGGAAGAAGCAAGTGTTAGAAACAGTCAAATGTGAACAACCGTTCTCAATCAAGTGCTCAATTATGGATGCGTATGGAAACACTCTCGATCCTCATGAGGATAAGGAAATATATCCAGAGCTAGAACACATCGATGCTGATATTGAAATTGTTTCACAATTGCATGGCGAATCTGAAAAAATCGAAATTGCCTCACCTGAAAAGATGAAAAAAATCACAACGACACATGGCTATTTGAAATTTTGCAATATTTCTCTAATTGGACCAACTGGTGAATTCCACTTTAAAGTTGTTGATCGAAGCGGAAAGATAAAGGAAGACAAGATTGAACATGTCATGCTCGAGCCTGGTCCTCCTCATTCATTACGAATCAATGAGACCATTGGAGAAGTTATTTTTGATGTTGAAAACCTTGGCTTAACACCTACATTTTTTGTGACCAGCCACGATATCTTTGGTAACAAAATTTTGTCTCATGGAACTTACGAAATTGAGCCTCCAGAAACTGGTATTGATATTGTTCAATATGAAGGAGAGATCAATCAGTCAATGTCCCTTAAAGTCGATGAGGGGCGTGCATATATGCCTCAATTCTGGATTAATGGAGTAGAAGGTCATCATAGTTTTTCGATCCAATGCCCAAATACAAAAATAGAAAGCGCATATTTCAAGCTTAATGTTAAAAAAGGATCCCATCCCACTTCTTTAAAGATTCTTAACAAGGTCAGCCAACTGAAAGCTGGAGATTTTATGGATCCCTTTGAGGTAGTGGTACTTGGAGAAAATGGACAACCAGTCAAGGCTCCCGCACAGTTGCATTTAAATGTTACAGATCCTCAGGGAAGTGATAAGAGACATTTTGTTTCTAACACGTCGAAGAATGACTTGTCTTATACATTTGCAAGTAGCGAAAGAGTATTCATCAAAGCAGGAGTGTATCGCTTCAAAATTGCCTTAGACCTTTCAAGTTTACCCAGTATTATTCCCCTAGGATTACCCAACTCCCTAACCGAGTTATTTGATTTAGTGGTGACACCCGATGAGCCAGCAGCGTTAGAGATTGAGAATGATACGTTCCAACTCCCAGTTGTCACAAATTGTGCAGAAGATATCGACAAAAGATCATTTTGGGAAGAATTATCTCTTAAAGTGGTAGACAAACATTCCAACACGGTCATTGCTGACGACAAGATCAAAAAAGTTACCATTTCAGTTGAGAGAAGTGAAGAGAGTATGGATAGCGAGCTACCCGAGTTGGAAGGACAACTCGAGGCCAAATTCGAGAATGGTAGAGCCAAATTTTCTAGATTGAGTATTAAGGAAGGTTCTGGAGAAACTGGATTCTTTAAACTCGTGTTCACAGCAAAACATCTTCCTCCCAAGGAGCTTGACTTTGCTTTCACTGATAATTCCAAAGTACAAGAAGAAGAAAAGGAACTACAACAGAAACGACTAACTTTACTTTCCGAATTAGACTATCTGAAACAAGAAATTAAGAAGGCTCAAGAAAACCATCAAGAAAATGAGTACAAGCTCAGTAATTATAGAAGTGCTCAACACGAGCTGTTGAAAGCCATCAAAGAATTTGAGTTGACTTTTGAAAACGATGTTCCCAATTTGGAGAATACAGAAAAAATGTTGACCCTTCTCAAAAAGAAGATTGAAATCAAAGCTCAAAACAATAGAAAGACACGAGAATGCAATGTTGGTCTCTCCGAAAATAAGGCCCTGCAAAAAATCAAACAACTTCAAAAAGAATCAGATAGTGGTATTGTTGGAATTCTCGGGGAATTGGGCTATATCGACAATGAAAAACAAAATGACACCATTTCGCGAATGATTGCCGATAAGATGCAATGCATTGTCGTTCAAGATCAAGCAAGTATGGACAAGGTTCGAAAAGCTCTCGAACCCTTCCCCAACAAATTACCAATTCTTCCTCTAGATAACATTTTTAAATGTCCCAAAGGTCTCGATAATTACGGTAAACTGAGATTGGATCCTATTGGTGATAATGTGGATGGCTTTGTTGGATATGCTGTTAATTTAATTGAACTCGATTCGAGAAAGGACATGCTTCGACATGCATTTTGGAATATTCTTGGTCAAACTCTTGTTTTTGAGAGTTTTGAAAAGGGATTGCAGTTCAGAAAGAAACGACTGGAAACAAATACCAATACTCCAATTATTATTTGTTTGGATGGTGAACGTATTGAATCAACAGGAATTGTGTACGGAGGTGCAAAATCAAATGCTCCTCCTGTATTTAGATTTGGCCAAACACCAATTTCTGAAAATCCTGAAATCAAGCTTCTCCTAGAAAAGAAGAAGAAAGTTGAAGAATTTAAAAAGTTATTGAAAGAAACAATTTCTTTCGAGAAGGGAGAGTACAAACAATCAGAACAGGCACGAGACGAAATCATTTCAAAACATCAACCTGAACTTGAGCACATTGAAGAGGAACTTGCAGCCGTTGAGGAAGGGTTGAGAAATATAAGGCAAGGTCTCGTCTTGTCAAAAAAGAAGAAGGCTTCAGGTTACCAAAACACGACTACAAAAAACAATGCACAACAAAAGAAGGGAGGTGCTGGCTCAAAATCAACGTCCAATGCAGAAACACCGAACAAGAAAAAGCACCATTCAACACCTCCTTCTGAACCCTCTTCACCCATTCTCTTCTCGCAGTCACAACGTTCTATGATGCAAGAACAAGGTGAAATGGACGACGATATTATTGAGGAGTATCCAGAGAGTGACCGAGATGAAATTGAAGAGTTTCCATCGGATCAAGAAGACTCAAGTCCTCGCAAACAACATAAATCAAAAAAGAGTGGAAAAGCCAAAAAGGTCACTCGAGAATCTTCATCGAGCTCTCAAAAAAAGAAGAAGAAGGATTGAGGAATTTTGGAAATGGAGATATTGAGTTTTCATGTTATATTCAAAACCCAAATTTCATTTTGAAAAGTAATATCATTAATGGTCCCATTCTCATTCCAATCGAACACCAACGTCCTGCTCTCATCATTGCTTCTTTTAGAAATATTTTTCCGATAGCTCAATAGGAATAGGTTCAGTAACCACGTTGTCTCGACCGTTTTCTCTTGTCGCAATTTTGAAAGTTGAAAGTAATGAATTGTGATACACATAAATTTCGCATGATCACTTTCAGGAAATTCATAAGGATGCCAATCATGGGGAATTGTTGTCCAGTGCAGCACTATTGTTTGTTTCTTGTGAATCTTTGAATTGTTCGTCATTGTCTCAATATTGAGAGAACAATCCTTCGCTTGTTGTATGTGGTGACTCAAAGTGACATCACTTCTGTTTTCATGAACAGAAACGTTGGCACAATGTTCAACATGTATCAAATGCTCGTCATTAATTGATAAAGAATCTCATTGGCACCTTTTGGGCGTTCTTTGGAGAAATGATTTGGTTTTGTGTTGTTCCCAACCCAAGACCAACGATCCATAATCTTAATCACCTCCTTCAAACAAGCAACAAAGTCAATGTTACCATTCGGCAAGAGAGGAAGCTGCGCTAGGGGCATAAAGGTAGGTTTGTCAATTTTATGTTCAAAAATAAATCTTTGAATGAATGGCGAAGCATAGTCCAACGATAATTCCTTCTTTCTTAAAATGTTGCCCTTAATAAGTTTGCTAATTATGGCCACGTCAGGTTTCTAGGTGACATTTCGATACCAATTCAATAAACCTGATGCAATTTCCTTGTCTTGAAGAACATTTGTGATTGTTTGAAAGGTTTGGTATTTTGAAATATATTCCCAGATATCGTCACTCATATTAGCAGAATACCATTCGATGTCAGTAACTTCATGCTTCTTTCCACAAATCATTTCATAGAACAGTGTTAGCATGACAGTTTGTCCTTGTGCGCCTAAAGTAACGTTGTACATATGAATTCTCACTGCGGTCGATATTTGCTTGTTATATTGTTTTTCAAATCGGTTCCAAAATAAATTGGCTTCATTTCTTGTGAAAATATTCTCCAACGACCTTACTCATAACGTTGAATGGAGGATTTCCAAAAGTCTTAAGAAAATAATTACAAACCAATTAGTAATAAACAAGCATGAATGAAGAGTGGTAACGTTTTTAGATTCCTTCATGCCTGCCAAGAGCCCAACAAGATCTTTCTGTTAAATACGTCCAATTCGGCAAGTGCATCAATGTTATCCATAATCAGTGTTGCGTTCTGGCCTTTGAAAGGTCCTTGTACGAAAAAACAAATCGATTAAAAGACGTTCTTTAAAATTGGTTCCCAATTGCAAGTTAATAAGTTGTAACAAAACCTCAAAGAAGTTTGCTTCTTGTCCTTTGGAGAGAGCTAATCTATAACCAGAGACAACACTTCACATATCAATAAAAATAGGACGATATCCAGGTGTTTTGAGCTTGGGAATGAATGAATTTTTGACAAGCTAGGTTTTTCCTGATTGATTTGGTGCTGTTTGGACACAAAATTCTCCCCTTTCAATTCTCAGCATTAACTTTTCGTTCAGAAATTTGGTCTGTTCAATATAAATATGCCTATCAAAATCGACCGTCCCATAGATACACAACGATTTTAAAGGGTTCCCCTTCTCAGATTTCTCCCCTCTGAAGATCAAAACATTCATTTGGATACTCTTCCGTACAGGTGTTTGGTTTGGATTTCTTTCTCAAACTCTCTGTTCTGCTATTTAATGTTGGGAAAGAAGGAGAAAAAAGATTTTGAAAATTGGTTGAGAAGGTTCTCTTGTTTGGCTCACTGGAACCAACATTATTGCTAACCAACGAGGCTTTAATCATGATCGGGGAAATGAATATAAACGGACGAGCATGATGAATCATGTCATTATTGAAGCAATAATTGGAGAATAAGGAAATAAACGGATTGGCAAAACGGTGAGGCTTACGAGTCTCCTCATGATTGATTTCACCAAGTTCGTTAGGTCTATTTTTTTGGCCAAGTTACTACCTGAACATTTTGAAAGTTTCTCAGAGAGATTCTGCGACAATCAAGTGTGTAAAAATTGAAAGATGTTAACTAAAGCTCATTGAGGGATGATTAATTACCTTCTCTGATTCAAAATTTCATGCTTGGTGAGAAAAAATTGTTCTTTGGTTAACAACCTCAGTTTAAGGCAACCATTCAAAAAATTCTCGTCTTCACTCGAAAAAAAATGAGCGCCACGAATGGATCCCGTCTTGGACATCAAAGAAGTCATTCCTTTGCGGGTGGTTCTTCTTCCGCACCGATCGGTGTTGTGGATGAATTTGCTTTTGGTAAGTAGTAGCATCAAATACACATTGAGTGATGATGATCATAATGATGATTAATATTCCGTTGATGATCATGGTCGTCTGAAATATTTTTAAATCCTCGTCGTGATGAAACTCCTTTATCGGAATTGGATTTCATTCATTTCATCATCATTATATTATATTGGTATTAATATTTATTCATGTTGGTTGAATTGTATCATCATCGTCTCATTCTTACACATGAATTGCATAATCATGATACAAAAATCCGTACCCTCTCTTTCACAGAAAACTACAAGAGAAAGATTAAAGAACAAGAAATGGAAATTAGTAATTTGCAAAAAGAACTTCATAATTATAGAATGAAGGAAAGTGATCTTGCATTTAGCCTAGCAATGGAACAATTTCTGTTAAAGAAAAAAGACTCCACGAGTAGTGTTTCCACTGGTAGCAGTTTCTCGGAGGCTAGTGCTTCATCATCTTCGTTGAATCAAGCCGAATTGGAAGAATACAAGAACAAGTGTCATGTCTTGGAACAAGAAAACACTGTGTTGAAATCCGATATGGAGCATCTCAAAAGAAAAGCACAAGAACATGTGGAATCAGCTCAAAGGGCTCACGAACAGCAAACATCACAACTTCAAGCCACCGTGCAATCTCTTTCGGAAAGTGTTAAAAATATGCAAGAGGAACATCAAAGACTGGAACATGAAGCATCTCAACTTCGTCAACAATTGAAAGATCAATCTCAATTCATTAACGAACTGAAAGAGAAACATAGCAACGAGATTGGATCTTTGAAAAGAGAAGCTCAACGAGTACACGATGATTTATCGAAACAAGTAGAAAATTACAAAAACATGGTCAATAATGAGACGAAATCTTTGAATGAACAAACGTCTGAAATTGAGTCACTCAAAAACGAAATTCAAAAGGCACATGAAACGCACTCGCAAGAGGCTCAAAATTTGAAGAATACCATCACAGAGCTTACTTTGGAGTGTGAAAAACTGCAAAAAATACTCTCTGAAAAGGAACAATCTGCACAACAAACCAAGAGTGAGGAAGAACATGTATTGCGAGGGAGAATCCAAGAGCTTGAAAAATTGCTCTCGGAAAAGGAGTCCCAACTCTCAGAGAAGTCCCACAAATATCAACAAGCTGCTTCTCATTTGCAGTTAGAGTTAGAGAGCAAAAATCAACAAATTGAAACTTTGAATCAAGAGCTCGGCAAACGCTCCACGGAGCAAGAGTCTGTAGTATCTGGCATGAAGGAAGAAATCAGCAAGCTGAATCATGCTGTAAGTGACCTTCAACAGCAATTGAGAGACAAATCTACGGAGGTTGAACACCTTCAATCAGCCCAATCCAATCTAAGAAACCAAATTTCCATCAAGGATTCTCTTACAGATCAGTTAGCACAACAAAAAACAGAGATGGAACAAAGAGTGAAACAACTCCAAGAAACAATTGACTCTCTCAACCAACAACTTTCGAACGCCATAAATAATGAAAAACATTTGTCAGAAATCCACGAGTTGCAAACTCAACTCCAACAACAAGATGAGCTTGTTGTTAAATTAACTCGAGAAATTAGCCAGCACACTGCCTCCATTCAATCTCTCGAGCATCAACTGGTTGAAAAGACGAGTGCACTCGAACTTGTGCACCAAGAAAAGGCAACTTTACAGTCATCCATCACTGAAATTCAAGGAACTGTAGAATCATTGACATCAAGTTTCAACAATTTACAAAAGCAGTACAATGTACTTTCTGAAGAGAATACAAACCTGCAGAATACTCTCAAAAAACAGAAAGAATGCAATGACTCTGAAATACAACAATTAAAGTCATCATTCGAGAGAGAAGCACTAGAGAAGGAGAAGGAACACAACACACAAATGAAACAATTGCAACAATTACTCTCGAAAACTGAATCTGATCTCAAGACAGCCACACAACGATTCGTTGAAGAAAAAGAAAAGTTGATTAAGGAGCATGAAATCTATCTCAAGCGTCACATGGATGAATTGGAACTCAAGTTAAAATCACAAATTCATAATGTAGAGATACTGACAAAAGAAAAGGAAACACTCTCAAGAGAAGTGAAAGAAACCAATGAACAATTGAAAAAGCTCTCTTCAGAAACAACAGCATTGAAAGAAAAGAATCAACAACTAGAACTTACTTTGGACAAAAGTAACCAGGAGTTGGAACAGTCTAAGAAACTTTTCAAGGATCAATCAAAGGAATTGGAATTTGCTCAACAAAATCTCTCCAGTATTGAATCAAAATACAAAGAGCTAGAACAGTCTTTCCAAAAAACTCAAAAAGAACTCGAAACCATAATGGAACAAATGAAACAGGATAAAGCCACACACGAGAAGGAAATTGAAACTCTCAACAATACGATCAAACAACTCGAGAAGGAAAAAGAAGCAAACATTCGTAAAATTGAAACTCTGAGGACTTGTTACGCCATCATGCAAGACGATTCCACTCACTCCCAAGAATCTAATGACCTCACGCCAGCCACAGCAAAAACCAAGAAAGGTATTAAGCGAGATGTTTCTGAGAGTCCATCCAATGAATCGTCATCAGCGGCCTCAACCGCCTCCAACATGGACCCACCAAAGAAAAAGGTCAAAAACGATGAATCTTCTCCCAAGAAGGAACCAAAGAAGTCTGTGATCATCTTTTCTGGATTCAGTGACAAGATCAAAAGGTGGACCATGGAACAAAAGACAAAACTTGAAAAAGTTGTTAAAGATTTAGGAGGAATTATTGCCGATGATGTCAAAGAAGAGACGACACATGTGGTGGCACCTCCAGGAGTGAGAACCATTAAGGTTCTTCAAGCTGCTGTCACTGGAAAATATGTCATGTCACCTGAATGGTTGATCGAATGTGAAAGAGAAAACAAATTTGTTGCTGAGGATAGTAAACCTAAATTGGGCAAACTTGGATACAAAGGCCCTTTCAAGAGAAAGAGGATTGCTTTTACCTCGGCTTTTGCAGACGAATGTCAAAAGCCCAAGTACCTTCCACAGAAACGAATGGAAAATGCAAAACTTTTAATAACTTCTGGGCAAGGTGAAATTGTGGATGACATTGACAAGGCAGATATTATTCTTGTGGCTACTTCTGAAACCATTGGAAACACTTCTTGCTGTGTGTCTTGGGAAGGTTTTTTAGATATGATCTTTCCAAAGGAGGACAATTAAACGATATTGAACGAATGCTGTTGTATTAAATTTAAATTAATTTTGTTAAAAAATTGTCGTGTAGCCGAAACGATGAGCCATTCTGCTGACGATGATTTGCAGAAAATCATTCAAGTGGATAACAGCGCTGTATCAAACAATGTTGTCAGTGGTCATTCTCATCCTTCTCCCGAGAATACCAAAATTTTAATTGATTCTAACAATCAGGACAAAATTGACAATCATTTACAATTATTGGATTCAATAATAGTCAGTCATGACAACAACAACCAAATTCCAAATCAACCAGCACCAACTCAATCCGAAATGGAAACGAAAAAACGATTGGAATTTATTCAAAGAAACAAACGTAATCACTATTCCATGCTCGGAAAACAATTAATGGAACGTTTAGTGGATGAGAATGAATTTCTCTACCAAATCATGAATGTGTTGAAAATCTCACAAGAAATGAAACAACTCTCCAATAATTGGAAGAATTCTTATCATTCGCTCATGAACCAAGAATTTAATTGGAATTTCAATGATCTAAATAATTCGAATCATTTGAACAATAATAATACCAATAACATGAATAATAATATTACTGACATCAACACCAATAACAACAATAATAATACCAATGACATAAATAACAATCATACTTTTGAAAATTTGTTCGAAACTACCACTATGGACACACCACAACACTCCAAAGAACCTTTTTTAAACATTTACATTGGAATTTCAAAATTGGATTATCCATGTAAGAAAATTCTCACTCAAACATTATTTAGAAATAATCTTATTGGAGTGAATCATCCATTCATCATCATTGGATGTTTCAAAATCGAATGGAATGATTCCTCACTTGTCAAAATCAAGTACGACCTATTTAAGGCGCGGAATGCCATGATGGTTTACAAATTTCATGTCATTCGTGGAACACTTCAAGTGCAACAAGCGTTGAAAACGATCGCAAGAGTGTGTACGTTTTGGAATGCCTACAAGAAATTTTCTCAATTATGTTGTAATTGTCATCATTTCATTTGTTATTTATTGAGAGAGTTGAATATAGAATCTCCATTCGACAGGAACGTGAATGATGAACATCATTTCAATTCTGATAATTCTGATATTCAAACAGAGGAGAAAGAGGAGCAACAGAAAATCCCTATCAAACACTCCTCCCTCTTGTACATGCTTTCAAAATTGAGATTGGCCCAAGAAGAACGATACATTTTATGGAACAAGTGCTCAGAATTGGAGAAATCTCAAGACAAACCCAACAAGTATCTTCAACATGATTTGATGGAATGTCCAGATCTATGGTTGCATCATGGAATTCAATGGAATGAAAAGGAGTTTATTGTGAATGGAGGTGAGAAACAACTTGTTGCCTTTCGTCACTTTTTGATTGAACATTTTCAGCAACAAGTTGAACAACGACAAGTGAAAGAAACGAATCATGATGCAATGAATCATTTTAAAGATGAGAGAAAGCAATCATCATCATCACCAAGAATGAACAATTCATTCCAAAAGATGTATCAGGAAGCATTCACATGTATTGATAGTTATTTGAATGGATATCGATTGAGAAATCAAACAGTTCGAATGTTGGATTATTCACAATTATCACCACTACTGGTAAATTCAATTAACATTGGAACATGGCCATTCTCATCATCATCCTCCATTCACAATCTAGAATTGGAATATCCTTTATTGAATGCCTATTGGGAGTCCTCAATGTTTGAAGTGGAAAACGAGTTGAATGAGATACCATGAAACTTGAATCTATCCTTTGTAAAGCTTTACAGAACTAGGATTTTTGAAGTTGACTTCAAATCTTAAGAAACACCTCTGAGAGTATGCTGTGATACTCGTTGGAAAACTTTTAGAATTATTATGGAGTGGTGTTTCTTAATTTTACAAAGAAATCATACTGATTCATAGTGGTGATTGATTCTCAGAAAAATCTGCAAAATGAGCAGCAAGATCTCTATGATTTGAATAGATGAATAATTAGAAGTAATGAGAAACAAAAGGAAATGTCAACTGTTATTGAAGCTTTTTTTGTCCAAGAACGAAGAACAGATAGGTTGACATATAATTCACATGCGTGTGAGTCGGATGGATTTGACTTGTTTCCAAATACATGCATGGAACAGAGTACTCTTGTAATAGTCTCATTCCTTAACCATTAAGCATTTATAAATCATTGAGGATTCATTCTTCATTGACTTCAAAAAAAACACCAAAGTGTTGATGATTTTAAACGTGTGAAACCGTTTCGTATGGTGGTGGTGATTGATGACGGCCCTCTTGATTTTGCTGGTGATTACAACAACTCATCAAAAAAAAATCATCTTTCTCTGAGTGCATTACCTTCATTTTTTACAGGTACGTTTTTTTTGCTTTTTTTCAAGCCTTTTTGTTCTTATCGTGTGTGTGGATGGATGGATGGACGGGATCCCGTCATGAAATCTAATGTTGTTGTTCTTGTTGTGTGTTTTCTTGATGAATATATGCCTACAATAATATTGAATGAAAAACGATCGTCTTGATGGACCTTGCTGTGTTTACAAATCCTGATGGTATTTTTTGATGATGATGATGATCTCGGCCTCTGCCGGATTAATGATAATCACAACAATATAATGTTTGCTGGATGATCATGTGTTTGTTTGTGGGAAACACACTCTGGTGTATCCACCACCTCTATTAATCTTGGTATTGACTCTTTGGGAAAACAACCATCCACGTCATCATCATCATTACCTCATCAATCCAACACACTCTCTCATTGAATTCAATGATTACCATTATGTTACCATATCACTATTATTTATCATTGTCTCTGTTGTTATTGTTATCATCATCATCATTGCTATCATTCTCAACCATCATATCGTCACTACCGACAACACCACCATTATTGTCAAATCAACAATAACTCTCACTCAGACCACCACAATGAGCTACTCAAACGACGTGATTGCCAGACAAAACCCAGTCCTCGTCATTGACAATGGTACTGGTTTTACCAAGATGGGCTATGCAGGTAATAGTGAGCCAAACTACATCATCCCAACCTGTATTTCACACAATCCAAAATCTCTTGATAAAGGTCTGGAGGATTTGGACTTTTACATTGGATACGAAGCACAAGAAAAGCAAGGAGGAAACTATGACTTGGTTTATCCAATGAGACACGGTTTGATCGAAGATTGGAGCAAGATGGAAATGTTGTGGGAACAATGCTTCTTCAACTATTTGAAGTGTGAGCCTGAGGATCACTACTTGATGTTAACAGAACCTCCTCTCAATCCTCCAGAAAACCGTGAATATACTGCTGAAATCATGTTCGAAACATTCAACGTGTCCGGATTGTACATTGCCGTTCAAGCTGTTTTGGCTTTGTGTGCATCATGGACATCTTCCAAGTCAAAGAAGCTTGGTTTGGGTGGTACTTTGTCTGGTACTGTCATTGACTCTGGTGATGGTGTTACTCACGTCATTCCTGTTGTAGATGGTTATGTCATTGGTTCTAGTATTAAGCACATTCCATTGGCCGGTAGAGATGTCACCGAGTTCTTGATGCGTTTCATCATGGACCGTGAAAAGAACATTCCTTCCGAAGACATCAAGTTGGCTGTTCAAAAGATCAAGGAACAACATTGTTACGTATGCTCTGATTTGGCAAAGGAGTTTAACAAGTTTGACACAAACCCAGCTGAAAACATTCTCAAATATTCACAAGAAAATAAGAAGTATGGTAAATGGGAAATTGATGTTGCCTATGAGAGATTCTTGGCTCCTGAAGTCTTCTTCAATCCAGAAATTTTCTCTGCTGACTTCAGTACACCTCTCCCTGATGTTGTTGACCACTGCATTCAATCTTCACCAATTGATGCTCGTAGAGTGTTGTACAGGAATATTGTCCTTTCCGGTGGTTCTACCATGTTTGAACATTTTGACAGACGTTTGCAACGTGACTTGAAGAAGAAATTGGATGATCGTTATGAAAAGGCTGTCTCAATGACCTCATCTGGTAAAGAGAAACCAAAGCCATTAGAATGTAACGTTATTGCTCACTCACACCAACGTTTTGCTGTTTGGTTTGGTGGTTCCATGTTGGGTACTATGGCTGAATTTAAGAGAGTTTGTTACACAAAGGCTCAATACGATGAGATGGGTCCATCCATTGCTCGTAGATCTCAAGTCTTCCAAAGCTTTGAATAAGCTACACGTTTTTGAATTGATCATTTTCACTTGATTTATTTTGTACAAGAATTCATCCCTTCTTTTTAATAATTTATTGAAATTCATTCACATAAAATTGTTCGTCAACAACGACAATCATTTTGTAATTAACAACAAACGTGCATGTTGTTTAATGGTGTTCCAAGTTGACAATGTTTGGAAATGTGCTCTTTCCAAGATGATGAAGGTATATGTTGTTCCAAATGTGAGTGTCATCAAAAAACAATTAGTGCTTGTTATTGCTGGATGATACTGAAATAATATTAATATCGCTCAATGACAGGATTTTGTTGTTGTGGATGGTGTCCAGCAGTAAGGCACACTCACAGAAACGCCCATGACTTATTGAGGCTGCGGAATCAGTGCTCTTCATACAGCAGTTGCACTCACTGGTCACCACATGCTGTCTGAGGCACTTGAAAAAATGTACCAATCTTGGATTGCTCGTGAAGGCATTCAAGAAGGAGCAATAACTATTGCAACTGGAAAGAATTTGAAAATGTGAAAAAGAGTCATGATGAGCAACAGCCCTAGTTCTATCTTTTCTCTTCTTTTTCGAAATTGGTTCTTCCAATTCCATTCGATTCATCATACGATTGGTGCTCTCTTCATCATCCTCACTGCTGCTGCTATTAATGTCGTGATCTTCACTGGTGGTCGACCTCATCATGAGACTCATTCTCCTCTTCAGGTGATTATCGTCCTTGTGACACTGCACTCGATTCACATTAAATTTCACAGGAATCAATTGACATCGAACCTGTGAACCACTTCCCAATTGACCTTCCTCATTACTTCCACACGAATACGACTCTCCATTCTCACCATGAAACCACGTATGAAATGCTCCACAACTCACCGCCTTCACTTTCATTCCCTTCTCCACAAAAAATAATAATAATTGAGGTTCATGAATATATTGATGATAGTGATTGAGAGAAGATGCTGAAAATGTTTCTGATGAATTTTCTAATCTTGAGGGCAGGACCGGAGAGGAACTTAATGAATGAGAAACTTTCAATAAACATTCAGTGCTCGCCACAGAATTGTAATGAATTCCTGTTTGTCCCTTATAATTCGATCCACAAGCGTAGACATTTCCATTCGATGCTAAAAAAACAGAATGTTTTTCACCACAACTGATCGATTCGATTCGAATGTGTCTCTCTTCGAAATAGGTCAATTTTTGAAAATGTAAAAGAGAGGAAACATAAGAATTGTTGCAGGATGGTCCTAATCCAAGTTGACCTTCATAGTTTCTTCCTGAAACATAAATGTGATGATGTGAAGTGAGAATAATGGTGTGAAAACCTCCTACTGCCAATTTTACAATTTTTTCTCCACAATCATTGTTCGTTCTAAATGCGTTGTCATGATGGTTGTGATGAGTGGCATTTAGTAATTCTCGAAAATTCACCACTTGTGGAACGAAAATGGAAGCATTCGATGGACTCGTGTCACTATTACTGGAGGAATTTGGATTAGAATTTAACATTAATTGTCCATACGTATTATCTCCAAAAACAATCATTTCCAAACCATTTTCTTGCACAAGAATGGTAAATCGTTGTCCACAACCAATCATGGAAAATTTCAAATGATGATTTGTGCGTACGGCAGAATGTGTAAGATTCTTTCTCAAATGGTGAGGATGATCATCTTCAGGATGGTTTCTTTCAAAGAGATGTGAGAAATCAACTTTGGTCAATTGTTTCACTCGCAATGAAAATATACTTGTTTCTCCTCGTAAGGTTTTCATTCCTTTCACTCCACATTGTCCATGTGAATTCGATCCAAGTGAAAAAACATTTCCACACAAGGTAACTAAAATTGTATGTTCTCTTCCACAAGCAATGTGTGAAATGGTGGAATGTCGAAGTAAGGGATGTTTGGAAATTTCACAAAAAGTTCGTTTTTTGGAAAGTAGGTGATTGGGAGTTGAAGATTCGGAAGAAGAAGAAGGATCGTTCAATTCCGAGTCATCTCGTGCTTGATCGAAAGCAGATGTAATAGTAGTGGCTGTTGATGATAAGGTAGTACTACCTCTTTCAAAAGTATCTGTATGAGTGTCATCGGTGGTTTGTAATAAGGTGGCATTTGACACATCTCCAATTTTGGAATTTTCAAAGAGTGCTCTTGAAGGCATCAAATTTGCATCATATCCAATTTCTTTTTCTTCTTCTTCGAGTATTGCAAAATCTTGTTCCGAAAAATCCGAACAAGGAGCTCCCAAAATAAAAACTCGATGAAAATTTGTTTTGATCACTGTGTGAAAACTTCCACCACAAACTGTCTCAATAAATTCTCCATAAAATAATTGAATTCGATCCTGTCGATCTTGAGTCGCCAATGAGAGCAATGATGACACTTGTTGTCCATTTCTTGTCGTGTTGTGATCTTCACTCAATGAGTGATTCAATTCAAAAGAATCTGAATGAGAAGAGTGTGAAAACGGTTCGAAACAAACTTTTCGAAACGAGAAATGGTCCTGTCGGAATTGAGAAGTTGAGGCTGTATTGTGAAAGGTTCTTGGAGAGTAGTCATCAATTTGATGATAATTATTGAATCCACATGCAAACCATTGGTGATTGAGAAGATTTTCCATTTTTGGTAGTTGTATGTGAAATTCTCGAGTTTGTTGTTGGTTTTTGGAGAGGGAATATTTACAATGAAGAAGAATTGAGTGAGTTATATTGTTGAGAATGATGAATCATGGAATGGATCAATTTGTAAAAACTGTGTGTGATTCTTCTACAATAAATAATTGAATCTAATTAGAATCTAATAAATTACTTGTGTAATCTTCTCAAATTGACTCACAACAACAATAAAATTACGAATTAGTAATGAATGTGATTCAATGTTCTCTTCAACAAAGATTCCGAAATGATTCAAAACACAATTCGAAGAGCGCGAGTCAATGAGGACGACGACGATGATGATGACAATATGGATTCCTTACGGGGAGTAAGTCTAGAGACTTTTTTCTCTCTTTTCAAATTGTTTCATCATCCAAATGATCCATCGACTAAATTCATCAATAACATGTTGTCGTCGTGGTCGTCGTCGACGTCTGCACAGTCTTCTCTGTGAAAATGTTTTTTCCAATTATTCACTTTGGATAATGCAAACGTCAATGATGATGAGGTCATTGACATTTTTTGACCTCTCGAGACAGCGCTGTCCACACACAAGTCGTCATTCGACTCTCTGATCACAACAGAAGAAGAAGAAGAATACTTCAACTCTCTTCGGTGATCTCTCGGAAATTGATTTTTCTTTTTTGTTCTCTTTGTGTTTAAAAAAACCTTTGATGAACAATATGGTTGTTGTGGCATCTTCTTCCGTACATTCCCATTCTCGGGTATGTAGCAGTGAAACATGTTTTTGATGATTCTTCCTGTCTGCTCTCTCTTTCCTTGATTCATCCATTCATTCCTCATCATCGGAATGGGACGACGAATTCCGAGAGCGAGAGAGAGAGTATCACAAATTTTGATTGAATCCACACAACAAATTGCGTTGAAAAAAATTTTGAGTTGAAAAAAAATATCAATCACCACCACCATCATAACAACAACAACAACGAGATTCTCTTCATTCTCGCACACCATGTTCAAGCCTCTCGCTTCCAAGAGAATTAATCATAGAGCCGTGATTCAATTGTTGTCCAATCAGAGCAGAAATGCCAGTAATGCAAAGGAGATTTACTACTCTGATAACGGACGAAGAAAATTGTTGGCCGGTGTTGAAAAGTTGTTCAAGGCTGTTGCTACCACATTGGGTCCAAAGGGTAGAAATGTCGTGTTGCAACAATCCTATGGTTCTCCAAAGATTACAAAGGACGGTGTTACTGTAGCCAAACATATTGAATTGGAAGATAATATGGAAAATCTCGGTGCTCAACTCATTAAAGATGTTGCCAGTAAGGCCAACGATGCTGCCGGAGATGGTACCACCACTGCAACTGTTTTAACTTATGCCATCTTCTCCGAAGGTTGTAAGGCTGCTGCTTCCGGAATGAATCCAATGGACTTGAAGAGAGGTATTGATTTGGCTGTGAGACGTGTCATTGAAAGTCTCAAACAACAAACAAAGGAAATCACTTCAAAGGAGGAAATTACTCAAGTTGCCACAATTTCAGCAAACGGTGATAGAGATATCGGTGAATTGATTGCCAATGCTATGGAAAAGGTCGGACAAGAAGGTGTCATTACTGTTGAAGATGGTCATACTTTGGATAACCAATTGGAAATTGTGGAAGGTATGAGATTTGATAGGGGATACATTTCACCATACTTTATGACTGAGACCAAGACTCAAACTTGTGTTTTGGAAAAGCCAGTCATTCTCGTCTACGATTCCAAGATTTCATCCATTGTCGATATCATCAAGCCATTGCAATATGCTCTCAACAACAAGAGACCATTGTTGATTATTGCTGAAGATGTTGAGGCTGAAGCTTTGAATACATTGATTTTGAACAGAATCAAGGCCGGTTCTCTCGTGTGTGCTGTCAAGGCTCCAGGTTTCGGAGATCACAGAAAGAACAATTTGCAAGATATTGCCGTCTTGACTGGTTCTGTCTTGGTCAGCAAGGATTTGGGAATGAAAATTGAGAATCCAGAAATTGAATGGTACGGTAGTGCCGAAAAGGTCACAGTCACAAAGGATGAAACTGTCATCATGAACGGTAATGGTAGCAAGGAGGCCATTGCTGAAAGATGTGACTCAATCCGTGAACAATTACAACGAGAAGATGTTTCCACCTTTGAAGCTGAAAAGCTCAGAGAACGATTGGGCAAGTTGTCAGGTGGTGTTGCCATTTTGAAGATTGGTGGTTCTTCCGATGTCGAAGTTGGTGAAAAGAAGGATCGTGTGACCGATGCTTTGAACGCCACTAAGGCTGCTGTCGCTGAAGGTATTGTTGCTGGAGGTGGTACTGCTTTGACTTTTGCTTCCAAGACCTTGGACTCATTGATTGCCGAATTGCCAAACGAAGATCAAAAGGTCGGCGTTAAGATTGTTCAAAATGCCATCCGTATGCCACTCAAGATGATTGCTCAAAACGCTGGTTTGGAGGGTGCCGTCATTTCTGAACATGTCATGAAGTTCAACGACCCAGCACAAGGTTATGATGCTGCCACCAACAGATATGTTAACATGTTTGAAGCTGGTATTATTGACCCAACTAAGGTTGTCAAGACTGCATTGGTTGATGCTGCTTCTGTTGCCTCATTGATGACTACTACTGAAGCCATGGTCGTTCTTGCTCCAAAGAAGGAAACTGAAGTTCCAATGGGTGGTATGGGCGGAATGGGTGGAGGTATGTTCTAAATTCATTGAGGCATCTCGTCTTTCCTCTTCTTACACATCTCTATCCAAACCTCTTCTCTCTAATCGTTTTATAGACTACGACTACTAAACACACATCCTCCCCTTTTTCTTGTCTTCCCAATATAAACGCGTTTATATTTTCAAAAATAATAAAATATTTAAAAACAATAACAATTTTGCTTTTACATAATTTGTATGTGTTGATATTTCAATCGAATTATTATTATACAACACTTGAATGACAATCAAAATTGTGTCACACACCACACTACACGCTGGGCTTATGCTGGGGTGTGCTGAGATCCTCTTGGATAATGAACACCAAACGCTTGTTGTGAACTTGCAGAAAACGTCATTTTGCATGAAACGTCACACAACTGAACTCGGAACCATTTCATCCCATTCCATTCACAAAAAAATGGGCAAAACCACTCCTCTCATTCAAGACACCTATGAATTCCAAGACATTTTTCATCATGTCTTTGGCTTTATGGAAACGGCAGAAATCTATCCACTACAACGTGTGTCTTCCTTCTTTTTTCGAATGATTGAAAAACTGAAACAATACTACATCCGACCTGTCTATGAAATTGGCATTGTTTCCCATCACAAAGATCAACTCGAAAGCTTTGTTCGTCAACAATTGGGTTGTTCATGCGGACTCGTGCCTACTCTCACTTTGGAAGAAATTGAAAAATTGAAAAAAGAAAAAATCAATGAAGCCTATTCAAACTATGGATATTATGGATACTATCCATCGCATGGTGATGCGAATCATTTCGACACATCTAATCTCAATGATGGAGAAACTCTGAAAAATGTGAATTTTTCTTCGAGTCAAATTCACGTATTTGAGAGAATTGAAAGACACATGATTTTTAAACAGGATCGATTTCGAGTGATTTTCTTTCCATTGTTGTGTGAAAAAAAGACAAGTGTTGCTGTGGATGATTTTAATCGATTGGAAGGATTCATCTTTTTAAAACCTGAGCGAATTGACTCTTTTGAATCCATGCCACAAGGTGCACAAATTACTTGTGTGGTGTTGGATGATCATTTCACATTCGAAAACAAAGAATTTGGAAAAAAGATGGATCACGAAACACCTTCTCGATCGTCTCAAGACACAGATCCATCTTTGATCATAATGCCTGTCAAAAAATATGGCTTTGTGAGCATGACCAAAAATGCAAGTCGAGAACAGATCAATAATTCCTTATTGGAATGTCTCATGTATATTATGAAAAATTCCAATCGATGTCTCAAGTTGGATCATTCGATGAGCAGTGACGAAACCAACCTGTTGCTGCACGAACAAACCAATGTCGAGAATAGATCGAACACCTCCTCGAACATTTCTTCTTCAACACCAAATGCCTCTCTAAAATTATTAGATTTAATTCATCACATTATTTCATGTAAAATGGGACATGAGGAATTTTCTCAACATTTCACACAATTATTTCAAAACAGATATTCACTATATAATTTATTAATGACCAAAGATATTCGTTACATGACCAAACGATTAAGCTTTTTTAATTTACCTTACCCTACTCAAGTGAAACTTTTAAAACGACTCTATCAGGCATTAATTGCAACTTCCAGTTCCTTCTCGAAAAACATAGGTCCTATTCAAGTTCGACACATTCAAAATGAATCTTTGGATTATATTTCAGTCACCATTTTACAAGATTATGTGTTTGAAGCCAATTCATATCGCCAGTACGATGAACGAGAGATGCGAACTCAAACAGTGAATATTCAATTTCACTTATTAACAGAAAAGGTCAATTTTGTGTATAAAGAGTATTCAGAAAGAGGGACTCTTTTTGGGAAGAAAAATTGTATTGTGTGTTGAAATCTGTGAATTGGTCAAGAATTGACTCTTTGTGAAGAAGAGCAAGTGATTCCATTACTGAGAGTCTTCAAATAGATTCTGAAGATGGTAAAATCACATGTTTATTATTACGACATCTTCATTCGAATAAACATCAAGATCATGGTGACAAGTTTTCAAATATTTGGATGTAAGCAAAATTTATACAGTGACTTTCATGTTGTTGCTCCTTCATGTGATGACAAAATCTCAAGAAATGACTTTTTAAACTCTCAAAAAATGATTTTTTAATCAATTCTGGAGAGATGCGACATGTTTTGATTGGATCTTGAAAACGGACCAACCACAACCTTCGAGCAAGTTGGTCGTAATTCACGCCCTTTGAACCAACTTGGAAATGTCCAACAACATGGAAACAACATGTCAATACCCACAAAAAAATTCCATCCATTACCATCCAGAAGGAGGAGAAGAACACACTGCGACAAGATCAACAACAACAACAACAACATTTGGAGTGTCCATGTACATGTATCCTTCCTCTCTTTCTCTTTAAAAAAACAAATCTAAATCATCCTAGATTTCTCTGACCCAAAAGATGAATTCTTCACCTCTCAAATGTGTTGTGTTCACAAGCTCTTCATGGACGCATCATGTTTCATTACTTTTGTTGGTTCTTTTCATCCTGTGCTTCATGATGACGACAAGTGGCATCACATGGATCTTTTTTTCCTCAGTCTTGGCAGCACCTCCAAAACCTCTTTACAACATCTCCACTCTCGTTGGAAGCTCTTCCTCTCCTGTGGCCAATCCATTTGGAGATTCCACTCAACTTGACTCGTATTTTTCATGTCTGACATTTCCAAAAAGTTTATCTTTGAATTTGAACGCCACTCGATTGTACGTGACTGCCACCTACGATCACTTGATTCGAAAAATTTCTCGACATCCTTCAAATGTCAATGTGAATATTATTTCCACTATTGCAGGAACTGGAGAGGAAGGTTTCGATCCGGATGGAACGGTTGCTACATTGGCAAGGTTGAGACGACCTGTTCATGCTATTGAGAATCCTGTGAATTCCGATGTGTTTATTTCCGATTCGGGAAATCATTGTGTGAGAATGGTGAATTCTCAGAGTAGTTTGATTTCAACCGTGGCTGGAACGTGTGGAGTGGAAGGTTATGGTGGTGATGGTGGAATGGCTCTTAATGCCTTGTTTAATAATAGCATGTATTTGGTAATTACTCAAAATGGAAAAACATTATTCATTTCTGATACTTTTAATGGAAGAGTGAGAAGAGTCGATTTATCAACAGGAATGATCACAACCATCGCAGGAAACGATACAGGCAAAACCATTAATTGCACCTTAGCTTTTGATTGTCGTCTCGATCAACCACAAGGTTTGGCACTCTCCAAAGACGAGTCGATTTTATATGTTGCAGAAAGTGCAGCCAACAAAATCCGAATGATTTCATTGAATTCAAATCCAATGACCATCTCGACATTAACGTTCTCTGGAGGAGGGTTGAATTTTCCAACACAAATTGCACTCAATGGTTCTGAACTGTACATTTTGGATCATAATGCAAAGGAAGTGAAAAAGTTGAGTTCACCTGGGTTTGTAAATCTCCAAACAGTTTATGGAAGTGCCTATTTTGAACAACCTGGTGGTCTTGCTGTCAATTCCAAATTAGGAAGTGTCTATGTTTCTGACGTGTCGTCCAATCTTGTAAAGGCATTTTCAATTTTGCCTGGAATTGAACCATCGATCATTGCTGGTAAATGTCAAAGAACAGCTTTTATCGGAGAAAATGTCAATGGAAGTGAAATCGTTTTAAAAACACCTTCCGCCCTTGCTTTCATTTCCAACGAAATGTACATTGCTGACACGAATCATTACATCATTCGAAAATTACAAAACAATGGAAAAGTCATCACAGTGGCTGGAAATACCATTCCAGGAGTATTTAATACCAGTGAAATTGTTCCAACAATGATGACGAGCAATTCGGCTCATCCTCTCGATGCAATTTCGTCCATGGCTCCAAGTGTGAATGAAAGTACTGGACAAGTTCATGCACTCTACTTGTCAGATCGATCTCAATCGGTAATCATGAAATGGAACTTGAAAGATGGATCACTGATAGGAGTGGCAGGATCGAAAGATAATTCTCTGTCTTATGATGGAGATGGAGGTTTGGCCATTCATGCAAGAGTGAATCCGAAAAGTCTTTTGGTCGTCCATTCGAATTTTTCAAATACTTCTCCCAATTCTTCATTTGATTCTAATAATAGAGATGGTATTTACAAGAATGTCATTGGAGAAGTCTATTTTGTGGATTCTTATGTAAATATTATTCGAAAAATTCTGACAAATGGAACCATTGTGAGAGTGGCTGGAGTGCCACGATTGAATGTGACATCAAATTCTGGAGATGGTGGATTGGCATTGAATGCTTTCATGTCTCCACAAGCCATAGCGTTTGATTTGGAAGGAAATTTACTTGTGGCCAGTTTGGGAGTGATTCGAAAGATTTTTATTCAAAATGGAACGATTGTGAGAGTGGCAGGAAATGAAACGATTGGTTTTGGAGGAGATGAGGGATCGGCACTGAATGCACAATTTTCTTCTCAAATTTCTTCTCTCTACATGTCACCTGTTGATGATTTATACATTTCCGATTATGGAAATGCAAGAATTCGAAAAATTTCTGCAAAAACAGGAATTGTGACCACAGTAGCAGGAAATGGACAACGTTCCTTTTCACCCATTGGAGAATACGAACCTTCAAATGCTTTAACCCAATCAGTGTCTCCATTCTCGATCATTGGCGACCCAACAGATCCAAATTCTCTTTATTTGGTTGAACAAGATTTTGAAAGAATTCGAAAGATGACACAATTTTGTAAAGATGGATGGACTGGACCGAATTGTTCCATTTTGAAATTGAAGAAAATGAATGCTTGGTTTGAAACCAGCATGTCCTTTACTGGTTCAACGGTATCTGTTAGATTTGCCATTGATGATGAAGATTTTAAATATTACTACGATTCAGGAAGTGTCACTTTTTCTGTTTTACTTTATAAGGAAACGTTAACAACAAACCGAATGATTGAAATGGTTTCTTCCAATCTCACAAAGAATGAGCCATTGAAGTGGAAATTTGTTTCGAATGGTAATTATTCAGCTGAATTTTCAGTCAAGTTCGAAGGAGCTTTTTTAGGAAGTGTTCAAACTCGAAACAAATTGCAAATTGTGAATTTTGAAGATTTAATGTCAGAAAGTACGCTTCGAACCATTCCTCTAAAAGAAGTTGCAGCTCTTGCTTTAAATCCAGAAACCTATTCGAACGCATCCAACATGGTGAATACTCTCTCTGTTCTCACACAAGCTTTGACAAGTAGATCAGTAAGAAATGTGTCAGACCTGTCAGAGACATCCATCATTGTCACTGCTTTGGACGTCATCTCCTCAACCAGAGAAGATTATTTATCGACCTCGGTGATCAGAAGAATTTCATCATTTTTGACCAATGTTTCGAGTGAATTGGTTGCCAGTTCATCCTTATTCATGGACATGAAAGATTTGTCCACAATGGAAATGACCGCTCAAAACATTCTTTCAGTCTTTTCAAATTGTTTTTCATTTCGAAATTTCACACCTTCTCTCATGGAAACCAATGTCTTGTTTGAACATTTGATGATTGTGGGTTCTTCAACAAGTCTTTCTGAACATTTAATTCAGTGGACAAGTGCGTCGTTTCAAATTCATGTGAAACGAAATTTAAATGCGACCATTTTTGGAAATGAAAGAGAGGAAGAATTACAAATTCCAAATCAAGGTGGAATAATTTCAACTCCTTTCGAATTAAGAAATTGGAATTCCAACAATGTGTCTGTAGCTGTCATGACGTTTGGAAATTTAGAAAAAGTGAAACGTGTCTATTCATGGGATCGAGATTCAACGACACATTGGATTCAATTTTCGAATCAAACCAATGAGCTACAACAACAATTGTTGACTTTACTCTCAAATGCAACTTCCATGTTAAATGTTATTCAACGTGTGAATTTGAATTTCCCTTTCGAACTCAAATACATCCAAAATAGGGCATTTCTTCCTGTTCGTGATTTGAAAAATCCATTAATAATCGAAATTGCAATTCCAGTGGAAGCCCAGGATGTAATGACACAAATTATTAATTCTACAAATTTTAGAATTGTTTGTAGATATTGGAATGAAACATCTTTCACATGGGAAACGAACGGATGTGTCACGAAAGTACTGAACACAAGAACTGTCACCTGTCAATGTAATCACACCACAACTTTTTCTGCATTTGTAGAACTCGATGACACTTCATTTCTCTATGAAAGGGATATGTCATTAATGATTGCCCAAATTATTGTCGGTTCTCTATTGATGATCCTTATTTCATTCATCCTTCTACTTTCCATCATGACATGCAAAAAGAATCCAATGAAAAGTCGATGGATTCTTCCATTCTTTTCATTGAGTTCTTTGATTATAGAATTACTATTTTCCTATATTGTCGCAAATGCCATTTTCATATCTGGGTATTTCACAAAGGACTCGGAAACATTACTTGTCAATAATGTTGTCAAAGAAGTTTCGACCATGATCTCGACCACTTTTTTTGCATTGGCATTTCTCAATTATTTTCTTTTAGTGGTGAGATTTTTACTCTTTAGATACTTTTATGAAATTATGGAACTGATTTCAAAGATTTCCAATTTAGGTTCTCGGGATGCCATTTTAATGAATCGAAATGAATCTTCTTCTTCCATGATCATGGAAATGGATCCAAACGATGAGAATAATTCCCAACCATCCATGAAAAAGTTTAGAATCTTAAAGAGAATGACAAGTAAGGGAATGCAAATGGCTGTGAATCTCTTCTTAGCCATTCTGATTGTTGGATATTTTGTGATTTTTATTAGTTTAAATGAAACTGAAAATATCACAAGTACAGAGTATACAAAAATTATGGCAGGTTCACTGTTGGGATTTGTCCTTTTTGTTTCTCTACTTGTTTTGGTGGTGTTTGTTGTGGATGTCATTTTTGAGAAGTATTTCACACAAATTACCGATGAAACGAATTTAATGCTTTCTAAAAGTGACACGAAACCAAATTTCAAAAAGCAACTCTCCATGGATTCTCTCTTGTTGGATATTAAGAATTATTTTAGTACCAATGATGCATTATCCTTTCGAGTGGAATTCATTTATTTCATGTTGGGAGTTGCGTGTTTTGTGATTTCGTATGGACTTGGATTATCAAGGATTATAGATCGAACGGTGAGAAATGTTCAATCAGAAGAGGGAGTGCAGTTGGCGTTTGATGTGTTGAATATTTTGTTCTTTGCGGCAGCATTTGGAGGTCATGCATCGGTTGTGACAGCTGTCAAATATTGGAAGTCAAGAAAAACGAACAGAAACGTCAATGGTGAGACAACTTCTGAATCTGGAGCCAATAATGGTGATGATGGTGTGAGCGAAGAATTGAAAGAAATTTTATCGAACTCCACCTTGTGCAAAATATTTGAACAATATGCAAAATTGGAATTCTCATTAGAAAATGTAATTTTCTGGAAAAAGTTGAATGGAATGAAAAAATTCATGAATCAAATGAACAACATGACGACAGGAAACGCTTCAGACTGTTCCTTGAAAACAAGCTCTTCATGGGAATTAATTGAAAAGGAATTTTCACAATGGAAATTCGATCATTTGGATGCCAACGCTTCGATGGAGCTCAACTTTCCTTCTCACATCCAACACAAATTCAATTCTGTCTTTTCTCGTTTACAAAAGAAGGAATATTCAGAGACAACTTCCTCTCTCCAAACACAAATTCAAGAATTGATCGAAGAAATGCATTCGAATATCATTTTGAATTTGAGTGATACCTTTTCAAGATTCATGTTCACAGAGAGTTATCAGAAAATCATGACCTCCATTGAGCTCAAAAAGGAAATGAATTCTTCTTTTGATGAACGTTCGGTAGGAAATTGCTAGTGATTATGCAGCAGTTTTTCTGGAAATTAGGCAAATAATTTAATTTGCCTGAGTGTGATGCACATAAATGTATTTGAGCTGCTACGCCTTATTAAAAATTAATAATAAATTAATGAACACAAGGTAGGTCTTCGCTAAGCAACGCCACAATTACATTAAATTAGAATAATTCGAGTAGGCCTTCCGTACTTCAATTTGTTTTTCTTTCAAATTTTGAACAAATTGTTGGAATAATTCGGGAGTAAGACTCTCCGCACCACCAGATGCCAATTCTTCTGAAGTGGCTCGTAATGACTCATAAATATCTCGTTGCGCATCATTAATTTGATCGTACGAGATTGGTTTGTTGGCTCTCATTCCCTGTTCGAAATCTTCGGCAACGATGGAAGCTCTGTCAATAATTTCAATTGGCACACCTGCTTTTTTCGCCACTTGAATTCCATAACTCTTCTCACAAACTCCCTTTTTGAAGTGGTATGTGAAAATGACATCCAAAATTCTGCCATTCTCATCTTTTTGGACCTCGCAGGTCATTTTATAGAAATCAATATTGGGATGATATCTCATTTCCTCCGTTAACTCAAAATAGTGAGTACTAAATAAACACAAACAACCAACAACGTCAGCAACATATTCGAGAATTGAACGAGCAAGTGCGTAGCCATCGTGCGTAGAGGTACCTCGTCCAAGTTCGTCCAAAATGACTAGAGAGCTTGGAGTTGCGTGACGAATGATATTGGATGTTTCATTCAGTTCAACCATAAATGTCGATTCACCGGCCATAATTCTATCGTTGGCACCAATTCTTGTGAATATTCTATCAACAAGAGTCAGCTCACAGCTCTCGGCAGGTACAAAACATCCAATTTGTGCCATTATCACAGCAATACATGCGGAACGAAGTATTGTTGATTTTCCTCCCATGTTAGGTCCTGATAAAAACAAATGTGTGATGAACCAAAATATCCAAAATGTTCAATTTTCATACGATCAGACATTAGGAGGGTTGAGATATTGTTGAAAGATATGTTTACAGAAATAATGAATTGATAAATTGTTGTCATGACTGAAAAAAATTACAACAAATGAAAACATACCTGTCACAACAATGGAACATGCGTCATCTCCGCCCAATATAATGTCGTTAGGAATAAAATCTGTGTCAGCAGCAGTTTTAACGGTTGGATGTTTCATTTGCATGACTTTAAGTACTGGTTTGTCGGTTTGTAAAATCACAGGTCTGCAAAATCCTCCTCCAATACTGACTGAGTGGAGAGACAGGATGCAGTCCAATTCCGCTAGACATTGGACGACTCGCTTCCAATATTGGTCAAATTCAGAAAATCGTCCAAGAATTGTTCTGAAAATGTTTCTTTGGATGTCACCCATTTTATCTTCCAAAACTTTGACTTTCTCGAGACTTGTTGTTAATAATGAATGCTTGTACTTGAAAAATTCTTTGAGCTTTCTGGGTTGTCTAACAAACTCTTCTGGAAGATCAGTGACTGTTCTTGGTATTACTATGAACCAGTCTTTACTTCCTGATTTTGAATCTAACTTGGACTTGGGATCATATTTTTTCTTAACATCTGCAAGGAATGTGTCCACCTCTTTATGAATACTCTCAATTTGTGCTTGCATTTCTTCGTATTCTTTTCCGTAACCTTGTGATGACAAATAATAGTTTGCGTCGATTAAAAAATTAAATATCGAATAAACAGCACAATCACTTACCAGCATTGGGCTTAATTTCACCAGTCAGGGCCAATTCTCTGTCAAATTCATTCTCAAATTCTGCCAATGCAGCATCAATTTCATCAATAGCTGTCAAATCCAGTGAGTGTTGTAAAATGTTGGATTTAAAGTTTTCAATCGAATCTTGTAATGATTGAATAATGTCGAGGCCTTTTCGTAAATTGTCCAGCGTTTCAAGATAGGTTTTTATCTTTTTCTTGGAGGCTCTATTATCAAAGAATACTTCCTTCTTCACTTTACGGGATTCTCTGTACAAAAAGGAGCACATTCGTTCCAAGTCTTTGATGCCGGCTAATTTTTCACGAACACCATCTGGGTCAGGAAAGCTGTCTTGGATGTCCTCAATGGCGTTATATCGATCATTAATGACATCGGCATTTCTCGAGGGCCGGGTGAGCCAATTTTCCAATAATCTTTTTCCCATGGCTGTCTTGGTATGGTCAAGGAAGCTCAACAAACTTCCTTCTCTGGTCCCTTTTGTTGAACTAATCTTGACGTCAAGGTTAAGTAGAGTTTGACCATCCAAAATGAGATGGTCTTTGTCGACTTTTCCGTCATAGCTGAAAAATTTGGCAGTGTTTGAAGAAAGAACATCATCTTTGTAAAGCTGACGTAGTTGAGGAATAACAAGATTAGAAAAGTTGTTTGTTGGTTCGATGGTAATCCAAGCAAAGGCCATACAATCATGATTATTTGTATGTGAAATTGCAATGCTTTTGAACTCAATCAATAAAAACTTACATATTTCAAATAGTAAACGCAAGCACCAAAACTGGAAATTACTAAATCATTATCCCAGAACTTCTCAATAATTGGATCCTTGACAAGAGAATCTGCATGTTGCTCCACAAAATATCTTGCAGCTTCAGCAGTTGGATACGAGTTATAGTCTTTGGGCACAATATCTGTTGATACTCTCTTTTCAATAACTACAGTTTTCTGGTTGGAAATAATTTTTTTTGTTGATGGGGAAAATTGTTGTCTCTCTAAGATAATCTCTGATGGGTTTATGGAATAGATAAGGGTGCTGATTTGAGTTCTGTGATTGTCGTCCTCCAAATATCCCAAGTAAAAAATGTCCATAGAAACATCCACAAATGTGACACCATATCTATGGTTCATCATGTCTTCCTTAATGCACAATAAATATTTAGAAGTACTGTCAGGAAAATAATCCAGATCAGTAATGGTGGAGAGTGTAGTAATTTCGCAAATTTCTCTCTTCACACAATCGGTAGATGTTCCTTTTGTTCCCTTTTTTTGTTTCTTTCTTTCCTTTTGTTCATTGGCTGTTTCACTGTTTTAACAAGTGATTATGTCACGTGTTAACAATTAATCGTGTTAGCACATTCTGCGTCATTACTTACACTTGTTCAACTCTCACGACAGTATAGCCCAAGTTAATCAACTTGGCTGCGTATGTTTTGAAAGATTGTTCTGGTATTCCAACCATTCTCATATTCACTCGTTCCGTCATTTTCCAATCGAACTCTTTTTTTCCAACATCAGCATCTGTTCAAAAATGCAAATATGAAATGTTGAAATTCAGAAATTATGAATGGCATTGTGCAGACATTTTCAATAAAAATGTGAAAAAATGCAGTAAAAATTTGAACAAAAAGTCGTCGAACAAATATTAATCTCAAAAAGATGCGTCACTAACCTTCTTCATAAAGCTCATAAAATTTCCCCTTCTTAAACATTACAACCTTATCCATATGGTTCTTTTTAATCTCCCAATATTGCTTTTCAAAGCTGCTCAACTTGGCAAAATCTGTTGATGAAATAAATAAAGTGGATTTATCGAAATCCGGATCGGAAGGTAATCTCTTTTGGGCATCCATTCGATTGACGAGAAATTCAAACCTCTCGTCATTCTTGTTCTTTGACTTTTTATCAACGGAAGAATATTTTGATGTAATGACACCTCCATTCATTTCATATTCATTATCATCATGATCATCATCGGAAACTGATTTTTTACTTCTCTTTTTCTTGCTCGCTGATCCTTTCTTTGTTTTCTTCGGACGTTCTTCCTCGTCTTCATCATATTCCTCTTCCTCATCCATTCCATCTTCTTCTTCCTCTTCCTCTCTATATTCAAATTCTTCATCATCATCACTTTCCAAATTTTTCTTCCGTTTAGAAGATTTGTCTCGTGAGGATGATGATTTTCCAACAGCCGATGGCAAGGAAGTACCATTACCACCACGTGTAGTTCTTGTTCCGTTTGAAGAAGAAGAGGCTTTCTTCTTGTTGGCATAATCGTAGAGTGATGTCTGCACCATGATGTGATTATTTTTTTTGAAGATTAATTTTTTCAAAATATTCGAGAGTTCCTCCAACTGCAGGAACTTTATATTTCTGGTGCCTGAAAGTAAAGACGACTGCATTGCATAAAGAAAAGGAAGATTTGTTGAGATAGACAAAGGAAATGAGCTGTCGTTGTTGATGTTGAATGTCAATTAAATTCAATTGAACGAATGAAAAAAAAAATCTTGACGATAATTGTGAAAAAGAATACAATCTCCAAATGTGGGCATTGAGAAACAAAATAGTTTTCGACTCCTTACAAATCAAAATAACCATTATCTCTTTCGTTATCACAAGACCTCATTTATAGTCCACAATTTCACGCCTTCCAATTAGAACGTCACCTCTGTCACTTGTCAACAACTTTCAACGGTTTCCTAAACAACAAAAAAAATGTCCCCACCACCCAGCTTTCACAAAATTCAATTCATTCCAGCTGCAACTGCTTCTAAACACCTCAAACCTTCCCTCCAACAACAAAATTCCTCACACAAACCTTCCCTCCAACAACAAACTCATTTCGAATGTGGAAGATTTTTACCCTCTCGTTTTCACTCACACTTGGCACAATTTCAATTGAGTGAACAAGATTTTCTGCATTGCATCGGAGGAGCCAATCGAATGCTTTTCGAATTTCAACGTTCGATGAATCGTTTGGATGAGGCCTATCCTGAAAATTCAAAAAATGGAAAATTGTGGTTGGTGTTGGCCTTCGTGTCGTCACTTCCTTCGTGTGGTCTCTCCTTGCTTCTCTATCGTTTATGGCCAAAATTGAAGAAAAGAAAACGTCTTCAAAAGATCCAAGAACTCCGAATGCTTTGTAAACAAAAACTCGAACAATGGATTGAGGAAGAAAATGAAACTTTGGCCGAAAAGGAAATTCGTCTCGAATTGGTATTTGGACCAGTTCAGTATCCAATATTAAACAATGAAGAGGAAGAGGAGGAGGAAGAGCAGCAAGAACCTTCATCGGTGATGCCCAGAACACATTCTCAATCCTCAGGAAATGCATGGGATGGAATTGCCGATGCAGATACCACAAGCAATGATGGAGATGCAGCAGATTTTCACAATTCCTATGAAGATCCATTCACCACGGTGCATGGAAAGCATATGGATCATAGTTTGGAAGATCAAGATGAAAAGTTGAAAAATCAGCAAGATGATTACAATGATGGAAGTTATATTTTGAAGAGAAATACAAAGAATGAATTGACAAAGAGTCAATTATTGAAAGGATTTATCAAATCACCTCGAAAACATCATCATTTGTCGTCACAAGATACCACCAAATCGAATACGACTTCAACAGCCCCGGAGATTGGTACTAACATTTCTGTCACATCTTCGAATGGCGTGTCATCACATTCAAAACTTCCAAATATTGAAATATTTGAAGAAAATCAAGTGCCACATATTCGATTCATTTCAAACAATCGAAAGAGTGTTTATTTAATGGATTATTATCGAACGGCTCAGAGAGATTCTTCGACCCTTAATTCTCCAACTTTGCTATTTAAGAGAAACTTTTCGGATGTTGAAGAATTGTCGGGAAGTTTGAGCGGAGATGGAAACAATTTATTTCCATCGGAATTGAAGGGAGTGCAATTTGAGTATACCAATTTCCATCCATTGAATCCATATCGAAAAATTTAATGGATCTTCCAATAGGTCGCAATCAATAATTTCTATATATGAATGGATTGAATTTCCTATTTTGAAATTATTAGAATATTTAAAATATATACAAGAACAACAACAATACTATATCTGCTACTAAGTGAGAAGCAATTGATCGAGTGGGAAACATGTTTGATTTCCTACAACATTTTTTTTTGACCTAATTTACTAATTGATTGTCGATGTTTGTACATATTGAGAGAGTAATAAATACACCACATCTATGAATCATCATCTAAATTCAATGTATGGCCAATTTTGTTCCCATCATCATCTTGTTCCATCCAAATTCTTTATTTTTTTCTTTACATTCAACAGCCGCAAGAATTATTTTCCATTTTCGGATTTTTCTGTGATCATAGATTCGTTTTTCACACAAAAAAATGTCCCCAAGTGTCCTCCCTTTGCTTTCGAAAGGAGATGATTGCCATCATCGTGAGGAAGAGAGAAGGCTTGCTCAACTGATTTCTCATCTTTTTCCATTAAATGCCACTTGTCATTCCGATTCGACCTCTAGCGATGAGATTCTCTCTCTTCATTCCTGTTCGAGTCATCATCAATATCCGTATGGATCTCTAAAACCTTCCTCTTCTTCATCTGATCAACAACATTGTCTTTCATGTTATTCCATTTCTTCCGATCAAATGATTCGACATACACTCACAGATTATGAAACCGACATTCATCGCAAAATTCGGAATGATATTTACGAATTAGTGAGAAAGAATCCAAAAGTATTTGAAAGGAGATATGGCTTGAGTAAGGAAGAAGAACGACAATTGTCACACGATCGTTTGGAGTTTGTGATTCAACAATTGAAACCTTTCGAAATGGAACATTTTAAAACAGATCCGAAAAGATTTTTCATAGTGTTGGAAACGTTGAGTATGATTGATTTTGGAAGTAGTGGAAGATGCATGATTCATTTTGGATTATTTGGTGCTTCAGTCTTGTTTTTTGGAACAGAAAAACATAAACCATTCTTGGATCGAATGGTGAAAGATTTTGGAAGAAATTTCTTTGGAATGTTTTGCATGAGCGAGTTGAATCACGCTTCGAATGTTCAAGCGATTGAAACTCGTGCCATTTACGATTCTTCGACAAAGACTTTCAACATTGTGACACCAAGCGACTCTGCTGTTAAAGTTTGGTCTGGAGGTGCTGCCGTGTTTGCCACATGGGCCGTTGTTTTTGCACAACTCATTGTAAATCATGAAAATAAGGGCGTTCACACCTTCTTGGTTCCAATTCGCTCTGAAAAAGATCATTCAATTTTACCTGGTATAAGAATTCGAGATTTAGGATCTAAAATTGGACTCAACTCGTTGGATAATGGACGCGTCTGGTTTAATGTCACCATTCCTAAAGATTATTTATTGGATCGTTTTGGAACCATTACTGAAGATGGAACTTACAAGACCTCCATTCCTGATCCTGGATTAAGATTCTTGAGTCATGTCTCTGCACTCTTGATTGGAAGAATCATGACAGCAAGTTCGAGCCTTTTAGCTTTGAAATTGGCATTGGAAATTACTTTGAAACATGCTATTCATAGAAAGCAATTTGGTCCAACACTCGATCAGGAAGTACCCATTATTTCCTATCTCAGCTTTCAACGTCGATTTTATCCATATATGGCATTTGCTTATGTGATGCATTTTGCTGTCCAGGATTTGAAATTGAGATATGAAAAACCTTCAAAAGGTGTTGAAAATAAGATGCTTCACACATTGGCAGATTGTTTGAAAGTTAAATGTAGTGAAACAGCATTCCATGGATGTCAGGAATGTAGAAAGGGAGCTGGTGCTCAAGGTTTTTTGTCTGTCAACAGAATTGGTGAAATGAGAACCATTGCAGATGCTTCTCTAACCTATGAAGGTGAGTTCTACAAGTTATGAATGGACATGTGGTGTTAACAACAGTGTGAATTGATGACACACAACAATTTTTGTGTTCACACATAATAATTCATTTCATTGAACACATATACATTTAGGTGACAACACCATTCTCTATCAAACTGCTGCTAGAAATTTAATGAAGAGAGCATCCACAGTTCCAAAATTGAAGCCATTAACAAACTTGTGGGACTTGCAACAATTACAGCAACTCTTTGAATTCAGAGATGCAACACTTGAACATGAATATTTGAAAAAGATAGCATGTCTGTCCAAGTCAATTAGAAATGCCTTCAATGTTAGCGTTCGTTCTCAGGATATTGCTCTCAAACTTTGCAATGCCTACGTGGAGAATCATGCGATCAAAGTATTCATGAGAGAAGCATTGGAATCACTTCCAGAAGAACACAAAAATCTTGGACAAGTTTTAGAACGACTTGCGCTGTTGCTTGTCGTTACTTGGATTCAACAAGATGGATTTTTCTTGCAACATGGATTAATTTCTGGTGAGCAGTATGGTAAATTGGATGAAATGATTAATTCAATTTGTGAATCGTTGACACCTCTCATTCCAATGCTGATCAAGAGTTTTAACTTTCCAGAGGATATCCTTACCAATGTGCCAATGGGTCCAAAACTTGTAGAAATGATGGCCTACGATAAGATCTATGAGTAATTATGAGGCATCTACAAATTTTGATAAATGCTTGTTGAAAATGAATGTGTGAAACCAAACATTGTTATCATGCTCTATATTTCATGATCTTGTATTAGTCTTTTCCTACATGACGACACAACTCTTTTTCTTTTTTGATCGATTCTCCAAAAATTGTGTAAATCCATCATTGATCACTGATTTAAAATCGAGAGTAATTTTAGCACTACATTCAATATATCCACATGCTTGTACTTTTGAAGCAAATTTTCTTGCCTCCAAATATGAAACAGATTCATTTTCGTTATTCGACAGTGATATCGAGTCACGAGGAGAAGGTGTGTCATAATCTCCTTCCATAAAGAGTTCTCGTGGAGTTTTTTGAATAAATTCAGTTTCAAATTGTTCTGCGGACACGGAATGCCTGAAATGGTTTGTCCAATCTTTGATTGGCAGCGAACGAGATCGAGTGGAATAACCTCTAGAGCGATTTGGTGACTGTTGTTTGTCTTTAGAGGGTGAAAAATCAATTTCAATCTCATTCGTATCAATCACAATATCTATAGAACTACCATTAGATCCATTCGTTGTTGTTGTTGAATTAAGAATCGCAACTTGTTGACTATTCCTATTTACAGGAGAGGAGGGAGGTGACTGTGTGAAAAGACTTTCTTTCGATTTTCCTAATGCATTCAAAATGCTGAGTCCAATGTTTTTCTTTTTCACAAAAGAGGATGGACTTGTTGAGCCGATGGATGATAAATTTCCTCGACTGCCATTCATCATGGAACTCATCGAGTTGGATGCACCAATGACACCACCACTGCTACTTGTGATATCCAATCGATGATGTGGTCTTTCTGTTAATGGTCGATCATAATAACTCGAAGAAAATGAATAATCAGAACCCATGCTACCACTCAATTCATCCAATTCTCTCATTGACAAATTAGAATCACTCTTAGCTGTTTTGGGAGGTGTTGAAGTCGTTGATACAGGAGAAGAATTTAGAGATGTTCGATGAATAATTGATTTCCGAAAACTTCTTCTTTTTTGATCCGTCTGTTGTGACGGAAAAATTCGTCTCAAATCTGTCTTACATCCTACCACTAGAAATGAAACATCAGGACAATGTTTTGTAATCTCAGGAATCCATTTCTTTTTGATGCTTCTCAATGTCTCAGGTCGTGACACATCGAAACATAAGAAAAATAAATCTACATTACAATACGATAAAGGTCTCATCTCTGCATAACTATCTAAACTACTCAATTCCCATAAAACTAAATGAAAATCTGTTTGATTACTATTAATACTTGTTGAAAAGGATTCAATGACAGTTGGTGTATAGTTTCGTTCAAATGCATTGGAAATGTATCGATTGATCAGTGACGTTTTTCCAGTTTGTGCATCTCCTAGTACCACAATTTTGTAATGAATCTTGTTGTAAGCTCCCACAATTGGTGCATTTGTTGCAGAATTATTTTCCAATAGTTGTGGTTCTTCTAAATGAGCTTCCAAATACAAACTGGACAAGGATTCCGTTCGGTGATGCGTTCTAAATTTCGATGAAGATGCCGAGGATGAAGTATTTCTTGTGTGATGATTGTTTGGTGGTTGTTGTTGCTGAGACGGTGTCTCTGAATGATTATTATTATTATTGTTATTTTTTGATGATGACGGTACTGACTGGGTGACATCTGAAGTGAGAGAAATGACAGATGGAGATTTTCTTCCGACGGTTGAATGAAGAGGATGATGATGAGTGGAGAAGGATTGAGCACTAGAGGATGATAGAGGAATAGATGAGACAGTTGTTGTTGGGAGAGGAGGAGAGGAAGTTGAAGTGGAGGGCGGCAGTTTACTGGTGGTAGACATTTTTTTCGAATTGTCATCTGTCGACTCAAAAATCCATCAGGATTCAACGGTAGAGACAATACCTCTTTTGTCTTCGGTTTGGAGTTGACCTGACAAGGCATTTTGAAAGCTAATCTATTCTCAAAAAGACTTCACATGAACAGCAATGAACTGTTCAGAGTGAACCAAAGTCAGCCTATTCCATTGGATTGAATTAAAATCCTAAAAAGGACACTACAACACTTCTGAAAACAATTTGTGAATACTCTTATCAGGTTTCAACAATGATGAATAGGAACCTGTTAATACATTGCTCTCGTCCAAGCTGTTGTTTCGAGACGCATTTTCCTTCGAGGTTGTTTGATGAGAATGATTTTTCATGTAGTCTCGTCGCATTGCTTTTCTCTTCTCAAAGCGTTCGGCTTGTCTTTGAAGGGAATTCGTTTCTCTCAACAGAGAGACATATTGAGAAACGAGAGGGCTCGATTTCTTACTGTGGGAATAAGCTTTGAATACACCCAAATGTTTACATTCTTTACGTGTGGTGGATTTGAGTGTAACATTGTCACCTTCTCCAATTTCATACCATGCTTTCTTTCGTACTTGTGCAACTCTCTTAATGTCATAAGATTTGGGTGAATGATTCTTTTCGTGCTTTTTTTTCTCCTCTCGCAAGATTTTCAATTCGAAAAGCAACTCTTCGTCGCGTTCATCGTATTCAATAATTTGATCTAATTCTTGAGCGGTGAGATTGACTCCTTTTGAATAGGCCATAGCAATTTGTTCTTTCCTGTTGGCCTTAACAAGATCAATAAAATTCATTTCCTCTTCATGAAACACTTCGAAAAGATTATAATGAGGTGAATAGACTGTCTCTTCAATTTTTGATAGAACATCATTCAATTCCTCTGTTTGCTTTTTAACTCTTGTTTTTGATTTCACTCCTGTACAAATAGATAAAACAGCTTTTTGAAACTTTTGTTTCGCAGTTAACTTGCTCTCTTCTGATGAAGAAGTTGGTAATTTCAGCTCTACTTTGTATTTCCAAACAGTGTCCAAGCAAGGTTGTCGAATCGAGTCCAACCCAAGGCTCCATATTTGAAATTGTGTTACGATTTTGCGTTGAAATTCAACAGTTTCAAATTGCTCGGCACTATCAGGAAAGTTATATCCAAAGGCCATAAATACCGACTTCGACATGACTTCAATGTACATTTCGTCAAAACCATAGGAAACATTGTGCTTAGATTCGAATTGACGTGCTGCAATAAATTTTACCACCATTTCTGCGTAGTTATTGGCAATTCTATTCTCAACTTGAATAAATTCTTGTGTTAAGGCTTCAAATCTTCGTTGTGACCATTCTCGTGCCTTCTCTTGATAGAATTTAGATTTTTGCATTCGAAGAAAAAAGTCTTTGCTATGGTTCATCTTTTCCAAACAAATATCCAACTTTGTGGAATAGTATTCGGTACTTTTTGAAATCAAGTACTGATTTCCATAGAGTGTCACATAAAACCACCAAAAGGCATCTAAAAGAATATTTTGATTTTGTTCCGATAACAATACTTGATTGACAAGAATTTTTGATTGTGATGGAGCATGATCTGACAAAAACGAGGGAAAATAGATATTCAAAACTTGTTTGATCACAAAAGAAGGGTGGAGTGGTTTTTTTCTGGGAAATTTACAAGTAGTGGAAAAATCTTGGGGAAATTTGCACTCCTCGATGGACTGATGGTTTGAGTTGAATAACCAGTGAGGCAACAAATCAAGTCTATAATCAATATCTTCAATTTCAATTTGAATATCCTCTTTCTTGACGTCCACTTCAGTAATAAATGTATTCGGTGGCTGTTTTTGGGTTTTAGGAATTGAGGATTGATTTGAAATTACATTCGTGCTTGACGAAGATTTTTTCATGAAGGACGGACGAGAAATTGGAGAAGGAAGGAGATTTGATGTTACACTTGAAGGCAAAACTGGCGTAGGAGAAGAGGTATACGAACGAGGAGGTGACACGGAAGATACAGGTGTTGGAGATCGAGAGGAAACCTCAACAATTTTCGGCAGTAAATCGGTTGGCACTTCTTTTAGATCTTTGAAAGATCTATTCGTAAAGGAGGAGACTCTTGTGAGAGAATATCTTGAGGATGGAGTGGTCGTCGCTGATGAATTACTCTTTGAAGCAAGACCACCTCCATTCAAAGTGCTACCACTACCACGAACAATCCCATCCAGATCGGAATGAGGAACCACAATTTGCACAATCGGAATGATATTATCGGAAACTCTTTCATCCTCAAATATTCGCGAATTGATACTGGAAGGTGGTGATCTTCTTTTTTGATGGTATTTTTCAGTTGATGAAGATGTCGGCGGCACTCCGGGCGGTAGGAGTGATCCTTCCGAAGACAACGACGGCGAAGAAGAAGAAGTGTTCATATTTTTTTTTAAACCCTTATCGAAATCTACAGTAAACTCATGAAAATTCTTTACAAAATCATGACCATGGTTTGAAAATAGGAACCTCTTAACGAAAATATTCATACATTTCCATTCAGGGATTAAACTTTGAAGGTGACTCGTTGATTAACACTTGAGATTATGGCACAGTGAAAGATTTTGGTTTTTATGGTTCTATTTGGATTGGAACAATCGATCATCAAATGGACAATCAATTCAACCTCATTGAGGATTGTTGGGTTTGGGGATCTAAGAGACGAATTCTGGCAGGTGTCTATCGATCAAATTACAACGTTTGGCGTCTAGTGGCGATTCGAGTTGATGGCTGTGGAGTGGAAGTGGCCTTTTGTTCCTCTGCTCCCAATGTTGGATTTGCCGCCCATGAAGCTCACGACAATCATGTTAACAAGCTTGAGAAAAAAAGCGCGGGACTGTAGTTGAAAAAAAAATGGTTGATGCTGAACATTGGGCGATTTCTATTCTCACCTCCACACAAAAAGTTCTTCTTTCTCACCAAAGTTACCTACTTTAATATTCATTCGGGCTGCTGTTTCTGCTTCCTATATTCTAAAATATTACAACCCTCTCCGTTCATTCCAACCACAAAGGACAATTATGAAATCTTATAATTGTCGATAAGGTTATTAATTCAGAAAAGGATCTTTTACAACTTTTGAAAGATCATATTGGTGTTACCAATACTCTCGAAACATTGAAACCCAATCTTGAAAAAGCTTCTAAAATATTGCTTTGCCCATTCGGATCTGATGTTGAATTGGTTGATAGGGAGGATAGTATTCAGACCATTATGAAAGTGTTTGAAAAACAAGCCTATTATTATGACCAATACAGCTCGTTGGACAAATTATATGTTTATCAGTCATTTATGGCGGCTGCTCCTGGGGTTGGTAAATCAAAGCTCCTAAAGGAGGTTGGATTAAGGTTATTTAATGAACACTTTAGAAAAGACACCTTATGTTTCCCTCTTTTTGTTTCTTTTGGAAATGGTGTACCATTTGATCCTGATATGAAGCCTGAAGAGTCCTTGTTCAAAAGAATTTGTACCTCCTTTATATGCTCTTACGTTGATGAAATAGGTATCAAAATCTTTGAAAAGATCAAGAATGTCCCATTTAACCCATATCTATCAATAACACATGTATTGCTTGTTGGAACAAAAAGATTGAGTTTTACCTTGCGGTAGACGGCGCTGATCTGATGGTTTATGACATAAATCAGAGAAATAATCCACTTAAAACAATAATGACACAAATTGGAGAACACATACAATGCAACCGGTTGAGATTATATCCATTGTTTGCTGGCACATAGCAGCATACCATTCATGTAATTTTACTAGGAAGCACTTACTCTCCCGCCTTTGTTGCGAACTTTGTTATAAGAAATTAATGCTTTGACTGACCATGCCGCTGGCAATGAAAAATATAAGGACAAGATGAGATCGTGGAGAACTAACATAGAATTTAGACACTATGTTAGATTGCTGGCCGGATATCCACAAGGAATTGACGTGTTCCTTTTAAACTATCTCTATTACGACCAAACAGAGAGTGAAGCATGGGAAAGTGAACGGAAGTTTTTAATAAAATATAAGGCTCCAATTCAAATGAAAGACGCATATTTCTTGTTATCATTAATTTTAACAAGAAAGAAAGTCACAAAGTACCGGTTGATTAGATCAGAATCATTATCCTCTCTGGAAGAGAAAGGTTATATCATGTTAAACATAGACAAATATGATTTTTTTACAGTCTTATACCCTCCTGTTTTAATGAGCACCTTGATACATGAAGGACGTGTTCGGACAACTTTTGAGGAAATGTTTTTTGTGATGCCGTCAACCAAGAGAAATGAAGTTAATTGGGAAGATGCGGTACAGAAATACTTCTATTTATTGTTTACCTCCATTTCTCGATCAATCGATGAACAGGACGGGCCATTGATGCTTAAGGATTTGTTTCCATTCGCAAAAATGAACAACCGGACTTCGAAACTCTTTCTGAAATCAATACCTAAGATTGTTTATGAATGCCAGTCAGCAAAACCAATTCAAGGCAAAATCTCAACAGTAGCCAAACAGCAATCAAACTTTGCAGTTAGCTTGAGAATTTAGAAATTATGTTCTAAACATCCATTGATGCACTTGGAATTCCCAACATTCAAACGGTGTGAAGAGTAATAGAGTAACCATTATATATTCTTTACTGCATTCAAAACAATATCTCGATTGCTCATTGATATGAATAAAAATTCAAATTCTCTTGGATGACTTTTTCACGATCCCCTTTTTCATCCTTTTTCATGGTGGATGCATTTTCTTTTCAATAAATTGTTCAAACATTGGCAAATATTATATTGAATTGCATTTCAATTGTAAAATAATGCTGTCCATCATGAATCTATCATTCCTGAACTGTTATTGTTTTCTCTTGTTGCTCGGTTTTGAGAGCATTGGTTTCATTTGTTTCAACCATTGGAACGCAATTTTCGTTATTTTGGGTGTGGTCAAAGTCATCGACAATGGTTTCTCCATGTTTCATGGTAATGAAATAATCAGTAGGAAGTTTTCTTTCAATCAAACCCTTTTCCAACAATTGTTTAGGTTCCATGACTGGCTCAAAGGTCAACATGAATGTTCCCCAGTGCATTCCTACACGTCAATGACAAAATAGTGTCGCCACACGATGAGTTCATGAATAACAAATGAACAAGAACGATCAATTAATTCGATGGATCGATCAATCAACAAATCAACTTACCAATACTTTTCTTTGCACCCACCTCTTGCGCGATGGTGATTGCTTCTTCAGGATCTACATGTTGATCCTTCAAAAACGATCTTGGATGATAAGCTCCAATTGGGATCAATGCCAAATCAATAGGTCCAAGTCGTTTTCCAATTTCTGTGAATGTTTGTGTATTGTAACCCGTGTCACCAGCATGCCAAAATTTCACCACACGTTTTCCAACTTGCTGTTCAATGATACCATTTGGAATGATTTCATTGAATTCAATTCCCCATGAACCCCACAAGGCCTCATTTCGATCTGTCATATTTCTCGCTCCCCAATGCTGAGCTGGTAAAAACACAAATCGAATTTCACTTTCAACTGTCATGGTCGTATTTGATATTTTTGCAGAAACCTTAAAAGTTACATCTTTCCACCAATCCAATTCATACAATTTTGAATTCATCTTTTCTTGATTCAAACATCCACTTTGCATCCATTTATATTTACACTTGTACGGTAACAAAATAATTGGATCATGATATTTTTGAATGTCACGAATGGACGTTTCACACAAATGATCATAATGATTATGTGACACACAAACAAAATGAATTGGTGGCAACTTGGAAATGTCATCCACTGGAATTTTCTTAATTCTTTTAGGTCCAAAAAACGAGACGGGACTGCATCTTTCAGCGAATACTGGATCTGTTAAAATATTAATTCCACGATATTGAATGAGAAATGTGGAATGTCCAATCCATGTGATTTGATAGGTCTTTTTTGAATAATCAATGTGTGTATCCATTTCATTGAGACTTGTCGACGATTTTAAAGAAGAATTTTCATGAGTAGTGGCAGTTGTGGCAGTTGTAGTGTTTGAGGTTTTTGTGATATTTGCATGTTCCACAAAGTGTTGGAAGGGTTTGGGATGAAACAATAAATCATAATGAGGTTCCAATTGTGGTAATTCTTCATCAGAAGGAATACTTGGTCGATTCCCAATATATTTGAACATGGAAAAGTAATCACCGATAGACTTGTCGTGGGAGATGCCAATCCATGGATCCACAAACTTGTCTGGTTCTAAGAATTGATAATAACCTTCCACATGAGGAAGATCCTTCTGATTTTCATGTTGTTGTGAAGAAAGGAAGAATTCGAGAAGGGATTTCTTCTTTCGATCGGAAACGACCCAATGAGAAGGAATGCATGCGTCGATGGTTGGAGAGGAATGAAGTGTGCATGTGGATGACGAGAGTGTCTGTTGAGGTAGCAGTAGTTGGAGCGAGTTATTACTTGAACCTCCACAGACGTGCTGAATAGTGACCTCTGAAAAGAGATACTTTCGAGAGGTCGTGGAGGTGGTGTTGGTGGTGATCTGTTCCGACGACATGTGGTTGTTGTGGCAATAATGGATCGCGTTGGAGTCGTTTTTTGTGGGTGTGTGTGTTTTGAAAATTTCTGATTTCGTCTCTGCGCCGCCGTTCGAAAAAACATGCGCAGGTTTGAATGGTGCGCACCGTTCAATTAAAGGAGAGTTTTTTAATGTGCTCTTGAGAAGAGTGTCACAATTGTGAACGTTCGATGATGGATGCATGTTTGAAATGTGTTGGAATCAATAATTAATTTCATTGATTCGATTTCATTGATATTTTTACAACTCTGAGAGGTGTTAAAGTCACGATTAAGCAAGCAGTTCATCGACTTTTTGTATGAAAAGATTACCTCGTTCTGGAGTGTATGCCTCCTCTCTTGTCTTGTACAATAAAGTTCCATCTTTGGCAAAAACACAGATACAAATTTTATCGTCACTTTCAATTCCAAGAGCTTCTCTGAATTTCACTTGATCTGTATGAATTAAATAGGTACGTTGTCGAATGAGATCGTCCACAGTTGCATATCGAACGGCCTCAAATATTCCTCTAGATTCAATATCATTATAGACAAGTCCACAAATGATGAATTTTCAACGTTCTTTGAAATGATTTATATTCCGACATGAAAAATCCTACCTTGCTAAAATCCAATACATTTCAGGCTTTCGTCATTCAGTTACATCATTCCGAGAATTTTCATCATCATTAATCCCGATAATTGTGATCCTAATTAGACAACATAATAGTAACAATCAATACCTACCAGCAATGGAAACACATTAAAATCCACATCCTTTTCCTTCCATTCTCCTCCATCTCTTTTCAGATCAGCAAATACAGCTTGCCAAGTCTTGGTATGTTCCTTTTGCTCCTTTGAAAATCCGAACACTGCTATATTCACCTTTTTAGAAAACGTTGAAGGAAAGGAATGTTCTTCTCTCGATTCAATTTGCATTCCCGAGATGGTGGGAAGAATGTATTGCTGTTGGGACATTTTTATTGCAGCAGTGGTCGTTACCAGCCGTTCTTCAAAATTTCCATATTTGTACAAACAGCCATATTCGCACAATATTGGAGAAAGTATTTGTACTCCACACAAAATGGCGGCAAAAAAAATTAAGCCGAAATTCACAATTCGAATACCATGAAGAGAGAAGAAAGTGCTGACATTAGGATTTTCACAACCTAAGGATGATCCTCTTCAAGTCTGGATGCGAAGAGAGATTCAACAACAACAGCAATGGTCATTCATGAATGTTATTTTAAAATTATCACATTCTTGCATTTTCTTAAAATTTCCTTATTTGTAGGTAATGGCATTGAACACTGTTTTGGAGAAACAATCAAAAAACCAAGATGGAGCCAACAAATTCCATCGACCCACAAATATCAACCACAACAGTATCAAAAAAACCTCTAAAAAGCATTTCTTCTTGTCGTTGTACACCTCATGTCAGTTGCCATTAATAATTCTTATTCGGATTCCTCTTCCATACAACAACAACCATCAACCTCCTCTACCATCCCTGCTGGTATCATGACCTCTCCCATTAGTCTCCAAAGACGTCAAGTGCTCCACAAACTTCTCAAAGACCAACACTTAGAAACTCTCAGCGAAGAATTAAATCGCGACAAGAATTCAATCATTGGCACTTTCAATGTCGACTCGTGGTATGCCCTCGATAATGAAAATGGCAAAACCTTGTTGATGACTGCAGTACAGGAAGGAAATATTCAAATGATTCGTTTGTTGCATAAACAATTTGGAGCAGATTTGAATTTTGTGGACAGGTTGCAACGATCGAGTGTTTATTATTGTGTCGAATTGAAACATTATCACAAGTCGGAGACGGTAAGTTGTTAGGCAACAATCAATGATGACACTCATTGTGATAAATATTAAATTTGATATGAATGGGAATGATGAATTGCCGTCCCCAAATATGGTCATGACCTGTCAATTCTTGACAGATTTTGGAATATTTAATTGCCAACCAAGCAAAATGCAATGTCGTCAACTCGGAAGGTCATTCTCCCTTCTATGTGGCCCTACAACATAATAACCTTCCTGCTGCTAATTTACTTTTCACGGAAGGAAATGCAAATGTGAATGAGGTCATTGACAAGGAGGGAAACACTGCTCTCCACGAAGCTGTCAAGAATGGAAATACTGCCACTGTGAACTTTTTAGTGACACAATGCAGTGCAGATTTGATTCAACCAAACAATAAGGGAGATGTTCCATTCTTTATTGCATTGCAATATCCAAGATTGATTAATCAAATTCTAAAATCTATCAATGGATTGAACACAAAGGATACTCGAAAGATGGTTCTTGTTGGAACGAGTGGGTTCAATCGAAGAGCTAGTTTTGATGTTGTGGAATACATGAATCATGTGGTGAGATATCGCAATGAATTGAAACAAAACGCACTTCACAAATGTGCTGCCATGGGTTATATTCATTCTTTGGGTGAATTGTTGACACACCTGTCAGAACATAATATCAACGAAATGACATCCGAAAGGGATGTGAATGGTAACACCCCTCTTCACTTGAGTGTGATAAATAACCATCCTGCCGTTTGCTTCTCACTCAATCAATTGAAGCCCACAGATGCAATCATTCAGAACAACGATGGTGACACTCCGATGCATATCGCTTTAAAGACTTCTGCCTACAAGTGTGCTCGTGTGCTTTATAACAATTCGAAAACGTTCTTGAAGGAAAACAATGCAGGAGAGACCATTCAACTCTTGTTGCAACAATTCAAGCACGAACTGAAACAAGAGGATGACATTTCCAAAATGCTTCTCCAAATTGATTTAACACAACCACACAATTATAGATTTCACAAATTGATCACTGATCACACCTTTCTATCCAAGATGAAAGATTACCTCAGTGTGAATAGCAATCAAAATATGATTATCTTTTACGAGACAGTTCAAGAATTCAAAATGATCAACTCCAATTCAGAAAGGTTCCAGATGGCCGAACAAATTGTGGACCACTTTCTAAATGATGACTCATCACACAAGTTGAAATTTATGAAATTAGCTTATGGACCTTTCCGAGTGAAATTCAAAGAATGCTCTCCCGAGCACTGTCCTAAAGATATTTTCCTTAATTTGGAGACTCTTGCTTTGCAGAATTTGAAAGAGGAGGTCTTTCCCAAATTCATTCGTTCAAAACTCTTCATCAAATACATTGAAAGAAAGAAGCAAACAGATCCAACCTTTTTGGTTCGTTTTGTCAAATCAGAGTTGACCAACGGTGACAAATTGAGTGATGACACTTCCTCCACCGATTATGTCTCCAACTCTCGAATGGCAATGTCTAACACTGGGTCTTACTCAAATGATCACAATGTGAGCTCAGAAAGCGATGAAGTGATCGATGTTGAGGACTATGACGTTAAGGAAAACACAAAAATTTGTCCTAAATGTGGAACTGAATTGATCGATCTCGACAATTATGTTTTCACAGACAAGGAATTCCAAAAAGCCATTGAAAATCTACACGACATGAATCAATGGAGACTATTACATGAAGCTGGATCAGGAAGAACCTATGCAAGTCCTGAACTTCTCCACAACCACCTCAGTAATTCTCGTCGTCACACTCAAGTGAAATATGTGGGTGAAATGGATTGTAGTAGCCACGCAATGTTTAACATGTGGGTTGATCCTGATTACATTCAAAGCCGAGAAGCTCACTTGGATTCAAGCAAACAGTTGGATTTCATTCGAAATGGTAAATACGCAGCAGTCATTGAATTAGAAATTCTCAAAATGAAATTTCCACATCAGAACAGAGAATTCGTTCATGCATACTGTTGTCGATTCGATGAAGAAGAACAGAGATATTTATGTATCAGTCGTTCAGTGAATCATCCAAAAGCTCCTATCAACAACAAGTATGTGAGAGGTGAAGTGAAAACTGCATTCCTTGTTGAACGAATTTCTGATGTCAAATGTCGCTATTATTATGCTGTGACTGCAGATTTTGGAGGATGGTTGGATCCCGATTATTATTACAAGATGGTTCGAAAGGACACTCAATACGTTCATCAGAATTTGGAAAAACTCGTTCACCAAAGAGAACAATTTGGAAAGAAGAGACCAGAGAAGGGAGGATTGATTCAATCTCTCGATTATTACTTGTCCAAGAAGGATTAAACAACGTTGATCATTAATGTCATGAATCCTTTAGAATGTACTTTTTCAAGTCTATGGATGTAAATTCTGATAAACAGACCTCGAGGGATGTGAAAAAATGTTTCTGAGATTCAATTCTACCCTTCGATTCTTGCACTCACCATTCAAATTTTTCGTCTTTTTCTTCTATTTTGTAAAACCCGCCAAATTTGTAACGCCTTTTACGAACGACAGCGTTGTAGAAAAAAATATACAATCCTGAAAAAAAAAGAGATCCTTAACGACGACCGACTCGTTTGAGTTTTCAAGAGTACATCACGCGTGGATCGGAATCAAAATTTTGAAATTACATATCAACATCGGAAGAGAATTATAGTTGCACCGGAAATGTCTGGAAAAAAAGATCTTCAATCGGAATTGTCTCCCAATGATTATAAAGTATTTCAGGGACTTCAAAAGAAGTGGCGATGTAAATTATGTGAGCAAGAATTTTATGTGGAGTCATTGCCTGGAGCAATCTCATATAATTCCGTTTTAAAATTACGACAAAGGTAAGTGAGGAAGAAACATCCCGAACGAGGAATCTTTTTAAATGAAATGATTTGTTGTTGTTTATTTGAAAACACCAGTTGGGGAATGAAAAGTAAACCAGTTTCTCCAGCATTGCTGTATCAAAAAGTTCATGTTTGTGTATTTTGTTTACAATTCTTTGAATATCAGTTAGAGAAGGAAGAGAAAACATTAAAGAAGTCTCCTAAACCAGCAAGCAATGCAACGAAAAAGTAAACTTTTGTACATATTCCTAAAACTAATTAAACAAGATCGATTTAAGAATCAAGTGAATCTAGCGTTTGTGAGGTTGTCACAACACCTTGCATGCTGTTAGCCTGCCCTAACAAATCATTGATCAACTCTTCATTACAAGATCTATAAACGCATGTGTAATGCACATCCATCTATCTTTGTCCCTTTCTTGAAATCCCAAACGGTCAAACAGTTGGATCTTTTTTCAATATTTGTTGTGCATCCTCGTTCTGATGGATGGTTTGTTCTTCTTCATTGACAGTCGCACTTGCAATATTCACTTCACTGTTGACTTCTGACAGGATGCTCAAATACGAATTTTTCTTTCTGCAATAAGCACACAAACATGAATAAACTTCCAAAAATTCACTCTTTTCAAATTCCATATATGAAACTCCAACCATCAAAATGATAAGTAAAACATGAGCTACAAAGAATAAAGTTCCAGTTGTTGGATCTTGATACGCAAAATCGAATAAAATCATACAAATGTGAATGACGCCCATAATGGTGATGATGGCAGACGAAAAGAAGACAAATCGAAGGAACTGTTGAATTTTGTTGTTTGACGAAATGGTTAGTAAGGACGTTAAAAATTATTGACAACATTTAAAAATAACCATGTTAGAAATATGACGTGCCGTCGAAAATAAACATTCAACGATCAAACATTTTACAATGAATCTCACTTACCCATGTTTGGAATAGATCAATATCTGATACTTTTCGCATGACAAAATAAATATAACAAGAGAGTCCAATATAAGCTAGAGTGTGTATGACAATCATCAATGTTTTCGTCATTTAGCCACACCATAACACAATTGTTAAATTATTTAAAAAATCATTTGAAACATGAATCATTCAAATGGATATTAATATATTATGATTAAATTCAATTCAATTCAATGACTTACTAAGAATGGCAATTAAAATGGACAACAATAGCACAAAATTCATCGCCACAACAAATTCTGTTGGAATTTGCATCCGAATCACCATGGAAAGAATTGGCCATAATAACATTAAAGCCAAAAATATCAAAAAAACAATCAACAAGCAAATTCCACTGCACCAAGTGCTCTTATACTTTTTCGATTTCACAAATCTCACCAAATGAAACCAAAATTTGATCCAAGCAATTAAACTGAAATATCCAATACAGAGCGAACAATATTCCAATGCAATAAATAAATTTGAATTTCCAACAATTAAGGTAATATAACCTGCAATGGAGGATGCTTCACACAAGAGTACCAATGACATGGTTGCGATATTTCTCCATCTCCTCAATCGAAGAGAATAAATAAATTTTGGAATAAAGGAAATAAAGAAAATGGAAATAAAATTAATGGCATGTAGAGAGAGACCTAAATAGCTCAAAAAATCGTAATATGTTCTCTGTTTTGCAGTATACCAACAAGAATATCCAAAAAAGTCGCTCTCTGTGCAGTAACAAATGGTTTCATACGTTTGACCATATATTGTGCCAGTGGTGTTCGAATTGACGAGAATGGGAATTCCCAACTCTGTGGCTCCACATGTCAATAATAAATTTGGAAAATTATTTCGAAGATCGACAAATCGGTCGTCATTGAAATGGCATGTCTTCAAGTCAAATATGTAATCTTTTGAGCAATATTTACAATAGTTGAACCAATCGAAAATAGTGGTCTCTCCATTCGAAATTTTCAATGCGAGGTCAATAATATCTTTCGATTGACACAGCACGTCATGACAATTCAATTTCGAAACCTGCTCCCATTTTCTCACTCTCGAACATATATTTCTATTTTCGCCACTCGTGGAAAAGCTTCGATACATGAACTCATTTCGAGAATTCCAATTCCATTCGATCGATCTTTCAACTTTTTCTGGAAATATCAATTCAAGACATGCAAAATTGTCAGGTATTTTGTCACCACAACTCAAACAAGGCAAAAAGAAAGCCATCGAAGAGTAATTGACACATTGGTGAAATCGTCCAAAATTTCGCTGAGATACGCTGTACGAGTTATTGTCTTGTTGTAAATTTTCAAAATAATAATTATTATTTAATTTCCGAATGTCATGTTGATGATCATCCTGTTGACGACGAAGGGATGTTGAGATGCAATGAATCACATTGGAAGGAGAAATGAAAAACAAGAATATGACAAGAAGAAGAGACATGAAAAGAATCTTCATTGTCAATGGAGAGTGGACAGTTCTTGAAGGACTTGTTGTGAATAGTTGTGAATGACTCCGAGTCGTGGTGGTGGTGGCGTAACAGGTCGAGATGGTCATGATTTTTTCTTTTGCGTGATGAATTGGAAGTCGCTTTGTTTCCAAATTAATTAATTTGGAATGGAAGATGAATGTCCGATCCATGATCCATTCGATGACTTTTTCGACATGTCAGACGACAGTGGCACTAATTCCAACGCTTTGGGAAATATGACCACTGGATCTTCAGATCTATTAGATGATGATTGGAGCAGTTGGGATAATTTGGATTCCATTGTGCCCTCTTCATCGAAACAATCCTCACAGCAACCAAACAAAACGACTTCTCAACCCTTAAAACTAAGTCACTCCACAACAGGCACAACAACAGTGAACAAGATCACGCCAAACACAAGTAACAACAATTTGTTGGAAGATGACTTTTTTGCAAAGTAATCCACCAACTTCCAAAAAAACAAATCCCATGCAACCAACCACAGTTGAATGGAAAAGTTGAAATTCAACAGGGTGAAAATGAACACAGTTACAATTAATTAATATTGTGGCGGATTTTAGAAAAGAGTCATTGTTCAGCCAACAGTTTATTGCTTTGATTAAAATAAATATAAATTAATTAGAAGAATTCTTCTAATTAAAGAATTATTAATTAAATTTTTATTAATATTTCTTTCTAAAAAAATGTCTTCAAACGAACGAGGTGGAAAACACAACCCTCCAAGTGGCAAAATAAGCCAAAATCTCTCGGAAGCTGAAGAAGAGTTATTTGCGGAATGGGCCGAAGAAGAAGAACGTCTGAAAGCATCGACACCACCTGAAAAAGCCTCATCGGCACAACTTGCTTCCGATTTACTCGAAGAGGAAGAGGAACAACATGAAGAAGAAGAAGGCTCATCGGATCTTGAATCAAAAACAAATGTAAATAATAATAATAACAACAATATAGGAAATCATGTGCGATCAAAGAAGAAACGAAAAGTTGATCATTTAAATGTAGATACTTCAATAGCAGCAGCGGATACATCATCAGCAGATGCTCAGGCTTCTCTTGACCTCCCAATCACTCCGACCTATACAGGTGTTAATTTACCTTCTGTAGAGCCTGAAATCAAGGAAGAATATGTGAAAAAAGATGAGTATGATAAATTGATCAACTCTCATACTGAAACCATTAAAAAACTGAAGAATGATTACAAGTTGATGGCCGACAAATACAAGAAGGAAATGTAAGTGTAAAATTATCAAGCTCATGGAAATATACGCACAAATGGCATATATTTTTTACCTTGCATTTGAATTAATTATATTTCTACATTGAAAAATTATGAAATGTGAATTGGTATTGTTCAACATGTGACATATTGCACAATTTATTGTTGTTTACATAGTGAGCGTTTAAAGAGTGAATTGAATGCTCTAAAGCAGAAAAAAGCCTTAAATTTGCAAATAGAAACTTATTATTTGTGCTTCTTCAAGAGAACAGCATACTTCTGTTTATTTGATTGAGTTGATAACCACCTAGTTATTTAAATCCTTTGATTTTAACAAATCTTGTTCCTCCTCTGCTTGCTCATTGGAGGCAAGGAAATAATGGCACAATAACTCTTCTCCTATCGGTTGGTCTTCTGTCCACAATAAACTCTCCTCCTCTAATTCAGTATCAATGTTCTCATCGGATTCTACATCTTGGAGTAGTAATGAATTGAGGTCTTCTTCTTCCTCGTCATCAAAGCTCTCCTCTTCTGTCTCTCCTTCGACAGTGTCTTTCTCTAACACTTGCTGTATGAATGTAATTTGTTTTGCGAGTTCATCCTCAGATTGTCGTTTAATAATTCTGAGTCGATCTTCAATGCCGCCCGAGATTGCCTTTTCTTTTAATACAGCACTAGAATTCAGAAGGCTGTACAACGTTCCATTGGCATAGGTTCTTACTTGTGGACTCTCGTGTTGAGCCAAATCCATCAATACGTCGATGATATTATCAATTCTTTCACACCGGACAATCGCTCCCTTTCCTAGACATAAATTCATCAACAAGGCTACTCCATACTCAGTCGAATAGTCACTACACATTTGAGCACCGTCACTCAGAATCCTGCATAAAATTCCAATGACATCACTTTCAATCATATGGCTGATTTTTGTGTGTCACACAGACAAGCAGCACATGAGCCGTTCAAATGAAACCAATGCAATGTGCAAATGATTGTTACAATGTTGCTATTTGAAACACAATCCACTTACATTTGGGGTCGGGACTTGACGCTAATTTTTTGTAGAATTGCAATTACATTTTGTCGAATGATGGTATCTGACTGTTCCACTTCAAGTATTTGAATTAGGTCGCTTATTAATGAGTTTCTTGGAAAATCTTTGATAAGATATACAATTCCAATATTTTCAGAAGCTATAATGTTAATCAATCTTAATGCATATTCTACAACCATGTCATCTTTTGAAAATAAGAGAGCTCCAAGAATTTTCTATTAATATCAAATGAATCAGCATGATGTTGAAAGAAATTAAGATAAAGCCTACCTTCTCATTATTTACAATTCCAAAAATATCATAATAGATCATTGTTTTCATGTTGTTAATTTTCATTCGTAAACTGGATGATTTGGACAATCTCCAACGAAGTGCTTGTAACACGTAGGGAATTACTGGAGAATTGCTCTCTTTTTGGAAAAAGTTTTTCAACTTTGTGTAATCTAGGGAAACAAATGGTATTGCGGTCTCGTTACCATTTTCTTCGTTCCTTGGCTTTGAGAAAATTGTTCGCAATCATTTCAGTTCGTATGTAAGCCGCAAAATCTAAGTTCTTTCAGAAATACTTACAATGAGAGCAGGTAGAATGGACTCGAGTTGTAATGATCCTAATGAGTCCTCAACTACATTTAAAAATTGCTTGTTCAGTTTCTTTCCTTTCATAACTCCCTCTAAAGCCCTAATTAAATCTGCGCTTAATCCATAAAGCTCTCTGTACTTGTTTTGTATGAAATCCATATGGGCTGTAAACTCTTTTTTCTGTTGCTCGACCAATTGTTTGTATCCTGACCCTCCGTTATTTAAATTCATTGATGAGAGTAAATTATTTGTGCTAGAGTTGACACTGGGTTGACAATATGAAGAAGCCAATGTATGAAGATATGGCTGCTCAATATTTCTCGAAAAAGTGGTCTCTAAATAGGTCTTGATTCTGTCGAATAAATCATTTTTCCATTTGCTCTTTAAGTTTCAACCCAATAATACCATATACACCAAATTATTTAACGCACAACAATACATGATTGAACTTCTAACCTACCTGGAACATGTTGACGAAAGATGGGTGTGTGGATGGGTCAGGAATGTATGGAAATGCATAATACGGTAGCAGCTCTGAAAATGTTGACAAAATTGCTGCCTTCATGTCAAGATATTGTTTGAAATCTTGCACATACTTTCGGTGCTCTTGCTTATCTTTTTTCTCCCTAATAGGGATTGTGGCGCAATATAGTCGAGTGAAAAATTCGAGTTTGAGCGTTTCTGGATCACTGGATCTTAGCATGGGAGAAACATGCTTTTCCCACAAGTAAAAATAATTCTTGTAATCACCAGCTTCTAAGGAGGACATCATTTCGTCAATGATTTGTGTTCGTTGAGATTCAGGCATAACTTTCGAACGATTTTCTATTCTTGCTGATGTTGGTCTTTCATTTAGCAGTCTGTTGTTAATCTCCTGTTCAAAGGTGGCTGATGTTTCAAAAAAACCATGAAAGGTCAGGTATCTGAATATGAATAAAAGGGAGTTGCATGAGATGGACAGTAGTGAAGAACAGTTGGTGAATTTGAAACAATAATATCTGAAACATACTCTAGTATCCATCTATTGAGCTGATGAAGTGATGTCTCGCTTGTTTGATCCCTTTTAAAACTAGAAGATAATGTAAAACTTCTCCGTAGCATTTTCTGCCAATCAATGATTATTAATGAAATCAAATACCATGTAGGATGGTTTAATTCAAAAAAGGGTAGTATTCAGTTATGTATGAATGTACTTCCGATACAATAACAAACCAACCTTTCACTTTCAAACAACGAACGTTGAAATAATAAATACAACCAATGAACAATTTTTTTGTAGTTGAAAATAGATATATTGGCGCCAGTGCTCTCATCATCACAATGCCGTCATATATTTTCTTATGGGGAGGCAGAAAATCAATGAAAACCCGAAAGTACAACAACAACAAATCTGAGATGCGCCTCCCGAAATAAACTGTACACCTGAAGAGTGCTTCAACCACAATCTTACAACAAGGCAGTTCAGGTAAACATTCCGAAGGTAAGTCCCAATATTGATGATGATGATGAGGTTTTGATGCATTGGTGAAAAAGCTCAACTTGATTGAAGCTTCTTAGAGCTTAAAGCCATCATCATATTTTGTAAAAATTTTTTGAATTTGTTTTGAAAAAATAACACAACAACAACATCATCATGAGCTCCTATTTTAAAGCTGCAAAGTTCGTCGATAGCGACGAAGAAGAGGAGGAACGCTCTGAAGAGGAAGTATCTGAAGAAGAGGAAGTGCAAACAAAGAAGAAGGGAGGATTCTTTGGTAAATCAAAATTGGTAGAATCTGAAGAAGAAGATGAAGACGAGGAAGAGGACGAAGAAGAGGAAGCCGAACAAAAGGAAAAGGAAAATGAAGCACAAACTGCGCAAGCAGAACAAGAGGATAAGAGGAAAAAGTGGTTTTTAGATGGTTCGGATGAAGAAGAAGAAAGTGATTATTCTGATGATGAATGGCTGTCATCAGATGAAGGTAGCGTTGCCTCGTCTGTAAGAGCAGAAGTCAAATCACACAGACTGAAATATTTGGACGAATTGCGTGAAGTTACCGAAAAGATTCAAGATAGTATTATGGACAACAACTGGAAAGCAGTCTCCGACGATTTTTCAGAAGTCGGTAAGGTGATTGAAAAGTTGCAAAAACTCGATGAATACAAGGGAAAGAAGAAGGTTCCAAATCTTTATATTCGTTTCTTGGTGTATTTGGACGACAAGTTGGAAGAGGCAAAATCCAAGAAGGATGACATCAAAACAGCTGATTCCAAACTCATCACAACATTCCATAGAGAAGTCAAAAAGACCATCAAGAATTATGAAGATTTGATGACTGCCTGCAAAGCAGAACCTGAAGCTTTCCAAGATACTGAAGATGAAGCTGAGGAAGTTCCAGTTGACAAAAAGCCACAGAAAAAACCAACAGTTCCTCTCACAGATGTTCAAAAGTTGATGGCCGATTTGACATCGGGCACCATCGAAGAAAAAATTGCGGAAATCGGACGAGGAAAGGGATACAAGGGTACCAATCCTAAGGAATCCCTTCTTCAGTTGAAGATTTTGTTGGCTCACACTCCTGAAGTCAAGACTCGAATTCAATTGCTACTTTTAATTGTTCTTACCCACTTTGATTTGCCAAAAGGCAACAGCAATTATCTTTCATTTGATGCTTGGAAGAATGCTTGTCTTGGGTTGATCCGATTGATCAAGCTCATCGAGGATCATCCAGAATTGCAAGTTGTTGAATCGATTGACACATTGTTGGGAGAATCCGCTCCTTCCAATAATGCTACCTCATCTGAGGCCAACCAAGTACACATCAAGGGTAATATTGCGTCAATTTTGGAAAGATTATATGATGAATTTATTACTAGCTTGCAATACACTGATCCACACACACAGGATTATGTGAAGAGATTGCGAGATGAATATCTTCTTATTGAAGCCGCTGAAAGAGTTTACTCATTCTACTTGAAGAGAAATAACAAGAGAAATCTCGCCCGTGCTGCATTTAAATTATTCGAACATTTATACTATAGAAAGCAGGATGATCATGAGAAGCTTCTCGCTGCTCAGAGAGCAAATGCTTTGAAGGCTCTAGAGGAAGCTCATGCTAACTGGGTCGAAGAGGAGAAACAAATGTTGTCAGAGTCGGTCACACCAACCGTTGATCCATTCAAAGTTGATTCGCCGGATGTCATTGAAGCAAATCTTCCTAAAGTTCTCTCTAATTTGGCAATTATAATTTACGAACATGGTACTGATCATGCCAAGATACGAACACTGTTGATGCAAATTTATCACAGAGCTGTCTATGGTAAATTCTTTGAAGCTAGAAATCTTCTTGTCACTAGCAAACTGCAAGATAATATTCACCACTATGAAATCCCAACTCAAATACTTTTCAACAGAGCGATTGCTCAAATAGGTATTTGTGCTTTCAAGAATGGTTTAATTCAAGAGTCACATGCTGCATTACTTGAACTCTATGGTTCGCAGAAACAAAAAGAATTACTCGCCCAAGGTTTGACAAGCAGCAGATATCAACAACCTGCAACTCTCCAAAAGAAGGAACAACTTGAAAAGATTGAAAGAAGTAGATTAATTCCTTATCATCAACATATTAGTATTGATTTGATTGAAGGTGTCCATTTGATGTGCGCCTTACTTTTGGAAGTCCCAAACATGGCCATGCAATCCTTCTCCAACGTTAAACCAAAAGTTATCAATAAGGCATTCAGACGTGTATTAGAAACTTTCAGTCGTCAACATTACGTCGGGCCTCCAGAAAATACAAAGGAGCACATCTATGCTGCCTACAATGCTCTTTCTTCAGGAGAATGGGAAGAAGCTTTCAATATTTTACTTTGTCTTGAGGATATTTGGAGCTTGATTCCTGACAATGAATCAGTCAAGGAAATGTTGAAGAAGAAGGTGAAGGTTGCTGCTTTGAAGGCCTATATTTTCAAGTATAGTAGACATTACGAAACTATTTCTGTACAATCATTGTCAACCATGTTCGATCTTCCAAAGCCCACCGTTTACTCGATTGTGAACAAGATGATTATTGCTGAAGAGTTTTATGCTGGATTGGACCAAACCAATGATACCATTGTTATTTATCACTCCGAACCAACTCCACTCCAATATCTTGCCCTCCAATTAACAGACAAAATTTCCGCCCTTGTTGAATATAATGACAAGCTCTACGATGCCAAGCAAAGCAATACAGCCTATGTCGTCATGACTGACCACAAACAACAGAAGAGATCAAAGCAAAAGACCACCAACAAGCAAGGTCAAGGCAACCAGAAAGGTCCAAGAAACACCTCTGGCGGCAACAAAGGTCCAAATCAAAAGAGAGAAAAGAATACAAAACACCACAAGGACAAGCAACAACAGCAAGCAAGCTCAACTCCAGTTACTGCTTCCGTTCAATAAGTCACTACTATCAAAATAAATTAAAATTGTTATATTCTAAGGAGAATGTGTTGAACGAGAATGTGCACTATGCCATGTTTATTGCATTTCAATACTTGTTTTCCCAGCACGCTCATTTTCCTTGCCCTCAATTTTGATAGTGTTCGTTTTTATGACCTTGGAAAATTTGTGCAACAAGTTGTGACTGCTCGAAACAGCGTTACTTCCTCGCACACCCTGTTGCTTTTGCTCTTGTTGATTGAGAGCAGTTGAATGAGTGGGCGTTGTGGAAATCATCATGGCATCTCGTTTCCTCTTATTATTTGTCACCTGGCTATTCGTGTTGTTAGTGCTGTTGCTGACCAGATTGGAAGTACTCAACAGAGTGGGCGAATCGGGCGATGAAGCAGGAAACAGAGAATTGGGAATATTGGAAAGAATTGTTCTACTTCTCTCGCTGAGCAATTTCTTCTTCTCCTGCTCTTGCCTGATCAGGTTACCCAATGCAGGCGATCGAGGAATGTTGCAACTATTCGTCTTTTCTTTAAAGGTTTTATCTCGTAGAGTGTCGATGAGATCTTCAATTTTGGTGGAGTCGGTCAAATATAGCATGTCCTTAAAGGCGCAAGTTTTGCATTCCACCATTTCTGATATCAATTTTTCCAAAGTGGAAAGTGAATAAAGAAGTGCAGTAATGTGTGAATATCTTTCACACAACAAGTAAATTTTTGTTGCATCTCCACACTTTTTCGTGTTAATCAATTCTTCAAACTGTACTTGAGCTTGTCGTAGATAATCTACACACACTCGTAATTGTTTTAACATTTCTTCAACTTTGGATATTGGTATTTCTCCAACCTCTTTGTAACCTGTCACATAGGTCAAGAACAGAATGCCCATGCAAAAAATGTCCTTTTCAATGGCCGATTTGCGTGTATGAGGTTCCAATGGAAGTGGTTTGTAAACGAATGGACCTCGCGGGAGGCAGATCATTCGTTGTTCTGTCTTGATGTCTGGCTCATAAACGGTACTTGTTGTAGTCATGCTCGTGAGAGGAATGAGTGATGGTTGAACATTTGTGGTAGTTTCATTCTCCCGATTGCTGGCAACCTCAATAAATTCCTCATTGAGGGCCTTATTCAACGAATAGCTTTCATTGTAGCTCTGATGAGAGGTAAATCCTGCAGTAGAAGTACTGCTAATGCTAAAGCTATTTCTTTGGTTGGCCATGTTCAACGCATAAGATGAAGTGCCTGTGCTAATACTACTACTGTTACTTCGTATGCGTTGAAGTCCCTGTTGTGGTTGTTTGAGAGTGATGGGCTCTACTGAGAGCACACGAAATCGAATGTGAAATTTGAACAGCATGTGAGAGAGTGACACATTCGCCGATCTATGACAATAATTGAGCAGCGAGAACATGGGCATTATAATTTCTTGTGTTAATTTTTCCATTCGTTTCAGTAAGGTATAGAATGGTTTGTCCTGTTTCAATGCTGCATAATAATCTAATTGCTCCTTTTGAAGGCCTTTTCTTGCTGTTTTATCAAATAATGCAATTTTGCAAAGTCTGAAGAGAAAAACAATCATTTGCCATTGAATATATCGCAAACAAGCATGATCATGCAAAATCATGGTACATTTCGTGATGAAAATCTCAGTACTTAAGAGAACACACCCAATAAAAACACCCAAACTACTCACCCCAAGATATCCTTTGCCACTGTGAAATGGTCACCAGAAAAGGATCGACAAGTACAATTCTTGAAAACCTCCACCTGTAAATGTTCTGATGAACGAATGGATTTTTCAATACTTCCAAAGGTGGCTATTATATTTGCTACGGCTGCCTTATGATTAGTCACTTTGACATATTCCTCACAAAAGGTTTTCAAATTAACTTCTGAGCAATTAAAAGCTTGATGTCGAAAGAGTACTTCCGAAGGATCTGTTTGAAGTTGCTGCAGCAGAGAAGAAGTGTTGTGATCCGTTGTTTGGTTGTGAGCTGCCCCAATCGGATGATCTTCAAAAGCCACAAAGGAAGAAGGTTTTTGAGAGGATGATGATGTATGGTTTAATGGTTGTTGTTGGGAAGGAGGAATACTGCAAGTTGTGTTCAACGGTGCTGTAGTTGTTGAAGAGGATGGAACCGTTCCTACGACGACTCTACGTCGTGAATGACTACTTGCTTTGAATGATGTGATTCGTACCATCACATAGACAAAATCATTCAAAGGAGAACCATTCATCATCATCATATTGGAATCGGAAGGAGTACTTATCAAAACTTGAGCCTCAGAAGCAAGCCTTTTTGTGTCCAACTCGAAAAACAAGCAAATGACTTGAGAACCATCTTCATACATCATCAAAAAACCCTTAGGGAATGAAGATAAGCTGCTACTATTGTTGTTGTTGTTGTTGTTGTTTTGATTCATCATTCCTCCCGATGATGAAGAGGCTTGCAATGTTGATGATGATGATGAAATATTTACACCTGAAGAAGATTGAGTTTGCGTTTGCTGCTGATTCTGAGGTTGAGAATAATACAAAGTCTCTCGAAACAAGCAATACACATGCCGAAAGAGAATACTCATGTCTGTATTTCCTTCTGAATGATGATGATGATGATTGTTGATTGTATCATCTTGGATCAGATAATTCTTGACAAATTCCTTGACATTATGAATGGAAATGACCTGTGTGAGTCGAGGAAGAGAGGAAGATGGTAGAGTGGTCATTACAGAAGAAGAAGAAGAAGAAAAGGAGGATGCTGAAGAAGAAGTACCGAAAGTAGACCATCCATTCTTGCTCATGTGTGAAATTCAAGTATTTGTTTTTTTTTAATGTTTAGGATTGGATTTGGCGGGCTGAGCGATGCCTTTTTTAAATATCATGCAAGACTACAATGGAATTGGTGAATGATTGACTTGGTTTATAATAAGTTATGGTAAGTATAAATTGTTGGAATAAATTGTTGCAATTGAGTTGTGTAGGTGGGGTGGATGGAACGACTGACCCGACCACTTGTTATTTCATCCAAGAGGAAAACCAAGAGGAAGCAGCAGCCAATGGATCGGTGGTAGAATCTGAGGTGGTGGCAGAAGAAGAAGAAGAAGAGGATGTACGATTTGATTTGTTTCGAGGTGAAGTTTGCAAGGTTGATGGTTGCGGTTTGGTGGGTGTTGAAGTGACATTCTTCCAAGAATCAGGAAGTGAAGTAAGGAGAGATTTTGTCAGAGTGGACAAGGTAGAGTCATCCTCTTGATTCAGAGATGTCACAGTTGGTGCCTCTGGAATTTTCAAATTTTTCACAACCTCATTTTCTGGATCCTTAATTTGCAATTTAAGTGTTTCAATAATTTGTAAGAGTTGGTTTCGGTCTTTTTGATAAACAGCTTCCATCCTCTTGTACTTTTCTTTTGCCTCTTCGAGTTGATTTGACTTTTCTGAGCACACCTCAGTGGCCTTGATCAATTGGTCTTTGAGTATTTTTTTAGCTTCTCTCAATTGTCCTTTACGTTGCACATTCTTTTCAATTAATGTGCACAGATTGCCTATGGTACATTCGAGAACAACAAGTTTTCTCTGAAGCGATTCTTTTAACTTGGCAAAAGAATAAAGTGAATCGGGATCCTCTTTGCGTAAATCCGACATTCTCGTTTCGATGGCTTCCCCTCTACTATCAATATCCATGACCTTTCCAAATCTATTCAAAATATCAGAGATCATTAAACTAATTCGTGTTTCTACAATTTCTTGTTGATGACCTCCATCTCCATTACTATCTGATGTTTTTGTTGTGGTCGTTGTGGTTGTTGTTGTTGATGATGACTCGGTCGTTGGAATTTCAACCTCCGATGTTGTACTTCTCTTTCTCTTGACAAATTTAGAAATTTTAGAAATTAATTCATTTTGTTTGGCTTGATCTGTTTCGTCCTTGATTTGATCTTCATCGGTCCATTGAAATTCAATCACCACACCATCATCATCATCTTCTTGGGTATTATTTTGATCAGTGGAGATTTGCTGCTGTTGTGTGGAAGCACTTATAGATGATGATGATTCTACCGATTCCGTTAAAGTGCTACCATTGATGCCAGAAGCCTTCTGAGGAGTAGATTCCGATAATGCCTTTTGATGATGTGGTTCAGTCTCTGATTCGTTCAACAACTTTTCAAATTCTTCATCATTCAATTCAGTATGTAATGAATCATCGTTGAGTTTAATAATGGTTGCGTGTTCTCCATCGTCCTCCAACCTCGAATTTAAAAAATCATCAAACAAATCTTCTCCTTCTGCGGACATTTTTTTGTGAATATATTTTTTGAAATATTAATTATTATTTGTGAGGTTCAATAATATTCAGTTAATATATTTCCCATCTTTAAATGGAAGTTGGGCAGGAATGAACAATGCAATCAAAAACACTCAAAAGTTACTAATTTCTAAAGTGACATTTCACATCTTCAAAATTGCTATTTTCAACATTTCATGTCCACTTCCATTTAAAGATGTCAGAGATACAAAAGATGTTTATATTCTACCAGCAAAAAATGTCACAACAACCACAACAACAATATACATCGACCACCTCCTCCATAGTGTCTACAACCTTGCCTTCATCTCCCAATGAACTCGTGGCAAATTCCTCTCATGAACCACCCATGATGATCACCACCTCTCCTCATTCATCCTTCCAATATCCTTCAACGATATCAACCATCACAACAAGTAGTATGAAAGAATCGTCGAACCACAACAAGGTTAGCACACCCATTGCCTCTACCTCAACAACTTTAGCCACTCATCCATCCTTTGTTCAATCATCATCATCACCACCACCACTTGTCTCAAAAATCTCCTCAAGTTTTCATTCTTTCCCGTTCATGGGTAGTAGTAGTAGTGGAAATGATTTTCAATTTTACACGTCGTTTCATTCCTTTATTCATGATCCTCAAGCTCGACATGCCTTCATGCAATATTTACAGAGTCGACAAAATGATGAGAATATTTTGCTTGTCAACGATGTGTTTCTCATGAGGGATCAAGTGAGACATGTGGTGAGGAATTTATTTAACATTTTGGGGAGCTCTTTTATGAAGAATTCTTCCTTTCAGTGGAATGCAACAGAGGTGACAATGAGTCATTCGGAATGGAGTCACCCAAGTGGCAACTCAAAGAGTTCTTCTTCCTTTCATGACGAATCAAAAACGAACAATACAAATACATCTTCGGAGGAAACTCTATTGGAATTCTTGCATGATTCAACAGCAATGGAATGTGCCATGGCGACTAATACGTCACACTCACTTCCTTCACAAATATCAGTCACAAAAGACAACATGCACTCACCCAATCAGTCACAACACCATGCACGTCATTCGGATCAATCGAATAGTTTCATCGTTTCCTTCTTTTCGTTGGGAAAAAGTCCTAAAAGTCCAAAAAGTCCAGATCAAATGGCATCCACTAACTCTCTGATGAGCCCTCCCAACTCTCCACCTCATTCTCATTTGTTTTCGCTTCACACAATGCTGTCAAATCATACGAATCCCATAGAGTCTCAACAGCATCATCATCACCATGGCCAACAACAGCATCACAGTCGTCATAACTCGTCCAACAAATCAAAATCTGCATTTTCCTCTAAAAGCAGTAACGAAGAATTTCTCAATTATGAAAATAATGTCATGCTCGTCGATAGTCCAACTTCCTATCGACGAAGTAGCAACGCCTCGGCTGCTGCTGCACCAAACAATTCCTTTTCGTCATCTCTGGAAGAAGTTGTAGCTCCGTCGCAACGATTTTGGGATAGTGTCAATGCAATGCTTCAAAGTGTGGAATTAATTTATAGTAGATATGTGAATGACAATGAGAGTAACAGTACGAATACTTCATTTTCTTCCTCTTCCATTCAAAACTATGATCTTTCAAGTGTTAAATTTATTTCTCTCAATACGACACATACAGTGTTGGAGCATGCTCGAAAGGACTACAATATGGTCATGAAAATATTTAACAACACTCGTTGTAGCTTTTCAAATCAAGATGGATTATTGGAAAATGTCATGCGATTTTGTAATTACATGCTGTACGAAAAGGATCACCGATTAAGTGAAAAGGATTTGGAAAAATTGAAGAAAATAGTCATTGCAGACGAATGTTTGATAGATACCTTAAATGATCATGTTCATTCGAATGAAGACATTGATTCAATTTTGAAACAAGAAATGTTTGCACAATTCAAATGGTATCCATTCAGAGATTTGATGACTAATATTTCACAACAGCTACAAGTGGAATCGTTTGACGAGTTTAAATCGACGCCAGAATTTGAAATATTTATCAGAAAACAAATTCAACAATTGACTTCACACTACATGTACAAATTATTCGTTCAAAATGTTGGTGTTATTCCAGCCATGGATATGAATGATTATGTTCTATCAAAAAAGAAAAAACGAAAATCATTGGTGGATGTCTTATTGAGGAGGAAAGGAACACCTAACAATGACAATGACACATCGTCCTCTTCGATTGAAGACTCCCACACAGTATTTCATGGTTCTCACAAATCCTCTTTCAATGAAAGTGTTTCCGCAACCACCATTCAAGATGAATCCTTTGTGAATGCCTTACAACAAAATTACAATTCCATTCTCATGGCCATGGATCATTGTGACCTTAAAGAATGGATGTCACCAATTCCAATACCCAAATGGTCCAGTGATCAAGTGTCCAAATTTTTGGTGAATAATTGTTATTTTGGAGGAGATGGAGCTGTGGAAATTTATTGTGACCGTGTTCAAAAAAAGAGTATTACTGGCCTTGATTTAATGTGTTTGATGGAACCAAATCAAATTTCAAAGCCGTCCAAAGAAACTTCTCAACTCTTCAAAAATCTGAAAATGAAAAATCATGATCATCAACAACGATTCATTTCCAATCTCAAGGAATTTCTTCAAAACCAATCGAAATTTAGAAGGAAACAAAGTTTACTCTATCATGACTTGTATCAACCATTGGTGAATGATGAACACATTATTATTAAGGTTCTGTCACCTCTCACCGATGAATCTCGAGTTTTCTCTGTGGAAAGAAGTATTCCATTGGAACAATTGCGACAACGAATTGAAGTTGAATTTTCCAACACAAAATTGGCAAGTCTCATGGAAGGCTCTCTTTTTGAGCTCAAATCCTTGTACACAAGTGACGGGACTGTCATTAAGGATCAGTTTCAACTTTCTCAATTTCTATCAAGTGAAAATTCCACAACAATTTCAAGAAGAAGAATGACTAACGGAGACATGTTCTTTCAAGACATTAGGGATGAGAACTCTGTGGAATCAAATCCTTCCGAAAGTCATGGCAACAACATGTTGGACTCGAATAACTTTTTACAAGGTGAAGATGGATTCAAAAAATTGTATATTCAACCCTCGTGCGATAAGAAATTCCAGAGACGAATGGTCGTTTATTGATGATTATAATCATTCTAAATGTGATGGATAGAAATATGAATTGAAAACGTGTTGTTCGGTATTATATGAATTGACAACTTAGAACATCTAAATTCCATACTATAGATAATGTGTAATCCAATGTTTCAGTTAAGGAAATATGAATTCTCCAATGTCTCTCAAAATATTCCTGTACTTTGGATAATACATGACAATTGGAGAAGGTGAAATGATAAATTTCGGAAAGTTTTTCACATGACAAGAATTCTTCTTTTTCAGAAGCACTTTTTGACGTAAAGCAAAGAACAGCATATTCCAATCTTTTCTGTTGTGTCAAATTACAATAAAACAAATAAATGGGCATGTCCTGCAATGGAATTTGTTTCAAACAGTTCAAAATCTGAATTAAAATTCTGAATGAATGGGAGACAGTCCTGTATGATCCCTTGGAATTGATAGCGATCAGTTGTTGTTCTAACCATTCATTTCAGCAACAGCTCCAATTCCTGTTTGTCTTGATTATTGTAGGACTTGGTGTTTTGTATTCGTGTGTGGGATGAAACAACATCCTGATCATCATCCAATGGGATTTCAATGTTCCTTAAAGATATTGTTGTTGAATAGGATCATTCGCTCCTCACTCGAAAAATTCAAAGTCTTAATGATCATCATCCTCTCTCTTGAAAGCTTTTGACCACAATGTTGTTCAATGATCATCATGATGAGGAAGTCCAACAGTTGTCATTTCAAGAGAGGTGGAAAAAAGTGGATAAATGTTTTTTGACGAATACTGATTAGTGTTGTCAGAGATGATGAGCGCTCATCGAAAATGGCACTTTTTCCAATAAGACCATGTTAGGATCATTGTGATTTTTCGGTCATGACAAGATGGAATGTCAACTCCATGCCTCCTGTCACGTTTCAAAATGGATAAAGCTATATCAGAACAGACCTCATTAGGTTTTACACAATGTCTTTGTGACATTTGAGGAAGTTGTATTTCTTTGAAAATTCAAAAGGGTCATTCATTGTGGTCTGAATCATGATTTTGTACTCCAAACGTTTGACATTCAGCTCAAAAAAAGTTGTCTACCAACGTGACAAATGCTTCCAACACCTTCTACCACTAAAGAGAGCACCCAAAACAATCCATCATCTTCTAATCAACAACAACAACAACCCCACCCTTCTCCAACACAACCACAAGATGCAGAACCACAACAAGATGCAAAACAACCACAAGATGCAGAACAATCTTTCGTTCTTTCATTTTCACCTCCAAATTCTCCTGAAGGGACCTTGTCGCCTTCATTGCAAGCACCATCCACGAGTCCCTTCTCCAACACAACAACGAACAGTACGACACGTCTCACCATTGGTGGCGAAATGGATGCCAATTCATTATATTTGACCATGAATGCTTCTTCTGTCAGTTGTCATTATAAATCTCTCACTCCCATTCCATCGAGTGACAAGTTCCCAACTTTGAGCCAAACCACCACTACCACCACTGCCAACAACGATGAAAACTCAAAGAAGGAAGGAAATATTTCAACAACAACCATTTGCACACACCGTCCAGAATTTTTCGGTGGAATCTCCCAAGATATTGAAAGTACCGTTCGAAATGAAATCCATTACAAAATGTCAGCTGTTCATACTTGTCATGGATCTGTGGCTCAACATTCCACAAAATCGAACAACTCTCTCACAAAAAGCACTCTGGAGAATGGTGATGGTTTCATTCATATCAAGACATGTTTTGGAGTTTTACAATTGAGTGGAATGAAAATGTTGAGTCTGACTTCTTTAACCTTAAATCTCTTTGCGTTCCTTTTATTAGCATTGATGATTTCAGTTGCATTTGTCGGTCAAATCATGTTTGCTCATAAATTTGACAATTTGGATCTTTCGAGTGCCTATTATCGAGAGGGAATGATTGGTTCATGTCGAAGTGCAGTATTTTCAAATATTTCACATGACATGACTTGGCTCTATATTGTGAAATTTGAAAACTTTTCAAAATGGTTTCAGGAGAATATGGATTTTATGGTAACGTCGAGTGTGATGAGAAATGTTTACTTGAGTGGAAATCGAACCTTCAACGATTTGAAAACTTTTAAAGCCATTGCAATCGAACGTCAAGCGATTTCCGTGTTGAAAGAGAATGGAAATCACTCGGTGGCCATGCAATGGTTGGATTCGCCTTTATATTTAAATAATGTGGAAGCCTATTCGGAAGAATTTCAACCACTTGTTGATTTTGTTTATGGACTTCAAGTTTTTACAAGAAATTTCAACGTCATTATCACCACGGCATGTCTTGTGACCATTGTCGTTTCATTTATCGTTGTGGCTCCCACTGTGATTGCTTCCCTTTGGGTTTCATTGAAACGAGACACTTCGAATGCAAACAAGTTGAAACATGTGAAGGCCTTATTGTTACAAGACACGATGCGTGATCAAAAGTTGAAACATCTCTTTAAGGAACATTGCAAGAAAGAACTGAGTTTAGATAATTATTCATTATTGGACAAGATCCATGATTACAAAGCTCTTTGTGAAAAAAGTTTTGACATTCAAGTGTACTTGTTTGACAGCAGTGACACTTCAAGTCTTTCAGATGTCACTTCAGAAACAGGTTCAACTCTTAATGAATCCAATTCCAGTCATAAAAAGAAAAAGAAGAAGGGTTACACTGAAAAAGATTTACGAGAAATTGAAAAGAAAAAGTTTGAAATTGCCTTCGAAATTCACACCGACTATTTGGATGTTCATGGAGACAAATCTGTGAATATCAACAAAAATTTGGCAGAACATGTGAAACAACAATTGGATTTCTTTGCGACCAATCAGAATGAACAATTAGCAGAAGATTTATTTGATTCTGTGGAGCATGAAATTTGTTTTGTCATGATGGACACACATATGAGATTTAAAGCCTCATTGGAAAATCAAAAACAATCCAAGAAGGAGATTTTAAAGAACAAGAAGAAGGCAATGAAATGAGATCCATGAGTGATGGTTTTTCATCAAAATTGGATTTGCAATCCATTGAATTTCATCACCTTCAACCATCCTCACTGGTCTTGTGTCAAAGCATTCACAACTTGGAGACATTATGCCACAATGAATCATTTCCTTCATAATGTCAGAACAATAGGTGATTCAAAGGAATGAAATTGTGACACAAAAGTTTGAAAGGAAATCAAGTCCATCATAAAGTCTCACATTATGAAATTTCACTGTCATTACCAACAGTCCACTGTTGTCCTAAAATCGTTTGATACGATTAGGATACAGTGTTCATTCAAATTGTTCTTGATTACCATTTTAGGACATTGACCACTTGGCGTGTTCGCTTCCTCACTACTTCACCAATCATCATCATGACCGCACTCTTCTCATTTCCACAACACAAAAAAATGTTTCGATACCCTATAAATACCATACAAGTGTTTGTACTTGTTCTTGCAACTCTTTCAATAGGTAAGCATGATGATGATAATAAAACTCATAAGTGTGAACGATTTTACTTTCGAAATCGGAATTTGAAATCATTTCTGTCATCATCAAGTTGCTCTTCTTCAGGTGAGAAGAGTTCATTCCATCACCGCTTTCACACCTCTCGATCTCATTTACACACAATACATGGGAAACAATATGCTTCAAAATCCCAATTTCACACTCACTCAAAACATTCCAAATTCGAGTCCTTTTCAAAATTGGAATATTGTTTATTCCGGTTCCAATATTCAAAATGTCGCTTCTGGTGGAGCTTTGAGTGGAAATGCTGTGAAATTAGTGGGTGTGAATAATGGACTCGTTCAAACAGTGACTTTGAATCAATCAACAAGAAAAGTGGTGTTTTTCTCAGCATGGAGTAAGGCAGAAGGTGTTACTGGAAATGTTGATTCTGATTATTCGTTTTATATTGATGTGAAATATCAAGATGATACTCCTTTATATGGACAGATTTTGTCATTTGACGTTGGTACGACGAATTGGAATTACAAGTATGGATTTATCATTCCAGAGAAGCCAATCAAGAGTATGAGCGTTCTTGTGTTGTTTAGAAACTCTCATAGTGGAAGTGTTTATTTCTCTAATTTGGTAATTTCTGAATTGAATATTGGAGCTGATCTTGTTCAAAGTTTGGATGGAGTTGTGATGACTAAATTGACCAATCCTCAATCCCTTGGTTCCATTCATACGTTGAGTACGTCCGATGGTCTCTCTTTGAGATTTGACAAGTCCTCAGGTATAGTGGCTGGTGTCACCATTGATAGCCAAACAGTGGCATCTGACAGTAGCCAAATCTATGGAGGTGTTTTTGTCAAGGACATGCAATTAGGTGCCACAAAATCCAACATGTACCTGCCTACTCCAAGTAAGGTAACTGCAACTTTTAATACATTCAGAACAGAGTCTTATCTTTCTGAATTAGAACTTTCTATCAATACGACATTCAAGTCAGATGTCGACATTGCGAAAACAATTTCCATTCGAGTCGATATTGAAAACAAGAGAAATGTGTTGAATCGAGCACTCTCTGTCTATGTGGCCATTCCTGTGAGTAATATGAATTTGGACTGGATTTGGGGAGATTTTATTCGATCTTCGAGAGGAATTGTTGATTTTTATCCAAAAGAGTTCAATCGAATGTCACAACGAGTGTCAACGAATCAATATTTGTCATCTACTCCATTTTGGGGCATGTCGACCAACTTGACAAGCAACAATGTTGGATTGGGATTTGGTATTCCATTGGACTCTCCCAGAATTGTTCGATTTACCTACAATGCTGTTTGCAAACTTTTCTACGCAGTTATTGATTTAGGTATTTCACAACTGCCAACAGCCATTTCAAATAAGGCATGGATCGATTTAGTATTATACAAACTGGACAAAACAGAAACAACTATTGGCAATGTCAAAACACCTCTTCCTTACCCAGCAAGAAGTGCAGCTTTAGGTTACTATTCCAGATTCCCTCAATTCTATCAACGAAGAATTTCTCCAGAAACAGAAGGTCTCTGGGTCGCTTTCAGTGACATTTCTCCCATTCAAAATATTTCTGATTTTGGAATTAGTGTTCATGAAATTGGTGCAGGAAGTCCTCAAAGAATTGTGAATTTTGCAAAACAAAATGGAATCAAGGCATTTAGATACTTGTCAGAACCATTCTCCTCATGGGTTAGTTTGCAATCCACTTCAGTCGATCCAACCAATTACACTCAAGTGTTGGATTACTTGAAACAAAATGCAGCAAATCCAAATTCTCCTATTCAGGCACAAGCTCAATATACTCTCGTTTCGGGAATTAAGGATCCAGACACTGGTTTGTATCGATACACAAGTGAGAACAAGCCATGGTGCCCTGTGAAGTGCGCTCTGTTTGATTTAACTCCGCTGCCAAATGTCAAACCAGATGCCTCTCTTCCAAGTAATTATATCAGTAAGGCAGACAATGATTGGAACGCAAAATTTATAAGTGACTATACCAATCCATTAAGCCCCATGTTCAACTTGAGTGGTGAATATTTAGATTCTTTCCCAGCTAATGCTTGGTTACTCGATTACACACCTGATCATGTGAAAGCCGTCGCACAACCAATTTTATCTTTCGATGCCACTCAACCACAACGTGTTGGAATTATCCAAATCTTTGCCACGTATTACTTTTCTAAAAACATTCGAGATTACTTGACTTCGATTGGTCGTTACTTTATGACTAATGGTGCTTCATCATTGGGTGTTTCATGGGGAGTTGATTTATTTGATTATACAGGTCAAGAAATGAAATGGGTCTCTAATGGAAAGTTTGTTCCCTATGCAGATGAAGCATTATGTTTTTCAAGATCGAATTTTAATCAGAAACCTTACGGATATTTAATGAATATTGATTATACATTATTGACACATGACATTATGGAACAATACATGCATTATACCACCTTTTATGGACTTTATCCGAGCTCATTTTCAGGTGATGCTAGTTCGAATCCATTTTGGTCCATTCCAGCAGCTTATGAACCCAATCGAGATTTATTTAAGAAATATGTTCCAATTATTAAGAAATTGAATCGAAATGGATGGCAAGTCATGACAGGTGTCAAGGGATTTGTAAATGGAACTGAAAATGATCTAGTTCAAAACTCACCAACTCTCGTCGCTCCTCCAAAAGTGTTATTTGAACGATTTTCAGTGCTTTCACTTTCACAGGAAGTATATGTGACCGTCATGATCACTCAACCAGCTTTTTATTCAAAAATTACCATCTTACTCGATTTGGATATCATTTCCAATGGTCAACTCAAAACGAGTGATGTCAATTGCAATGCCATTAGCGCCTATTCCTTAATGACCAAACAAAACATGACCATTGTCAAGGACAATTTTTGCACCTATTTTGGTGTTGAATTTGTGGCCACTCCTTATAATTCAGCTTGGAATCAATACACAGAAGTGATTGCATTAAGTGTTGTGGGAAAGGCACAACCAACATCATCACCAAAACCTTCCAAGTCGTCGTTGCCAAGTGTGAGTACAAATAATTCGACTCGAGTCAATGGGGCGGTAAAGGGAGGTTGGAATAAGATGGAATGGATGAGGGTTGTGTTTGTCATGATGATGACTGTGATTTCAATCATGTGATTTTGTTGTTAAGGAGTAAAGTGATTCAGAGAGAGCACAAATTTTGATTAATCTGTGAAAGATTCTAATCTTTTATATCCATTTTGAAGAAAGAAAAGCCAAAGTGTAAAGGTTACACTGCGAACTGTTTGATCAATCCCGCGTGAAGTGTCTACAGTGGACACAGGTTGTATGCCAACGACAAAAAACGTCACTTGTCACTTTGAAAGTGGAATCTTTGAGGTCCAATTCCTACAGTCCAAAAGCAACCAAGACAACGTCATACAACAAAAAAAGAATGAAACCACAACATCCCTTCTCCCCTCTTGAAACAGAGTCCTTTGAATTCTCCGAAAACGAAGATGATGATTTGATCTCTTCCGAGGATTTTACATTACCACAAAAAAACCATCCTCGTGACTCTGCAAAATCTCAAAACAAAAGGACATTGTATTATTTGATCCTTGTTGTTCTTTTCCTGGTGACAGCAGTGACACCTGTCTCTATTTTTTATATATTTTCAAATTATCAACAAACTTTACAACAACAGCAAACAACTATTTTACAAAATAATGAGAAGTCCTCTGAACAGCCATCAGAACAAAACAATTCTCAGTCACAAAAGGAAATTTCATCCTTTTGGACCAAGATGGATCAATTCTATTCCAAGAGCGATTTTGAAAAAGCCAACGAAATAATTCGACCTTTAGAAAAACATTCGAAATTATTTTCGAAAAAGACGATCACTTGCTTCTCAACACAACATGCAGTGACTTGTGGATTAACCAATCAATTATTTGAAATAATTAATTGTTTGGCATTGGCAGCCAAGTTAGGTGTGAAAAAAGTTATCCTTCCAAGCAGTTGTGTGGATGGAAATTGGGGACTATGTCATTGTGACGTTCCTCAACCATTTTCAAAGTTATTCGATTTAGATCGAATGAGAAAGTATGCAATGGAGCGGTTTGGTTTGGACGTTGATGAATTTGAGCATGTGTCACCTACCACTTTTGCTGGCTCCAAAATTTCAGAACCCTTAATCAAGATGGATGACAGGACCAATGACATGAAAGAGATTGAGCAGGCAGCAGAAGTCATTTACACGTTTGCGACTAATCGAACGGATTATTTGAATCATGAGGTGTTAAATCTTGGTTTTGTTTGGGGAAGATGGCAACCAAGATCCATTCCTGAAGAGTTGCTCTATGTTCAATTTTTTGATTTATTTGCTCCAAGTCAAGCAGTTTACAAAATTGTGGAAGAATGGAAGTGGAAAGTTCGTTCCTTTGATTCAGGTGAACCAAATGGTTTCACAGTTGTGCATTATCAATATGAATTCTTTCCTGGGTTCTATCCTGGATGTGAACGATCAGAATTCAAACCAAATGAATTTTTGGAACTATTGGTCAACGAATTGAAGATCAAGAGAGATTCAAGTGTGTTGTTGATTGGCACTGGATTCGAACAATTTAGTCCTCAGAAAGATCTCAGATCTGTAGAAATTGCTCAAAATGGAATTGCTCTTCATTTACAATCCGAATTGTTGTCACAATCAAAGAATCATCAACTCCATAGTGCAGCCATTTCCTTTTGGTTAGCTTTGGATGCTGATTTTTTCGTTGGTACTTCGTGTGAAAGTCAATTCGTTTCACACTTGTTGAGACTTCGAACGATCATGAAAAAACCAACCTGTGCTCGATACGACGTCAGAAAAACAATTTATCCATGGCGTTATCCAGAAAAATATCTAAATGCAACCTACGCAGATGTCAACTTTTCAGATGTGCCTTACTTCTTTCCAGCTCACAATCAAGGAAAGGTTTTCTTTGCAGAAAAGTGTTCTCATTTCATCAAGTAAGTGCAAATAAATGTCCAACCACTTCCAATTATTCAGAATTTTTTAACTTTTGAAAATCCATTCCAGAATTGAACCACCATGATTGAAATTTCGTTTTGAAGGTTGTTAACAAAACTGGAAATCACGGAAAAAAATGCTTTTCAAAGTGACAGGTAAACACAAAAAGCGAGGACGTCCCTCCACACACAACGCAAAGAAGATTGATGAATGTTGTGAGTCTGGCTATGATTTTATGAGACAAGATCCTGACTTGCATCGATGTATTTCAGAAGATTTGGATCGGAGTGATATCTTATGGGTGCGACATGTGAGTATATTGTGATCGATCACAACTTGAACGAATTTCCGATCACATCAACGAAAATACTTTTTGAACTTGGGTTTTAAATTTCAAACTTGTGAATCACATATTTTCACTATTGGTGATTGTATTTGGTTTTGGGTCATGCAAACCATTAAGTGAAAATCTGTTTTCGAATGAACCTCAAACCCCTTATAATAATTTGTGTGAAAAACAGTTCCAAATTTCATATCCCTCCACAGGAAGAACTCAACTGATAAAACCAAATACTTCAAATCAAAATTATTTATTTGGTCGAAAAATTGGAGAATGCATCGATGGAGTACTCATTTCTCCCATGTACAATAATTACATTTTCAAAATTTCTGGAGCTTGCGATCGATGGGGTCGACCTCATCATCCTGGAATGTACAAAAGTGGTCGTGTGAGAGTGTTGAAACAACCAGGAACTTTTGGATATCAACCTTGGAGAGCTCGAAGGAATGGATCCCGGAGGAGAAGAGTTGTGAAAGGTTGTGTTCTGGATGCAGGAACCATTGCTGTTTCATTAGTGTTTGTGAAGAAAGGAGATGAAGAAATTCATGGAGTCACAGATCGAGTGCTCCCAAAAACACATGGACCGAAACGTGCTTCAAAAATTAGGAAATTATTTAATTTATCAGCTTTGGATGACGTGAGAAAATATGTCATTAAGAAAAATGTGAAAATTTGTGGAAGTTTGGTTCCAAAAGGTGTGAAAATTCAAAGACTTGTCACTCCTGAACGAATTCGAAGGAAACAGCAACAAATTCGAGAATCCATGAAAAGAGTCATAAAGAGACAGCGAGATCGAGAGATGTATGAAAAGCGCTTTCTGGACAAGACGACCAAATCTTCCTCAACAACAGCCACACGTCTCTATTGCTAAGGTTGTCTTTTATAGCCAAGACACTTTTTTTCTCACGAAGGTCCCGACTTTCATATCCCTTTTTCTGCAATCATACAATGTCTTTGATTCTATGCCATCGCTATTAACTTTTTTTCGCTTCTCGTGAATGCAAGAATTCTTGAAAAACCTCCAAAAAAAAGCTTTCAATTCTTTTTTCTGAAATTCTTAATTTCGAATTGGTAAAAGAAGGAAACGATGATATCCTCGGGATTGAGCCCAAAGAGTCCCGAATTGTTGCTTTTCAGCCATAGGACATTCAATAGAACAACAACAACAACAAGAATCCATCCGGCCTCTGCCATCGGAACCAATAACCACCAACAAGAACACCAACAGAATGCTCCACCACTACCACCGAACAAAGGCTTCATCACACCCACCAACCAGCTGCACCCTCCTCCGAGAGTTTCCATCTCTTCCTCATGTTTTGAAAGTGGAGGCGGCTCATCATCCACAACATCGATGTGTTATTCCTTGATCACTCCGTCCTTGTTGGAGGCCATCATGTTGGAGAATGAGGTAGAACAGAAACAAGTGGTTTCCTCTTCTCCCAATGTGGTCCTTTCTCCTCCACTGATGGAAAACAACCATCCCTCCGATGGTACGAATTTGAATGGTTTGTTGAATCATCAGCAACCACAATCTAATACGTCGGGCCCTACTCACACGGCCAATCCACTCAGCTGCTCTCCTGAATTCTCTCTTCCGAGTGACATCTTACTAAGCTTACAAGATTCGCCGAGTAGCAGGCTTCAAGAGAATGAACAACATAATCAGGAGACCACCACTCCTCCACAACCAGTGAACAGCTATTCACTTGGAACGGTGATTTCAATCAGTGAAGAACTGTTGGCATGCTCTCCACCCTTGTTTGTTCAAGCCTCAAAACCTCAAGTAAATGTTCAATTGTCTCCGAAAAGAAAGAAGAAGAAGCTTTCGAATAATGAGAGGTCTCCTCCGAATGCTCAGGCGCAACACTCACCCAAGCGTGCATTTGGAGATGAGCTGAATAGCTTACTCGTCAGTCAAGACATGGAGGGAAAAATTGCATTTCACAAATTTCAAACTGTGAATAGCCCTCCTAGGTGCGTACAAGAATTTGACATACATTCGAATACGCGAGTGTTTATTCTTGATTTGAATCTTAATGAAGCGGCTTCGAACGAAGAGCCTCAAATTTTGGAAATTGTTGCATGTGAAATGATGAAGAATGGAACCACATTTAAGGAGACTGGTATACATTTTCAAACTAGGATTATTCAGAAAGACGAAGATATAAGTAACTCTTCATCACCATTCGCCTCTCATGACCGTCAGTTCATTTCAGACGCACTTTTCAATTTGTCACGATTCATATTTTCAAATTGCTTTTCAACCGATGTCAATAGCAACTACCCAACCAAAATAGTTACACTTAACGAAACTGTGTCATCCCCAAAGCTTTCTCTGCTTCAGAAAGTTATTGACATTGTAACAAAGAGTCCTGGACTTGATCACACCAATGGTCTGTTAAATCGATTGTTGGAGCTCATTTGTTCACATACCATCTCACTGCTCAATGTGTTTGGTATTAATATTCGACAGGTTTCAAACCCAAAAGAAGCGTTGCAGTATTTTGGCAACACTGCATTATTGACGTCTGCTCGCCCCTGTTCGTGCATTACGCCCGAAACCAATACAGATCTCAACTTGTGTGCTCACCAAGCATGTCAATACGCATCATCACTTCTTCAATCCATGTATCCCTATCTCGACAGAAAAAGAGAGGAATTCAAAAAGAAAGCTCTTAATGACTCACTGATAGAGCTGGACTTGGAGATAGACAGCTCACTATTACAAGCAGCATCTGATGCTGGAAGTAATGCGCCTCCAGTCGACAGTATCCCATGTCTATCCAAGGAAAGAAAACGAAAGACTCCAGAAAAGACAACTCTAAAAACTAGATATTCAAAAATTAAAGTATCTCCTCGAGTTAATGTGGTTGTACCAAGTAGCGGGAAGAAGAAGTCCACATTAAACTTGAAGACTGTGAAATCATGCTCACCAAAAAAGAAGCCACCAACTGCTGAGGGGCAACCACAAAATGATAATAAGGAAAATAAGGCATGCGACCACTCAGGCAACACGAACCCAATAACAACGACTTTGAAAAAACCTGTCTTTGTTGCACCTCCTTTAAAGAAGCCAGTTCAACAGAACATTCGCTCATGTACCTCACGCATAGCTTCATCAAACAATTCTCTGGTTCATGGCAACAGAACCTCTACATCCCCTTCCACCATCAATGCTGCTGCTGGTCATGTCATGCACGACTATGGAGCGGCGTTAAACACGAATGTTGCAAACAAGCACCTATTACAGGGAGCAAGTAGCTCCTCGGTTCTTTTTAATCATGCTCATCAAGGAAACATGAGCTCATCCAACCAAGGGCCTGTTCAATCATGTCACGAAGCAGTTGCCACTTTCTCCAACCTCACGGAATCGATGGTTGAATCCATTCTCTCACCTAAGAGTGTTCCTATTCTTCACTACTTTTCCACCTGCAAACCTAAAGCACTCGAGCCCTTTTGGAAATCTCCTCGCAACACAATGATCATCAAATTAAGGCCTTTCCTGTCATTGAGAGATCTCATTCAAAAATTCCATGAGCATCCATGTTTAGGACTCAATAATTTGGTGCAATTTTGCAAAAAGATATTCAATTTGTCATAATGACCATTATTGTCTGGAATAAAGGTGATGAAATGGTTATTAAAATTAGCTTCATGTATCGTTTGGCGCCTCAAGTATTGCTTTTAACAACCCGCCAATTCATAAATATGACCGTTAAACATTTTTAACAATTTCAAAAACAAAAAAATGTTGCCCTCTTCATTTTCTGATACACTCTCCACAAACTCTTCCTCATCATGCGCCACCACAGCCATGTCCGTTACCTCCTCGGTCGTGAGCGGAAGCAATAACAGCACCTATTCCTCCTCTTCTCAAAGTTCCGGAGTGAATGTCCAAGTACTCCTCAGATGTAGACCATTGAACGAGAAAGAGAAGGGACAAGCCATCTCGGTCGATACCTCTCCATACATGAGAAAAGAATTAAAGGTTCATCAGAAATTAGTACACGGAAAGGAAATTACCAAGACCTTTACCTTTGATCGAGTCTATGGTCCACAGACGACTCAGAAGGAATTCTTTGATGAATCCATCAAGAGTATTGTGGACGAGGCTTTGGATGGATTCAATTGTACAATTTTTGCATATGGACAGACATCATCGGGAAAAACCTTTACGTAAGTAGTAGTAATGGTTGTTGTGTTTGTTGTTGTTGTTGTTCACTAACAGAATGTATTAATATTCCTTTGTTATTCATTGCAATGATATGGCCCATCATGGAATACGATTACGACAACATTGAATACGATGAAAAACACAATAACAATCACACCCTATATTAGTATGGAAGGAAGGAGAGATCCCAACGATGCTACCGATTCACAAGCAGGTGTTATTCCACGAAGTATTTATCACATTTTCCAAACCTTAGAATCTAACAAGACAGAATACACTGTGAAAGTGAGCTGTATGGAGTTGTACAATGAAGAATTACAAGATTTACTAACGGATCGACAAAACAAGTTAAAGATTTTCGACGACAACACTGGAAGAAAGGGAACAGTGGTGGCTGGCCTCGAAGAAATTGTAGTTCGAGACGCCTCTCAAATCATTTCCATAGTGGAAGACGCACAAAAGAGAAGACAAATCGCAGAGACGAATTTGAACAAGTCCTCAAGTCGTTCACATTGTATTACCACCATTACGATTCACATGAGAGAAGTGAATGATGAAGGTGAGGAATTTATCAAGACTGGAAAGTTGAATCTTGTCGATTTGGCTGGCAGTGAAAACATTGGTCGATCTGGAGCTATCAAGCAACGTGCAAAGGAAGCTGGTATGATCAATCAGAGCTTGCTTACCTTGGGAAGAGTCATTACTGCTCTCACTGAGCACAGTCCTCACGTTCCATACAGAGAATCTAAATTGACTAGAATTTTACAAGATAGTTTGGGAGGAAAGACAAAGACATGTCTCATTGCAACTATCTCTCCATCAGTATTGTGCTTGGAGGAAACACTAAGCACATTAGATTATGCTTTCAAAGCAAAGAGTATCAAGAATAAGCCTGAGGTGAATATGAAGGTCTCTAAGGCACAATTAATTAAGGAAATGTCTGCTGACATGGAAAAATTGAAGGCAGAATTGAATGCTCAAAGACTCAAGCACGGTATTTACATGGCTCCTGAGATTTATGAAGAAACAAATCGAAAATTACAAGAACAAGAATGTACTATACGAGATTTGGAGGATCAACTTCAATTAAAGTTGAAGGAATACGAAGAATTAACAGCAGTATTCAAGGAAAAGGAGCGTGAACTGCAAAAGGAGGTCCAAAGTCACAGCGAAACAAAATCTGTTTTGACCACAACCACCAATGTTCTCAAGAAGACTGAGACAGAATTGAAAAGCACAAAAACTGAACTTGACATTACAAACTTTGTTCTAGAAAAAACACAAGAGACAGAGGAGCAACTACTTGCTGAAGCTCACTCTCTTCTCGATGGCCTCAAAGATAGTGTGCAAGACATTGACGGATTCATTGGCAAGGTCGAACGAAAATCCAAGGTCGAAATTGACAATCAAACATTGACAAGCATGTTCAAGGAAACGATGCAAGAAAAGTTGAACCAATCTGAAGAGGAGATTCACAAGCTCTATAACACGTTTGTCAATGTTAACACTACTGCCAAGAACTCGATTGAGGAATTCATGTTGCAAAAGATGACACAGGCCAAACTCTTGGGAGAACAAATGAAGGAAATTACTGATCTCTTCCAACGTTCTCAGAAAGAGCTCTTGCAATTAATGGATAACAAGTCTTCCTCTCAAGGTGCTGCTTTGGACTCTTTCCAACGAAATAATGACTTGTTTGAGCAGAAAATAGTCAAGAATATGTTCAGCATGAAGGATGCATTTGAACAATCCATGTCTCTTGTGCAAAATCAAATTGAGAATCAAAAACAAGAGCTTCAAAAGCTCAATAACTTCTTTGTGGATACTCTCACAAGAAATACCAAATACTTGGAAATCTTTACCACTCGTCACAATGAAGTCATGAATGAAATGAAGGAACAAATGGAACACACTGTGGAGCTTCATGTTAACCAAACCAATTTACACAGTTCTAAACTCAGTGAAATGTTGGAACAACAACACAAACAGAACATTCTCTTGAAGCAAGAGCTCATGAAGAATATCGAAGCCATGATTGATGATACCATCTCCAAGCAAGAAGGCGAGTTCTCACAGTCTGTCTCAAGTATTCAACAATTCTTTGGTGATTCTGTTCAATCTGTTCGAAACATGGATGCCACATTCAAGAAGGGATCTCAAGAGTCCTGCAACAACATGGAAAAGATGAAGTTGAACCTCACAACAAATCAGCAAGAAGCAACGCAATCAGTCACCAAATCAAGAATGCAAATCGATACACATATTCAAAATGTTGCATCTGAGGCAAGCAAATTAACTGAATCTGTGAAAACCTTCTGTGAATCCTCTAACTCTACCGTCTCATCTAACTCACAATACGTGAAACAATTTATCCAAACCGCTAAAGAGGACCAACAAGTGTTTATGGACCAATGCAATGCATCATCATGTAAGAACATGTCAACTTATCAAGAACGTGTCAGTCATCTCAATCATCATATTACTAGCTTTGATCAGCAAGTTGGAGCCTTTTCGAATACTCACTTGGACCTCCACAATTCACAACTTGGCCACGTTGAAAAGTTTAGACAGGGCTTTATTGAGACAAGAACCAATGACATGAAACGCTCTCTCTCACACTTTGTTCTTAACACAGATCAACCTACTGGAACTACTCCTCAAAAGAAAAAGAGAAAAATTCCAGACAAGTTACCAAAGACCAAGCCAAAGGATGAGCTTGTGGAACTGTACAAACTCTCTCTACCTTCATCCCTTGAGGTGCCAGTGGTGTTGTCAGGTAGTGAGATGATTGCTAGCCCGAGCCGATCTGATACCATGGACGATGCTGATTCAGATACTTTAAGTGTTGCAAGCAATAAGGAGAATATTGGTTCACCAGAAAATATTTCCCCTCAAAGCGCCTTGCCGCCTGTGAAACCTTTGAAGACATCTAACAACAGCGAACTTTCTGTTCCTTCTAGTGTTGTGAAAAGAAAAAAACCTGCAACAGCCACCAAGGTTGTAAAGACAAACGTTATCAAGAATGAAAACTTTGGTGTTTCTTCATTCAGATAAACCGTTTGTAATAAACTTTAATCAACTTCAAAAATAGAGTCATTTAATTGGCAATGTTCAAAACTTTCGGTTCGTGGCTTTCTTTGCTTTGCCTGCTTTTTTGTAGGCCATGTAGTAATTGAGACTTTCTGGGTCTTCTTGTTGGAGTTTGTTGTACCAAAGTTTTTCAAACTTTTCACCTTCATCAAGCACATCTTCTTTGGCTTCTTCTTCGACGCCTTTTCGAGAGCTTCGAGAAGATAATGGAGGTTTTTGCTCTTCGGCAGGATCTTGGTAATTGTCGTCATAGAACGATTGGAAATTAGCAATGAGTGTTTGTCTCAAATTCTCCAACGCCTTTTCAATGTAATCCATCTCAGACTTGAGCATCTTTCGGTCCTCAAACACTTGTTTGTATACTTCTTTTTTTTCCTTAATAATTTGGAACCAACGAAGTTCCTCTTCATCGACAATGTCGTCTCCCACTAAGGAAAGTCAAGCTGATTTAATACGACAGATATTCATCGAGTACTTACAATGAGCGTTTTCAATTTGTTTCTTTTCGATTTTAGCTTTGAAATCGTCAATTTCTGCCTTGGTGTCATTCAATCTTTGAGTGACGATTCTAAATAACGATTTTTTATCCTTTAGTGTCTCTATGAAAGCGATGGTCATTTGTTACCCTTTTTTAAAAACAAAACTACTTACGACTATTTTCCTTAATATTTTCATGCAAAGCTTTGCCCTCTGTGCGCTTGTACTCTTCAAAAGCATCATTTCGTGACATTTTGATCTTTTTAGGTCGGTCTGTCTCTGGTAAGGAGTTCTGGCTCGTGGAGACATTCATGGACCTTTCATTATCTCTTGCAGAAACAGGGACAGCTGCTTTCTTTGTTCTCTTTTGGAATTCAGCATTTGGCTTTGCTTCACCAACCCCAAAACCGGACTTATTTTCCACTTCACCAACTCCATTCTCGTCATACATCTTTTCCTCGTGAATCTTTCCTGCAAAATTGGAAGGGGGAGCTGATTGTTGTTTCTCTCTCGCCGTTGAGGTGTTAATTATTGATTCTTGCTCAGACATGGATGATGCTTCCTTCAACATCAATTTGAATTGATTAAAAATCTCCTTAATTCTTCGAATGTTTTTAATTTCGAGCTCTTCAATTTCTCCATTAACATAGCTCCTAATTTCTCTTCGAAGCTCAATTTTTTGCTCTTCAGTGTAAGGATCATAGTTTGCTTGGTTAATTCCCCTCAGTTGATCATGCATGGATAACTCTTGCTTCAGCTCCTTAATTTCTTTTTCATACTTTTTGATAAGGGCATCAGGGTTCATGTGCACGTTAATGGTTGCTTCATTTGATACTCTCATCATTCTGGTCGCAAATTTAAGAGTACTAACAGTTTCTTCGAGATGTTGCTCTTCTCCCCAAATGTTTGCTATCATGAGAGTTTTACAGTTACCTCCCAAAGAATCCTTTAAAAAGTAGGTCAACTTTGATTGTCTGTATGGGATGTGCTCTCTTGAAGGATTTCCAAGAGCAATTACCACTTGTTCAAGAAACGAAAGTGACTTGTTAATGTACTTGGCTTCTGTCAATACTATTCCGCTGGAGTGTGTCTTGCTCACTCTTTCACTTCCTGCCAAGTCAACCAAATTCAATTTGGAAAGAACAACTTGACCTTCCGATTCCACTCGACTCCTTGCCTCTAAATACAATGTAAAAATACAATGAGATCTTGTGGAAGCCTTGTTTAACTGGTGTTCGCAAATGGCTCTATTAGTTTCACCTTCGAATAGCATACTTAGAGCTTCTTCCTCACTGTTGACAATGTGACACTTGAGACCTCGAACCATAATATTTCCCTTATTATCTTCCATGATGACCATGTTGTCCTCGTAGGTGTCGGAGTTTGCCTTCTCGAGTTGCGCGTCACTAATGTCTGATAACAAGTCAAATAATTGTTCATTATAAATTTCCATGTATGAAACTCGAAGGGTAAATGATTTTTCAGGGTAATTTGACATGTCAGCAAAAACTTGTTGAATCACTCTTGGAATTAGCCCTCGATTTTTGTAATTATTTGGAGCTCCAATCATGGTATATGTTTTTCCTAATCATTATTGGGATGTCAGTCATTCAATAATCGACAAGGTTATTTAGATTTGAAAAATACGCACCTGAACCTGTTTGACCATAAGCCATGACAGTGCCATTGTAGCCCTCAAGAAATGCTTGGGTAATTTCAGCGGCACATTCATTAAACACAGTGTCTTGAGACACATTGTGCAAAGTCTTGTCAAATTTGAATGAGTAATCCTCTCTCTTAGTTTCTAAATAATTGACTGAATTTTGCTTTGCATTAATCCGTCCCTTATTTTTAATGTCAATTGTCTTTTTAGATTCATCAAGAACAATGACATCTTGAGCAAAAAACGCAGTAGGTCTTTATGAACACGACATTGAGCGAGAGTGTTGTTGTTTTTGTTGTTTCATATCATTGATTTTAAATAATGGATCATACAAAACATTTCATCGGAGTTGATCATCCAAAATTCATCGACGAATAAGCAATCCAATCAATTGCAATGAAAACCAACCTTGTTCGGACACACACTTGAACTGGTGTATGAACCATTGTTTTCAATAATTACAATTCTTCTTAAAATTCAAACTTTTTCCGCCAAAATACTATGGTACAACAACTACAATAATAATAACACTAATCAATGAAATATTCAATACAGAGAGAGAGAACAGTTAAAAGTTTGAATTTTTTTCAGTACTAGTTTTGGCGCGATGAATATTGTTCAACATCATCGCCGTTCAAAGGTTGGTTGTTTTCGGTTTTGATATTAAAAAGCCGATCGGAGAGAGCATCAGCGTTGAGTTGTTTTCTATGAGAATGATGAGGATGATGATGATGATGGATGATGAATCAAATTGGGTAACCTGAACGTGTGAATACGAGTGTGATTATAGGACGCACAAGAAAAATTCAAAACACCCACAGGCTGTTCATTCATAAGATCATCATCACGGCCGTTTGATTACTTTTAAGATTATAAAATTGTAATATTACCACAAAGCTACAATCATGTCTTTCAGTATTCACCATGAATACATTTACATGGTGGAATCAAAAACACTTTCCGAAGAACCACCTGCTCATTCTCCTCTCTCTGAACTGGCTGTTCGGGTTCGGTCAGATAAAAAGAACATAAACATGGCTGCCATCTATGGTTCCATTCGTATGATTCAAGGAGCAGGAAGAGGAGGTAATGATCATCATTCTCAACCGTATTCAACAACACAAAAATCAAGCCGTATTCATACCATTCGATCCAATGAGTCCGATAGTGTGATGGCCGTTTGTCAGAATGGAGAAGTGTATCATGGTTCTCATTATGATTCAATCTCTGATTCCACTACTGCTCATTTTGATGGTCATGCGTTGAGAGCCATTCATCGACTTGAAACACCAGAAATTCAGAACGAAAACGAGAAGGTCATTAATGTAGAGGTGACATCGAGTAAGAGAATTATTCTTACAAATAAGAGTTTATACGTGCTTGATTTTAATGCATCTCAACTCAGTGGGGGAACTCCACTTCCAACATTAGAAGATCCATTGGATCGTTTTAAAAGTGTTCGGTGTAGCTCAAGAGCTGATTTTTTCTTTGTTTTGACAGGTTTGTATTAATAATTTTTGAATTTCACGTGTCCTCAATCAATCATTTGTTCAATTTGTAAATTCATCATTTGTGACACAATGATGTGCTGTTGGATTGTCATAGAAATGGGAAAGGTGTACTGCAATGGTAGAAATTCTAATAGCGTATTTGGAAACGACTGTGCAGGTGGAGAGGAATCAATTTCACCATTTAAAATGCAAGAATTTCTGTCATCTTTACCAAGTCCAGTTGAGGATATCGAATGCGGTTATTTATTTGCAGTGGCAAGATGCAAGAATGGAAACGCATATGGTAGTGGATATAATTGTTATTGCAATATCGGCATTGGTAAGTGTTTATTATATATTGACATGGTTACTGACCTCAAGAATTACTGACCTCTCATGAAACCGTTGTGCCAAATAATTTTGACAAAAAATAGATGGTGACAGAACTGTGGAGGCAGACACGTTCAAACTGGTAGAAAAATTACAAGGACGAATCAAACAGCATGCATGCGGATCATTTCACACAGCATACATTACATGTAAGTTATTTTTTTTTGCTCTTCATACTAAAAACACAAATTTTTCTTCCGACATATTATTGGACAGTTGACAATGAATTATGGGTTTGTGGCTTGCAAACAGAGTAAGTGGTTATTCTCTTTTTAAATTGTTGATTTTTTAAAACACCATTTGCAGTGGACAACTTGGCGGAGAATTTAGAGATGAATATGAAAACACGGATTGTGTCAACCTGGTTCAATTCACCCTTGGAGACATGACTCGATTCAAAAGCGTTTGTTGTTCTGGATACGGAACCTTTATTTTAACTGGTAAGTGATTTGTTGACAGTTCACAACAGTAATCTTGAACAATATTTTGATGTACTAATTGGAACATATTGTAATATTGAAAAGAACACAACGACCTTCTTTGTTGTGGAAAGTATGACCATTTTGAACTTGGTCAGGGCACCAAGACCGGTCTTCATCATGCTCTATTCAAATTAGAAAACTCTGAAATGATTGGAACCTTTGGAATGAATCCCAATGAAAATGTCAGAATTGCAGTTTTGACATCTTACGATTCTGGTTTTTTTGGATTTATTCAATGCCGTTCCTTAACTGGTAAAGGTCTCACCTTGTTTATTGGCAATATGAGAAAGTGTGCCACATCAAATCACGCTCGAGTTTATACTGATCTTACGATCCACTGTTGTCACTAATTCGTTATAATCTGACCATTGCATTTTCACATCCATGTCAAATCACAATAATTTTTGAAGTTTTAAATGAATTGACCTGTATTCTTTCGAAAAGATAAGGATTGATGAAATGTTTTATTACTGATCCAAGTTGCATTTGACCCAATGGTCTTCCTTAATCCACCTTGTTTACTACTTTTGTTGAGTTAACAATTAAGGTGACAAGATTGCTCCAATCTTTGAACTTTTCATGTTGTGAATTTTCGTTTCGTGAAAATTACATTAGAAACCAATCTTTCACGTATCGATGTTCATTCTTAATGTTGAACAATTTTATTCTTCCACCTTTTTCTGACAAAAAAACAATATGAAACAATCAACCGCTCTTATTCTCACTCATGATCAAATCATCGCCAAAGCTAACCATGGTACCCTTCATGAGGATGAGGATGATGAGAACAGTTCCCAAAAACCACTGTTACCACATCAACAACAACAACGAGAATGCGATTGGCTCTCACTCTTCACTCAAGCCAAAGACAAACTTAACGAAACAATTTTCCCGAATGATGTACTCGATCTAATTCTCAGTTATCTTCCCTTCACGAACGTCATGGGCGTTTGTTTGCGAGTGTGTAAACAATGGCTCTCGGTGGTGATCCAATCGGAGTATATTCATCATTGTTCCCTTTCATTGCGTGCATTTTCTCTTTCCACATCGTTGCATGTTGCATCGAGTCCTTTCATGAAGAATTTGAAAAAGTATTCGATTGAAACCAAAAAAAGAGTTCAAGGAAGAAAAGGATGAAATGATGCACATTCTTATGGAAAGCTCGATCCAGCTTGAAAATATTACCGAATTTAAATCTTAACAAATGCGTTCTTCGAAAGACTCGCTTGGGTCTATTGTTGAACGAAAGGATGAACAAGTTGCAGAGTTTGCATTTGTTTATGAATGAAATTCATGACGAGGGTGCGAAAATGATTGCTTCGCATGAACAGTTTCAACATTTGACACTCCTCGATGTTGGACAAAATTATCTTTCTGATGAAGGACTCAAATCGATTGCAATGAGTTGGAATTTGAAGAATTTGAAAACCTTGAAAGCCTCTGTGAATCGTTTTACTGCAGAATCTATCGAAACGTTGGTCACGAGTGTTCCGATGAGTCATTTGACATTTCTCGGTTTATCTTACAATGACATTCGTGGTGAAGGATTGCTCTTGATTGTGACAAGCCCAAACCTGCAACATTTATCCACTCTTATTCTGGACAGTATTGGCTTGAGACATAATGACACAAGAATATTTATGGAGAGCCAATATTTGAATGAATTAACCACTCTCAGTCTTGCCTTCAACGAGCGCCTTGGAAAAAAGGGTGTTCAATATCTTGTCCAAAGCTCATGCTTGAAAAACTTAACAAGTCTTCACTTGAGAAAGAAATCCTTAGTGAAATACCTTCTTCCAAGTCCCTTCTTGGCAAAATTGAAAAATATTCAATTGAAGTAATGATGATGTCAATAAAAGAAACGATGTGATGTCCAAATGATCCTTGCATTTCTTGATAAAGTATTGAGATGATGATCTTCATCTGCACAGATGGGTTTCGTTCCATGCAAACAATCATGTAAGAACAGATTGCAAGAGATTTTGAGGAGGAATTTTGAGATTGAATTTTTTTTTGAAACATAAAAAATGACTGGCCCACAAAAGAGCAAGAAGACTGAGCAGGTAGGTATCGGTATGAAATTTCCGTTGTTTGACTCACCTCTACGTATTACTATTTCTATGAACCTTCATGTTTTTGTACATCATAATATTTGGATGTTTTTAACGTTTTTTCATCATTTTTGTTACTGGAAAATATAATCGATTTTCATCATCCTGGCGATTGCGGAATTGTTTTATTATCACCTCCATCATCACTACAACAATAATAGAAAGAGAAAAAGAAGATTATCGAGGATAAGACCTTTGGTTTGAAAAACAAGAACAAATCAAAGAAAGTCCAACAACAAATCAAGAGCATCACCAACACTGTGATGCAAGTTCACGACAAGAAAGTGAAGAAAGAACTAGAGGAGAAGGAACGAAAACGTCTTGAAAAGTTGGCCCAAAAGCAGAGAGAACAAGAATTGAAGGACTTGTTTAGAACCACCGACGGAGGCAAGAAGGAAGATGAAGTTGCTCAAGCCTCATCATCCGAAGAAACCCCAACGGAAGGAGAAGAGGTTACCTATGATTCCATCGAGCAAGAAATCAAGGATGAAGCCGAACTTACCATCGAGGAAATTGTCGAGAAAGAGAGAGCAAAAATTATCAGCGGTACTCCTGTTACATTTGAGACCTTTACAAAGTGGAAGCAATTCAAAGTTGAACAACAACGAAAAGAAAAGGAGCGTGAGCACAAGCTTCAAATGGCACTCTATGAAAAATCTGGACACGGTCTCTCTGGTCGTGAATTGTTTAAGCTCAATCAATCTCTTTTCGTGGACGATGAAGAGGCCGACGATACAGTTTACCAAATTCCAGAAGATGCCATCGACGAAGATTTGTTCTTGGAGGGTGATGAAGAGGAAGCTGAGGACGAAATTCCTGAGGAAATTGATGAAGAATATGATCCTTCAACCTGGAAGGAAAAGCAAACTCCTAAAGAAATGCTGCTGGCTTATACTCAAATAAGAAAGTATCCAGATGCAAAGTTCGAAAAATTACCAAAGCAGTCACCTCAAGAGCAAGGTGAAAGAATTTCTGTCATCATAGAGAAGCCTGTGAAAAAGGAATTTATTTTGTCAAAGGTTTATCCTAGCCGTAAATTGGCCGAACATAACGCAAGTTTGGTCGCCTTTAGATGGTTACAAAAATATGAGGAAAAACAACAAAAGAAGGCCAGCGAAAATGAAAAAGAACAACAATAATTCTCCACTTTTGTCCTATTGCCTACAGAAACCATCTTGATCAACAACAATAACAACAAACTCTCAACAGCTCTTCACGACATCAGAGATTCCACGTGGAGTTCTCAAAATGATGACAAGATTTCAACTTACACTTGCATCAAAAGCAAAATTATGAATTGAGCGAGAGAGAATTTTATCCTAATGTAAATTCTAATTTATTAAGCCGTTTTATTTTTTGTCTTGTGTTGTTGGTAATTGAGCTGGCTTCACTGGCTTTTCGTTTGGCTTAAATTTCACCACAAAATCGTCATTGGGAAGGTGATAGTGGAAGAGTCCACGAATAAAGATCACTGAATCAATGTGGTCTGTCCAGCTCAGTACATATCGAATGTAACGTGTCCAGAATGCCAAGTCTTCGGCTGTCACTTCCACTTCTCCCTTAATGGTGTCATCCACGTCGAGATTTGTAAATTCGACGCCTCCGCAATAAAAGTTTCTCCATACCACTTCAGCAATGAGAGCATCTTGGTCAGAAGACGAAACAATCATATTATTCAGCGTCTTTGGTTCCCATGAGGTTGGAACACTGTCATTCATATTACTTGTATTGGCCAAATCTAAAATCTTATCCAATTGAATAATGATACCGTAGTGAATTTGTTGAAGTCTCTTCAAATTTTTGGACAGAGTGTATGCATTGACCTTATAATTATCATTGATATAATGCTCAACATAATTCCAAAATCTGTCACAAAGTTTTTTTGACATTAAATCACCGTCACTTCCTTCGAAACGTAATCTTCTGAAGAGTACCCATAAATGAATCGTCCACACATAGAAATCAGCACCCGTCCAAGATACTCCAGCCAAGTTTGTTTTTTCATAGACTCCACTCTTTCTAATTGCATGAATATGATTCATCAACATGTTCCACACAAAATCACATGATCTATTTATGATTGATTCCTGGCCAAAGAATCCAAAAAGTCGTAATGCCAAAGGTCTGCTCGTACTTGCATTCTCCTTTTGAGCGACTTTACTGGGCAACACCCAACTAACATTGTGTTTCTGTGGGATTTTTCCTTGCTTGACATCTTCTTCTAATTGTTTTTGAAGTCGGAGTGGTTCATAACGATCCACAAGAAAACGAATTTCATTCGTGTAGGCTTTCAGAAAAGGTCTAAACAATGGATTATACTGTTGCAATACATCGTTTTCTTGTCTTGTCTCTACATATTGGAGATAGTATTGTCTTTGACTTTCCAATTCCTTGTAAATGGTACTTAACGAGGAATTGTTGTTGATATTATTATTATTGCTCATTGTACTGTTGGTGTTGTTTGGGATATTTGTTGTTGCTGTGGTATGATTTGGTCCATTCTTGGAAATAGTCGTATGAAGAGAGCGTTGAATAAAAGTACTGGCACCACCAGACCTCGTTCCGAATTGAAATAAAATTGTTTGATGCTGATGATGATGATTGTTGAAACATTTCGATGCAAGGAGGCGAAGGCTCCTCAATCCTCGCTGTTGAAACATTTTTTGAATTCAAATTTTATAAATTCTTTCCTAATGATGATAATGAAGAAGAAAAATGGCTCTTCCCACTGGACCTGTACATTACCAATGAATTCATTCAGAATATAGAGCCTCCTACAATGTTGCTCTCTTCTCATCATCATCATTCAATAATTGATGATCCAAAAAGCTTTAAAAGCCTTCCTCACAATCTAAATTTAAAAAATCAAATTCAAAAAAAATGTCTGCAGGCGACAATGAATACGATGAACTTCTCAACAATTTGACCAATCCCATGAATTACATGCAGGGAGGAGGCTTCGGGATGGGTCTTCCTACTTCTTCTTCTGCATCAGCAAGTACTCCCATGCCTTATACTCCAACTCCTCAAACACCAATGGTTTCAACGCCAATGATTCATACACCTGTACATACACCTCTGCATACACCACTTCCTACTGGCTCGTTTGTTCCACCTTTTAATCCAATGGGAATGAATGCTCCTCCAACGACACCTTATGCTGGTAATTTACCTACAGTGGCCTCGACACCATTACCACCTTCAAGTTCTGTGGTTGGTCCTCCAACAACAACTCCCATCACGATTCACGAGAATGAACATGGCATTGTTCCAATCATACAGTAAGTTTTTGTTTGTGTTCCATGTGGATTTATCTGATTTTTGTCATGATCATTGTGATTTTTATTAATCATCGTGATGGTATTTTGTTGCCATGACTTTGAAATATCGGATATTCATGATGACATGATCACTTTGTGACTGATGAATATTTTTATGCGCGCCAACTGTTAATCGAATTTCCATATTAATGGAATGTTGCCACATGCACAAAAACACCCAACCAAACTACCCAAACTGTTTATATAGAAATGTTGTGTCAACCGTAAATCTCGGATGTGAATTGAAATTAAAGCAAATTGCACTTCATGCAAGAAATGCAGAATACAATCCAAAGCGTTTTGCTGCCGTGATTATGCGTATCAGAGAGCCAAAGACCACAGCTCTCATTTTCGCGAGCGGTAAGATGGTCGTTACTGTAAGTACTGACACAATACTACTACGTTTTTTATTGACACTTTTTCCCATGTCGACTTTTAAAATCTTCTTTCTTTCCAATAACAATCTGAAAATAACAATCCATTATTACATTGAAATTATAAATAGGGTGCAAAATCAGAAGACGAGTCCAGATTAGCAGCTAGAAAGTATGCTCGTATCATTCAAAAGTTAGGATTTAATGCAAAATTCACAGAATTCAAAATTCAAAACATTGTTGGAAGTTGTGATGTTGGTTTTCCAATTCGTCTTGAGGGTCTGAATTGTCAACACCACAACTATGCAAGTTACGAACCAGAAATTTTCCCTGGCCTCATTTACAGAATGGTTGATCCAAAAGTTGTTCTTTTAATTTTCGTGTCCGGCAAAATTGTGCTTACTGGAGCCAAGCACAGAGACATCATTTATCAAGCATTCAATAATATTTATCCTGTCTTGAAGGACTTTAAGAAGGACGACAATATTCAACCAAAGGCCACCACCGATGAGCAATAATAAACCTTTGATTGCGCGGCAGTTTGTTCTGCATGCGATAAGTGTTTATTGTTGTGGATTGGGGACACTGTCACTCGCCATTCCATTCTCACCTGCTGCTTCTTCCAAGTCACTAAAGACATCCTCCTCCTCGGCACTTCCAAAGAATTGAAATTGTCGATCCATTCTCTCAAATTGCAAATCATATTTCTGAACCATTTGCTGATGAAGTTTTTCTTTTCGTTTTCTCACAATAATACACACCACAATGATTCCAATAATCAATGAAAGAGCTGTGAGAGACAAGACCAACAAGACAATTTCCACCGAATACAAGGTGTGTTGTAGACTTGAAGTGATTGGAATTTGCAAACTTGGAAAGAGATGAATGGGTTGTTTTGCAACTTTTTTCACATGAATGGTAAAGGAAAATTCCTTACTTGGTAAATGATGGAGTTTGGAGAAATTCATAAAGACAGAACAGTTGGTATCGAGTGTGAGTGTGAATGGAGAGATTTTGGAGGTTTTTGAAATACTTGTGGCCATCTGATCACTTGAAAGAGATTCGATACGAATGTCAGCTGCCACTGCATCAATGGGAAATGTCACCATGACCAAAACAGAATTAATGAACATCTTACTTGCAAGAGTCTCACCCTCTTGTAATGGAGGTGAAAACATTAGAGTTGGTTCTACTAAAATTCCAATAATGAAATCTTGCGAGAATGTATGACACGTCAAAATTCCTTGTTATTTCCAAATTCACACATTTTTCAAATTCAGAGGACTTACATTTTTCTACAACTTGTTGAGAGATCGCTCCAGTATTCAAATCCACCGAAACTGCTTTCAAAGAGTTCAAACCATAATGAGAAAGAGTTAAATTGACAATACTTTCGTTTGAAAAGATCACACCATTTTTCATGACATCCGAGAAATCACCTAAAATGGAAATACTCTCATCCAAAGTGTACAAAATTCCACACGGTGACGATTCATATGAAAAACATGAAATGGAAAGGTTCAATGCTCCAACATTGGTTTTCGAAGATTGAGAAATAACAGGTTTTGCAATTCGAAAAACTTGATAAATTTGTGAAACAACATTCGAAGGATTAATCGATGACAAGTTAGCGTTGAATTCCACATTTTCTTTCCATTCGTTGCAAAAGGCATCAATTTGAATACTTTCATTCAGTCGTAACAGAAATGGAGAAGAAATTTGTTGTTGAACAAATTGATTTGAAGAAGAAGTTACTCTGAGAGTTAAAGAATAATTGGAAGGACAAGAGACTGAAAGAAGAGTTCCTTGTTGAAATCCCTCACTCGAACTTGGTGGAATGAATTGTGGTTGTGGAATTCTCTTTTTGAAAATGTCTTTTGCAAAGAAGAATTTTTTGAACGTCATGTCAACAACAAATCAATCAAAACAACAGCACTTACACACTCCATTGAGTATTTCACTTTGTGAACATGTACTTCCATTCACAAATGCTTGAATGGAATGATTTCTTCCATCATTTAACAACGTTATTGAATCTTGAAATTCCCATTTCTTGAAATTTCCATTTAACGAATGATCAATGTTCACATAGAGTGACGAATTTTCCATCACGACATTCCAACTAAAATTCACATTCAACACGGTCTCATTATAAATTCCTGGACTTGGCGAAGTTTGGGGAGAAGGACATTGTGGCATGATGGAATACGTCTCCGAAACAAGTGAACTTTCAAGAACAAATTCAGAAGAGAATTTCCATCGCGTTTTTGCTCTCACTGTCCACGTGTCTCCACTTTTGAGAATGATTGGAGTCGTTGGATCGTACACTAGAAATTGAGGATTTTCTTGTGAGGTCGAGAAGGTGTACCAAATTTCTTGTGAAATTCTTTAATCCATTTTTGGATGTTAGGAAAACATTTGGAAGGATGAAGACGAGCGTATTGTTTTCAAATTGTTTTAGAAAGAATTCTGTGGGATGGTGAAATGATACTTACCCTTCAGTGGAAGGAATTTCGTTAGACAAAAACATGGAGAGTGAGAGAGGACCTCTGAATTGGAAAGTGTCACTTCCTTTTGGTTGTAAAGTTGGAGGTGGAGGAGATCTAATGAGTTATTGGTGTTTTTGAAAAAAGATGGAAAATGACCTCATGAATCAAATCGGAACTTTCCATGCAGATAACTTACTTGAGGGTGACTTGATATAGCACAAGTTGAACTTGGCTTGTGTGATTGAGCGAGTCATAACAAGAACACCAAAATGAAATATTTGAAGCAATGATTCCTAAATCAAGAAAGGAAGTCTTGTTTTGCGAGAGGTCTCCATTAATTGTAAGAGAACCTTCATTCATACGAATATAGATGAAGGACTGTGGATCGGGACAGGTTATATTGAGACGAAATGGCAAATCATATGAAATGTTGGCCGGAGGAGAAACGATGGGAGGAGATATCGCAACAGTCGATGACACAAGAGAGAACGTGATCATTACTACCAAAACTAATGAAGTGTTCTCCTTTAAGGTGTGGCAACCTTTGGTTTTATAAAGCAACAACATTTGTTTTTTGTTTGACAATTTTGGAAATTTCTTGTTTTGAAAGTCACTTCAGGTTCAAAACTCATAATTTAGGCTTTATTGTTGTATAATGGTGAGGAATTTCTTTTTAATCTCTGCTTTATCAATACTTGGCTTCTTTTCTTGATTCATGTTGTTGATGTTGTTGTTGGGTGACACTTCTTGAAGAGAGGGATGACTTTGAGCGGTGTGAGTCGTTCCTGCCTCTGATCGAGTTTCAGGATCGACAGAGCCTCTGTCAAGTTGTTGCAGTTTTTTCTCCTCTCCTTCCTTGTCTCTAATCTTCCATCGCTCTTTAAAGTAGAGAACCTTTTCATATTCCCTGTTAAAGAAGTTACGTATTTGTTTTTCTTCATCAAGTAAAGGACGAATGAGATTCTTTGGAACCTCGACGACAGAAAGTGAAGCATTTTGAGTACCAATGGCAATAAATTGATAAGAGTTTTTGCCAGATCCCACTCTAAATTTCATTTCTGTTAGAGGTACGTTTTGTTGAGAAATTGAAAAGTGGGACATCATGCTGTAGTCATGAGATTTGTCGAGAAAATCCCAAACTTCTATAAATCCGTCTGTTCTTCCAAGAAGTATGACTCCCGGCCTTGTTGGGCTCCAACTTCCACAAGAATATGATGTGTTAAACTTAAATCCGCTGGTCCAAATAGGATCTGGGCATCCAATTTTCCAAATCTTACAAGTTGATTTTCCAATAGTAAGAAGGATATCATCAAAGAATGGGCTTCGAGAAATAGTATGGGCAATTCCTAGATGGCCGTTTGTTTTGCCATAAATACCTGTCGCAATATTTACAGTATTGAATGTTGTATCGGAATTACTGTTGTTTTCCTCAGCATTGGAATCAACTGGAGACCAATCTGCCACTATGAATTCTCCTTCGTTTGTGGTACAGCAAATGGAATGAGGATTTTTAGAGCTCACCGAAAGCGCAAATGTCGGTAATTCTGAGGTTAAGTCCAGTTGCATAATGGGCATAACTGCGTAGGGTATCCATGCATCTTTGAATCGATCGTTCTTTTTCAGAGTAAGTCTTCTCTTATCCTTTCTCATGTCCCACAAAATAAATTTTGAATCCATTCCAAGAGTTAGGAATTGGAAGCACTCGTCTCCAGCAGAGGATACCATACTTCCATTGCTTTTGACAATTTTACCTTTTGGTAACCATTGAATTCCTGTCACACAATTTGCATGGCTCATCTCTGGAAGAGATAGTTGTGTCCAATCCAATGTGGGTATTTGAGGTTTTGCAATTTCATCTCCTTTCATATCGATTTCAATTTGTTCAAATTCTTTCTCTCCATTCTCGATATCCCAGAGAATCACCTGACCGTTGATCATACCACCAGCCAGAATATTTGGATTTGAGGGGTTGAATTGGAGACAATTTACATCCATTGGCGCATTTAGAATGTAACTAGGGTAGGTTGGATCTTGAAAAGACCAAATATATACATTTGAAATTGATGGTTTTCCTCCTTCGAGAACTCTTGTGCTAAAATCTCTGATATCTATTGTACTAATAGCCAAAACTGCCTTATTATTAGGCTGCCAGTCCAACGATGATATCTTTCTGATTTTTGAAACCGCATGAGGAAATGATTGTATTTCAATAAATTGAGACTCGGATTTGGTTCCAATGAAGGAATCGTCTCCAATTTTCAACTCTGCAAAATCATCTTTAAATATATCAAGCGTTGTGTTTTGATCTAGGGCTTCGAATAATAATGGTGAAATATTTTTCAAGAATTGAGTAATGCTTGCTGAATCATCTTTTGTTGATATGTTTTGATTGGCAATTGACTCTGCAATATTCACTTGGGAGAAGTGATTTACTTTTCTGAACCAATCGGTTTGAATTGATCTTTCTACGAGAGCTTCTCCGCATTGAACTCCGTAATCACGTTCCAGTCTTTGATCCGATGGTTGATATCTAGGGTCTTTGACTGGTGGGAAAAACCGATACGAATCATTGGTATCATCCTCAATATTTTGTATTTCTCTTCCAAAGTGTTTGAATTTTCGTGTAAATCGCATCTTTGTTAAGGGACGAATTTGTTGAACTTTCTCAGCTAAAATCTCAGCAACAGTGTCCCGTTCCTTTTTGGCAGCAACTCCGTTCGAATGAACCGAAGAAACTGTTGCTGGACGAGACTCCTCTTGCTTGGCATCATTCCAATCCAAATTTTCATCCACCACTTGCTCACTCTCGGCGTCGTCATCGATCATCGGTTGGCCTGAGATAATTGTAGTCATTTTTTTTTCAACTTGGCGGGTGATGAAGTGTATGATCATACAAAGTTTCTCGGGGTCTTTGGAATTCTTCTCTTTTTCTTAGTAATATAAAAACAATGATTCTGCTCGACTTTTTACAGTCAAAACAACTCTCGGAATGTGTGATTGGAAAGTGAAATAGAAGCGAATGATCACCAAAAGTTCAACAGGCAAGTCCAGTTGTTGGCTAACACAAGTCCCTCTTCGGCTTCCTTTCCAAAAAAAATAGCCGTTACGAAAACAGGCTCCTGAACCTTCTTTGTGTTGGAAAGAACGATTTTGAGATAGGAATCAACCAACAACATCTCATATTGGGATTAGAACTAACACTCAAATCATTATCATCATCACTCCAGAGGGGAAAATCTTTCGAATTTGTGAGACCCTGTCCCGACTCTTAGTGGGAACGTTTTTTTCATCATCACACCATCCTCTTATTTATTGTCTTCCCGTTCCTGTCATTTTGTGTGATGAGATCCCTGATAAGTTACATACGTCTTCTCCAGAGCGTTAATTACGGAGAGAAATGGCGTCAATTCAATGATTGGTTGCCATGGAATCGATTGCCTCCAGCACCCAGAGTCATTCATCTCAATGATGAAGAAACAAATCAACGAAAGGAAAACAAATTTTGCGACAATTCAGGTAGGTTGATGGCGTGTTCAACATGTGTCGTTGTTTTTTAAATTATCATTCACATCAACAATGATGAATGTTCTCTCTCATCGTGTGATCCGATTTCGCAAACCATCATCATCACCATGCAAACTATTTCACAGTTTCGACTGCCAAGTATAATCTTGTTACTTTTGTTCCAAAAAACCTTTTGGAACAATTCAAAAGAGTGGCCAACATTTACTTTTTACTGATTGCCTTGTTGCAATTAGCTACCCCTTTTTCTCCAACGTATGTTTAATTTAGTTCACAATAGTGACTTTGAAAACAAACAATCATCAACAACATTTCCACAATCATCATGATTTACATTTATGAAACATCCATTGACAAATTTTGAACAATACTAAAACGTACAACAGTGGACGATATAGTACAGCCATTCCACTTGTAATTGTTATTATTATTCAAATGATAAAAGACGGCTATGAAGATATCAAGCGTCACCTTTCCGATAATGAAGTCAATAACAGAACTATCTCAATTTTGAGAAATGGACAAGTGATGGAAGTTGCATGGAAACAAGTAAGAGTTGGAGATATTGTAAAAGTAAATCAAGACGAATCATTTCCGGCAGATTTAATAGGCATATCGAGTAGTGAACATCAAGGAATTTGTTACATTGAAACATCTCAACTTGATGGTGAAACTAACTTGAAAATTAAGAGATGTGTTCATCCAACATCTGCACTCACAGATCCAAATGCTCTTCTCAAACTGCGTGGAGTGGTCAATTGTGAACAACCTAACAATAAGCTTTACAACTTTACTGGAAACATTAAGATAGATCCTGATCCAAAACCTATTGCCTTAGATGTGGAAAACGTTCTACTTAGAGGAGCTATTCTGAAAAATACCAAGTATATTTATGGATTGGTTGTATTTACTGGAAAACATTCAAAATTAATGATGAATTCAAGAAATCCACCCTCGAAACGATCCAAGGTTGAAAAAATTACCAACAGGATGATTCTAATCTTGTTCTTGGCTCAATTATTGTTGGCTCTCTTTTCTGCCATTGCTCTTTCCATTTGGCACAACAACCAAAATCCAAACAACCAGCACTGGTACTTTAGAGATTTAACCGATGCTGCGTCACAATTCTTTGGGGCTTTGCTTACATTTTTCATTCTCTACAATAATTGTATTCCTATCTCTCTTTATGTGACATTGGAAACAGTGAAAGTTTTGCAAGCTCGATTGTTCCTTGATAATGACATCCAAATGTGCTACTATGACAAACAGAATGATATGCACATTCCTGCCCTAGCCAAGACATCAAGTCTAAATGAGGAGTTAGGCCAAGTAGAATACATATTTTCTGACAAAACAGGTACTCTTACTCAGAATGTTATGGAATTTTTAAAGTTTTCTGTAGCAGGAGTCGAGTACGGAAGAGGATCAACAGAAATTGGAAGAGCAGCTGCAAAGAGAAGAGGAGAACATGTCGAAGAGGAGCAACCAGTTCCATCAGAGGATGGCTTTCAATTTGTGGACGAAAGGATTATGAATGACAATTGGAGAAAAGAGAAGAATGCAACGAACATCCAAGAATTACTTACTCTTCTAGCCGTTTGTCACACTGTCATTCCTGAAGTTGACAAGTCAAAACCTAACAGCATTGAATATCAGGCGTCATCTCCTGACGAAGCTGCTCTCGTAAAAGCTGCCATGCATCTAGGATTTGTGTTCAAGGAAAGATCACCAAAACAAGCCACCATTGAGGTTTCCGGAGTTCGCCAAACATTTGATGTGCTCAATATTTTAGAATTTAACTCCACAAGAAAGAGAATGTCAGTCATTGTTCGTACACCTGACAATAAGATTGTTCTCTACACAAAAGGCGCTGATAACGTTATTTATGAAAGGTTGAAACCTGGACAACCTTTCCTCCATGAAACTAGAAAAATCCTTGAAAAGCACGCTGCCGAAGGTTTGCGAACGTTGGTATGTGCAAAAGCCGAGCTCGACCCTGTTGAATACGAACGATGGAATACTGAGGTTTTTGAGCCTGCAGAGCTTGACCTAAAGGATAAAAAGCAAAAACTAGCAGATGCTGCAGAAGTTATTGAGAAGAATTTGGAGGTGGTTGGTACCACAGCCATTGAGGACAAATTACAGGATGAAGTTCCAGACACTATTGCAACCTTGGCTAAGGCCAATATCAAGATTTGGGTCCTAACTGGAGACAAACAAGAAACAGCCATCAATATTGGTTATGCATGTGCTCTCTTGGATAACAATATGAGTATTATGATCATTAATGCTGAGAATAGATCCTCACTCAAAACCCAAATAAGAATGAAACTCAAGAATGCTATGGAAGGAAAAGAGGGTTCAATTCTTGGATTGGTTGTTGATGGCTCTGCTTTGGATATTATTCTAGAAAGAAAAAAGAAAAAGAAGGAAAAGAAGAAAAAGCACAGCCAAAATGAAAAGAAAGTTGAAAAGATTTTGGATAATCTTGAAAACCATGATGACGACGAATCTGATGATGGCCAAACCAATCATGCAGCTGAAAAGGACATTTCACACCTTCAAGATGATGCAGACGATCCAAATGAAGAACCATTGAGATATACATTTTTGAGATTGTGCATGATGTGCAAGTCTGTAATTTGCTGCCGAGTGTCACCTCTCCAAAAATCCTTAATTGTCAAGCTCGTTAAGGACAATTTACCTGGAGCTGTTACTCTCGCAATTGGAGATGGTGCAAACGATGGTAAGTGTTTTAAAAATGTTCTCAATCCTTTGTTTTTTACTGATTAATAACAAATCATAGTTTCCATGATTCAAGCCGCACACATTGGTGTGGGTATTAGCGGTAAGGAAGGCTTACAAGCTGCAAGAGCTGCTGACTATTCCATTGCACAATTCAAATATTTGAAGAGACTCTTGTTGATTCATGGCCGATTGAATTACCGAAGAATTGGAAAAACTATTGTCTATTCTTTCTACAAGAACTTGACATTGCAGTTGACTCAATTCTACTTTATCTTTTTCAATGCCTTCACAGGTACCTCTCTCTATGAAAACTTCTCACTTTCCACTTTCAACTTGATTTTCACATCTCTTCCAATCATTTTCTTTGCAATGTTTGACCGTGATGTGAATGATGATCATGCCATTAGCTTCCCTGAATTGTATACTTATGGACAAAAAGATTACTACGTAAGTGTGCTGAATGCATATTCTTCTTGCATTATTCATCATCACTAATTATTCAAAATAATTCACGGCATGATAGTTTAACATTCCAAGATTACTCATGTGGATTTTGAATGCAATCTGGCATTCAATATGTTGCTTCTTTATCCCAATGGGTGCTTTTGCTTTCATGAGTGGAGCTACTCACGATGGCAGAATGGCCTCCCTTGAAGAAATTGGTATTTTAATTTACACTTGCATTATCTTGTTAGTGAACTCCAAGTTAGCTTTAGAAACTTCGTAAGTAATTTTGAAATTTGATGGAGAATTTTTTGTGAAACCATGCCAAACGCGTTTCTCTTTTTCAAATAGTACCTGGAATATATTCAATAGTATCGTTTTGTGGGGAAGTGTTGCTGTTTGGTTCTTGTGGACAATTGTTTACTCGTTCTTTTATTGGATTGTACCTCCAGCAGACTTTTTCCCATTCTCCACTCTCAAAAATCTTGGAATTAAATACTATTTCAACTTTTACACATCAGCAGGAAATCCCTTGTTTTGGGGAACTCTGCTTCTAGTTATGGTTGTTGCTCTAGGAAGAGATATTGCTTGGAAGAGTGCTGTGAGAATTATACCTTGGACAAAAGAACTCTATCACGTCTTGCAACCATTTAGCAAAGTTGGCCAAATGGTTTCAAGAGAGGAAGTCGAACACGAGTTTGATTTCAGCAAATTGCAACCACCACATCGAAAACCATACGACAAGTTCAATCGTATTGGTATTTACATTACGCCAGGAGCTCCTATTGAAGAACTTGAAAAGTATGAACCTCATGTTCTCGAACGGAAGAAAACTCTCACAAGTACACAATTTGGTACAGGTTATGCCTTTTCTCAACGTGAAAATGAAAAGGATCTTATTGAGGAGATTTATTCACCTGCTAATCGAGTTGGCTTAATTGAGTTACACACGTTAGATCAACTGGATGTGAAACAACCTGAATTGGTTGAGGAAGAGATCACTGCAAGTCCTTCAAAACGTCAAATGAAGAAGGAAATGAAATCCAAATTGACATCTTCAACCTCGTCCTCAAACACAAAGAAAAAGAAGAATAAGGAGGAAGAAGAAATTGTGGATGACCTAGACGATGAGATTATTACCTCCTACAAGGAGTAAGACAGTGATAGTCAGTGCGTATGCTGTTTGTTGAGAATAACCACCAACACTTTCACTCGTCAAACTCGAGTTAACATTTGTGTCTCCTCCAATAATAAACGATTTGATGATTGGCTTGAAAATTCAAATTGAAGATGAAGGAAAGCAAATTAAATATTTTAAAAAATGATTTCAAACGAACAACAGCAACAACAACCTAAAAAACGAGTGTCCAGATGGGACTCCAAAGTCAAAGTATCTGGTCAAGCCACAGCATCATCTGTAGGTGATCAGGAAGAATTTACAAAGAAACATAAACGATACGATGAAGAAAATATAACAAAGGATTCTACTAGTAGTGATAATCAAATCAACAGTAATATCACGATACCCGAAGAACCACCAAAGAAAATGACTAAATCAGCATGGGAAGCCGACGATGATGATGTAGAAGATGTCGATTCATTTGTAAGGAAGAGCGGTTATGGTACCTCACCAGCCTATGCAAGCACAGACATGTCTTCGGATGAAGAGTTTTCGGGTATTTCCCATGCAGCTTCATCAGCATCATCACGAAGGCTTCCACCAAGTAGCAAAAGAGGAGATCGTTGGGAAAACTCTTCGTCGAGCCTTCCAATTGCTCAGGCTTCATCATCAGCGGCTGCCGATGCCACACCAGTTTTTGGTACTAGTAAATGGGACCAAAATGCAATGAAAACTCCTGTTTATGGTGCAGGAAGCTCGTCCGTCGCAGCAACACCATTATTAACACCAAGAAATGCATCATTTAGAGGATCAACAGCTGTAATTTCGACGCCGCTCGGAAGTATGACTCCTCAAGAATATTCACAACTCAAAATAGAACAAGAAATTGATGCGAGGAACAGACCGTTGAGTGATGAGGAATTGGATGCCATGCTTCCTTCAGAGGGATTTGAAATTTTAAAACCACCACCAGATTATGTACCAAAGCGAAGAAACAGAACAAGTTCTTTCACAGCAGGTGGCAATGAAATGGTTACACCATTGAGTGGAGCGGCCACTCCCTACTATAATATTCCTGAAGAAATTACTGCTTCCACGTATGGATTACCAATAGGAACACTTGGAACAGACATGCCAGAAATGAAACCTGATGATTATCAATATTTTGGCAAATTATTGGAAGAAAAGGACGAAAACGAGATGAGTGATGAGGAAAAAATTGAACGAAAAATTCTCAAACTTCTTCTCAAAATCAAAAACGGAACACCTCAAATGAGAAAGCAAGCCATGAAATTTATAACTGAGCATGCTCGAGAGCTTGGTGCAGGCCCTTTGTTTGATCAAATTTTACCTCTCATGATGTCAACAACTTTGGAAGAGCAAGAAAGACATTTGCTCGTTAAATTAATTGACAGAATTTTGTACAAATTAGATGACTTGGTCAGACCCTATGTCCACAAAATTTTACTCGTAACACAACCAATGTTAATCGATGAGGACTATTTTACAAGAATTGAGGGACGAGAAATCATTGCAAACTTGGCAAAGGCAGCAGGATTGGCCACTATGGTTGCTGCCATGAGACCAGATATTGATCATGCCGAAGAATATGTCAGAAACACAACAAGTCGAGCATTTGCCGTAGTAGCGAGCGCTCTTGGTGTGCAAAATCTTTTACCCTTCTTGAAAGCTGTTTGTAGATACAAAAAGACATGGGAAGCAAGACATACAGGAGTGAGAATTGTACAACAAATTGCTGTCTTGTTAGGTTGTGGAGTATTGCCCTATTTGACGGATCTTGTAGAAATTATTAAGGACGGTTTTAACGACAGTGAGTTTAAAGTGAGGACAATGACAGGATTGGCAGTCGCTGCGTTGGCCCAATCATCTGCTCCGTTTGGAATTGAATCATTCGACTGTGTCTTGAAACCTCTGTGGAAAGGTCTAAGTACAAGCAAGGGAAAAATGTTAGCTGCCTATATCAAAGCAGTTGGCCACATTATTCCATTGATGGACCCTGTACAAGCTAAGAAATATACCAATGCAGTTATTGAACACATTGTGCGACAGTATGATACACAAGAGGAGGAAATGAAAAGAATCGTGCTTAAAGCTATTGCTCAATGTGTGGCTACCGAAGGAATTGATGCTACGTTTGTTAAGCAGAATATCATTCCTAAATTCTTCTCGAGCTTTTGGGATAGAAGCATGGTAAACGATCGAAGAAATTACAACCAACTCGTAGAGACAACCGTAGCATTGGCTCATAATGTTGGATGTGCTCTTGTTGTTGGCGAGTTAATAACCCATCTTAAGGATGAGAATGAACCATTCCGACATATGACTCTTGAGACCATCATGAAAATCACAGAAGCACTCGGCACTACAGATATTGGAGAACGATTAGAATTGGAACTTTTAGAAGAATGTCTACTATTTTGTATTGTGCAAGACCAGAGCAATCCAGCAACAGATAAGAAGAATTACTATTTGATCATTAATGCTGTTTCTTCAATACTCAAAGCTTTTGGTATTAGAGCTAAGAAATATCTTCCAAAATTAACGGGTACCATACTGCATCGACTGACCAACAAATCTGAGAAGGTTCGACAACAATCTGCAGATCTCCTCACAGAAATTATTCCAATTGTGAAACAATGTAACGAAGAGACACGTCTCACTCACTTTAAGATGATTCTTTATGAGTTTTTGAGAGACGAGGAGTATCCTGAGGTTTTAGGTTCTGTTTTGGCATCCATGAATGCTCTCATTCAAGCAATAGGAGAAGGAGATGAGACTAAGCCTTCATTAGATGAAATCTTGACACGGTGCACTCCAATCTTAAAGAATAGAAATGAAAAAGTTGAAGAAAGTCTCATTAATTTAATTGGTACTATTGCACAAATTGCAGCTAATCGAATTTCAAGCAAGGAGTGGCTAAGAATTTGTTTCGATTTGTTGGAAGTTCTTAGAGCTCACAAGAAATCAATACGTAGAGCAGCAATTAAGACATTTGGTTATATTGCCAAGGAAATTGGACCTTCTGATGTGCTTGTCACACTTTTGAACAACTTGAAAGTCCAAGAACGACAGAACAGAGTATGCACTACTATTGCAATTGCCATTGTAGCTGAGACGTGTGGTCCTTTCACCGTTCTTCCAGCTCTCATGAACGAATATCGAGTGCCAGAACTCAACGTTAGAACTGGTGTCCTCAAATCTCTTGCCTTCCTATTCGAATACGTTGGAGACCTTTCTATTGATTATATTTATGCAGTCACGCCTTTAATTGAAGATGCCCTAATGGACCGAGACTTGGTACACAGACAAACAGCATGTTCAGCCGTTAAGCATATCGCTCTGGGGGTGCATGGACGTGGAAAAGAAGATATACTTCTTCACTTGTTGAACTATGTATGGCCAAACATTTTTGAAACATCCGCACACGTGATTAATGCAGTTATGGAAGCTATTGAAGCGCTTCGTGTCACTCTTGGCCCATGTGTCATTTTACAATATTTATTACAGGGTCTGTTTAACCCTGCTAGGAAAGTTCGAAATGTATTCTGGAAGATTTATAACAATGTTTATATTGGTCATCAAGATGCAATGGTTCCTTTTTATCCAAAAATTACGAATGATGAACAGAATCATTACGAACGAACAGAATTAGAGTGGTTTATTTAAACACGAGTATGGTTCGGAAAGGATTCATTCGCACCAAAACTTGGAGGTAAGGAAAACATTTTTGGACTGTGTATGAGCATGTTTGGTTGATCAAACAACATTTTATCTGATTTGCCTTTCCGAAAGATTTGTGCCGTCAGATGTCAAGAGGAAATGACTCTTCCTTTAACAATTCAGAAAAATAAAACAAGTCGTGTTGCCTTTGAAGGAGACAATTACCTGCTGCGTGTGTATGAGAGTGTTGCTGCAGCAGACATCTGCGCCCGAGTTTTTGTGTAGTCGTAGTACACGATCATCATCGACAACAACAAAATCCCAATCACCTCTTCTTCCATTCACAACAAGACACTATCATACAACAACTCCGAGTGCGTAAGTGTGTGTGAGGGATTATAAAAGTATTTAGAAATAACAATAATAATTATATACTAATAATTATCCTAATAATAATAATAATACCGACTGTGGTTGTTTTTCTATGAAATTACAATTTTTTGCTTGGTCGGACCAACCATCAAAATCTTGAAATTTCCTTATTGTCATCATCCTGATGATGTCAATGATCACATTCGCGTCCAAAATGCTTGACCTCAATGATCACACTCTCCTCCTACAACATTATGAACTTTCACATGAATTCCTTGAATTGTATCATCATCATCATTGTATATGATCATTAGAGAGTTGTGTTCCAGTCCATTTTGAGACATTTTCATCATCAATTCTTTACCGGTTTATAATTCAATAATCATCACATCCAACATTCAATAATTATCCTTATCGTATTTCCCACAACAACAACAACAACTTTCACCATCAAAATGGGTCAAAACAATTCCTATCCTCTCTTTGAAAGTATTGCACAATCCGAGAGTGATCAAAATGGCGTTCTCGATGTTGTGGTCTCTGCCTCCAATTCTGCCAATTCACTCCAAGACGACAATGTGAAAAATTTGAAACGTGAAAAACGAGAACGTTTGTTGCAACACATTGGATTTGTGTTTTACATGTTGCAGACTCAACCTCATTATTTGTCCATGCTTGTGAAACACGCGTTGGATAAGATGAATGGTGAAGATGGATCTTATAATGATGGAGATGAATTGGAATATATTAAATTGACTTATATGATTTTTAATCATATGAAAAGCAATCGATTGAAATACATGTATTTGAGATCAATTATTCAATTGTTGTACATGATTCGATTGAAAGGAAACAAATCATTGGATAATTTATTAAGTATTTTAACAGTAGAGGATCCTGTGACACAACGAAATAATTATTTAGATAAGGTCGTGGAAACTGTCTTGTCACATTATCATGGTGTGGATTTGTCCATTATGAATTTAGATAAGATGAAACGAAGAAGTGCCACTGTGGTGTATTATGGAAAAGTTTCACAGTATCATCAAGAACAACAAGAATTTGGTAATTATGGACAAGGAACAATACGAGGAACATCGAATTTACCAAATTCATTATCCTCTCCACTAATGCAATCATCCCAAAATTCCACAACCACCTGCAATGCTGTTGTTTCTTCTGGTGATGAAAATACTTGTTCACAAGAACTTGCAATAACGACCAATGTCTTGTTGTCACAACAACAACAAACAAGACTTGACAATCGAGAGGAAACGACAACAATTCCACCCTATCAAAATAATGTCGAAGAAGAAAACAAGCAGGATGAAGATGACGACGAGAATGATGAAAATTCACAATTACCACCACCCTCTCGACTTTCGGATTCTCCTTCTTCACTTCAACAAATTACCACATCCATTACCATTCAAACTCGTCCTTCAAGTCACACTGTCATTATGAACACTGGAAGGTCTCGTTCTGGATCTACTTCTGTTGGTACACCTCCCACCTATTCAGGTGCAGGTCTCTCAACTCCTTTATCTTCTTCTCCAACGATTCACGAATTAGGAAAACAAATTTTGGCCTCTTCTCCATCTCCTCGACCTTATTCCTATTTGGGATCTTCTCCTTATGCCTCCTCTCCAATTAATGATGATCGATTAGAATTGCGAGTTCACACCACAATGATGTCTTCACCAATGGGTTCTCATGGATCATTTTCAAGAACCAATTCTTTGGATAACAACATGGTCAATCGATTAAGTACTTCCTCCAGTGATGATATTCAACCACCACTTCAAAATAATAGTTTTCTGTATGACTCTGCAGGAGGATCCTCTTCTTCGTCATTGAGCTTCCTGTCAAATTCTGCTACAAGTCTTGATGGATCATCTCCAACCATTGTCACCAACAAGAATAGAGGAGTGGGTGGAATGTTATATTCTGCTGCTGCTACACCTACGAATCAAACTCCTTCACCGTCACCTGTGACTCCAATAACAACATCAACAACTACTCCTGTTGCGACTACCCCTCTGTTAAATAACAATTATGTTTTGAGTAGAAATAGTTTCGATGAAGGACGTGATTATCCTGCCACTCCTGAATTTTCACTCGTTCCTTCTTTGGGATCTTCAAATACGTTGAAAAAGACCTTTTCTGAATCGATTAGCAAAATGAAACAAAAAGCCAAAATGCAACAAGATCTTAAAAATTTTGAAGAAATGTGTCATGCAAGTGCCAATTCCACAGGTGGACTTGTGATTGTGAATTCTTCGACGAGTGGAAAGAAACCTCAACCAAATTTAGATCTTCCTATGCGTAGCAGGGAATATACTCTTGAAAAGAAGATTCACATTTGGGAAGGAATTCTTGATCGAATTCATGACAAGTTGGTGATACATTTGAATGAGGCACCATTTGAACATCAGTACAAGTTGGCATATATTCATTTCTTTTTAACACAAATTTTCGATTATGCCTCCAAAGGTAATGGAGGAGGAAATAATGCAAACAAAATCAGCTCGATTGAACTTGCCAATGCCTATATTGTGAGTTCCTATTTGAGAATTAACAAAATTAGAAAGAAGTTACAACAAGTACTCATTAATAATAATGTCAGATCAAAAGAAAGTCATATTTGTCAATTCTTGGACATCATGTCCGGCCACGACTCGTGTCTACAAACAAAAGAATATAAGGGAGTTGCTGAAAAAGCAAGTCAAATTAAGAAAACAATTTTAAATTGGATTTTACAAATCAACATTACCAAACAAAATAAGGGTCTTCAACAAGCGTTTTTGGAAAAATATTATGGAATACCCACAGATTCTGACGTTTCACACAAAGTGGATCCACCTCTACGCATCAAGATTGGAGATTTTTTGAATTTGGCTAAAATTATGTTTTTCAATTCGAGTCCTGAGGATGAAATGAAGAAAGTATTGACCACGATTCGACAAAATTTGAAATGCATCTTGTCAGCACCACCATCGTCACAACCACAGACACCACAAACAACATCCACCTCACATCCTTCCTCCTCTGTATCCAACAGTAGTGGTCATCATTCGCATCCATCATCATCCTCAGACTCTTCAGATCATCATTCTCCATCCGATCAAGAAGCATCATCAGATTCTCAAAATGGTGACGATTCCAATTCACCCAACAATATTACCTTTAGCATTTATTGCCCTGATCGAAGATATCTCCCAAATTCCATCCATCTATTGAAATATTTTGCAAAAAACTTGTCCAATGGCAATAATTATGTCATTGTGAATTCACCACTCACCACCGCCACCACCACAAGTGCCACCATGGAACATCAGATGAAAGAACTTGTACCAAACAGACCAACCCTTTTTTCAGATCTTTTGATTTTCACACATCACTGATGTGTTTTGTTTCATTCAGAACAAAATGAAAGAAAACAATACATGGCGAACACAACTATTATTCTTTCATGCATTAATTTCTTTTTGCACTAAGGTTCTGCTTTGTCTTCGAAGAGTTACCGTTTTGAAACACAGTTCCAAGTTCGACATGGCGCGCTTCAAAAAAAACACCAAAAAAAAAGCGACTAAGGCTCTTCCGTAGCGGTTGTATACTACCCATTCTTGTTCTCTTTCCATTTCTCTCGGAATAGTACACAAAGTAATGATGATGATGAATACAAACCTACAAAAGAGAATGAGAGAAGAGTTTGAGTGCAGCCCAAGTCAAAATGATGATGGGAACTATTCCGACTCGGAACCTACCAACATGGATGAAAATATACGAATCAAAGAGAATGAATTTGCGGTGAATGTTCAGTTTCCATTGTTTGCCTCTTCTTCTCACTCCTCACGCAAAAACAAGAATGTAGCAACACCATCCAGTCATCGCCATTTGCTCTCCTTCTCTCCAAGTCAAGGACGTTTTCAATCATCAGAGGAAGCCATTCCAGCAAAAACGTTCTTGTCGACAGCTCTTGATGTGCAAGATGCACAAGAGGCAAGTAAGAGAGTACAAAGCTCCTCCAGTCAGCAACCAAATGATACTTCGAGCCAAACTAACTGCCTGTTTGCAATTAAGGAATTGAAAAGCTTGAGTCAAATAGTGGCCATGCAATGTGTCATTGGTGAGCTTGTGATTTTATTTGAGGACTGGGAATCATGCGAAAGGAAAGAAAGCAAAGATCAAAATCCCTCACTTCTTCTATACCATATTCATGGATTCTCTAATGTACGCTCCATCAATGAAAGAACATCATTAATTCACAAAATTGCTCTTCCAAAAATCTCCACTTTTCAAAAAGCACATCCTGCATGTGACGAACAGGAACATGAAATTATTGAACAGGGAAGGGAACTAACTCGAGACGACATTATTCACTTTAATTTTCATTGTGACTATGGAAAGCGAGTGTACTTCCTTCATCTCAGAAATGGAAAATTGCTAGTAAGAGGATCGAATGTATTCAATGAACTTGGTTTAACAGAAAGAAAGGATTTCATTGATCACTGGACAAATATTCATCTATGTGACCACGGAGATTACATTACAAGCATCAAAACAAATACTCACAACACTGTATTTGGTACGCAGAACGGAAAGTGGATTCTTTGTGGCAGAGATGCTTATTTGGTGTACAATCGAATTGTAAATGTTGATAGTGTAACTTGGGACTCATTGAATGCAGAACTTCTGGATCCACCTTACATTCTTGACATTAGCATTGAAGGGGAATGCATTTTAAAGATGGAACAACTGTTTGCAGGAACAATTATTCTCACAAAGAGCGGAAACATCTATTCAACAATCAGAGATAGGCTTAATATTTTCACTGAATTGATTAACGATACAACCTCTCCTACCTGTTTAATGGTCACACAACTTTCGCATAATCCCGAGAAGAGTGGAGAAATTGTGAAATCGTCAATTGCCAGAGAATGCTATAAGATTGATTTACCTTTTGCTGTGTCTGATGTCATCGCGGTTGACAATGCCATGTTGCTTAAAAGAAAGGAGGATTCGCAATTATTCTTATTGAAACGGTCTCAATTATTCGATTTGGAAATTTCCAACGTCAAGAAAATCATTTGTTCCACGGACGAATTTTTCGTTATTTCCAAGAACAATTCTTTGTATTCCATCTACAGTGGCGCTACCTTCCCAAGCTTGAAACCAATCGAACTTCCAAGAGAATTGAAACATTACGTTCCTAACAACAAACAATCGAAACAAATCAAGCTCGCCAACATGGCATCCACCAATCCAAGACAAAAGAAGAAGGAAGAAATTCCAGAAGAGACGGAACCAACCCATAACCTTTGGGAAAATTGCGCCTCTCTCGACATTCGTACTGTCATTAGCATGACCCCCAATTTCTCTATCATTGTCGTTGAGGAAGGTCACAATGAACTTGAGAGCCATTTTGTGAACTCCCTTACTGGACAAACTTCTTCTCTTTTATACGACATTGAAATTTGTTTCTCTCATTCCACCCAACACTAATGGATAAGGGTTCATATATCTGAACATTTTGATAACATGAGTATCCATGCATGGATGGAACGACAAAACCATTTGTAATAAATCCTAATTCGTGTTGATCATGTCTTTCTGTTTGACACACGTGGCATAACACATGAAAAAATCAACACGATGAGAATGTGGGGCAAACTTCATCAATTTGCCAATGAATTAATGGCTCCTATTGAAGAGGAAGAAGAAGAGGAAGAGGAAAACACTCATCATCACCAACAACAACAACTGCAGCCTCCAGCATCGGTCATCTCTCAACAACATAAACATCATCATCCACCCAAAGAGGATTCCTTCTTTGCTCAGCCTTTTCTTTCTCCTCAATCACAACCACAACAACCACAACCACAACAACAACCACATTATCCTCCACAAGCAAATGTAAAGGCATCTCAGACTATTCCGAATTCCTTGTACAACAATTATACACAGCCTCCTCCTCCACAAACCACGATGATGATGAATCATTCTATGAATTATCAACAACAACACCAACAACAACTACCATACAAGTCTTACGGAACAACATCAACCACTTCCTCTTCTATACAGAATTCATCCACACCCAATATTACATCTCGGCTTTCTCCGGTATCATCGGTTTCATCCTCATCACTTCCATCTTCCTTCTTTCAACCATCATCCAATTACTACCAACAACAAGTACAGGGCAGTGCTGATTTGAAAAGAGTTTCATCATCATCCAGTTTGGAAAGTAGTCGATCCATCACTCCGACACTCCTCACGATCCATCAGGTTCAACCACAACAACAAGCACATGGAATGACTGCCAAGTCAAGTAGTAGTAGATCAACAACTCCGATTCATATGAGTAGTAGTGCGAATAAGCTACCTGAAATGCCACCTGGTTTACTTGTGGATGGGATGACAAAACCGTACAATGAAACAACAAAAACTGATAATAAGAATTATATTCATGTTAAATTATTCGTTGGAGATGAAGTGCTGAATCATGAGAAATATGTAGAATATTTACAGAGCCATATTACTTTTTTGCAAGGAGAAATTGTAAATCAAGCAGATAGATATGAAAAAGAGAAACAAGAATTGAAACATATCATGGAAAATGTGCAACAAGCATACAGAGAACAGAATTTGTAAGTTTTTTAATTTAATATTATTATCAATTATTTATTAATTACTTTAATTGTGAAAATCACATACTCGTACACACATATGTAACGATAAAAAACAGGAAAATGAATGAATATTTAGAAAAAAATCGAAGATTAGAATATGATTTACAACAAGCCAATTTAAATGCCAACACTCAAATTTCCAAATTAGAGAGTACGGTCAATGAATTGAATAATCAAAAGAAACAACTCATTCAGAATATTAATGAACAAAATCAAAGGATCCAACAAGTGTATTCCGAGTTGACCAAGGAGCAACAGTTAAGCAAACAATATCTTAATGAAGTTGAACGACTGAAATCTTCACAAAAACAGTTAGAAATTCAGTACGGTGGATATGCCGTATTGCTTGAGGAAAGAGAGAACGAGTTGGCAAATTTAGAAACAGCTTTAGGACAATTACAAATGGCATCTGAAAAGGAAAGCTCAAAATTGAAACAAATCATTCAAAAGAAGGATGAAGAAATTACAAAACTAAAGAATTTAAACACCACTCTTAAACAAGAGGCAGATCAAGTTGAAGATTTGAAAAAAGAAATTGAAGAATTGAAAACAAAGCTTAGTGAGCAGGAGGAAACAAACACCAATATGCAAGAATTGAACAACTCTCAAAGTAAGTTGGAATTTGTGTTAATGCAATTCTTATAATTTCGTGAATGACTTGGTACTTTTACATGACGTTGAATCATTATGACAGGCGAAATTGTGACACGAATGCTTGAAGATTGTATGAGCAGGCTAAACGATGAAAATCTGGTGGATAGACGTGTTGTTTCCCGAATGCTTCTCACTTTAGTCTCCAACATTGGTGACATGACACAACAACAAGCTGTATTTAAATTCCTTCTCAAAACTCTTAATATCACTTCATTCGAAGAAGAACAATTGTTGCAAAGTGCCCTTGTCTATTTACAACAAGAACGATTCAAGCAGCTACTCACTCGAAAGAAAACATTTTCAGAATTGTTCGTGACTTATTTGTTGGAGGAAGCAAATAAACCTCCAAACAAACCTTAATATGGATTGACATTAGCAAAATTTTGACAGATATTTTTAGGAGCTATTTAGTAGTGTGGTTGATTTGTTAAACATAGATACATGATTATTGATCTTCCATGTCGTCATCACCATCATCTTCCTGTTCTTCGTCGCCTTGCACAGGTTCTTCCACAAATCTCTCAAATTCCTTCTTCTTTTTGTCATAGTGACAAACAACGCTTGCTTTAAATTCAGCCAATTCGTGTCCGAAGTGTTTCAAAAGTTTTGCTTGTTGAACTGTTATTGGCTCTCCGAATGTGCACAAATTAAAATCTCTCGTAATACAAATCACCTTATTCTTCACTTCGATTGGCAATCCAAGTTGTTGAAATCGTTCTTCCAAACTGAATGGCATCCATTCCACTGGACCAGCTTCCAACGTAATCGTTTTAGTGGCCACAAAACCTGCCTGTGCAAAATCGCTTCTCACAAAATTAGAAAAGTATTCTTTGACTTGTTCTGGAGCACGATTGGTAATGAGTAATGCTCTCGTTGCTGTGAGGAATTTAGAAGCATGATGAAGATTTGGCTCAGTTTCGTTTTCTTCACTCGTTCCTAATGCCACTCTCATGACCTTGTTCTTGGTCATGAAAAGTCTGTAATGATTTGTTGTTATATATATTATTATATTTGAATAAAAGAAGTGCATGATGTATCGTTTTATATAATGATATATTCAAACAAGTTGTTGAAGGAAGGATAGCAACCATCGAATAGGAAATTCCGACCATTCAGAAAGTCATTCATTTCAAAATCACATTCCGATACATATTGAAATTATTATTTCAAATATATTCATCAGAACGAATTCAATCATTGTTCAACAACAAAACCAGATCCGAACATTTGTACTTACTTGGAGTCCATAAAATCTCTTCTAATTTCTTTCACATGATTCGTTCTACAATTTGAAAAATCCAACACATAGATATGATCGTGTTCTTCAATGGCCTGTCGGATTTCGTCAATGAGTTTGGTCTTTTGTTCCTTGGTACTTCTCTTCTTGGTTTTTGTGAGCGAAATAATTTTGTCTCGTTTTGCTTTTGGCATTTTTTTAAAGTTTTTTTTTGAAATTTCTTCAAAATTTTCCTTGATCTTATGTGAAGGAAATTTTGAATGACACTTTATTATGATTGATAAAAAACTATAGAAACTGATTAGCAGCATAATCGTTTTGGATCATCATGAAGATGATGTTCTCAAAATGTTGATTCTAATGATTAAAAATTCTTTGATTTAAAAGAAATTGCCAAGACTTTGTTCGACCATCAAGGATGATCAATAAGGTTTCCAAAAGAGCTATATATTTTCATTTCAACTTTTATCATTCAAACTCAAAATATACAAATAGGTAACAAATCAAATGGGAATCATAATTCAACGTCAACATATTTAAAACCATCTCTAAGCTTACAAAGTTTAGAGGTAAAAAAATGTTGCAACCACATTGCCAACAACATCATCTCTCCTCTTTGAAATTAAAGAGTACTGAAACCAATCATGGAAGGAATGAAATATCTTTTATTATGGATGAAACATCTTGTCATGATGAGTTCATCCATAATAGAGATACATACTTTAAATCATCATCAACACATCGGAATTGTTTGATGAAAGAGGATATTCATACATTGGTGAAAATCATTTTGATGGATTTTTCAAACAATAATACTTCTTTTCATCATCCATTTGGAAACAATGAACGTTGTATGGATGAATTATTGAGATTGAAATTGTTATTGAAGAAAAAATTTATATTACAACAAAAAGGAAAGAAAAAGTGGTTGTTGAATCGGGAATTGAAATATGAAGGTTTCATTCCGATCGAGTTCATAAATGACAAACAATTTGTGTTGAATCATATCAAAAAGTATGGTTATGGATTAGGATTTGCATCATCAAAGATGAAAGAAGATAGAGAGTTTGTATTGCAAGTGGTACAATTGAATGGGGACGAGATACGATATGCCAGTTTCACAATTCACAACGATAAAGAAGTGGTGTTGGAAGCTATAAAGAAAGAAGTAGATTCGTTCAGATTAGCGCCAGAGAAGCTTAGAAAAGATAAGAAGTTCGTGTTGGAAGCTATTCGATTGAATGACGAATGTTTGTTTTTCTCTTTTTTCTGAAAGACAAAGAATTCGTATTTGAAGCAATCAAACAAAATAAGAAAGCGCTAAGATGGGCGTGGGATTTACATCAAATCTGCACTGCATTGTGTCACTAAAAAGTTCACAGTGGCAGTATTTCCATTCTTGACAGCTTCGTGGAGAGCAGTGTTTCCCTCCTTGTCAATGACCTCATTCACATTTGCATTTCCTTCCGTGAAAAGTAAATTAGCAGCAGGAAGGTTATTATGTTGTAGGGCCACATAGAAGGGAGAATGACCTTCCGAGTTGACGACATTGCATTTTGCTTGGTTGGCAATTAAATATTCCAAAATCTGTCAAGAATTGACAGGTCATGACCATATTTGGGGACGGCAATTCATCGTGAATCAGAATGGTGATGGACTTTATTATGCATCGAAAGAGTTGAAAAGATTCTGAATTGATGATGGAAGCTCTCAAATGCAATGGATTTGTGTTGGAGTATAGTGATGAATTGTTGCATGAAAGAATGGAACATTGTTATTATGGTGCTTATTTTGGTCCGTAAACATTCTATTCGTCTAATTATAATAAATTCACAAGTTTAATAATTGAAATGATTGAACCAATCTCTGAGCTTCATCATTATAATTTTAAACTAATTGATAGGAATGATTGAGTGCATTTTCAGAGTCACTGTCATATTCATCTCGTGGCGCATCAAGGAGATCAGGATCAATGGGGTAGAAATGTACAGTGCCATCGGCAAGAGCAACAACCACTTCACGATAATAGTCATCGGTGGGATGAGCCAATGTAATGGCCTTAATTTCACTCGTACATGTTTCGAAAGTGTGTAATTCTGCAAGATCATACAGTCGTCGAATGGTGACTTGTTTTTTGATTCCTCCACAAATGGCATATTTGGCATCTGGAGTAATTTCAATGGATTTCAATCGATCGTTCACATCCAAACTCTTAATGTGTTTTCCATTGATGGTAAAGAGGTGTAGACTGCAATCCGTTTCAGAATGCATTAACAAGTGTCCATCTGATGATATTTTCACAATGTGAAGAGTATTGCGAAGAGGATGTTCAATGGTTCTAATGTAAGTTCCTTCTGAGAGAGTGTGAATCAGAACACATCCATCGGTATCACCGCTTGCGACAATATCCAAATCAGCGCTGACATCTACACAAAGAACCGATGCTTCATGACCATATAGAATACAGAGTGGTTGATCCGTGAGTGGATCCTTATTTGTGACCATGATTGGAATTGGCAATTTGTTGGCGATTGAAGAGAATTGCAAGTCATCCACAACACTTGCAGCAGTTCCTAAATTAACGTTTGCCATCAAATCTTTCACTTGAGTTCGAAGTGCATTAGGTTTCAATTTCATATAATTAATTCCATAAACATTCACAGTGGCATCTGCTGATCCGCTCACAAGGAATTTACCATCAGAGGTCATGGCAAGACATGTGACAATATCTGTATGGTGGAAAATACTTTGTTTGACAATAAGCTTGTCAAACATGGCAGAACACTTGATACTCTTATCGAAATGTCCACAACTAAAGATCCATTTTCCATCCCTGCTACACACAAAATTGGAGAAGTTTGGATTTTCATCTTTCGCAAATGGAGATCCAACAGTGGCAATTAAGGTTGGTTTTGGTTTGAGCTTACTGAGTTGGAAGAGTTGCCGATTGCAGTCTACTACCACAACCTTATCTTCTGACTTGATGTGCTGTACAAACAAAAGATCATTACTATTTCCACCTGTTGTCACACTAGCAATACTCGATGAGAAGGTTGGAACAAAGGCATTAGGCCTCCATTCTGGTTTTGGAATTGTTGGTTTAGGAAGTCGTTGTGGATGAGGTTTCTTGAAGAGTTGAGAAGGGGTTTGTCCAAAGTTACTAATTTGTGTCTCAATGGCCTTTCGTTGTAAAGGATCATCTACTGCATCCAAATCCACAGATCCTTCATAGGTGAGATAGTAAAAAAGATTGTGAGCTTTTTCTGCCTCAACACCTGTTTGTTTGTATCCAAAAATAAGGTCAATCCATTCATGTAAATGACTAGAGACATATTCACTTTCTAGAGCTTCTCTGTTGATTCGAATAAATTCTTCAGGAGTTTTAGCCCATGGCGGTAAAATAACATCATTGACAACTTCCTTATTTTGTTTCACACCAAGATTCAAACCGTTGTTATTTCTCAAAAATTCAGGCATGTAGAAAAATTCTGGAATGAGTTCTTTCACATCAGAATTGGAAGTCATACAATTTTCCCAAGACACAGGAAGAGAGTGGAACAACCGGTCTGGCAAATCGAATTGACCTCCTTGCAATTTGATATTGTAACTTGTGAATGGCTCTAATCTCAATAAAAAGAATAATACAACACCAACACTACTGTAGTGAGATCCATAGTGGAATTTAGGAATGGATTGGTCCTGGAAAGCTTCATATCGCTCTAGAATGTTCTTTAAACGTTTCTCATTGAGGGCACCCACAGGTTTTGAAAGATCTCTGTAAATTGATGGATCATTCAAATCTAGAACGTCAGAATTGTAATCTTTGATCACCCAAGGGAAAACTGGATATTGTGTTAAATCATTGTAAGTTCTGTTTGCAAATGTATTCAGACCCATCAAGTATTCAAAGTTTGAAATTTCTCGCCGTTGCCACTTTTGAGTTAATTTGGACTTCTTCAAAAGTGCATTTGGCGTGAGACTATAAGCATGGAATTTGAGATTTGGAGGTTTTTGATTCACAATGGTCTTGATCACTGCATCAACGTGTGCCTTGTCAAAATTGAAGAAGAATGCTGTTCGATTGAGGAAGAATATTTCAATACTGGTATATCTTAATAAATATCTTCTCTTGTAGAGCTCATAAATTTCCTCAATAGGCCATTTCTGATCAAAGGCTTCCTTGAGTGTTTCAATAGCAACATTTTCCTTCTCTTTCGTTTCAGCATCAGGATTTACAATAAAGTAAATGTGTTTGTTAGTAATTTCAAATGTTCCCTTAATGGTATCTAATGAAACCACAAGTTCACATGGTACAATCAGGACGGTCTCTTCCTCTTCTCTCTCGAGATGGAGACCTTCTTTTGGAGCCTTATTAATGGTTTCCCAGTCGGATTCTTCGTTTTCATTGGGTATGGTTGCTTCTCCATCTTCTTCAGATACTACGTCCTCATCATCGCTCACTCCTAGCGAATGTTCATCGTCATGGCCAGGTGTTGCTGTTGCTTGATCCTCGCCTGGAGTTTTTTGTGGTTCACTTCTCGATGTATGAACAAAGGATGACACGAGTTCACTTCTACAACTCCAATCATCATCCTCTTGAGCTGCTTCAGTTTTTTGTGACACATTTCGTTCGTTTTTGGAGGCAGTCTTCATAACAACTCTCATTCTCATTCTCTTAGAGTTTTCGGTAGGATCTAAAAACATTAACAAATCTTCCTTATCCTCATCCTTGATCCATACGCCTGTTCCTGAGAAGAATTCAGCTTCATGTTTTCTCCATTCGGTGAGTGCAATTTTGGATTTTCTTCTCAGAGCATCTCTCCAATTGTTCATTCTCTGTAACTCAGTGAAACAAACGTGGGTCTTTGCATTGGATGCTTCCTGTGTTGCCTTCTTCAGTTTGGGTATGTCATTTGATGCATTTCGTTCAATAAATTTAAGAATGTCATTCACTTTTTGCTCTCTCTTTTTAAGAATTTTCTCTTTTTGGTTTTGCTCTTCCATTTTAACTTCAGTATAGACGGCACTGAATGGAGGAGATTGACGTACGCCTAACCATCCTTCTTCTGATTCAAGGCTCAATATAAATTCTTCTTGGGCAGCATCTTGTTCAATACATGCCAATTCCGATTGCAAGTACTCTTTAGCAACTGGATTGGTAAGAATGGCTGCAAGAGATCTTTGATTCTTTCTGAGAATGGCAGTGATGATGGGAATTAAGCTATACTGCTTTTGTTCAATCTTTACAAAGAGTTTGGCAAGCGCATAAAAAACACGTGCTTGACTAATCTCATTCTCGTCATTTTCTGTTTTGAATGTGGGCTTGGGTACACGAGTGTGCTTAATATCATTACTGAGAAGAGCCAACATTCGGATACTGTGTTTGGCCTCTTGTATTTCCTTTTCATCTAATTCACACAGAAGGAAAAGTTGTAATCTAAACAAGACGAAAAATAAGGATGGAGTTGGAATGTTACTCTTGGTTGTGGTTAAATCAGCAGCAATATTCATGATGGTTTGAATAATGAAAGGATTGTTGTTCTTTTTGAACCCGTCATAATGCAGCAAGTCCATTGCTTTTGGATCTTTGATTGACATCTTGATAATGTAATCAAAACCTTGCATGATATATTTGACAATATAGAGCTTCTCATTGTGAGTGTTATCTAACTTGATTATTGTTCCTTCCAGTTGAGGAGATTCAAATTTTGTATCATCAGATGTTAAAATAAAATTCTCCACAAGTAGAGTAATTCTGAAAAGATTTCTCCAAAAGTCTTGTTCCTTGTTAAACTGCGTATTGTTGATCTGATTTACAATAAAAGGAAGGAATCTCTTAAAGAAAATAATATAGGCTGAGGTTCTGTGAATTTCCTTTCTGTCGCAAATGATGTCAATCTGATAGAGAGTTTCTTTCACTTGCTTGTAACCATTTGGTGCCTGAAGGAATTCTGACAACACGACAGAGACGACATCTACAGCTGATTCGAAAAGACTGAAAGCTTTTTCAACAGGTTCATCAGCGTCAGGAATGGCCAATGAGAGAACCCAATTTTGCCATCCAAACTGTTGTCCAAAAATTGTTCTGTTGTAAGGGTTGGATTTGAGAATTATGCTCATATCTTGGATTGCTTTCTCCTTTGTGTCAATAGATTTCGTAGTGACCAAGTTGAAAAAGGCAGTCAACAAGTCAGGCAACAATATTTTGGCTCCTCCTTTTGAAAGATCTGTTGATATTGTGCTATTAATGGTAAAGCTGATCTTGCAAAGAATAATTTCAAGAAGAGCAATATAAGTTTCCTCATCAAAGCAGTTTTCACTCAACAAGAATTGTTCCATGAGCAAATAATAACCTAAATTCTTGAACTTTTGTCTTCTTTCAGAGTTAGATCGTTCCAAAATCTTTCCTATTAGCTTGAGTGAAAATATTCTAATTTTCTTCTTGTTATTCGTCAGCATGTTGAGAAGAGGGAGCATGATTTTTTCTTCTGAAAGAGCTTCAATAATATTTGGGACTTCTTCGTCGATGAGTACCAAGACCCACTTTAGAATTTCAACGACTTGCTTTTCGTCTGTCGAGTCCACAATATATGACATGATAGATTCTGCTTCACTCTTGTTAATACCAGACCGTATCATGGCTTTTATGATTTCAGTCAATTGCAGTCTTAGCGCATAAACTTCTTCCTCTTTTGGTCTTACCGTGGGTTGATAAATTCTTTCAGGTTCTTTCTCTGGTTTGTACCAAAAGAAATATCGCATCACATCGAGCAAATACTGAATACCAACAGTTTCGTGGAAATATTCTGGATTTTTAGAAACTTCGTCATGAAGGAAGTGCAACATGTTACTGTGGATATCGAAATCTACAGTTATCCACAACTCAAAGTTCAAAAATATTTCTTTAAATATTTCTCTGATGATTGGATCCTTAGGATCGCTAGAGCACTCAACCAATCCTTGCAATGCTTTTAAAGTATCATGATTAATATGCTCTGGAGGTATTTGTCCAAGAATGTGACCAAGCGTGCATAAACTATTCTTTTGAATCATGTCCTCTTGATTTTTTTTGTTGTTTCGAAGCATTTCAGTAATGAGAGAAATGGTTCTAGCACACATTGAGTAATCAACAGTCCAATCTTTTTTCAATAACCTGAACAATGGGAATAATACTTCAACACCACCAATACAATTTAAAGTATCTTTGACAGGATGTGTGACAAAGATAGAGGTGCCTTGTAAGAGTCTTGCATCGGTGGAGAAACCTTTCTTTGTGCCCGAGTTGTCAGGGCATTTGAAATCTTTTGTACTTGACCGAGGATTGTAGAGAGTAACCAATTTTTGAGAAAATGACTCGGCATTGGGCCAATCAAAATATCGAGGTTGAGAATCACCCTTTTTGAAAGTATATTGGAAGTCAGGACCACAACTGTGTATTTTTTGAACCTCATTCAGACTGAAAACTTTGTCGAAAATTGAAATTGGTCCTACTTGGCCACAAAATGCTTGTACTTTGGTTTGCTTGTTGTCTACTGGAATATTTGTGCAAAAGTGTGCAAAATTGACTTGTCCACCCAAAGATGGATATTTGAGCTCAAATGTTTGTTTTTGTTCTCCGTCAACAAATAAAATAATGTCACTTCTCAGCATAAATCTCTTATTCTGAGTTAGTGAAATAAAATACCATCTATTGGTATGGAAGAAATAATCAAATGTAACATTTTGTTGTTTTTTTCCACCAGAAACAACCTGTACACACATGTGATTTCCTTTAAATAACAGCTCTAGACCATTCATTTTCTTGTCGAAAAAGCTGAAAAATCTGTAACATTGAGATTTAGTCGTTCTCTCAATTCTGAGCCAACAACTGAATGTGTAACCATTTGAAGGAAATAAAATGTTGTCGGAGACAATACCACAATCAATTCCATCAAAACTGAAAAACGACGATGGAGAGTCATATCTTGACATTTTTCTAATAACCTCCAAAATCAGAGGAGACAAGTCCTTATCTAATGAAAGACCCTCATCATCATCATCAGCCTTTCTTTCATTTTCAGGAGTTTTTGTTCTCATCAGTCTGATCAAAGTTTTCAATTCTCTTGCAGAAACACTAAAGCTTCCGACAATTCCAATCAAGTAAATGAGTTTCTGTATAACGTTCAAACTAAATTTCTGGTGTTTGGCTAAAAGATTATTAATTGTTTGAACTAATCCAACAGAAGCAGCCATACTATTGTCAATACTGCATTCTTCGAGAAGAACAATAAATATATCCAGAATTTCGATTTGAATATCTTCGGATAGAAAGGGCAATAATGTGAAAATAACCGTTATAGTTTTGGGGGATTGAAATATGAAATTGGTTTGAGGATCGAAACGTCCACGAGATCCCACCAACTGTGTTGATGACGTGATACAGTCAAGATTATTGTTGGTGTTATTAGTTATGGTTGACGAGTGTCATATTTACGTCATCATCAAGTTTACAACAACCATCATAACAGGATATTTTCGGATGAATTTGTTCATGGTTGTCCATCCATAATATCATCATCAATTTGCTTGTGTGAAACAATAGTATTACTTTTAAAACTACATACAGTATCAAGCAAACAATCCATCAATAATTTCATTGATTTGGTGTCGCTACCGAATTGTTTTACCAGCTCAGCGATCGTATTTTCATCTTTCTCGGTCATCATAGAAGCCAACGTTGAATACATGAGCAATCGCCTCAAAATATCATGTTGTTCGGCAGTTAAATAGACGAGAGCAGACTGATAGGAATTTCGTTGTTGTTGTTGTTGTTGTGAGAATAAAGCCTGTTCTTGTTGATTTTGCGGTGGAACCGAGGGAAGAGGTTTTGAAGAAGCATTGCTATTGGGGTGTGCTTGCCGAGAAGTTGAAGAGGTGTTGCTGTTGTTATTATGGTTGGACTGGGCAGGTTGTTGCTGCGTCTGTTTGGATGAGCCCGTAAAAAACGAAAACATTTTTTGATTTGGATTTGATGATTCTATTTGAAAAACTATTGAATTGAATTGAGAATGGGACAAATTTGGATCATCCCCTTGTGGAAGAAAAGCACACACCATCATATGATGAATGATTCTTGTCTGCAACATTCCTAATAGATGTTTAACAAAGTTTGATCTTTTACAAAACTCTCACTTGGAACATGAATGCATTCATGAGAGAAAAGATTCAAGAGTTGGCACAAAATTGTTTTTAGAGTCGCTTGCTTTGGTTCTTGTTCAACCATGGTTGAAGGAAAACACCAAACAATCCAGCCAAACTGATACCAATGGCATCAGATACTGAAACAACACTCATTGAGAATTCTCGTTGTCTTGGTGGAACATCAGTGGAAATGCAATAATAAGTATTGACATAGGTGGCACCACCCAAAAATCCTTCAAATAGAATTAAGCAGAATGTGAAGAAGATGGCAGGAACAAATCTAATTCAATGTGAAATGAACATGTTAATGTTGAAAGAGGTCGTCATATTACAACATACCTAAAATATGCATCTAATAAGAGGAAAACAAATAGAGAACATTGAAGAATGGCAGGAACCCACAAGCGCTTGATTGGGAAAATGTCTATGGAGAGATTGCATTTTTGAAATGAATAATTCAATTCTCATTGAAATCATGTCCACACAAATTAAAATACTTACTCACAGACGATCGAGAAATAAAAACTCCAACTATTAAGTTAGGCGTATCATAAGTTAGGTGTGTGTGCATAAAGTTGAATGCATCTAAAGAACAATACACCTTACTTACTTTGATATAAAAATTGATAATACATGTAGTCATCTTTGGCTGGAATGAGCTCTTTTCGGAATGTGATGGTTGGTGCTACACCTTGATTAATGAGATACTCTGCAAAATAAACGGTAGTCAAGGGAAGCATGTACTTGAGAGCAAGTGGCTATTAAACATAAATGATCATATTTCACAGCACAACATGTGAACCGTCGTGGCAACCATCAAAGTGATCATCATTCAATCATCATTCAAAAATTACTTACAAATACTAATTTCAATTTCTCTTGCATGGTGAGAGGTTCAAATGTTGTCTTTTTATCTTTTTGAACTCCTTTTCCTCTTGCACAGAAACCATTGGCATAGTGAGCTCCACTCATAATGACAAATGTCGCTAACAACATTAATAGTGGTAAAGGAGTAATGATCGATAGTGAGATACTTGGAGACAATTGAAACCATCCTTTGAGGGCCAGATAGGACAGGGCTCCAAAAATACCTGCACCTCCAGTTCCTATTCATTGTATCATCCAGATTATTCAAGTGTTTTTCAAAAAATGTTGAACTTGCTATGCACCACAAGAAAAATCAACCTACCTGATGACCATGCAGAAACCGTATTTTTGTGATAATAACTAAAAAGCATGTATCAATAAATGTCATCATTATCGATAATGATCATGCATCATCGAAAAATCCACTGCTATTTGTTGTTGACTTACCTTGACATGGCCAAAAAGGTAATCTCTCCTCCTCCTGAGCTGAGAGATGCCATCACAACACCAACTAGTTTAAGAGGAATGTTATCAAACCAAGCAACCATTTGGAAGCTTGCAAGAGCTAGTATCACTGCAAGACCAACTCTAATATTATATGGAATGGCATGCATGAAAAATGGAGCGATTGCTTTCAAAACTAGTGTGGGAAGAATATCTGCAAGTAAAACTATTGAACTCTGTCCATGTATCAAGTCCTCTATTATGTGAAATAGTCCACATTTGTTATTATTGTGACATTTTTTAAGAAAATGCAAAATTACATGATTTCCGTCATAAATATTTCACACAACAATAATTTCCGTAACAATTTCACCACATTCAAATTCAACAAAATGCAACATCAAACAGAACAACAATTCCATACCTGCAGCTGAAAGCATAATGACATAACTATAATTATTTAACAATCCACAAATGAAAAAAGCAATCAAATCTCTAGTCTTTGCTGATTCTCTCTTTTTCTTTTCTTTTTTTGGGTTTCTTCATCATTTCCACTCTCTTCGACATGATCATACGAAGAAAGATGTCGTGAAAGTGATGATCCTTCCTCTCCGACCAATCTCAGTGTTGGAGGACTGTTGTGATGGCTTCCATAGCCTTGAATGGTCGGTTGTTGCAATGACGTTTCTTCACTGACAGGAATTTCCTCTTCTCTTTTTTGAGAAATTTCATATTGAATATTACTATTCATGTTGTTATATTCATTCATTTCCTTGTTGTTGTTGTTTCTGGAATGACTAGCTCCGATAAGAGGAGAGGAATCTTGTGAAGGTTGAGAGAAAGAGGAATCTTTTGATGGCGGCGAACGAGAATGCGTTCGAAGCATGAATATTTTTTTGTAAAAATCTTTCATCGCACAAGATTTTGTTCTCCATTTTGCACATTTCTATCAAAAAAGTCCACTTCATGAAGAACTTGTAACACAGAAATCCGAAGGAAACATTGACCACCGAAATTAAAAAGGCTATTATTAAAGAATGAAATAAAACAAAATGATAGGATATTGGGAGGATCTCTGAGATTCAAGAACCATTGGAATGCATCATCCGGGTGATGTAAGCCATTCATTCTGGTTTTTGGATTCTTAAATTATTTACGAAAAAGAAAAAATGATTGCACCACAAAAAACCATCCATCACGTGGTGTTGCTTCGGAAAAAGCCATTCTTGCTTCATTGGAATGTCTTGCTGTTTGTAATTTTGTATCCGTTGGTATCCTTTGCAATCAATGCCTATTTTTTGCCTTCCTTGTTGCATCACCAAAACAATCATGATTCTCATCACCATCATCACCACCACCATCATCATGAATCATATTCCGATAATTTATTCTTCTATCATTTAGTTGGATTAGGTCCTCTTGTGTTATTGCAAATTATTTCGTTTCTATCTGCTTATTGGAATGTGAATATTAAAGCCTTTTTTCAATATCGTTCAGTCACAACCAAAGAAATCGGAGAAGGAATTGTAGTGAAAGTGGTACCTAACAAACACAAGGGTTTTGTTGAATTGTGTCCTCTCAAGATTATTCGAGACGAGAATGATAAGCAGATGTATTGCTTTGAATATCAGAAACGAATGTTTATTTGGGATGAGACAACTTGTTCATTCGTACGAAATCGCTTTCCATATCAAAACTTGGAACAACAATCTCAAACTCTCAAAGAATGGATTAACAAGATTGAGAAGCACGGACTCGCAGAGAAGGAAACATATGCAAAGCAAAGAATTTACGGGCAAAATCAATTTGAAATTCCAATTCCCAAGTTTTTCGAGTTATTCGTGGAGCATGCCTTGGCACCATTCTTCGTTTTTCAAGTTTTTTGCGTTTTATTGTGGTGCCTTGACGAATATTGGTATTATTCATTGTTCACTTTGGTGATGCTTTTTATGTTTGAAAGCACAGTGGTTAATTCTAGACTCAGAAACTTGAATCAAATCCGTCAGATGGCCACAAAACCCCAATTTTTACAAGTTTTTAGAGATGGAAAATGGGTACAAAAATCTAGTGTAGATTTATTACCAAATGACGTGATATCGGTGACAAGCCATGCAGAAGAAGGTCAAGTAACACCATGTGATATTTTACTTATCAGTGGTAAATGTGTGACTAATGAAGCACTTCTCACAGGAGAATCTACACCACAAATGAAAGAATGTATACCCATCGACGAGCTTAAAGAGAGAAAAAAACTAGATATCAAAAACATTGACAAGGGTCATGTTATCTTTGGAGGTACTGTGGTTTTGCAACATACACCTGGTTCTATGAGTGGAAAAGTTCCACCAGACAACGGTGCTATTGGAATTGTATTGAGAACAGGTTTTGAGACATCACAAGGCAAATTAATTAGAACAATTCTCTATGCCACAGAACGAGTAAGCGCCAACAATGTTGAGGCCTTGCTTTTCATTTTGTTCTTGCTTATTTTTGCAATCATTGCTAGTGCTTATGTTCTCTATGAAGGTTTGAAGAACCCAGAAAAAAGTAGATACAAATTGGCTCTGAATTGCATTCTCATCATTACGTCTGTAGTTCCTCCTGAACTACCTATGGAGTTATCATTGGCCGTTAACAACTCACTCCTTTCGTTGTCAATGCTTGGTATTTTCTGTACAGAACCATTCAGAATTCCATATGCAGGAAAGGTAAATGTTTGCTGTTTTGACAAGACTGGAACCCTTGTCAGTGACAAGATGACATTGAAAGGTATTAGTCTTTCAGAACAAGACTCTGATGAGCTCTCACAAAAACCGAGCGAGAATAGTAGAGTAGTTTTGGCAGGTTGCCAATCTTTGATAGATCTCAATGGAAAAGTACTTGGAGATCCAATGGAAGTTTCTGGTTTAACAGGCGTCGATTTTGAATTGTCCAAAGATTTAATAGTGGGAAAGAACTGCAAATCAGTCAAAAATTTGAAAATTCACAAACGATTCCAATTCAATTCTGTTCTTAAGAGAATGTCTACCATAGTATTCATTAACGATAGAAATGAGGGCAAATTTGCTCGTGTTCTCGTAAAGGGAGCTCCTGAATTGTTAAAACCATTTTTTGTGAAGAGCGATGTGAAAGGAGCTTTGGAATCGTATGATGCTAGATTCCAACACTTGACACAAATTGGAATGAGAGTAATTGCGTTAGGTTATAAGGATTTGGATACAACCGACCCAAACATTTTGGATAAGCTCACTCGTGATGAGGTTGAAAAGGATCTTGTTTTTGCGGGATTTGCTGCTTTCCAAAGCGATATCAAACCAAACACAAAAGAAACAATTCTTAATCTCAAAAACAGTTCTCATAGAGTTATAATGATTACAGGTGACAATCCATTGACAGCATCTCATGTTGCCAAAGAGTTAGAAATGATAAGCAAGCCTCTCCTTACTTTGAAACAAGATGGCCAGCGCTATTTCTGGACCGGTTCTCAAAGCACTGGATGTGAAGGAAATGTTGAAGATTTCAAATATGAGCAACTTGGTCAACTTGCCAAGAAATATGATTTCTGTATGAGTGGCGAACAAATGGCCAATCTAACATCTCAAAGGAATGGAAAATCAATTTTGGATGCTCTATCTTCTAATGTTGCTATCTTTGCTCGTGTTAGCCCAGAGCAAAAAGAATCCATTTTAACCTCATTGAAGTCCCAAAACTATCAAACTCTCATGTGTGGAGATGGCACAAACGATGTTGGCGCTTTAAAGCAAGCACACGTCGGTGTGGCCCTATTGGAAAACAAGCCCAAGAAGGAAAACGAGCAGCAACAGACTCAACAACCAAATGCTCCTCTTCATAAGAAGAGTGACATTATTAAGGAACTTGCCAAAGTCAATCCCACTGCCAATCCACAAGCGCAACAAAAGAAATCGTTTATGGAGCTTTTGAAAGAGATGAAAGAAAAGCAAGAACAATTGGCCCAACAAGAGGAGGCCAATCTTGTTAAACTTGGAGATGCCTCTATTGCAAGTCCATTCACCTCTCGTAAGTGCACCATCGAATCTTGTGGCCACATTATCATGCAAGGTCGTTGCACACTAGTCACAACCATGCAAATGTACAAGATATTGGCCCTCAATTGTCTCATTTCTGCATATTCTCTGAGCGCACTTTATTTGGATGGAGTTAAGTTTGGAGATTCACAAATGATGATTACAGGATTTGGCGTTGCTCTGTGCTTTTTATTCATTTCACGATCCAAGCCACTTGACACTCTTTCCAAGGAGAGACCTCACATTACCATCTTCTCACCTTATATGTTAGCAACAGTTATGGGACAATTTGTGATCCATTTGACAACACTTGCATTGAGCGTACAGGCTGCAAAATTGGCTGCTCCTCATGTCTTATTTGAACCAAAGGAAGCAGATTTCAAGCCCAATCTATTGAACACCATCGTATTTATTGTAACCTCTCTGCAAACCATTGTCACCTTTGCAACCAATTACAAGGGAAGACCTTTCATGCAAGGTCTAACTGAAAATAAGCCACTCTTTGTCATTTTGTCAGGTATTGGAGCTTTATGTTTGCTTTGTGCCAGTGGCCTCGCTCCAGAACTCAATGCAGCAATGGAACTCGTAGATATCCCAGAAGGAATTTCCATTTTCCACACATTTTCTTTCAGAACTTTCCTACTCGTGATATTATTTGCGAATATTGCAGGTGTGTTGATTGTTGAAAAGATGTGCTCCATTTTCTTCCCTGCTGATGATTCCATTGAAGGTCTTTAATTTCTAACAGCTTGGTAAATTAAGGTCGATCATAAAATCCCTCCAAAACCAGTTCCACCGCTTTCTCGAATAAAAAAAATGAAAAAAACCTCTTCTTCGGGCGGCCATAAGAAGGCTTCATCCAGTGGAGGCACATCATCATTGCAACAAACCAAACTTTCGTTCAAGAAAAAGACTACTCTTCAAAACAGCAACATCAATGAAGAAACCGAACGAAAAAACGCAATAATTAATATTTCCGATGATGAAGATACAATGGTCGAAGCCTCCTGCTCGGATGATGATATTTTAAATTTCGGATTGGAAAAGTATTCCATGAAAAAACAAACATCTGATAATAGTGAAAGAAGTAGCAACAACCAATCATCTCAATCATCTGTGAATACCCCATCTCAATCTTCATCGTGCGCCTCTTTGTCACAACCTTCTAAATTTTTTAAACCACTCAAGTTTTCTCAAGTCAGATCGAGTCAAAAGAGCGAGCAAGATATCACTGTAGATTGGAGCAGTGATGAGTCCATCACTGAAGCCATGCTTTTGGCTTTGAAAACAAAATTCAAACTTGATGAATTTCGTCCAAATCAATTTGAAATAATATTCAACCTTTTGAAAAATCGACAAGATACCCTGGCTGTGTTACCAACAGGTGCTGGAAAATCTCTCACCTATCAATTACCAGCAGTGATTTTACCTGGAGTTACACTAGTTGTGAGTCCATTGATTGCACTGATGCATAATCAGGTTCAAGCTTTGGAAAACTTGAACATTAAGGCAAATTTTTGGAATTCTAGCCAAAAGAAGAGCGAAATTACAAAAATTCAGCACGACATGGAGGGTGGTAGTCCAAAATATAAGATTATTTACGTCACACCAGAGCTACTCACTTCGAATCAGAACTTTCAAGCACTCATGAGATTACTCGCCTCAAGAGACCAATTATCGCTCATTGCTATTGACGAATGCCATACTATTAACTCGTGGAGTGACTTTAGAAAGTCGTTTCGTCAATTAGGAAATTTGAAAACATCATTCCCTCAAGTACCAACTATCGCTCTAACTGCCACTGCAACCGATAAGGTCAGAACAGATATTGTACAATGTCTTCAACTGAGAAATCCTAAATGTTTCATTACCAGTTTTAACAGACCAAATATTTCATATGAAATTCGATATAAGGATATCATTAAGGATCCGTATGCTGATTTGAACAACTTTCTTAAATCTCGCATTGGAGAATGTGGTATCATTTACTGTAGAACCAAACAACAGGTCGAAGAATTGGTTTCTCAGCTCAGTAACGAGAAGGGAGATGGCGATCAACCTCTCTTCACCGTGAAACCATACCATGCTGGTGTCAAACTTTCAGAACGAAAAACAATTCTAAATGATTGGTTGAAAGGTACAACCAAAATTATTGTTGCAACAATCGCTTTTGGTATGGGTATTGATAAGAAAGATGTGAGGTTTGTTGTGCATTTTGCACTACCGAAATCACTTGAAGGTTTTTATCAAGGTAAGTGTTTCGACGATCGTTGAGTTGCATTCAATAATAATAATCGTGCTGCATTGAATCATTCATGAAAATTGCGTGCACATTATAAATGCACACAGAGAGTGGGCGTGCTGGAAGAGATGGCAAAAAATCTGTCAGTTTGCTCTATCACTGCAGCAGAGAAAAGAGTTCAATATCGTTTTTGATTTCGAGAGACACCAAATTAGGAGAGGAACGAATGCAAGAAGTCGAACAAGCATTCAATAAGGTTTGTGAACTTTGTGAAACTGGATGCTGTAGAAGAAAATTCATTTTGGAATACTTTGGTGAAAGTTATGATCCTCTAAAACCTCGTGCTCTAACCACTGTTCAATCACCAGTGAAACAAAAGACAGCAAACAGCACGACCATCAAAAAACCTTTAAAGTTCTCAAGTACTGATTCCAGAACTGGAATACCATCCACACCTCCTCGAAATGTTGTTTCATCTGCTTCTTCTTCATCTGTGATCACAAGTTCCTCGACAACAAATTCAGATCAAGATATTGAGGTTCAACAAATCAAAGGAGTCGAATATGTGGACAAGTGTTGTGATTATTGTGCAAACCCAAAAAAGAAGTTGGAAGAAATTACGAATGCAACCTACACTTATCCTTCTACAGGTTCTAGAAGTGGACTTGGAACACGAATGGCAGATGATTTTATCATGTTTGCCTCAGCATATGGTGATGACTTGATTGAGGAATATAATTCGGATGATTTGGATGAATTTGACGGCTCTGAAATGGAAGCAGCTCGAAGAGAACAAAGTGACAGAGATCGATACCGTAAACAAATGGGAATCACGAACAATTCTCTCATCACCAAAAATTCAAAATCTACCACTGGTGGAATCTTCAAATCAGCAGCTGAAATTCAACAAGAAAAACGAAAACGTATGGAAGATTCGATTGAGGATGTTCTTGATGCACTTGAAAGAGAAGAAATTCGTGAACGAAAATTCTCCAAGTCCTCTTCTGCACCGAGACATAGTAGTTTGTTACCATCCTCATCTTCGAGAGGTAGCAGCAATGGTGGCAGTCGTGTTAGCTCCAGCTCTGCTTTGAGCTCTTCCACCACGAGTTTGAATTCAGGATTTGCCAAAGCTAGTAGTTTAGTGACTACAAGCAATAGTGGCTATCGTTCGGCAGAAATGGCCTCAAGACAAAAGACAAAATCAAAGGGAAATCTTGAGAGGTTTCTCACCAAGAAGTGAGGTGTTGTTTAATGTCAAGAAGATTCAAATGAGAACGAGCAATTAAAAGCGCAAATTCATTCTGTCATTTGAATTTTCACACAACAAAAAATCTTTGAAATTCGAGAAAATCTTCTTTTTTTTTGAACACACGGTGCTATTCAAAGTTGACCACAACTTGTGAGATACTTTTCAATTTTGAAATTACCAAAAATCGTTGAATCGTGTTTTCTCGTGCACAATGATTCCTCTTCATCATCATCAACGAGGAATACAATTTTCAAAGAATTATTTCCTATTTAATTCCATCAAAGCCTCCGATGCTGACACTCCCTCCGACGATGATCATTCATTACTGGGAGCTAAAATAGGGACGTTATTGGGCCTTTTCATATTGAGTCTTGTTCTGGGTTTGTTGCCCTACATTGTTCATCATTTATCTAAAATTGAGAGGCTTCGGAAATTGAAAAAGACATTGAACATCATTCAATTAATTTTCATGTACTGCAATTGTGTGGCGGCTGGTGCCATTCTCGGAAGTGGTCTGACTCACTTGTTACCTGATAGCGTGGAGTCTTTTAATAATTATTTTGAAATTTATAATAATCAAACGAGTAGTGAAGTAGAAGTCTCATCATTTTCCTCCTCCTCATCATCATTTCTAAATCATTATTCGGGTATTAAGGCTTTCGTTTTGGGATTTGATTCATCATCATCTAGCAATAATTCCACCTTCACTCCCATACCGGAAACCATTACGGAATATCCATGGGCCATGATGATTGCTGGAACGATTTGTTTGTTTTTAGTAGGTCTGGATCGAGTCTTCTCGGAACACTCTCATGGCTCCTCTCAATCCTATGAAGGAACACATTCTCATCATCATCATCATGAAGAAAACAATTCCGTTCAGGTGGGATCAAGTGGAATGGATGAAACTTCAACTCTTATTCATCATCATCACTCTTCAATAACAACATCCTCTGAAAAGAATGAATTCATTGCGGAATTAGTACTGGAAGAACAAAAAGCTCAACGTAAATATTCCTTCCTAGTCAAATCCCTCTTGTTCACTTTTGCTATTTGTGTGCATTCCGTGTTTGAGGCTTTTGCATTAGGTTTGGAGAGTGATATGAGTTCGTTTGTTTCATTGTTTATTCCCATTGTCGCACATAAGGGTTTTGAATCTCTGACGACGGGTAGGTTTTTTTTAATGAATGTTGCATGAATATACTTTTTAAACATAATGTTGCAACATGAATACACGATGCCGAATGATGATATATAATATTCACGAATGAATGTTAACGTTCTGTATCGTTCTGCCTTATTCGAATCAATATCTCAAATCCATGTTTTTGGTTGGAACTGAAACTATAGGATTTATTGTACTGAGATATACATTGTGTCGAAAAGCTTTTCAAATTTGGATTTTAGTACAAGTGGCAATTTATGCAATAAGTACACCTGTGGGTATGGGAATTGGAATGGCCATTAGTAGTGACTTATCACTCTCGTACTACATGATTGCTGGAATTATTCAGAGCATCGCTTGTGGATCCTTTTTATTTATTGCATGTTTTGAAATTATTCCAAGCAGCTTGGAAGAGAGTTCGACCATTAAGGGAAGACTTTTCAAAATGTTTTTGGTGGTTCTTGGATTTGCAGTGATGTGTATATTGGCTGCATTTAGTTAATTATTTGAACAACATCACACTCGAAGAGTAAACCGAAAGAAACATGATTTATTTCAAAAATGAATTTACATGACGATGCATAATTATTATTTATATATAATTATTATTCAGACACAAAGTCGCGATCCACCGAGTTGATTTACATAGTGATGGAACCCAAAAATACGTCAAAATTGTCGATATCATCATCATCAACTTCACCTGAATCAACAGATGATTCATCCACAGCTTGTTCAACATTCAAACCCAACAGTTTCATAACCATTTTGGCATCATCACCTTTTTCCTTAAAAATACATTCCATTCCAGCACAAGTGACAGTAATAATGACAATGGTATTGGATTTGAGTTCATCAGAAATTTCATTTCCAAAGATTCTCTGGACGGCCTGGGCAGTTTGCATGTTGGAGGTCCAAATATGCAAAATTTGTCTCGACCATTGATCTCCAATCACTCCATTCGTGGAGTCAATAATTCCACTCAATTTCTTCTTCAATAATTGTTTAATAGAGGCATCGCTCACAACTTCTTCCAAATTCATGAAGTTGAAACAACGAGTGACGGAACATCCCATTAATTCGGTTTCATTGGTCACAGTGTTATTAAGGGCGATACACATATCTGTGATTTTGCTTCCCTCTTTATACACCAATTCCATTTCTGTTTTGTGAAGTGAAACACGAATGGAAGTACATAAACTTTCAATCAACATTTTGACCAACTCAAACGAGAGTACTTCAGAGAAGACAGAGTTTCCTCCAGCGTTTGGAACACACAAAATACGATTCGAGTCCTCTGAGAGAGTATTTCCAGTTAAGGCTAAGAATTGCAAGGCATTGTCCATCGAGGAGGAGGAGGAGGAGGAGGATGCAGTGGCAGCATTTGTTGAATTCAAACAACAACAACAACATTCAGTAAGGATACAACACGATGAAGAAGAAGAACTTGAAAGTTCATTTCCCAATCGTTCAGAATCATCTTGAGAGATGATCACACCACTACGGCCTAGACTCGAGGAGGAAGAAGTATTTACGAGTTTCTGCTTTGAAGAGGTAGTGGTGGTATTGGAACAGGCCTTAGAATCCTCCCTTACAGGCGAGGACGTTCGGGCATGTAGAGAAACAGCAGTTTCTGCTGCTGATGATGCCATTGAAACAACCACCTTGGGCAGCTGCTGAGAGTTCTTCCATGTGGTGGTCGTCGCCGTTCGGGCTTGTCATGATGCTCGATGACGAAGATGATGTTGAGGTGAGAGAGGTCATTTGGTGGTGTGTGTGTGAGTGGTGGAGTTACAAGTTGGGTATTGTTCTTCTTTAATTTTTTCTGTTGTTCTAAAATTAAAGGGTTGTTCGAACACTTTTAAGTGCGTACTGATCTTTGAACTTGAGCTATTTTTACAAAACACGTAGTTGCAGCAACTTCTCGGAAAATCAATGTCTTTGATACCGTAAGTATCGTTATTTAAAATTGTATCCATCATGAACGCGAGGTTTGAATTGGCACTACGAATGAATGGCGAAGAGTAACTTTGGTTGGTTGCTGTTGCTTTCAAAATGTTGTTGTTGTTGTTGTTGTTCGTCTTGGAAAGAGTTTCTTGGCAAGAAGAGCTCTGGGTGCTGCAATCTATATTGAGGGTACCAATTCAGCCTTTGATTGAATTCAACTCGTTGACCAATTCTCTCGTAAATAATGAGCCTATCGTTGACAACCACTCGCTGAAAACCAGGAAGATACATCTTTGCTTCTTTGTTAGAAGTTGGAGAGGTCGGAGAGTCTCCCCTATTCAAGATCAATTCTCCCATGAAGATTATATTAAAGATTAAGCCTAATAACAAGGCACACCAAAATACAAGAGGTATTCTTTTAGTTTTCTCAAGTTTCTTCTTGAACCTCTCTCGGCTGGACACATAGTAGTAGAATGTACTCGAAGCTGCATCCTCAATTCCTTTCTCAAACCCTTCAAAAGTATTAAGGTCTGAGACTGGGACCTCACTTCCTTCACCAACATTTTCCATGACCGAGATGTCCTTAACATGTACGACGTGAGAATCAATCAAGGCCATTTTTTTATGTGGGGCACTGTTCTCGTCGGATAACAAGACTCGACACTCAAAACACACATTTGGTATATTTACCTGTTAAATAGCACCGGAAAATACCCAGCAAGTTTGAAACATCATGTTCCTGTTATGTAACTTCAAACAATAATAGATGAATACCAATGGGTTAGTTGCTGTCTCCTCTCCAGGAAGTCACTTCTTTGGAGATGGAGTGTCAACCAACAATCTTTATTGTTGTACAGTTGTCCCGAGAAATGGATACTAGAATGTGATGAAAAAACTCAAATTGCTTTGAGAAAAACCACATTGAATGGATAAATAGCTCTAGGACGAATATAGATCATATAAATAAATTTGTTAGAATTATTCAATCAAATCATAAACAAATTGTTAATTTTGAAACAAATCAAGAATATTCATGTCTACTTCATCGCAAGTGATCATAAAAAAAAGGTTAGCTCAATAAAATTTTAAACAAGAAATTGATATAGGCCATGTTCCTTGAAAAACATCGCAATAAAGCGACGGAAACATCGTTGAGCGAATCAACGACGGATAAAATTTAAAAAAGATCATAAAAAGAACCCATCAATGATAAGGCCAAAGCCAAAAGTGTCAAAGAAAATCACTGAGCAAATCAATGATAAATAAGGAAAAAGCCAGTTAATACAACACAAAGTGTTGTTGAATTCTAAACGTAATGGGAGGGAGAGGAGTTGTTGTGGTGCCAGACTGTTGGGAAGCTGCAGTAGTGGTATTAGTTTGCTCTTTAGAGAGCTGTTTTGGTTGTGGATTTGTTGTCATTTTTTAGCCATACTTTCAGTCAACCTTATTGTTTTCGTTACAAAACACTTCCGTTCTTTTCAGAACATTCAAGTGCACCCAACTAGACCTCTCATCTCTAGTAACATAAGAATCAACAAATAGGTTGAATTCAATAATAGTTACAAACTGGTTTTAATTAGAGTAACGAGTAGGGTGAGTTGGTGTGAGTCTTTAAAGCATGCTTTACAGAAGGTTGTCGTAAATATTCTTGTAAAAGTATGTTGAATTTCATGACGGTGCCATTATTTTTAACATAATACTCATGAAAATTGATGAAAACATAATTGTAGAGTCCTTGGAAAATATTCTCGGTGGTTGTTTGGTGAGTTTTTTCGTCCTGTTCAAAATTTAAGTTATAAAAGACTTCCACAATTTCATGAGATCTAATCATGTTGATAAGAATTCCAGTGATATTGATTCCTGAAATTGCAAATGGATACCACATGGTCGGATCTGATGCATCTTCTAACATTCCTCGCGCTTCTCTAGTATGCAACGTCACAAATCGGCTATTACAAATAAGAACATGTATTATTTTGAAGAAATCTAACTCAGTACCTACTGTAAATTTAGTAACCCTAATAATCCCATTCCTCTAAAATCGGTTCTGTTGAATTTATCACCAATTCACAATTTTTCAAAAAGGATGTTAAAAGTTTGAATGTTGAATGTTTGGAATTTAAAACCTACTTTGGGTGAAGACCTTGGAAGCCAATTTCCTTCCAATCGGAAGATGTCAATTCTTCTCTGTCATCAATAAATGTGAGCGTTTGATTTGGTTTGAGTGTTTTCCACAAGTTCAATAATAACTCCTTATGTGTATTGTCACTCAATTCAAATGAAGTTTGTGCCAAATTATCTAAATGATTGATGCTTTGATTGAGATTGATCATGTGTCTCAGGCAGGTCTTGCAAACCTTCTTAGAGTGCTCCGACATGAAACTATTTTTCTTTATATTTCTAATTTTTCCATAAACTGTTGAAACATAAAGTCCGTCATCATTCCCACACATGTGTATCTACATACCCTCATCGACATCTGTGAATTTCCTGCTCAAATAATAAAATGTTACATTGGTCTCCTTATTTGTATTTTCCTCTAGCAATGACACCAATTGTTTGGAGGTTGCTAAACTTTGCTCTACAATGCTCCGTCAGAAATTCCGATCTATGTTTTACAATCATCATTCAAAATACATACCAAAACGTTTCGTTATGTCATAATTTGTATCAACTCCTTTGTGCTCTTCACAAATTCTTTCGAGTTCACATTTTCCGGTTAGTAAATGAAGGATGTATTTTATAATACTTTTGTATTGAGATGGCAACAACCTGCAGTTCATCTCTCCATTCCTCTCACTACAACCAACAAGAGAAATGTTGTACCTACCTCCACAAATACACTAAAAGAGAGGTTTGCCACGTTCCGAATTGAGTGGTGGAAGCAGCCATTTTTTTATTTTAATAAATGTCAGAAAAAAGCATTCAAGGAAACAAATTTAGCAGGTCTATCACTCACAATACTCAGTTATATAATGACAGCGTCATCAAGATCTGTGTCTCATTGAGAGGAAACATGATCAATACATTGAGAGAAAATACATATATTTCTTTTTTCGTCTAATCAAAAAAGGATTCTACTTGACACCAAAGTGTCGTCAATCTGCCTTCTTGTTTAAATTGTATTAAATTTGTGGCTCGCCCAATCAAAAAAATGCAACGACGTGTAAATTCCTTGTCGACTTTTCTCGCAAAGAATTCTTCACGAGCATTGATTTCATCAAGAGGCCTCTTCGGAATGGGAAATCTTCCAACGATCAAATCATTCTCTATCGGAATGATGAATTTAGAAGCCAAGAAATCTGAAATTGATGTTTTGGCATTGATTTCAGATAAACCATTCAAGAAGGAAATTGCTGATGTTCTAATGGCTCCACTCGATAACAAGGACATTGAAGTGTTGCCAGAAGGAAGCCTATTTTTACCTGAAATTAAGGTAGGAGGTTGGTCATTCATTTTCAACTGTTATTGTTTAATCATAGAGGCATGATTATAGTATAGAAGAATTTTAAACAAGGCATTCATGCCAGGAGGATGGGTAAGTGATTATAAATTATTCTAAATGAGATGCCTTAGCAAGTGGATGATCATCATCATATAATCATGTGACCAATAGTCACTCATTCCAATAGGATCTTATAATATCATGGATAAGTGTATTGTTCAAGAGTATGCCTTAATTTGCAATGGACAATTTGTGTCTCAAGTCTACGGAGAGCAAACATTTGATCCAAGTGAGCAAAGCTTCAAAACACTTGGAACTGCTCTTGAAGGATGTAAATCAAACGCTTTGATGAGATGTTGTAAAGATTTGGGAATTGGTAAGTGAAAATTTTGAATGATCATCACAAGAAAACTGAATGCAACACCGCGTGTCTAAATGACCTCACAACAAACAGGTTCAGAACTATGGGATCCAAATTTTGTTAGAGAATGGAAAAAGCAAAACGTAGTTGCAGTTTTGTGTGAAAATGTCAAGAACAAAACCATAAAGGTCTTGTATCGAAGAAAAGATAGACCTGCATTCCAATATCCATACACTGAAAAACAAATCATTAACCAACAATATTAATCATTAAACAATATCTCACAAAATAAATCATCTCCACCATAGAGAGAGGAGAGAATTTATCCTTTCATTGCGTTCACATAATTGATAATGCCTGATTTTGAAATACATCTGCTCTTTGACTCAGTATTTCTTCACATGTCCGTCATCAATCAGTGAGTGTTGATCAACACTCAACGGCAACCTTTTCCTGTCACTCACACAAGCAGAAACATCATCAAAGAAAAATTTCTCGATACTCAAAAGTTGTTGTTGCCCTTTTCAGTTGCGACCTCATCATCATCCACAACTACTACTCACTCTCGTTGTTCATCGTCATTGTATAAAACAGAAAAGACGAGAGTTTTCAATCATCATCATCATCATTACACAAGATCCATCTCCTTTTTGTAAATCATCATCTTCCAGCACAACATGAGAGGAATATTTGGTAAAAAGTCCAACAACAACACTAACAACAACAACACAGGCGGCTATAGTAATGGCGATGATCTCAGTGATGATTCTCCTTCCTCACCTCGCCAATCGCCATTCACTTCTACATCCTCTAGTAATAACAACAACAACAACTCGAATTCGGATTCGGCCTCTTTATCATCGGCCGCCAATGCACAAAAGCAACCGGCCTCTGTGATGGGCACCTTTTGGAAGAGAGCAACGACTGTGGGTATGTTTTTTGTTACATGTATTGTTTCTTCATATATGTACCTATATCTACGAATTATCATCATCAAATGTATTTTGTTTCAATTTCATCATCACCACGACGATCATGATCGTGTTGTTCGTTTAAAAACACTGTGATTCATCGCGATTATTATAATTCATGAATTCATATGGTATCGTGTGGATCAAACCACACAATCGGTTATGATGTATCATCTATGACAATGATCATTCTCTCTGATCCTCTCATCACCATCATCATCTTCCTTATATCCTCATTGAATTATTCATATCTTTATATTCATATTATAATATACTGACCTCTCGCTCCTCCTCTGACTACAACTTGTTTCTTCTTCCGATGTATGAATTCTTGTTCTTCTCACAACAACAACAAATAATATACAAACCAACCAACCAACCAACCAACAACAGGAAAACACAAAATCATGAAAACCATTGGAAAGGCAGAAGAAATTGAATTTCCAGATGACTTTATTCGTGCCAATCATGCCTTCAAAGACACCCAAACCCACTACAAGGAAATGGATAAATTACTGAGAAAGTTCACCAAATCCTCTCAGAATCATTCGGAAGATGAGTTGAGTCTCGGAATTCAATTCAAGGAATATGCAGCCTCTTTGAAATTGGACTATGTCTCGGGTGAATCGTTTGCTCCACCTCGTACCTTGTATACCAATTTGGAGGTGAACAAAATGTTTAACATGTTTGATCAATTGGGTTGTTGTTTGGAACAACTTTCAGAATTGAGAAGTAATATGAACAATGATGTTTCGAGTATCTTGTTGAGTAAGGTTCACGAAGCCATGGAAGAAGGAGATGCTTGTAAGAATCTCAAAGAATACTATAGAGAGGCTGTGGTGGAACACAATGTGGATGTCACACGATACAACACTCTCAAACAGAAATCCAATGATTTGGTGAAAATTAAGAATGCTGAAAAGGATGCTGAAGAGAAACAAAAATTAGCAAATCAAGTCCATGAGAATATTATGAAAGAATTGCAATATCAAGAAGAACTTCGAGATTATGAATATTTGAATGCCATTCGACAATTCATTTCAGTCTATAGAACTTATTTCATTCAAGGTTCACAAGTATTGGATGAATTAGAGAGTCATCTCATTACAGGTAAATCCAGATCAGCCATGCGTTCCTATGATGTGAATGATATTATTAATTATAAGGAAATTCAGAATCAACAAGTTCAACAACAAGTTCAACAATCAAAACCTAAAAAACCAAAAGAAGACAAACAAGTATTTGGTGTTCCTCTCACAACAGTCATGAAGAGAGAACGAGAATTGAATCGTGACGTTGTTCCAAATATGTGTGTTGATTTATTCGAATTTTTGGAATTGAAAGGTTTAGACGTCGAAGGAATTTTCAGATTGGCCGGAGAAGTCGTCGGAGTGAGTTATGTGAAAAAAATGTATGACCATGGAAAGAAACATTTGGATTTGGGTACCATGATTGCAACCAAAGAATTTAAAGACATTCATGTCGTTTCGAGTCTTTTGAAAATGTATTTGAGAGAAATGCCTGAACCTTTACTCACCTATGAAAGATATGATTCCTTCTTGAAATTATTGCAATTGAAAGATGAGAGTGAAATTGGTTATGGAATGCTCAATTTAGTGAAACAGTTACCAATTGAACATGTGTCCTTATTGGACAAATTGATGAGATTTTTGAAAAAAGTTGCCGATCACTCTGATGTGAATAGGATGACCGTTTCGAATTTGTCCATTGTCTTTGGTGTGAATATTTTGAAATCAGCCGATAACAATCCAATGAGAATGGCCAAAGACAGTCAAGCCATTAATAAGACATGTGAATTGTTGATTAGTCTCTATGAGGATTATATTGGAATTCATGTGAAAGATCAAATTGAACAGTATCGACAACAGAGAATTCAGAAATTACAAAGTATCTCTGCTCAGAGTGAAGAGACCTTCTATGATCCTACCATTAATGAACCATTTAATGCATTTGAGGAGGAATCTAAAAAGAAGGGGTTCCTTCCACCTCCATCAAGAACGCCTTCCAATGTGACTTCACTTCCCATTGGCTCGCAACCTCAAAGCAGTACTAGTAGCAGTAGTTCTGCCTCTTCACCAGGTTCTAAATCAATGCCATTACCATCGAGACCTCAACGTTTACCACCACAGCCGCCTAAACCAAATCCAAAGCCAGGAATAGCAACGACAACGACAACACCATCATCAACTCCACAAATGCATGGTACCAGCGCTAGTTTTAGTGGCGGACTCTTGCAAGATGAGGGTGGTTTTGTAGATGTGCCTTTTAACGAACAAGATCCATTTGCGCAGTTTGACAATGAACAGAAAAATAAGAAAGCCTCCAATTTGTATCCCAATTTGAACAACACCAAATGGGACGACCCAAATGACTTTTTCTAGTTTTACACGGTGTTGTGGAAATGTGTATTATGACAACTGTATATTCAATTATTTCTAAATAACACTTCATTAATTTATTTCACTTTTGTCAAAATTCTTCGTTTATGATGACAAAAGCCAAACATTTCAAAGCTCCTTATTGTTTGTTTGGTATTAAACGAGCTTGATCGGATTCTGCAGATTCATCAATGCCATAGACTTTGCCATTGCTGCTCTTTGTGAGATGTTGCTGAGACGAGACTGTTTCAGGCAAAGTCGAAGAAGCAAACTGCTTTCTTCTCTTGAAAACGCAAGCTGTCACAACTGACGCAATAGTCACAATTGCTATTATCGCAATAGCAATGATAGTCAATGCCATAATGACGTTTCTAATTCCATTGTTTTGATACTCGGAAAGAATTTCTCGTGTTTGGATAAGGTCTTCTGTGAAAATACCGTCAACACCAATTTCGATAAATGTCGTAACCATGTCCTTAAAACTAGAATATGGGGTCTTTTGCATAAAGTATGGCTCGGATCTGAACGTGTAGGGATGAGTAATCAGGTTATTGGCATGCACTTTTTCAACCCATTCTTTCGTAACAAGTGAGTAGTGTGGGCCTATTCCAGTACCTCCAAAGTTGGCAATCTTTCGAATTCCTTCCTCTGTTAAATACTCAGAGTATGGTTGATTTGTGTCAAATTGTGTTCTATTAACATCAACCAGCATGACATATCCGAGTGGAGTAATACTACGATCTTGCAGTATTTTTCTAATTGCTATTAAACTTGTGGATTCAAAGCTTTGGAACATGGTCCATTCCAAATATTCAAACTTTGAAAGCTCATTCACTAATAATTGATTCACTTCAACATTCAGAACATTAGCAAAGTATTTTGGATGCTTTGTTTCAATGTATAATTTGATTTTTTGATTTGACAATGTAATTGAAGAAGGAGTGATTGCATTCACAAAACGAATAGCTTCTTCAAGTGTAGGCATCACAAAGAGAGTATCAAACTTTGTTCCTCTAGGGTTGGGATATCTTTCTTTCAATCTTAATTCTTGTAATTCAGCAGCGGTAAAATCCTCAATAAACCAACCGGTGTAAGTTTTGAATTCCACAGTTTTTGTCTTTTTTCTATCTGCAAATTTTGCTACCGACGCAACATTTGTTACTTCTGTTCCATTTTGTCATTCACAGTGTTGACAATTGCAAAGAATAATGTCATTTAAAAATATGACGAAATCCACATAAATATTTCCATTTTAAAAAGCATGTAGTGTCACCCATTTACCAAAGAAATCAACAAAATTCCAAAATCAATCCACATGAAATTTCATTACGTTTAACACCCAACATACCGTCCAATTCAAAGCTATGTGTACACATCAGAATACCATCTTTTGATGGCATCACATCAAATTCAATATAATCAGCTCCATTCTGCTGAGCTAATAAATACGATTCATAGGAATGTTCGGGTCTTAGGTTTGGAGCTCCTCTATGTCCAATAACATCAAATCCTTTCGCTTGTGTTCCCGAAGATAACAACGATAGGATTGTTGCCATTATTATAAATAATAAATATAAGGAAGCTCTCGATTTCATTTTCAACGCTTGATGATGATGATTATAATTATGGAGGGGTGGATCCTATCTCAGTAGTTCGTATAGGGTTGTTTGTTGATAGCCTCTCTTCCACTAATAACGACCGTTCAGTTGGATGATGATGGCTTGTTGAAAATACAAAATATCGGAATCGATTGGTGGTTCTGAAAATTTAACTCAACGGTCAAGTCCTCCTCACAGAGACACAGAAATGGATTCGGACAGAGAGATATCCACGTGAGTGAGAGATTGGTCGTGTGTGTCGTTTATTTCTATTTTTTTTCTGTTGTTGTATTATTTTGTTTGTTTGGACTTTGAGGACATGAATGTGGATGACGAATTTGCATGAATAAACAAATTTTCTCACTCTCTAATTTTGAGAACACGATAACAGTTAATATTAAATGAACATAAATGGTGATGTTCACAGATTTTTCAAGAGTGGTGGTCCTTTTTGAAAGTATTTTGGCAACGAGAAGAATTATACCTCTCTCGATATGGAAATAATAAATAATAAGAAAAAAATGATGAAAACAAGACAAGTACTGTTGAGTAAAGCCTCTCTTCATCATCACGTCATTGCAAAGAGTTCCTTGTTGGTGGAAGCATCATCCAGAGGGATGATGGAATCACGAAGAAACTTTTCTCAACAATTGCAACATTTGAGAAAACAAAATGAAACGGTGAGTTCCGAGGCACCAGAAGAGACGATTAGTGCTTCAAATGAGTATCATCCAAGTTGTAAGTTGTTGTGAGAAGTAATGGTGATGATGATGATTAATATCTGTGCTTCGGAACTTGCTTCAAAATTAATATGAAAAACATGGTGATTTTGTTCGTGTTGGACCTTCACTAACTAGTAAATGATTTTGTTGCTTTCTGTAAAAGAAGAGGATTTGCCTATCAAGGATCATCACTTTATGGTGGATTGTCTGGATCTTTTGATTATGGTCCTATTGGCTCGCAGCTTAAAAAGAACCTCAAAGACTTGTGGTGGAAAGACTTTGTAGAACTTCGCAGAGACTGTGTTGGAATTGATACACCAATTATTCTTCATCCCAAAGTATGGGAAAAATCTGGCCATATTGGAAACTTTACAGATCCATTAGTGACATGCTTAACATGCCACTCAAGATTTGAGTAAGTGACGAGAAACTTATGTTTTGAACACAAATATTTACACAAAAATTAGAGTTGAGAACTTACTTAAAAGACAGCAAAATCCAGCCTCCATGGAAGTTATTAGCAAAATGGAAACAGCACAAGAAAAAATTGCATGGATGAACAACAACTCTTCACAAGTGGATTGCCCTTGTGACAAGAAGAGCAATTCTTGGGATAAAATTCGAAATTTCGATATGCTTTTCAAGACAATGTATGGACCAGTTGAAAAAGAAGAAAATACAGCTTATTTGAGACCAGAAACAGCACAGGGGATTTTTATTAATTTTAATAATGTCATTACCACATCAAGAAAGAGATTACCATTAGGTATTGGACAAATTGGAAAAGCTTTCAGAAATGAAATTTCCCCAAGAGATTTTATTTTCAGAACTCGTGAATTTGAACAGATGGAACTTGAATATTTCTGTCATCCATCGACTTCCTCAGATTATTTCAAATATTGGGTGAACTTTTGTTATGAATGGCTGTTGAAAATTGGATTGAGGAAGGAAAATGTGAGAATTTATACAAAGACCAAAGACTTGGCTCACTACTCCAAAGAAACATCCGACATTGAATATTTATTCCCATTTGGTTGGTCCGAAATTTGGGGAATTGCAAACAGAACTGATTATGATCTACAGGCTCATGCTCAACCATCTAGTAAGTTTTTAATATTGAGCCACAAAAGAGGTTACCATTGTGTATTGGACAAATTGGTTTTCTTCGTTTATATCAATTCCATCTACAACAGAAAAGAAAGATAGACACACCTTTGAATATGTGGATCCTCAAACCAACGAAAGATATGTTCCACACGTAGTTGAGCCATCTGCTGGTGTGGATCGTGTATTGTTTGCCCTTCTCTATGATGCTTACAATGTAGAGGAAGTTCCAGGCGAGGAAGAGAAGAGAGTAGTCTTGAAGATCCATCCAGATCTTGCTCCTTACAAGTTTGCAGTTTTTCCACTTCAAAAGAAACCAGTTGAGTTGATGCAAAAAGCTGAAGAAATTTACAACAAGCTCTCAACAGTTGTAGCCACTGATTATGACGTTTCTCCAAGTATTGGAGTTTTATATAGAAGACATGACGAAATTGGAACGCCTTATTGTATCACTGTTGACCACCAAACCTTAAAGGATAATACTGTCACAATTAGAGATAGGGACACCATGAAGCAAATCAGACTGAGCTGTGATGAATTATTGAACAACCCTCAACATCTTCTCAAGAACAGCCCATTTCAAAGCGCTTGATTGTGTTATCAGTTCAATGACAACAACAAGATGATGCACAGATGAACTCTTACCAATCAAACCATGCGAGACAGATTTCCTATTATGCCATTCCCAAAAAAATATGATTTTTGGAATGAGGAGCATGAAACAACACAACCTTCTTCCACTCCGAAATTGTAAAAATTATTATTATTATTTCCATAATTCAATATTACTTTTCAACAAAAGAAGTAGATCTGGATTTCATTCGTTTGCTTCAATTCCCTTCTTGCATCATAACCCTCATCATCACGATTTTTCAATCGAGTCTAATTTTAAATGGTTTCACGCTCTGAATAATAATTCAGACTCTAAAAAAATGTCTTCCTCATCGTCTTTGGAACAATCGGCATCATCTTCGGAAGATGAATCCATCCAAGTATCAACATCCTCTTCCTCCTCTCAACATCATCAACACGACGATTCTCTTACTCATCAAACTCCTCTTTCACCAGTTCCTCATTCATCTCACAATTTTTGGAAGCTTGAGAGTATTCATAATCCAGTTTATCATGTACATGATGATCATGAAGATCATTTATACCAACAGGAAAAACATATTTATTTGAAAGAACACCGATTCCATAAAGCTACCCATGACAAATATAAGGAATATTTGGATAAATTACCATCTGGGCCATTAACGAAAGAAAATCAACCACCAATTCATATAACAGAACAAGAGCAAAAGATATTTGACTTCTTACTTCAAGTTAACGAGCACTATAAATTAGGAACAACATTGAGAGTGGCTGGAGGATGGGTGAGAAATAAGCTGTTGGGATTGGACGGCGACGATATTGATATTGCACTAGATAATATGATGGGAGCAGAATTTGCAAAATATGTAGAACAATACGAAAAATTGAAAGGACTTCCAACAAAATCAATTGGTATCATTTCTGCAAATCCCGAACAAAGCAAACATTTGGAGACTGCTACAACTCACATTTTTGGTCAATCTATCGATCTTGTGAACCTCCGTAGTGAGGAATATGCTGACGAGTCAAGAATACCTTCAAATATTTCGCTTGGAACTCCACAGCAGGATGCATTTCGTAGAGACTTGACCATCAATGCTCTCTTTTACAATATTAACGAAAAGATTGTAGAAGATTTCACTGGAAAGGGAATTCATGACTTGAAAAGAAGAATTATACGAACGCCACTTCCTCCCGTTCAAACATTTTTAGACGATCCTTTACGTATTTTGAGAGCGATTCGATTTGCTTGTTTCTTTGACTTTTTAATTGCTGATGAAATTATGGACGCTGCCCACAATCATGATGTTGATGTTGCACTTGCTGAAAAAGTAAGCAGAGAGCGTGTAGGAACTGAAATTTTGAAAATGCTAAAGGGTCATGATCCTGTCGGCGCCTTTGCTTTAATTGGGGAAATGAAAATTAAGCATATTATTTTCACATACTCAACTGCCCCAAAGAAAAAGAAAGAGGCGTTTCCAAGAGAGTACTTACGTCCTATACCGATTGAATGGAAAGATAACATGCACTGGGAAAACTCTCTTTATAGGATGCGTATCATGATCAAGCTGTCAAAACGATACAAGTTGAATCTTGAGGAGCGTACTGAGCTACTGCTAGCTGCTTTCCTCTCGTCTCTCACTGATGCAAGCATGGAAAAGGAAATCGTTGAGGAAATTTGTTACAATCTAATTGTATCGTCATTCCGATTACCTCTCAAATTGGCTGCTAATGTTTCCACAATTATTTATGGAGCTCAAAAAATTAAGAGCAAGGTATTAGTTTGTGAAGACAAGAAAGAAACTCTTGATGAGGACTTCTTTGGAGACATCATTTTGCAAGATCGAGAATTTGTTGGTAAATGGTTGAGAAATATTGTGAAAGAGCTTTACGACAAATCCCTAATGCTATGCAATGTCATTGATACACAAGGAACAGAATTCACTGAGAAGCGTTGCTTCCGTGCTGTCAAATTCCTCAAAGCTTTAAACGAAAAGCATCGAAAATTAGTGGAAATTAGTCAAGATGCTTCACCACTACGAGGTGATGAAATTGCTCAAGCTTTGGAAACCACACCAGGACCCATTGTAGCAGAAGTCATCGAAGATCTAACCAACGAACGATTCAAAAAGTATCCAGAAAAGTTTGAGAGAGAGCAAGCAGTTGAATGGCTCTCAAGACATGCATCCAATTATAAGGCAAAGCTGAATCTAAACCCAAAGAAAAAGGTCAAAAAGTAATTGAGATGATGTTTTGCAGTACTGCAAACGTTTCCAATAATTTCCTTTTTCGACTTTGAAAAAAATTCAGGGATGGGTTTATTCGATGATAAACGTTGTTCGATGGTTTTATGTACATTATTTACAAGCCGAACGTAAGATACGTAGTGACTTCCTAGCAGGCACCCCGGAAGTAAAGGTGTTTAAACTGCTCACGATAACAGCAGTAACCCCTGGGATTCGAACGCTGGACCAGTTGGCTGCCACAGTTCCAGAAAAACCACTCGGCCATATGCGGGCAGCTTTTCGACTTTGAAAAAAATGAAGAAATTTGTTCATTCTTCCTCTGCTGTGTTTAGGAAGGCTGCTTGGCTGTCTCTTTCAACAAACAAGAGTCATCATCCTGCTGCTTCCAGTCATCATTTTCCATCATCCATAGTACAAGTGGATTCTCTCATTAAACTCGGATCTTTATGTAATGCGTACAGGCAAAAATCTATTCTTTCCGACATTAATCGAGCACAAAGTCAGCAACACAAATCGAAGTCTTCATCATCGGACCAACAAGAGGAGCAAAAGAAGAGTTTTTCAGCAGGACAATCATCGTCGGGATCAAAATTTAAAAAGTATGCCCTATGGACAGCAATAGGATTATTGAGCACGGCAGGATGGATCGAATTAAATTATAGAAGCAGTCCAGAATTTTCAACTGGGGACTATATCAGAAAATTAATCTATGGACATCCTTATAGAAATTATTTTAGTACAAAGAATGGAGTAATTTTGGAATTGTCGGTGGATAATAATGCGAGTGTTGCTGATGCCAATGAAGTGAGCCCAAGTACAAAGAAGCTCGTTTACATTTCAGAAGAAGGACATATTCACTTGATTATTCCTGATAATTTTGTTCAACCAGGATTGCTCGCCAATGAATCATCTGCATTCAGAGATTCTGGTAAATTTCGATTGACTGATATTACAGGAAATGATCTCGTTCTTGAATGGAACAGAATTAACACAGTTCTGAGAATGAATTTACAGTCCACCATGACGCCTACTGAAGAAGTTTTGAAAGCATGTGCCTACAAGTATGTGGAAGCGTTATTGGAGCGAACGGATGGAGTCACCATTCAAAGAACTGAGTATATTCACATTCCTAATCAAAAATATCCTGAAGCCTCTTCTTCAAGAAATCTTCCACCTCCTCTGGATCCAATACCAGAGGATCTTCCTTACAAACGTATTGCAACAAAGAGTGGAATGGATATGGTTTTGGTTGTCAGCTCTCATCCTGTGAGCAAAGACTCTGAAAAGAAGTTGTGGCGTGGAGATTTGTGGTATATTCATTACCCTTATGTCTATCACTTTAGTGTGAATCATCCAGATCAGAACATCGAATTGTCCAAGTTTTTGAGTAATCTGAAATTGGATCCAACCTCGCCACAAGCGAGAGAGATTGTGAAACAAGCTGCCTCTCAATTAACCAACAAACCTGAAGTTGTGGAACAAATTACAAACAAAACCTTCTCGCCTGAACGATTGACACAAGATCCTGATAAGATTGCCACCTTAGTGAGGAAGGATCTATTGCATTTGCAACATGATTCGTTCTGCAAGTTCATTTCTGTGTAGACAAAATTTTGTGGTGTTTTGCGTAATGAATTGAACTAAAAAGTTCCACTTAACATGATTAGAGAAGATAATAAAACAACGAAATAATGCTTTCAAAACAACTAAAAATTTCAATAAACAAACACATTCCGTCAATTACGTTTAAACGTGATGTTTTTTTACTTGGCATATTTCTTAGTAAATTCACGAGCTGTCTTGTCAAACTTGGTCTTGTCATTGACATAAACTTCAGCAGCATCGGCATCAAGAGGCGAGGCTGTGTTTGGATTTCTCATTAATTCTTGGATGGCCAATACGACTGCTTCTATGCTACAAGTTGGTTTCCATTCATCGTTTTTCAAAATACCGAGACAAATGCTTCCGTCATTGTTATCAAAGTTTGGATGGTAGGTTTTGGTCTTACAGATGAACTTTGGAGGATTGAATGGATAGCTATATAATTTTGTAGAATTAAATGACGAAATATTAAATAGTAATATTAAATAGTAATTCAAATCATTTGGAATGGCAAATAAGATTGTTGTATGGCAATAAAGAGAGTAGTATTTCAATTTTGATCATCAAAGAACCATGTCAATATATAACATTATTCGGATCCAGCAATCGAGAATGATGAATTGAAACAAATCATCAAAAATAGATATAGAGAGTGAATGATTGATTAAAAACAATGTTTGTCGTGATCATCACACAACTACCAACACCACACTTACTTCTCAGGTAGTTGAGCATCAAATTCAAATTTTCCTCCTTCATAAGGTGTATTTGTTGGACCAGCAATAACAATCTTCCAATGTCTCATATTATCATTGACCAAATCAAAGCTGCAGCCTTCCAATGGCTTTGTCTTTAATTTATTGAATTCCTTCAAAGGGCGATTAGCGGCTTGGGACATTTTTTTTTCTCTTTAAAAATAGATTTTTTTGTGTTCATTGTTTCAGACGAAACATTTTTTCAACTCTTTATTTGTTTTCAGAAACATTGAATTCCAAATGCAACACAAGAAGACTTCCAAATGACTCATGAACAAGAGTGCACTCCATGTAGGTCCTGAAATAACTTTTCATCAGTTATTAATGGATTTCAAATGATTCAAACTTTGTTCATGAAGATTCTTTTCATGTTCCATTCGTTTGTAAGCTGGTTTCACACAACATGCCAAAGCCACCGAGGTTAATAACATGGACATACAGAACCACATGGAATTTTGCATGGAGAGGACAACTTCTCTTCCACTTCTTGGATCAATTTGTGTTTGTTTGAGAGCTTCTGAAATAAATATAAATATAACACTCATCAAATTTCCAAATCCAAACATGAGAGAGGAGCTGAAGGATTCAGGAACTGGATACGTCAATTCACAGGCCATTTCGAGCATGATTGGCACGAGAGGAATTCCAAAGAATCCAATAAGGCAAATGGAAACCATTGCCAAAATGAAATGAGTGTCTGTACGTACTGCAATGTTATTCACCGAGAACCAAACATAACAGCTTGCTGCAGGAATTCCTGCAATGAGTAAAATTAATTTGTATCGTTTGGTAATGTCTGCAGCAACTCCAAATCTGTAATTTCAATCGAAATTTCATTAATATAAATAGGTCATTGGAATTTTGAATAATAATTAAAATTCGAAATAATTAATTGCAAATGGAAATATTTAAAATCATTTTGAGAGGATCAGAATATCATGTTTCATTCGAAATCATTTACCATATTCAATGAATAAGTATTCATTAAATATTTAAATATTATTCATAATAGTATAATAATATATAAATAAATTAATTAATTATTATAATGGAAATTTTCAAAAGACTTACAAGGCAGCTCCAAGTAAACCGGTAGCCACAAATGAAATTCCCATAAATGCAACTTCATTAACGCTGTACCCTTGTGGTGTTGCTATTGAATTCAATTCGGTCAGAAAACAGTTCACAGAACCAACACCAAATCCAAATGCCAACCAAATAAATATGAAAGGAATGGTTGTAAACATTTTCTTTGCTTCATGAAGAAATGATAATTCTTCTTCTGGACTTTCTTCATTGACCATATATGGCGGAGAGGGTGGCTTGTCTTGGAAGAATATGACCACAATGATTAAAAAAACACTCGCAAGAATGGCTTGAAGTGCCAATAACTCGATCATTCCAAGATCGTTATTGTAAGTTGCATCTCCTGATTACATGAATGGTCGGTCAACAATAAGAAATTAATTGTTGATAAAAAAACATTGAATAAATGAGAGCTGCGTGTCACAAACAAGGATTAAAATAATTGCTCGAACTTACCTGCTAAACCGGCTGCGGCACCAAATGCAACTCCTGTACCAACAATATTTAAGAATGACGTAATAGTGGTTGCAATAGTACGTTGTTTTGGAGGAAACCAAGTCTTTGATAGAAGAGTACCAGTGTTTACCTTATTTAGAATCATAAAGTGTGAATTTAAAATTTTGGAATCATTTTCATATAGCTCAATAAATTGAACGTTTTTCAAAATGTTGCAGTGCACTTACAACAAACGGAGAAGACATTGCTCCCACCACATATCCAGCAAATGCAATCCAAAAGAATAATTCCTCTCCTGATTTAAATCCTGCAAAACGAATCCAAGCGGAAATAAATCTTTTAGAAAAAAATACATAAAACGGATTGTCACACATGTTTGAAATTGTTAATCATTCACAATATAAATCAATAAATCGTCACACACACACGCACACACGACACTGTAGATCTACATACGCCAGAATGGATCCAACAAATAATGAAAATCTTAAACCTTTCTTCTTCATCGTGTAAGCTGCAAGTAAACCCACTGGAAAACTCAAAAATAAATAAACAGAAGCAGTTAATGAAACTTTCCAACCATCCGTTGGCTTCATTCGGTAATATCGCAAAACACTTGTTGTAATGGAAGTGAACATGGTTTGATAAAAAGCAGATAATAAAGCTAAACGTCCTCCGTGGGTGTTTGGTTATCCATTGATTCAATGATAATGAATGACAAGTTACAATTACGTCAGAATGATTCGGTTTGAAAATTAATCCAAATATATACATATTTGTTAAATTGTATTTACAAATAAAAATGTGATCGATGTTTGTGATCAAAGGTAAGACTTACATTGCATGGATTGAATGAGAAGAATAAACCATCGTCTTGTATACACCTTCGGAGTCTTGATGATCATCAAGAGTGGTTGTTTTGTCTCATCAGAAGCACCAACCTGATGCTCACTCAGAGTCGTTGTCATATAGTTGTTGTTGTTAGAAGTCCTCATGGAGGTCGGATCATGATCGGAAGTGAGAAAGGGACTTGTTTCGTTCATCTTTTCTCGTTGTTCTTGTTCTTGTTATTGATGATGATTTTTGATGATTTATTGATGATGGTGTGATCCATGCACACAGGTGAGTGTTCGTGAATCGGATCGATGAGAGAAAGATTTTTTACTGAGACAGTCGCGGATCCGCAAGGATGATGACCATTGTTTTAGGTTCACTGATGTTGTTGTAAGTTGGATAGAATGAGAAATATCTCAGAACAAGTCACGACTAAATTTGAATAGTTCCCACTAAAAATCACAAGCCAAAAATTATGTGTTCAGTGGTTGAAAGGACTCAACTCGAACAAGGGTTTGAATCCAAAAGTTTTTGAACAAGGAGTAAGGCTTCATTACCTCAGATGTCCAACTTAAAATTTGACAAGTTACACAAATCAAGGAAGATTTCACTCAACAGCTCAGACTCAAAAAATTTTCATCTAAACACACCTCAAGATAAGAACGCCAAACTTAAACCACCTTTACGACCATTCTCTCTCGGGATCATCTCTTATCAACACGTTCTTTAAAAAAAAGAAAAATCATCAGCCATCTAACACTTAGAATCATCATGCCCAACGCACATCTCTAATTTCATTTTGACCTTCTCTATAGTACAATAACAATAATAACAAAAGAATCATCATTCATCTTCAATATTTCATAAAAGACAATTCTATCATCATCTCATCAAACAGGACTTGTCCGATCTATAATGCCCTTCTCTTTCCGAAGAAGAAGAAAGGATGAAAGTAGCCACCACCACCACCACAACAACAACAATAATGAAGAGGACGATTCCAGTAACAATGTCCGTCATCAGCATGTCGTTATTCCTCTTCATGATGATGGTGAAACCAACCACCACAATCACCTCTCCAACTCCTCCACTTCCTCAAAATCGATCAGTAACGGAATAACTGGAACACAACTTTCTCACCCCACCACCACTCTTACTCTCCTTCCAACCTCATCCTCCTCGAGTTCTCCTCCCACTTCTTCTTCGCCTGCCGTTTCAGCATCGGGAATCTTTCAACATGTTCCTTTGAGTCGTCAAGGAAGCAACGGTAAGGCTTCATCTTTTCTTTCATGGCTAGGTTATCACATGATGAAGAAGAAAACAGGTGGCAACTCTCCTCCATCCTCCTCAACATCCTCCTCTTTGTCTTCTTCGGCTCAATCCATCATCAATGTTTCGAGCAATAGTATTCATTTTGAGAGTCATATGGACGATCATCGTCACCACACGAGCAATAACAATCATACGGGATCATCAGAACTACTAACGGCCGTTATGAATGGCGACCATGAAGATGTAAATATTCATTCAACTTCAAAACAGAAGCAACCCCAACAAGGTGATGGAGTTCACCGTTTACTTTTATCTGTTACAAACCCATCATCATCGGATTCACAAGGTCACTACACAATTGTGGATCAACATCAAAATCCTCAACAATATCATCAACTTCATAGTTTATTGAAAAAGAGGAATCATCATCTCAAACTTTCAGGCAATCATCTTGAAGAGAGTACGAACACGCTTGGTTTTTTCCAAGCTGAGGAGAAAAATTTGTCACCAAAGAACTTGTCATCATCAGAAGAGAATACTATCACTTCGCCACGAGTTGTGATCTCGACACCAACAGGTACTGATAAAGTATTGTCTACAGACGAGTTTTATCGCGGATTTGTGGATGATATCATCTCGGATTCAGACCATTCTGACGTTATGTGTTTTTCTCCACCTGCAGCGGATGACATGATTCTACACGAGGCACACATGTTATCGAATGCACATAATGAAATACTTCCTACATCTTTGACAACAACGACAACAGAAGAACAACTAGAGCTAGACCCTGACATGCTTGAATTTGAAGAATGGTTCAAAAAATTTGAAATTGGGGCGGACAATGAGGGAAATGGTACTGTAGACTTGAATGCAACTGTCAAAAAAAAAGTCGAGAGCTAAGAGTTTTTCCAAGTTTGTCACTGCCATGAGTGAACCATTTGTACATACCGGATCTAGTGCAAAAACCAAAGTGAAGACACTTTCTCCAAAGTCGTTCAATAATAATGATCAAGAATTTAAAACATCTGACGACACATCAGCAACCGGAGGAGCTCTTATCATCAACGACAATGAAAATGAGCAAAATGACAAGGGAAGATTTAGCAGGAGCTTTAAAAATCTTGTTCTTTTGGCACGAAAACACCCTTCTAGTCCACCTCATACCGCCTCGTCAGACAAGCAAGCTCAAGCCATTATTCAGAATAGTGTTTTTCTTACTTGTCTTCCACAAGAAATTAAGCACTACGTGTTTCAATTTTTAGAATTTAAATTTATACTTTCCTTACGATTAGTTTGCAAGGAATTCAAAGATATTGCCGACGATAATACTTTTTGGGAAACTCTTTGTACGGAACTATCTCTGGATTTCTCAATGGTTTCTTATAAGCATTTGAAACAGCTCTATATTGAAAATCAAGGTATGTTTGAAAGTACCATATGGAGTGGATATAACGTTATTTCAGTTTTTGTAACTGTGGTTGGCACTGAGGAAGTTGGAAAGAGTTTATTAATCAAAAGATGTAGTAATAACCCTGCATTGTTGTTGGAAAGTTTTGTTGTAGGACCAAGAAGGCTCTATGACTCTTTCCACATGCACGACGAGGAACCATACTACATTTATTTCAGAGAAATTAACAAGGAAAACAAATCCTTGTTAAAGAGTCACTCTATTAAGGAGGACATGTTTTTTGTGTGTTTTTCAATTTTCGACAAGAAATCCTTCTGCAAAACTAAGAAGGTAAGTGATTTGTGCCGTACTTTGTCGCCATTCATTGCTATTTCCACAACCATGCAAACATGACATGGAATCGATATTCCAATAACCTTCCATAATATATAGCTCATTAGGGAAATTCGAGCAAAAAGTAAAACAAAACCTATCATTCTTGTTGGAATGAAAATCGATTTACGTGATGAAGAGGGTTCCGAACAAGTCAAACTCATCAAAACAGAACAAGGCGAAGAGTACAAGAATCGTTTCAAGCTCTTCTCCTATCGTGAAATTAGTAACAAAACACGAGTGGGTATTTCTGACCTATTGGTTGATGCCATCAATGCCAAACGAATTCAAATGGAAAAGTTCTACAATTATGAAAAGGCATTAGGTACCGAGGCTGAACTCGAAGACATTTCCGAAGACATTTTCAATGACAGTGATGACGATGAAGATTATGAAATGATTGTTGGAGATCATCAAGCTGTGCTGATTGACAACACCAATCATTACCACGACGTTATTTATGATGAAACGAATACCAATGATGATAAGGAAAACGATTGCACCAACTTAAGCCCGAACATCAGTTAACGAATTGGGTCAATTGAAAGTCTTTAAAAAATTCTCTGCAGTGCTCTTCTTACCTTAAATCTAAAGGATACACTCATAAGGCTTTGTCATCGAAGGCTTCTTCATAGAAGAAACAAAAGAGAAGACCGAATCGTTTCTCATTATAATACACATAGACCATAACATCTTGAAAGGATGGGAAATACAATAGCCTATTCGAGCGAGGGGTTTTCAAACCATGATAACCTTTGTAATTCAGCATTATCATCATCATCGGATCATGAAATCAATGATTTCCAGACTCCTCGTATTATGCAATCAACAAGTTGTTGTTGGAAGGCCTCTGAACCCTCAAGTAAGCAAAGGGAGCATAACGTGTCCGAGCTCAAACACTACTTGGACTTTCATGGAAGGACCATCCCATACGAGATTCTACAAATCATTGCATCCTACCTCAGTATGAGGCATGTTCAGCGATACATTGCTCCTATTTCCAAAGCAACATACTATGATTTCTTTCTGAACCCACTCTCCCTGCATTGGAGAATGTTGAACTTTTCCGATGATTGGACTCTTACAGATCGCCAACTCTTGTACTATTTACATTCTGGGCTCCTTGCAAACACTGAGGCTCTCATTTTGAGAAGAACATGTATTACGTCGGCGTCTTTGAGACCATTAGCCAAAGCCTTGAGTAGCAATTATTTGCCTCGAATGCGTATGGTGGATATTCGTGGATGTTTTATGGCTTCTTATACATTACGATTGGAAATGAAGTTGAGTCGACCTGAGATTGTTGCACTCGACTCCACACACAAATCTCAAGTCCTATGTTCCACTGATTCCATGGTAGGCGACTTGAATTTTATTTTGAACACTGCTGGATTAAGGTCGTTGGATGCAGGTCATCAAATTCATCGAGGTTTTGATTGTAGAAGTTGTATTTGTTCATTCTGTTGTGAATACAACTCCAAAATGAAGTTTCTTTTGACAGCAGCAGGTCCATACTGCGTCGATTGTGCAGCCTTTACATTCAATTTCAGCTTTTTGGATTCCTATGGCCTTCCTGATGACCATGTTGATCCAAGAAATTGTCAAGTCCTATGCAGTACGAGTGCAGATTTTGTATTTTCACCCCACCACTTGAAATACATATTGTGCAAAGTTAGAAGATACAGAAATGTTCTAGATACCAAGAATACCAGTCAACTTGAGTTAGTTTTCAAAAAGAGTTTGGAGATCACCATGGCAGGTATTCATGTCACACAACTAGAATGCGCCGTGGATGGCCATGGAATGGCTTTGATCTTCTGCAATGAAGCAAGGGAAGGAATTGTTGCGGTAGAGAGTTGTTTTGGTATAGTTCTCATGTCTTTTGATAGGTATATCGAAATCAAGCGTTGTATTAAGGCATGTCGGCTTATTGCAGCGAATTTGAGTTTGGATTTTGCAGATCTCGTTCTTTCAAACTACACTCTACTTGCCTAAAACAAAAAACACACATTTGTTTTATTTGAAGTTAAATCAAGCTAGAATAAAGGAGAAACTTGTTATTTACAGAGGCACACTGTCAATCCCAATATGCACAAAACACCATAATGATCCGACACAGGAATGCATTCTTCTTCAGACGTACTTGGTGAAGTTTTCCACTGCAACACTTCATACTTGACTTGGCAGCTTCCTTTAGAAACAAATACATGATCCAAACACCAGTCTCCAAACAGCCTTGTGGGAAAGGTCACAGGATGTGTCGTTTCTTCCTCCCCAAATGCATTGCTTAATGAAACGTCACTCGTAATTTGTCTCATCTCCTGTGCCAACAGTCGATAGGTGCTTCCTTCTGTTGATCTTAAACTATTGATATTGTAATCTCCACAAATAACAACTCGATTGTTGCCATTTTCATGAAATGAAATATTTCTCTCTGTGGCCGCTGTTTCCAATTTCATCGTTACAAACTGCTTGAGCTCTTTAATTTGTTCTCTCCTTGCTGAATCCGTGTGAGCATCCATATGTACACAAAAAACCATCACATATTCGCGATCCTCATTTAAATCACCTCCATTCTTCTCAATCAAAGCATATAATATTCCTTTTGCAACAATATATTCTGTCCAGCTGGCATATTTGAAAATATAATTTTCATGATCAACAATTTTATGCTTTGATAAAATCATCAAACCCGAGTCTTGCATCAGGAATTTTGCTTCATCTGATAAAGCCACATGGGTGAATCCAAGTTTTCGTGCTCCTTCTATCAACTGCTCTCTCAATTCTGTATTTCCTTGCAACAACCAACTACTCCCGAATGTGAACATTTCTTGTAAAGCAATAACATCCACATCTTCAGCCGATGGTTGAGTTGCGAGATTATGCAACAACCCTTGTATCCTCTCTGCTTTGTGTGGTGGTGTTTTCAACGTGAGTGCAGTGAGCCACATATTGTACGTCATGATCTTCATTTTTTGTCACACTCTAGTTGTAAGTTGTTGAACACACTGTTCTTTTTGTTCCTTATTAAAAAGAGTTTTCAAATAAACAATCTCGTGCAAATCCAAATTTGATCATTTTTGAAAAAAATGATTTCAAAGACAAGCTCATCATCCTCGCTCGTGGATGTTGCCATTGATAAGGCTGCCAAGGCTATTCTCTCGGCATCTCATCTTTATTTTACTGCTGGAGCAGGAATGGGAGTAGATGGTGGCTTGCCAGATTTCAGGTAAGTCTATGATGACATTTCCGAGTTGATCGAAGCAATAGAGATTATTTGTGATAGAGGAAAGAATGGATTTTGGAAAGCATATCCTCCCATGCAAAAATTAGGTCTGGAATTTCATCAAATGAGTAACCCGAAATGGTTTGACAAGGTATGATTTTCTGATGAGATCTATATATATTAAATTACAACAACGAATTACTATTTTATTATTAATTACTAATTAATTTAATATTCAATGTTAATTTTTAATACCTCGATTTTTTAAATGAATGATTAATACCAATAATAATAATAATTATAAAGGATCCTACGTTAGCTCATGGATTTTTTGGTCATCGTTATGATCTGTATACTACGAAAAAACCACACGAAGGATATTACATTTTAAAAGAATTTTCACAATTACCTCACATTCAAGATTACTTTGTGTTCACATCCAATGTAGATGGTCACTTTCCACAAGTATTTCCTGCCAACAAGATTGTCGAATGTCATGGATCAATTTTACACTTGCAATGCACAAAACCATGCAATGAAAATATTTATACAGTTGAGCAACACAATCAAAAATGTCCTCCTGAACAACGATATCCACTTTTTGTAGATCCTGAAACATTTAAGGTAGATGCTAAATGTATGCCACGATGTCCAGAATGTGGAGCTCTTGCAAGACCCAATATTTTAATGTTCGGCGATTCGTATTGGATTTCTTCTCGCTGTGACGACCAAGAGGAACGACTGTCACAATTTGTGAGAGCCATGTACAAATCAGATTCAGCTTCTCATCTTGTTACGATTGAGATTGGAGCTGGAAAAGGAGTACCAACTGTTCGTATGGAATCTGAAACAAAGGTGGCACGTTTTCATGAATCCTCTAAGAAGGCAAAAGGAACCTTGATTCGAATTAATCCAACAGATTCTGATTTCCCATCGGACTTCCCAGAAGAGTGTGGAGTTTCCATTGAATTAGGAGGATCAGTGGCACTTCAAAAGATCAAAGCAAGAATGGCAGAACTTCGAAATTTCTCTTCTCACTAAAGTGAACAATCTCTTCCCTTGTAAAGTAGAGAGTTAATCTTCTTGAGGTTATCGATGGGCAAAGATGTCATGCGCCTCTCAGGAGGTGATCCTTAATCATGGCTTCCAACCTCTTGTTGCCCTTTAAAAAAATGTCCCTTATTGAGCCTTCTGCAACGGCTTCACTCTCCATTGAGGACATTTGTTTGAATTTGGACAAATTGAAGAAGGACTATGAACTCACCACGAAAGCATGCACCAAAGCAACAAAAGACAAGGCTCGTCTGGTTTCCTTGCTAGAACAACATCAGATTGATATCCAACAGGCGAAGCAGTTTATAGAACAACAAATACAGCATAGAGCCCATCTTGAACAACGAATTAATGAGTTGGAATGGAAATTCAAGATGAAGGAACATGAAAGGAATCATGTAAGATGCACATGTAAAGATGAAGAAAAACTAACTGAAGAAACATGTTCTAGATGCGATGTTTCCCTTGATCAAATGGCTCTCAAACTTCAAGAGTACAATACCAAATTACAAAGGGCCAATCAGATGAAACAAACCCTAAAGGAAGAGGCAATATCCCTTAGAAACACCTTTTCCGAGTTGACTGAAAGGAAAAAGAGTATGGAACAAAGACTGAACGAATGTACAGAACACACCACTCAAATGCAAGACACGTTGTATGATCTTGATGAACAATTGAGTGCCATCATGAAGGCCAATACAGAGAAGATGAAAGACTTACATCGAGAGAGCATGGACAAATCACTACTCGCAGAACAGCAGCGCTGTAACGAACAAACGAAGGCCATCAACCTTGAGTTGAGAGATTTAAGGCAGAGAAAGCACAACCTTTCGCAACAGCTAGAATCAAAACGGAAGCTCAGAGATGCTTTGCAAGACGAATTGCAACATTTGAGCCAAGAGATTGCCCAGAATCGCAAACCATCGGAAAAGAGTCTTGCCAGTGATGATTTGAACGTCCTCACATCTAGTAATAATACGGTCACTAATCCTTTCTCAGCACACTTTGCTTCCTCTTCAAACAAATTGGAGCCAAGAAGACAATTTACTTTCAAAAAACAAGTTAAGAATGGTGCGAACTCTGCTGGCGTCAATACTTCATTGGCACCAACCATTTCACCTGTAACACCTGATGTGAGGTTGTTGAAGAGAAAGACATCCTTTCATGATCAAGCACCTCAAAACACTTTTGAGAGTGAGGGAACTCCCAAAAAGAATGAGTTCAAGACTGCAAAGGAGATTCTTCAAAGCAAATCTTCTTACTTGTCTTCTGGAAGGACACCTCAAGTGGCCAGTCCATCCACCTACACCTTCAAAAAGATGAAGAAGGATTAAACACAGTTGTTATTTCCTCTTTGCATGGTTATTGTTGTGGTTTGGTGGATTGGTTCAATCTTCAAGTTGTAGTCTAATTGATTTATTGTTGAGGGTTTATGTTTAGAAATTTAGCAATCCAACATTCTGATGTTACACTAATAGAAGCCTAATGAATAAACTCATTCATGCTATTTTTTAAAAGTGAAATTTTCAAACATAAAAAAAATGACGCGAGGAGAGAATAGGCGTGGAAAGGTGGGTCGTGCATGCCATTGGTGCAGAAAGGCTCACCTTCGGTGCGACATGAAACGACCGTGTGAGCGATGTACAAAGAAGGGACTTGAGTGTATTGAAGCAACCGATCAACCACTTCCAAAGCCAGCCAAAAACACGGCCGGCACAGCATCATCAGGGAGAAAACGAAAACAAAATCCAACCGATGCATCGGAGAAGGCATCCAATCATCATACGCAATCATCATCATCATCATCAACTAGGAAGAAACGAAATACACAACCTCTAAAAGCTAAACCAATAGTACCACAAGTCGCTAACCTGTTACCAGATATTCCGAAAGAAGGACAGGCATGCCTGCAGGATAAATATTACTACAACCTCGATAGATATCAACAATTATTGGAGGAAAAAATGTCGAAAATCGCAAAATTTTGCTATCTTGATGATAATTATGAAAAAGTTGAAATTGAATGCAAGAAATAACAATAATCCTTTCTTTATTTCAAAATTTCACATTGTAAACATACATAACATCCAACAATATATTAATTTTCATAGTATATATTATTGTGACACTAACAAATTTCCTTTGATCGTGTCAATCAAAGTAGTCGCTAGTAATGTGTTCCTTAATGAAGGAGAGTACAAATTTGATTTCCATTTAGAGGCTAATTAACTTAAAAATTTATTTATTTACAGCAGCATTGAAGTGTTAGCGACTACTTTGATTGAAACGATCAAAAAAGTCCTCCGTTACTTGGTTAGCATATACCTGATTGATTGCCTTTTCTTTCATTCGCTTCTCCTCTGCTTGTCTTTTGTGACATTCCAATAACTCTGCTGCTTGTTGCTTCTTTGCTCGTTCCTGTTCTCGTTGAGCAAGTACTGCCATTTTAGCCTCTAAGATTCGTTTTTTATCCCAATAGTGTTGAGTTAGACTTTCTACATCCCGTTTTTCTCGAATTTCCTGTAACTGAGCTTGTCTTGTTTTTTCAATTTGCTCATATTGATCCTCTCGCAAATGCTTAAAGTGATCAGGTCTAAATCTGGAAGGGTCACTGGCATGCAAGGTTGTATGGAAGCTCTCATTCAAAACATGGTTATTTAGTTGGTTTTGTATCTCCTCCAGCTTGTCAAGCTCTTCCTTTTCTCGTATAAGCCTCTCACGCTCCTCTTTTTCGTTCCATTGCTCAATGTTGAATTCCTTCCTTAGCTTTTCCTTTTCTTGCTTGATTTGTTGCTCTTTTTGTCTCAACTCGTATGCCAACAACTGTACTTCCATTTCTTTTTGCTCAAAGAGCTTCTTTTCCAATTCTTCCTTTTCCTTGATCAATTCTTTTTCGGCAACTTGCTCCGAAACCCAAGTTCTTAATTGTTGCTGCTGAGCTTTTACTCTTTCTTTAATACCAAGATCTTCTCCATGCATGATTTGACCACCAGAAATGCTTAATGTTGGATCATTGTCACCAATTCGGGCTGGTTTACTCTTCTTCAAATAGTCGGGATCATTCAAATCAAACTCTCTTCTTGTTTCAACTTTCTGTTCCGCTTGTCTGTATTCATTGATGTCCTTTAGGTATTGCTTTTTTGCGTCCTTATGCTGTTTCTCAATAATATTGGCTACTTTGACATTGGTGAGAGCAACCTTATCGAAGAACAAGTCTCTCTCTTGTTCTCTCTTCTTTACTTGCTCCTTCTCCTCAATTTGAGATTGTATTCCCGAAACATCGATTCCCATCGTTCTTGCCTTTGGATCAAATATTCTCTTTTTCCGCTCCTCCTCAGCCATTCGTCGTCTCTCAATGGCCAATCTCTCCTTCTGCTCTGTATCAGTGAATGGAAACATTTTTTTTAAATTTGATTTTTGAATTATGGAGTCTCCCTCTAACTGTAAACCAACGAATTTTGGCGGCATTTTACCATTACAAACCCTTATTTGAATTTACAATAATGAATGACATTTCATGACAAAAAATGTCACCACTTCCTCAAAGCACCATGAATCAGCCTAGTCCTTCAATATCAAATCAAGCGGTTCACTTCTCCTCTCATCATCATCATGATGATTCCCTCCTTTCAGATCAAACTGAATGGAAAAAGAAACAAAGACATCGCCAATTATTGTCTCACTCTGAAAAGAGTCATAGTTGCAGTCATTTGTCAGATTCTTATTTTAAAACTTTAAGTTGTTCTTTATTGCAAGATTCTGGTGAGATTGACAAGAGCGAAATTCGAAAAGTCATTGTCAGAACCCTTCCTCCACTCTCCAACAAATCTCAAATTCATTCCTATCCATCAGTTTCTGTCTCTGATCATGCTTTTTCTACACCATCTTATCAGAGACAAGAAAGAATATTAATTCCTCTCATCTATTCTGTTCTTGAAAAACAAGGAATTTCCAGAAATGACAAACACATGACAGGATTACGAAAAGAATATTATCATGCTGGACAGGAGATTCCCAAAGCTCTTCTCGAATTTATTCATGGTTTTGAATGGAATACATGTTCCTTATTTGAAAATGCTTCTCGAAATATTCAAGCAGGTCCATTTCGATTTGAAAAACTTTCTGTTCTTCAAGATATTTCTGAATATTTAACAGCATTGCAACGCATTGATATGAAAACTCACATCTTCCTTTCTGTGACTGGAAGAGATTTAATTGGAGTTGATCCCACTCTCATTTCACCTGATCATGAATCCAACTTTAAGGTGTTTGTGTTTCGAAAGAATGCATCTCATCCTGAACAATTATTTCTTTCAGAACTCATTGAACATTGTCGTGTCATTCATTAAATCACCACTACACATGTTATACCTACATTAATATTTCACTAGTTTCTTTCCTGGATCATTTCTCTGTGTGTTCACGCGGGTTGAAAGAACACACCTTTTAGACAATTTTCAAAAGAAGAGAAATTCAAGAAAATTCAAAATTCAAAAAATGGCTCAACAACAAACATTCAATGCCTCAACGCCCCTCTTGATCCATGCAACAACAACAACAACAACCACCCATAGAGGTAGTAGCAGCATTAACAACAACGCGGCATCATCCTCACCAACCACCACGAACACTACTAGGAATATGAATGAACAACAATTACTCTCCACAAGATCATCGGGTGTGGTACCTCCTCTTCCTATCGTTGGGTCTAGCCATCACCACCATCATCATGAAGAGTCCAACAACAAGAAATATCCATCAGAATCTGGTACAATAGATACCTATGATCATCATGATAGTTTTAGTGATTTATCGGAAGAAGATCCAGCTCAGAGTTCAGCTCTGAAAAAACAACCCATCAGTAGAGCCCAGAATTTATTTCATGTGGTGAAGAGCTCAATTGGATGGCTCGCGTTCAGTATTGTGTTTAATGTTTTGAATACGATTGTATACTCAGCTTTATATCCGAAAATTCTACATAATGTTTCAGTGAATGGAGGTTCTGACTACTCCACAGCGTTTTCAATTACGAATACTGTAACAACGTTAGCCAGTGCTCTTTCATTACCTATTCTCGGATCTTTGGTGGATAACATGAAAATTATTAGGGCCTCCATGTTGGTGACCATGTATTTGGGGATTATTGCTACGATAGGGTTGTTTTTTACGGACAAGTTACCAAATGCAACAAGTGAGGACATGACCACACATTTAGCAATTTGTGAGGTTGTGTATATTCTTGCCATGTTCTTTTTGAGATTTTCTGTCATGAATAATAATGCATTGTTGCCAAGTTTTGACAAGAAGAATATGATGATTTTAAGTTTGTCAGGCAATTTTATTGGATTTGGAGTGAACTTGTTGGGATTATTGATTTTAGCATTCACACCAAAAAGTGTATTTTCTGGAGATATTTGGGAAATTACACGAGAAAACTGGTGGGTCCTTGTATTCACTTGTTTCACAATTTTAGTTTCGTTTTTTGTGTTTTTGAGTCCAAATGGTGTGGACCGAGTGACGCTAAATCCAGAGACAGAACTCAATTCTTCCTCTATCATTGTGAAAAAGAAATTAGAGGTTCCTCAAATTTTCAATCGATTACCCAAACCTCTCAGAGGATTAGGAAAAATTGTTGCCGTTTGTAAGAACTCGTTTATGGCTCTTTCTGAGACATTTGTGAATTGGAGAACAAACACACAGTACTACCATTGCTGGATTTTCCTTCTTTCGTATTTATTCTTTTCCACAGCTGGAACTGTTGTGACTATTTATTTAGGACCACTGTTTATTGATATTTATCACTTTTCATTGGAACAAGAAGTGTTATTGAATCTTTATTTTAAAGTTGCCATGGTAGGAGGCGTTATTGGAGGTGTTATTTTTGAGCGATTATTCAAATTTAATGACATTTATGTGTTGGCAGCACAAAACTCGTTATTTGGTGCATTTACACTTTCCAGTAAGTTTATACAAACATGTATAGGTGTTGTTGTTTTGATCATTGATGACTCGGATTTTCAAACATATCCACATGTGCCTAAATAATTCTTAACTCAATAGTTTTTGTTACCATCTCCCTAAAAGTCAATCGATATGCAGTTCTTGCGCAATTCCTTCTCGTAGGATTTTTATATGCTTGGAATGCAAGTGTGGCACGTGGTCTCATGAGCAAATTGATTCCAGTCAATAAGAAGTGTGAATTTATGGGATTTTTCTCAACCTTCACGTACTTGGGAATTTCCATCACGAGTGGAATCTATGCCTTGCTGAGCAAGTTACAACTTCCTTCTCACACCTTGCTGTTGATTTTATTCATTTGGCTCATACCAGCCTTCTTGTTTTTGGCTATTTTGAAGCAATCCCTCGATAAACATGCAGACAAGAAATAAATGATTGCAATCACATCAAAATGTATCAAATTTAATTGGATTATAAAAATAAATAATAATAATTATAATAATTAAATTTTAACCTTTGTTAAGGTCATAGTTTACATGGAAAATTTGGTGGTGACAATAAAGCGTTCTCCATTTTCTTCATATTCATCTCGATTCACACACAAGTCATCAAAAGTGCTTAATGACATGAAAATATCAGCTCCCATTATCACAGAATCGTTTCTAGAACGTTTCATGATATTCACTTGCTGATCTGAGGTCTCTCCCTTGTTGTTGGTATAAGTTTTTCGCAACGTGTCACTATGATTCATTGCATTCTCCAATTCAAATGCAAATCGATCCACAAAACCATTCAACATGCAACTGCCACCAGTCAACACAATATTCTTTATCATGGTATCTTTTGCTTCCTTTTCCACTCGTGACAATTTTTCTAAAGATTTAACCACACACTCTTGAATTGAATTATTTTGTGACCACTTGTCAAGATATGTTTCATCTGAGTTGGCGTTAAATAAAAATTCGGTACAATCAGAAAGAATATTTGCTGCTTCATCTGGAATTCTGAGAATATTTTTGTCAGGAAGTTCATATGTTAAAGTCTGTGATGAAAGGGTCGCACGAGATTTTGGATTTTTCACATAACACATCTTTTCCTTAATATCTTTCAGAATTTCATTTTCAGTACTTGACATAAATTTCAAAGAGCTGTCATTAGTGCATTGATTTCTCACCAACATGTTTCTTAAAATAGAATCAATCGTATGTCCTGCAATTGGCATTGCTTCCAATGCTTGTCTCACAGCAATTCCTTCATACACTGGTAATGAAACTGAAAATAACTCTCCACAATCCACACTCAATCCACTGCATTGACCGACACTAAAAATTGGTAAAACATTTTCTAAACACATATACACTCGATCATAGGTCCATTCATCAAAAGCAGTGGTCAACAATCTTTCCTTAAAATGAGTGTCACCAAATAAATAGAATGGAAGTGCACAAAAGAGTGTTTTTTGACATGTCAAGGATGATGACTGATCGATGGTCATGAGAGACTTTTTCACAATTGTCTTTTCCAATAATTCTGTACAATAGGGCATTAACGAATCAGCGTGACACGAATAGGGTCGGCTTCCCTGATCCACATACGGATATTCCAGTCTCTCCACTGTCACATATTGATCAAAATACTTCTTCAATGGATAATGTAAGATAAATTCAGCTCGATGATTCACACATTCATTTCCATAAGCAACCATCACATTACGACTGTTTGTGTTATTTCCAGTGACACCACCGTGAGTCGTACCACCCAAAGAGGAACGATTCATGAGACTGGATCGACGTCGATTGCCAGAAGTTGAAGAAGAACTCTCTCTCGAATTCAATACTCCATTCATGTTGTTAAATTTCTGTTCTCCAATCACTGTGGCTTGTTTCATGTGTTTGACAGTCAGTTCTTTGTTCACTCGTCTCGGAGAAGAATTTAATTTTGTGGAATTCTCTTTGTTTTCGAATGATAATGATGATGAACAAGTATGAATGGAAATTCGTGTGGAATGAGCTCCGAGAGACCAAAAAGCTCTCAGAGAAGGAGGAAACGACGAATCGACTTGATTCAACTCTCTACAATAACCTCCTCTTGAATACTTGTGCTTTTCAATCAATAGTTGAATACATTCTTGTTCGGAAGGTAATTCGGAATCTTGATGGACTTGAATCGAGAAGGAAGAAGAGGATGATGGTTCATCAGAAGAGAATGTTTGATTTCTTCTTGCTTCTTCTTCTTCCTTCTTGATCGGATCCGAACGTGAAGGAGACTTTTCTTTGCTTGAAGTTGTTGTTGAAGAAGAAATGGATTGAGAAAGATGAGAGAGTTTACGAAAGATCAAGATCAATGCAATCGAGGTGAGAATGGTGCTCACAGAGAGGGCTATGAGCAAGGTGGGAGTGATGCCATAGCGATGCAAGCCTAAATCTCGTATGGCAAATTCCAAATGATCCATTTTTTTACGTGAGTGATCATTATTGAGGGACAGATGACAAGAGACAGCTTCAGTAAGCTTCAGAAAGATCTTTTGTGATCACGTGTTGGTTGTTGTCGCTTTTGTTCAGAAAGAATTAAGTGCCTGATTGAAAACATACTTTTAAAAATCAATTGTCAAAGGAACCTTGATGGTTCTACGTGATTGAAAAGTTCCTTAAAACGGAATCACATGTTGAAGTCGACGTGATCAGTAGCAGCCATTGGTAAACTTCTCCTCAAAGATGTATCATCTCGGAATGCTAGTACACCAATCTTCATCATTTACAGTGATTACTTCTTCAATAATGGTATTGGACATCTTGTCACTTAGATCTCAGAACACATTTGCTCATTTATGGTTGTGGTAAATGTGTGTAAAAAAATTTGACAGGTTACGGCTGTTGGTTTATTATTGCACTTTCACCAGTTCTCTGAAGGTAGAATAGATGGTTTGTTTACCTAAATTCTTCAACACAAACCACACCAATGCAATATGGGAGAAAGCATAAACAACCATGAGAAGTACGTTGAGAAGGAAGAGACCTCTGGTCAGGTAAATAATGGCACACACTGCCAAAAAGTCAATTGTTGGCAAAATAATTGCTGCCAACTTGAAGGCAAAGAAGAAAGGAATGATTTTCTTGTTGAGGGTGGCTACGTCAGAAACGCTTAGTAATTGACTCTGTTCAAAATTAGTTTGTATGCATTGTTTGGTTTGCTCTCTCATAAATTGTTGATAGAAAGACAAAAATATCACACTGAAAATGGTGACAGTGGATAAGAGACAGAACCATTGCGCATGTGGATCATAGGAGGCATCGGCAACCATATTGAAATAAATTAAGAAGGAGAATAGTGCTGTCATAGCCACAGTAGCAATTGGCCAAATGGTCAGCAATACCGTCTTTTTAGCCCTCTCATAAAATGAAATTGGTCTCTTTGCTCCTTTCTTATTTTTCAAACTTGACCAAATTCGAACTAGTTTAAAGTGAATTGTTCCAATCAAGCCAGAATTTTCTGGGAGAAGCATAGACAGGAGCAGCGGGAATAGAGACTTGCTGAGAGTTAATGAGAAAATTAAAAAGAATATCTCAGCAAGGAGAAGGCCAACAAGAGGAAGAGGAACAATAGAGAATTGTGGAATTTGGACCACATACTTGTACCAAAAGTAACTACCATCAAGAACAGGGAATGAAAGGAAAACCCAAGGCTTAATGGGTAAATTAAAGTGAACAACTCTGATCTTTCGCTTCAAACGAACTAGCCAGGCGTATTTGAAAAAGTAATAAATTGGTACTTCGGTGTTCCAAGTGTAAGGAATTCTCCAAACTCCTTTGGCGTCATCTGGCGTATATTTTGCAATGACGGCCTTCTTTTCTTCTTCTGTTTTGGCCTCGTCAAGTTCTTTTTCTAATTCCCAGCCCTTAGCTTTGTAAGGAAAGTCAAAATATAAATTCAAAAATCCTTGTTCTCCTCCATCATAGCTCTTGTATGCTGGTGATCCCATCTTTGAAATCATATCTTCGTAGACTTTTGTACTTGGTTCTGTAACAATCATTCCTCCATTGAAAAATTCCCTACATTCCATTAAAATTTCATATGAAATGCATGAATATTATCAAATTGATGTTGATGATCATTCTAAAACACTTACGTATTGCCCATATCACTTCCAGAACAAACGGGACCCACACAGTTGAAGAGAATATCAACGTTCTTGAATACGATACAATCAGCATCAATGTAAACAATTCTCTTATAACCATATTGATCAAGTTTCCAAAGGTGAAGTTTGTTATAGGTGTCAATAAATCTAGGTTCAGGAATCTTCATATTAGGATTATCAATATATGAAGCAATAAAGATATGCACTCGACTCATTAATGGATCTTTTCTATATGCTTCAATGTTTTTGACGATATCATTCATGCGTTTACCAGTAACAATGAGTACCAAATCGTATTGTCCTCCTAAATCCAAAACACTCTTGTACATGGCCAGGGCTCCCATCAGATAACTCACGGAACTGACCAATGTGGCATATGCATATTGGGCATTGTTAGGGTTGACTTTGGACTTTACATTGTAATCCATTTCGAGGGATTGTTGTTTATATGCTGGTGGAGAATATGCTGCCTCTGTTCTCAATGATAATAGGCTCACGATAATTAAAATCACAATCAACATGAGCATGGATGTGCCAATAATAAACGAACTCTTATTCCGAGAGTTTGTTCCAGACAATGATGATGATGACAATGAGCTGGCCATCATTAACGGCGATGATGATGGGGTGCCGGCCGACATTGAAAGTTGGTATCGGACTTGTTTTCTCATTCTTTCCAACAACATAATGATACAATTCTCACTACTATATAATTGTTTGTAGAGTGTTATGGACACAATTCGGTAGTGGTGGTGGTGATGATGATGAATGCAAAATAAATAAAATCTTGGCCTTTTTCAAACGACGAGGAGGACAGAGCGACTCAAAATACCAACACAGTAATATCTTGTTGATATTTTTTGGTGCTTGCTGAGGGGTAGCCGTTGAGGCGTTTTGTTTAACGATGTCATACGAATGACCCATGAACCAAATTTCGTTCTTGTGGGTGATGATGCACAACATGGAGACTCAACATCATCATCTTTTGGGTAAATGTTGAAAGGCTATGAATTTCATTTGAGTGGTGATGAAATTGATAGACTAAACGCACTCAAAAGGCCGGAACAGCTGAAGAATGCTCAAGGAGTTGTCCAACAAAAATCATTCTCACCACTCTCTGAGTAAGCCTGCCTCATCATCATCACTGAGTATGAATCCTTTGAAATATAAGAATTAATCGGGTCCGAAGTTTGAAGTGTTTTACGTTTCGAGAAATTTCTCTCCAATCACAAGTCAGAAGAAAAATGTCGAATGAAGGTGATCGGGTAGATTCAGCTCATCAACAGTCTGAAATTATCGATCAACCTACATCGGATCATATTATTGTACATAATGGTGGAAAGGTATCAACAGGATATGTGTTATTGGATGGAGATGATGATGATGATCATTTGGTTAGAAAAAGTTTGTATTGATGAATAATGGTATCAAATATATATATGATGATGATGAATTATTTAATGTTGAACAACAAAAACAACATCAATGGATGATTTATGTGTTCAAACACAATTGCCTAATATCCTATTGTACCATCACGCAATTAATTCCATGATAATAATTTTCATACCCGAAATAATGAACTAAAAAACATAATGTCACTACTCATCATGGTTGTACAATTGTAATTTTACCAAACGCCAACATCGCATACCATTGCATATGACACAAACCACAGCGACCGATCATTTCGATGAGCATGAACGACGAATGAACGATGAAAGTACTCTCAAAACTTCTTCTGCTCAGCAAGACAACCCCAATGAAGAAACAGCCAATGACGATGATGAAGAAGAATTTGATGAAAATGACACAACAGAAGTTGGTAGATTCAAAGAGAGAGGAGAATTTACTTTTCGTTCAATTGCTGTTGGTGCATTGATTGGAATTTTGGTTGGTGCTATGAATGTCAATTTTGGCTTGAGAACTGGTTGGACACAAGGAGGTAAGTTATTGTGGTGGATGTGTGTTGATTTTTGACAATTATGTGATGATGAACAACCACCACATCCATATTGTCGATGTATGCATTAATACATGCATGAATATTTTGTTGCATCGAATATATTTGATAATAATGAAATGCTCACGTCACATTATTTGACAACTTACTCTAACAATGTTTAGGAAGCATTTTTGCGTCAATTTTGAGCATTGGAGTTTTCAAATTATTTAGGCCAAGTCGCCCTTTCACAAAATATGAAACAATTATTACGACAACAGCAGCCTCGAGCGCTGGTACTATGGCCTCAACAGCTGGATTAGTGAGCTCTATTCCAGCTCTTAAATTACTCGGATTTCAATACAACGTGGGTGAATTGTATTTGTGGGCATTGAGTGTGGCCTTCTTTGGAGTGTAAGTACTTTTTTAGAATCCTCTCATTTGATTTGAATCAATGTTGTTATTCCTATACATTTGTGTTTTCATGAACAACGTGTGTCCACATATGCGTGTGTGTGCATGTGTACATATGACCAAATAATATTATTTGAACAACACTTGATCACAAACCATTATAATAGATATTTTGCAGTTCCTCTCCGAAAACATTTGATTGTCATTGAAAAGCTCAGATTTCCTACTGGTACAGCCACTGCAGCTACCATCAAATCCATGTTTGCACAAGGTTATGAAACTGTGAAAAAAGCAAGAATGCTCGTTTTTTGGGGTGTTTTCTCTGCTTTCTATTCCTTTATCATATTTCTCGTGCCTCCCATTGCACAACCTCCAATGCCTAAAATTCTCCATGATTATGGATTTACCTTATATATGGATCCCTTAATGATTGGAGGTGGAATGTTAAGTGGTCCTCGTAGCACAGCCAGTTTATTATTGGGAGCAATTGTTGGATGGGGAATTTTGGCTCCAATTGTGGATGCAAATGGATGGACCAAAGGACCAGTTTCTTCCTTTAGTGGTGCACGTGGATGGACTCTCTGGGTTGGTGTTGCCATCATGACGGCTGATTCCTTTGTTCAATTATTGTTTTTAACGAAAATTATTTGGCAAGCATTGGTTGGATTGGTTCGAAGAGTGGCTATTCGTGGCTCTGGAAGAACAGTTCAGAGACACTTTGGAGAGCGTGTCATTATGGATCATGAACAGTATGAATTAGATTCTCACATGATTCCATGGTGGTATTGCTTTATCGGATTAATTTTTTCATCGACTTTATTGATGATTATTGGTCATTTCGTTTTTGATTTGAAATGGTATTTTGTCTTGTTGGCCATTCCATTGAGTGCTATTTTGTCGATTGTTGCAACGAGAGCTACAGGTGAAACCGATATCAACCCAGTTGGTAAGTATTTTAACAGCACATGCGTGTGTGGGTGTTGAGAAAGAGTTTTATATTTACTTTGGGTTCACATGATGTGAATCAATAACGATGAATGTGATGTGCTGCTATTTTGTTCACTCGATCCCTGAATAATGATAATTCTACGAATACCAACAATATTATACTAATACTAATTCTTTTAACAACAATACTAATAATACAACTCACCTACTACGAATACTACAACTCAGGTGGTATGGGTAAGGTGGGTCAATTTGTGTTTGCAGGTGTTGCACCAAAGCAAGTTGCGACCAACATTCTCAGCGCTGGTATCATTTCTGCTGGTGCCAGTCAAGCAGGTGATATGATGCATGACTTGAAAGCTGGTTACATGATTGGAGTTGCTCCACGAAAACAATTCTTTGCACAAATTATAGGTATCGTGGTGGGTATCATCACATGCATTCCAATTTACAAACTCTATGATACTGCGTATACGATTGGATCATCTTCATTCCCTGCACCAGCTGCGCATGCTTGGAAAGCAGTTGCTGAAGTATTGAGTAAGGGAACAAGCGGATTACCAACGAATAGTGTTTATGGTATCATCGCTGGTGTTGTGTTTGGTATGGTAGTCACTGTCATTTACAAGATTGTACAAATTGTGAAACCAAATTGGGTTCAATATTTCCCAAGCGCTCTTGCATTTGGTATTGGCATGATTGTTCCACCAAAACAGTCTATTACCATGTTTATTGGTGCAATGTTATTTACAATATGGAAACGACGATGGCCAGAAACGAATAATAAGTATTTCTTTGCCGTCAGTAGCGGTTTAATTGCAGGTGAAGGAATCATGGGAATCTTCATTGCTTTGCTTAAATTGGCAGGACTGAAGGCGTTGGTGGATTTGACCTATACTTAAAATATACTCATAGTATGTATTATTCATATAAACTCTGTGAAATTATTCACAAATATCAAATTCGTTGGTGTATGAATGGCATTCATTTCTAAGGATTATGATTGAGAAGGTCGGCATATTTGAGGTGAAGCTTGTCAATGCTCTCTCTAAAGGCAGGACTGTCGGCAAGGAGTAGCTTGTTGGTGAGGATAGAGATCTTAAGGGATAGAGCTCTAAGGGTGTCGCTGTGCTCTAGCATCTTGGCATGGAGATCTTCCATTGTTTTCGTCATCTCAGAGTCCTTTCTCTTCACACCGTTCAACTGGTTCTCAACAAGTTTCAAATCGTCCAACTCAGTTCTATGCTTGGAGACAATCTTCTCGGTTCTTTCAAAAGATAAATTGAGATTGTCTTGAGCATTTGAAGCCCCTGGCACTTGGTTAGGCTTGCTTGGTTGAGATGGAGAAGGTGTCTTTAATGGTGATTGATCAAGTGATGCCAAAGAGGTTTTTGAGGAAGTATGCCCAGTTCTTGCCGAAGCATTTGGCTTGTTTGGTGGAGGTGACATTGCTGAAAGGCTGGATCGACTTGGAGTTGAACTGTTGTTTTGAGAAGATGGCGAGTTTCTTTCAGCAGTGTTTTTCTTTGGAGTAGAAACCTGATCCCCTGATTGTTGTCTCTGGGCTGCATTCAACGAAAATTTCTGGGTCGAGAATGGAAGAACATTCCCTTCGTTTCTCACAAATGGAGGTTGTTTTTGTGTAGACGGGTTTGCCTGTTGCACAGTGAGAGGAGCGCTGGTGCTCTCCGAGGAATGAGCATTCAAAGTGGTTGTCTTTAGCTTTTTGCTTGGTGGACCCTGTTGTGAGGGATTGTCCTGGCCGTTTGATGCAGATCCAGTCATGGATTGAGAAGGCTGGTGAGTACTACAGGTGGTGTCATTCGCATTGTTCTCTCCCGAACTGGATTCTTGATTTGATCGTTTGCCTGTGCTGGTTCCTCCTTGAGGATTTGAGGCTGCTTCATCTTGAATGGAAGAACGGAAAACAGAAGATTGGCCGATGGCTGACTCTTCTTCATTAATAACATTACCTGTTTCAGTCTTATCATTTTGGGAGCAGTTTAAAAAAGACTTCATGAAGGTTGGAAGATCATTGCTTGAAGAGTGATTAGAATTGGTGTCCTTAAAGAGGAAGCTGAAAGAATTATTGGCGGATTGATGAGTGGGTGATTCCGCCTGATTGGGAGAACTTGTTCTTTCATTATCAAGAAAGCTAAAAGTTGGATGAAGGCTCACTGCAAGATTACGTCCGTTTGCTATTGGAATTCCTCTTGAAAACATACCTGAATTTAAAGGAGAAAGTTGGCTCATTACCCGCAGTATGTTTGTCTTGAGAGTTGTTGCTGATCTATTATTCGTACGAACGTTAGTTGAAAACATCTAACCCTTACCTCTCAGTTGACTTTTTGAAGAGGAAATCCATCTTCAAGAGGAGAGGAGGATATTTTTTTAGTTTTGGATTGTTCAGGTTGACCGTAGAGTGGACTCTCGATTTGAGAGGTAGTTACTGTGAAGTTATTAAGTTGCTTTGAATTACTATTGCAACATCAACCATTCTGGAAAAACAACGTTCTTTATTTATATATATATATATATATATATATATATATATACATGAACAGAAGACTACTACCAACGATGACCTTTTCCACACCGATGCTTTCCGTCATGGCCAGCACTCTTGTTGCATCTGCACCGAAAACCGCAATCAGGGCTCGATGGGTTTTCATGACTGCACAGATTGCCACCTTCAAAAGAGGCAACCACACGATCCACAGTTTTAACGGCTTCACCAACGACTGGAACGTTTCCCATTGTGTTCGATATATGTTTTTAATGGATTTTAGGAGAGAATATTGCCCTTCTGTGAGGTGTTTAATTGAGATGTTTTTTTTTGTTGCATTTCACTGGCATGTCGAAAGTTCAGTTTAAAAAGTGTTTGTTGTTCACGTTCACGACCTTTCTGACAAAATTAAAAGATTATTTTCACGGTCACTGTGTGCTTCATTTACAGTTATTGATTATATTTTAATTACCTTAAACAATGTATATTGTTTCTGAAGAGCAATACCAATGGAAAGGGAGGGGAAACATGTGGTCCAGCAACATAATTAAACCTTTTCTTTTGAGGTCTCCAATTTACAACGTTGATGTGAAAGCCTAATGTGGAATTGAATAATTTCTGAAGAAAGAAAAAAAATGAGCGGTAGGTGTTCGAGTAAGCCCTTCACGCGTGAATAATGATGAGATTTCGGATAATATTCCAAACTCAATGCTATGTATGCCTCTCTATACACTGTTGTTGTGTTTTGTCATGATATAGCCCAAAAACAACTATCTACTGGTCAAAATTTCATCTTTGGAGGCCTTTCGGGCTGTTTAGCCACTGTTGTGATTCAGTATGTATCTAGCTATTGGAATGCGAGAATATGAACAACAACAACACCATCATCACTCCGATGATGAAAATTTCCTCGGATAATAATATGCATGGTGGATTAAATTTTGAAGGCCCACGGATTTTCTGAAAACAAGAATGCAGCTTCTCGGAGAAGGAAAGGGAGCAGCCCAGCCCAATTTTGTCAAGGTTGCAATGGAGATTGCCCAGAAAGAAGGCATCACTACGTTTTATAGAGGATTAACAGCAGCCCTTTTCCGACAAATTACATATACCACGACAAGATTGGGAGTATTTAATACATTGATCGATTATTTTACCACGACCAAAACCATTACAGATGAGTCTGGAAAGACCAAGGTTATCACTGTTCAACCAAATTTTGCTGCCAAGCTTGGATGTGGTATGGTGGGTGGAGCCATCGGTGCAGTGGTTGGTAATCCTGCTGACCTGTCACTTGTACGAATGACCTCAGGTCGGTACGGGTACAAAAACGTTTTTGATGCTCTTATTCAAGTGTCCAAGAATGAAGGAGTGTTTACATTATGGAGAGGTTGTAGTCCAACAGTGGTTAGAGCCATTGTTTTGAATGCGGCTCAATTAGGAGTTTATGCTCAAGCTAAACAATCATTATTGAGTTTTGGTATTATCAAAAATGATGGTATGGGCCTGCATGTAACGGCATCGCTTATTGCTGGTTATGTTTGTACTGTGGTGAGTCTGCCAATTGACTTGACCAAGACTCGATTGCAATCAATGCAACAAGGAAAATCACAAGTATACAATGGGGCTTTGGACGTTCTTACAAAAACCATCAAAGCTGAAGGCGTCATGAGTTTGTGGAAAGGATTTTGGCCTTATTTTGCAAGACTTGGACCTCAGGTTTGTTATCAATTTTCTTTGTGATTTTTTGTTCTTAATTTTGCTCAAATCCTGTAATTGTCACAATTTTTAGACAATCCTTACTTGGACATTCCTCGAACAATTTAGAAAATATTTTGGACAATAATCAAAGTACTATTAAAGGTGACTATTTATTTCAATTCATTAATTTTGGACAGATCTCATGAATACTTTGGAGCTTCAATCTATATGCCACTCACAAATTAGTCTCATTTGATGTGTGACACTCATTTTCTGTTAATTCCTGTTTGTGATTTCTTCAATGGTTTTCATCATCCGAAAAAAATGCAGCAAACAAGCCATCTTCATCGTTCTCTGTCTTGTTCGAATTTTCTTTTTGCAATGATGACTCAACAACCTCTCATGAATACCATCCTAAAAATCATTGTGTGTGTTCTGATAATGCTCATTGAACACTCCATTGGTGCAGGACCCACTTCGGAAGGAATTTTACAAGTTCATGTGTTATCTCGTCATTGTGATCGACTTCCAATAGCACCACTGAGAATACCGAATGATCCCATTGACTGGGCAAAGGTCTCTAATTTGCAATTGGGAGACTTAACAGGTCTTGGTCAGATGCAATGCTCCAATTTGGGACAAATTCTTCGTGAACGATACTTGGAAGAAGGCTCACCATTCAAAATTATGGGCATTGATACGAAATACAATTCCGAGCACTATTATTTTAGATCTACTGAATTATATCGTACCTTGATGAGCATGTTCTCAATTTCAATGGGCCTCTTTCCTCAAGGTCTAGGAGAACAAGCAACTATTAATTTTGAAAATTCAAAGGATCACGGTCGGATGCAATTTGCTTTACCGAATGGAACACAAGCTGTCCCTATTAGAACCGTACAGGAAGATATGGATGCTCTATTGATTGGTTTTAGTTTTTGTAATACAGTGATCAGAAGAATGCAACAAGTGCATAGCTCAAAACAAGCCAGTGCATTCTTTGCCAAGAACAGAGAGCTCATTGATAAGATTTATAATGTCACTGGATGGACGACAGGAGACGATACGATTGGAACATTATTTGATCTAATGACCGTTCAACGAGCTCATAATATGTTAAAATTGACTTGGATTAATGAAAATTGGGAACAAATCGATCAAATCAGAAATGACTTTCTATTAATGCTCTATAATTATGTTGTGATAGGTAAAGAAGGGTCGAGTGTACTCATTTCCACAATTTTAAACCAAATGAAAGAAATGAAAAAGAAGTACATTCACTATTCAGCACACGATACAACATTACAGAGCATTACAGCGTCACTGAAATTGAACGACAAGGACTACCCTTATCTAGGCTATCAACCAAAATATGGAGCTCACTTGGCCTTTGAGCTGCATCAAATGAATGATGGAACACGAGCGGTGCGTCTTATTCATGGCTCTCAATTCAACGATTCCAATTTCACCTCTCTCATTCTCAAGTCATTGGGATGCGACAGTGAATTCTGTCCCTTTGAAACTTTCAACAGGTTGGCAAGAGAACAATCGACCGTTTTTGATTGGTGTTCGGCTTGTGATAATTATGGCAGAGATGTTTGTGCTGCTGAATTCTTGAAATCTAATGAATCCTCAACACTTGCTTTTTTAATTTCGACTCCAGTTCTCGCGCTTACCAATGCTATTACACTTATACTTGTCATTGTGTGCTGTGCAAGAGCTCAGTACAACAAGTCAAGATATACCCAAATCAACTAACCCAATTTTGCTTCAAAATTAATTGAATTCATTAATAAATTACTCTAATTGTTTACTCGAGTGTAAATTGTCATCCCAAGTGATAACACGTTCAACATTGGCTGGTTGATTTGTTCGTGTTGATGAAAGCAAATTTTTGTAGGATTCTTTCCAAAAGTCTTTTTCCATGGACTCTTTCCTTAAACGTTCCTCTAGATCCACAATTTTAGCTTTCAAATATTCAATTTCTTCTCTCGATGGATTTCCAGTGTCACGAGATTGTAATGAGCAGTTATTACTGTTGTTGTTTGCAAGAGAATCTTGGTGATTCAACTTTGTGGCCTCTTCCTCATATGAGTTGTGGGTTGGATTCTTTGATAACTTAAGGGTGGCTGACTTAAATGCAGAAAGAGGTGTTTTAGATGGAAGAGGAGAAAAACCAGTACTGGTCGAAAAGAAGGATGAGCCATTTCCACTGGAAAGAAAACTCTTTTGTTTCAATGATTTTCTGGCACTTCTTGGCTCCGATTTGTCCAAGCATGACACATCAAGAAGCACTGAACTTGTCTGATTCAGAGTGGTTGATGCTGAGGATAGACCTGTACTGGAGGCCAAACTTATTGAGGGAGGTATGTTTTCTTCCTCAATGGAATCTGCAATTTTTGCAATGTTATCAAGCATGTGACGATCTTCTTCCACATTTTCTTTATCATCAACAATTAAAATCGAGGAAATATTGAGAGCAGTGTTTTCTTTTTCTTCAGCTTGTTTCACTCTTTGATGGATCTGTACTGCATTCGATCCTGGCAGATATTTATCAATCTTCAATAAATTAGTAAAAGAAATAACGTTATCATTTCTTTTTGATGGTTGCTGTACACCCAAAGGCATTGCTTCTTGTCTCATCACTTGAGAAATTGAAGAAGAAAGTGGCACTCTCGAAACTTTCTTGTGAGAAATGCTCTCTGATTGTTCGCTGAGTTTTCTTTTCTTACTTGACGTCTCCAAATGTTGTGCCAATGTTGAAGAAACGACCGTCTTTGATGGCACTTGTTGTTGTGATGCTCTCGAATTGTGAAGAGAACAGGTCGCTGAGGGAACTCCAGATTTTCGTGACACAGATTTTGTTGTTTGAGTGTTATTACTCTTCATAATTGAGGCGGTCATTGAGTGTAAGGCCGTTGTTGATTTCGTAATTCGTCGATTCTTTCGCCAATTCTCTAATTCTTTCCTTCTTTGAAGTTGTTTCAGAGTTGCCGAATCTGTGGATGGTTGATGATGAGGATTATTACATTTGGTTGTCAAATGTCCTACTGAGGAGAGTGATGATGAAGTCACCTGAGAACTCATCGATGTGTGGTTACTAATTCCCGAGAGTGAGGATGAAGAATGGTTTTGTTGTTGCTGAGGAGATGAGCCTATGAGGATACCTCCCTCTTGTTCAGTTGTTTTTGAATCTAAATGATGTGGTTGGTAGTGGTGCTGGTGGTCAAAATGATGAGGAGTAGAAGGTTGATGTTGAAGGCTTAATAAAAGAGGAGATGAAGAAAGAGCCATTGTGGAGGGAGAAATGTTTGTTTCATAATCACCATGATGATGATTGGGTTCTTGCGCTTTCATGGGAGTAGTTGTGGAAGAAGAAGAAGAAGGCTCGAGTTCCGAGCTCGTGTTTGGTAGTGGTTGTTGTTGTTGTTGTGTTAGAGATGATGATGGAGTGATGAGTGGTTGTTGTTGTTGTTGTTGTTCGTGGGTTTGATTCATTTTTTTAATTGTGAACAACGGATTGTTTTGGCGGGAAAGATTCTTTTCAACCTTGACAGGCATAAGGACGTCACAAAACAACACAAAATAAACCAAAAGAATGACGAACAACAATGTCTTTCAACTTGAATGCTCACTTAACTCCATATCGAATGAATCCCATCCAGTAAGAACCTATCGAGGACAAATCAATCTCAACGATAATTATTTACAACATGAAGGTCTCAATAACAATCAACCCATCCTAGCAAAACTTGAGTCTCGGGATGGTTCTGTCTTGATCTTTAAATACTCTCAAGGAAGTGGTCAAGTGGAGGTGGACACTTCCGCAAAAACCATTCGCATCCAGGACAGAAATTTGGGAGAATTTCAAAGGTTGGCTTTTGTGACAAACGAATCATCAAGATGAAACACTCACTCGTCAAATAAAGAGGTTGTTGTTCATCCATAATTAATGTCAAGTGCATTTCAATGGATTTTTGCAACATGTCGTTTGATCTTCTTTCTCCAATTGTCAAGTGATTCTTGAGGGAATCTTTTTCAAGGTCTACAAATACTTGACCACCGATAAATTGTTGAGGAAATATTTCTTTAACTCTATGATACAAGCCCTCATTCTGAAGTGTAAGCCATTTCAACAGCTCGTCAGTTGTCATGTCCGCAACTTCTTCACGAGTGACTCTTCTGTTGTCTTTCATGAAATTCATTGGAAGATTTTGGATTTCCACATTGGCTCATCATTTGAACAAGTTTGGAGTTCATGATAGTAACCGGTCTTGTTTCGATACTTAAGGCAAATGGTGAAAGACTTTCTTTTCCTTCATTTTCTGAGGGCGTGGCTTACTTTCTCCAAACTCACAAGAAAGAACTCCACATATTTGGACATTGATTCTGTAATCTTAATTTCCTCGATCTTCCGTTTGGTCCTAGTCACGATCGAATAGTGGCTCAAGTTGATCAATTTAACAATGAAAAGGTTCAAATAGGAATGCAATGCGAAAGAATTTTCTGATCGGTACATACTCTCCAATTCGCAAGCACATACGGATCACTTTTGTCCTCCAACGATCTTGTGAGAAACTTCACCTCAATATCAGAGCTTGTTGTTGCAGAGGAAGAAAAGCTTCCAGCAGTTTCAGAGAGAACCATTTCAGCAGGAATTAGAGTCGATATATTCTCTTTCATTTGGTAGAGGTTGTTTCCTGAAAGAAAAAGAAATCAATTCTTTACGAGTCGGCCAATTAATATTTGAAAAGATATCCTTCGATATGTTTGGTAAGGTTGGAATGAAACCTCAGGTTGAAAATTTTTAAATCTAAAGCACCAAATTTCAGTTTGAAAGAATTTTAAAAAAAGATGAATCTTAATACACAAAGAAGGGAACTTGGTGAGAGTGGTCTTTACAATTTATTGAAATATCGTATCTTCATCAATTACATTGGCTTTGTTCTGTTACCCTCAAAATAACCAAATATTTACATCAGAAGGAGAATTTATCACCTCCAAGCTTTTAGAGCTCGGACATGGAAGAGTTCAACAAAGCTTGCTAAAACGCCTTGAAGAATCTCATTGATCTTTAAGCATGCCCATCAAAGAGTCTCTTTGAGCTTGCATTATGTCCAGTTGCATTATTAAAATTGGAATCCGAGCGCGTGAATCACAAAGCTCCCCCATCAAGGCATTTTTTTCTTTTCGCAACTCTTTGTTTTCTTTTCTCAGCTCTTTGTTGTCTTGAAGCACCATTTGAACCAGCATTTTGTTTTATTTACGTAATTCTTTGTTTTCTTCAATCAATTCTTTGATTTCTTGGCTATTCCTCTTAGTGGTTGTAACTTCTTCCTGACGTGAAAGGTAATTTGTTTGTTCTTCATGTGATGAAGACATTATTGGAAAAAACAGTTCTTCCGATGATGAATGAAAAGAACAAAGGCTTTCATTTCTTGGTGTGGTTGATAAAATCTCCCGGCTTTGTTGAGGGTTTTCAGTTATTTCCTCTTGCTTAATCTCATCTGTTTTTATTCCTTGTGGAGGCATTTTTAAGAATTTTTAAGGCCATAAACAAAATTGTGTTTTGAAGACACATCGATTCGTGTTTTTTATTCATTGAAATGATAATCATTTACAACAAATTTAAAAGGAGAATTTCATATCAAAGCTTGTAGAGTACGCCTTGTTAAAAAGCTGAGATCTTCCTGTTGAATCTCATTGATTTTTAAGCATGTCCATTAAAGAGTCTCTTTGATCTTTCATATTGTCTCTTTGAGCTTGCATCATGTCCAGTTGCATTTCTAAATGGGCAATTTGAATACGTGAATCACAAAGCTCCCCCATCAAGGCATCTTTTTCTTTTTGCAACTCTTTGTTTCTTTGGAGTATCATTTGAACCATCATTTTGTTTTCTTTACGTAATTCTTGGTTTTCTTCAAGCAATTCGTCATATCGCTTAATAGCTGCAACTTCTTCGGGAGGTGAACAGTAATTTGTTAGTTCTTCAGGTGATGAAGACATTATTGGAAAAAAAGTATCATTCGATGAAAAAGGAAGAGAACACAGACTTTCATTTCTTTGTTTAGTCGGCAATACCTCCCCGCTTAGCTGAGGGTCTGCAATCTCCTCTTGCTCAATCACATCTGTTCCTTGCGGAGCTGGGGATTGCGAATGATAAAAATGGAATTTGCCAATTTGTTTCAAGCTGGCTATCAATATATTAATTCCAGATATTAAAACTTCATTCATAGCATCGTTTGTCAAATCGGTGAATGGTTTCATTGTCTGAACCAATAAAGAAAACCCCCTCCGATAGGTTGGTAAAGGCTTAAATTTTGTACCTAATTTAAGGCTGTTTTCTTGTTTCAACCTTTGAATTGCCTGTTGAATCTTCGTTTTCGTACCCTTTTTCTTTTCTATACTCAACGACTCCTCCAAAGGATAGGCATTAAATAAAACAACAATCTCGAAGCTACAATATTCTTCAGGAGGATGATAGGAATGTTGGACTTCAGGCATTTTTTAAAGTTGAATTTAAGGAGCCAAGTAAGGTTCTTTGTAAGAGATGCTAAAATAGCATTTACGATTTTCAATCTTTGAGAAAGGAGCTTTATTGGTTTAAATATTGTTTGGACAGTAATTCGGTTAAGAAGATCGTTGAGGGGGTTACACATAATGGCATATAAACATATTTTGTTGAATTGGCCACAACTACAATAACCCAACAAACAAACCCATCCAAACCAAGAACAACGTTTTTTTGATAAGTAGTTGTTGAGATCAGACTCACAAAAAAAGTATGTTTGTATACCATTATCTGTCACCTCATCGTTGAGATTTTTCCTCATCGAACAATGGGGCGGACTTGGATGTGCATAAAATTTAAACGAAAACCTCGTTCTAAAAGCTTTTTCTCAAAAGGGAAAAGAAAAGGTTTGGTGATAGTCGGGATTGAACCGACGACCAATGGCTTATTAGACCAACGCTCTACCGACTGAGCTATATCACCTTGACTTAGTTGAGAAGTGACTCCGTTATTAATATTTAAAATTGTTTAATTGTTACGTCCTTCTGTGATTTTAAACATGATTTTTTAGATTTCATACTTGAAAGTTGTGTTTATTGTACGGGTGTTTTTGGAGAGGAATATACGTAATCTTGTTCTCCCGGAATGACCTTACTCAACTTTTTACCTTCCAATTCAGCCAACCATGGTGGTCTTGTACTCGTCGCTGACTTTTCAAAACCACTGCTACTGCCACCATTATTGTTACCAGGTGATAAAGGAACTGGAGGATCTCTACGAATGAGAGTTTTCTTACGTTCCTCAATGGTTTGAAGAAAATCTGGATTTTTCTTAATGATTGGAAGAGTTGGCACATAATCCTCTGTTAAATTTCGTGGGCTCAATTGTGGATGAGAATGATTGAGAGTTCTACCGTCGGTCATTCGTGTTATGGAATGAGGTATTAGGGATTGTCGGTTGTGTGAGGAAGAAGAAGCAATTGTATCAGATCGAAATGGAGTGTCACTTTGAAGAGATCGTCTGCTATGAAAATCATGATCGGTTGGAGTGTCGACAGAGGCGCTGATAATGGAGTGAATGTCATGAACTTTGTCTTCTCCATTTAAAGTGGGCTTTCCTGCACTGAGGGTGGTTAACTTTTGTCTTGAACTAAATACTTTAAGATCTTGTAATCCTCGTAATGGATTGAAACCTCTTGCTGAGCGAGGTGATTTTAAGGTTCGATCTTCCTCTGACATGTCCATGGAGAAGTCACTTATGGAGGTCGAATGAGTAATGTTGTTTTCACCAAATATTTGAGAATCAGTGGTTTCGCTTGACACAGTGGTTCTATCGTCATTACTGTCCTCATCCAAAGAGACACCAAATGTGGTTTCATCCTCTGTTGTTGCGTCACGAATGGTCACATCCTTCTTGGATATCTTAATGGTACATTTATCTTTTGGAGAGTAACACATGCAATAATCATTGTTTTCAAAATCAATAATGTACATATTCTCCTCATTGGCCACTTTTCTAATCTTGCTATGTGTTAAACGATTGGCTCTAATTTCTTTTCCTGGAGCGGCATTGCAACAAGTATTTTGATTGATTTTTTCAATCCATTCATTGCATGCAATGGCAGTAGGACAAACAATGACATAGGTTGCTTCATCTGAAATTATTTCAAATTCTTGTTTGTTGTTCTCTAAATCATAGAAAAGCCAAGGATGTTTGAAAGTAGACAAATTGAGCTCATTCTTCAAATAGACGTGATTTAAGTATTTTCCTTTCTTGGTAATTAAAATCAAATCACTGAGGAGATAAACAGTGCATTTGTTGGCTTTTTTGGCCTTCTTTCCAAGTGCATACTCTGATACTAGGAAATCTTCTCCTTCCAACACAAATGTTCTACTTGGTTTGATGAATGTACTTCCAATACTTTCATCCAATTTGAGTATCGAAGAATTAATTTCTGTCATTTTCAATTGATTTTGAAGTACGTTCATGGCACTATTGACATGAGAACTAACTTGTTTGGATAGTTCACAAGCGTCGCATAGATTTTTATAATCTGGATGCGTTTCAGGCGTATGTTTCAGTAATTCATTAACCAAAAGGGTATATCTCTACATGATAGTGTGTGTGAAATTATCATTCAAATTATTATAGATGGGTCAATCATTGTAGTTAAAAGAATCGGTTGACACATGAAAGATCATTATGCGAAAACTTACTGGTAAACGTTGAACGGGTTGAATCATGTATGAGAAGAACCCAACTTTTCCTTGTTTTCTCGCATTTCTTTCCATTTCCTAAATTATTTCACATGTAATTGAATACCATAACATACATATGAAATCATTTCACAATTTTGTTGAATCGAGTGAATCAACTTACATTCATATAACTGTCAAAACTTGGATTTTCTTTCATCATGTCTTTCACTCTTGCGGCAATACTATTGTAATTATTTACATAATCTGTATAGACCTTGAACATGGGTAAAGTTCTTTTGAAAAACAATCCTATCGATTTAGTTGGATCATCCTGAGTTTCAAAACTGAGGTCCAACATTTTCAATTGCTTTAAAAATCCTTCATTCACACTCTTAATCACGGTCATCTTATCAAAAATATAACTCAAATCTTTTTGTGTAATCACTGGCTTAATGTGTTGTGTGTCACTTCCCAACGCTCTTAAAGGTTTAATATAAAATCTCTCCAAGTGATTTAATCCCTCCACATAATTCTCTTCAGTTTTGATAATTTCAGCAATCACTTCCCAACGAAGCTCTTTTCTTTCAAGTTCTTTTTCTTCTTCTGTTTTCACTTTCTTTCTGGGTGGAGGAGGAGGTGGTAATTTGGAAGGAACAGCAACTCCTTCATCGTCATGAACAGATAAAGTATCATCTTCTTGTTCAGAACTGTTGTGCATGGACTCGTCTGTATCTCTCTTTTGTGGTGAATGTTGAGAATTGTTGTTTGTGGGTGAGACAGTTGGACCTCCTATAGAGTTTGACACTTGTTGTAAATTTAATTTTGGAAGAGAGGATTTGCTATTCAGCGGAGGTGGTGGTGTTGTCGTTGTGGTTGTTGTGGTTGTCATCGATGAAGGATTGGAATGAGTTTGTGGCGAGTCACCATTCTTTAAAGTTTTTGAATCCAAAGGTCCATCCGAAGAAGAAGAAGAACTAGTAGTAGTATTCGATGGATGATTGGCACTTGTTAAATGAATCGATACTTTCTTTAGCTCTGTTAAATTGGGATCACTACTACTACTTGCTTTGGACGGTTGTGGCACTCGATGAACAATGGTGACCGATGGCTTATTTTCACTCTTCACTGTTGATTTCACATACAAATTTCCATCTTGACCATTCGTAATCACTCCACCTCCAATATTCATTCCAACACTCATTCCAACATTTGTTGCAGAAATGACATGTTGGGGGATCATCGTACAGGCTATAGGAGGAGAAGAACTTGCTGTCGTTGAAGTAGTAGTGGTATTTCCAATCGTTGTTTTTGATCGAAGATTTGTACGTGGTGGCAATGGAGGAGGAGGAGAGCTCACCATTCCACCCGATCGTTCTCGACCCATGCGAGAGGGTAGAGTGGGAGGTGAAGTTCCTGTTGTTGGAGATGATTTTTGGTTTAATTGTTGTTGTGGTGATGTGGAGAGTGGAAGAGTGGATGTTGTTGTTGTAGTTGTTGGTATTACGATGGTTTTGGTTGATAATGATTTTGTGGAGGATGGTGATGATGAATTGGGAGATTTGTTATTATTATAAGAGTTATTATTTGGAGAGGAGGATGAGGAATTTGTTGGAGGAGGAAGGACTAAAAAGGCAGTCGTTTGATGTCTCCGAGGTGGTGGTGGTGGCGAAGTGGTGCTTGGTGTTGACATTTGGAGGATTGTGTAAAGTTGTGGTCAATGGAATATTTTGTTGATGGGATCGATGGTAAAATAGTTGTCGAAGAAGACACGACACTCTCTCTAGATTGTTGAATGTTACAACGGTTGGAGTTGAAAAGATTTGTGAAATATTTTCGAAGGAGGTGAGAATAAATTTTGTTGACAATGATGAGTGTTTCAACAACAAGAACAATGAAATTATGCTCTTATTAAAGATGAGTTGTGCTGTTGGTGCGGAACGGTTGTTGTTGTTGGCCGATCAACGTTTCTTTTTGAATTTTTTTTTTCATGTTGACATTTGACTGGAATTTAACTAACTTTTATCACCGAATCAAGTGTCGAATCAGGTTGTTCAACACAGCATGATGATACTACAGCATGCTCTTTCTCTGGCCGAATCCTTTCTCGTCGATCCCTTTCCTTCTCTTCGTCGATACACTTCCTTCATCTTAAAAATTGCCATAGAAGTATGCTTAGCAATCTCTCTCTTCTTTATTAAAAAGAACCTCATCTTAAAATTGCCAGTTGCTTCCGTGCTGTAGTCTTACAACGTGTGTTGTTGTGAGTGTCTGATCAACCTTTCTATTAAATTAAACAATTCAAAGGGACAAAGTAAAAGGAAGGATGAATACCTCGGATTTGCATGTGGTCGTGGTGGGAGATCGTCAAGTAGGCAAAACAAGAACCCTCATGAATTTGAGAGAACGTTATGCAAAGCCTCGTCTTGAGTCTCCGATGCCATCCTCGTCATCTTTATATAGTAACAACAATAATACGGAATGTATTCCGTTCGTGTTGGATGCTTTTGAAATTAATTACATTCCTCTACTCTCTTCTGCGTCCAACAACAGCAATAGTAATAATGGTTGCAGTTGCAATGGTGGTTCATCATCAGCCAACTCTTCTCCTGTGAGCACCACCACGAACTCTCAGTTTACAACAACTACAGCGACCAATAATGTGTTTGACAAAATTCTCTTGATAGATACTCCTTCCGGTGATGATCAATCACATTATCGACGAGAGCACTTTTATAAGGAAGGCCAAGTTTTTGTGATCATGTTTGCATTGGATCGTATTTCATCCTTTGAGAAGGTCCATGATTTGTATTTGGAAATTAAGGAGGCTGTCATTCGAAATTTGACCATGATTCTCGTCGGATGTAAATGTGATTTGACTGATAAGAGAGAAATTACATTGTTTGAGGGACTAGAGTTACAAAGAAAGATTGGTGCTAAAGTGTATTTGGAAATTTCGAATTTGAGCGGGAAGAACTTATCAACTCTTGTTGATAATTGCGCCAAGTTGGGAAATAAGCTCATGATGCAGTCTCTAAAAACTCCTTCATCACAGTCTGAGAACTCGAACAAAGCATTGATTCACAACTCTCGCCCAAAGGATATTACTAACCTTAATGAAGTTTCACAAGTGAAACAAGAACCCACTGTTCAAGCCTCTCTTCATCATGTACCTCATAACTTAAATCCAGAAATGGTGGAAAGAAGCAATCCAATGAATTTGGAAAGCAAACATTTAAGTCCACCTGTGATCCACACATCAACTATTTCTTCACAACACTCTCACCCTACCACTAGTTTTGGTAGTAAGAAAGAAAATACCAACAACCAGGATTGTCATCTTCCTCTTTTAAAACAACCTTCTGGAAGCCCAATAGTTGTGGAAAGAGAATTCAGATTCGGTATTGAGCTTCATCCAAAAATTTATGATGAAGATGATCCAGATATTATGATTTTTAAAAGGATTAATTTCAAAATTAAGAAGGTTTTAAAGTTGAAATTAGATGTAAATTTCAATCCTTTGTGTCATCTTAAAAAACATATCATTGAAAGGTTTGGACATGATAATCCGAAAATATATTCTCGAAAAACTGAGGAGCAATGGTTGAAATCGATCAAGGTGCAAATTTTCGAAAAACGTCTAGGGGATTATTACGACTTGGATGAATGGGAGCAAGTCATGTACCAACAAGATGAGCATATCAAGTTATTGGTGTTCTTTTAATGACTTGAATTATTGTTATTGTCACCTTTTTCATTGTTTAATTGCAAACGCTCGAGAGTTTCTCAATGTAAAGTCTAAAATGCTTCTTGCGTGGTTGTTTCAATACAGAAATTGCATAAACGACCTGCAAATCAAATAAATCGACCGCTTCAACTTCAGGTATGAACATCAAAAACAACGAAACCATTAAAAAAATGTTATCAATCACTTCCTCACGACAACAACAACCCAAAGGAACAGTGAGATGTGGTAAATTGAATCACACTCCTGATCTTGAAGGATTTACAATAGTGAACTGCTGCTCCACATCTTCCGATAAATTCTACAAACAACTGTCACCCATGCTGTTAGGCCCCTATGAATATCAAATGAATCCCGAACATGATTATGCACTCTCCGAGCACAAACATTCCAAAATAGAGAAGACCATTCAAGTGTACAATTCGGAAAATCTTTGGCAATTTTCAAAGGTATGGCCAGGAGAAGAAGAGGTTGATCGGCTCACAGGTCAAACAAGGCCTAACAAGACATTCTTTGATCGAAGAATGGAGGGATGGAATGATAAAAAAGCACACCGCTGGGTGAAAAAAGGTGAAAAACCCTTGTATGCATGGTGGAAAGGTCAAAAATTGGACTACATGCAAGCTCGAAGAGCCATCTACTGCCCACTTTATGCTGAGAAAGTCATTCACACAGAAGGGTATAAAAAGTTAGAGAACTTGTTGAAAAGAGGTGACAATTTATTAATTTTAGGATATGATGGCTATGATTATCACGCTGAAGGAATGACCTTGGACGATTGTTTTAATGATGTTTCAAGACCTTTTGGCCATGAATTGGTATTATGTGGACTATTGACTGGACAATATGTTTGGCAGTAACAATTTGAATCAGATCAAATTACAGGATAGTGAGGACACACGATTAGTATCAATCATATAATAAAATAATTCATCACATAGTTTCCTTTATTAAGGAAAAAAATGCAAACAAATAAATTGTTTGACCTTAGAACCACCTTTCTGGTGATCCGTTTGGATAGGCTTAATGGCTTGATACGAAGAACATGTTTGATTTACATGTGGGTCTTATTATTCATTGTATTTTGTTTCGGAGGTGGGACTTTGAGTGCCATCATGGAGACCATTCGACGGAGAGAAGAAGGCTTTTCAGAAAAAAATGTAAATTACGTGGTGGTGCTTTCGTTTCAATATAATCTTTCGAAAAATCTTACGCCATCAGTTGGTAATTCCAAGTGTACCAATTCCTCTATGATTCCGTGTCAATCGTTGAAAGAAGCCCTGGAGGATGTCCGTCAATTCTTGTTGGATTCGGGATGGTTAAATATATTTTATGAACGAGTAGTTGACATTCAATTTTCGATAACGTCGGATTATGAATTTGTTGATGATTGTGATGTTATATTGGATTCAGCAAAGGGTCTTCACTACCGATTTAAATTTTTATCAAATCAGTTTAAATGTTTAAATCGAACACGTTTATTCTCTGAAGGAGATGTTTCGCAAATTTTCTTCCAAAACATGACAGCTGCCAACATCGACTTTGTGAAATACAATGTGCTGCTAACAAATACCGTATTGAAGAATTGTTTATTTGACCACAATGTAGTTTCCACTCCTCTGAAATTAAGCATGCCCTCCACAACCAGTTTTCGTCAGGTCACCTTTAACAACTGTACAATTTCGTTACAGCAAGAATCTATTGAAATGGAGGATATTTTATTTCTTGGTGAAAATGATGTTAATATTTTCGATTCAAGAAGCCTTCTTTGTACAAGGTGCACAATGAATTCAGGTGCCTTGTTATTTTTGTCAAGAAATAGCGAAAGTATTATTTTTTCTGAATGCTACTTTTCAAATTTCCAAAGCCTCAAATTTCAAATGTTATTCGTCAAGATTGTTGTGTTCGATTTGACAAATGTCCATGGATCAAATCCAAGTTCTGACGCAATTTTATATGTTACAATGGTTTCTATAATGGAGCTGAAAAACTGTAGCTTTACACATAATGTTCAACCATTGCTTTATGTGAGAGGATTTTTCGAAGTAAATCTGCATAACTGTGTCTTTGAGCACAACAGCATTGCGAACAGAGAAATCTCATACAATACGGAATCATTACGATCTTTAGTTGTGGTGGAAGGAGGGCATAAATTTTATTCCTGGAACTGCAGTTATTTTAACAACTCTGGGATTGACAGAGCTGCCCGTATTGTTGATTTGGATTTTGTTTCGGTGAGAGGTTCCAACTTTGACTCATTGAGGAATGGCGCAATGTCAATTTCAAGCTTAGTACCAACAGCTCAAATTGAGATAATAGAGACCAACTTCTCAAACAATGTTGCCTCTGAATACGGAGGAGCGTTGTTTATTGAGTATGCAAACACCGTTATCTTGCATAATTTAATTTTCACAAATAATTCTGCCTCACTTTCAGGAGGAGGAGCCTTTATTGCCACTGTAAATAGTCATGTATCTTTATTCCAAACTACATTTTACAATAATAGTGTCACAACATTGAAGAACAGTAACAAGTATTTTGATGGATGTGGTGGAGCACTTGTTTTGCTTAATTCAAAACAAACGATGTACGAAAACCAATTTATAGAGAACAAGGCGCAACTGGGCGGTGCTCTTTGTATCTCCAACAAAGGTCCCTCAAGAATAGTCAATTCTCTATTTAAAAACAATTTTGCTTACAGGTAAGTTGTGATCGATGAGTATCGTGAATTTACTCACGAGAAACAGAACTGGCGGAGCTGTTTATCTCACAGGTACTGATCATCGTTTTGATAAAATTGAAATGTCAACATGTTCATTCATGGAAAATAAGGCGTCTATATATGGAGATGACTATATGACCAATATGCTTACATTTAAATTCCAACAATCATCTTATGAAACCTACCCAGGACAAAGAATCTTCTTCCCATTTTCTCCTATTTTCAACAACACTTCCATTCCAACTGTAGTAGACAATTTTCTACCAGTGATCGATTCTTTCAAAATGAGAACCCATTCACCATCAATTGTTGGAAACTTCTTAACCTTTTCCGTCTGTCTCCTTGAAAATACTATTTCAAACGTTGGAAGCAACGTCTCAATTATAGATGGAAATAACCAAATAGTGGCAACCAATGCTTTATTCGTGACGATACATGAGTGCCCAATTGGAAAGAGACTAAGCGAAATAGCTTCGAACTGCTATGTCTGTGAACTAGACATTGGATTTGTATTGCTATTTACCCTTATTCCTGCAGCTATCATCTTTTCGTCTGTTGGAGTTATTGTAGGACTGCTATGCCTTGGCTGCACTTTGCACATTGCTAAAAGATTGAAGCGTCTGAAAGCAAAAGAATTGGCTGAAAAAAAAGTGGAACAAAAGATTATTGACAAAAAAGTAATATTTCAGTTAGGAGAAGATAGTCCAAGAAGAGAGAGTATTTCAACTGAATCAACGTTTAGACGGTCTCTCTCACTCAGAAAACGATCAAGTATAAAGGGCAATGAAGGTGCTGCATCATTAGAAATGCCTTTAGTTGCCCTCAATTTTTTGGATGACAAACCTGTTCATTCCTTTATCATTCCCATTTCTGAGATTGAAATCAAAAAGAAAATTGGAGAGGGAGGAAATGGAGTTATTTACTTAGCACGATGGAACAATTTAGACGTAGCAATGATTTCTCTAAAAACAGAAAATATTGAGGACAGTTCAGATGAATTCGAGAGCGGAGTAGCTGTATTGGCCAGCTTGAGACATCCAAATATTGTTTCATTTTTTGGAATTGTTGTCACTGACTCTAGCAAGTACATGATTACAGAATATTTAGAAAATGGCTCATTGGATAGACTAATTTATAAATGTAAAACAGGGAAAATAACCATATCTTTTGCAAAGAAGTTGGAAATTCTGATTGATATAGCATCTGGAATGAATTATTTGCATTCCTTAAATCCGGCAATAGTGCATAGAGACTTGGTAAGTGCTAAAGTTATTAATGTTCTACATAGTTTATGATCTTTGATAATTCAGAAACCAGCAAATGTGCTTCTTACCACAGATTTACGTTGCAAAGTTTGTGACTTTGGATTATCTAAAATTATTGACAATAACTCGAACACAATGACCAAAAACATTGGTAAGTTTTAAGAAGATAATTTTGTAAAACTATGAACCCATCTGATGAATCATTAATTCAGGAACTCTATTTTACATGGCTCCAGAGACAATAGCAGATGAAGGTGAATATCCATCCAATCACCACAACATTGACATATCAAGCGCTAGTTCAAAAGCCATACGAGCACCAAAAATCGACATTTACAGTTTCGGAATCATCATGTGGGAATTATTCTTTGAAGTTACTCCTTACAGCGTGAACAAAAAGTTAGGAAATGCAACTAGCTCAATATCACCCTTAAATGTTCTCACTCATGTTGTGAAAGGTACAAGACCCTCCATACCCTTTCAAAATGAAGAAACCCTGTTGCAATGGTTAAAAGATTATCCTATCCAACATGACACAATGTCACCACAAACATTCACTACAACAATTTTAGATTATTTCAAACTCATGAAACATTGTTGGGATGGAGATCCACTCCGAAGACCTTCTTTTTCAAGTATCATGAACAAACTCAAGACAATCCATCAAACCATATTAGGTCAATGAAATCTTAGAGTTGCTTTTTGTTCATGGACATATGCGCAGTCTCCTCTTTCAACATCAAGATCTGGACATCTACGTGTTCATCACTTTTCAACTAGAGCCATGTCTATAACACAACTTGAAGGTCAATATAACCTTCGTCACGCATGTCAATTTGATATTGTTGTCCAACCAGAAAGAGAACAGCATGAAAGATCGACCGCTGTATTTTGATATTCAAAAAAGCTCCAAAAAATGAATACATCCATAATTGCCGACAAGGAAATTCAACCATCATCCTCATCACCACCACACCTGCATAGTCATGCCTGCCAGAGTTGTCGTCAGTTACATCGGAAATGTGATAAAACGTTACCATCATGTTCGTATTGCATCAAAAGAGGATATAAATGTGTTTATAAATCAGAACGCAAAAACTGCTGCGGAAATACTAAAGAACATCGAGAAGAGAAAAAGGCTCATCCGATTGTGTTTGTAAATGTTGCTACACAACAAAACCATCAACAACAACAACGAGAGGATGAACGTTCTCGGACAAGTTTGGAAACGGCGAGAAGCTCTAATGTGGGTGGTCGTGTTTCAACACCTTACTCATCAACAACAACCACATTAACCACTCCAAATCAATACCACAAGTCAACAACCTGTACAAACATTTTAACAGTTGATAGGATCAGCCCGATCGAGAGTAGAATTGAACATCAAATCAATTATGTATATTCAACCAGACAAACTATGGATTTGTACTATGATATACTCTCGATGGGTTTTCCTTTGATTGATCGATCCACTTTTGAAAAAGTGTTGGAATACCAAACAACTAATTCAGTTCAAAACATGATGAATGATTTTAGATATGATTTTATTTGTGACTTGGAGAAAGATCAAGCATTATTCTACACTGTTCAAGCAGTTTGTTTTCAACGATTGGGATGCCATGAATTTGCTTCATTTCATTTCAATAATGGGAAACAATTGATTGGAAATTATTTTGATGATGTGGATTCAACAAGTATAATACTTGCGATGCGATTCATGGCAGAATATTTATTAGGTGCAGGAGACAAAAGAAAAGCAAGATCATTGTTAAATACTGTAAAAGTGAAAATTTCGCCCTTCATTCAACAATTGCGACGAGCAGTTAAGGAGTTTCACGAAGATCAACTCCGAACAGATTATATCGAAAAATTAATGTTGAGTGGCCAAGCTAACTGGTTAATTGTATATCTATTAGAGGCAGAGATGCACTTTTTTGACATCTTCTATTGTGAAGAGGAACACCCAGAAAGTTTTATTTTTGAAGAGTTGGAATTATTTACGAAAAATCAAATGACTCTTTCACAAAAAAATTTAGGAATATCTTCATGCAGGTCACTAAACAAGGAAACAGCAGAAAAACTTTTCGCAGTCATAGAAGCATTTTCTTCTATTGTTAATTTGGCAATGGATAGTTTTGGAAAGCGAGAGATTCTGTCGTGTTTACTTACAAAATTTTTTATGGCCCAACTTCGTTTGGACGTACTATTGAATTGTGATCAAGAAACTCAAAATCTTCAAGAAATGCTTCGAGTTGCTAGAGATGTGATTCAGCTAACGGAGCATCGACATTTTCCTTTCATTCCAGCATGTGTCACAAAAGTAATCATAACTGCATGTACCATAAGAGCAAGCTACTATTCATACCTATCTCCTGAGGATAATCTTAGGAATGATTTACGAGCTTTGAAAATACTCTCCTCTCGATTTCCTCTTATTCAAAATGAATATAACCATTTAATCAAATCCATTGAATCACTAACATACCTTCATCACAACTCCGAGGACACAATCTTATTGTCGAGCTTGCTTCCTTTTAATGAAGTTGACACAAGAATTAATTGTGATGTTTCACATCTGATGAACTCATCAGATGTGAAACGAATTGATGTAGAGGAGAAATTTATACACTTTAACCAATACGAACGTTGTAAATCAAACCTCAAAGAACTCATGAATGGATCGGAAATTCTGGATATTATTGTGGAGAGTGTTAAAGAGGAGGTGACTATAAAAACCACAATCACAGATCCAAAACAGCAAATTGAGGCACTGAAGAATATGCGACTGAGACTTGGAAGTCAAGTTATTGAGATGGCAAAAATCCACAACGATCATTCAGGTCAAATAGCAGGAGAGTTACTCAAAAAGCAAGCGCTCTTTGAATTCAATCTATCAAAAGCGAAATTAGAAAATCCAGAGTTTGATCCCAATCAAACTGATCTCAAAAACGACTTTATTTACAGATTCTTTATCAGTCGATCGAGGGAGTTCTCATGCTAATTCACTCACTCATATGGTAGATGTTGCATTGAAGTAATAAATTTGCATAAAGTCTTTGCTAATACGAGGGAAGGTAAATTTTGGACTAAAGTTATAAATTAAATATTTTTCTTCTTCCTCGAAAGAAGGGAACTTTCGTTGGCTCTTTCTTGCTTCATTTACAAAAAATTGTCCAAAGTATTCATTGGCGATCAAGCTGTCAAAGGAGTGGTCAATCACCTCATAGTTAAATTCATAAACTTTTTCAGGATGATATTGGGTTCCATAAATTGGAAAATTAAAGCTCTCAATCGTTGAAACAAATGTTTTCCCTTTTCGATCAGCATTGAGGGATAAAATTTTGAAAAATTTTCGTAATTTCTCATTTCTTTCATAATCAAAGGGTGTGACGCCAGCCATATGGTTGTTCATGGTCACGTTTTGTTGTGCAAGTATTTCTAATATTTCGTTAGGTGCACTTCCAAATAATCTTGAATTTCTAAAATCACTCACAAATTTCAAAGACAAGCTCAGATCCTCAGAATCAAATCCATAATTCACCACTTCATTGTTTTCTGCTGCCAAAATATTCAACGATTCAAATCCCAAGCATGTACCCCATAATGGAAAATAATCTCCTCGAGCGTTGGCTTCAATAACCTTGTCGAAAAAGAATTTTAACACGTCAGCATACTTGGAGTGCTTGATATTGGTACCTCCTGTTAAATTATTCCAATAGTGAAATCGATCAATAACATATATAACCAAATAAGGAAACTCTTGAAAAATACATTACCTCCTGGAAATAACAATCCATTCAATGATTGAAACAAATACTGTAAAGTTTCTTGTGGTAAATCATAGGGAATTGGCACCACTCGTGCACCACTGCCTTCAATCCATTTCACATACGACGCAGCAATATAACTCTCACCATGTTCCTTGTTACTGGTTGGTTGTGCCAAAATTCCAATGATGGGACGATTATTAAGTGCGGTGATAGTAGTGGTGGTTGCTGTTCTTGTTAATCTTCTTGTGGACGATGATGATGATGAATAAAATTCGTGTTCTTGTTTGATTCTTTCTTCTCTGCCTTCTCCAACTCGACCTCGTATCATCACTGGATGACCAATCACAAAGATATTGTTGTTGTTTGGAATAGTTGCTGCTACAAACAATGTTAATAATAATGATGTGAAGAATAACAAAGACATCACACTGTGAAGAACAGACCAACCAGATTGGTGGTTCCGACCAGGTGATCGATGTGCTACCACAACGACTACTGATCGGAGAAGACACGGAGACATTTTTTTGTAACTCAGTTGTTGTAATTGTTGACTAGGGAGAAATTGAATGAGAATAATGATTCTCAATATCACATCTTCATTATTGGAAATTCTTGAGGGAAATCCTGAAAATATTTCTCTCCTTGTTTATAACAAAAAACTATTTTCAAGTTGAAGGGAATGAAAATTCTTGTTTTTGAACTCGGATGCACGAAAAGCGAAACAAAGATTGTGTCTGACTTTCCAATGGGTGAATTGGAATTGGAATAAATCGGGATACTCATCATCTGAACCTAAATGTATCGAGAAGATGCGTTCAAAGTTCTGCATGTCATCCATGATCGACGCGTAGTAGAACAATGCATCCTCAAATATTATTGGTAGTGATTCATCTGAAATAGAATTTCTTATCGTCATTGGAATTCTATTCATGTCACATGGCTTAGTCATGTCACCTTCATAAAAGTATGTTTTAACAACACCTTCCGTCGTGTTAAAAATATACAAAATACCATGTGCAGGAAGCATGCAACCTGAAATAAGAGTATTCATGTCTTCAAAGTTAACTTGAGCTACGAAAAAGTCATTAGCAGTCCAAATATCAGAATTATAAAACCATGATTCCCATTCAATTGGGATGTCGGGAAAACCACCAAGTTTTGACTTTCCAATTATTGGAAAGGTTACAGCATTGAATGCCCTTACTGGCTGGGGTAAAATTTGTGAATGAAGGGAAACGTAGATCGAGCTTTCGAGGCCTCTAAGGGTCTCTAGTGATGGACTCTCATGCTTGATTAAATTAATCTCAGTTCCATCTTTTTCAAAACTAGTGCAGCTTCCACCAAAACACAACTCTGAGAAATTGGTACTCATGAAATAACTTTTTGTTCGAATCCAAGGATTAATTCTTGCAAAAAAGAACTCCATATAACTGGTTATTTGCTTTCCTTCCCCAACAGAAACAAAATTTGAAAGAGACAAATCACTGGTTGTAGCAAAGGCAAACAAAGAATGACGTATTAATGAATGAAAGCTCAAGTGTTTCCAAATATCTTCAGTAGTAATAATTATGTCGTTCCAATATTTGCAAACTAGCCGCATATTTAGCAATTGTTCTAAATCATCAAAATATTGTAGAATAGTTTCATGTAGCTCGCATGGCAATTCAGAAAGTTGATTCTCATGAGATGAGTAAGTAATTCGAATTGGATGCTCATTACAAAACGTTATAAAATCTCTGGGTGATACAAATGATGTAGGGAAATATAAAAGGCTTCCAAAACTGATCACTTGACAAAGTTCCTCGTCGTCACAACATGCTAGAAAGGCTGATATAGACACAACTTCATGATTACTGTGTACCTCTGCAAGCTCTACCGCCTCAGCGACCAAATACTCGGCAATCGTGGTCATTCCAACAGCCAAAAGGTACAAAACTTCGTCTGTATTCATCTGCGATGAATCGTCCTCAAGTATATCACAATTCAAATCAAAGAATGAATTAAGCATCACACTCATCTCCTGTACAGAAAAGGTTAAGGTAACAGATGATCCAATCGAATTCTCAAAAATTTCTTTCCTGGCCGATTTTAAACGTTCACAAATTTCTTCATACATGTATTTGACAACCTTTCCAGCAAAATACTTAAAGACGAGAGACTTGAAAAAGTTTTCCATTGTGTACAAATGATTTGTTATCTTTGACTTTTTTACCAAACGGTCCGATGATTCATCCTGCACTTCATCTCCAGTGACGTTCAACCAATCCTCCGAACTAATGCATGAAAAAATCTCTACATCTCCTTCATGTTTATAGATCGGATCAGTTGTAAATTTGGCTCTTAAATATTGAAGCCTATCACACGCATAATAAATTATTAAGTTTTTTAACGTATCATTTTCCGTCTCTTTGATAGAAACCAATGGTCCACTATTCACTAATAAATACAATATTAATTGATGAATATAACTATTTAATCTTTTTGTTGCTAGAGGCTCAATTCCCTTTACGGAATTAATTTGAAACAACACTGCCTCTGTTCTGAAATAGTTATTACATGAAACAATATCAATCAAGGAGAGATTTGAGAGATGCTTGTTCCTCTCCTTCAAGCACTGGTTCATGTTCCGTCTTGATGAGTGGATGGATGGGTGTTGTGGAGTCTCCAATTTTTTGAGAATGATCATCACGATTACAATTAAAAATTATTGAAATTTATTCTAAAAACAAAAAAAATGAAAAATGATGAAGGCATTGGTGAAGGCTCTCAAAATTATTCCTTCCGAGATCCCTACGTCAAGAGTATTCATGAGATGATATCTAAACATGCTCCTTGTTTTTCGATTGATCCCGATCATGTTTCTATTATTGATACGCCATCCAAGTTTTATGATGGATTGATTGATGGTATTCAGAATGCTCGACAAAGAGTGATATTGAGTAGTTTGTATTTGGGTACAGGAATACAAGAGCAAAAAATTGTAGATGAACTTGAAAAAGCATTAGAGAGAGAAAAAGAGTTGCAGGTTGTCATTTTGTTGGATTATTTGAGAGGAACAAGACAAACCAGTGAGATCAAAAAAGATAGTAGTGTGACCATGTTGGAAGGGCTTGTCAAAAAATTTGGAAAGGAGCGAGTGAATGTATCCTTTTATCATACGCCTAATTTGACTGGATTTTGGAAGAATGTGCTTCCTGCACGTGTTAACGAAATTATTGGTGTGCAACACATGAAATTGTACATGTTTGATAATGATATGATTATTTCTGGAGCTAATCTGAGCGATTGGTATTTCGTAGATAGACAAGATCGATACATGTTGATTAGAAATGAAAAACAAGTTATTGATTTTTTTACTGGTCTGGTTAAGACTGTTCAAAGTTTTTCGTACAGATTGTGTGAAAAAGGGCATTTGACAATTTTCTCTCCAGATCCTGTTCATAACAACAAGGAATTTAGATTATTTGCAGAGCATGCTGTTAGACAATACTTTTTCAATCAACGTTGGTCCAATAATACATCCAACAGAATCACAAATACTTGGATATTTCCAACCATACAAATGGGTCAAATTAATGTTAGACATGAACAATTTTTAATTAGTGGAATTATTGGTGCTGCCATTGAAAATTCTTCTCTGGCCTTCACATCGGCCTATTTCAATTTTACCAAGGAGTACATGACAGATGTGTTGACTTCTTCATGCAAAGATATTGCAATTTTGACAGCCTCTCCGCCTGCAAATGGATTTTTCACTGCAAAGGGTGTCTCAAAAAACATTCCCATGGCTTATGATACAATGGAACAAGAATTTTATTCAGCGGTTGAGAAAAATCAAAAACTTGGTTCCATTAAGCTATATGAGTACATGAGAGAGAAATGGACTTTTCATGCAAAGGGGCTGTGGCTTTACTCACCCAATAAGCAATTCAATGCTCCCTTTTTAACTATGATTGGAAGTAGTAACTTTGGAGGTAGATCTACGGAACGAGATATTGAAGCTCAAATAATTCTGATGACCGAGGATGAAAAATTAATGAAGAGAATGGAAGAAGAGCGTCAAAATCTTCAGACCTATTCCAAACTTGTCACCAAATCAACATTTTCAGTTCCCGAAAGACGAATTGGACGAGTATCTCACTTTTTAGTTTCCAAATTTTTCCATAAATTCCTATAAGTTTAAATTTCGTCAATAATGTCCAGTTCTTGTTTAACTTCCAATTTTGAAAGCCTCTCTTCGAGTTGCTTTGCAACGTTTGGTCGTAACTTTCCTTCTGCATTTTTCACAGTTTCAAGTATCATAGATACCATTTCTCCATCAACATGCTGCAGTAAATGTGTTTCCAAAAACCAATCCAATCTTTCTTGTGGGACATCCGAATCGTAATACATTGTTACAATTTCTTCGGCTAAATGTTGCTTGTAGAGATAACCAGACTCCATATATTTTTTCAAAAAGTGTTCACAAGCAACCTCCAAATCAGAGTTATCATAAGTGCTCCATACAGTGCCCATCTTTAAAATAATTCCAATAAAGTTTGTGTGCTCGCCTTCGTAGATGGAATCAAGGATTGTCTGATTGGGAAGCACATCATTAATCAATTTAATAGCATTACATAGAGCCGCATTCATGTGAATTTCTCTTGATTTATAAATGAGTTCAATGGATCCAATAATCACTCCGATAAACGTCAGATTCCCTAATAAAGTTAGAAAAAAATTAATGAAATCATTAAAAACTTACTTGGATCTTTAGGTTGTTTACCATATAACAGATAAAGATATGCCTGAATGATTGGATGTCTATGGAGTTGTTCCACTGATATTCTTTCACTTGGATTGGATGGTATACAAAGAGACAATAGAGTCTTAAGAGAAGAAAGCTGTACACGATTAAGAAGGGGTTGTAAATCAATTTTCTCGGTTTTGAAATATTCACTGAACATATCATGAGAAACGCCAGAACATACTTCCAGGAATGTAATACCAAGTCTGTGAAATTTTGTACACAAAGTAGACACAAAAATTGATATCACTTACGAATAAACATCTGCTTTTGAGCTGTATCCTGCTCTAAACATGACTTCAGGAGAAACATAAATAGGACTGTACGAACGATGGTTCATTAATAACAATTAACGAAGGAATAAAATACAAACCTTCCACACACGGTATGATTTTTGTTTGAAGAAGCCTCTTCCACAGTTTTAGCTACAATTTGAAAAGTGTGACATGAATATTAGTTGCAAAATAAATGTCAAGATCAACATTAACATACCAAGACCAAAATCTGCTAATTTCACAACTCCCCCCTGCAACAATAAATTACCAGGCTTGATGTCACGATGAATGACACCCTTTTGTTCGAAATAATATAACACATCAACCATACAAGTAAACCATTCAACCAGTTTACGGAGTGGAATGTTACTACTTTGATTCAAATCAATGATATCTCCCAAACTTCCTCCTTCACAATATTCTGACACAAGAGCAATGGCATCCTTTTTAATTTTTGGAGTCAAATCTGAACCAAGACACAAATACGATGAATATCATATGATTCACAACAACACAAATTCACTTAATTGCTACATACCCACTTTCAAGTAAAATTGGTCAACATATTTCAAAATGTTCTTATGCTCCAAGGATCGAAGAATATTGATTTCGTTTTCAATTTTTGACAAACTATGAGGATTGGTCGATGCCGAATGTTCATCATTCATAATGACCATCACTTTCATGGCATAATATGTTCGTACAGTGGATTTTCTAAATTCTTGTTTAAATACTGTGGAAGGATCAAGACTTCCTTTTGGACTCGTGGTGGTGGTGGTGGTACTGAGAGGACTGGTAGGTATTTGGAAGAAGCGAGAGCTGCTTCGTTGTTGTTGTTGCTGATGAGAGCCTTCGCTCACTCTGATGACTTTGAATACTGGATATTTAAGAGAGCATGTTGAAAATTAGGAAATCATGGCGTGATGAGGGAAATTGATGATGGACAATAGACCAAACAATAATAAGAAGATGGAAGAGAGTGTAGGTCAATATTGATGATAGGATCGGATGGTATCATCATTAACGTTAATATTGTTTGAATTTTGATTGTTGTCGTAATTGCAACTGATATAAACATCACCTACCTTGGCCATAGGCTCCTAAATGGAAAAAGAACATTATATGTGAGTCGCCATGATAATAATAATTTGAATCCATCATGGTATGAATATTTATAATCAAAGCAAACCGTTATTGATGTTTTTAAAAAAGAATTTATCAAAAAAGCCTTTTCATCATCCGAGAGAAGAAGAACGAGCCTACAAGAGCACCTACCTTCTCCAATCTTTGAAATTACTTCATAATTTCCATACACTTTTCCAATGGTACAGAAATTTTGTGTGCTGTCTCCGGCTGGCTTGCCGTTCAGGAGCATCTCTGAGGCTTGTCCAATCAGAAAATTTTCCTCATTATTCAAACTCTTGATAGGATTTTGTCCCATTTTCTTTTGATGATGAATTGTTGTTGTTGTTATTGATGACAGTTCACGGAAATGGATTTTAGAGACATTCAGTCGCAGGGTCGTGAATATTTGGATGTGAATGAACAATTCGAATTTCTTTTCGAGTACGACGGCGATCGTTTGAGTGCCGATGGAGTGAGAATTGGACAATCAACTTCAGGGCAAGAATGACGAAAGATGAAAATTGAGGCAAGAGCGAAAATAGAGACACAATTTCGATGAATTTGGAAGGAATTAGATGTTGCGAAAGGTATTCGACAAATTCGAAATTGTCTGATGATTATTGGTTGTTGTCTTTGTTATGCAAAACAAGAGAAGCTTTTCGTTGAAAGCATCGGCTGTGTTGGATTTTCTTTTGTTTTGGTCATGCATGTCAAATGTCGAACAGCTTTGGAAACATTCTGTTTGTTGTTGAGGGAAGGAAGTAATTTGTAAATAGAAAGCACATCAATCCTCAAGGAACAAGGACACTCATTCAAAGAAACATTTATTTATCATAATGATTATATAAACGTTTAATTGTTTAATTTAATGTGTTTGATTTACAGACTTGTGTTTGTTGTTTTTAAATTTCGAAAGTATTTCCTTCTTGTTTTGCCTTTGAGACTCTAGGAATATCTTGAATCTGTGGAAAGTGTCCATCATGAGCACACACATTTCTGACTCAACTTGGTCAAACAGATTTTCAGGTAATTGCTCACTTTGTCCTGTCGCAAAGAAATCCAAACATTGTTTCACTCGATCAGCAAGTTGTTTGTTAATGTTCACAGACTTGTCACCATGCACGTCCAAGTAGTCGGTATAAATTTCAAATGCAATTTCGTACTTTTTCTTTTCAATGTCGTTCAAATCCTTCTCAGAGAATCCCTTCTTCTTTTTCTTCTTGTTTGGTTCAATACTTGCTGATGATCCTGTTTCAGAGAGGATGTCAGATGCTCCTTCACTAGTGTCAAACAGGTAAACTTGAATGTCAAAACTCCTCTCACATAAAACCTTGTAGTCATTAATTTTGTCGAGTAAAGAAAAGTTATCCAAGCTGAGCTCTTGTTTGCAGTAATTTTTGAATTGATTTCGAGTTTTTGTGTCTCTCATGGTATCTATTAACATGAGGGCCTTAATTTGTTTGATCTTCTTATTGTTCGAGGAGTCTTTCTTGAGAGACATGGCAATGGATGCTAGGACCGTCGGTACCACCACAATGATCGATGCCAAAATCACAATTAAAGAAATGGTAATGACCACAGTATTGAAGTCCTTTGCAAAATTTTGAATGGCCAACACATAATCGACCAATGGTTGAAATTCTTCAACATATCCATCCAGACAGTACTTGTAATAACTGGATTCCAATAATGCCATACCAATTGTATAGTTTCCAGAAATTATCAATTCGATTGCTTTAGTTTCAATACCTAACGCCTTAGCAGTTCTTAAATCATCTATCGACATGTTATGAACAACGTAATAGTGCAAATTTTTTGGAACCTTCTCAAGAATGACTTCAACATTTGTTAGAAACTGTTGTGTGTAATTTGCAAATTTGGCAGCATAGGTCGCAGTAATGTGAGGATCAAAGTTAGAGAAGACTGCAGATCTACATGAAGCAACCATCATTTGGCGATAGAAAGAAGTACTCGTGTCCAAACCATCAAAGTTTCTGGAGAAGTAATTCTGTCCAACATAACCCACAATGATCAAGGTTGCCAAGGTAATAAAAGCTAAAAGATTTACCGTGAGGGATAACAAGCTGAACACCTTCAACCAACTCAGTTCCAACACTCCAAAACATGTGTTGACCCGAATGGCTCCTGAGTGACTCTTGGTGACTGAAGAGGATCGAGGTGTTTTTGATGTGACTGCTGATTGACCTGTTGCACTTTTCTTGTCATCTCCATGTTTAGAAACCTCCTCCACACTAAATCCAACAATTTCTTTCGTTCTTGATCCGTTTTTTCCATCGAGCGATGATGCTTCACTCAAACATCTTTGGTTGTGTCCAACTGCCAATGAAGTGTCACCTTCATGAATCACCAACTGAATTTGAGACTGATTTGAATTTGTGCTCATGCCAGAATCTGACATTGAACTACTTATGATATTCGTTGGAGAAAGAAGTTTGGGTTCATAGCCTTCAACAACATTCAATGACTGATGCTTGTTTGGCTGTTGTGGATTGATGATGACTGGAGTCGTTACCTCCAGTTCTCGACGCTTATTGGATTCTTCTTGATTGGAATGATCAGTATTGCAACTGCTATTGTTGTCACTGACTTGAGAGGTTCCTCTTTGGTTAAGCATGTTTCGATGTTCTGATCTAGAGCAGTGACAAATGTTTAGATTTTGTTTTTGAGATGTTTACGTGCATGACATGATTTGGCTTTTTGTATTCGGAAAGAGGATTAGGACTTTTGGACGCACTTTTGGATTATTACGATCTATCGTTCGTACCTACAGGTAAAGCCTCAATCAGTTCTTGTGGTTTGTGCACGTACATTTTGATGTCATCACGTAGAGAGAGGTCATTCAAATAAAGATTTTGTTGTCTGGTTCCAGAAAATGCAGCAGAGCCTTTTCTGGATGGTGGTGGACATGTTTGGTCGACGTTTGTGTGTTTTCATTTCACGCCAAAGGCCTCTTGTTGTTGACTGAATGTGAAGATTGTTATTCCTGTCCGCCACTCGAGTGCAAATGATGTATTTTAATGTTGTGACACAGTGAAGGTTGTTACAATCGTACATCAAGTCTTACTGCTGTTTCACTTGGGTCTTTTGGCTGAGCTTGAGTTTGGTAAGAAGTTCCATCTTGTTTTGTTTTTGATTCTCCAGTGATGTTATAAATCTTCGATGAGTGTCTAATAAGAGAAGACATATTTCTGACTCAACTTGGTCAAACAGATTTTCAGGTAATTGCTCACTTTGTCCTGTCGCAAAGAAATCCAAACTGTGTTTCACTCGATCAGCAAGTTGTTTGTTAATGTTCACAGACTTGTCACCACGAACATCCAAGTAATCGGTGTAAATTTCAAATGCAATTTCGTACTTTTTCTTTTCAATGGCAATGTAATCTTTCTCTGTGTACATCTTTTTTTTCTTCTTTTTAGAAGTAGAATTTTCAGTTCCACTGGTGGTGGCGCTTTGTTCAGAACCGACATCAGACACGCTTGTGTCACTTTGGTCAAATAAGTACACTTGAATGTCAATGCATTTGTCACATAAAACCTTGAAATCGTTGATCTTTTCTAATAGTTGATAATTGTCCAAACTCAATTCTTGCTTGCAGAAATTCTTAAATTGACTCCTTGCTTTTGCATCTTTCATTGTATCCTTGAGAAGATAGGTCTTGATTTTCTTCAACTTCTTGATATTGGAAGAATCCTTTCTAAACGACATTGCTAGCGAGGCAATTACAGTTGGGATGACAATCACAATAGAGACTACAATGACAACCAAACATACAGTCATGACAGTCATTGTTAACTTTTGAAGTTTCACCTTCGTTTCATGGACGTAATCCACCAAAGGTTGCAACTCTTCTTTAAATCCTTCCAAATAGTACTTGTATTGTGGGGACTCTAATGTAGCCATAGCCATAGTGTAATTCCCTTCCTTGACGTACGAAAGAACTTTGGACTCCAATATCATTGCCTTCACAGTTCTCATATCTTCAAAGCTAATATTCCTAACAACATTATAATATGTTTCATAAGGTATTCGTTCAAGAATCAATTCCACGTTGGTCAAAAATTTTTGCAAAGAAACATTATATTGATTGGAATAATTGGCAGAAATAATTGGATTAAAGTTTGAAAAAGCAGAAGCTCGACAAGCACTAATCATCTCAATTCTATTCAATTCAGTAATTGGTCCTAAATCGTCAGAAACAAGCTCTTGAATTTTTGTTTGGCCTGCATAACCACCAACAATGAACACTGTCAAAATGACAAATGCCAATAAATTGACCATCAATGAAAGCAAGTTGCAAAGTTTCACTCGTCCCAACTCCAATATTCCAAAACAAGTACGAATTCGAAAGTTGTCTGTTGATTTGTTTTTGGAATGGGATGACATGGGTGTTTTGAGGGAAATGACTGATTGATTCACACCACTTTTACTATCTTTCTCTAATCTGAAAAGACGAGCATCTGATAAACGTCTGTCAAAAGTAGATGATGATTTACCTTCATTTGAAGATGATGGACTTTTAGGACGAATTGATGTTTGCTCCCTGTCGAGAGAGATGGGAGATGAAGGGGTGGTACATGTCGCGTCACAAGCATTCGAGGTAGTAAGAAGAGGTTGAGAAGGAGTGCGGGGAGTAAGCGTTGGACTCGTTCCAAGAATCAAGTGGTCGTTGAGAGCTGAGACAACATTAGGTGATGTGGTATAGGAAGTTGAAATACAAATGAGTGAGGGTTCTTGGAGGCTATTGTTGACATCATTATGGTTGGTGCTTGTTGAGGTATTAGACTCAATATTATTCGTCCGGATTACTGTGTCGAGTTGAATGTCATTCGTTTGAAGCTCTGTTTGGCTTTCATAGTTGGTAGTAGTAATAATAGTAGAGTTGTCGAAAGAATCTTCCTGATGACTCATGTTGTGTCACTTTGTTTCAATTTTTGATATCGCCGTCTACAAGTAGTGATTTTTGAGTCAGGCTTTCATGTATTCTCTCTTCCTTATTCCGTCAAATAGAGCACAAACATGCATGGAGATACTGGAGCTGAAATGTCATTGACAGAGGCATCATCGTGTTCAAGCACGAATAAGGTTTTAATAGGTAGATTCGAGAGATAATAGTAATGAACGTTCACAGATCAAATTGAATCCGGCGATAGAGTTGATAAGCATTTTCAATGATGTAGGATGAGATGCTGTTGTTGATGGAGCGATAAATCATTTTCAACTCTATAGGAAACCAAGCTTTTGTAATTCCTGAATCAATTCATTCAAATGTTGTTTCTTTCCATGCCAACAAATGCCTTTCATTCCATATTGAATGGCGGCATCGACATTTGCTTGTTTATCATCAATGAAAGCAATATCGGATGGCTCTACATTTTCATATCCTGCCTTTCGAATTCTGTTCATTAATTGTTCCATAATTCTTGGCTTTGGTTTTCCGCATTGAACATCATCATCACTTGAGTTAACGATCAATAGAGGCTCAACAAAAAGTGTGTCCAATTTCCATCTCTCCACACAGTATGGAAACCATTCTTTAGAATGATTACTCATAATTCCGATGGAGAGTTGAGTTTGGTTCTTCTTTTGTTTCTCCCGAATTTCTTCAGCTAACGCAAGACCGTTATAGAACGGAATGATGAATTCCTTTCGGAATTGTTCTTTGAGATAATCCAAAGTAATTAATTTACCATGTAAATAATATTCTTGATGATTGAAATACTGTTCAAAGAACACTCCCCAAAATTCATCTTCTGTGATGGCACCAATTTTATATTGAGAGAATTGCTTTTTCAACAATTCAAGCAAATCTTCCACGGAGGGAGCGGTTGGTTGGTGTTTCTGAAATGTGATTTGATTTTCACGATAAATAGTTTTGATACAATTGTTGAAATCCGTGGAGATCAATACTCCACCCATGTCAAAGATGATGAACTTCTTTCGTGTGGACTTGTCGTTTGGTGATGATACGGATGGTTGTTGGGACATTTTAATGGTTGACGGAGGCATTATCCAGGACAAAGGCCCGCCATTCAATTTACAAAGAAAAAAAAATACAAAAATTCAAACACTCAATCATCATGGGTTGTCTCTATAGCAAACAAAGTCCATCAAGTCAGGGAGCAAAGTCTTCGGTAGCTTATGAAAATATTGCCCAATCAAATCAAACAAGTGCCGAAAGTAAAAAACAAACTCATTCACCTCAACAATGCACTTGGAGTTATTTAGGACAAAAAAGTAAAGAAAAGAAGGAAGTTGATTTTTCTAAATTGAAGGCAGAAGACTTTTTGTTGAGCGGATTTCAGGATCGAGTTATTATAAGAAAACAAGGGTGGGTAGTATTTGTTATACAACAAGGGCTGATAATTCGTTGTTTCTGATGACTATATGTTGTGTAATTCAGAGAAATTCTTGGACAAGCAATGAATATCGACAAGTGCTCGAATTGCGATTTTTATTTGTTGGACAATTCATCACAAATATTTATCGACAGCTGTGAAAACTGTCGATTCTTTATTGGGCCCTGTTCAGGAAGCATTTTCATCCGTACCAGTACGAACGTTAAAATGATTGTTGCTTGTCAACAATTCAGAACAAGAGACTGCAAAAATTTGGAATTGAGCATGTTTTGTTCAACCAGACCAGTCATTGAATCTTCTTCAGACATTACATTCAGTTGCTTTGGATCCAACTATATTGGATTAGCTCAACAATTCCATGAGGCTGATCTCTCTGTTTACAATAATCACTGGAATGTTGTTCACGACTTTACACCTCAAGCAAATAATTACAAGTTTGTTTCAAACAGATTCAAGATAACAGACTGGATGAAACCATTGCATACTTTGGATATTGGAATTACTGAGGATGAAGAAAACCAAAACGAGAAATCATGCCCAGTACCTCCAACCAGAAGAAGAGAAGATGTGCCTTCGAATGTCATCATGTTCCTTCCTGGATGTTACAATGATGCAGAGCAATTTATGCCACAAATTATGACAGAAATTTATCAGACCAAAGAACACAAATTCTCGAAACCTGAAATTGATATTTTGTTTGACAAAACAGAAAATTCAAGCTCGCTCAAGCAAGAAGCTACCAAAGGACCTGTTATTGTTATTGGCACAAATCTAAGCTCAATGGAGTTGAGAACAAAGGCCTCTCAAATTGTTGCACCTGAATCTTTCTACGTTCCTGCTTCTGAAAATGAAGCTTCCTATATGGCCAACTATTTGTTCAATATTCATCGAGTGGAGGTTTAGACAAACGACATTTATAAAGTTGTGTGTTAAGTTTTCAAGAACCTGTTGTTTTGCTTCACCGTTTAAATTATCATTAGATTTCTTGACTGGTTAAGTGGTACCATCGTTTTAAAAGAAATCTCGTTCCTGTCGTCAATCGTTCATACCCAATGGTATTATCTGAGTTAAATAGAACCTCAAGAGGGCTTGTTGAATAAGTTCTATTCACATCAAAAACTTGAAATGATTTTCCTTCAATAGATTGCTTCAACTTTGGAGTCATTTCTCTTCCATTTTCGATATGTTCCACAATTTGTGAAACAACATCGAGCCCAATCCAACTTGCTGATTCAACTTCCTCTTTCTGCAATTTCAAAATATTCTCATACCTTTCCTCTTTGGATGCATTTTCACTGAATAAGTTAACTTTTGCATGTAAATAAATAATTAAATGATGTCTCGATGGAATTCCTTGATCTATGGATGTTGGAAATGCACTTTCCCACAAATAAATTGGTTTCAAACATTTACAATCAATTTCAATTCCTGTTTCTTCAAACGTTTCTCTTGCAGCTGCATGATAAATGGATTCGTCTTGTTTTTCTACAGAGCCTCCAGGAACAACATAGGTATTAGGAAATGCTCTCATGTGTTTTGCTCTTTTTGTGATTAAAACTTCTTTAGTTGCAATATTTTCTATTAATACAGCAACTGCGACTTGCATAAAGTCAAATTTTCTTGTTGCTGTTGACAATGATTGTCTCAAAACGATTCGCTCTTTTTCAATCCATTTAGAGGTTGTTTTTAGAGGACATTTTGTGTGTCTGCCAATTTTGAGCTCAAAACAATTATTTTCAATTTCTATTATTTTAGTATTATTTTTCGTATTTTTTTCTGATGATGGCGTTGTGGTTGATAAAATCACATCATCTCGACCACAAAAATTTAAATATAATTTCTCAATTTCATTTTGTTCGTCTGAAATTCCAAATGCTGCAAAAATTGAATATCCGAACGGGTGTTTTGATGCTCGAACGAGTTGGGATGACATTTTTTTTAATTTAAAAAAAAAGGAAGTTGGAACTTTTTAAACCACCGTTGTGACATTTTCCAAAACCAATCAAACCCCAACTTTTTTGAGCATGCACAAAATTGAGAGACCCACCTTAGTTCCTACTAATTTACTTGAACTCATTGGTGCCTCGTTGTCCTGAAATTCTCAGACATGCAGGAATTACATCCTGAAAAGGGCATGCATAAATTGCATAGTCATATGGAGTACGACCATCCTTATCTGTTGCACAAACATTTGCATCATAGTTATAAACGAGATGGGATATTAAACCCCATCTTGAGGTTATTGCACACACAGCATGGAGTGGTGTAATTCCAAGTTCGTTCATTTCTGTATGAACAAGAAGTGGTTGTTTTTCAATCATCTTCAAAATCAACTGATCAGACACGTCCACACTATCGCTTAGAATGGCCGTCATTATGGAATTGATGACATGTTTTCCAGGTAAAAGCATTTCAGAATGAACCACAGTGGTTTCTAGTAAATCTTCAGGTGTCATGAAATCCAAAATGTAATCCAAAACGGGTCTTGGAGACTGAGCATACAATAAATAATTAAATAAATTAACACGCAAATCGTTGTGCTTGTGGAGCACAAAGCTTTTGAATATTTTGTTGGCATCTTCTCCAGGTAAATAATTCTTAAATCGAGAAAAAACTTGAAGTTTGGTTTCAGAGTCGTTCAATCGAATAAGTGTTTGCAAAAAATCATCCAAAGTCAGAACAACTTCGTTCTTCTTTAACTTGTCCTCCAACATGTCAATGATTTCTTTGGAAATACTGGATGCAAAATATGGTAAAATTTGTAACAAGTTATTGGAGACATCAAAACCATATTGCATACAGATTGTTAAAAAGTCCATCTCTGCTTTTGTTCCAAAATGTTGTCCATATTTGTTCATTAAATAAATAGTGTACTGAAACAAAGGCAGTGCTTGTGTAGTTTGATAATGATAAGAGTTATTGATCCAATGATGGTATTTCATGTCAAAATTTTGTACAATATACTCAATAATTTTCTTCTTTTCAGTGAATGGTAAATCATGATGAAGAATCGTGGATGTGTAACAATCTGGGCTACCTAAAAACGGATAAATATTGTGTATGGTGCATATATTCTTCAACAAATCCACACTCATGCTCTTGTAAATGATTTCTATCTGGTGGTCTTGTGTTGTTGAATTTTGAATACTGTTTCTAAAATCATTAATTGCAAATCCTTCAATCTCTAATTTGGAAATGTTAGGAAAAACAGAAGTAAGAGCTATCATGATATCAGGCAAACCATAATTGGTATCCGAGCTCAAACAAATAAATTTCACACTCTTCACGCTTGGATATTCAATACCTTCGTATGTCCATTTCACAAAGTTGTGGAAAAAATCGAGTGAATACAAAATAAATGTGACATTCTCTACATTATGTAATGAGTTCAATAATGTCTTACAAATTTGATAATCATAATCACTAGAGATAGAAATGGTCAAATTTTTCAAGCACTGGTTTGTAATTTGTGGAATTGCATCCAAGATACGAGTCGAAGTTACAGTAGGCCATTCTGAAAATGCATTTAGAACCAAATTCTTGCATGATTGAATTAGATGCATGCTATCAGAGCACCCATATCGCGCTTGGCCAACCAAGAAAGGAGAGGCTGTGTTCAATTGTGGATCATGAAGAGCGTTTTCGACAAGCTCATTCTCCAAGTCCCTCAAATCTCTTTGCATCATTTCAGTCATCAATGAATCCTCAACTGAATCAGTGGTTTCTGTTGTTGATGAAGATGGAGTTACATGGTGAAGTGTCAAAGTTGTGTCTGACAAGGATATACCAGTCCCTAAAGAACCAAAATCACCATGACATTGGAAGAGTTCTTTTTTGTCATTCAGCAGTATGCCATAACTACTGTTAGATAAAGACAACTCGACTTGCCTCTTCATGCATCTCTCTTGGTTGATTTCTAACAATTTCCAAATTGGATGGAAACGAACCTTTGAAACTCGTGCAAGAACCAAATCGGAAGCATCAAGACCCTCTGATTTCGAGAGTCTCTCACCAATGATGTGCTCGAGAACAGTCTTCACGGAAGGGCCAATCAAGCGATGCTTCATGTAACTGAACCACCATGGATCTATGTGTTCCATCCATAATTTGGCTCCAGTTAAATCATTCCTTCCGTATGGAGAGATCACTCGAGAAGTGGTAGGAATAAAACAAATAATCTCAACTTTGGCATCGAGAGGTAAAGATTGAAGTAATCGCAATACATGTTCTTCTTCTTCTTTAAATAACAAAGGTTTTGATTTTTCATCATGAGCGGAATGGTGATGATTTTGTGCAGCAAATTTCATCTTGTTCGTTGGGGGAGTACGAGAACGAGCAGTATCTTCATGATTCGGAGAAGATGATTGTAAATCCTTCAGTATCCAAAATCTGGCCAATTTCGTACATTGAGAATAGGGAGCATAGCGTGAAATGACATCGGTGTGTTTGGAATGATCGTTTTTGATCATGAGCTCACGAAATTTGGAGATCACTTCAGAGGTGAATGGTTGGTGTGCTATTGGATTGAATCCATTCGTACTTTTGCGTGCTGTTTGTCTTGTTCTTGCCATTGTGGTGGTGACAACAGAAATCAAGGAAATTTTTTATTTTTCCCATTAAAAGTGGAATTCATCTGCTTGACCATTCGCTAATGCTTCAAAAACGTCAACATTGGAAGATTTGTAAAGCTTGAGTCCAAGATAAAACTTGTTGGCAGGATTATAGAGAGCTGGTGCGGTCACTGAGTTGAAGGATGCATCTTGATTCCATTGAAGTGCTCGTTTCAGCAAGTTACACTTGTTTAAAACAACCTTATCAATGGTGGTTTGTGATCGAATGTTACAAGTGACATCTGTGGTGATGAAAGTAATTGTGCTATCCATTCTCTCCACAACGTTAAGGAAATCTTGGCTAAATACAGAGTCTTTCGAAAAACCTTGAACCATAAAGGTCGATTGAAGATTTCCCTCCGCAAGTCTTTGTAAAATTCCTTCTGGAGGTACCTCTTTCACATCACCCCATGTTAATAAAATTCTTTGATCAATAGAGTCACCATTTGGAACTCCTACAATCATTGAATATTCAGCCATGACGTTTGCTCTGTCACCGCTATTAATTCTGGCAAGATTTAACAACATGAGTTCAGCTCTCATTTCAGTATAGCTGATAACAAAATCGGTTTGGTTAAGAATCAAATTCTTGATGTAACTGTCTTGAACTTGTTGGTTGATAATTTCAAAAAATTGGGTAAGATTTGCATTGTCAGACACAACGAAATTCGTCAAGTAATCAAAGTTATCAGTTGTGAAAAGTGGAACTGACTCGGTAAGATTCAATCTGACCCATAATCGAGAACCAGCATCAGTAGATTCATGACGTAAAATAGAGTCCCATTGTGCTTCATCAAATTTTGATGAAAGTGCAACACCAAATGTGGCTACTCCATCCTGATCTGGAATGCTTTTGTATTCTGGTACTGTTGAAAACCATGATACTTTCTTGTCAGCAAGTGAATCCTTTTGGTTTGCATTATTTGTTGCCAGAGCTTGCTCAAAGGCTTGAGTTAGAGTATATGTTTTGAAATACTTGGGAAGATTTACATCTTGGTTGTTGCCAAGTTTTGTCGCATAGGTCTTGTACTTATTTTGAATCTTTAGTAGAGTGGTTCTTTGTGAGTCACAAACAGCTTTTTCTTGTAAAAACGTATCTGCAATCGAAATAACATTATTCACAATAGTCTTTTTCAAATTCAATAATTTTCCAGTGTTCAACACTCTTCCGTAGCTTGTTGATTTCATACATTTTATATCTTTCAAGGCATAGTTAAAGGATGTTGGATATTGACTATCTCCTGCAGTCTGGCATCGTTTCCAAAACGAACTCACAAGGTTAGAAGGTAAAATAATGTCCTTCTTTCCGAGAGCATTACACTCACTATCAACAATAAAAATTACTCGATTGTGGTAGAAAATGGCAACTAACAGGACAATGGCAACTCCAATCAGAACAAATAGTACCATGAATATCGTAAAGCAACAATCCCAGAATTTCTGAGAGCCTGGAACTTTTTCCAAACATCTGTCCATAAAATCTTGGGCATGTGGAGATGCAGTTCCAACAAATGTGCTGCTGTTGGGAGTATTAGAAGAGTTATTGATCATCTCCGATGATGAAAAAGCAGGACGTTGAGGAGGAGGCAGTTGATTCATCATTTTTTTATTTTTTTACTTTTGTGATCGGAACGCAATTAATTGGAATCTGTGTTGGAAAACGTTCCTCTTTAGATTTGAATTGGACATGACGAAGAAATCATTGACTCCACAAAAGTCGAAGAATTGTGAGGCTGTGGTGCTATAATTTATCAATAGTTGAAATAAATTATATTCCGGTGTCCTGTCATCCTCACAGGAACTTGATGGTGTGTTTGGTTCATTCGAAATCATTTGGCCATTCCACATCTATTATAATTTGGAAAACAAGTCATTGAATTCAAAAGTTACAAAATCCAGATAAGGCGCATCCCATCCATTCCATGTTGATTGAGCAACAGCAATGTCAATCAATATTTTACCATTGTTGAGAGGTCTAAACATGATGGAATGTTCAGTTTGTCCATGGGCTGCTCGTCTTAGAATTTCTTTCATTTGTGAATTGCAAAAGTTTGGATCTTGCACCTTGTGATAGACATTTCTTGCCCAAATATCAATTAAATTGGAAGTGACTTGATAGCGCCACATGGAACTGAAACCATTCCTAATACCAAAGTTATAAGTAGAATCTCTGTCACCAGACTCCACACCATACAAATGGTTGTGATTACTAGCTCCAATGGCACTTTTCACAAATAGAGGAAATGCCTGTTGGGGTAATCGCATCATTCCACCTTTCCAATCCGATTCATAAACGAAAGATGGAGCTGAAGGATATCGTGATGAATTGTTTGTAATTCTATGAGAAAAAACAAGAATGCATCCCGTCAAGCATGCTCCTCCTGGTTGTGACCGAAAGTTCTTTTCAATAAAATGTTGAACATCTGATGCAGTAGCCATGTCAAGGGTGGTTTTTTGAATGACTTCCTTAAGAATCCATGATATAGGAGCTCCTGATCCCCAAGTGGTATTGGGATGAGTTCTACCATAATTCATCATTGAATATACTCCATCTTCATTAATGGCACTCAGTGTGCCCACAAATCCAGGCCACATGACAGAAATATATTTTCTATCGGATGGATTTGTTGATTCAATTGTGGACACTAAAATGGAATGCACTGTGACACGCTTCATATCAATTTCTCCATCCATATTTCGAACAGAAATGATATTATTTTGTTGTTCAGGAGGGCAATTTGTTGATGTAAATTCGTTCCATACTGAGAATTGTGTACAAGCTGCATGTGGTTTAGATTGACGCATTTTGTTTCTTGGTTGTTGAGATAATTTTTCTCTCAAACCTTTCGTCAAATAATCATTAGAAGCAATATTTGGAACTCCATGACTTGCTATATACTCCAATTCAATATAGGCATTAATTGCAATAATGTCAATCATTTGAAAATTTCTATTGAGTTCAGGAATAAATAAATCAATACCTGAGGCGATCATTCCAGAATAAACTCCTTCCACTGCTTGAATAAATACCGTGTCATACTTGAAAGCCGAGCTTTTAAGAACAGGAACATGAATATTTAAATAATTCTTTGCTGAAAGAATAGCTCCCTCCAATACATAGAATCTGAAGAAATCAATAATTTGCTGAGCTAGAAGGTAACCATGTGAAACTCCTCTCTCCTTTTCATTTCCAAACAGAGAAAGTACGGGCAAACCTTTCACAAATCTGAAATGTCCATGAGTATAGAATTTATACGAGGTTGGATAAGGTGTGACACCTTCAATCACAAAGTCAGCATTCAATACCAAGTTATTGGCATCCGATAAAGTAATATCTTTAAAATACTCGGCACCTCCTCCCCTATACCAACCATTAAAACTTGTGAGTGGTTGTCCTGAAACAATTTGTCCCAACACAATATAACTTGCAAGAGGAAGATCATCAAATCGATATGGAACTTTCAAGCTAGTAGGAAACTTTTGAGAAGGTAACGAAATTTGTTGAATATTTGTTCGGAGTGGGGAAAGAGTAGTAATTTCCACAACATTGGGAATGTAGGGATACGTCGAATTTCCACTCTGAACAAGATTCAATTGAAAAACTGATACTTTCAAAAGTATTAAACTTTGAGAAACATTCAAAGCCTTGTATTGATCTTGATTTTTTAAAATTATAGTCATTTGTCCTCCGATGGTTCCATAAGAAGCTCCATGTGCGAGAGATTCCAATGAGTTCATGATGAGTAGTAGTATTGGAAGAAGAAGAAGAATATCGAGCCACATATCATGATGCCGTGCCATTGTTCTTGCTGTTGTTCTTGAGTGCAAACAACAGGCTGATTGTTGCTGAAATTTTTTGACAAGACGAAACAAGAAAACCTCTCCAAAAACATTAAGCACTCCTCCAAGTTCTTCGAACCTCTGATTCGGAAACACTTCGCACAGTGGACGCTGTTCATCCCGCCCTAATTGTGAAGCTATGTAAAGATCTCAGACATCAACCACACACGTGAGGTGAAAATGAATGTGCAAATTCAGAGATGAAGCACTTCAAATTCGTATTTGAATTTGAACCTGCTTCAAATTCGCAAATGAAGCTATTCTTAAGCGCATCACTTTGAACCACGAATCCAAGCACAACATGGTCAAACGCTATTTAAACCTAAGACATTACAGAGTCTCATCTTTTGAATCACACAAAAAAACAAATATTTGTGAATACAAAGAGATCAACAACTTTATTCATTCCTAACTTTTTTATTCTCACAACAACAAGTACATTTACTTTCAACATGGTCAAATTCAACAAGGAAGAATTCGAACTTCTTCTCACCCGAAGAGAAAACATTAGAAATTTGAGCATTATCGCTCACGTCGATCACGGAAAATCCACTCTCACCGATCAATTAGCTTCTGCTGCTGGTTACATTGATGAAGAATCCGCAGGTGAAAAGAGAGTTTTGGATGTCGACAAGAATGAAATTGAAAAGGGCATTACCATCAAATCGACAAGTTTATCCATGGTTCTGAATGATCCTGTGAATGAGAATCAACAAATTCTTGTCAATTTAATTGATAGTCCAGGTCACATTGATTTCAACTCTGAAGTGACAGCTGCTTTGAGAGTGACGGACGGAGCCATTCTCGTGGTGGACTCTGCGGAAGGCTGTCGAGGTCAAACAGAAACTGTCATGCGTCAAGCTCTCCAAGAAAAGATTAAACCAGTCTTGGTGATTAACAAGGTCGATCGTGTCATTGAAGAATTGCAATTCACTCCAGAAGAAGCTTATCAAAGTTTCCAAAGAATTATTGAATCTGTCAATGTACTCATTTCCACTTATGGTGTGGAAGATGATTTATTCAAGAATCTCCAGATGGACCCAACTCTTGGAAACGTTGCTTTTGGAAGTGGTAAAATGGGTTGGGCATTCACCATTCCTCAATTTGCTGAACTCTATAGTAAGAAATTCCAAACCAGTCCTCAAAAGATTGCTCGCAAATTATGGGGTGAACATTACTATGATCACGATGCCAAGAAATGGTCCACAGAACCCTACTCCAAACGAACTGGAAAGAAATTGAAACCTTCCTTTTGTGAATTTATTTTGGAGCCCATTTTCCAAATCTTTAAACTTGTGAAGGAACGAAATGTGTCGTCTTCGGCATCAGGGACCTTAGCAGCATCGACAGAAGATTCACATGCTCTTTCTGAACCACTCTCCAACATGATTCAAAAACTCTCCATTTCCCTCACCAAAGACGACCGTAAGAAGGATAATAAGAATTTATTAAGGACCATTATGAGAAAATTCCTTCCAGCATCGAAATGTCTCATTCAAATGATCATTCAACACTTACCTTCTCCAATTCAAGCTCAGAAATATCGATACTCTCTTCTCTATACTGGAGATTTGAATGATTCAAATGCACTGGCCATTCGTGATTGTGATCCCAATGGTCCTCTCATTCTCTATGTGAGTAAGATGATACCCATGCACTCCAATACGAGTGCCTCTTCCATTTCCAATCAGGTGGGTCGTTTCATTGCTTTCTGTCGAGTCTTTTCTGGAACTGTGAAACAATCGAGTTGTGTGAGAATTTTAGGACCTGCCTATGAAGGTCCTCTCTCCAAGAAGGACATCTTCAATGCTCATGTTCAACGTGTCTTGATCATGCTCGGTAAAAACACTGAAAGTCTCTCGCAAATGAGTTGTGGCTCGACGTGTGGACTCGCTGGTCTCGACAAGTTTATTGTGAAAACATGTACCTGTGTCGATGAAGATAATTTAGAATGTATGCCAATCCGAAATATGAAACACAGTGTGAGTCCTGTCGTTCAGATGGGTGTGGAACCTGTGAATCCTGCTGACATGCCCAAATTTGTGGATGCCATCAAAAAGTTAGTGAAAAGTGATCCCTTATTGGAATGTCGAACCAACTCTGCTGGTCAATACATTCTTGCAGCAGCTGGTGAATTGCATTTAGAAATTTGTATGAAGAATTTAGAAGAAGAATATGGAAAAGGTATTCCAATCAAACAGAGTCAACCTGTGGTGAGTTTCATGGAGACTGTGACCACTGAATGTGAACCATGTTTTGCAAAGAGTCCAAACAAACACAACAAGTTATGGATCCATGCTGAACCAATGAGTGAAGAACTTGTTTCATTGATTGAGGAGGGTGAATTTGTCAAACAAGATGTCAACAAGAGAGCAAAAACTTTGGAACAAGACTTTCAATGGGATCCAGCCATCACCAAGAAGATTTGGTCTTTCGGTCCCAATGATAAGGGTCCTAACATGTTGGTGAATGCCTCTCACTCGGTCGAGTACATGAATGAAATTCAAGATTTTGTCATTTCCACTTTCCAACAAACTTCCATGAGAGGAGCTTTATGTGATGAACCATTGAGAGGAGTTGTATTCAAAGTCGATGATGCTGAACTACACCCAGATTCCAATCATAGAAATGCAGGACAAGTCGGTGAAGCTTCTCTAAGATCCATGTTAGCCTCTCAATTGAGAGCTTGTCCTAAATTAGTAGAACCCATCTATTCGGTGGAAATTCAATGTCCGAATCCAGTCATGGGTGCAATATACAGTGTGGTGAATCATCGGAGAGGTACGATCAAATCGACCGATGTGATTCATGGAACTCCTTTATTGAATATTGTGTGTCATTTGCCAGTGTTGGAGAGTTTTGGTTTGACACAAGAATTGCATGGACTCACGAGTGGTCAAGCTCAAGCCCAATGTAATTTCAGCCATTGGAGTATTATGAAAGATGACATTTATGACACGACTTTGGAGGTGAATAAGATTATCAAAGCCATTCGTCGAAGAAAGGGACTTAAGGAAGAAATTCCCTTATACACTGATTTCAGCGATTCACAGAGATGAGATTAAACCTATATTTTGTGTTTTTAATAAATTCAGGTTCAAACAAGACCTGAAGAATTTTCACAATCCGAAAATTTTCAAGCGTTGTATTTTGGAAACTCGAGAACCCGCCAAAATTATACAAAAAAATTTAACAAAAAAAATGACCATCATTCATGAGGAATACACGACCACCAAATTTTCAACGTTTGGTTCCAAAGGAGCATGTTTGATGATGATTATCTATGTGTTGATCGTCGCGATCATGCCTTATGTTGTTCCCTTAGTGACCAATAGTACGTATTTTAATTTTCGGAAGATCCTTTTCATTTGAACTGTTTAAATAGAATTATGGATTGATTTTTCTACAATGACGGAAAGGCCGAGAGTTACCTTTAGCAATAAGGTCATTGCTTTAGTGACCCCTCAGACATTTACATCGGGATACAAAATGTGGACAAGCAATCAAAACGCAAATTCACTAATCTCCAACGACAATTTTTTCTTTCCGTCTTTTACAACTACTGCAATTAGTCTTGCTGACAGAATTAATGATAGAAAACAATTAAGTGTTCGATTTGGAAGATATGAACCTGATGATATTGATCAATTTCAGTTCCAATTAACAATACCAAGACGTTCTTCAGACAATTTCCATAAATTGGATTTGTTGTTGGAATTTGGGATGGTGCTTAAGGTTAGTACGTTAATATTGGTTGATTTCAAGCATATCGGAATAGAATTATAAAAATTTAAAAGTCACAGGTCTTGCTCATGTCAACACTGAGTTGGATTTTTGCTCTGAGGTGTATTTGAATGGCGATTTTGTGCTAAAACAATCTTATGCTTTTCATGGAACGGATCAAATTGAAACATATAATACTCCAATTATTGACTTTACCTCTATTGACTCCATGGATCAACTCTCGATCATGAATTTGTTGGATTCCTCGTTCAACAGAGAAGGTAAGTGAACGAATTTGAATTTCACAAACGACTGAACAAAATTGAAAGTAACTGGAAAGTTTGTTAAGGAATCATCATTTTGTAAGCAAGGTCCAAACGCTGCCTCCCAAATAACCATAAATCTAAATATTAAGATTCCTGTACAGACCTACTCGTATGAAGTGGAATGGTTTGAAAAAGCTAAATTTGCATGGATGCAGTATATTGCATTTTTGCCGTTATTCTGGTACTTCTTCTATCGGGTAAAGAGATTCATGATATTGCGTGGACTTGTGAATACAAGAATGCAATCTCCAACGAAGAAATTAATATAAGTTATGAATATTATTATTGTTTGCCAATTTGCTAGTAATCCTTTCCAAATTCTCTAAGGATGACTGGAATGGATGTTGGTGGAATCGCTCCGAACTCAGTAATAACCATGTCAACATAATGGCAGGGTGTAATGTCATATAACAAGTTAATGACATGGAGGTTTGGAATTGCCTCAAAATTCTCCAGATTATACACAACATTACTTTGTTGTTTGCCTTGATCGCCCTTAATTGGAATTGAAAGACCCTCAATTTCCAAATGCCCTACCTCATTACTAGACAGATAGTTAACAGAACTCTTTCTCTGCGGTAAGCTACTTAAATCTACCAAATCATATGGATCTCCCAACTCGTTCACAGTAATGGAGTCTAATTGAGATTGATCGCTGAATTTGTAAGTCTCACAACAAACAATCACAGGAACGTTGAAGGCCTTTGCTGTCATTGCGACAAGTGCGGTACCCACACGAGAATAAACTGCTCCGTTTGACAAAATCGAATTAGCTCCCAAGAATACCTTTGTTACATCCTTCATCATGTAAGAGAGGGCATTGATTAAAATCAAACTACACGTAATACCAGCTTTGTTCAAGCGCTTTACAAGCTCTTTTCCTTCATTCTTTGGTCTGCTATCAACAACAACTATTCTGAACTTTCGAGTTTGAGCTGCCTCAATGAGCATTCTCTCCAATACTTCACTAAGAGCGTAGGTCATGATGGTGTCACCATCCTTAATACCATCAACACCATGCTTGATGATCTGTTTTTCAGGATATGAAATACGTTCTTCAATATATGAGTCTATTTCTTCGATCAACCTCTCTTTTCGTTGTTGTTGAGTACGTAATTCTTTCAGTTTGTCAACATGATGATAAGATGATTTAAATTTTCTCAAAGCATTCTTCATTCCAATACTCATTGGTCTGCATTGTTTCAGGTAATCGATACACTTGACAAGTTTTGGATCAAGATAATCTCTGCTCAATAGTTTGTCTTCCGAAACCTCGGCATCAAGCACAAATTGTTTTAGAGCAGTCAACAGACCTATTGTGCGAGCATTACATCCAGTGATTTGACCGCTAGCATATTGCATCCCGAGTTGAATAATTACAGGATGGATATTTTCATGATTAACCTCAACTTGTTTTGGAATTTGATATTCGGACAAGTGTGAATAAATTCTGTTTTCTTGATATTTCTTCTTCAACTCATTATGTTGCTTCTCTAAATGTTGATATTCCTTTCTCAATTTTTCGAGCTCCTCCTTGGTCTTTTGATCAACAACAGTAGTGGTAACTACGGAGGCCACAGTTGGTGTATTGGAAGAAATTGTTGGTGTAGAACTACCCACAGTTGGTGTAGATGCAGGGGTGGCACTACTACTTGATTCAACACTACGGACACTTTCGTTTTTTTCCTTTCTTTGTTGTCTTTTCTTTTCTTCATTTTCTTCAAATAGTCGCTTTCTCTCTTCTTTTGAAAGGGAAAGATTTTGCTTTTGTTGTTTGGCTTCTTGTTTTTCCTTTTTCTTTGCTTCTCGTAACTTTTTCTTTTCTTCTTGAGTCAAAATTTTTCCTTCCGAAGCATTTGTGTGGTCTGATGATGATGATGGTAAGCCTTTCTCGCCACCATTTTGCGAGTTGTTGTTGGCAGCAGAGTCCGTCATTTTTTTTATTTCAATCTGTATCCTCAACGATTATCAAGAATCAAGATACTGTGAAAGAAGGAAAGTTTTCATTATTCATCATGACGGAGTAATGATTCGAGATACTCAAATGCCCAACTTTAAAAATTTACCAAATATTTACCAAAATTGGCCTGAAATCCAAACAATTCTCACCCTACTAGTTGGTAAATGTCACACCAAGTATTATGAAAACTCAAGGTTTAAAAAACCAATTCAAAAACAAACCCCAATCCTCACGGATTTACCAGCACCAGTGGTGCTAACAATAAACTAATTAGATTTTTTTTATTTCAATATTTTGTCTTTTTCGAATTGAATGTTGGTCAGCAAGACAATGTTTTGAAACTATTTATTTCTCTCAATCTCCAAATGCTTTGGAGAGTTTTTTCGTTTGAATACCCCCACACAAACGTTTCAATTCAAATCGACCATCATAAAAGATTTAATGCATGAACGAAGTAAGTACTAACTTCTTTTTTAGAATAGAACGACTTTAAATCTACACTTTGAACAAAATCAACTGGCTTCCACTTAGCATTTGCTGGAAGCAACCATGCTTTCATGCCAGCGGTTGTAAATGAAAAGAGCCACCAATAATTTGGCATCTGGTGACGTTTTCACTGCTTCATCAATAGTTAATACTTTGAGATGTATGATTTCATTTTCATGCTCAGATCCTGTCATCTTTCCTTTCAATGCATTAATCTCTTCTCTTGTCATTTGTGTTTTGTACAAGAAAAACCTCATAAATTCATCTGAACCTCCTGGACTCATGAAATGTCCAGAAAACTTGGTGCTTGGTTCGAAACAATATTCTGTGAGGTCAATAAGGTCTGTCTCCTTAATTTCAATCCCAGTTTCTTAATGTAACTCATTACAGTAACAATCATCCTTGTCAACTATTTACCTTCTTTGACTTCTTTCGCAGCCACTCCAGAGAAATTTCCATTGTCATCTATGGATCCGGCTGGAAGTTCTAATGAGTGTAAATTTCCAATAGGAATTCTTGGTTGTTCAACTAATAAGAGGTATTCCTTTCCATCTTCTTTGCATTGTAATACAATTAAAATTCCAACGGACCCTCCTCTAACGTTTTCTCTCATTTGTTTCATGTGGTAGAAGAGAAGTGAGGGCCTACCTTGAAAATGCAATTCCCGGAAGTGTTTTCATTTCGTCAGTATTTGTTTTTAAAGTGACATTAACTTTAAATTTAACGAATCCAATTATATTTCTTGATCCGAATGTATCCACAGATTGAATTTCAATGTTCTTAAATAATAAATCGTTACACTGATTGGACGATGATTTGTTGATTGTCCTTCATTGCATTCTGAATATTTGAAAGCCACGACTTAAATGGAGAATCATGAATGACGCGATCAATATCGACATTTGAATTCAATCCTTTTGAAAACGAAACTTGTACTTTTTGATTTCCGATCACAACATTTACTTCATTCACCAAATTACATGTTGAAAAATGAAAATTTCTGAGATTATGATTCCTATGTATTAGCCTTCTTTTCGTCAGATGATTGTTGAAACAAGAAACAAATCTCCTTCACATGCATCCAGCGATCATTTTTTCAGTCTCGGAAAAGCAATTTCAGAAATGAACGTGATAATAACCTTTAAAAAATGGCACCAAAACATTCCAGCAAAATTGGAAAGAAAACCATCTCCAGTACTCTTGGCCAGGGTGAATTAGTGTTCAACGGAGGATATTTAGGATTATCTGGCGAAATTGTTGAAATATTTTGTGAAACATTCAAACCACACATTGAAAAACATGTTCCGAAGGAATATCAGAAAAAGAAGGATGATCGGGATAAATCATCTCATCACCATATTACTTTAATGTTGAAGGAAGATGTCAAAAAAGCTTTAGAAGCGTTGCCAAATGTATTTCCTGATTTTTTACCTCCAAATGCAAACGCAGAGTCACTGAACATTGAGCATTTGCTGAATGTGATGGCACAAAATGTGAATTTTTCGGAAATCAAATGTCTAGGAATTGGAAGACAAGCGAAAGGTTCTGATGAGACGTTATTTTTGGTTGTCGAATGGCCTAGTGCCAATTCGTTTTTACAAAAGGTTAACGCAACTACGAGAGATTTTCATATTACATTAGGATTCAAAGACAAGGATATTCATGGTGTCGCAAAGAATTATACGACTTTATTGAAATAAATGATCGCAACATTCATTTTTGGCAAGTCGTGACTGTTACTAATAAATGCTCATTATTTATTGTTTTATCTGTTGAAGTGGCCTAGTATTTGAATCTTGATCGTTTCTCTTACGCTTATTCTTGTCTGATTTTGCTTTAGGTGTTGATTGTGGATTTGGTAGTCTCCATTCTTGAAGGCAAGCATCTTTCATTCTATTTTGAGTTTCTGAAATTTCTAAATACTTGTCTTCAATTGCATTCTTAATACGTTGTAAGGAATTCATTTGTGACTTTGCAATCATGGAATTGGTGTCGCGAATGTATTTGGCGAAAGTCTCATCCTTCTCCATGGTTTCACAATCAACCAATGATTTGATGGTGTCACGGTTAGCTAGCTTAATATTTGCATCAAATAGATAGTTTACAATATTTGGCTGGCGTCGTCTTAATCCTTTGCAGATGATATATCTTTCAGAATTGGCAGGTCGTGATGATACTGGCTTTACAATCATAAGCTTCTCATAATTTTGGTAGAGAATATATATCAATGAGGCTGAGAACCATGTGTTTAGATCAAACAACTTGCACACAAATGAGCCTCCTTTTCTCAAAATCATCAAACCGGTTAAAATTTGGCAAAGTACAAGCTGATGAGTGAGATATTCTTGCGAATTTTCCACTCCATGAACAGAAAATCCACCATCTGCAGTCACAAGAGCAACACCTCTTCCGTTTGTTCCTTGATCAATCACTTTGCTCAAGGCTCGAATATTTTCATTCTTGGTAATGTCTCCAGTTCCATCTTCTCCATAATAAACTTCAAAATTATCGTGTGGTGATTCTGAATTGAATCTATTCAATTTCCAATCATCTTTCTTATTTTTCAAAGTAAAGCCCCACCCCTTAGCTTTTTCGGTCTTGAATCTGTAATAAAGATATTCCGTGAATCCTCCAGGTCCTGCACAAATATCAGCAAAATATAAAATACCATTTTCTTCAGGTAGTCTAGGAAGACCTTCAAAGCTTGTCAAATCAGAAATTCTGTCGATGTTGGCCAATTTAATTGCTGCCCTATTTTGAAAAATTGATCGTCCAATTCTTTCATAGGGGTTTGATCTATATCTAGCATCAGTGAATATCTTATCGTCAACTGCATCAAATTGGGATTTTAAATCAAAGATTTGTTGCACCTGTTGCTCATTAACAAATGGAGATAAATTTCCTTCGACATACTTCTGTCCATTGCTACTCATTGACACAGATAAATCCAATGTTGTATTATCGGGCCTGACGATTGAAAATTCTGGTGCACCATCAGGTAAAGGCTCCGAGCAACTCAACCACGAAACATCTTCTTTGTGTGGATAATCCGTTAAATCGGGATCATGAGTTTGAATTGTAAAATGCTCGGGAAGATTTGATGAATAGTGTGTTGACGTGCTGCCCAATCCGGCTCTTCCTTGTTGATGTTGAGGCTCTAATGCGCTCGCATTTCCCTGATTACTCTTTCCTAGGCCTTCTCCCACTTTGTAGCCCATCTTTTCCATCATCATCAACACCTTTTGTTTGGCAATCTTTGCAACCGATGAAGTAAAAGGGTTGGCAATGCGAGATTTTGGAGTTACCTTTTCAAAGTCTGGATCGTTACTGAAAATATCATGGAAAGAAGTAGATCCATCCTCTTCTTCCTCTTCTCCTATATCTCCGTACGGATGTACCTCTTGATTTTCCATATCATCGTCTTCATCTTCATCGTTGTTGAGCGGATTTCGTCTTGGGTTTTGCAGGGAATGAACAGGATCGAACATTTTTTTTACTAAGAATATTAAAAAATTGATGATGTTCATCATTTATTATTGGCCATAATCACGCAAATAATTCAAGATTTCGTCTTTGATTCCTCTATTTCTCGCAATTTCTTCTGCTGTTTGACCATCCTATTTACCATTTTGCGTCAATAAAAATTGAATGTTTTTTGTTACAAAAAGAGCTTACCTTGTTCGTAATCGTCTTGTCAGCTCCTTTGGAAAGAAGAAATTTCATAACCTCGAAATGGCCATTATATGTGGCCCAATGAAGTGCAGTCTACAATATTGTAAATACAGCTCTACTTTATCAAATACATACCTCCTAATTGCATTTTTAACAATTCTGCAAAATCATGCAAAATAGTACTTACACCAATCTTCATCATTTTCAATTTATCACATTAATTTTTACATCCAAAACATACCAATGATTGATGATTTACATTTGCTCCAAACTCATCAACTAGTAATTTTACAATTGATAAATTTCCCCATTGTGCAGCTTTAATTAATGGAGTCTTATCAAAATAATAATAACTATTTGAATAAATAATAATTGCCGAAAACACGTACATTCTATTCCAATATTTGATTAAAAACAATAAACAATATAAACAATAAACATTTTTAAATTTTTGAATTTCGAAAATCATGTAAATTCAATTGATGTACTCACTCCACTCTTTTCAAAATCATGTTAGTTTCAGAAATTAAAAATATGTAATGACTTACTCGTTCATCACACGAATTTGGATCCACTCCATCGTGTAATAATTTCCGAACTTTCTCAATTTCATCGTACTCACAAGCACTACGTAATTGCTTTTCAAGCTGTTTCTTGTTGTCTGTGCTTTCACTCATTTTTTATTCGGATAGATGGGGATTGCAAGTATATATCATAATAATGAATGGAATTGGATTGATCTTCTCACACTGTCTTTGATCATCACAGCAACAATGATGTTAAAAAGTCACAATTCTGATGGATACACTCTGCTGAGACAATCCATCTACAACTTTAAAGAACACAATGTGAACATCACAGACCCAATGCGTCTCTCATCATCAATGATCATTTTATGGAATCGTTTATAAAAGGTGTGCACGAGGACAAGGAGTAACGGAGAACATTTGGGCGACTTTGTAAAATCGTTAATCCGGACCCCATTTTTGAAAAATCTCACCTTATTGTGCTGATGAATTCCAACCTAAGGTATGAGAGGTCCCGAACCAAGACAAAACACACACTTGTCGATTCTTTGAATGCAAATTGAACCATTCAAGCAACCTATCGACCATTTGTGGTCTATTCTCCTCTCACAATCGATATGAAGAAACAACACACTAGAGGCTTGGTCTTTCAACTGAGAAGACTCGACGATGTATGAAATTTCAAACAGTTCGAAAAGAAAGTGATGCATCAAAACCGAAACGATTTTTGGGTTATTTGCACGATATCCAAGTGACTCGAGCAAAAAACAGCAACAATCGCCAAGCTAGAACATTTCTCTTTCTCCTTTCTAGTAACTTGATGCGTTCGTGTCCAACATCAGCAACAATATGGTGAAAGGGCGCAGGTGCACTTGTTCACTCCATTACCTTTCCAATCTCATCACAAAATCGAAGAAGAAAAGGTACACGCCAAAAAAAGTTGCTTGTTCAAGTATAAGGTGTTGTTTTTGAAAAAAGTCCCTTTGTGTGCTTCAGCGTCTGAGATCGTGAGCTCCTCCCGAAGCGTTGCGACTTGGGTAGAAAGCAGCAATACTGAACACACATCAGAATCAAAAACAATAGCACAACAACAACAACGTTATTTCATCTCGTGTGCGTGGACATGCTCTATAAAATTGAGCGACCAACTAGTCCATTGAATTCATCGACCATTCCACCATAACAACACCCTTGTCGTTGCCCGCTCATAGCCTTTTTTCATATCCATCCTCTATCAATCCCAATCTACAACGTAGCAGATTCATCAACTCGAGTCTTCGAAACATCCACCCAACAACAACAAGGTCCATTATCTACATGAGAACAAACCATACCATTCATCCACTCGAACATAATCACAGTACTGAGGCTGCTTTCCATGTGCTCGAAAATCATCAACATGCATCCCATAGTCAGGAACATGTCGAAACCATGCCGACTCCTACCCTTTCCTTCAGCAACAAGAACCACACACCACAAGAACTGAGCAGGGGGAGAAGCAATAGTAGTAATACTTTCCAACAAGATCGTTGTACACTTCCAACCTCGCTTCTCTCTCAACAACAACATGTACACTCACATCCATCCACCATCAACACTAGGGCCCATGCAACATCTTCTCAGACTTTTCATTCACCTCGGCAGCAACAACAACAAGAACAACACATGCATAATGAATCCTCGAATTCAAAGTATACCATATCGAGTTCATCCTCTTTCTCTCATGGATTACATACATGCATGGGTGGTAGTAATAATAACTACCAACACATGTATTTACCTTCAGTACATGAAACGAATGTATACAACAACACTATGGCCAAAACAACAACGGATCATGATTTTGGATCTGAAACACCCTTTCATTCATCCATGCTTCGGCCGTCAACACTCTTGTCCAATTCAACGACATTTACAGCAAAAAATCTGACAAATAGAGATGATGATGGCCACATCACGATGGACAAGGGAATACAACAAGTTCAAACCGCCAATCAAAATTGTGAGTTCAGCCACGACTCAATATTTCCCGATTTGTCCAATAAGGATAAACAAAAATCGCCTATTGGGATGTCTATACATGATACCGAGAACATGAACAACAACAACACCAGCAACAATAACACCAGATTCAATATGTCATCGAACAGCAGCGAGGATGTATTACGTAAAGGAAGGAGAGCGAGTTTCAGTTACAGTGGAAGTGGTGGGAGTGGAGCAGCAGCAAGCAGCACCATTTCATCATCTTCCTCACCTCCTTACTATCAACAACAATCACATCAAACACCACCACCTCCTCGACTAAATTCAGAGCAGCAACAACAGCAAGGAATCAAGAGACCCAATGGCCAACAGGCTCATATCACCATGACCACAATCACATTTGAAGAGTTGTCCATGTACTTTGATTGGAAATTAGAGCATGCGTGTGAGGCTATCGGTATTAGCAGCACATCCATGAAGAAACTATGTAGACATTTCAATATTCCAAGGTAAGTTTTGTTCACTTTGGCTTCTAAGGCACAAAATTATTATTTTACTACGGACGATGATCAATCAATTGATAATCAATTTTGTTCGCTTCTGCCGATGATGCTGAACTGAATATTTCCTTAATATTTTTGCTGGACTCTTTGTCACGATATTGTATTCAATAACTGCACTCACACCATGTTGAATCCATTCCTGCATATTCAGATGGCCATATAGAAAACTTCGAAGTCTGTACATCAAAAAAGAGAAGATTTTAGAAAACATGAAGAGTAACAATTCCAAAAAATTGGAACAGCAACTGGCACAAGTGGATGGTGAAATTGAAAGAGTGAAAACCCCATCTCGGCCCAGTGCTGCATATCAATTAAACAACAGCAATACGAGTGGTGAAGAAGAGTCAGGCGAAGAAAATAGTGATCAAGAAATTGACACCTCACAACAGATGTCAAAAAAAGAAAAGAAAAAGACTCCAGTGTACAGAAGATCAGTAACACCTTCTACTCCCCCTGTCATTTCTCAGAGTTCCTATTCGCATCATGAATCGAGATGTGAATCGATCAGCGAGCAACAGAGATACCTTAGTCACTCACCTACGCTCCGTAAATCTCCACCCGAAACTATACCATTCAACAATTCCTTATTTCGACCTCAAGCACAACCATCAGCAACTTCTTCTAGGGTGACAAATAGTTCATTCATTGGTGACAACAACTCCAATTTCCCTGTATATGCAAATCCTCCTCTACATCACCATTCAGCATATCATACTTCCTCAACGTCCCCTCCTCTGTCACACCCACCACTTCAACAAATCAAGCCAAGTGAAATTCCAAATCCTTTTTCTTCATCCAATTCTTCTTCTGCCAAGTTACCATCTATTCATGATTTATTGAAAGATTTTAACACCAAACGGGAATATTAAGAAATTTCGTTTATTTATTGTGCAGAAATTGCAAACTATGGCGAAAGTTAAAGTGAATGCCACGTAAAGTGAATCAACTTACCTTATAAAAGTTCTGTCCATACATGTTGTGGACCCAAATTCCATCAAAATGTTCACACACTTTTAGGGAGCGAGTATTCGCATAAAGATGCAATGATTTCATCTCATGCACGCCCAACGCTTGACGCTTTGATGAAGATACAATTGGAAAAATGTAGCTCAGTAAATAATCATTTGGAGAATAGTAATGAAAAGTATTCTTTGTTGACACTCCTTGGACAAGAATCTCTTGAGCTTCTTCTTCGGATATGGCAGGAGCACATAAGTGCACTTCGTCAGGTCTCAACTCGACAGGCATTAGCTTTAAAGCTTCTACGGAAATAGGTAAACAATAGAGTTCTGCAACTATTAAGGACTCAAAAAACAAATGTGCTTACCAATCAAATGTTTACATCCAAGAGAGTGAGCCACAACTCTCACCTTTCCATATTGAGCTTTCAATAAATGAAGTTCCTTGCTCAGCTCAATGGCATACTCCTTTGCATTTTCGTTTGCTTTTTGAAACTCATAATAGGCCATCGCCAAGGAAAGAGCTACATCCGTTAGTAACATGGCTGGTAACGCTGTTAACGACGCTGCACTGAATAAATATTTGCTTTTTCTAACTGCATTCAAAATGTTCAATCCAGCAAATGTTAATGTTGCAATTGGAACTGGCGTAAAAGATAATGGATTGAAATTAGTGTCAACACTATTATTGCTTATTCCATCTGTAGTGATTGGCGTTGTTGTGGAAACACTGGTCGCCATATCTTTTTTAAATAGCAATTCAGAATTTAGTGCATTAAGATCGAATTGATGTGGAAGCTTTCCTGATTCCCATTGCCAGCACTTTGCATGTGAGCTCCATCGATGTGACTGAACGCACAGATCTTTATATCTACAATTTCAGAAATGACATACCTCGCTTAAACAAAGAATTTCATGTGAATTCTTCCAAGATTGGAAATGAGATTCATCCGCTGACATGGCATATTTATGTTCTCCACTTTTAAATTGTTTTAACAAATTTGAAGTTGAGGTGTGAGAAGCTAAAAATCCCTTAATGTAAATTGTAATTTCTTGATTTTTTGGATCATTTCTTTGAGAAAGTTTTTGATTTTCAAAATTCAAAGGAAGTAACAAAGGTTGTGGTTGTGAAAAATGTTGATCTTCTTTTTGAATTGCTGAAATCCATTCTGTTATTTGCTTTTGTAAATTATCACCAATTTTGCTCCACAAATAAGAAGTTATATTTCTTGTTTGATAAAAATTCAAGTGGATTAAATTGAAATTATTCGGTTTCAAGGGACGATAATTTCTTGTAGTAACACCGACAATATGATTTACATTACACCTGTGATTTCTTTTATAATGAGGATGAATGGATGAGAAGGAAGATCGGAATTGCTGTAAAATTGATGGAGTGGTTCGTTTCATTTTTTTTGTAACTGCTTGACAAAGATATTTAAAGATAATTAAATATTTAAATAAGGTGAATTTTGGATCAGGTCCTGAAGACAGACATGATAAATGTTCGAAGCATATCACATTTAACACTCACGAGTTATTTGAAAGTGTATTCATTGCTTACTGAGTGAGAATTGAATAAATCGTGATTCAAATGTCCATCGCCATCAATAGATGCATGACATGTTTCAACATGGTCTCATTCTTCTTTTCAATATTTCCTTCAAAATTGTGTTGATTTAAAACAATTTCAATGGCCATTAAACCCTCTCGCATGAGTCGATGTGAAAATTTGAGACAAGTGAACCAAACCACCATCGAGTCAACACAATCATTGAATCCATCTTGATCATCCTTTGTAGAGTAAGATTGAGAGTTTTGTTGTTGAGTTGGAGAAATCATCCACTCATGTTTCACAACCTTTTTGAATTTTGGTTTTCTTTTAAGAGAAGAGGAATGACCTAAATGATGATTGAAATGTTGTGTTAAATTCTCATGTCTTGTCAATTCTTCTAACCAATAATGGTCTTGATAATACTTGATCCTTTCATTGGCAAATATCAATTGAGAAGCTTCAAATGAAAAGTCTAAACTGGTATAAATCCAAACAGTGATTCTCTCTCGTGTTGGATTTGTGTATTGAAAATGGATACAATCTTTTGATGTGAAATCATAAGAAACAAGTTTAAAAGTTCCAACTTCATGAGGAATGGATTCAATATCATCCTCTTCATCATCACCCATGTTATTCCTCTCACCAACAACAATAACAGCAGCAGGAGATGGAACAGAATGCTCTTTTTCATTGGTCCTAGTAGCAGTAGAATCACCACCACCATCACAACAACCATTACTTTGTCTTCTCGTTGTTGGAACCACCACCACCACCTCACCTTTTGCATCTGAACTGCAGATCCTTGGATGAGAAGGTGTTTTGAGTCGTGGAGGATGGTTTGGTCGTTGAGTTTTGGTTATTAATAAGGTCAAGTGTAGAGTCATGGTGATGGTGTTTGTGGAGAAGGTTCTTTTCATTAGTTTTTCAGATTGGATGGAGTCAAGAGGAAGATTGTAGTCAATAGTGGTGGTGGTGTTGGTGGTGTTGGTGGTGTTGAGATTTTCATTATCCTCAAGAGGATTATTGTTGTCATCATTACCAGAGTTCTCCTCCAATGTAATCTTACCCTCTGCGACACACGTCTTGAATTCCACACCATGTTGATATTAATAGTTGTGGTGTATATCAGCAGTGAGATGATTGTAGATATCATCCGTGAGAATATTAAGGTCCACCATAAGAACAACAAGTGATTCACACACAAAGACTTACATCTTGTTTGAATACTTTTTTTGACATGACCAAGAATGAAATGGTCCAACTTGTTCGTTCGACGTCGTCATGTTGTTGGTTACTATTCATCTTCTGTTCAAATACAATTTCAGAATGACCTTCAAAGACATGTTGTGTGGTCAATCCTATTTGATTTTTCTTCTTCTTTTTTGGTTCCAACTTCCATCTCTTTTCACATCCAACATTGATGATTAAATATAATTTCTGAGAAGTGAACATTGGTTTTAAATCAAGGTGTCGCTTCTCTGATGCATCTATGGTTACATTCGTTGAATGGATGTTTAGAGAGTGAACATGCAAGGATATCAATTCACTCATTTTAAATTTGAAAATAAGAACACGAGAGTGATCAAGAGTTCCAAATATGTCCATTGCCTGAATACGAAAGTCATCCATATCTAAAAGGTGAACATTCATGGCCATCAAACACACACTAGTAATTGATGGGAAGGATGACGGCGCAGGACAATATGATTATTCAATGATTCGAAACATGTTTGGATGAACTTTCACAATTTCTTTCTCTTCAAATGTAATAATAAACGTTCTTCTATCCATGTTTTAACCACTGCTCTCCTTACTGCTCTGCACCCAACAGTACTCATTCTTTCATTGGTTCACTTTCATCAGTCGTTGTTGGAAGACTGTTTTCAATAAGATCAATATTCAAGTCATCAATATTCAATGTTAGTTGAGGATGCAAAGATAAAATCACTTTTTGTGAAATTCTTTTTCCTGTCTTTGGATGGTATGCTATGACATCCAAGCATTTCATAAACTCGTCTAAAGGAGTCTGTTTTACCTCTATTTCGAGTTTCAGAGAGGGATAAGCTTCCTTGTCTTTTTCAATCATTTCAGAAATAAGTTCTTCGTGAGACATTGGTAAGGATGATTTAAAGATATTGGACTCAAAGGGATTAGTTGAACGAGATTCCTTTCTGATGATTGATTTGAGAACTGCTGTCACTCGATTGAAAATAATTAAATCTATCTCGATATCCTCTAATTGAATAAGGATACTATGTTTGAATTTTCTATCTGTTTTGGCATTAGATTAATAATTGTCTAAGATTAAAAACGTACAAACTACTGAAAATGCAGATAGCATGGCTGTGGCAATCATAGGCTCAATCAAATATAAATAATTTCTTCTTTGCACAAAGAATGTCTTTTTGAGATTCATCACGAAAGTAATAATTTTCCAAAATTTGAATATATTTATATTTAATTTTCGTAATCTGATGATTATGATAAAAATAGATAAAAGCATTATAGATATCCAAGTCATCCGATATATTTCCAAAAGAGTATTTAATTTTACAATTCTATTCATCATCTGTTTTTCATCCATCGACAGAGGTTTCCGTACAGGATGTTGAACCGAGTCTTGTGATGATTCCTTTGTTTTGGGAAATAAATGTTGCATGATCGTTTGTATCCTTGATTGCTTGCTCGTCGAAATCGATGCTTTCCGAGTTCTCAAATTCGTCATTTTTGTTTTTCGAAATAAAACATTGCCATTCAACGCAGGTGCCTTAATACTCCTTTTCTTTCCACCAGAAAATCTTTAACAAATTTCTCAATTCTATTAAGAATGGAATGACACAACATCCAAAGAAAATGTACCAGAGATTAGAAGGGTGCCATGTATAAATAATGTAGAAGGAATAAAGCAATCCTCCAGCAATGTTGAAAATAATTTCAATGGTTGAAATGGTTTCCTCAAAGAAGGTACATCCAAACACTAACGTAATCATTTGGATCAAAAGAATAAATAAAGTCAAACTACAACATGCTATGGTGCTGCATGTTTCCGAGTCATCCTTCCGTGAGATGTTATTAATCTTCTCTCTACAAACTTACGAATCGGAAAGAGATTTAATGTCGGATACAAATTGCGTTTCTGTAAGGTACGTTTTGTTTGAAGAATAAACGGCTTTTTCAATATTTCTTTGTCTCTCATACAACACCAAGATGGTTGAGATGATGAATCCAAGGGTTATCAAAAAACGAGAGGGCACAAGAACATTCGTAATGGCAGAGTCGGTCATTTTTATTGTTGCCAATTGTAGTTCAGTTTCTCTTGAGAAAGGTTGGGGTGTTCTCGCCAAGCCAAAGAGCTCTATCCATCTCCACCTGTCACAAGCTAAACAAAGAGAAGAGATGGCTTAGCACAAAATGATTTCAGGTAACATTTTCATTTCGAGAGCGGCCGAACAAAAAATTCTTTCGCCCTCCGTGGGGCTCGAACCCACGACCGTTGGATTAAAAGTCCAACGCTCTACCGACTGAGCTAGGAGGGCTCACATTCCTAAGAAGTTATTAACCAAATTGACTATTTTACAAGAACACAAACCAGTTTTGGGTAATTGTCCAAAAATGATCGGACAAGATCGACGTCGGTATTCTTGAATTAAACAACCAAGCGTTAAGAGTTGTGTGAGTCTTCACCCAATTGAAGCTTGTTCCTTTTTTATTGATTATTATCATTATTGTCACTGCAACAAAAGACATGAACAACCTGGTCAAAATTGTAGGGTCAGACCTTTTTCGAGATTGTGCAAAAGAAGGAATTGTCAAGTAATAATTTATTGACAAGAGAGTCTCGAATAAATAATGATACACGAACTGATGATACACATCAATGTATCGTCGATTAAAAGGAAAATTTCAAAATTGTGAGGTGAATAAGCTAAAAGAAGATGACATCGTTTCAAGTTATGAAATGTCATCTCGAACATCCTAGTTGATGTTTTTGGTATCCACCAACACCTTTTTGCTACTAAGATTCTTTTGTGACGCATTGACATGTAGCCTAATGAATGTTTTAGCGTTTTACCCTCTCACCAACAAATTTAGCATCTACACTTTTAAAAGTGCAGGCTTATTCGTAGTCATCTCCAAAATCATCATTGGATTGGTAGTTTCTTCTTGAATCAGAAGATCCAAAGAAACCTCTGCTACCACCACCAAATCCGCTACCTCTACTAGAGTTTCCAAAACCACCTCTGGTATTACCTCTACCTCTGCTTCCAAAACCGCCACCTCTGCTGTTGCCAAAGAAGCTGCCACCGCCTCGGTTACCAAAACCAGACTTTCCCATCTTTGAATATCTAAGCCTATCTCTTCCTTCCATAATGAATGAAGGAACTTCTTGTTTGGCTTCTTGTAAAAGTGTGATAAGATCGTCTGCAATTTGATTGTTCTTATCAGTATAGAAAGAAGTACTGATACCAGTATTACCTGCACGACCAGTTCTACCAATACGGTGAACATAATCTTCAATATTTTCTGGAAGGTCATAATTGATGACGTGACCAACATCGCTGATATCCAAACCTCTACTGGCAACATCAGTTGCAACCAAAATTGGGGTGACTCCTCTTCTAAAGTTATCAAGAGCTGTTTCTCTTTCTCTTTGTGACTTGTCACCATGAATTGAAGATGATTTGAAACCACTCTTCATTAAGTAGTATTCCAAAATGCTTGCTTCCTTCTTTGTCTTCACAAAGACAAGAGTAAGAGTCTCTACAGAAGCAATTGTTTCTAGTAACAATTCACGCTTTTCTTCATCCTTGCAATAAACAAATTTTTGTAAAATATTCTCATGAGTACTACCAACTCTACCAACGGTCAGGTACAAGTAGTCATGCAAGAAATCCTTTGCCAAGATTTGAATGTTCTTTGGGAAAGTAGCACTGAACATAAGAGTAATTCTATCACCTGCTGGTGGCATACCAGTTTTTTCTACGATATAACGAATTTGAGGCTCGAACCCCATATCTAACATTCTGTCTGCTTCATCCAAAACCAAGTATTGGATCTTGGAAAGAGAAACTGATCCTCTGTCAATAAGGTCAACCAATCTACCTGGAGTTGCAACAAGAATGTCACAACCTCTTTCTAATTGTTTAAGTTGATATTGGATAGCAGCACCACCATAAGCTACAACAGTTCTTCTTCCAGTACGATAAGTGAATTTTCTAGCTTCGTCATAGATTTGGGTTGACAATTCACGAGTTGGAGCCAAAATCAAAACACATGGATAAGTCATAACTTGATCCATGAGTTCAGGGTGTTGAGTGACGGTTTCATATGGTTGTTGTCCTAACAAGTTTGAAATGATTGGGAAAAGGAAAGCGCAAGTTTTACCAGAACCTGTTTGTGCACAAGACATCAAATCTCTACCTGCCATTACAATAGGGATACTATGCTTTTGTACAGGAGTTGGTTTTCCGAAGCCAGCCTTCTCAATGTTTTGAACCAATTTAAGAGGAAAGTTGGCTTCCTTGAAGGTTTGAATTGGAGGAACGATATCCTTGCCGGTGACTTTGACTGGAATGTCTTCATAGGCATCAAAGTTAATTCCGGTGTTTTTCTGTTTAAAAAGCTCTTCGGTTTCAGTGTCTTCTCTGGTGTAGACATCTTTACGTTCGAACAAAGGCTTTCTATCATCGCGTGTTGAGTGTCGGTCATGTCTTCTGTATGATGAAGATGAGTAATCTTGACTTTCACCATCATCTTTAGTCCAATCAACAGCTACTCTACTATTGAAAGCTGGTTTGCTATCACCGTTGGTACCGTTACTATTGTTGAATGGTCTTCTTTGAGTTTGTGAGGAATAGCCATTAGAATGAGATGATGAAGCGCTGATAGTTCTTGTTGTTCCGTTGCTGTGGGATGAGAATGATGGTCTTTGTGAGTGTCCATTGGAGGCTGATGATTCAGTGCCGTTAGATGAAGGCTTGGAATGAGTAGCCTCCGCTTCCTGGAGCATCTTTTGTCTCAAATGAGGAGGGACGTATTTGGACATTTTCTTGTCGGTTGAGTAATTGAAAAAAGTATATTGATTTGGTTTTATACTGTTCAAAATATAGACTCCTTCAATATGTTTGCGCATCACGGATAATGTGGTTCAATCGGATACAATGTTCAAGATGATGGATTAATGGATAACAACAACATGATGAACCAAGAATAGCAAATAGAGGTCGTACAACAACAACATGATGAACGGCGCCATGATGGATATGGGTCATATTTTGAAATATACGTTTTCGCCATGTTGAAGATAAGTCAACAAGTTAAGGTATCATCATCACGATGGTTGTATCCCAAAATTATTAAAAGAATCAAAATTTTAAATGGCTCAAAATTCAACGAGGTTGAGGACATACCTTTTGAAAGAGTAAAATGAAATGTATTGGATGGGAATTGAATATTTTTTTTAACCAATTTTTTAAAATAATTCTGCATTTCAATGTTGAGCATGATGAATCTTTGGTAACAATAATAGAGTGGTTGAAGGTTGCTGGTGTTGTATGCGTGGTTAGCTCCTTTTAGCAATTTTTGTTACGATTAGAGAACAATATTTTTCAAAATCGTGATGATGGCCACGGAGAGAGCGAAATACTAAATAGCTTCAATTAGGAATAAAATCAAAGACCGGTCTGTGCAAGAGAACAAGAGATTTAATAATCTGTTGTTGTTCTCGCAATTTTTTCTTTCAATCAAAAAGCAATCATTTTGTTGAAGCGGACCAATTTAATTGTTTCAACGGAATAAAGGCAACATATTCATGTCAATGACATCTACAACTCCTAGACTCATTACTTGGAAGAAAACTCTTGGATGAGTTAAGGATCTTCTCGGTGATTTGATAAGCTTGGCCTCAAAGAAAGTTCCTTCTTCGTTGATAGGCTGTTTCTCGAGGCGCTTACACAATAGACGAACGTGTGAAAAATATTTACATGACTCTCCGAGCGTTGTTCTATCGTCCATTTCATTGATGGTATAGTTAGTGTACAGAAACGCAATATGGTATTTTCTGGCAATTTTCTTCATTAGCCGAATTAGCTCATCAAAACTACAATCTTCTTTTTCGGAAACTTTTGAGTTGACCCTTGTAGGAAATAGCTGCGAGAGTATGACTGCCAAACTGTCAATGACCACAAGTCTGAGAGTGTTGTAGAATGCATCTTGTCCACTTTCAATTATGTTCACAAGTTCCAGTAACATGCTTTTTAACTCAAGAGCTGACATTATATCAAGAACTCTAATTTTGTACAATGTTTCACAGAGAGAGCATATATCATTTCCATCTCCAGAGTTTGAAGTCTGAGATTCTAGTTGAGATTGTCTTATTTGCTCTCTATAAAGAGTGCTTTTAGCCTCGTAAAGTTTTGCAAAATCTCTAGCATTAAAAGAGGAGTTTGAACTAATCCAAAGAACAGTATTTGAGTTTTTCTCAATAATGCTGTTGAGAGCGACTGTCATGCATAAACTTGTCTTTCCACTTGATTGATAGCCCAATATTTCTGTCAACTCTCCAATATGTATTCCAGAACCAAGAAGCATATCTAGAGTACCGCTTCCTGTATTGAGAGGCTGAATTTGAGTCTTCTCATTATTCAATAGCATTTGTTCAACGCTCACAGATTTTGGGGCATATCTACTGATGAAATATTCTTGTAAAATATAAAGTTGCTTTTTAACAACTGTTGGATCAAACTTAATGTTGGATAAATCCGAGTTGGTAGTTTTTTCTTGATTTTCATCAACATCTTCTACCATCACAATTTCTTGTCTCGTCAGTTCCGTTGATGGCTGTTCCACAATTTGATGCTGATTATGTGGTTGTTCCGATGAGATTTCTTCATGACTTCTCTCATACATCACTGATGCATAAAATCGAGAAATCTTTTTTAATAAATTTCCAATGTTTGAAAACACAACTTCTTCCACACTATTGATACCACTTCCGATCAGCAGCTTGTAGAGGGAAGATGGGATGGCAGAACGGTGTTCGAGCAATAGAGGCATTTTTTCCAGTGGAGTATGGAAGAGGGTGTTTTCGTTATTGTTCTTCACAAACAACGGAGCTTATGTTTGGAGAATTCCCAAATGCAATCAAATGAAACGATCAAGGGAGTGGTTGTTGAAGACTTGTTTGGCTTCTTCGTTTTTACTTTATTCACCGTGTTCAACAGTTCCTTTGTTTTCCAACAATAAGAGGAATTTCTTCCCAAAAACCATCATCAAAAAAATGTCTGCTTCATCATCAAATGTGGACATGGAATTATTGTTGAATGAATCATGGAGGTCGACCACTTTGCCTGGTATTATCAAAAAACAACCCGATGTTGAAAAATTTCTTGGTAAGAAAAGAGACTCCAATATAATTCCCAAACTGGAAAATACATTTCGAGCACTCAACGAGATGAGTTCTGTTTCGGAATGTAAAGTTGTCATATTCGGACAAGGTATGTGTTGGAGGAACATGCCAATTTAATTTAAATTATTAATTATTTATTGATGTTTAATTTAAAATAATTAAACATGTTCTTGCATGATATCTTTTGTGATGTGTTCTGCAGATCCATATCCAAGAGAAGAAAGTGCTATTGGTATTGCTTTTAATGATGGTCAAATTAAAAAGTGGACCGATGCCATGTCTCCAAGTTTCAGAAATATCATCAAGAATGTTTTAATTAGCTCTGGACATCTAAAATCGAGTGATAAAGTGGAAACTATGAGAAAACAAATTGCCAAACTCAAGTTAATGGATCCACCTGATTGGTTTGAATATACCATGAAACAAAACGTGTTGTGGCTCAATACTGCTTTGACATTTAGCGGTACTGACAAATCTGAGCTCAACAAACACACCAAATTCTGGGCACCTATTGTTGAGGGAATTGTTGAAACACTCTTAAAAGAATCTACTAAGGGTATTGTGTTTGTGTTATGGGGAGGTAATGCTAAAAAGTTAAAGGTTGGTTTTCGAATTATAATTATTATTGAACCAATTAATGTAAACTCTTCTTGTCACAAGTCCATGATTAATAAGGTTGCTAAAAAAGAGACCAAAAAAGTGGAGTTTGTAGAAGCAAACCATCCTGCAGTAGAGAGTTTCAATGATGTTCAAACCTTTACAAAAGTGAATGAAGCACTCAAAAAGCTTGACCATGAAGAAATCGACTGGTTAGGAACTGAAAAGAAGAGAAAGGAGGCCCCAAGTTCCTCAAGCTCAGTAGAGGATGAAGAGGTTGCTGAATCTTCAAATAAGAAGGCCAAAAAATAGGCGAACAATGATGATGTTTAAATACGTTGTTTCAAATGAAAATATTATTTAATTTCTTGTCACAACACATTGCTCTTTCATGTTTTAAAACTGTTCCTTCAGTCGTTGGCTTACTACTCTCAGACGATTGTAAACAACTCCAGGAGGAGAACCTAAAATCAAGTCAACAATTGCACTTCTAGCAAGTTGAATATTTGCAAATGAGCCCATCACGTGAATACGAGCGTCAGCTACAACAATACGAGTTTTTGTGGCATTTTCAATTGTAAATTTCACTGCTCCTCCTTTTCCGGCAATACGTGCAATTGCTCTGCTCAAATGGTCTCCCTGTAATGAACGTTTCACGTCTTTTACATCAAATGATTCAATATAAATGTCATCTAACCGTAAGAGAGCTAAGGCATCCTCTACAGCAAAGCCAATCATAAAGGCCTGAACAAAATCTCTGGCCTTTGTCAAGTTTTTCAAGGATTCACTTTCTTCTGTGTCGTCTTCTTCCGTTGTCATTGTCTCTTTCTTTGGTGGAATTCGGATTTCAACCTTTTGTTGCTTAGTATTCACTCTCACTTGTAAATGTAACTTCTCAACAATTGGTGTATATATGGACTCCCATTCAGTTTTGAGAGCAGTGAAACGGTTACTAGCGATACGGACAGCAACATAATTGCTTTTTTGAGCTGGAGTGGATTTATGGTGATGATGATGCTTTTTCTTTCGTGATGATGATGTGCCTTGTTCTTCGGTTTGATTGGACGAGTCTGCCACATTCGAATTTTCCTCCTCTTCAAAATTGCTTGATGGAGCAGAGGCCGATGATGAGGCTTCGGTCATGGATGTATCATAGGGTTCGTTTCTTGTCTTTTTGAGAGCATAAAGCCTTCGTTTAATTTTGCCTGTCTTGGCATTTTGAAATTGTTGTTCTGTAGAGGTATTATTCGTGCTTTCTTCTGGAGCATCGTCCATGGATGCCCAAACGTTTTGTTGCTCCGATTCTGATGTGGAGGTTGTTGGGTTGGTGATCATTTTTTTTGAACTTCAAATTTTGTTGGCTGTGAGGGTGGTCATTGCTAAGAAAACTTTAATGGGTGTGAGCGGAGATGAACCTTTTCATCAATTCATGCTTATCCCTTCTGCAAATAAGCATCATTTGCTCAGTACTGCTCCACAGCAATGCACCAATACTCTTTGCATATTCAATAGTATTTTCCAAATCTTTGATACTGGTAAACTTGTCATAAACTACACTTTGTGTCTTTTTCAATCTATTTCTCTCCTTTTCCCATAAAATAATTTGATCCGAAACAGTGTCGGGAATAACTGGTTTTTTCTGTCTCATAATTGGATGAGCATTCAACCTTAAAAATTGTAAAATTTGGTGAGCAGTAATTCCATTCTTGAGGGCTTCTCTAATGGTAGCTCTAGTGATTAGACCAACTATCAGATTTGGTAGACGATATTCTGGAAAAATGAATAATGAAAGGAGAGCGATTTGCAGAGGGGAGTTTGTGTAGGCATAGACTCTGTAATTAGTTTCTACAATAATGTAACCACTTCCCGTTTCCTTATTTGAAACTCCAAAAGAAGTTACAGAATCATAACTTGTTGAAACGGACACTGTCAAGTTCTTGGCCAATGGAGTTGGGAAATAATATTTATCCTTAATTCTCGTCTTCTTGTCTCTTGGAAGATAGATTATGCCCAGGTCATTAAAGTCTACGAGCACGCTTTTTTGAGTTGGTGTTAAATCCTTGCTACTATATTCTTTTCCAATTTCTAAAAATCCCAATTCAAAAATAAAGTTAAGGATTTCAGTTTTGCTTTGATTTCTTCCATGTGCTGTTTCTAAATATTGTTTCAATAGCTTCCAAACCTGAACTTTGGTTTCTTGAAGCAAAAATTGGAATCCTTCATTTGTGATTTTAACTGATTGTGATCTTTTGATAAGTTGGGAGCATTTGAGCAATTCTTTAACATTTTCTGAAAAGGATTGCTCTGTTTCAACTGCAGTTCCAACAAGATATAATAGAACGTTCTCCCATTTTCTCTTTGAGTACTCTTGAAGAAACTCGGGGTCTAAGTCTTTAGGCTTATGTTTTTTTCGTTTCTTCTTCTTTGGCTCCAACTCCGATTCAGCATCGTTGTGATCACCCTCGTCAGTTATGTGATCTGTGTTTTCCTTTGATGACTCTCGGTTCTTTCGATGATGATGATGGCTATGAGAACTTGTAGGTACCAAGTTATGAGTAGTACTACTGACTAATTTCCTAAATGTTTGTTGGAAATGACTATTCATAACAAAAAACTCTTCCTTGTGCGTTTCGCTATAAACAAGGCTAATAATTCTATATGTTATCAATTGAGCTAAAGCGTTTTCGTGAGCATCTTGAATTTGCTTTAAGAGTGCTTTTTGATCTTGTTCTTGATTTTTCTTTGATCCTGTACTACTATCTAAATATCCTGATAAATTAGTTAATTTTTTTGGTACATCTAGTTGTATTTGCTTGCGAGGTATTTCTGCGCAAAACAACATTCTCATCACATATTGCTTTGCGATATCGGAAAGAAATCTAAACACAGCTTTACATGTCCAAGTATGATCATACAATGCGTCCAACTCAGAAGGTGGTAATGCAAGAATATACGAGAAGATGTTATCCGTTGATTCCAAGCCTTCGTAAATACTTCTTTGAGCCTCTCTTGATAATGAAGACATTTTTTTTAATTTAAAATTTCATTTTCTTTATCAGTTTTTTATTGGATTGTGAGGGAGAGAATTTTAGTTTTAATTAGTATGAATTCTCGTCACAGAATTGAACCTCAATTCAGACCCGTAGTTGTGCAGGTTTGTGTTGCTGCTTCATTGCACTTGTTTCCGTCACACCATCTATCAACAACACACAAAAAAATTATCCCTTCCCAATTATCCTTCTCTCTGTTAATTGCTGATCTGTCAAAAAATTGACAACTGACCATCTCTCACCTTCATAATCATCATCACTCGCATCAATGCTACTTCATCATCATCTTCACAAAACTCAGAGTGTAAATATTGACCAAATCTATCAATTATACGAGTTTCCATTTGAAGCCATCTTTGATGTTCCCGAAGCCAAAGAAGAATTCAGACAATACTTGAAAAAAGAACACAATGAAGAACCGTTTCTCTTTTATGAAGATGTTGAAGAATACAAACGGTTGAAATTTGAAGAAAACAAAGCAAAGAAAGCCATCGCTATCTTCAAGAACTATTTATTGCCCAACAGTCCTCATGAAGTGAACATTTCCGCTCAGCACAGACAAAATGCGATCAAAGCCTTTGAACAGTCCGCTCAACTGCAAAACGATAAATCCATGCTTGTTCCAGAGAATGTATTCGATGAAATCCAACTTGCCATCTTTTACAATTTGAAAAACGATAATTATCCTAGATTCACTGTTTCTCAACAATTCAAAAACTTTCTCAAACAAAAAGACATTGCATTTGTATCTTTGATTGCCATCAAGAAGAACACTACTTATATGAAATATGTACCCAAACTTGAAGGACTTATTTGTGATAGAGATATTCAATTCTTTTCATTTATGTGTTTTAATGATGATTTGGAAGTTTGGGATGAAATTTCAGTTTCTAAAGATGCTCGTGCTGCATGCTATCAATCGAAAAAGGAATTTTATTTCAATGATCAATTAGGACAATCGGAAAACATGAGTGGAAAAATCATGAAAATGAAGTTTATACTTCCATGTACCAAAGAAGAGGCTTTTAATGTATTTTCTCATACCCATTTAAGAAAAGAAATTTTAGACATTGAAAGTATTAATCAGGTCGATTACATTCCCATTTCAAAGAATAACAAGTATGCTCAAACCATTCTCCACACGCAAATGCCAGTGAAAGGTTTTAGTTGGATCATGAAACCACGAGAGGCAGTTGCAGCAGTCACTTGTGTCTATGATACAAAGAGAGAGAGCTATGGATTTATTATGAAATCTACTGAAACAATGATCGTGCCTATCCGAAAATCTCACGTGAGAGTTCGAGTCTTGACCTCCGCGTTCTTCAGTGATTGTCCAGTGAGTGCCAAAATTACTAGTCACAAGATCCTTAAAAAACAAAGCGAATCCTCTCCCTCTCTAAAGAAATCATTGAACTCGCACAAGAAAAGTTCTTCACAGTCATCATTCTCTCTGACAGGTGTCGTGACTACACTCTCTGAAAGAGTTTCTCGACACAGTGAAGAAGATGCCTCCGAGGATCAGACGATGAGCCCATCCGAATCTTCCTTTGGCTCAGCAGAACATGCTTGCCTCATTTCATTCACCTCCTTTTTGGATTTCAAAATTCCTTCCGAGACGGTTAAAAAGAAAATATTCAAGACCAAGAATAAGATCATCTACAATCGGTTATTGAATACAATCAAAGAGAGTCGAGCCATGGCATTTCCTCGTGCCAAATTTAGTGAGGGAGTTTTAGATACTTTGGATGCGTTTAAGGAGTATTATTTATCAAATGATCCCAATGCTGAAATGACATGGGAATTAGAGGATGAAGAAGACGGAACCCTTCATGAAATTGTTTCTTCAACCAACAACAACAATAACAACAACCAACACTAATGAGAAAACCAAATGAGAGCTCTTGAACGTGGTTAATGGGTTCTCTCTCTCCGCTATCATGCTTGGAAACGGAATTTAGGAATTGTGCTCACTGCGTGTGCATACGGATTTTGCAAATAGAGGACAAAAATAAAAAGGATAAGCGGTGATAGTATTTTGTTTGCTCGCGAGAAGGTGTGTTGTGTCATTTTGATTTGGTGCTTTTGGAAAGAGAAAACGGTTGAGCAGGATAGTCCACCAACACAAAAAAATGAATCATCAGCCTCATCATCATTTCCATCACGGACATCATCATCATAGAAAGAATCATTCCATCGATATTGACCAAATCTATCAATTATACGAGTTTCCATTTGAAGCCATCTTTGATGTTCCCGAAGCCAAAGAAGAATTCAGACAATACTTGAAAAAAGAACACAATGAAGAACCGTTTCTCTTTTATGAAGATGTTGAAGAATACAAACGGTTGAAATTTGAAGAAAACAAAGCAAAGAAAGCCATCGCTATCTTCAAGAACTATATTTTACCATACAGTCCACACGAAATTAACATTTCCGCTCAGTTCAGACAAAATGCAGTGAAAAGCTTTGAAAACTCAGGTCAACTGCAAAACGAAAAGTCAGTTCTAGTGCCAGAAACCATTTTTGATGAGATCCAATCTTCCATCTTTTACAATTTGAAAAACGACAATTATCCTAGGTTTACCGTATCTCAACAATTCAAAAACTTTCTCAAACACAAAGACATTTCTTTCATTTCAATGATTGCCACCAAAAAAAACAACAAATATATGGACTTTATTCCCAAGTTTGATGGTCCAATATGTGACAGAGACATTCAATTCTTTTCATTTATGAGTTTTAATGAGGATTTGGAGGTATGGGACGAAGTAAAGGTAGGAGAGGATGGAAGAAGAGCCTGTTATCTCTCTAAAAAAGAATTTTGTCTCAACGATCAAATAGAGTGTGAAGAGCAAATGACAAGAAAATTGATGAAACAAATCTTCATTGTTCCATGCAAGAAAGAGGAAGCTCTCAACGTCTTTGCACATACGCATTTGAGGAAAGAAATATTAGATCTTGAGAGTGTCAACCAAGTCGATTTCAACCCAATTTCTCCAAATAACAAGTATGCTCAATCCATACTCCATATTCAAATGCAACTGACAGGTTTCAGTTGGATTATGAAACCTCGGGAGACGGTAGCTGCGCTCACCGCCATTTACGACACCAAAAGACAGGCCTATGGAATGATGCTCAAGTCCACAGAGTCATTGCTTGTTCCACATCGAAAGTCACACGTACGATTTAGAATTTTATCGTCAACATTCCTTCAAGATTGTCCACTCAATACACAGATCACAAAACAAAAGGAATTGAAGAGAAAAAGCACTTCTCTGAAAAATAGTGCTAGTGCTAGCTCATCATCTATTGGTTCGTTAGATGGAAATCATCCTTCAAGTTCCTCGAACTCTGGATCATTTTCGAGCAATATCAGTACAGGCAGAAAAAGTACTGTTACAGAAGAAGATGATTCTTCAGAGAGCTCTGACTCATTTGGCTCCGCTGATCATGCATGCAAAGTCACAATTGTTTCGTTTGTTGAATTGAAGGTTCAGTCTGCGTTTCTCATCAAGAAGGTCCTGAATACGAAAAATAAGAATGGATATGCTCGCTTTTTAGCTGCAGTGAAAGACTCAAAAGTCAGAGGATTCCCAAAACCAAAGTTCTCTGAAGGCCTATTAGAGACATTGGATAGTTTCAAAGAACACTATGCGGATGCAGAGATGACTTGGGAGCTCAATGCAGAGGATGAGCTTCACGACATTGTCACAACCCCAGAAAAGAATAAAACAGTGTTTTAATTGTGTCAGCAAACGTTTCAAAGAATAATAATTTAATGGCGATCCTTATTGAACACCACTCTTCCTGCTTAAGAAAATTTGTCTAATCGTTTCAGCGTCTTGATAAATGGCAGACCCTTCTTGGTTGTAAGTTTGAGCGTTTACGACCAATGTTTGAATATCTTGTTCCATGTCCTCAACGCGCTTGTAAACACCATTTCTGATTTTCTTATCGATATCATTCAGGCAAATTGGTGTTTGTATGAGATCATAATAGTCAGGGAAATCTTTTCTGTCTGGTAGTTCCAAGAAAGGCAATGCCAAAGCTCTGCCATCTTCCTCATCAAGTTTAGTGGCAATTTCCATGAAAATGGAGTACAATTGTTGTTGAAGACTTGACCCCAAGCTATCATACACTTGTTGGTAAGGGGTATTGTCATACGAATAACCAATAGTGATATCTTCTGAATCTACTTCATTGTTTTCCCCATCTTCCTCTTCTTCCTCCTCTTCTTGGACCTTCTTTTTCTTACCATTACTCTTTGCAGTGGTCTTCTTCTTTTTGGAAGACTCTTCTTTCTTGGCAGATCTTCGTTTTCTCTTCTTGGTGCCCTCTTCTTCCTCTTCCTCGGCCTGATCCTCTTCTTCTTCCTCTTCTGGTGCTGCATTGTCTTCTTCCTCATCCTCCATTTCATCACCACTACCTCCCTCATAGTTAATGTCAGCTCTGGATCTTCGACCTCTACCATACTCTGCTTCTTCAGCTTCGCCTTCCTCAACCTCTTTGTCCTTAATCCATTCAGGGAGTTCTTCTTCGGTCATTAGGCGACTTGTAATACGTCCATGTTGTTTCAAAACTTCTTGCTCTCGTTCCTTGTCCATGTTTTGGAAAATTTCAAATTCATCGTCATTTCTAGCCAACATGTTGTTCAGTTGTTCATCGTTAGGAGCTTCATGTACACTTTCGAAATCGCTGGCTTTCTTGAGTAGAGTTTCAAGCATTTCGTTTCTTTCCATGATGGTAGATTTTTGATTGAATTTACCTGCTTTGATGACCTTAGCCTCAGCGTCACGTTTTGCTTGTGCACGTTCTCTAATCTTTTCTTCAACTGGAGTACGTGTGACAAACGTAAGTACTAACACAGATTTTGTTTGACCAATACGGTGAGCTCTTGCCATCGCTTGTAAATCTTGTTGAGGATTCCAGTCAGAATCGAACATGATGACAGTGTCGGCGGTTTGAAGGTTAAGTCCCAAACCACCTGAACGAGTGCTGAGAAGGAAAATAAAGTATTGAGAGTCTTTCTCATTCCACTTCTTGACCAAATCACCTCTTTCGGAAGCTTTAACAGCTCCGTCAAGTCTTAGGTATTGATAATTTTTCTGAGTGAGGAATTCTTCCATCAAATCTAATACACTGGTCATTTGAGAGAACAACAAAACTCTGTGACCAGTCTTTTTAAACTTGGGAAGGATTCGGTCTAACAGTTCAAACTTTCCAGAGCATTTAGTCATCATTTCATAATACTTTTCGTCAGACAAGGCGTTTAGTTCTTCTGATCCTGTAAAGAACAAGAATGGATGGTTGCAAACCTTTCTTAGCTGCATGACTGTATTGCTAAGAGACTGCATTTTAAGTCTCTTTCCGTTGACATTGAGTTTGTTCTTATCTTGAATATCAGTGTACATCTTCTTTTGCATTGCTGATAGATCAATATAAATAATCTTTTCAGATTTTTCTGGAAGTTGTTCTTCCACGTCGGTTTTTTCTCTTCTCAGAAGGAAAGGACGTAACACTTGGTGAAGTCTGTGAATGATGAGCAGTTTTTCTTCTTCTGTCATTTCAGCCTTATCACCACCAAAAGGAGAGTTGAACCAGTTTTCAAAGTTGACTGAGCTATCAAAAATCTTTGGCAACAAAAAGTTTAGCAAGGCCCACAATTCCTTCAAATCGTTTTGAAGAGGTGTACCTGTAAGGAGCACTCTGTATTTGGAGTTGTACTCGACTAATGCCTTCACTAATTTACAATCAGAGTTTTTGATTCTGTGACCTTCATCCATAATGATATAGTTCCATGGTATCTTCTTTAGAATAGATTTTTCTCTTGTAATATATTCGTATTGTGTGAGCAGGACTTGGAAATCTCTAGTCTTAAGGTAAGTATTTTGTACGTGTTTTCTTTGATTCTTGTCTCCTCCATATCGAACCAATTTGAGTGTTGGACACCATTTTTCAAATTCTAATGCCCAGTTGTCAATTGTAGATAATGGAACAATGACCAAATGAGGGCCCTTATTATTCTTGAATTCATAAAGATAGGACAGAAGTGAAATTGTTTGAATGGTCTTACCCAAACCCATTTCATCTGCCAAAATACCATTAATTTTGTTGTTGTAGAGAGAAACAAGCCATTGAAGACCTTGTAATTGATATGCCTTCAAGCCTCCTCCAACCAGAATGGAAGGTTGCTTTTCAACCTTTTCCACCAATTTGTGAGCAACTTTGTAGTAATTATTTTGGTTGAGCAAGAACTTTTTGAAAATGTTCTTTTCACCTTCTTCCTCTTGATCAAACTCAAGTTCAGGTTCCTGTTCTCCGTCTCTGCCTGAAACGAGAGAAGCTCCTAAACTCTTCAAACATTCATCAGTTTGTTTGAGTAGTTCTGTCAATCTTCCTTCTTTGGTTTGTTCTAATAATTTGAAGTAAGCCTCTTCGTCATTTTCTTTCAAAGCTTTCAATCTGGCCTTTTCAGCTCTTGCCTTTTTTTCCTTTTCTTGTTTGGCTTTCTTTTCAAAGAAAGTCACGAGATCCTTATTGATTTTCTCAACAGGTTTTTTAACATCGTTCTTATAATATTCCTTAATTCTCTTTCTAGCGTTTGTTAAGTCTGTAAAGAACTTCTTTGATTTGACTGTTGTCTTTTCCTTTGTCTTTTGGGTTTTGCTCTTCTTAGTTGTTAATGATTGATCTGTCACCATTTGACTAGCTCTCGCAACATGAGTGTCGACAATGGGTGTGGCAGCTTGTGTCTTTAATTGTCGGATAATGTCAGCTCGAAGTTCTTTTTGTTGTTTGAGCAACTGGAATTGTTTAATTTCAATCACAGATCTCAGTTGTTCAGATGGAGGTAAGGTATTCAATGATGATTTGAGATGTTCAAACTTTCTCTTCATCTTATGTTGAATTCTCTTCTCTCTTTCTCTGTACAATGTTTGAAGATCTAAGCCTTGTTGTCTCTGGTTAGCTGTATCTGGATTAATCTTGGAATCTATGACCTTAGTGCCCATTGATGCTTGATTGTTCATGGCAGGAATGGTTGGTTGATTGGTAACGGTAGCATTGAATGACGCATTAGCAGCAACAGTTGATGGCAAAACGCGAGGTGGTTGAGAAACTGGAAGTTGTTGTTGTTGTTGTTGCACAACCACATTGTTGGGTTGTGGTTGGGTGGAAGGCACTTGGGGAGCAGTCTTTCCCGATGGGTTCAAATAAGTGGTTTCATACTCCTTCAAATTATTCTCAACGTTGATGCCCATAACAGCCTGTTGCAAAGATGGCGGAAGAGGCTCTCTCTTCGAAATGTGGTGTTTGAACGCAAAGATTTGTGCTTTCAGCCGTTCCTTTTGTTGTTGAGTAAAGAGAGGAGTAGGAACTTGTGATGATTGTGGTGCTTGTTGAAACTGTTGCACAGTGGCTGAAGTGAGAGGAGGTTGGACAGGATTCGGAATGACTGTATTCACTACTTGTTGATTTTGTTGTTTGAGGATGTTATGATTACTCATTTGAGCCTTTAGAAACTGATGAAGGTTCTTGTATTGCGGATCATTCAAATCCTTTCCTTCACTCTTCATCTTCTTCAACAAATTAATATAGGCGTGAAGCTGTTGCTGAGTAAGTGGTTTTGATGGATCCATCTTTTTCTCGAACAAATATTTATCAGGGTTTGTTATGGCGCGATATTTAAAGCCGTGAAGAACGACGGGCGTGGTGGTGGATGATGACAATAAATAAAAAAACAAAATCGGGTGCTGAGATGTGTTGTTGGTCGTTAACTCTCGGAGCGGTTACAATTTTTTTAACCGTGCAGGATTCCTTCACCTCTAAAAAATGAGGTGGTAATTTTTTGTTGGCAAATGGATGGCTTGGGTCTATTTTAAGACCATACAAAAATTTCGATGAGCGACCAGCAGCGAGAAACCACGCAAGAAGAAGCCTCCAGCAGCGAGCAAGCACAAACCCTCGTCCTGAACAACAATAACAACAAGATCCATGAAACGAGTACTGCTACTACTTTGAATGAAGATTCTGATTCTGATGGAGAAGAGGGCAATCTCCAACATCATCATGAAAACCCGGAAACTTTTGCACCAATACCAAGAGAAAAATTAGAATTTGATTGGGATAATCCAGTGTTGGATTTAGCACATCACCCTCATGAACAAATCGGAGCTGGTTATCCTCTTGGCGCACATTTACAGTACTTGGATTTAACCAATTGTAGATTGAGAAAGATTGAAAATCTTGATCATTTGAAAAACCTGGAAACATTGTTGCTCCGACAAAATTTAATCACAAAAGTAGAAGGATTAAAGAATTTGGAATCGCTCAAACATTTAGATCTGTACGGCAATCAAATTAAGAGGGTAGATGCATCTGAACTAAACTCTCTCACAAATCTAGAGTAAGTTTTGCAATTCATTTAATATACGATTCCGAATTTCAAACATTTCCATTCCTTCCTCGAATGAATCCTTAAATTCATTCGTAATGTTACAACAAATTCCTGAATGCCAATCCTCTCAAAATCAGACATCTAGATCTATCTTTCAACTTGTTACGTCACATGGTTAAAGGATTGAAGCTTCCCAAGTTGCGACAATTATACTATGTCAACAATAAGATTAAAGAAATTGAAGAAGAGGCAACAAAGGGAGAAACAGATCTTCCTTCATTGGAGTTACTCGAATTGGGCTCTAATCGATTGCGAGAAATCAAACATTTAGAGAATTTCACCACACTCAAAGAGTTATGGCTTGGCAAGAACAAAATTACAGAAATTAAATGCTTAGAGACTCTTGTAAATTTGACTAGATTAAGCATACAGAGTAATAGAATTACAAAAATTCATCGTCTAGACACTCTCACTCAATTGGTGGAATTATATTTGAGCGAAAATGGTATTGAAGTAATTGAAGGCCTTGACAACTTGACAAATCTTGTATTATTGGATCTAGCCCATAATTTTATCAAGTCTCTTGATCATCTTTCGCATTTAACTGATTTGGAAGAATTTTGGTGCAACGATAACCAAATACCGACTTTTAAAGAAATTGAGAAACTTTCACCTTTGAAAAAACTCACCAGCATTTACTTTAGAAGTAATCCAATTTATGACGACCCTCAATACAAACGTAAACTCTTGCTCATTATGCCTCAACTCACGTCGATTGATGGCTTTCCAGTGATTAAAAAGTGAAATTCATTCATCCACTTAAACTTGGAACCTCTTTCAATAGAATGACAGATTAAAAAAATGTCTTTCCACCAAACCTCGACGTCGGATCTTCCGAATCATCTTCAGTCTGAATCAAATAATAATTTCATATCAACATCCATACAATTCCTTGATGAGCTTAATCAATCGTTACTCCTCGCCATCTTATCTTCCTTTGAAAATTACAAACCAAAAATTATTCAATCATTACTTTTTCCTCTCTCCAAATTATCTCATAAAAAATCAGCAGTGACTTTAAATTTGCGAATTCAACCGAAAAACAAAAAACTTGAAGTGTTATTTATGAAAAGAGTAGAAAGAAATGGAGATGTATGGAGTGGGCATGTTTGTTTTCCAGGTGGAAAGTTTGAAGAAAATGTCGATAAAAATCTCTATGACACTGCAGTGAGAGAAACATGCGAGGAAATTGGTGTGAATTTAAGTGGTGACAGTTTCAATGTTAAATATATTGGAAGAGTGGATGATCATTTAGCTCAAGGGAACTTACCAGTGAGCTGTTTTGTATTTTTATGGAATTATTATACTGTTACGAATGAGAATCAAGTAATAAGTAATGTGAAATATAATATCAATCCAACAGAAGTGGGCGGAATACGGTGGGTTCCTTTAGACCTATTTATTTCTAACCCAAACAATCGACAACGAGTGAAAACAATACAAGTAGACGAATTTGGAAATAAGACCATTACGAATTCTCTGTCATTTCACATGGGTTTAGTATTTCCAAGATTAAAGCAGATGTTGGGAGAGCATAATATTAGAAAACTAATTGTCAATTTTCCTTGTATTGAAATTCCTGTGAACCCTCACGACTTGGATGACGAAAATATTTCGGATTTGCAGAATCCGCAGCTAAAGTTTGTTCTATGGGGTTTAACTCTTAGAATTTTATCTAATTTTCTTAGAATTATTCATGAGTCTTTGCCACTACTGAATTATGACTACGACACGGAGAATAGAATTGTTGATTTTTTGACTCAATATTCGAATCGATTTGCCCGAAACTTTTTAACACAATACGAAACAGATGAAAGTAGTCCTATCCCTCGGTCCGAGCGTCTCCCAACCAGCAATTCAAACCATACAACAGAATTACTGAGTAGAATATCCAAGTTGTGACTCGAGTTAATATCAGATTCATGAACTTTGAGATTGATGGACAGCATTAAAAGTTAAATTCAAGAATCAGTAATAGTAACTAAAACACTACTTACCTCTACCTTGGGTTAATTCTCTAACCTTCTCATTCCAATTTGGTGTTGTATTGTAATTGATGATATGATGAGCACCCAATTCAATGGCCTTCTTCAATTTTTCATCACTGGATGAAGTGACAATGACAGTCGCACCAGAAGCAGCTGCAAATTGAATGGCGAACACAGAAACACCACCTTTTCCTAAAACAAGTACAGTTTGACCTGCTCGTACAGGATTAATTCCATTTTCATACAAGGCATGGAATGCAGTCAATGCTGCACATGGTAAAGTTGCACCCTCCTCATAACTCAAGATTTGTGGAATTTTAACAATGGAATGTTTTTCAAAAACACGATATTGAGAGAGAACTCCATGAGCAGATCCTCCCAACACATTTCCCGTATATTCTTCCTTCATTTCACCATCAATCCAATCTTGAGTAAAAATTCCAGCCACACGTTCACCCACTTTAAATTCCTTGACATTTTCACCCACTGCAACAACTTCTCCGGCACCATCCGAGAGTGGAATTAAACCATCAGAAGGGAAATTTGATGGGTATTTTCCTGTAGATACAAGAACATCACGGAAATTGAGAGAAGCTGCTCTCATTCGAACAAGTACTTGATTTCTAAGAAGTGTTTGAGGAACAGGCTCATTAGTATGTAATTCAAGATTCTCAATTCCTTCTCTTTTGAAAATTCGATATAATTTTTGAGTGGTAGGAAGGGTCATGATGTTTCTTTCAATAATAATAAGGCTTGTTGTTGAAAGGTCGTGAAATTTCATTCACTACTGAATTCCTAAAATGGCATCAACACCCGAAAAAGAGTGCGCACTCGAACGCTGATTCGTGGAAGATCTCCGTAAAGGTGTTCATCGATGAACGCAATATGTTCGAATTTGGAATCTGATTCGTGCCAGTGCACCCACAACAACTCATGTTTGTACAAAAGAAGAGAAGGTGAATTGGGACAATTCAGAAAAGATGATTTGAAAACAATGGTTTGAAAGAATTCATCATCTTTGTCTTGTTGAAGTATTTCTTTGCATCCAATCATTTGTTCCATCCATTCTTCTTAATTCTTCTAATTGCATTTCATCTCGAGTCATATAGTCTGGAAATGATGGTAAACCAGTGATTGGATTTACATAGTGTCCATAGAATTCCATTTTCACTTGATTTATAGTGTCATTGTGTGAAGGGAAAGTATAGGGATTTTGAGATGTGTGTGAAATCATTCCACCAAGATGATATTGAGAGGAATTCTCTTCTGAAGAATCATTATTTGTAAATTTCCACCATCCATGAAAGGAGGGAAATACTTTGGAAATATATAATTTTACAAATACAAATCCTAAAAGTAGTGTCATTAATTTTGGAAAATATTTTGAAATGAAATGATAGATTAATTTTAAAAGTTGTAAAATTCTATTTGAAGTATTCATTGATTTGGAGGAACCTTTGTGATCCGAAGGATTTGATTTATTGTCAGAAAGTAGTACTTGAAGAAGAGATGAATTTTTTTGTAATAACTCCGATGATGAGAGTGTTGTGTGTTCGGATCTCGAAGACTTCATTTTTTAATTTTTTTTTAATATTAAATATTTAAATGGTTTTCTCAATAGATTATTATTTTAATAATCTCTCTTTTCAAAATCAGTTTTAAATTTCAATAGAACATGATCGATATGACTATTATGAAAACCGAGTTCCATTTGGTCCTAATTTACATTTACAATATGGACATCCATTTTCATCTTTTTCAAATCCAAATTTACAATACATTCGACAAAGAGGTCCACATTTCACTGTTGGTTGTTGTTGTTGTTGTCGTTGGGAATTCTTTGTGTCACCATGATGTTGTTCATCATCACCACCATGAATGATCTTTTGAATGGTTAATTTATTTGTTTTTGAAGATGCTTCGGAACCTTCTGATGCTATCACTGCTGCTGAAAAGAGAAGAATGAGAAGAAGACAAGTCGTGGTGACAATAATGGTGATGTTGGTTGAGAATTTCATTGTTGTGAAAATTTTTTTCTTTGAACTAAAAAAAGAACGAGTGATTCACTGAGAGCCAGTGACTGCGACAACACAATCATTCTTGGTCATTCAGAAGAATAGGAGTAACAAACATGTGAGGAAACCCATCATGGTAATAATCTTTATTGTTGGTATGGTCTATGGTACTACTACTACTACTACTACTACTACTATGGAAACATTTGATTCAATTTTCTCTTTTTCTTTTGGAAGGAACCACCACCACCACCACCACTCTTATTTCCTCCTCCTCCTCCTCGAGGATAGGTTGATTTATGTTGTTGTTCATGATGATGATTAATTCTTCCAACATTATTTGCAGAAACACTTGAATCAAATTCACTCATGGTATTCATCATCATTCTTGCAGTTCCATCTCCATCAGTGGCATATCGACTCAATAATTGTGAATATTCAGAGAGTGGTTTATGAACCACTCGACTCTCATCAAAGGAAACACCACCAGCACTTTCACTACTTTGAGCATCTGATGTCAATTCAGAGAGTATTTGTTTGTTTTTGTGTTTTTGATTCTTTCTTAAACCTTCTGGAATGATAATTTTAGGTCGAGAGGGTTGAATTTTACCCTTTTCAAAATCACGATAAAGTTTCATACGTTCATTGGGTGTGAGTTTCTTCTTTTTCAATTCAGATTGACGTAATTGAAGAGGAGTGAGACCTTGTGGTGCTAGTTGAGAGGTGTTGGAATTGATCATTGAGGATAAGGTCTTTTTCTGTAGTGGATGTTCCTTGTCTTGCTCAACTCCTCCTCCTGCACTGGTGGTACTACTACTACCACTTCTATTACTGAAATTCCAACAAGCATTGGTATTCACACTCACTTCTGTACCATCACTGTTTGCTGGCTTTCCAAATGAAAGAGGTGCTGTCCTAGTGGCAGTAGTAGTAGTCTGAGGAGAAACTGGAGGAGGTAGTGGTATTGGTATGACACCAACACTTTCTGTCGAAGGTGTTCCATTCTTCAATGCTCGAATTCGCATTTTTGAACTTCCCGTAGTCAAAGTGGCGGGACGACTCGAAACAGAGTTGGTGGAAGGCGGAGTTGTCTTTTCAAAAGTAGTAGTAGTAGTAGTAGTAGTGGTGGTAGTGGTAGTGGTAGTGGTAGTACTGCTGCTGTTGGACTCCTCACCAAGATCCATTTCATCATCATCGTGTTCATCATCCGAGAAACTTTCATAACCCTTTTCATGATCTGAGTGATCGGATGATTCACTTGCATCATCATCACTCTCACCACCATTACTAATTGCTCCTCTCTTTCTCTTTTTATCTTCACTACTACTCTGGGTGGACTTGATGGAAGAACTTCCCTTCACATCTTTCAATCGCTTCAAAAATTCACGTTTGGGTAATTGATCTTTCATGGCATAGACTTTTTCCAATTCTTGTTTTTTCACACTCAAAGGTTTCACACCCAACGTTAATTGACGTTGTTTGATTTTTGAAGGTGAATCTTTCAATGCAAAGGATTTAGCGACATGACCCAAATGTAAATTATTGGGATGGAAAATATACTTGACATCACTTCCATGAGTACTATAATATTTGATATAACTAAAATAGGAATTGACAGCCAATGAATAAATTTCAGTATTCTCCTTTCCAGCCTTACTCATTTCTTCTTCAAATATATTTTGCAACCATGAAGCTGCTTCAATTGGATCTCTCATTGATTTTCTTCTAAAACTCAAAATAATACTTTCCAAACACTGTTCTCCTTTCATTTCATGAATTTTCAATTTGTATTTTTCTAAAAGTTTCTTATAAAGTTCTTCATGTGGATGTAAAAACATGATTGCATTTCCTTGAACTCCCATTCGAGCAGTTCGACCAATTCGATGTAAATATTCTTTTGGATTTCCAGGAGGATCATATTGAACAATCCATTTCACTGAAGGTAAATCTAAACCACGTGCAGCAACATCGGTACAAAAGAGAATACCTTCTTTGGATTCACTAAATTGTTTGTAAATGAGTGTTCTCTCTTTTTGGTCAATATCTCCGTGAAGTTTGAAAATTGGAACTCGAATCAAAGGTTCACCATTTTCATATTTCACTGCTTGTCGATAGAGAGTGCTGTGGTCGAGTGGAGTATTCTCTGCTGGAGTATTCTCAAAATCATCAACATCTTGAGAGTGTGCTTGTTTCTTCTTTTTAAAAGTACTAGTGACATATTCTCTCATAAATTTATATCGAGTTTGGAAATAGGTAAAGAAATGATAATGAAATTCAACAGAATCACAACATGATAAAAACACAATAATCTTTCCAGAAGAATCATCATTATTTGATCTTTCACCCATTGATCTTTCATTCATTGTTTTTTCTCTCAAAAATCCAGCCAACATGACTAATCGAAATTGTGAAGGTACAATCATGTAATATTGAGTTAAATGAGCTGGAATGGTAAATACATTGGATGGTAACTTGTCGGTCAAGAGATTGAAATTCTTTTCAATAAATTCTCCATTACTTCCATATCCAACATAGAGTGCATTCACAATATCAATATTTTGTGCAAGTGTTTGAATTTTTGAATGCAAAGTAGCACTCACAAGAATCTTTTGAATAGAATTTGAAATATCCTCACGAGTTTGTGAATTTGTTGGTGAATTCAATTTTCTTTCAATAATCATGTTATAAATATTTTTGACTTTTTGTTCAAATCCAAAATCAAGTAAAATATCTGCTTCATCCAAAATTAGATATTTCAATTGATCACATTTAAAGGATTGAGTACTTTTGAGATGGTCTTCCAATCTACCAGGTGTAGCGACTAGAATCGTAATACCTTTTCGAAGTCTTTCTTTTTCACTCTTTCTCTTTTCACCTCCCATAATTCCACCACATACTAAATATGGTAAATTACAAGTAATCTTTTTCAATACTTTATCTACTTGAAGACAAAGTTCTCTGGTTGGAGCCATAATGATTGCAAATGTTCCATCTTCACGTGTAATTTTATGTTGTAATGAATGTTCATAAAGCATTTGAATGATTGGAATGAGATAAGCCAAAGTTTTACCACTTCCAGTTTCAGATTTCATCAAGACATTGGATTTGGCAAGAATGGGATTCATGGCTCTTGATTGAATTTTTGTTAAATGTTTCAAATTCATGGATTTGGTGAGAGTGGAGATGAGAATTGGGCATAACCTGTTGGAGGTTTCAATATCTTCATTGCTGAAGAGATCTGGATTGATGAGAGCTGAAAAGGTATTCGAGTTTTCTTCTGTGGAAAGATCATTCTTTGAGGAGGATGGCTGATTGAGTCTTCTCTTGCTAATGATTGGAGTGGTGGTGATGGTGTTGTTGTTACTGATGCTGTGGGAATCGAGAGTGGTATTGGTGGTATTGGTGGTGGTCATTGTCGTAGTAGTAGTAGTGGATGGTCGTGAAGGTTCTATTTTGAGGCCTTTTGACTTGTTGAATGAGGAGTTACCTCTTTGATTATTGTTATTACTATTCCGATTGAGAGATTTGCTTCTCATGGCCATTGCAATTCCTCCTTCGAGGAAGAGTTTTGATTTCTGATCAATTTCTTTCTTTGTTTTATCATCAATGAAGGAATCGAGTGTTCTCCTCTTTTGATGAGAGGCATTCGAGGAGGAGGAGGATGATGATTGATTATTATTGTTATTGGATGGATGAGATTTGTCTTCATCATCGAAGAGCATGCCAGCAATTTGAATCGAAGACATGTTGTTCTTTCGTGTTTCGTTCCGATGCAACACGTACAGAGAGGAGATGATGATGAAAGGAAGGCTTCACCAAGCACGACTTGAAATTTTTTTCTTCAAGATTTTACATGAATCCATCCGATCCGATCCATTAACACAAATGCCCAACCTTTGGAGGTGTTCTTGTTTATATAAATATTGAAAATAATTGATGATGGTGACCATTTAACAAGTATATTGTGGAAGGGTGGTTATGTTTCAACATTGTCAATAACACATTATTCATCCTTCTTCTTTGTCAATTCAACCAACTCGTCCACTAAATTCTTGGCAGCTGAATGAACTTCATGTGGCTGTACAGTACCTGCAGCAGTGCTGCTAGCAACACTGGCAATACGATGTGAGGAATCAGTGAGAACCACATCAGGATCACTCACTTCTTTTGACAGTTCATTTCCATATTTTGAGACAAGAGTATCAATAAATGTTCTGTCGAGAGTCTTTCCCAAAGCAACAGCAATACCGCTGCCAGTCACACCACCTTTCTTTCCCAATACCTTAGCTCCTAAAATTGCAGAGTTAGACATGAATCCAATAGGTTTCTTTTGTTTGAAAAAATCTAAAATAATTTTCTCAACATTTGAATTAATTTCTACCTCCTTAATATTGTATTCTTCTTGCTCAAAATTAGATAAATTACGAGTAATACCACCTCCACCTGGAATAACCAACATGTCAAATTGGTCTGCACGACATTGATCCACATTCAACACTTTATCACGAGTAATACGAGCACTTTCCTTTTCAATGTAACGTTCTTCAGTTACATCAACTTGTTTTGTGATATAATTGAATGATTCATCAATTTCTTGGTAAGGGCTAAAGAATTTTGGAATAATACCCTTTCTTGTCAATTCTACAATGATACTGACGGTTTCTGTAGCATCACTACCATCCAAGAATCCACATCCGCTCAAAATGACAGCAGCAGTCTTTTTCTTTTCTTCCTTCTTGGCAGTATTTTGAAGAGCAATCGATTGGTGCTATTGTTGTGGCAAATGAAAAATATAAAAACCATTTTGATCATCGTATTAAAATCATTAATATTCAAAGATGTAAGCCAATATATCATCCGGTATTGTTTTGTATTGCATCGTCGAAATCATCATCATTATAATGAAAGGCACGATTTAAATGACAGTATTCATTCATATTCAAGGTAGAAGAGCGTCATCATGATTTTCCGAACAATGATGATATTTGTACAAATATATGGTGATTCATCAACCATATTATTCATGATGCCATGATTAACATCTTTTTAGAACAATCCTTGTACTTACATAGTACATGGTTCCGTTTACATTGGTTGAAATCATTGGAGCAAAACAAGTGTTTTTCTTGCTTATCATAAGGCCTCGCAGAGAGCGAAAGGCTGTTCTTCTCAAACTCATTTTTTGTTGTTGGATGAAATTTCATTTGATACGACATTACAACACGTGGCAGAAATAGTGAAGAGGATGTCCAAATTTATCAAGTGCTTCTCACCTGTTTATTTGCATATATGAAGAAGAGATATCTATTGAGAGAAAATTAAAATGAAAAACCATAGGATGGTCTTAGTAATTTGTCATCGAAATGTCAACACATTTAATAAATTCCTGGAATCATAATCCACCTCACCTTCTTGCAATACTCATCCCAAAATTTTCCATACTTTTCTTTACATCGTTCATTATCTCTGTGTGCTCGATGCAATAACAAAATGGTCAAATAAATGGGATACAACCATGGTAACAAGTATGGACTTTGCCAACATGGTAAACTTTGACTCACTGCAATTAAAATATCACCCAAATAGTTAATCTTTCGAGCAACACCCCAGAATCCAGAAATGAGTAATTTACGATCACGAGAAGTTTCCAAAGTGATGGGTTCAATCAATCCTAACCAAACCTTCTTTGGATCTTGACGATAGACAAATTTTTGATTATTTGCACCTCTAAAGATGATATAACCAATAATAAAGATGGCAATATTGGCATAGGTTTGAATTGGATTGTAGGACAAGTCATTGATGAGATAGAGATTTTGAAGAGTGAATACAAATGGCATCCACATGTAGTCTCCAAAGACTAACATGAAACCAAAGCTATTGTGGTGGTAGTGATGATAGTGGTGATGATGATGGGTATGATGGTCAACAAGTTTAAGGACATATTGATCGAATTAGTGGTTTTGTTGTTGATGGTCAAAGTGGTTCGTGATGAAAATGTCGCCAAAGGATACAAATAATTGGTTGATGAATGGATGAACACAAGTAGTACTTACTTTTCCTCAATAATGTCAAACATATAAATCATTCCATATTCAAATACAAAGGCATCAATCGTATAAAAGAAACTGATGGCTTGGAATGTTACCAAATTTGGAGATGGATATCCATACAATCTAATTTGTTCAAATAAATAGCTCAAATTTAAAACACTCATCATTGCAAACGCAGGTCTATAAGAGAATTCCTTAATTTCAAACCCAAAGAAGTGAGGATTCAATTCAACACCACACCAAAAATTCATAATAATGTTATACTTTGGGTACAAGAAATTTCTTTCCTTTTCTGGAATAAAGAATGCACCTCTAATGTATAAAATGGTTGTCAAAATGATACTCCACACTAAACTGACAGTCAACAATTCACCAAATCTATTACAAATAAAGGTATTAAATTGCTTCACCTTTTACCTGGAAATTGTAATAACACAACAAGCCATAGACAAGAATGGAAGCCAAAATGACACTAAGACCATTCGTCTTGTAGAGAACACGAGAACCATCTTTCAATGGTGCACCTGGTTCTCTCTTTCCAGGTAAAATCAATGTTGCAAGCACACAAAAGACAACTGCTGACATGTAAATCAGAATGGATTCCATACTTGGATAGAAATGGAAATTAGTGAGCATGGAGACAACATCTAGACCAGAGTTATAAAATGCAATTTGATCTTGCTTGGAGAGTGGTGGAGACATCTGTTTAAGTGTCATCAATTATTGAAGTTCAGGTGGAAGGATCATCACAATTATTGATTTCAATACAGTATTCGGAATATTTACACATGAATAGTCGATTCAATTTCATCATAATGATGTGGGCGTATGATATGGTCATCCATATAGTGTACAATATCATTCGACAATATTCATCATCATGTATTTGGATTTGAAAATCAGATGAATCAGAGAGAGAACCACATCACAACTCCATACCTTCAAATTTTTTTTGTTTGAACACACTTGAAGCGCACTTTCTCGGATATCCATTCGAAGCAGGCAGGGGTGCGATCGAAGGTCATTTCGAAAACCGAACCTCCTCTCTTTTTGGATGCTTTTTCTTCATGAAGAATGGGTTGAAATTGCATGAGCTCTAGCACCATCATGATGATTTGAAATATCGGAAACCATGGTCCACAATGACCTCTAATTTGCAAAGAAAAGGCTCATCTCATGGCCTTTCGTAACACACACCGAATACAAAAAAAATGTCCAAATCTTCAACGAATAATACATCGGGTGATATTAATACTTCATCCCATCATCACTCTAATTATAATACATCAAATTCTGCTCATTCTTCAAACAACAACAATAACAGGACGAGTAATACTAGTAGTAGCAACAAACAACAACATTATCAAACTGATAAATATGAATCTTCTGAATCGCGAGAAAATGGTCGTAGGCTTCATTCCGATCATTATTATGATTCCAAACGGTCTTCATCACGAGATGACCGACCAAACTATAGAGGTGATGACCGAAGAGAATATAATGATTCACGACGAGAGAGTTATCATGGCCATCATCATTACCATTATCGGGACGATGACCATAACAATACTCGAAATAGAAGCGATAGTGGTGGAAGAAGATTAGGAGGAAATGATAATAGAATGAGTATTAGTGGTGGTGGTGGTGGTGGTCCAATCACTCACCATCGGCATAGTACAGGAAGCACTAGTGGTCATCATTCACGGTCCAGCAGTACTACTTCTACACGAAATGATCGAAGATTAAATCAAGATCATCATCACTCGGAAGGGTATTACACCAACAGGGATGGAAAACGATCTTATCACGATAGAGGAGGAGATTCATACTATGATGATGACTATGATGATGGCTATCATCATGGCAGATATTCTACTTCACAACAACCACATCATTACCATCATGGCAGAGATTATTCTCGGGATAATTCCTACAGCAGAAGAGAAAGTTCTTCTTTATCAACACTTTCATATCCAGTAGAAAAATATGGCACACTTTCGGAGGCTTTTGCTCATCTCTCAGGTCCCTTTAAAATTAAAAGTTTTGTAGACCTTGAGGTTCTTGGAGCAGGAACCTATGGTGAAGTATATAAGGCCAAAGACGACCATAGTACGATTGTCGCTGTTAAAAAGATTAAGAATGATCCTAACGCTACTAATGGATTTCCTATTACAACGATAAGAGAAATCAAAATTCTAAAAGAATTGGATCATATCAATATTGTGAAGCTTCAAGATGTCACTTGGGATGAATCATCATTTTACATGATATTTGAATTTGTTGATCACGATTTATCTGGTCTCTCTGAGATGAATGTCACATTTACTGAAGATCATTTGAGATGTTTGATGTATCAACTCGTTGAAGGCCTCTATTTTTGTCATTCTAATAATGTATTGCACAGAGATTTAAAAAAGTCAAACATTTTGATTAAGAGAGATGGAACCTTAAAGATTGCAGACTTTGGTCTATCCCTTTTCAAAAAGAGAGATAACATTCCATATACAAATAAGGTTGTAACACTTTGGTATCGATCACCTGAAGTGTTGTTAGGATCACAATATTATGATGGATCAATTGATATGTGGTCTGTTGGATGTATTTTAGGAGAGTTGATTAAAAAAGAAAAAGGACTCTTCCAAGGTACAACAGAGAGTGATCAATTACACAAGATATTTAAAATTTGTGGCACTCCAGATCTTGAAGATTGGCCTGAGGTTGTCAAGTTGCAACATTGGGACACAATGAAACCGGTAAAACAATATCCAAATGTCATCAGAAAAGTATTTAATGATGCTTCATGCTCTCCAAAAGCTATAGATTTAATTGAGAGATTATTAACCTTGAATCCTCAAAAGAGAATTACAGCCAAAGAATGTCTTGAACATGAATGGTTTTGGGAGAATGGAAATCCTCTTAAATTCAAACCTGGTAAAATTTTACCAAAGATTACTACAAACGAATATACTGCACACAAACAAAGACCACACAAGAAGCAAAAACAAGGTGACACGGGTGACAGTGGTTATTAAGAGAGATTGAGAAAAAATGCCGTTTATGGTGACAGCTAGGAAACAAATAATTTTTATGCAATCAAACAATAATATTTTGTTCTTGAAAAGATTCTACAAATTCAAAGAAAGAACACCTTGTAAAACCCAACATTTAAGGGTGACCACAAACTAAGGGTTACTTTATGCCGTGTCACATGAGGGCATCCATGACACAGCATGTTAACTAGGTCTTTTTTAGTCTCGAATTGTGAACGACATGGCACAATTTTGCAAAATCTAGGAGGAATATTAATTTATTATTCATTGTTGTTTCGTGTTGCAGCTGTTGAGGATGTATTTGGGGTTAATGTTGACTGAGTTAAACTGGTGTCACCTCTCAAAGTATAAAACCTCCACAGTACGAATTGCAACAACGCACAAACTAAGTTGCCAATCACAAACAAATAAAATAGTGTTGGCATGGAACCGTTTGAAATTCCTTTAACTGTTGTTGTGGTCGATTCATCATCTTTTCCCACAAAGATGGTAGCCAAAGAGGGTGCAAGTGAAAATGCTGGTTTTGTTAACAATGCATTGATACCATAAATGTTACCACTATTCTTTTCCTTTCTCTTATAGCAATGACAATCTTCATCCACAACTTTTGAAAGACTGATTTCCAATAAACGACCCACGCTTCCCAACACAACTAAATTCACAAATAAGAATAGAGTTGGCAGCATGGATCCTCTCAAACCAAGAGTCTCTTGGTTCAAAAATAATAAAAACAAGAGTAAAGTCATGGAGCTCACTACAGCTCTGAAAATGAAAGTATTTCTCAATAGAGAATATGCTGAATATCGAATACTCAGATAACTATTCAAAACTGCAAAACACTCTGCAATAAAGGTACAAAATGTCAAATAAATAGAGGCAAAATTTTGAGTGTTATCGTTCGAGTTGAGAATACTCTTCATCCATGGTTGAACATATAATCTAATGTATCTCACTTTGAATGAATCAAACAATGCAACTGTAAAAATATTCATAAAATTCACAGCAACAAATAATACAAAGTTACGTAAGGTTACAAGTTGTTTGAAAATTCTGAAAAAGTCCAATAAATAACTCTTTACAAAATTCACAACTTTTTTGATGCGATGGAGGAGTGACAAGTGAGAGTCAGTGATGTCAAATCTTGGAGAGGATGAATTTGATCTTGCAACAGAGTTTGTAGAACTAGTGCTCTCTGTGGAGGATGAATCGATCAAAGTCGTAGTGGTATTCATACTGTTGTGAGGAGGAGGATGATCATTCTCGTCATCCTTTTCGTCATCACTTTCTTCATTCAATCTAATCAGAGAATATTCTCCTCTTCTCACAATGGTCATTCCTCGATTAATGAGATAATTTCCACACCACAAAAATCCAAGTGATATCATGGCTACAATGGTACAATACAATCGAAATGGTGATAAATTTCCTGAATAGGAAGATTCTTGAGAATTTGGTCTTTCAAATAAATAAAAAGTTGGCAATAGAAAGAGAGATCCTAATACACTGTGTAATAAATAACATAGTGGTGATATTTTGAAATATTTTGAAATATTTTGAATTTGAATGATGATTAGTGTTCCATTTCATGATATTTTGAATGAAAGTGTGAATTCATATGGATCACAATTATAGGATTCAATTATAGGATTCAATTATAGGATTCACAACATATATTCACATATTATTCATATTATTCAATTATAATATTATTATTCACAACATATATTCATCTCTCAACATTCTCAACATATATTCTACTCACCTACACACACTCACAGCAGTACTAATTCTTCCCTTTTCTTTATCACTTTCAGTCAATTCAGGTAAAAGAGCACAATGATTCAACACCACCCATGTGAAACTACTATCCCATAAGAATAATGAAAGAATAAATTGAATGAGAGCAATCAAGTCACCTAAACTGGTAGTATTACTATTATTACTAATATTCATAGTATTATTACTAGTATTAGTTTCAAAAACAAAACTTCTCATTTGAATCCATGGTAATAAAAAAGAGATCACTAATAATGGACATCCATACCACATGATTTGTTGACGAGTCAAATTACGAGAATGTTTCAATCTTCTTCCTTTCTGAGAATGTCCATAAATTAATTCATCACTCACATATCCAAACAATGGATCATTAATCGCATTGAATATAGCAAATAGAAATTGTCCAATATAAAAATAAGAAGATGGTAATTGATGAATCAATAAAAAGGTTTCAACATAGTACGAGTTGAAGATGTGGTTGAGCATTTGAATTCCGAGAATGGTAATGGCATAACCAGAGACGACTGAGAGTGGAGTGATAGTTGAAGTGGTATTTGTGGTGGTGGTGGTGGTGGTGGTGGTCAATAGGGTGGTGATACTATTGGCTGATGGTGATGACGTAGAAGAGGATGACATTTTTTCATACACCATCGTTTTACTTTTAGGATGAGGACCCTTTATTGTGTAACACATTTGATTCTCCGATTGCCAATCCAATTGGATGCACCACCGCAAAAAATGTTGAACATGAATCCCTACCATGATCAAAGGGAAGAGATCCCGGAATGAATACAGAGAGAGTCATCTTCAAATTTGAAAATGACATTCCATTCCCATCTTGACTGGTTCAAATTGAAACAACCATCACATGATAGTCACGAACACAGCACACTCTATGAGCTACTCCTAAAGTTGAAATGAGCAGTCCCAACCGGTTACCACCACCACCAACAAAAAATGCTTTCTTCGAACCATCCTCATCACAGTGATGATGATGATGAGAATGAACAACCTCAAGTGGTTGAAGATGAAAATTCTTCTTTCAAGGGTTACATTAAAATTGATTCCTCGAATAAGAATTGGGAAAATTTAGATTCGAAACAAACAAAACTCTTCAAAAAGACCAAATGGATCATAACGGAGAAAGTTCATGGCGCCAATTTTTGTTTTCGCTTGTCCAAAAGAAGGAAGGAAACAAGCCTTCTTGAAGAAACAACACTCTCTACTCTATCAACCACAACCACCACAACACCAACCACAACGATTACCACTCCTCCTCTCCTCAACATTGAATGTGCCAAAAGAAAATCACTTTTAAAAGATTCCGATTCCTTCTTTTACTTTCAAAAAGTGAAAGAGAGATTACAACCAGTGATGCAACAGCTCTTTCAATTAGTCGAAGAAAAATTCAGCACCAGCAGTAGTAGTAATAATAATAATAACAACTACACCAGTATGAATAATAATGAAAATAATCTTCGACATGTCTATATATTTGGAGAATTATTTGGCGGTTATTATCCAAACATGCCTCAATTACCTGGAATTGAACAACCTATTCAAACTGGAATTTGGTATTCGAATGATATTGAATTTTATGCCTTTGATATTGCCATTGAATTCAACAAGCCACAAGAGAATACATGCCAGCCAACCTTTGTGGATTATGAAACATGTTTGGAAATATTTTCAAAATGTAATTCACAATTATCTTGTCAGAAAACTCAATTATTATTATATGCTGAACCTTTGTTTATTGGATCTTATGAAGATTGTATGGAATATAATATTAAATTTGAGAGTAAAATTCCAAAGAAATTAGGAATGCCATCGATCAAGGAAGCTAATAATTATGCAGAGGGAGTGGTGATTAAGCCTTTGAAAGAAATATTTATTTCTAAAAAAGGAAAATTAGAAAGAGCCATCATTAAGAGGAAAATTCAAGAATTTTCAGAAAAGAAATATGAACAAGCTCAAAAGTGGAGTTCTAGTAATGCAACCTCTTCTGATCCAAACTCTAATTTTGAGTTTATCAAGTATGAGGCCTTGTCCTGTGTGACTGAGAATCGATTGAATAATGCCATTTCTAAAATTGGAATGATTAATAAGAATGACAAGTCACAAATGAATCAATTATTGAATGCATTTGTTCAGGATGTATTGGATGAACTCAAAGAAACCAATTTGGAAGGTTATGATCAACTTGATACATCTCAATTGAAAGAATTGAATGATTTAATTGTTTTGGAATGTAAAAAGACAATATATGGTCATTTCAAAAAGATCATGAAATAAATATTCTACACAACAACACTTGAGTGAAACCATATCCTCATTTATTATTTGTCAAATGGGAAGAAAAAAATGTCGATCACACGAGAATCACATTTTCCTCTTCTTCGACACGTATTTGAGAGTATTCATTCATATTATTTAGAGAAGGAGGACAACAACAATCAACAATTTTCACAACAACAACATGAAAGAGATGATGTCAAATGGATCCAAAATCATCAATTAATCTCATCATTATTATTGAAGAAAAGTAGAGAAAAGAATTCGACAACCGTCGGAGTTGTAAACCTTCTGAAGAAGAAGAACAGAAAGAAATCAATGACCTCCTCCTCCTCCTCCTCAACATCATCTCTCTCTCTTCTTGCTCACTACGATGAATATAAAAGACTTGATCGATTAATCTTTCAACAAGTCTTTTATGAAAATTTAAAATTTAAAAATCAAGTGATTTATAAACCTTTATTGGAATCTCTCCATCAATTAATGAATTATTTAAATTATTATTTAAATCATGATGAAAATAGATCTTCAAATATTCCCATTGAGGATAGGAAACGAACATGTATTGAAGAATATCAATCAGTTGTGATCCATCGTTATGGAAATATTTATAAAATCTCAACCATGATCGAAAATGTTGAATCTTTGGAATGTCTCTCAGATTTAACAGTTTACAACAAGATGATGATCAATAATAGACAAATATTAGACTCAAAGTCATCATCACATATTCCTTCATCATCATTTGAAGAACATCGAATGGATGACATTTTACAAGTATTAGAATATCATCAATGTGTTTTCAATGAACCAATTATTCTCTATAATGATTCACAATTATACAAATATTTAAATCTATGCATTCATTATGGAAATTTATATGAAAATGTAAAATATATTCAACAATCAACAACATCTCCAAGTGATTCAGTTGTTGTAAATATTCCACACAAAATTATTCATTTCGTATTATGTCGACACTGTAAAACTGTTTACAATAATTTTCAAAGATACAAATTTGTAAAAATTCGAATTCTCAATTCCTACATTTCCTATTTGGAAAAGTATTCCACCTCCAACAAACATGAAACCTTCTTTAAACTTGCTCTAAATTCTTACATTCAATACATGATGGATTGTAGAGCACATTTCATCAAATATGGACATTTGAAAACAATGAATCAACGATTTCAAAAAGTCATTCCAAAATTGATCAAACATGTATTAACAATGAATACTCACAATTTTAAAGAGTGTCAGAAGGACGATCTGAATATGCAAACTCTAAGGATTGATTACCTCACATTGATGCAAAACATTTCACTACATGAACAACAACAGGACCACTCACAAGAGATTGATGAACACTACTCTTCACAACAAGAATATAATTCACGTGAACACTGGAAATTTCATAGTTTTCTCACAAATCAACAACAACAACATACCAATGAACTTGTTGCTTCTCCAATGCAAATTCACAAGTTCATTGAAACTAATTCTACATTCTATCTCACCACGGATTGGAGTAGCCTATTTGAAACCTATGGGTTTATGGAACTTGAATCTCATCATGGCATTCAAATTTCAAAGCTCTATGAATATTTAATATACAAATATGGATATTACAATAATGATTGGATCTTGGAAAAGTACAATGAAATGATTCATGAACAATTAATCCCATACATTCGCAACAGAATTCAGAACACCATTCTCTCTTCACACATGAATGTATTCACTCGTGAATTTCCCTATTTGTCCTTACTCTTACGTGGAGCATTTCCTCATCATTTTGATGAGAAGAAGGTTTTTGAAATTTCTTTACAGGATCCACAATACAAAGAACATTTGAACACTCTGAAACAATACATTCTTCGCAAAACAAATGAACATGAATCAGGTCAAGCAATTCGAGAAGAAGAATGAAAGGAGTGTTGTTGGATGTTGACATTGAAACAAAGAACCACAATGTTAGGACACGCGCGTTGCTGTGATTCCATCATGATGATGATGGCTCTCTTTTATCGTGCAGTAATGTTGGCGCCAAAATAAGTTACGGTTTTAACCCGCCTAACACCCTCTCTTTACGAATATTTAATAATCTAAAAAATGTCATCAACAACAATGGATCCGAACAACAACAACACCAATAACTCATCATCAACTTCCATTGTTGGAGGAATCAATAATGGAGGGAATGAAGGAAAGGAAGATCCTGAAAAGATGGTTCTCTCCTTGACCAAGACAGCCTTTGAAACACTTGAAAGAGATTTTCAAGAAGTGATCAATGAATTAGCCGGAAAGGATCATTTGGAAAACTTTAGAATTGAATATGAAAAACTGCATCGGACTTTGTTGAGATGTCATGAAAACGAAAAACGATTAATGAAGAAGTGCGAGGAATTGACTCAACAAATTGTTGCCAATGCAATCAAAATTCAAACCGCACTCAATCTCACAAAAGAAGACCAAAATACAATTGCAATTTTGAAGAAAGAAATTGACAAGGCTTGGAAACTTGTAAATGCTTCGCACGAAAAAGAAGCCAAAGCTAAAGAAACGATCCAAAAACTGACAAAGGAAATTTCAGAGCTGACCAAATTAGCAAATCAAGGAAATAATACAACCACTGTTCAAGACACATCAGCGCCTGAGCTTGAAAAGGTGAAAAAAGAATTAGCAAAAGAACGTGAATTGAAAACATCACAAATTATTCAATTGAATAATGAGCTCTCCAACACACAATTAATTGTAGGTTGAATTACAGTTCACATTCATTCAAAATTATATTTTCAATCCTAAAAAAGATCAACGATCTCAATCAAGATAAGAAAAAGTTAAATGCTGTCATTGAGACTCTCAACGAACAACTCAATGACACTAAACTTAAACTTGAACAAACCATCAAACAAAAGGAGAAATCTGAAAAGGAATTGAAGGAATCAAAACAACTCTTGGCTGCAAAAACTCAAGATGTTTTCAAAAAGGAAGCAGAGATTAAAAAGGAACAATCAAGATTTACCGATTCCGAGAAAACCATCAAGGAAATGGATTCACAAATTGCTACTCTTCATAAAAGAATTGACCAATACAAAGCTGTCATTGAACAAGACGAAAAAGAACGAAGTGGTTTAATTGCAGAAGTTTCTCGATTGAAGGCCAATGATGACAAATTCAACATTGAAAGAAAGTTACTTGAAAACAAAATTAAGGAAGTGACTGATGAGAAGAATCAATGGCATCAAAGCTATCAATCTCTTCAACAAAAAAAAGAAGGCAGTTGAAAATGAAAAGGAAGAAGTTGAAAGATCAAAAGAAGCTCTCAATCAAGAAATTATCCGATTGAATAAGATCATTGAAGAAATTAATCAACAAAAAGAGCAACAAACAGAAGCAGGAGAGAAATTGAAGGCTGAACGAAACTATTTGAGCAAGAGTTTGGTCATTATGAGAAAGGAAAAGACAAAGAAGCAAGACAATATTAAAATTTTGGAAGGCAATCAAAAGGTTCTAAAGGCAGAAATTGTTGCTGAGAGAAAACAAACTGAAAAATATCGTCAATTAACATACACATTAGAGAAGGAAAGAGAACGATATTCCACCAGTGCATCCGAAGCTGAAGTGAAATACAGACAAGCTCTTGAAGAGGTTCGAATCAAATCAGTGGAACTGAATGAACTTCAAAAGAAAATTGTAGAATTACAAGAAAAACTCAAACAACAACAATCTCTCTATGAATCTGTTCGAAGTGAAAGAAATGCAAAGAGTAAGGCATTGATTGCTGCTCATGAAGAAGCTGAAGAAATGAAGAAACAATTTAAGGTCATGGAACAACAAATTGTTCAATTGAAGGAAGAAATTACGAGCAGAGAAAAGGCACTTGTGGATGAAACGTACAATGCAAGACAAATTCTAAAGAAGAAGGAAAAAATGAAAGAAGAAATTAAACTATTAGAAGAAAAGCAAAAAGAACAAGATCGAATCATCAAGGCACATGAATCTGAAAATTATCGATTGACACAAATTATCAAACAAGCCGATAATGAGAGAAGAAAACAACAAAAAGACTATGATGCAGTTGTGAGTGAAAGAGATGTTCTGGGAACACAACTGATTCGAAGAAATGATGAAATTGCACTACTCTATGAAAAGATTCAACTTCAAAACAGTACATTGGATAAGGGAGCCGTTCAATACAGAGAACGATTAGAAGATATCAAGATTTTGAAACTAAAAATCAAAGACCTGACACGACAGCTTCAAGTCTTGAAGAAACACATTTTCAAAGTCAGAGAATTTCAACGTGAAAATCATGAGTTGAAACGACAGTTACTCGAGGAACGAAACAAGGTCAAAGCTCTCTCAGAAGAATTACAAAATCCAATGAATGTTCATCGATGGAGAAAACTCGAAGGAAGTGATCCCACTCAATACGAACTTGTTTTGAAAACTCAAACTCTTCAAAAGAGACTCATTGCCAAGACTGAAGAAGTTATGGAAAAGGATTTAATTATTCAAGAAAAGGAAGAAATGAATAAGAAGTTGAAAGCCATCTTGGCAAGACAACCAGGACCTGAGGTTGCAGAACAGCTCAACATTTATCAAGAAACACTTCGAAAGAAGAATTCACAAATTCAATCACTAGCATCTGAACTTAACTTTTTACAATATAAGGACAAACAACAAGAATATGAAAAGGAAAGATTGGCGCGAGAACTCAAAGAAACAAAGAAGAAATTTTTGCAAACAAAGAAGGAGTTTTATTTAGAAAAGGAACGATCACAGAATTTGGAAGAAAGTGCATCAGAGAACTTTAAGGTGACACCTCCAGAGACAAGAATTCATTTGGGAGGAGGATTCTCTCTCAGCTGAGAAGGCTTGTGAACGCTTGATTTCCTCAGCACGTCTGCAGACAGTCCTGCTGCATGAATGAACCTGCTCTGAGAAGTATCGATTGCAATTGAAAATAAGGTCATTCCATGGATCGTATGACAATAATAATAACTATTAATTGTAAATAAATGTTAACATGACATACATGATGAGTCTTAACAAGGATTGGATAATATATGCTTTAGGATCAGTGTACCAATGCAAATGACACGAGACGCGGTTGGTTCCAACCGATCCGTTAACCACCACACGTTGTGTACGCACGCTTTCACAACTTTGTAAACAAAAAGGCGCCAAAAAAAATGAGCAAAGACAACAATGGTCAGAACAATCCCGATACTATTCAAGTGTATTGTCGTATTCGACCGGTGGACGAAAGTAAAGCAAATTATTTAATAGATAAATCATTTGAACAAAGTGTATTGCATTTCCGAAAACCAAGATCGATCGAAGCAGGTCCTGTCAATAATTCGATTGAAAGTTACAATTTTCCTTTTACTGGCGTGTTCGATCAAAATGTCGATCAAGATGAAGTATTTGAACGATGTGCCAAAAAATGTGTCATGAGTGCTATTGAAGGATACAATTCAACGATATTCGCTTATGGTCAATCCGGTTCGGGTATGTATGGATGTAAAAGGAAATTATTTGAATTCGAAACTAGAGTCATGACTTTTGTGTGACCCTCTTTTTCAAATATATTTTGAATACAACACCTCTCTCAATGATCTACAATGAATGAACAGGAAAAACATATACCATGACAGGAGGAGATGGAACTTATGAAAAAAGAGGAATTATTCCAAGAGCTATTTCTCTATTATATGAAGAGGCAGAAAAATCACGAGATCGTGAATTTTCATTTTCTGTTGCATATATGGAAATTTATAAAGGTCATGGTTATGATTTGTTGAGTGACAAGAGAGATGTCATGCATATCAAAGACTTACCGTAAGTCGTATATCAAAGTTTTATATTTTTATTTCTTATTTTTAATTTGAACAGTAAAGTAATTCCTAGAATAGACGCTACTGGAAATGTAGTGTTTCAAAATATTATTTCATTTCCAGTTAAAACTGAAGAAGATGCTTTGGATAAATTATTTATTGGAGATAAAAATAGAGTATTAAGGTGAGTTTCTAATAGTCCTCAACTAAAATTCCTCAACTAGTTTATTCTTTAACCCATATTTCTCCTCAATCAAAATAATAATAATACCAATTCTCATCATGATGAATCTATTCTCCTCAATCATACTATTCCATTATCACCACCATCACCATCATCATTTAATTCTCAGTGAAACCATGCTCAATGATGCCTCCACACGATCTCACTGTATATTTACCATCACCATTGAATCTAAAGAACCAGGATCATCCATTGTCAAATCCTCAAAACTTCATTTGGTGGATTTGGCCGGAAGTGAAAGAGTTCATAAAACCAATTCGAGTGGTGAAACTTTAGAAGAAGCTAAAAGTATAAATTTAAGCTTGTATCATTTGGAACGATTTATTTTAAGTATTAGTGAAAATCAAGAACACATTCCATATAGAGAAAGTTTAATTACAATTGTCTTGAAGGATAGTATTGGTGGAAATTGTAAAACCATCATGATTGCAACTGTAAATCCATCCGATCGACATTTAGGTGAATCAATTTCAACTTGTAAATTTGCCATGAGAGTTGCAAGTATTCGACAAAATGCAACCATTAATGAGAAATTAGATCCCTATGTACAAATTAAGAAATTGAAAAAGAGAATTGAAGAATTGGAAGAAGAAGTTCAATTTTTAAAAGGATCCTCTGTTGATGCACAAAAGAGAGATTCTCTCGACGGGAATGAAAAGGCAATTGTTAAAGAACGAGTAGAAGATTATATTAATGATCCAGATAGAGATTGTTCATTGAACTTGGGAGGAGATCATTTGAGAGTAAGAGAAGCTTTTTCTTTATTGAAAGCAATGATTTTAGATTTAAAGAAAAGTATGAATCAAAGTAGTAGTAGTAGTAGTAGTAGTATGAATAGTAGTACTACTCCAAACATGTTGAAATTTCAACAATTACCATCCATGCATCCAAAAATGTTACAACAACAACAACAACAACAACAACAACAACAACCACTACCATCTCTACCCTCCAAATGGTCGAATAGCAATAACAACACCACCACCGCATTCATGGATCAAAAACCATCACCACTCATTCCAGATGATCTTGCAGAAAAACTTAAAAATCTCACTGTGGCCATTGAATTGAGAGATATTGAAATTGATATTCTCGTATCCATGTTAAATAAGAAACAGAGAAATTTGTCTGAAGTTTCCATTCAAACTGATTCGAATGATTCCTTTGCACAATCTCCCTCTTCTTCACTTCTCTCTTCTCCTAAATCTCATTCAAGAAACAATAGGACTCATTCGAATACCTTCAACTCTTCACCTCTTCTTCACTCCTCCTCCTCCATGAATATATTCACTTCACCTCATTCATCTTCTTCCTTGAACTCGATTCAACATTTAGAGAATATTCACAAACATTCCAATCATTCTACATCCTCCAACTGTTCCAATGTTGAAAGAAAACCACTTGCAGAAATTGTGACCAAAGAAGTCATTCGAGAACGATTAAAAGAAAAAGAAAAATCCATTCTCTCACAAACAGGAGACACTGCACCCAAAATAAGTAATGAGAAAATTGCCATTCTTGCTGATGCTACTGGAATGAGAAAACGAGCAGAAGCCTTTGAAGTATTTCGACAAAAATATCGAAATTACAATGTCATTGAAAAGAATAAGAACATTTTGGGAGAAAAAATTGCTCTTGCCAAAGACATTGCAAAAGAAATTAATGAAAAGAAGAATGCCATCGATTCTCTCAAGAATAGACTTATTCAATTAAGAACAGAGAGAGCAGCACAAAATCTAGTCAAGAGTCATCATTCAGAATCAGAGGAGGACTCTGAAAATGATGAAAATGAATTCCCTGAAGAAGTGGAATTGAAAAAATTAATTTTAGCAGAAAGAGATCGACATCAATCAAGATTCAATGAATTGAAAGAACTTAAAAAAGAAATTGAACATTTGAAACGAGTGTTAGAAATGAGTCGAGTGAGATTGCAACAAGATTTTGAAAATTGGTATCAAACTACTCATCTCAGTGATCATGATGGAACAAACAATGATTCCTCAGAAGATGTTGAAAGTCAAAGTGTGATCAAGACAATGATGACTAGTTCTTCTTCTTCTTTGAATGCTCTCCAAAACAATACGAGTGGTGGTAGTAGTAGTAGCAGTAGTGTTGGTAGTGGTAGTAGTGTTGGTAGTAGTGTTGGTAGTAGTGTTGGTATGAGTAGTATTAGTAGCAATGCTTCACGTGAATTACCATCCTTCCCAGTTTCACCCATTCATGGTGCTTTGACAACAGGAAACATGAAAAATTCCAATCGATTCTCCATGATTCAAGAAGATCCACCAAGAAAACCCAAACAAGCTTGGACAGAGAAGAATTCTCAATCCTCCTCATCTTCATCCTCTTCGTTGATACAATCAAAAAAGAGTCCAACAAATGCATTCATGATGAATGAAGACTTACTGTTCATGAATAACAACAACAACACCAACAACAACAACAACAACACTCAGCGCACACCACATGCACCATCAACAACAACAACTCTAAGTGAAGAGAATCCATTCTTTAAGAAATTGAGAGAACATGTAGCTGAGCAGAGTAGCACGAGTTCAACTTCTTCCACCACTCAAAACCCATCCAAGAGAATGTCACTCTTGCAAAAAGCTTACAAGATTTAATCGAGCCAGAGGGTGTGATATTTGTTTTTTCAACACCTTTAAAAATTGAGAAAATCTCCAAGAAACACCGCCATTCCGAGAGAAGCAATCCACAAGATCTTTCTTTGTGAATAAATCAACAACAAGAATCCTCACAAACATCATCATCATCATCATGAGGAATATTTTCTCTTCATCCACTTCACACTCCTCACACTCCTCATCGTGGTTCATGATTCTCAAAGATTTGATTCGTTTTGTGTGGTCCATTCTCTCTCAATTCATCCCATCCTTTTGGAAAAGAGGTCGTCGAGTCTCTAACACAACAACAATAACAACCACCACCACTGATTTTCACAACACGTCAAATACTAATAGTACCACTAGTAGTAGTTTAACCACTAAACAACAACAACAACACTCTCAATTGGAAATTAATTCCTATTTATTTAGTAATGATCATCATCCTGACATAATCTCATCTCCTTCATTATTCAATACTCAACCAAATGTGGTTCCCTTGTTCTCCAATCATCATCAGAATCACACGACAAGTGTTGTTGGTGATGATCCACATCAACTACTCACCACATTCCTCATCCCGATGAGCAACAATGTGGAATTTCACAAGTGTGATGCAAGTTCTTCATATTTACTACCATCCTCTTTATCACCTTCATCATCATCGAAATATCAAGCCATGAGAATTAAGAAACATTTCACAGCAAGTACCAATTTATTAATTCGTGAATTGAATACTCCACATTTTGTGGGTAGTTTTGCCAATTCCACCGAATTGAAAGCCATTCGTAAATCACCTCTTTCCTTTCTACCTTTTCAATTCCTCTCACAACTCTTTTCTCGAAATGAATACATGTTAGTGAAATCAGCTATTTTGGTATTCATTACGGCTAGTTTGGATCAACAACAGCAGCATGATCATAATAACATGAACAACACTAGTATTGGAAGTAGTAGTATTAGTGGTGGTCATGGTAGTGGTGGTTAAAAACTCGAGAGTGTCTTCTTGAATGAATTCGAACTTTCTCAGAGCTCAACATCATTGTTCCGAATACAACCACCACCACCACCACCACCACCACCACCCTCATGAAAAGAAAATGAATCCTCCTCCTCCTCCTCCTCCTCCTCATCAGCACCATCCGCACCATCACACCAAATCCATCCTTCTGAGTAGAGGTGGTCTCTTGAATCCATCAAACAACAACAACAACAACACTCCTCATCATCATCATACAAAATCAATGAATCATAACACAAAGCCTTTGAAAACACACGTGTCAGGAAGAGGTGGTACTACCGCCACTACCACTACGACAGGTTCTAAAAACAACCTCTCTCACAATTCTTCTACTCCTCCTCATCATCATTCAACATCCTCGAATATCTTCTCCTCCTCCTCCTCAACAACAACAACAACATTTATTCCTCCTTCTCTTCTTCAATACCATCCACAAGAATGGACCATTCAATATATGGGGTGTATTGAGTTTGTATTATCCATTCTAAATATTTATCAAGTCAATTACAAATTACAATTACAGGATGTATTGAATCTATTAAGAATACCTTATGGTAGTACCAATAATATGAATACAACAAATAGATCGAATCAATCCCACCATGATGATGAACTCTTTCTTTCCCTCTATTTAACCATTTATAATATCATTTCCTTATTTAAATTTAATCGAGTCATGAAAAATAATTCTTTTCATATTCCTCACATTATTAAATATATTAATTATGAATTATTGAAAATGAATTATCCAAGAGCATTGAAATTAATATCTATTCAAAATGATGATCAATTATTGCTATTAGAATTATTTAATGCAATGAATTGGTTAATTCTTTCTTATAATCCAATATTAATCAAACATGTCATGAGTAGAGATTATTTAAATCAGAATTTTATGAATGGAGAATTACCAAGTGATCATTCATTATATTATTTTTTAAAAACAATGAATGGACTGTCCAATAATAGTCAAACTAATAGTACTAATAATAGTAATAATAATAATAGTGGTACTCGTAGTACTACTACTACTAATAATACTCATCTTGCATATTCACAATTTAATTGTCCGTATCATGAAAGTGGTATCATGGGCACTGATCCAAGTCATCATCAACATGCATCATTGATGAATTCATCCTCCTCCTCCTCAACAACAACAACAACAAGTCTCATTCATCAATTCATCATTACAATCAACAAAATATTCATGGTCATGAGTAATATTTATAACAAATCTATTCAATCTAATTTATTGAATATGGAATGTGATCGTATTGGATATACACCATTTGAACTTAATTTATTACTCTTAAATGATCATTCCTCTCAACTCTATCAATTAAATACATTTATTGGATCATTTAATCATTTATTACAATACTATGAAATGATTATTGAATTTAATGAAAGAATGAACTCGATCATATCCTCACACATGGAAGAAGGAGTAAAAATGTTCATTCAAAATAATTATACTACTACTATTACTACTAATAATAGTAATAATAATAGTTCGAATACTACTACTAGTAATAGTGATTCGAAGGATGAATGTAATGAAAACCATCCATTCAAATTATTGAACTCATTGAAGATTCATCATGAAAATTGTAGTAGTAGTACGAGTTCGAATGAATCTCTTTGTGATCTATTTACTCGTGCTCTTGATCAGCTTCCAATCATTTCCAAAGACAAGTACCATGCTTTGAGAAATATTTCGAATAGTAGTAGTAGTAGTAGTAGTGGTAGTAGTAGTAGTAGTAGTAGTGGTAGTAGTGGTAGTGGTACTACTACTAGTAATATTAGTAGCAGTCACACTTCTCATCCTGTATTCTATCAAATTAGAAAACAAGAGGATCATCCCAAGTCTCCTCACATCATCCGATCATCCTTTCTTTCCAAACAATCCAGACAACAATCATCTGATGCAACAAATCATCATCACTCCTTATTATCACTCTATATGGAAATGTTACAACATATTCATGATGACTTGTTGAAAGATATTTATTCTACTACTACTACAACAACTAGTACAACTAGTACTGAACCAACCACCACCATTACTGACCAACGCCATGTATGATGGCCAGTTGTAGTAGTAATAGTAGTCATGAGTAATCGCATATACGTCTAGTATCCACACTCATATACTTTGAACACACTGTTGATTCAAATTGAAATGGTGATGTCATATTAATGGACAAGAGGACTTGAGTCATCGATATTCAATAAATCTTATTGGAAGCAAAAACGAACACCGCCACTTGAAAAAAATCTAATTAGTTTATTGTTAGCACCATTGGTGCTGGTAAAACTATTAAACGCACGTTCATGCGGTTGACTTTGGCTTGAATTGTCTTGAAATTGGTTTCAATTCTGTGGAGCAAATAAATCTTGTTGAGGTTAGTCGATTCAATTCATTGATGTCATTAAGCTTGTATTCAACAATTAGGTATGAGTAGGTATCTTTTACCTTTTTCTTAATACTGAGTCTCTCTTTTTCGAATTTGATGGTTGTGTTCTTGCATAGTGTTAATTTTAAGTTTGTACAAGGTTTCTTGTGGATTGAATGTTAGGCACATTTGTTCAATTCTACATTTCTTTTGATTGATTGAGTACTTGATGAGAGTTTGGATGTTCGAAATTGATTTTTCTTTGGCTATTAATGTTGTTGGAGATGATGTAAAAATCATTGGTGAGGCGAAATATTTTGTTTGTGTTTTTTCTGTCATGGCTAGTGAATTAAGTTTCTTTAGTATTTGTTGTTGAGTTTCGGCATTTTGAATGACTAAATTGAGAGTGTTGGTCTTGCTGTCTGGGATGTACCAGTGTTCAATAACTGATTCAAATCTTTTTAGAATAAATTTAACAAAATGAGGATGAGATATTGCTGTCCGAGTAGATTGAGATTGAATTAGTTTTGTTTTTGGGTTGACCAGTATGTTCAATTTTGAGTTGAGGAGTTTCTAAATGTTTAGTTTCCTGTTTTGGTTGTTGGGTTGGTTCAGGTTTTGGTTGAGGGTGAATTTTTCGTGCTTTATTTTGAGCTTGAGAAATTTTAATTGTTGATTGTTCAGGTTTTGGTTGAGTTGGTTTTGTAACTTCAATTAATTGCTGTACTGTTTGTGTGAGCGTCTTAACAGCGTCTTGCAGTTCTTTGATTTGTTGTTGTTGTTCTAAGTGATTTATGAGTTCTTTGATGGTTTGTTGTTGAGTCATTTTTTTCGGCCACTTGAAAAAAATGAAAACCATCAGCCACCACCACCACCACCACCACAACTACGAATCACCACCATCATCACCACCATCATCACCACCATCATCACCACCATCATCACCACCATCATCACCACGAACTCATCGACTCACTCACATCCATCATCATCATCATTGGACAGTCCATCACAACAACTATTTCCAAAAGAAAAGAAGAAATCATCCATCATCATTCTCATCACTTTCATCATTCATTGGTTGTTTATATTTCATTCTATTCTTGTGCAACAGTGTTGTTGTTGTTGGATTGAACATTTTGAATCAAAAGTACTCGAGTACCACTCCTAAAAGATCACTAACCATTCCGAATAATTCTCACTCTATTCAAGACAATAATTTCATTCCCATCAGTAATAACATTCCAATCAATGATCATGTCAATAATGATGTGAAATATTATAAATCTAATTTTGTGATTGTATCCACACCACCTTCAACAATTATTGGATATATTAAATTATCACCTTGTATTAAATATTTAAATATTCCAATGACACTCTATGTGAATGTAGTAAAAGTAGTCACATTTCATGAAAACAGTATAAAAGTATCTCATCAAAAAAGTATAAAAGTATCTCATCAAAAAAGTATATTTAATCATTCAATACCAGATTTGAAAACATCATCCTTCACTCCTCAACAACAACTCAATCAATATCCCATTCTCATTCATTCCATTTCAGATTCTATTTATTATTCCATTGATTTAAAAGATTTTTTTCATGATTATTCTTCGACTCAATCGAATCATTTCATTATTTACATGGCAGTAAAAACACTTCAATATCAAAATTATGAATTAACACTCTCTACTCAATCCATTATTTTAGATAATGAATTACCGATTCGAAATAAGAAATTATCCTATCATTTATTTAAACAATACTTGTCTAAGAGTAGTAGTGATGATCATCATAATATTACCATAGATAGTAATAATACTAAAATCAATACCAATCCTCAACACAGTAATGTCATGACACAAATAATACCACCAACACAATCATCACTACCACTCTATCGATATGGTATTCAATTACAATGGTATCCTCCATCTTCAAATATTTTAACATTTAAATACAAGGTTTATTTTAGTACAACGAATAGTATTTGTAATTTAGATACATTGTGTGGAATGTTATCTGGAAATTGTAAAGAATTGAGTGGATCTGAATTTTATTCCTATGCCTTGTATGAGAATACAGATTACTACAATCAAACATTCTTTTTACCTTTAAATTTTGATGATACAGAAATTGCACATTTAGATATCAATATTGTGGTGTTAGATTCAAGTAAATTTGGATTAGCCAATCAATATGGATTATACAATTCGACACAATATGATGCACGACATTCCAATAATACTAATTACACCAATTTGATTATATTTTTAGTATTCATTGTGACCATTCCAACATTTATTTTGATATTATTTGCATCGTGTTTGGGAGTTTATTTTTGTCAAAAGAAACGAAATAGTGATGATGTTCAGTCCAATTCACTGATTTCTTCTTCATTGAATCATTATCAGCAGAATTATGGAGGGGATGGCGACACTTCTGAAATCATTCCAAAAAAGAAAAAAGAGACCAATGAAATTGATCGATATCAATACAATGTCGTGTATTAATCACCCACGCATCAGCAGAATCTGACAGTTAGAACAACACTCTCAATGACTCTCCAGTGTGACAAGGTCTGCCCTCCTTAGAGGAGTGAGAGGAGAGGAGGATATATTTGGGTTTACACTCTCAATGAGGTCTGTCCTCCTGAAGGAGGATGGTTTTTGATTGTATTTAGTTGTGCTAGTAGTACTTTGACTCCAGTCTAAGTGAGTTAGAAAAGAATTTATCGCGTCTGTAAATGCACATCCTATTTCATTTCATTCGATGTTTTTTTAACATTCTTTGTTGTTTTTCCAGCACTCGATCATCAATCTCTGAACATGGATGCCACAATCAAGAAGGGATCTCAAGAGTCCTCCAGCAACATGGAAAAGTTGAACCTCACAACAAATCAGCAAGAAGCAACGCAATCAGTCACCAAATCAAGAATGAAAATTGATACACCTATTCTTGTGACAACTTTAAAGCTTTTGAAACTACATCTTGCAGGATATATGAAATCATTCTCCGGAATAGGTTTTCTCCGAATTTGCCGTACGGCAACAATCCACACGTTGATGAATACTCAAATCCAACCACTTCCTTTATAATTAAATTTTTGTTATGTAACTCAACAATAATTTGTTAGTTGCTGCCTCCTCTCCAAACTACCACTTTTGGAGATGGAGTGTCAACAAGCTTTATTTGTTGTAAAGTTGTCCCGAGAAATTGATGGACAGTAGCATGTGATGAGAAAAACCACATTCAGGAATGGATATCATTTCGGGAGTAATATATTTATCAATAAATTAGTTGAAAAAAAAGATTAGAATTAAAATAAGTCAAATAAAAAACAATGCCTACCCCTGCTTTGGTCTCATTCAATAAGGTTCAGTAAAATTAAAAGAAAGAAATAAAAAGACCATGTGACTAATAAACATCGCAAAGCGACGAGAACGTCATTGAACAAAACAATGACAAATAATGAAATAAAAATTAAAAAGCCAAGACCAATAAAGAATCAACTCCAATTATTGCTTTCGTTACAAAACACTTCTGTTCTTTTCCAAAGAACTATCATTTATAATAATATACATCTCTCATAATATCATAAAACTCATATTATTATAATCTTCCATATTTCATCCCAAAAGAACAAAATATGTATGATCAAGAAAATGCATAATAATAAAACAATTATACTCTATTTCATGAAGAAACAAAATATATTTATTCAATATCATTATTCTACTTCTTTAAAATTGCATTAATTATCAGAGTATAATACAATAGAATATTCCATTCTTATTGTTTATATCCAAAAATTGTATATGAGTTACATGTTTTATTTCTTTTCATGAACACTTTATTCTTGATTTATCAGTAACTACTGTATATAATGGTTTCTTATTTGAAGTATGTTCTTTTAGGTGAGTCAATCTGTTGTATCTCTGTAATATTCTGTCGTCTAAATAAACTATTGATTGAAATAATTATTATTTATTCAGTTAGAAAATTTAATCTAATAAATACGATATTTTATTTTATTAAATATTTCACTTTAATATAAAGCAACGATAATATCATAGAACAAAGAAATGAGAAACGAGTTACGAGTTTTCAAAGTCAAGGTTATCGGTTCGACCAACAAAGACCAATGTAGAGGGAAAATGATTGCTGGGAGATTTGAAACTGGATGCTTGCTAAAAGATGTTTCAGACCTGTAACGCTCGTCACGGTCTTGACAACAATTTTTTGAACTATGCTCAAAATGGACGTGGTTACAGACACTTTTGGGTGAAATTTCAAAAAGTTTCGAACGCAATGCTTCTGTGATGGGAGTACTTGTAACGAACCTGCTCGGCTTTCCGTTCCATCTTTTCTATTTTTTTCTTGAGCTCCTCAAATTCTTCCTCCTTTTTTCTTTGTTGAGCTTTCTTACCATTCTTCTTGGCTTTCTTTTTAAATTCTCGAAGATATCCGTTTCCCAAATTTTTTGGGTCTCTATTAATGTTTTCACTCGAAGAAGCTTTGGTGTTCTTTTTTTCTATTGAGGGAAGCTTAGTCCTCTTCTTCTTTTTTGGAACTGTATGAGGAGAGTCTCGCCCTCGTTTGTTGTCACTCTCGCCGTGGTTTGGATCCTGAAAACAATTGAAAAAATTTATAGACTCGTTGAGTTTATTCATACTTTCGCATATTCCTGGAATGACTTTCAGAACGAACATTACTTGGTGCTGGAGGTGCGTTCTTAAGAATGAAATAAGCAAATACAGGTTTTCCTAATTCTGCATTTTCTGGAATAAATACATTTTGAGATTGTGAAATGTATCCCTCTTTTGACACTTCAATGGTATAATTTCCAGGTGGTAATAATCTCCAAAAGAATCCATCATAATTTGAAGTAATAATCTTTGCATTTCCTTTCACTGTGACATTTGCATACGACACACCATTACCCATTTCATCAGCAACAATTCCCACTGCTGCGAATTTCATTTGATCCATATACAAAATGAGTGAGAGTTTGTTTTGTTTCCAAAATTTATCCAAATCCGATTCAGGAGCAATATATTCTTCAGTGAGTTCAAGAGTCAATTCGTAACAATTAGCAGCAAAGTAATTGTAATCAGCCTGTGTGTGTGTGTATGGCCCATTCCATGCATTCAAAATCATCATCACCACCAAATGAAATTCAAAATCATCATCATGATGGTTATAAAAAAAAGGAACCAATCCAAATCATCATCAAAGACCCAAATCATATCATGATGGTTATTCAAAAGCATCATATTCCAAATCAAACCTACCATTGTGTGATGAACCACCCACCATGCAGCTCCATTCGTAATTCCACCCTTAAATCTCTTACTTAAATGCATCTCTGGATTTGCATTCGCATAAACAGTAGCAACCATTCGAAAGAATGCATCATCTGGTGTTGCACTATAATTGGCATCTTTTTGAAGAGCAGTATCAAATGGATAATTTGCAACCAAAACACCACCATGTAAATTAGCAGAGAGGATAAATTGTTCTTGTGAAATCCATTGCATGATACTCAATGTTTCAGGTTGAAATGGATCCTCTGGCATTCCAAAATAGTAATCAATGAAATTTCTATTTAAATCAACTCCATTGGCATTTCTACGTTGTTTCAATTCATATCCATCTGGATTCATAGATGGCATGATATATACATCCATATAATCAAGAATACGAGTCACAAGTGGATCACCATTCTTGTATAAATTTAACAAGTATTCAATGAAATATAAAATCACTTCTCTTCCAACAGTTTCATTACCATGCATGTTGGCAATATATTTAAATTTAGGTTTTCTATATTTAAGGTTAAAGGAGTAAGGTGGAGCACCAATGACTTTGTTACTACTAATTTTCATGACCCATAACTCACGTTGTTGAACTGAATGACCCACCGAATACATTTGTGTCATGTTTGGAAAGGCGAGATGAATTTCACGCATCTTGGCAGTCATTTCCACATAGTTGTGATTTCGAAGAAGATTTTGAGGTTTTCTCTTCTTGTTCGCAGCATGGCCCAGAGAGAGATTGGTGCTATTAGTATTCTTGTGAGATCGATTAGAATATGTGGTAGTAGTAGTATCATCTCTGTGATCACTTGTAGTATTGAATAATCGTTTGGTCATTCCCATGAATGACGGTATTCCTTGTTTCTTTCTCTCATAGTTATTCTCAATCACTTGAAGTTCCATGCGTTCCACTTGTTTCAATGTTTCAAAATGCATCAAAAAGACAAGATGGTCCATCTGTTGAGAGATTAATTGTGCAAATAATTTGGAGTGTTCATCATCATCATCATTTAATGGGAATTGAATGGATGATTCATGGTGAAGATGATTGTCATCTCGACTTGCAAAGGATTCAATAGTATCTTCAGATAAGCGCAGAAGTGGAGCGTGTCTTCCCTCCAATGCAAGCCTTTTCAATTCATTTTGGGAGAGACCCATCACTAAAAGAGAATAGGAGGCTCTTTTGGTTGGAATTACAGGGATATGGAAAGAACTGCGTGGCTCGGAAACCACTGCCATGATGATGAAGAAGAGGAGTGCGAGTGTCATGAGCACACCACACCTCATGAGGCTCACTCTTGGTGATGATGATGATGATAAGGATGACATGGTATTCCTGGGTGCACCAACGCGAGAGTCTAGCGGTAGTCTCGTGTGTTTCGTTTTTTTGGAGGATGGTCTATTGAGCTGGAAGGCTTTCCAAACTTGGCGACTGTGCGTTGTCGATTCCAAGTTTACAAAAGATGCTTGCACTATTAGTCACGTTCGAGATGTTCTGATCATCTTTTTAAACGCTCCGCAACAACACGTGAAATGAATAGGAGGAGGATCCATTCTTTTGTGAAATTCTTTTATTGAAATTCTTTTACTGAAATTCTTTTACTGAAATGGATCCTTTATTGAAATGGAAATTATTCTCTCTTAAATAAATACTCCCCCAAAGGACATGTAATCAATCATGCATTGATTGTACTTGTTCATCTCATCCAATGGTTCAAAGGCTACTCGATTGGCATGAGAAAGTCTTTCAATGAATTGTCGAATTTCAGAATCATCTCGTATTCCCTGAACCAACACTTCTGAATGAATTTGGAAGAATAAATTCATCAATGCTTGAATTAAATCAAAATCTGTAAATTCTTCTTGAATGAAATGTAAAAAGAATTCTAATAATAATTTGTACTCTTCATAATGATTGAATGCAGAGAGTGTACGAATATTCAAATCCAATTGTTTGATACTTGATTCCTTAATATATTTCATAGTAGTTGAATAATAACAAGTTGAAGAATTGGAATGTTCTCGATCTTGTTTGATCATGGCAATGAGTGGATTCACCATGACATTGGAAGAGACGAGATGAGAGTGATGATGGTGATGATGGTTTTCAGAATTCTGTTCATGACAATTTTTCTCACCTTTTCTTTGAGTATTCTTATCTTGGAATTGAATATTCCTAGTATTCAAATTCGAGACTGTAGGAAGAAAGAATGGACTAGTCGTTACAGTGCCATCCAATTCATCCACCAATTCAGGAATGGATGGTTTCTTTGGATCAAGTTTGTTCCTCTTTCTAATTTCATCTAAATGAGTGAGACCATGCCATTTGTATTTGGGTAGATCAGACAACTTGATGAAATGAGAAGGTTCTTGAATAGGATAGGAAGTATGAACTTGGTCTTGTCTTTTTTTCACAAGTTCATCCTCTTCTTCTTCTTCACTGTCTTGTTCATCATCACCATGTTCAGCAGCATTTCTTTCTTTCATCCAATCATCTACTTGGGAGAGAATTTTAAAGGCTCTTTTTCTCTTCTTTTTTTGAATACTAATAGTAGGAAGGGATTCATCATGTTCACTGCCACTACCACCACTACCACTCAAAAGTACACTCGAGGTGGCAGTCGTTCTCTCTGTAATCATCAATGAATCTCCACTAAATGGTAACGATACATATTTGGGTGCATTGACCGATTGTAATAAGGCATTACCAAATATAGTCTTATTAGCCCACAAACAAATGCCAACCGAATTGACGTGCGTGGTGACGAGATGCAATCCTTCTGGATGGAAATCGACACTTGTCGCTGCCTTTGGTAAAGATAACCAATCAATTAATTGTCCTGTCAAAATATCATAAATTAAAATATAATTATCACTTCCACAAGATATTAAATATCGATTGTCATGAGTGAAACACATATCATTAATCTTATTGATATGATGTCCATGGAATGTACGAATTAATTTGCATGTATTCATATCAAATATATGAATTGAAAAATTCTCACATGCAACACTCACAAAATTAGCACTTGCTGAGTGTTTGGATTTGACCATTTTCAAAATTGGAGATTTCAAATCAAAACTGGCTAACAATTGATCTGAAGAGGAGGAAGAAGAGAAGGATGATTTGGAAGAGTGTGATGAATCATGATGACCACCACCATTCATAATTTCATTCAAAAGAGATGAATTAGAGGATTGTGAGTTCTTGTCAGCATCAAATTTCCATACTTTCAATAATCCATCATGTCCACCACTACACACTTTTGTATTCGAATTGTCAATCACCACAGAATTGATTGGAGAGGAATGTGCTGTGAGTGATAACGAGGAAGATGACAAATTACTAACAGTGGTGATGTGTGGTTTGAGTGTTTTTTGTCTTCCTTTAAAATCATAGACTTTACGAATTTCAATATTTTTCTTCTTTTGCTCTTCTGAATGGTCATGATATAAATGTTTCATCTTTTTTGATTGAATAATCCACTTTTCTAAATATCCCTTACTAGTTCCTACCACTGCATAATTACCACATATGGAAAGTGCTACCGATTGAGGTAATCCGTATTTCAATTCTGGTTTGTATAATGTTTCAGAATCAGATTTCAAATATTTAACATTCCATAATGTAACACTATTCAAATTAGAATGACAACATGCCAAGTTATTCCAATCATCTTGCCTCAAATAACAAATATCCATATCTGTTACAGCAGGCATTTGAGAATGTTGTTTCCATAAATGAGAATTCTGTTGTTGTGAAATTTGTTTCGATTCACGGGGATCGAGTAATGATGTAACTCTAATTTGACCATCTACACCACCTGTGACAATGAAATGACCCATTGGATCATAAAAACGAATTAATTTTGGAGATTTCTTATGTCCCATTCGACACACCACTTCACGTGATTTATCAACACGGTCAAATGCAATCAAAGTCATGACATTGTCACTACTACATGTTACCATAAATGGTTCACCTGGTAAAAATTCACAACATGTAATGGTATGAGTGTGTCGATCTTCTTTCTTAATTCTATGAATTAATTGATGAGAATTGAGATCCCATAGAGATACTTCTCCACAATGATTGCCAGTGGCCATGACATGTTCAGAGTGATTAGAAAAGGTTCTATGATGGTCATGTCTGTGATCATGATTGGAAAAGGTCTTGTCCATAGAATTGGAATCAACACTCTTGTTAGATGTTGTACTTCGAAATGAAATTGAACTCACTGGTCCATTCTGTTTAAATACATTCAAAATATGATCATACTTGACATGATATAAAAAAACATGACCACTTGAAGTTCCAACAGCAATGACATCGAGAGCAGGTGAAGGTTTGAGACATGTAATGACATGATTCAAAGGAGGAGGAGTAGTAGTTGTGGTAGTATTGTTGTCGTCGGTAGTAGTATTGTTTTGGGTAGTATTGATCTCTAATAAAGAATGTAATAAGGACTGTTGTTGAGAGGAAGAAGAGGATGAGAACGGTGTGCGATCATCACAATGTTTTTCAAATCGATAAATTTCCTTTCCAACTCTAAAATTAAACAACAAGACATGTCCTTCTTTACATCCAATCACAATCTTATCTAAATAAGTTTGTAAATGACAAGCACAATTCAATGTACAATCTTTTGGTAATTCAAATGCATTCACAAATGAATCTTTCAAATCAAATGTATCATAAATTGAAATTAAATGTTCAAAACACACTAATAGATATTGTCCAATCTTTAACAATTGAACAAGTTTACCACTCTTTTGATGCATTTGAAGACTTGTATCAATGATTGTCAATAATTCTCTTGCACCTCTGAGAACATAAATGTTTGATGAATCTTCACAACAAATATAGAGAATATCACGTTGAGTGGGATGAGCAGTCGATGCATTTGAAGTGAGAGAAGATTGTCGTTCAACGAGCATGAATGAAATGGGTGAAGGTAATTGAGGACCAATGTCAATGTGAATGAGAGATTTTAACTGAGTGAACAGTGAACAAGTGTGTGTGTGTGGGTGTCAGTGTGGAATTGTTGATAGTGTTATTGATGGTATGATTATTATCATTTAAATTATTAGTATTATAGAATTATTAGTATTATAGTATGATTATTATCATTTAAATTATTAGTGTTATTCAATGAATTCATTTGTGAACATTATCATCGATAGGATCAATGATGTATTCAATCAGTAATTGTTTAATTATGAACATACCCCATAGGCATAAAATGTATTTCCAATGGAACAATAAATCAATGCATCATCAATTAAATCAGAATCATCGGAACTAGAATTGGATTGAAAACTAATGGCAGGTACGACATGATTGGTAACCAATCCAATAATTTTGAAGGGTTCTAATAAATGTGAAGAAGAAGAAGAATGAATTCCGAGTGTTGGTGGTGGTGTTGTTGTTATTGTGGTTGGTGACGACGACGTCATGGTGGTCCAGAAAATTTTTTTGCTTCTCTTCGTTTTCAAAATTCTCGTCGAGTTCAACAAATAATTTGAAAAATAACAGGATATATCTCAATATATTATTTATTTTATATTATTATTACAGTTACCACTTACTTCATCAAATGAATGACATTTTCAATGAAGAGATAGATGATCATCAAAATATTAACATTCCTTAAATTCAACACTCCTTCATTGTATTGAATTGTTTTGAATGATTCTATCATTCTCAATATTCGGTGTCACCATAAGTTGATCAACTGTTCTTGTTGTACATGCAACAGGCAGTAAAAAATGATGCCATCCTCCTCCTCCTCCTTCTCCTCGTCGTCTTTATCACCTATGAACCATCCTCCTAATATTCCTACTCCTCCTAATAATGAAGAGGAAGAAGAGGATATGTATCACCATCATCATGATGAACTACCACTACACGGGAACACCTCCTCCTCCTCCTCAACAACAACAACAACATGTTGTTCATCATCACCTCTCAATGCATTGAAACAATTTTGTGAAAGATATCATGTACCTATTGAAGAATATTATCCAAATGCTCCTCCTCCTCCTCCTCCTCCTTCGAGTGATCAATGTCATGTCGATGCTAATGCTGCCACTACAACTACTACTACTACTACAACAACTACTACTACTTGTCAAGAAAATAATTCCAAAGTGCATCATGATGATGACTTTGTGACTCGGAATGAATCCATTCGTTATTTTAGAATTTCATTTCAAAGTCTCATTCGTAGTATGTCTTTCACGAATGACACCTGTGAGTTCACTCAATCTAAATCATCATCATCTAAATCATCATCATCTGAATCATCTGAATCATCATCATCACCACCACTCACTTCTTACAACAAGTTCATTCAAAATATTCTCACATCCATTCACTCTCAATGTGGTCACTTTCCACAACCCATTCCATCAAATCTTCAATCGAATTCATTGATGTCCTCTCCTCACAGTCATGACATGACTCTCAATGTGATTCAAAATAACACCACTTCCTCTCCCACTTCCTCTCATCATCACTACAATTATCATCACTACTTCAATTATTATCAAATTTATACTCTTCCAAAGAGTGTTTCTATTGCTCATTTATTGGAATATAAAAATGGAATTATTTATGGAGTAGATATTAGTAGTATTTATTGTATCTTGTCATTGGAAAAGATTTTATTGAATTCAAGAACAACAACAAGAAATGATTCAAATACATCTCAATCATTACCCAATGTTTTGGATATTTGTACTGCACCAGGTACAAAATCATGTCTATTACATGATTTGTATAAAAGTAGAATTTCATTCTCACATTCATCATCACTCACACATTCATCATCATCAATCTCTTCTGACATGAATAGCAACACTAACAGTACAGATCTGTACAACCATCCTTCAATACTCTCTTACATTCATACGATTACTGGAATTGATAATAATTATCATCGAATCATGACATGTAAAAATATATTTAAAAAGTATCATTTAAATGATATTCGATTAATCTATGCAGATGGAACAAATTATTCCACACACTATGGACCACCTACACGAATGAAAAGATTTAAATATATTGAAAAGGTAAAAGAATTACCAAAGAATGGAATTTTAATTTATGAAAAATATGGTTCAACAACAACAACTAGAAAGAGAATGAAACAAGAGGTCATCATGTCGACGACGAAATTGGTGAATACATGTCCAAATATGACAAAATTGGTGAATACAAGTAATGATTCAAATATTAGTAATGATGATACAAGGATTCTCAATGATTCAAATATTAGTAATGATGATGATTATGAAATGAAAAAGAAGAGAAAATCTTCCTTATTAGTAGTGACTCGTACGACTCATTCAACGAACTTGTCCAACACTCATGAAGAGAAACAAGAGGATACATCATGTATGAACATGACCAATTCCAACAACACAAATACCATCACTACCACCATCACCACCACCACCACTATGAATACCACCACCACTATGAATACCTCACCCAACATGTCCATCCATGACCATTCAATTATTCCTTCTTCTTCTTCTCTTCGTCCTAAAAATATATTTGAATCTCTTTCACCTCTCTATGATATTGTCATTGTAGATGCAGAATGTAGTACAGATGGTAGAGTTCAATATTTTAGAAATAATTTGAAACAAATTCAATACACATTGGATCATATGGAACATATTGTGAATTTACAAAAACAATTATTAGAGAATGCATTTGTGAATTGTTTGAAAGCATCCTCATCATACTCATCCTCCTCGTCACCATCATCACAACACTCGTATGGAATTCTCTTGTATTGTACATGTTCATTCACTGTAGAACAAAATGAACATGTGATTCAATATTTATTGAACAAGTATAATAAGAGTGATGATGAGGATCTTACAAACTCTCAAAAATTTGGTATTGAATTAATTCATCCCTTCAAAGATAGTCCAGTATTGAAATATTTAAATATACCCTATGTGGAATCAAGTGTATTGCCAAATACCATTCGAATCATACCCTCACAATCTCAAAGTAATACATGTCTCTATATTGCCATGCTACGAAAGTGTTTGAAAGAATAATAATAAACACACACACACACACACACACACAGGAGGTTCGAGTGTTATGAACATAAATTAAGGACATCCTTCTTTTAAAAATTGGAGAGATTTAAGCCTTATTCTTCTTCTTCCAACAACAACAACAAGAACACACACAATGAGCACTCTCTTCCATCAATTAACATGCATCGATCCATTCGAGACTATTCCGAATCTTCCCTTACATGAAACTTTTTCAACTGCAACTACAACTACTGCTACTACTACTACTACTACTACAATGAATACAACAACAACAACAACAAGGATGGTGAGACCTTCCATCATGATGATGATGCTCCTGTCGGGTCGACCCAACAATTCCTCGAGTCAACAACAACTGCATCATTCTTCTTCCTCCAATCTATTATCATCATCAGGAGGAGGAGGAGGCAATTGTCTTCTTCGTCAATTCAAACCATCTTCCAATCACTTACTTGATGATGAAGTATTAGAGAGAATGGAAAAGGAACATCAATCACGAATGATACAGGTGAGAATTGGATTAGAAGCTCCTCCCGATCTATTGGCCAATATTAAATTCATTCAACACCACCATCATCAACAACAACATCCACACTTCAACAACAACACTCTGGAGTGTGATTTATTTGATACAAACACCACCACGAGTGCTCATTTAATGATGACGACCTCTGATCAAGAAGAAGTTAATGACGACATGCACGAAGAAGAAGAAGACTTTGAGAATGAGGAGGATAGTCCAGTGATGATGATTCTATCCAATCACCATCATGATCCTTACAATAGTCCCATCCATTCTCCCTCGTCATTATCACAACACACTTCCGAAGCGGATGATGTTGTTGAGCCTTTTCAGGTTTCTCATTTCGAAGAGACACTTGACGATCCATTGGTGGAAGGATCATCCGCTTTCAATGTTATGACCTATCCCAGTACGAGTGGTGGTGGTGGTCATGAGGATGACCATTCAGAAGGATCATCCACTCTCGCTGCTGCTACTTCTCATCAACAACACCACCACCACCACCACCACAACTACTACTACTTGTATCCTTCCATCTCTTGTACTTCGAAACGGAGAAGAGGAAATTGTGTGCGTGGTGCTTGTCATCATGAACAATGTACAGATGATGATGCTGCTGTTCATGGCGACGAAGAAGAAGAGGACCATGAAAAAGAATGTGTGATTCATCCAAGTATTACCGGTAATAATACTGCTGCTACTACTACTGAGACGAACAACAACAACAACAACAACACTGAGAGAAAGAGGACTGATTTGAATCAAGCTTGTTTCTTGGACTCACCACCATGTTATTGGAAACAAGACGATGAGGAGTGAGGAGTGAGGAGCACTTGCATGCACATTGACTCATCTCATAATCATATTTCAATCGATTCGTGCTTTCAATCTCTCTACAATTGGTCAATCCAACAACATTGTTCAAGAAATTCTCATTTTTCTCAACACAAAATCTTTCGGTAAATTTCAAAGTAGAGGATGTCATCTCAACCGCCACAATGTCTGTCATTTTAAATGCTCACGTTCATCTCTCATTTCAAAAGTTATGAACAAAAACATCACTCACTCCGACAAACACACTCTTCCGTGCAAATCAAACAACACAAAAAATGTCTTCAAGACCCTCTTTACCCGCTGTCAACCGCAATGGTGGTGGTTCTGGTGGTCACAACAAACCATCTTTTGATGCCAAGAAGAATACTGCTGCTACATCAATGACTCATCCAATGATGGCAGACTCATCGATGGGTCTCCTCACTTCCAATCACATGATCAACATGATGACATCTATCAATTCTTTCTCCTCTTCATCGTCCTCCTCCTCCTCTTCGAATCACACTCAAGTCTTTAAACAAGGTTATTTATCTAAAAAACCACTCAAAGCCATCTCATCAAAATCCAATTTTAAATATCGTTTCAAAGGATGGAAAAAGAGATGGTTTGTGTTATCACGTACTTGTCTCTATTATTATAAAGATGCAGCAGCTGCAGCAGCCGCACAAATTCAAATGCAAAATTTGAAACAAGTGGTCAACAACAACAACAAACACTCAAATGATTTATCCAACACTTTACAATTTGGACAACTCTCTGACAAGTATCAACCATTGGGTATCATTTCATTGATGGAAGATATCAAAATTGAAAAAGATGATTTGGAATCTTCTGAATGTGGAATGTTTGTATTTAAAATTAGAACACCCTATGCCATCCATTTGTTAGCAGCAAGTACTGAATTGGAGAGAAAGGAATGGATAGATTGTATTGTTGGAATTACAGGTGCAATTCAAATGACTAAATTAGTACAATATGTTACGAAATTACAAGTCACGATCATTGAAGCAAAATTAAATGATGAATTGGTGCGTGAATTGAATTTATTGGAGAGTGGTAGTAGTGGCAATGGTAATGGTAGCAATAGTAGTGGCAGTAGCAGTGGCAATAGTAATTCTCATGAATTGGAACCAGCTCAAAATAGTAATAATCAAGTGTTGAAACAATTATCAACAACAAGTACTACTCCTACTCTTCGAAAGTCCGATGTCATTGAGAATTCTCACTATCAAGTGAGTTGTAAAGTGAAAAGTAATTTTCAAGAATTTTCAACCATTTCTCAATCCAAAACCATTACTCCCATTTGGAATGAAACCTTTGTGTTGGACATGCCACGATTTCCAATGGAAATATTTCTCATTTTGGAATTAACAGAAACAAAAGAAATCAAAGTCACCAATTTACTTTCAAATCAACAACACAAGAAATTAACACAATTCACACAATACTCTCGAAATGGAATTGTGAAAATGACTATATTAGAACCTGATTTGGTGGAATCTGTACAATCACAACAACAATCCAATGATTTAGTCAATCTATCGTATTTTCAATTAACCAATCAAAATAATTCCAAATCCACTTTTGAAGTGAGTTTTGAGAAGTGGTTTAATGCCATTCTTGAACAAGAAGATGATTTTCAACTTGTTAAAAAGAAATCACAATTTGTGGTGGATGAAGAGGATGATGAAGATGACCAAGATCAAGAGATGAACAATTCAAAAAAGAATTCATCCTCCTCCTCCTCCTCCTTACATCACAATGATCTCATGAATGAATTGTATGAACCTGCCATTTCTCAACACAAACGAAAAAAGACAAGCCTCGGTAAAATCTATGCTCGTGTGGAATATATATTTGAAGATATGCAAGGATTTCCACTTTCTTATCAATCCATTCAAAATCAAATCAAAGAAGCAATGAGAATGCAAAATGAATTAATGAATAAGATTTTAAATGGATCACAAACAAAGAAGGAAAATACTTCACAGAAAAAGTTATTGGGATTGTATCAGGATCATTTTGTTGAAGAAGAAGAAGGATCTCAGTCATTATTGAACAAGAAGAATTCTTCATCATCTCAATCTCAACAACAACAACAACAAGGATCATCTTCTTCAGTGGATGCTCTACTCAATGAACAAAAAAAGAAACATCGTCGACAACTCATCACTCGAAGATATAAACAAGAATTGGATCGAGTCATGTCGGATCGAAATGCAGAGTTATTGAAAAGAGCACAAGAAAGTCAAAAAACAACTCTTGAAATGCTTCAAGAGACCATTCAAGATCGAAAGAGACAATATGAGAATATTGAAAATGAATATCAAAGAAAAGGTGAGTGGAATGATGGTAGTGATTTTGCTAATATTATTATGATTAATGATTACTACTAATATTATTCTATAATGATTAATGATCACTATATAATATTATTCTATAATGAACGACTGAACCTTTTTGAACTGAACACATGGCACGCCACGCCACACATTTTGTGAACCTTTGAACACTTGTCTCTCTCTTTGAACCAACCAATCATCAACATTTCAGAATTTGAACAACAAAAGAAACTCCAACTCAAACTGAAACGCGAAGAAGAACAACGTCTCAAAGAAATCAACAAGACTCTCAAACAAAAAGAATACGAAAAAAAGAAACAACTTTCCATTCAGACCAATCGAGAAAAATTACTCGATGAACGCAATCGTATTATTGAAATTTTGAAATTCAAAGCAGAGAAATCCAAACACTTTGAAAAGTTACATAATGCACTCAAACAAGAAGAAGAACGAGCGACTCAAGAGTTAGTCTCAACCATTGAAAAGAAAGAACGTGAATTTAAACTCAAGGCTCAACGTCGTATTCAAGAAAATGAAGAACGAATGTTACGAGAATTGAATGAGAAGATTAAACGAGAAGAAGAATTCAAAGCAAAGAAATTGAGATCGGAAATTGCTCAACTCGAAAAGGACATGTCCAAGAAATTAAAAGAATTACAAGAACGAGAACTTCAAACAAAACAAATGGAAGAACATCAAAAGCAAGAATATAAGAGAAAGATTAAAGAATTACAAAAGAAGGTGAAAGAAGAGGAATTGAACATGTTATTGAGAATGCAAGAACGATTACAAAATGAAACAGCAGAAAGACAACATGAAATTGCCAATGAAATTGATCAATTCATTAAGGCTCAACAAGAGAATTATGAAAAGCAATTGAAGGCATTTTCTGGTGCTGGAAGTGCCACGACTCCTACTCCTACAACAGCCGTAAAGAGTGGCGCCAATCTCTTAACGGATTTTTCATCGTTGGCAACCATTTCAAAGCCTAGCTCCACTCAACTCAAATTACAAGCAACATTTCAAGTCAAGACGTCTGATTCGATTCCATTTAAACCCATTGGTATTGATATATGGAAATGTGGTGGTTTCTTACATTTCTATTTCATTGTTGAATTGAAGAGAGGTACATTGAAAGCACCGTCAAAAAAGAATGCCAATACGATTACTTTCAAGAACAATCCTGAGGAATATTTAAAGATGAATCCACATGTTCCACCTCCACCTGGCTATATTCCACCTCCACCTCCAGTGACACCTTCCACTCCAATTGTCAATACAGGTGGTATTTTCAAGATGAATATTACTCGAAAAGATCCTTCTTCAGGATCCTCTTTGGATCAATTTGAAAAAGAAAAATCGAGTGGTGGTGTCATTGATTTGAAAGACATTTTGGCTCAAAAGAGTAAACTCAAAGCAACAACACCTCCTGCTGCCAATTCTAATAAGACCACTGAATCATCAACACCTATTGGTATGAGTAATACTTTATTCTCATCGCTTCAAATGAGAAGAAAACATATGGCAGTGGATAGTGATGAAGAGGAAGAAGAAGAAGAAGACACTCAAAAAGAGGCAATCAAACACACCAATCCAATGATGGCCATGCTCCTATCAAGAATTGAACGATTAAAGAGAGAACAGAAAGAAATGCTCGATGAAGAAGCGTGGGAAGAGGAATTTGGAAACAGTACACCAAACGCAATGAAAAGTGGTGGTGGTGGTGCCTCTGATACAGTGGACAGCAGTAGTGAAGATAGTGATTGGTAAAAAGATTAAAGTTTAATGTTTATTAACAGAGTATACAATGATCTGGGATCAGTTCTGAAAGGGAAATGCAACAGTTTTGTATCTACATGAAAGTTCAAAGAGTTATAATTTAGTACGTATATTGAGCCTGAACCTGACGCCAGAGTCGACGCGTGTCATAATTCTTGGATGAAACTTGGATTCTTGATCACTAGGTTCATCAAAACACAAAACACTCAAGGGTGATGAATCTATTGCATCACTTTCAATCGTCGAATAGACACAAACAAGACAATCTAATACCGACCGTGTTGTTCCTATCAACCTTTTTGATACCTTTTTCATCCACACACACGGTATCTCACAGATTTCGTTGGTCGTTACCAAATCATCCAAGCACTTTCTATTTATGGATGAAAATGGATTGCAAGGTTCGTATCTTGTTTGTAAACATGGCATTGATGCTATTCTGGTAAGTGAAGACCAATTCATTGAGGGGAAATTCATCAGAGTGTTTATAGAGCATATGACAGGATGTTCGCTTGTGACAATGACCAATTAAAAAAACAAAAACACCGTCTCTCTCTCAACAGTCAATCCTCTCACTCAATTAACACCTCTCACATCGATTGATTGGACCTTTCAAGACCTTTCAAGACACCTTGTCCACACACACCCAAGTAGATAATTAGTACCTCACGTTTTATTGTGTGCTCAATATTCACACAGTTTTCATCACACTCTAAAATGTCCTTCAACGAACATCTTCTCTTGAATTCCTTCTTGTTGGATTCTATGAAAAATTCCATCAACACCAATTCCACGCAAGTGTCTTCCTCACCTCCCGTCACCTCTCTCTTTCAAACACCAAGTATTGTTGTCATTTCACTCAATTCACCTCTTGTATTTGTATTTGGACTTCTTTTCATTGCATCCATTGTGAGTTATTTAATGCAACATCAAGACATGAAAAGAAATCAACATGTTCTATTTTTATTATTGTTCATGGTGGAAGGATTGGTGTGTTTCAATATGCTCACTCGAATTGCCTCAGAAATTGCCTATTTACATCCCAATCCATCGGAAGGATTTGTGGCGAGTGTAGTCATTAAGATTTTTGATCGATGTTTTGTCAATCTCACAGTCTATATGGAAGTAGTATTGATGGCACATATTTGTTATTCCTTGTAAGTATACTTGTTGTACAACTACAACAGTTCAATTAGATTGATCGATCTATCATTCGAATATGCGCGCATATGTGTGTGTTCATGGGTGAATATTATTATAATCAACAACAACAACAACAACAGCTCTGAAACATGTCGTGCCATTAGTGCATTCACTTCCACCACTTTTTCCCATATTAGGAAACTCCTCATTGCCTTGTTGGGTGTATTGGGTGTCTTATTCTTCTTGTTGTGTGCATTTACAGTCATCTTTGGAGGGTTCTCTGCAAGTCGTGCAGAAATTGATGAAAGTACTTTATCATATCTCAATTTGGCACTCTTTTTATGTGCTGCAGCTTTGTTTTTAGGTTCTACTGTTTCCATTAGCATATTTTTAAATGTAAGTATGAGTTGTAGTAGTTGGAGGTAAACTCAATCTCTATCTAATATTTAAATTATTATTTATTATTATTATTATTTATTATTATTTTTTATTTATTATATTTATTTCTGTTTTTACGAATATTAGATTGTGGGACGAAGACTTTCCAACCATTTGAGACAATCCAAAGAGAGAATTAAGGCCATGTTAAAAGCAACCACTTCAACTTTGATTTCAAATCACAACAACAATACCTCTAACACCACCACTAATACTAGCACTAATACTACTAATACTTCTACTACTACTACGACTAGTCTCGATCCATTCAAAGAAAAGAGTAAGGAAAAGATCAAAACTTACCAAATTAAGAAAACAGCCTTAAGAAAATCATTGACCATTCAATATGGACTCACAGCATGCATGATCTTTCAATTCTTTGGATTCATTTTCATTCCAGCCTCATTGGGATGGATCTATTTGATGAATTTCTTTCATTTCTGTTACAATATTGGTTTGGTGGGTTTCATTGTACTCATTTTGTGTATTTACAATCCAATGAGACAAGTTCAGAGATTATTCCGACAAGATTCCGATCCAAAAGCAATGGCAGTCATGATGAATTCATCACAAACATGTTCTTCATCCTTAAGTGGTAGTACTAGTTTAAATCATAGAAGTAGTGGAAGTGCTGCTGCTGTTGGTTCATCAATCTCCTCCAAACATGCCTCTAAAATGTTTGATTCACATTTCACTCTTCAAGGAAAGAACGAATTGAATGTTGTTGCTGGATGGGAATTGAATGACTCGTCGACTTCAAATATTTCCACATGTTCCTATTCGAATCAAAAAGAGGTCGATTTGGAAATGAATGGAACAGTGTCATCATCGCCTTCAGAGAATACGAGTGGCAATACATTGACATCACCTGCAACCACCGTTGTTGTTGTTGGAGACTCTCAGATCGTATAAGTAATACTAGGAGTAGTAGTCGTAGTATTGTTTGTTTGGATTGAAGTGGTGACTCAAAAAGTGTATAACCCAATTAATTACTCAATTAATTTAAAAATAAAAAAATGAAAAAAAAATGTTCAAAAGCAATAACACGTTGAACACGAAACAAAAGCCTTCAACGTCAACACCGTCATCAAAGCAATCAAATTCCGAAGCTGCAAAGATCATGAATATCATTTCATCACAATCATCAATACCACCATCGACCTCATTTTCATTTCAAACACATCATGTTCAATATTGCTATCCTATTTCTAAGAATAAGAAAAATCAATACATCCCAACTGTAAAAATAACAAAACTGCACGAGAAAAAACAATCACTGATTTGTACTCAAGATGAATTGAAACAAATGCACAATAATGAACAGGTCTTGAATGTATTAAATGATATATTTAATGAAAAATTGATTACGAAATATAATGGAAATGTTGATGAATACAAAAGAAATGAAAAGGAACGACATTCCATTAAAAATGATACAAGTATAGAAGGAACTGATGTACAATTATTTGATGATGTTCCAATGGAATCATTGAATGAACAAGAAGAAGATTTGAAGAAAAAGGCGTTACAAGATTTAATGGATGAAGGTGTTGATTCAATTATGGATCAATACAAATTACCTAAAATTTCCATATTCGGAGAGGAAGAGTACTCTTCAGACTCTGATGAAGAGTCGAAAATTAGTAAAAAGTCTAAAAAAAAGAGAAGTAAGGAATTTGCCTTTCTTGAGGATAGTGATGAAGAGATTGAAGAGAATTTAGCAAAGGAGATTAATGTTGCAACTGAAGATGAGAGTGAAGAAGCAAACGTTGCTGCTGACGAGGAATTGTTGAAGAGCAAGGCTCAAGAAACACAGGGCTATCTCAAGTACAGCAAAGTAAAAAAGGACAAAGTAATTAGACCTGGAAGCAAAAAACGAAAAGCAAATGCCGAGTATGAAAAGATCAAAAACTTGATGAAAGAAAAGGAAGATCAGAAAAAGGATGTCGTCGACCAAAATAAATCAAAGGTACACGAGAAGGATTGATCTCGAGTTCATTACTTAAAATTTCTTCAGCATTTCCAGAAGAATTTCCCTCTTATTCTGGCTGATAGTTTATTATTTTACAATATTGATCCTCTGTCAGCAAACAATTTGACAAATGAAAATGTCAAAATGGCAATCACACCACTTGTGCAATAATAAATATAAATTGTGTAGAAAACGACACAGCTATAGTTTGTGTAAATGTATAGAGCCAACAATACAGAAGACGTGAAAGGAATAATTAAATTCTTCAGAGAGTAAAAGATCGTAAATTTCACCAAATTAATCATCTTTTGATGTTGTTTGTACTTGTTATAGTAAAGAGCTCTGTAAATAAAGTAGCATTTCAAATAAACTTTGAAATACGTAAATTGAATAATAATGGAGAAAAGGCAAAACAGAGTCACCATTGCATGCTGTGTGTGGTTCAAAAATATGACTAACAACGGTAGAATAAATAATTGAAAATTGCTAACGAGCTTGGTAATCATGGAGAGTAACTTGAAAACTTTTTTGTCCTTGATTGATCGATTTCCAATCACGAAATGGTGATACTCTTTGAAATCGTTCAAATAAATGTGACATTTACAAATATAATTAAATTCCACTACTAAATTTAGAACATATGAAACTATCAAATTAATAAGAATAAATGCATAATTCTCAAAATTTTCTGATATCATTAAATCCCAAATTTTCTCCATCCAGCCTCTTGTTGCTGAACTTTTTCCAAACATCATTCCTTTTAAATAGTCATGAGTATGAATTAATTCTTGAGCACACTGAGCGTTCTTAAACATTTTAGAAAGAGCAAAATAACACAAAAAAGATGCAATGAAACTCAAATAATACAGTACATTTCTTCTCTTCTGATACATGTTGGTATAAATTCGGAACAGCAAGATGAGAAATATACCAGTAACCAAAATGTTGTAAATATTATAAACTGAGAACATCATGACTAGATATGCAAAAAACAAATAATCCAAGTCATTGTAAAAATATAGAGTCTTAATAATAGCCTCATTCATGGTTGTAATTTTTATCAGCATGGTTGGAGAAGAGGCTTGTTGTGATGAAGATGGCTGTCGTTGCGGAGACTGTGGTGGTTGTGGTTCATTGTTCGGAAGAATCATTCTCAACCGATACAATAAATGATTTTCAACGGTAAAGTATCCCGTTGTTTTATACTGTATGAAAAGGATGAGAGCAATATTGAGAACAACACCAAATATTGACGATTTAAAATAATATTGCAAAAGGTTGATGAAAACGGAGAGAGGTGAGGAATTGGCCGATAGAGTAGTTTCCATTGTGTTTGATAATTGATCATGATGAGTGTTTGTTGGATTTGAATTCGGAGAAGACATTTGAAAATGATGTAGTCGTGGTCGTCGTCTTTGGTGATCAAGGCTTGAAGAGCATCGGTGATGGATTTTTTTTGGAAACAAAGGAAAATTCGAGTCAGAGGGTTTTAATTGGGAAGTTGTTATTAATTAATCCATCAATAATAATAATTTTTTAATTGGGAAGTTGTTATTAATTAATCCATCAATAATGGCATATGTGTGTATTCTGAGATCAAGTTCATGCACAGTGACTGTTCTGAGCACACTTCATACTGTTTCTCGAGCGCATACAAATAATTTATAATATTGATCTGTTGATCAAAGGTTTGGATGTAGCTGAGAGTAAGGATTGATCGGGTAACCTCACCTCAATCCTATCCTCCTCTTGTTGAGCTTTCCAATCCATTGAAGACGTCATCATCGATAGAGGTCTGCTACGTTGAGAAGAAGAACTCCTTGATGTGTTGCTAATTCTGTCATGAGTTCTAATTCCTGTGTTGTTGTTGTTGTTGTTGTTATTATTAGCGGTGGTGGTGGAAGTTGTCCTAACAATGGGTTTCGTATGGATGAGATGTTCCAAAATAATTTTCGAACGAGAAGGATATAAATTCCATTCATCCATCTTGTTGTTGTTGGAGGTCAGGTATGGTGGTGGTGGTGATGACGGTGACCATCTTCTTTCATGGTCCTCCTTTAGTAATGACTCTTTTGATAACATGCTTCTTGACGACATGTCTCTACTTCTTGAATGGGGTGATGAACATGTCGTTTTGCATGTTCTCGAGTTTGAAGTAAAAAAGCTCATACTCGTGTGAGGTCGAATTGGCAACATTGCGAATGCAGAACGTTCGAGAGGTGGTAATGGAGAAGAATTTGACGCAAAGCTGTGATCATATACTTGGACACCATCTTTGGTCAGCAAGACATGATTCGTTGATGGAAAAACATCCTCTTGTTCTGATTCTTTGTATTCAAAGGTATCCTCATGATCTTGTTCATTCATGCAATGATCAGTAAGGAAGAATGATTTCGAGTCCGTGTTGGAATTTCTTGATTTCAAAGGAGAGCCATGTTCATCCTCATTCAAAGAATGTTGAGTTCTTTCCAATGGTTGTAGGATATATTCCGAATGAAGATCATCGATGAAAGTCAAAGGAATGTTTTGAGTGATTTTGTTCCATTTCGGAATGGGACAAGTCTTTTCATTTTCTGAGGAGATGTACTCCTCGGAGGCTAATACAAAATCAAAATCATTGTAAATGTACTTTTCATTATTACAATACAATTCTAATTTCTTCAGGGGAGAGGAATTCGCATGGAATGATGATTCTAATTTTGAGAGTTGTTGTGGTGGTGGTGTGATTGGAGGTTTAGAAGTTTTTTTTTTAAGGGAATGGCCTTTTTTTTGAGGGGTTGTTCTCTCTTTGGAAATTGTTGCTGGATTTGATGAAGAATATTCTTGTTGTAAAAGATTTTTTGAACAAACTGTAATGGTTGAAGATGTTGGAAAGTGGATGGAAGGGTTGGAAGCATGGTTCGTAGTGGTCGTCATTGAGTCAATGATACCATTCATCATGGATGGTTCGGCAGTGTTTGGAATGAGTTGTTGGGATGATGAGCGAGGTGACGGCGGTGGTAATATAGTACGAGTACTATACATAATAGAATCCTCAAAGTCGAGATTCAAGAATGGAGAAGAAAAACTATCCTCCTTAACATGTGAGGATATTCGGGAAACATCCAAATCACAAGAATTCAAATTTACAATGGATGATTGATCATCCACATGCAGTTGTAGTGACGACTCGGTGCTGTGTGGTTCTTCTTCCTTCCTCGAATTTTCTTCACGAAATGTTCTTGACGATTGAACACTCTCCAAATTTTCATTTCTTTGAAAGAAATCCTGAGAAGATATTGAATGTAATTGTGCATTTGTTGTTGAAAGTGTTGAGGGTTTGATTTTTCTATTTTGTTTCATCTTGATTGACCCAAAAGCAACTCCTTCCACTCCGATACTTAAATGATCACTCGTACGAGTAGGTCTTTTGTGTGTTCGATATCTATTCTTTGAAGTGGACGAAGCGAGCATATTTTTTGAATAATCATTGCCATGATAACCCCCTAATTTCGGTCGACCGAGCTCTCATGGCAATGATTATTCAAAAAATATCAAAAACAACAACAAATTTAATAAAATTATTATTGGCGCCATCACTGCCCCTTATTGAATTTTAACTCTAAAAAAACGATTTGTAGTTGGGGAGAGAGGTTCCTCTTTTACGGCAAACTTTTGAAATCGGAGAGTCATTGTAGTTTTACATACAACACCTAGGTCATTAACCTGTATTATAATAACCATGAACAACAACAGCTTTGTAGTAAACTCAAGCAATCCTGAGGAACAATTTGAAATGGGAATTGCATTGATGAATAAAGCGTGGAAGGCAAAAGAAACGCAAATGATGGATGAAATTGAAAACTTGAAAAGAATGCTCCAGAAGAAGCATGAGGAGATTCAACAACAAGCACAACAATACAGCAAACTTCATTTTGAGTTTCAATCCCAAACCACTGCAATGAAAACTCTTCAGGAAATGAATCAAGATTTACAGCTCGAGAGAGATCGTCTATCTCAACAAGTAAAGTCCCTTTCAGGTGAAGTGGCTAAACTTAAACAATTCAAGAAGACCATCATCCAGTCCATCAATTTTGATGATAATGATGATACCCATATGGGAAACACGAGTCAGTTCATTACACCCTCCAACAGCAACAATCCAGGAACGAACACCAGTGTGTCTTCCTATTCCGAAGCAAGATCTTTACCAACAACAGCATCCTCCCAAATGTTGAACGCTCCTCAAATTGAAGGAAAAGAATTCTTCAGACATGCTAAGGACGTCCTCTCTGCAAGACAATTCTCAGAGTTTTTGCAACAAATCAAGCTCCTCAATAATCAACAGCAAAGCCCTCAGCAAACACTTCAAAATGTGAACGAAATATTCAATGGAGAGCATCCCCAACTACTCGAAGGATTTAAACGAATCCTTACTCAACGACAGCAAGCTGCTGCCCAAGCAACCACCTCAACGTCCGAAAATTTGTAAGAAAGAAATTCATTATCGTTGAATAAAAAAAAATGAAAATCTTGGTCGGATTGAAACGTGTGATTGACTACAGCGTGAGTGTGCGAGTCAACAAACAATTGAATGGCGTTGTTACTCAACAAGTCAAGCACAGTATGAACCCATTTGATGATATCGCACTCGAAGAAGGCATCCGAATTAAAGAAAAATTTTCTTCTCCAAAATTAATTAGCGTTAGTATTGGTAACGATCAATGCCAAGAAGTGCTGAGACAAGCTTTGGCCAAGGGATGTGATGAAGCTATTCATGTCAAAACAGATTTTGATAGCGGAGAAGTACAACAATGGGTTTCACCTCTTCAAGTCGCTCATATTCTTCGTCGTATCGTTGAAGAGAACAAAATTGATTTGGTACTCTTGGGCAAACAATCCATTGACTCTGATAATGGACATGTGGCTCAACTCTTGGCAAGTATGCTCGGAGCACCACAAGCCACTTTCATCAGTAAATTATTACCAAGTGATGCCGAAGCAAAACAAATTGAAATTGAGAGAGAGGTGGATGGTGGATTGGAAAGACTCATGCTCTCCGGATTACCTGCTGTGGTCAGCTGTGATTTGAGATTGAATGAGCCTCGATTTGCCAATTTGAAGGCAATCATTCAAGCAAAGAAGAAGCCTTTAACAACACTCAATTTTGCAGATTTGGTGAAAGGCACTGAGTTTGAACAATCGCAATTAGAATACGTGAAAGTCACTGAGCCAAAGACAAAGACTGGTTCATGTGTTTTTGTTGAGAATGCACAACAATTGGTCGACAAGTTGCGCAATGAAGCCAAAGTTTTGTAAAGAGAGAGGTTTCATCATCGGAACAGCTCGTGAATGTACATGAATGTTTGATAGAGGACGAATGAAAGAGAAAATTTAAATATTTATTTCAACCATCTAGATGCGTATCATTTTGAATCATAAATCTCACATCCTCCATCATCATCATTTCTCTAAAGGCTACTCAAAGCTTTCCTTTGAGGTCAAACTTTCAACTCTCTTCAAAGGATGTCGAAGAGTCCTCTCTCAACATTTACAACTTGAGCGCCAATTAATCAAAAACCACAACCCTTAAAAAATGTCTCATCGTCATCCGCTTGAAACAGAGGTTCTCACTGCTTTGTATCACTATCTCTCCAAAAAGAATAAGCATTTGGAATCATGTCCGTGCGTGATTGTACCTCAAACCATTGTGTATGAGCACAACTTTCCTACCGTTTGGTATCAACAAACAGCAAACAAAGAATTCAAAAAAAAGAGCGGAAAAGAGTTGGAAACAAAGGCGATCATGAATGAATTTACTCGAAACATAGTCATGTCAAGAATAGGAGCAACCACTACAACAACAGGAGAGCAAGACCCCTCAGCTTCTGCAGCTACAACTCAACCACCAGCTCAAACTGCTGATCCGAATAATCCATCGGCTGGGTTGGCCTCAAACGATCAAAATGTAATGATGAATGACAACCATCATGGCATTGTTGCTCAATTTATTTCTCAAACAGAGGATGAGAAAACAGGAGAAATTATTAACAATGTTGAATTTCTTGATGTAGAGACTTTGGATGACTTTCTGTTCAAAAGAAAGAAAAGAGATAAAGGAATTTTACAACAATTCATAACTCCAAAGGGTCCGTACAACTTTGTCATTCAAGCAATTTGGTCTCCTCATGTCACCAAAATTGAAAGACGTGTAAATATTCATAGAATTACAGATAGAAAGAATTACACTCCTTATGAAAGAGCTGTTACTTACGAAGGTCCTAGTCACTACAGTAATGAAGTTTTTTGCGCTCCTCATTTAGAAAAAAGAAATTAAGAGAGTATGCAGTGCTATTGTGGACCACTTTTTCAGCGTTGAACATAAGAACATTACCAGAATGGTCTTGTATTTCAAAGTTGATCCTAAGAACAACTTGTACTTGTTATGGAGCAGCAGCATTAGAATCGGAAACCAAAAAACAGACAAACCCTCCATTGTAACTATGAATAGCGGAAGTCTGCAACCTCCAACACGAGAACCTTTAAATTTATCTCCAAAGTTTTCTTACAACCACAATGAGACTCAAGATGGAGCAGGTCAGGAGGGATCTAAGACTAATCCCAACAAAAGTTATGACTTTGGTGATGTATTAGATAAGTTAGACCAAACCAAAAAGCCAAAGAAATCAAAAGCCAATAAGATTGACACCAATTCGTCCATTGCTTTAACAGAACAATCCCTCGACAACGGTGCCGGAGAAGACCTCGAAGGAGCGGTCAACGACATCAATGTTGAGAAAGATGAAGAATTTCAAAAGTTGAAACAAGACATACATCAAGAATTGGACGACTTATTGTACAAAGCATACAGTCATTTTCTTCATAACAGCGAAATTGAAGAGCAAACGCTGGAGTTTTCGTTCCTTATGCCTCCTATCTTGTTGAAGGCATTTGGAGAAGCAAACCTTACTCAACTATTTGCCAACCGAGACATGATTTTGAAGAGAAGTGAGACAGAGGACGGAGTATTTATTTTGAGCTTAAAACAAGCATCATCCATGAATAAGCTTCAACATGAATTCAACACATTCAAAGAGTACCTTGTTGAATGTTTTGAGAGTGAAGGATACTATGAGTCCAACCTTAAAGAATAGACGCTTTGTTTTTACATTGACTTTAATAAACTTTAAATATATTTCCAGCTTTGTTTGCTCGAAAAAATTTCCTATTTGCAAAGCTTTGAATGCAAAACGGGGTTAGTTGAAGTTTATAATGAAATTTTTGAGAGCTGCCACTTTTGATCAACAAAAGATCCAGAGGCTTTGAAATTTTGAAATGAAAAGGTTCCTGAAATTGTCTTTGAAGTGAAGTCGGTGGACTTGAAGGCGATCTTTCCATCTTTCCAATTCCATGTGCCCTCAACAAACTGTCCTTCTTTCCAAGTGCCGTCCAGACTAGATCCGTCAGCTGAAAAAGTGTAAACTCCGTTTCCATCCTTTAGGTCGTTTTTGAACTGTCCAACAAACATATCACCGTTACTATAAAGATATATGCCTCGTTCACAATGTTTCATATCGTTTACATATTCGCCATAGAATCTATCTCCATTATGATAAAGCATTCGTCCTTTACCATTTTTTATGCCATCTTTCCAATCACCAACATAATAGCACAAAGGAATGTTTTCAGGATTGAGAGACTCATCTTCCTCTTCTGCATCATCTCCCTCTTGATCTTCCTTCTGCTTTTCTTTTTCCTTTCGTAGATTTTCAATATAATCTCCTCTGTAAATGTAGGCCCCCATTCCTTCACGAATTGTGTCCTTAAAAACTCCAATATATACATCGTCGTTTGTATAATAAGCAGTCCCAAATCCATTACGATATTTTACAATTTGAGGCTTGGGTGGTTCAACAACCTTTGGTGTTGTTTGCTGTTTTGAAGGCTCCTTTTGTGTCTCCTCTTTTTTGTTGCTCTTCTTCCTCTTCTCGATCATTTTCTTCTCCTTCTTCTGGCTGCTCCTCAGTGGTTTCTTGCTGGTCATCTTGACCTTCTTCGTCCAGTTTTTCCTTATTGTCCAATTCCTTTTCTTGTGCTGGGTTCTCGTTTAATGGGTTCTCTTTTGATTCTGAAATATCCGTCTGTGGTGGCTCTTCTGTTATTGGTGGTAGTTCTACTGGAATTTCAAAGTCGCTCGTGTCACCCTCATAAATTCCAAACTCCCCGATTTGTTTGATAGTTTCAATGTTGTATTTTTCGAACTTTTCAAGTAGAGTTGAAGCAAAGTCCTTTTCTTCCAAGATTTCTTCCTCTTCATCGGAATTTGTTTTTGGCTCATTCTTCTTTTTTTCGAGAGCAGCAAGTCTTCGTTTCTCTTTTTGCCATTCCTTTAGAATTTCTAAATCTTGCTCGTTTGGTAGATTTGCTACACGTTTGGGACCGTATGCCCTCAATAAATATTCTATGATTGGATATTTTCTATTCATCGTGGCCCATCCCATTAATGAGTAACGGTGAATAGGATGCTTCATTGAGAGAAGTTCCTGACTTGTCAGAGGTTTGTCATCTCCATCTCCTGTATCCCCGTCTTCTCCGTCTTCTCGTTTTTTGGTTTCTTTGAGAATTTTAATAATTTCATTGACCTTATTTTCCTCTGCTAGTTTGAAAATGTGAGGAATTTCAATAACGATCACAAATAAAGATGTCCATTTTGTCTCCGGATTGGCTTTCTTGACCTCAATGGTAATGATGTCAGAGGCCAAATTCCAATCCAATGACGATGGATCCACTTCATGTAATAGCTCTCCCTGCAGGCATAAGAGATACAATGAATCAATGCAAAATACCCACCTCTAGTAAGATTTGTTCGGGCTCTTCTGGTTTTCGAATCACCACTACAATCTTTTTCTTCTCCAATGCCACATCAATATCCTCTTGAATCAATCCTTCAGGACTGTTTAATTCAATCACAATCGTTCTTCCGTTTGCTCCCTCCTTGAATTTGTAGGCACTCGCCTGTTCTTCCGACATTTTTTTTAAAAAAATTTGTAGTTCCTCTTTGGCGCGAATCAAATGAATAGCAGATCATGATTAGAGGCTTTGATTGATCTTGCTGGAAATGGTTATCAAAACTTCTCGAATCTCTTCAAAACTTGGTCGCTCTTGTGGTTCTGTTTTCCAGCATTGCTTCATCAACTCAAAATATTCATAAATAGCATCGGCCAAACTGCTGACGTCAGAGATGGTCTCACGAGACATGATCGGTGCAGAACTTATCCACATTCGAACATCTTCTCTGCTCTTAAACAAAATTAAGGGTCGTAAACCCTGAACAACCAAATAGGGTACTTTAAATGTAGATGATTGAATATCGTCTACATAGGGAGTTTTTTCAAAGAAGACTTCCCACAAAATGATCCCAAAACTATAGACATCTACCTTCTTGGCAATGTCTGCAGTCTTCTTGTTGAGAGGATGGTCAGAGTGATCATTGGAATCCAATACTTCCGGTGCCATATAAAACACAGTACCCACAGTTGTGGTCATGGTGTGTTGAATGGAATTTGATTGCAGTACTTTTCCAAGACCAAAATCGCATACCCTTGCATTGAGATTTTCATCTTGATAAAAGGAGAAGCAGAAGTTTTGTAATCAAATAAAGTGATGCATGTGCTCAAAGAGATCTACAACATTGTAGATATCAAACACTTACCTAACAAAATATTTCCAGGTTTCAAGTCTCGATGAGCAATCTTGAGTGAATGCAAATACGACATTCCATTACACACACCGATTAAAATTTTCAATTTCTCTGAAAAGGTCAACAACTCTTTACCATTCTTACTTTTGTATAGAGCTCTTTCAAGACTCCCTAACAATGGAATTGTTTGTAAAATCAATGTCATCACGAAGAACATGTATATATTCCCTTACCTCTTTTCACATATTCGGTCACTAAAAATTTGCTTGACGCTGTGATACAGCATCCGTAAAATGTTACAATATTGGCATGTCTAAGCCTTGCAAGGATTGCCACTTCTCTCTCAAAATCTAAACTATCTGTATCATTGACTTTTAAGGTTTTAATTGCTACTTCCAGATGAGACCATTCTCCCAGATAAATAAGTGCATTACCTTATTATTATTTGAATGAACAATATTTAAACTTTTTTGTGATACTTACCTCCTTCTCCAATCTTTTTCTTGATTTTAATATCCTCAATTGGAATGATGAATGAGGAATGTTGATTGGAATTGTTATTGAGGTAATCACTTTCGAGAAGTGATGAGCTTGCACTGTGCTTGGAATTTCCATTTGATGTCTTTTGTGTGTCGTTTTCATCAGTCTCAAATATTACTTTCTTGTCCAGAATTTTCTGTTCCAATTCTCGTTCTGCCTTCTCTTTCTTGCTGAGTTGAGCCAACCTTTGTAAAACCTTCACAACCAAGTAGACAATTCCAATTCCAAACAAAATACCCACTGTAAAGAACAAGACACTACAAATGACAATCGCTACAATGGCATACTCAGGAAAACGAGGTTCTTCCACACATCCATAGATTGCTACTTCTGGATTTTCTGAGGCAATTCGAGCAAGTCTCCAGTTCTGTGGGCATGGCAAAATATTCACTCGAAGGGTGGTTGTTGCATAAAACGATTTAAAGTAAAGTAGTATGGGATGATGATTACTTGGAGTAGCTGTCTTATTCGTTAAATAGACAGTCAATGATAGGCTTGTGCTTTCACTCATTGTTTGAGAGACCACTTTCAGTAAGGGATAATTGCTATGAACGGTGATATTTTCATCAAACGAGCTAATATTATTCCCAAATAGATCATAGGCCCAAAGAGCAATATTGAATTCAGCTCCAGGAATAATACTCTTCTTCTCGGTATTTCTCATCAGCAAACGTGAAATACTTCCCGTAAAATCAGAACCATATTTGTCAGCAGTATTTCCCACAAACTCAACCGCTTGAAGGAAAGAACTTGCTACAGGTTGAGCGAAAAACAAGGCTCCACCAGATAAGAAGGCCTCATTGTTTACAAAATACGCTCTTGTAAAATCAGTTGTTTTTTGTTTGATATAGAAGGTTATATTTCCAAGAAATGCACCACCTCCTCGAAAGGCCTTATTATCTTTTAGAAAGCCTTCAAGAAGAACCGATTGAGCTGACGAGATTGTGATGGCTCCTCCTCCTCCCGAATGAGGTGATCGTTCCTTGTCAATGAACATTACCTTATTTCCCGAAAAGAAAGATTGTCTGTCAATTTGAATATCGATTCCTTCTGCTATCATGATGGCACCACCACTCACCCATGCATGATTTTGTAAGAATTTACACTGATTCAACATCAAAGAATCTGAATATTTGATGTAAATGGCACCTCCAGTTTGTGAACAATGACAATTCTTAAACTCTAAATCTATCATTGCAAATGTGACCTTGTATCTCATCGTTTTTGATGTCTTTGAGTATATAGATCCTCCATGAGATAGAGATGTACTATTTTCCATTTTACATGAAGTAATGGATGTAGAATGAACAGAGTCCAAATAAATATCTCCTCCATTGGTTCCAATGTTATCTTTGAATGTACAACGAAGCATGCCGAACGATGCCGTGTTGACAATATTGATAGCTGCCGCCATTTTCTTTGGAGGATTGGCAGCATTGATATTTCTAATTTCACAGTCCTGCATATAGACCTGAAAAACTCCATTCAAGAACAAGAAATAAGAGGCTTCTGAAGCGTGACAATTAAATAGAGTAACAGTGTTCAAGAATTCGGCATAAAAAATCTCAATGTCAGGACTGAAAGAACCCTTAAACGAAAATTGAGAAAAAAATATCAAATTTCCCTTACTGATCGAGAAGGAACTAGATACTGAACTACCATTAAAAACATCCATTTTCTCAATATCAGAGAGAGAAAAGAAAGTATTGAATATGAAAATTCTCTCAAGCTTGACCTGTGAATTGCCTAGCATAACTGCAATATTGAATTGGTCTTGCTCATTTCCAATAGTTTTAAAATTATACATCTCAATATATCTGTGTGATCCAATGACCATGTTGACAGACTTGTATAAAATAACTGTATCAAGTATTACTTGATAGGCATCATTGTTAGACAATGATCCTCCTTTCTGTCCACATATAACTTCTTTTGCTAGAATTAAACAATTATAAAAAAAGAACGCAGCTGTTCTCGATTCCTTAAATTCTGAGGAAATTACTAAATTTCGGAAATACAAGCCTAGAACATCCGTTCTAATGGAAAGAAAATCTTGTCCGAGTGGAGAAAGTTGTGCAATTGAATTGTTTAAGGATGAAAATTCAATGGTATAGTACATGTTGCCATAGGTGAATGGCACAGTGGAAAACGGATGGGGCGAAAAGTTTTCAACAATAATTAAATTGATATTGATGAGCCTTCGTTGATTGGGTCCGCTTGCAAAGAAGGCTGTGTCATTATTCAGCAATTCATTGACATATTTGAAAGCCTTGTTCATAGAATCACATGGTTTCTCAAGGGTACATGATTCGCCTTCCCAATCATTAGAAAATGAGGAGCCATTCATGTAGAGTATAATTTCCTTGACAAGAGTTTCGTTTTTTGAATTGATGTTCGGAAACATGACATTATTAAAGGCCGACCATGCTTTTGAATTTCTTTCGTTAGAGATGTTATTATGTAGTTCTTGAATGAGTTGATCATATTCGGATGATGTGGATTCCATGTGATGATGAGCATCAAGCCTTTGAGCTCGCAATAGACTTGAGCAAACCAAACATGTCTCAAGAAAGAGTGTTGTTGTTATTATAAAAATACAAAAGATGAATAATTGTTGTCGGAGTTGGTGGTGATGAAATGAAAACAGAAGATCTGATGAGCTGGGAGAGGACTTGGGTGTCATCATAGATGCAATTTTTTCACTTCTTAATACTTTTCAGTTTTATCTCAAAAGTTGATATTCCATAAAATAAGAATCTACCTCAAGGTTTAGGGATTCAGATTAAGTCCGAGGAGTTGATGTTTCTTACTTCATTGATGAATGGAAGATGGTTTCTCATTAGAATTTCAAAGACGATAGATTTTTAAATTCCAACCAGATGATATTCCAAATGCAATCGAATTGAGATTCAAGAAGAACACAAAAAAAATTTCCAAACTTTTAACTTTGTCGCACCGGTGAGCTCAACTCTCATTGTGTGTGGTTCCGAATCTGAAAAGTTCTAAAAAACCAAAATTTTGAAACCTACCGAGATGCTGTATCAACATGACGGTGGTGCAAGTATTAGTATTGAAGTTCCTCCCTCGACTTTCGGATCACAACATATCGAGTCGAGTCGAGCGAATGCTCCAACTTGCTACGATTCATCACAAAATGTTCAACAACAATCATCTATCCAAGGAGGATTCAAACCATTGGAGGCCAAGAAGGTTGGATGTCTTCCAGTTACCATCGCAATTGTAAGTGTCGTAGAATGATGACATATAATATGGATCTCTCAATTTTTCAACAACCAATGGTTTCATCATGATCAAATTGGTGTAATTGATCTCTTACACATCCTTCTTTGTCATTCACATTCTCACCAATGAATATGAATATATATATGAATGCAATGGCATGATGAACTCTCTCAAATGATCCTTATTTTAAAAAAAGTTATTGAAAACGATTGCAGAAGAACGTCAACGGTACTGCATTTGGATTTTCACCATCCTGGTTGCACTTGTCTTAACCTTAATTCCAAGTATCATGTCCATTGTTTTTGCTGTCATGATGCCAGGAGGAGGTGAACAACCAATTCCATTTCAAACACAAACGATTGGTAAATTTACCATGTTTGGTAGAGTCCTCAAAAAGTATAATTGGGATCCATCCGTTGCTACTACTTGTTGTTCACCTTCTGCGGGTCGAGATGATGGAGGAATCACTCTCAAATGTCCAAATCAGGATTACAATTTTGGTATTCAATACGATCGTATGGCATTTATGAATACGTTTGGATATATTAATGACAGTACTGTGATGGACCAATCGAGTGGAATTGTTCAATATATTCCTCACATGTGTAACAGTGTGAATGATCGTGCACCATGTAAAATGACTCCTCTTCTACTTCCAAATATGGATATACAAAGAATTATTGATAATCAATTTATGAATGTCAATCCATGGCAGTATCCAAATGTTTCATTCTTCTCTGGAGTATTGAAAGTGAATGAAATGACAGAAGATTCCAACAATTTGAAAGCCTCCTTTGAAATTACCTCTTATAGTAAGACAATTTATTCCAATTTTTATACAACATTGTTGAATGCCACCAATTATTATCTAATGAATCGTGGTGGAGGTATGAGCAAATCTCAAATAATTCAAAGTATAGGAATTTCCCAATTTGTATCTCAAGCGACATCCTCAACGGTTTCTCTCGTGACCTTTATTTTAATTCCCATTTGCCTCTCTTTAATGTTACCTGTATTTATTGATGTCTTTAGTATCGATAGAAAGAGTGGAATGATGGAATTTATTGAATTGGTAGGTGGCCATTGATTGTATTATTATTATTATTATATTCAACAACCAACAACAACAACAACAACAACATGAATGAAAATGACTTCACAACATGGTGCATCATTGAACTTGCGCCTTATTGTAAATTTTATGGGCGGTTGGATGATTATGGCCCATTCAATTTCATGACCATGGAATGTGGCATTTGTTCTTCTAGTATGGAGTGAGCTATACACATCACTATTTGGTAAAAACTCTCTTTTATTATGGAATTTATGCCATCTATGCGGCTTTTCAAATAGTACTTGGATGTGCCGTAAAGAATGAATTTTTTATTGCTACCAAGTAAGTACGATTTTTATGTTGAATAATTTTGAAACACATGATCACAATTCATCTTTATAAATGTCATTGTATATATAAATGTTATTCATTCCTCACTTTTAATGGCCATTAAAATTCATAGTCCTGCCATTTACATCTTTGCACTACTTATTTGGGGAGTTACACTTATTGCCATTGCCAATGTTATTTCACTCTTCAAGACAGATGCAACATATTTCATTGGTTATTTATTGATTTCATTTGGATTGGGTGGATCCATTGCTGTGGTCATGGTGTTTGGTGCTACTATTTTACCATATTATACCATGCTTGTTCCATCCATTGCCTTCATGAGAATTCTCTTTTTAATGATGACACCAACCATGATTGTTCAAGTGGAAGGATCATTGGATGAACAAGTTTTAATTGCCTTTGCATTCCTTACTGCTATCACTATATTACTTGTTTTGGTAGTTCCTATTTTTGGACTATTAAGATCCCTTATGAAAAGAATGAATAGAATAATTCAATTAGCAAAACAACGAAGAAAACAACCAAAAGGACCACCCACGGAAACAACACGTATTCTTTCTTCCAATTCATCGTCCATTCACTCCTTACATAATGAAATCAATGCAGATCTTGATAAAGTTGCCGATGACACCGTTCTCAGAGAATTACAACTTGTTGAAAGTAATCAAAATATTGAGAATCACTTGGTGGAAGTGAGGCATTTGGTGAAACGTTTTGGCGATAAAATTGCTGTGAATGATGTTACGTTTGCCATTGCGAGAGGAAGTTGTTTCGGACTACTTGGTAATAATGGAGCTGGTAAAACCACAACTGTTCAATGTATTTTGGGATTAGCTTCACCCTATGAAGGTACTTGCACATGTAAGTATTATTCTCTTTTCCAAATTTAGTTTTGAATATTTTTTTAATATTACATTTATTTATTTATAATATTTGTTTAATAATATTAATCATCTATTAATTTCAATCTCCCCATTCAAATTCCGATATACCAGTGTCTGGAGTGGACATATCCAATATCAACACAAGTATTCTCTCCTCCAAGATTGGATTTGTACAACAATTTGATAACTTTTTCGACATTACTGTTTTGGATCAACTCAAATTCTTTGCTCGCATTAAGGGAATTCCACACAAACAAATTAATTCTCATGTCGATGAAATATTACAGAGTGTTGGTTTAACAGAAGCAAGACGTAGAAAATGCAAAGATTTAAGTGGTGGAATGTCTCGTCGTTTATCATTAGCAATTGCCATGTTAGGAGATCCAGAATTGCTAATTTTAGATGAATTGACCAAGTCCTTAGATCCTCTCACCTGTGATGGTATTCATATGATCCTTAAAAACTACATGCATAATAAGAAGAAGGCAATTTTATTATTGACTCATTCCATGGAAGAAACTGAAATTTTGTGTGATAAGGTTGCCATTTTAGTGAATGGAGAACTCAAGACCATTGGGACACTTCATGAACTAAAAACCAAATATGGAAGAGGTTACAAATTGAATGTACAGACGATGGATGCCTCTCATAATAACGTTGCACGAGATTATATCCTTAATGAATTGATCATGAAGGAAGGAGTTCCCGTTCAGAATATTTCTCATGAACACTCGTTTGGTAACAAGTTGGAATTTCGTATTCATACCAATCATTATGGAAGTTTAGAGGATTCCATTCATTCCTCAAGTAATCAGAAAAGTATGGAGGATGAGTTGGCAAGTACTCACTCGAAAGGTTCTTCAGCAAAGGCAATTTTACAAAGTTTGTTCAAGATCATGTCTTGTCCTGAAGCCCGACGTGCTTTCATTGTGGATTGGACTTGTAATATGGCTTCCTTAGAAGAAGTATTCATTCGTAAGGTCAGACATCAATATGAACATGTGGATGAGACTCATTGATACTACTATCCACTATTTGTGGTGGTAATTCAAATGAAAATTAAAGGAATTCGTAAATGGATTCTAACTTTTCTTCTTTTATCACCTTTTGGTTCTAAAAAGGTCATGTGAAAAAATGTCATTGCCATCCGTTGTCGCCACCACCATTTGTGTTTTGGAGGATAGATGTCATATTGATCACACTTTGGATGCTAGAGTTTTACGTGAATTCAAAAACAAGATGAAGAACGGAAAGAGAGTCAAGTTTTCAGGAAAGTTTAAACATGTCGCTACCATTTCAGAGGATGGTGCCGGGAAAGTACTCAAACATCCAAATGATGTTAAAATTTCCAATCAATTGTCCATGATTATCATTTCTGATTTCTTAAACGATCGAATTTTGTGTTTCCAATTATTTTCATTTCATTACTTGTTTTCCATTCCGCTGAATCGACCAGGTCGAATGGATCTAAATAGAAATGATGACTTGATCATTGCATCCAACTCAATGAAAGTGTGCAAAATTGATTTAAGAAATCGGAATGAAATTTGGAGCGTTGAAAGAGCAGGTCTTGCCATCTGTGGAATTTCGATTGAAAAAAAACATTCACATCGAATTTTTGTTTGTGATGCCTCAACAAGAAATCCATGTATCCAAATAAGAGAACAAGATGGAACATTCCTATCTTACTTTGAGCTTTCAGAGTTGTATCATCCCTTTGCCATTGCTTTTGATCCAATATTTAATCAAGCCTTTATCTCATGCTACTATGAGCATGTTATTGTCGTGCGTAGTTTGGATCATGATACCAACACGAAAGAGTTGGTTGGAGGTTATGGAGAGCAAGTTGGACAATTAAGGCAACCACGTGGAATCCTATGGGATGGTACACAGTTAATTGTCTGTGATTGCACCAACTGTAGAATTCAATTATTTTCTCTGGATGGACATGTAATCAAGTCCTTCGGAAGTAAGGGAAGTCATCAAGTTGATCAATTTTGGTATCCAGCATCTGTTTGTCTGAATGAGTTGAATGGAGAATTATTTGTAGTGGATAATACGAATCATCGCATTTTGGTGTATCAATGATCCAAACCAGATGATTGCTACTATATTATAATTGCTATTCTTATTTTCATTAATTATCATAGGTATGATGTTGGTTATTGTTGAACTCAACAAATTCATTCCGACATTTCAAAAATTCAAACCATGGTGCACCTCAGAGGAGGCTCTTCCTTCCGCAAACTCTTCTCCCATACAGCCTCCACTTTTCGTTACCTCTTGGAGAGGAGCAACAGCAACAACACACTTCAAAGTCTTTTCTCCCTTCGTCGACGGACCTACAAGCCTCTTCCTGGAACTGGACTCTTGTCATCTCATCTTGTTCTTCATTCCACGAGTGTTCGTTTTTTTAGCAGCATTCAAAATCATCTTGAAGAAAACAAAATGCTCGCATCATCCGACAACAAGGCTTTGCCTTCCGAACCAAAGAAGATTAAAATACTTTTTGTTACCGGCAATGAGAATAAGAAGAAGGAGGTTCAACAAATCATGGGAGATGAATTCCAAGTAGATTCTCTCGCTATTGAATGTAAGTGTAGTAGTGCACTCATGAATTATGTCATTGGACCAAAAAGATATTTAATTGATTGTGATGATGACAATTTGTTTTTATCTATCACCTATTCGGTCGTGTGTTTAACATACTCTCACATATGCCAATTTATTTACTACTATTATTCATATTAAATAGTACCGGAACTTCAAGGAGAAATTGAAGAAATCTCAAAGGAAAAGTGTCGAATTGCCATTCAAAACGTTTTGACTGATCCAAGAATTGCCTACAAATACGGTTCTGAACATGTGATTGTCGTGGAAGATACTTCACTTTGTTTCAATGCTTTAAATTCATTACCTGGCCCATATATTAAATGGTTTTTGGAAAAGCTCGGACATGATGGTTTGAACAAGATGTTAGTCGGATTTGAAGATAAGAGTGCTTCTGCTGTTTGTACTCTTGCCTATTGGCATCCAAAGTGGTTGCAGGAACAACTCAAGAAAATGAAAGGTCATTCCCATTTGCATGACCATGGTCATCATCATGATCACGGAGAACATGGATGTTGTGATCATGGAGAGGGTCATCATCACCACAAGCATTCCACTACTGAAAACACAGAATGCTGTAAAGGTTTAAGTGCTGAAGAATGTTGTAAAAACAAGGAAGGTGGAGAAAAGTGTTGTGACAAGGAAGAATGTTGTGATAAGGAGGGATGTTGCGAAAAGGAAGGTGGTGATGAGGAATGGGAAGACGAGGATCAACATGGATGCTGTGACGATCATGGATGTTGCGGAGAAGTTGAACTTAATTTGGATCCATTGGTAATAAGAGGTGATACCAAGGGTATGATTGTTCCACCAAGATCAAGTGATGAGCCTGCTTTTGGCTGGGACCCAATTTTCCAACCAGAAGGATTCTCGCAAACTTATGCAGAAATGTCTAAGGAGCAAAAGAATTCTATCAGTCATAGATATAAGGCATTCAAGGCTTTGCAAGAGGTTTTATTATCCAACAAATAAACTTTGCACTGTTCTAGATAGTCATTTAAACACAATGCCAATTTCATAATTTAATGGCGTTTTGAAATACGTTGGTTAATTCACTTGTAAAACTCAGTTGGATCTATAGGATCTCCCCAACAAGTTGTCGGAGAGCATTCTGATGTGTCGGTGCTTTGACTTTGCTGAGAGAAGTCTCCCACGTCAGAAGTACAGTCTGTAATATCTGAGGTAAAATCATCGTCACAAAACATATCCAACACATCATCGGCATATTCTACGCTATCCTCATCATCACTATCCTCCCATTGCTCGCCTACAACTTTTTGGTTTTTCTTCATGTTAAAAATCTCCACAAGCTCCATAAAATTAATCCATGCAAAACTGAATAGTTTCGAATCACTCTTTTTGTAAGCCACAAAATACCATGCGCTATTAAAGACAAATGCAACATTTCACTAAATCAACATATCTAGAATACATACCTTGCAATTTTGTATTTAGCTTTGGGATCGTTTTTTTCTTCCGCTACCATTAAATCGAACTGCTTTCTGAAATGTTTAAAGTAAAATGCAACATTCCTTGAAATAGACTCCTCAACATCTCGTTGTTTGCTGCCATAGGTTTTCACCTGCCCAATAATCCAACCAGAAATTAGTTGCGCCTTTTGGAAGAACATTTGGATAAAAATTTTTCACCATCGTTTTAACACCTACCTCTGATTCCACTCCAAACTTTTTCAAATCACTTGTTATTAAGAACGCATATTCATTGTAGAGTTGCAACGCTCTATCAACAAACACTTCGAACCCATCAAAACAAAAGTTAGGATTATAAACATTTGAATAATTCAACTCTGGTTTGATCTCTTTGGTTGCTTTGATTTTCTCTTTCAAATCATTATAGAGCCTTCCCAAAATTTTCTTAGATTCATAACGCTTTTTGGTTGCATTTTGCATAAAGTGAGGATATGCAGGTATACTTAGGTCTGGATCAATGTCTGCAAATTTCCCTGTCTTTGCACTATCAACAGCTATAGAATGCAATGCACATAATCTTTGACATGGTTCTGAAAATATTGAGTCCTCTTGAAAATCTGATTGAGCTAAGTGGAGGTTGGCAATTATTCCTAAGGTATCTCTCGTGAAGTACTCAATTAAGAAGGAAATAATTCTGTCCTCTGTCACTTCTTCTTCTCCTTCTTCTTCATTCTCTTTTTCAAAGCACATTGGTGCTTGATTTGGCTTTGGAAATATCAAATCTGGCTCCCAACTCACGAAAAAAACATCTCCATCCAGATCTTGAATGTTGTCAAAAACTAAAGATGTTAACAAGTCTAACATACCTGAACCAGTGATCATACTTGGAAGGGGTCTTTGTCCTTTCTGTTATGGAATAGTTTTAAAAAATTTATCAGAATTCAGTTGTCATGACAAACTCACCTGCGGAAATACTATCACGTCATGAAGATGATAAAGCTCAGGATGATCAACAGCTTCAACTTTCCGAATATCACCAGGATGAAAGCACGGATTCTTAGAGACGATACAAGTTCCTTTCACAACGCCGTAATGTGGGTTGCCATAACTCCCTGAAAGATTCACAAATATTTCATCTTCTTCCAACACTCCATACTCGTCCATTACACCCACTAGACAAGCTGATTTTTCAACGTAAATCTTTGATTTTGTCTCTAGTTCTTTGATAGCTCTATGTCTGAAACAATAGAGAAGCTGCTGAAGAAAAGGTTCTTGTGTAGATATGCCATTTTTCAAACAAGTACAAATGTATGACTTGAGATGGGAATGACTAAGCGACACCAATGCATGAGCTTCTCGTGGATCGTTGTCGAGAGCATTGATTCTTTTTAGCATATTTCTTTGGTAGGTCAAAAATACATCATCATGAATACCTAAAGCAGAAAGAATGGTAATGAACTGTCGATTTAAATAACCCATGTTGCGTTTCGCCTCTTGAACTATTTCCAAGTTCCTTTGCAGAGATGGAAACTTGAGCTGACTTTTACGTAAAACTAAATGATGATTGGTCATTGTTGGATCTACAGACAAAACTCCCTTAAAGCCAGCAAACCGTATCTGAAAGGCTGAAGGGCAATTTTCGGTAGTTTTCCGAATTGTGTGAATCTTATCGGCAAACTCTCTAGATATTTTCCCAATGCCATCACTGAATATGTACTTTCCAGCAGAAATGTCCTCAATCATTGTATATTCTTTTTCTTCTACCACAAAAGATGGATAGGTGGCACTGAGAACGCAGTTGAATGAGTGTAAAAGAGTGAAAGTTTCACATACCTAAAACTTTGTCCTATTCTCGCAGCACATTTTGCAGCATTTTTGATGCTTGAGAAATCTCCCATATACTCTCGAATATCTTTCGTGGAAGGTTTTGGGTTCTTTTGTAAATAGAACCAAGTGGATGCTGATCTTAGCTGAGATGATGAAAAGCCTAAAAATTTTAAATCATATCCACAAAGTGGCAAACCTCTTTCCAAAAACTTTTGTAATCTTGAGCTGAGATGTTTAAACTTGGCTGAAAACAGCTTTGTGAAATCGTCGTCAAGAAATGCAACTCTAAAGAAACAGTCACGATTTTCCCAAAAATGTCGTATCACTCGATTTGTAGTGTCAAGTTCAGGGAGCAAATAGTATACTTTAGCTGGAGTAACAAGAATCTTTCGCATTAAGCAGACTTCTTTCGATTCTAAATTGAAAGTGAGGTGGGTACGACCAGCGCTCGATCTTGTAGGCATTGAGATCTGTTCAGAGAGATGATCGTGACAATTATAAATTCTTGGAATTGTTTCAGAAAATCGGTCGTAGTAGATACGTTCTAAAGCACATAACACTTGTTGAGTGTTATTAGTCAATAAGTTGAAAAACTCTTGGTTGTAATTACAACAATGAAATATTCCATGAGATTCTAGTGATTTCAAATAATATCTAATACTAAAATCAAGTTTCTTTTTTTGCTCTCTAATTTCCTTGAAAGTATGATCTTTTTGGAACTGCACTATCTTGAAAACAGGGATATTTGTCTCTTTGTACTCTGCAATTAATCCATATTCTTTGATTTTTTCTGTAAAAATATTAAATCTACACTTTTCATTAGTAACACACAACGCTTGCCTACAAAAAACGTACCCTTGGTCTTTCTTGTCTATTTCCATTAAAAAACAAAATGCTTTTCCAACTCTGTAAAACATTTCATTTTTCAAATATGGATCTACACATATTCTACTGACACTTCTATTGGAAACATTTGAATTGGGTGTAGTTCGAAGTGGTGACGCACTAATAGAGTGATCCGTTAACGTGGGAGAAAGCTTTGAATGAACGCAAATATATGTTCTACCATTCATATGGAAGAATGAAATCGATTTTTCTCGAGAAATTCCAGAAAATGGAAAAGACATCTTGACATATTTTGTCTGCTTGATTTTGTTGTCGCGCAATTTTTCATGATGAGTAAAAATCACAATTTGTAAACATTGATAAAAAGTATTAATTTCTAATCGGATTGGTTTCCGTTGTAGTTTTTGGTCATATGCAATAAATTCCAAGTCTGAGCAATTTCCGCATGATAAAGGGTTTTTGTTCCATACTCCAAAATTTAATTTTTCGCATCGGATGGAAAAACTGGTTGATTTGCGTTCGGTTTTAATGGTAATTGTTTTTCGTCCATTATTTGGTCTTCCTTGATGATGATTGGAGTACGCTCCTCTCTTGTATTGGACGTACTTCCAGTCATTATTGCTTCCTCCATTTTGGGAAGTGTTACTGGAAGAAGACTGCTGAGGATTCGATGATCTTGAAGAAGAACCTCTTCCTCCTCTGTTGCTTCTCATTTTTTCAAAATCGTTATCACTCACCTCAAAATGAACCACACGACAGGTTCTTCAACCTTTCAGAATTCCTAATCCTCTCTGAACTCAGTTAATTTTGGAAGCAAAAAAGATCACCAGTTTGCAATACAAAAAGGGAATAATCAACCTCTCGCATCTTCGGTTGGTGTCTTTTGGACGGTACTAAAGGTGTCCGTTACACAAAATTTTTTAAAAAAAAATATTGCAGTTAATAAGGGATTAAGGCTCGTGCAGGGACGAAATGATGAAAAAACCAAAAAACATTCAAGGGGGAATCAAATCGAAAGGAGTAGCAGAGTCCAATAGCCCATACTCCTCTGTAAATTCATCATTGTCTTCCAATGGGAGCAATGGATCTAAAACTGGGACCGATATGTTCCAGTCATCCACTTCCTCTGAAATTAGGACTATTGAGAGAAATAGAAGAACACATCCTCATGACTCATCATCTAGTAAAAAATTTGGAGCAGAGACTTCAATGAACACTTCAGACAAAATTACTCCTACTAAAAAGAACAAATCATCGGAAAAGGAGCCTGAAAGTTACATCTCTCCGGAATACGATACTTCACCTTCGTCAAGAACAGTATGTACATCATTTATTCATTTGAAACACTTGATTTTGATTACATCCCCTTTAGTTGTACAACGAACAACAAGAGCTAAGAGAACGTGTCGATCAATACCTTAAAGATGCATTTGAAAACAGATTGGCCTCAATGATGAATCTAAGGATGCAGATGGAAGAGCTTGCTAATGCGCACAAACAAGAAGAAGATTTATATGTACAAACTATTCGAGACATACTAAAACGAAATACATTCGAAAACGAAAAACGAAGGGAGATTGAAATAAGTTTGAAGGACAAAATAGCAGAAATGGAAAATAGGCTAAGGAGTGAGTTTTTTGAAAAGCAAAAGGCATTCGAAGAATTCCAAAACTTCAAAGAGAAGGGAACATCCATCATTTATAGATTAAGGGACTCGTTGAAAAAGATAACCGAAAAATACAAGGAAGAAAAGCAAAAGAACTTGACACTAAAAAAGCAATTGAAAGAATGTGAAGAAGCATGGGAAGAAGAATCTTTAAAACGTGAGAAATATGAGAGAATTCTTGCAGATAAGCAAAGCATAGGAGAAGCAGTACTGCAAGAGAAGTATCAACGTTTAAAGGAACAAAATTCTGTGCTCCGTGATGAGATTGCCTTTCTAAAGTCGGTGCATGGCGGTAAACTTTTAAAGCAAAGTTCACAGAATGACATCAAAGAAACTGAACGAGTTCTCGAGTCCAAGTTAAGAGAGTTCCAAAGACTGTTGGAGGAAGAGGAATCACTTATCGAGGAACTTAAGAAAAAGGTTTCTATTAAAACCCAGGAAAATTCAGAGCTGCGCAAAGAGTTGGAGAGGTTAAAGTTTGAAAGAGGCCTGAATATGGATATTAATGATTCGTCTTCAGTAGAAATACCTAAGGAATACTTGGATGTGTACACTGAAATTAAGGGATTATTGGATCCCGAGGACCATGTAAATTTGCAAACAGATGCGAATCCTAAGGACAAAATCAAATCTCAAAATAGATTTATCAGGTTGCTGCTCGCAAAACTAAAATCTGAAGAGAATGAAAGGATTAAATCCAACGAGCAAAATGTGAAAATTATAATGGAACAAGAAAAAACAATTTCATTCCTAGATAAAAAGTTGAGAGAATTGGAAAATATTATCATAGACCAGAGAGAAGAGGCTCAAAGAGAGCACGATAAAGCTCAGCGTATCATGCAAGGACAAGGAAGCGTTGAAGAAGAAGTGGATGAAAACAAGCTTAAGGAGCTAGAGAAGAAACTTGACGACATTACTCAAGATTTGAATAGCTCAATCCAGTCCATCCAAAGTACAGAGCTTGAAATTAAGCCTCTAGCAGACACTACAAGTCAGAAGGAAGATGAGCTTATTCAAGAGCAAGATCAACTTACAGAAAATAATGCTATTCAATCCAACGAGAAGTCAAATGAGCTAATTGCGGAAAGTCAAGAAGTAGTTGATGAACAATAATAAGAATCTATTCGGTTTTCAGTTTTTCTGAGCTTTCTTGCGGTGCTGTTGCAGCCTCTTTCTTCTTTTTCATTCTTTCAAGAATAGCCTTTGTGCTAAATTCTGTAAGGTCACCTTTTGATAACAGCACATTCCGGACCAATTTAAGTTCGTTTTCTCTCCTCTTTTTCTCTTCTTCAGTTTCAACTTCTGGTTCACTGAGTGACGAATACATGAATACACCAATCACAATTTGAACAATGACAACAGCAACAGCTGCTCCATAAATTAATCGATTATGTGCTGAATACTCAACAATTACGCCATTCAATAAATAATGATATGAATAATAAAAAGCAATTAATGGTAATGTAAACATTGCAATGGTAGCAAGAAAGAATTTGTTTCTTGTAGTGGCGTTCATTGGATGGCTTTGCATTGTTGCATGTGAATAAAATTGTAATCTCTTAAAAACTAATTGAATTCATTAAACCTACAATAATGTCGGAATGAATGATGGATTAGGAGGTAGAACCTTTTCGGTATTGGATGACGATGTTGTCCTATTCCCCGAGTTGTCATGTGTTTGAGTTGTGGTGGTGTCCTGTGCATTTTCTCCAAGAGTGGTTGAAGCATGATTCATTCTTTTTTGCTCTCTCTTAATTTTAATATATGGTTTTAATTCTTCGTCGTCTTCAATATCGGATCCGAGTTCTTTTAAATCCTCTTCAGTTAATTCTATTTGCTCTCCATATTTAAGTAACTCATCGTCATCCATCTCGGAGATGGATTTTTGAGGCTTACTGTTGTTGTTTGGTTTCGACGATGAAATCATTTTTTTAATTTTTATTTTGAAAAAGATTTAAATGATTTCTTCTTTTGACTCCATCTCCTTTTGATATAATAAATTCAAGGAGGAACTATTTCCATGTCGACAAGACAACAACCAATATTATTTATCCAATAGTTGCCAAGAAGGTATTAATGGTAAAGAGAACAAGGAAAGGAAAAATTTTCATAAATCTCACTGCATGACCTTCAAGTGTCAAAATGATCAAAAAAATTGCCGTTGCAACCCATGTCGTCCCCTCAATTTAGTAAATATCATCACCACCACCACCACTCCCGTGCCACACCTCTCTATTACCTGATTGTGGTTATCTTTTTGGTCATTCTTTACACCGTTGGTCTCATCATGTGGATTCGAGATTACAACAACAACAACAATTTGCACACCAATAGTCTCTCCGAGTCTTTATCTATTGTTCATGAAAACAACTCCTCTAAATTATTATCATGGTTCAAACGACATCATGTCCGAATTGATCAATTATACAATCGATACGAACCTCCTCCAATTCCAACCCTCTTTCATTCCTTCAAATATTCGACCTCTTTACAAAATTCCGAACATGATGATCCCAATGGTGTGCCCAACACACAGAGCTTTTTCAGAGCCTTCACTTCTCTCTTTCACTCTTCCAAAGTTCCTCTTCAATCTCATTATCAATGTGTTTCACATAAAGAATGGAATCGTGAAAGACAGAATATTCCATATACGAGTTGTCGATTTGAGAATATTTGTATCAATCGGAGAGGAGAATGGATTCTTTACACCAATTCCAAGCATGCTCATGCCATGAATAACACTTTTTGGGTGCACACAGGTGCCTATTTTGCCATTTCACTTAAAATTCGAGTGGAAAGACCTCCCACACGTATTGTGAACCATCAAGGAAAAGTAGTATTTTCGTTCACCGGTGATCATGCGTCCTCCAACAATCATGATGAGGATCATGATCACTACTGGATGGTTCTTTCTGAACGATTTAAATGGGTTTCAGATCCAACATTGGTCTTCACACGACATGCCATGGCCAATTTAGGACATGCTTGGTTAGATAATTATTTACCTTTATTCAATTTGATGATGATCTTTGAGTATGTCAATCGAGAAAATCATATTCTCTATTTGGATTTTGAACAACCTCATGTGGATCAAATTGCTTCGATCTTTTCCAATAAGGAACCTCTTCAACAATGTGTGAATGAATTTGGAACCTTTATTGCAAAAGCACCTTGTCGATATTCTCCTCCTTTGGATGCTGAATTGGAACGAAATGGAACTCAAATTGATACTTGTTTTTCAGCCGTACTGACTGGAAATACTGGATCGTTTTTTAAACACATGGGTCGAAGAGATCATATTTTACCTGCCTTTCGAAATTATTTACTCAACAAACTACAAATTCCATATTCCAAATTTAAAGAGCGTCATAAAACTTTGGTCATTGCTGTTCAAAACAAACCTTTACATTCGAGCAATAAGGATGCAATTATTAATGTGGATCAGATTGTGAATTATTTAACACAAATGAAAGAACAAATATTGGAACAAGTGAATGAAAGGAATGTTCAGTTTGCTTATGAGAAGATTGAGATTGTGAATTTAAGGTTAGAGACCATGTCTGTTGCTCAACAGATTGAATTTTTCACTACTTTAAATGTTTATGTGACCACACAAGGGTCAGCATCGTACATGTCACTCTTCATGTATAATCCAAATGCAGTGATGATTTATGTACCATTTTGTTTGAAAGAATCACTCATGTGCTCGGATTTTAATTTACACGTTCATGAAACCTTTTCGAATATTCGAATTGTTTCTCTTATGAATCATCTCCATTTAGTTCAGTGTGTCATTGAGAATTCAGATCAAGGATTTCCTGTAAAACCTCTCAATGTCACCCCTATTGATTTCAAAGGAGATTGTCATGAAAAAGTTGATCCTGAAGGACTGAAAGACCTTATTGTCAAGTCTCTTCGAAGAGAATTATAGTTCGAGGAGGATGATGACAACAAGAATCTAACACTAAAATTGTAAACTCGTTCCACACACGAAAGAAATTCAAATAAAAAAAATAAGCAAAATGATTCCTTCTCAGAAGAACGAAGACTCTCAAGGAACGAATGGACACTCTTCAACAAAGGAGGAAGCCTCTTCAAAAGGAATGAAAACCATGATGATGATTCATACGGTTGCTCCTCATTCATCCTCAACTCATGAAAAGGATGGTTTGCAACAACTCTCTCCAGAATTTCTGTTCCGAAGAAGTGCTTATTCCCGAGACTCATTCAAAACCACAACAACTTCACCTCCGTCGACCACATCACCGACGAGTACCTCTCAAATTCTCAATCCGAGCACTCCATTCTTCTTTCCGTCGTATGGTACTAGTCTTCAAGAGATGCAACAACAGCAGCAGCAGTATCATCATCATGACGAAGCCTTTTCTTATCATGCTCCAGCCTTTTCAAGAGAAGAAAGCCATTTGCCCCGAGTCAAGAATTTATTTGGTGTACCCACTCCTCGATTTTGTTCCTACATTGTAAAGGGTGTACACGAAGTATATACCACGATTGGTCCTAATATTTGTGGATGGAATCTATTGCATAACAAATCGGTGGAGGAGGTGGAACAATTGACCTTTGAACAAGTTCAACAATTTTCAGAAGGTGTGAGTCATAAACGATTTCTAAATTTTTGTGCACATGAAAATCTCATTACCATCATGCAACAAAATCCACAATACCAAGACGTGGTGGTTTCTGTTTGTTATGCAGGGGAGCTCAAAGTTTGGTTGTTCGATCATACTTTTAGTCCTTTCAATGGCAATATGGATGAGAATGGAAATCCTTTCAAGTGCATTGGAGTGATGGACCGAATTCCACACTCCCATCGTTGCCAATGTGGTTTTTGGAGCATGGATGGAACCAAGTTTCTTGTTTGTAGTGAGGGATATGGTGGAAGATTGAGCGTTTTCAACTTCGATCCAGAAACATACACCTTAACTCTAATCGACCAGATGGTTGGCTATTATCCAATGGCTTCATTTATCACTCCTGAAAATAACCCAGAGAACAGACTTTTCATTCTGAGTGTTGAGCAGATCAAGCAAAAGAAAGAGTGTGGCGTTTCTGTGAACTTGTTTGAAGTTATAGCCTCTAATTCTGTTACACGTGTGCACAGCTTGGTGTTGAATACGAGTGGGCCTCTGTGCACTACCATGCAGGTCAATCCAAGTGGCAATTTGGTTGCATTTGCTCTTCAAGATAGAAATATTAGAATTTTTAGAGTGAGCGAACAGTTTTATATTGAAGAATGTTGCAACTTTACAGCAATAGGAAGAGGTACAATTTTTATGATGCTAATTAATAAGGCAAATCAATTGAGTTTACACAATTGCGAGAAAAAAACAATTGATACCTATCAAATTGTTACATCACGCAAAGACAAATATGAAGCCACTCTTATTTCTCAGCATTCGCTGAACTCTTCAGCAATTTCTTTATATTTTTTTATGTGGATCAATAGTAGCATGATATGGACCTATATCGATTCTGAGTTTTCACTGGTTAAGGTTAAGAATGATCCCTCAATCTCTTCCATACAAGCAGGAAAAAGAATGTCCTTTTTACGTTTTCACGACTTGACATGCTGTGGTATCGATTTTTCACCAGACGGAGAATATATGGTCACTGGAGACTTTTTAGGCCAAGTCATGCTGTGGAAAACAGATAGCACTTCTCATGAGCCTCTAATGACCTGTGTTGTTCCAGGTTCAATCAGAGCCATCTGCTGCAAGTGGCATGAAAATTGTTGGACTAACTTTGATGAAGATCCTACAATGATTAGACGAATTTTATCAGTATTTATTGGATCATTGGACAAGAACGTACACTGTTGGAACATTTCACTAGACACGCTTGAGACTATTGATGATCCTTTTAACAATATCAACTTTTCACTAACATCAGATATCGTTTGCCTTAGATGGTGTAATGGTATTTGTCCTAGACTTTTAGCATGTGGTAGCAGTAATGGAATGCTTTGTGTAATGGAAGACAATGCAAGAGAGTCTCCAATTCTAAAAATCAAATTGGCAATTATTGGCCACAAACCTATTTTCCATAACACTGATAGCCGTTTTGGATCTATTTCACAATATTCAGAGATTTGGAGCGTGTGTTTTTCTCCTTGTAACAAGTATGTTGTTACATGTAGTGAAGATCAAACCACAAGAATTTTTGATCTACTTGGAAATCAAATTCATTCCCTAACTGGGCACACAACAGCTGTGACTTCCGTTGAATGGAAATATATTAAGGGAATTGGAGAAGTCATTTGTACTTGTGCTGATGACAGAAGTGTGATGATTTGGAGACTGAACACTCAATATGCTGACAAAGATAAGCACTACCATCACTATCATCAATTATATGAATTGGAGAAACAGCAACGAAAAATGGATACAGAATTTGATGACGACGATTTTGATAAGCAAGAACGTCACTCCATGGACAGATGGGGCCTTTATCATGTGTTCAGAACTGACCATTATGGACTTGATTGGCACACACTCACCTATTTACAAATTGAACCCAAAGGACATCGTTTAGCAGCATGCACCCAAAATGGATTTGTTTTTGTGTGGGATCTGAGGTTACGCAAGTTATTGTCATTTGGAAAAGCTCATCAAGGTTCATGTGAAGGGCTCAGATGGAATGAGGATCGAAATTTGTTGGCCACTTGTAGTAGTGACTGCACCATTAACATTTTTGATATGAATCATCCATGAAACTAAGTTATTATTACTGTAGTAGTAGTAGTTGATAAAAGTATTTGATCATTGTTATCAATTGTAATTTGCTTGTTGCACCATGATCATCGTCCTCACAAGTCTTACAAAGAAAGTCAATCAAAAAATGCTTCGAAGCTTCCATTCGAAACGAGTCCTTTTCAAAGGGGAACGCATGTTGCTTGCAGAAAGAGCCATTCAAGGCTTGATGCAGCCATATTCCAGTTGTCCGACTACAATGCTAACCAACACAAATTCATCATCATCATGGCTGACTAAATCAGCCAATATTTCCGATTTTAATGAACAATATTCTTTAAAACGTTTCACCGTATCGTTAACCTCTTTAGAAAAAAAGTATTGAAAGCATATATCAGAGGAAGACTCCTGTTCAACATGTTCTGGAACGACCCGATACCTATGTCGGAAGTGTTGAGAGAATGAAAAAGAAAATGTTTTGTCTTGGTTCAGACGAAGAAGGCTGTCCATGTGTCAAGCTTCAAGAAGTTGACTTTATTCCTGCACTGTACAGAATTATTGATGAAATTTTAGTAAATGCTGTGGATAATCATCACAGAAAAGGAACCCATACAAACGAGTTACGAGTAACAGTCGATGAAAATTCAAATTGGATCGAAGTTTACAATAATGGAAAATCAATACCGATCACTATACATCCAACCGAGAAAATTTATGTTCCAGAGTTAGTTTTTGGCTATTTACTCACTGGCTCGAATTTTGACGATAATGAAGTTAAATTCACAGGAGGAAGAAATGGATATGGAGCAAAATTAGCAAATATATTTAGTACTGATTTTATAGTTGAAATCAGAGATGCAAAAGGAAGCATTTACAAACAACATTGGTCAAAGAATATGAGTACATGCTCTACTCCTGAAATTACGAAAGGCCAAGCGGGTAGCAAGACAGAGCCATATATCAAAGTCAGATTTCATCCTGACTTTTCTAAATTCTCCAGTCAAGGATTTAAGTATGAAAGCGGATTTATTGACTTGATTAAGAGAAGAATATTTGACTTATCTGCTTGTAATCCAAAGTTGCAAGTATATCTTAATGACTCAAAAATAGAAGTAGGCAGTTTCAAAGAATATGTAAAACTTTTCTATTCTGCTAATAAGACTGTTGAGCATCCAGAAAAGTTGTTCGTGCACAAACATATTGCTGATGGGTGGGAAATTGCAGTAGGAGCAGCTATGGGAGACGAATTTTCTCAATTCAGCTTTGTAAATAGCATTTCTACTACACAAGGAGGTAGTCACGTCAACTATGTCCTGTTTCAGCTTTCTTCCAAAATTTCGGAATACATTTCAAAGACCTACAGCGATTTACAATTAACCATTCCACCTGCCATGGTTAAGAATCACCTCACTCTCTTTGTAAATTGCTTAATCGAAAACCCAACATTTGACAGTCAGACGAAAGAGACACTCACCACCAAGTCTGTTTCATTCAGCCAGAAAATTAATATTTCAAATGATTTTATAGCCCAAATTGCATCTCACACACCAATCATAGAAAATATTATTTCGTTCGCTCAATACAAACAATCAGCAAGAGCCAAGAAACCAAGAAAAAGAGAATCCAAATTAGCAATTCCAAAGCTGGATGATGCCAACCTTGCTGGAACTGATCGATCACTCGAATGTGTACTCATATTAACAGAAGGTGATTCAGCCAAAGCACTTGCAATATCAGGTCTGTCAGTGGTTGAAAGAGACAGGTATGGTGTCTTCCCTCTAAGAGGAAAAGTGTTAAACGTGAGAGAAGCCTCAATGGATCAAATCAAAGAAAATCAAGAAGTACAACACTTGAAGAAAATTTTAGGATTAGATGATGTGTTAAAAACGGATAGTTTCGAAGATGTCAAGAAAAAGTTACGTTATGGTAAAATTATGCTAATGTGTGACCAAGACCATGATGGCTCACACATCAAAGGTCTTTTGATCAATATGATTCATTACTTTTATCCTCAATTATTGAAGAATAATTTCATCGATCAATTTATTACTCCCATAGTGAAAGTTTCCAAAGGCGCTGAAACAAAATCTTTCTTCTCTTTGCCAGAATTTGAAAATTGGAAGAATTCTCTTTCCGAGAATGAGAGAGAAAAATGGAATCAAAAGTACTACAAAGGATTGGGTACTAATACCTCCAAAGAGGCAAAAGAATACTTTTCAAATCTGAAAAAACATATCATTGAAATGAAATATGATGAAAAAACAGAGGAAAATATTGAAAAAGCATTTTCAAAGGAACTTACCAATGTTAGAAAATTATGGCTTGCCCATTTTAAAGAAGGAACCTATTTGGACACTTCCAAGGGCACTGTGACACTGAGCGATTTCATTGACAAGGAACTCATTCTATTTTCCAATCAGAATAATATCAGATCAATTCCATCACTTGTCGATGGCCTCAAACCGAGTCAACGAAAGATTTTGTTTTGTTGTCTAAAAAGAGATCTAAAGAATGAAATTAAGGTTGCACAGTTGGCTGGCTACGTAAGCGAACACAGCGCCTATCATCATGGAGAGCAAGCTTTGTATAATACTATTACAGGTATGGCTCAAGACTTTGTTGGATCTAATAATATTCCTCTCTTGTATCCGAGTGGTCAATTTGGTACAAGACTTCAAGGAGGTGACGATGCTGCAAGTGCCCGATATATTTTCACCAGACTAAATAAGTTGACTCGAATGATTTTTATGAAAGAAGATGATCCAATCCTTGATTACAACGAAGAAGACAATATGATCATTGAACCTAAATTTTATGTTCCAATCATTCCAATGTTACTTGTGAATGGCGCTGAAGGAATGGGTACTGGTTGGTCGACATCAATTCCAACATTTAATCCACTTGATCTCATTGATGCTTTGAACATTCTATTGGATTCACCAAATGTAGAGAATGCTAAAATTCCTTCTCTCAAAATGTGGGCTCGAGGTTTCAAAGGAGTAATTGAACAAAATGGAAATGATAAATTTACAGTGAAAGGGATCTATTCAGTGAAACAGAAAGGCGATGTAATTGAAATGGATATCTCTGAGTTACCTATTGGAGAGTGGACAGAACATTTTAAAACCCATTTATTGACTCTTGCATCCAAGGACGTTGTCAAACCAAAATTCTCTGAGAGAAACACGGAAAGCACTGTTGGTTTTACTCTCACAATCAATTCCTCAGAAATTACTCCATCATTGTTGAAGAAGTTGAAATTAGAAAAGTCATTTGCAATGACCAATATGACCGTTTTTTCTGCAAATCAGGAAATTGTTCAATATTCAAATGTTGAAGAAATCATTAAGCAATTCTATAAGGTCAGAGTTGAATATTACGAAAAAAGAAAAGTACACCAAATTACCCATCTCGAAAAACAATGTAGAATTCTCACAAATAAGGTTAAATTCTTGGATTATATTACTTCAGGAGATTCCAACATGAAACAGTTTATGAAAACCAAACGAGAAGATATTCCATCATTCCTTAAAACAGTTGTTGGCATTGATATTAATCAAGGTGAAAGTATTTCATACCTTACCGATATGAGTTTATTAAGTTTGACCACAGAAAATAAGGAAAAATTGGTCAAGCAATTAGAAATAGTTAAATCTGATTTGAATAGTATCAAAGCGGATACTGCAAAACAAATGTGGAAACGTGATTTGAAAAAACTGAAGGAGGAGCTTATTTCGTTAAAACAACAATGGGTCGTGTAAATCAACAATGCCACACAGGTTAATCCTCCATTTCATAAGTGAGAAAATCATTGTGTCTATCCTGAATGAACGACATAACGAGCGTTTTATAAATTCATCAACTATTTCTTCTTTGGAAGTTTTTGCGGTTTTTGAATGCCAATTTTTGGAGCTAGAGTGTGAAATTCCTTCTCCAACTCCTTTTTGATCATCTTATACTTGGAATCCAATTCATTCCACAACTCATCGTAATTCTCAACTTCCCTATTTAAACGATTGGTAACAATATCCTCAAAGTATTCATTGGCCTCTTCAAAGTTTTTCACGTATCCAAATTTCAAGATTTGAATAGCAAACATGATTATTCGTAACGAATGAAATAGAGATTTCAATCCAACTCGTAGATCTTTTTCGACACAAATCTTTTTCTTGCATTTCACATAACTGTTTGCTGATTTTCGACTGAATGGCCTTCGGAATGCAGATTTTTGGTCTGACGTTTGCACTTTTTGAATGTAATATTTTTTGTTTTCAAGCAGAACAGCTCGTTCTCGAGTTGCATGTTCATGAGAATCATCACTCTCAGGCTTGTAGTGAGACAAAGACGCATATTCAAAAATTGAACAATCGATATAATTTTCTAATTCATGAATAAATTGTTTTTCCTTATAAATATTCACATCCACATGGTTCGATCGAAAACTGATACAATTTTCAGCACGAGAAAATTCCAAATTTTTTTCTATCATTACCCCTGATCCATGAACCTTTTCCATTGTTTCTAAAATAACATCATCTGGCTCCATTTCACACCAATTCACGTGATCTACCTTTGGTAGTTCAGTTTCATCTTTCACAATCAGAAATATATCAAAATCGGAATTTGGTGAGTGACAATTATAGAGTCGACTTCCTCCGACATATAAATTGATCATTTGCTTGATCGGAATTTTCAAAATTTGGCTCACGAATGACGCTGATAGTGTGAAATTAGAATCTTGTGGTGGTGTTGTGTGTGAAAGCATTTTTTTGGAAGCAACATTCACTTCCATTTTAGAAATGCATTCTATTGAGTAACTCAAACACGATTCGAATTTGAACAAATTTTGCAAGTCATGTTAACAGCAACAGATTATATCCAACTTGTTCATGGTTTGGGACATCCACAAAGAATGTGTAAAAGAATTCCTTTGACAAGACTTGCAACGGCGGGAAGAATCTTTTTCAAATGCAGTGTTGCTCTCAAAAGTTCTCAATTTGGTGTTCTCTCAATTTCATTCCAACCATTCAAAAAATGTCTCTTATTCATTCTGAACACTCTACAAACTCTTCCAACATCATTCCCATGAAGAATGGCATTCCAACCTTCAAGATGGTCATTGTTGGTGATGGTGGAGTTGGAAAAACCACCTTTATCAAACGTCTCTTGATTGGAGAGTTTGAAAAGAAGTACATTGCAACGGTTGGTGCTGAAGTGTATCCATTGAAATTCTTTACCAATCATGGACCAATTTGTTTTGAAACTTGGGATACTTCTGGTCAGGAAAAGTTTGGTGGTCTCCGAGATGGTTATTATGTTTCCAGTCATTGTGCCTTAATCATGTTTGATGTGACGGCTCGATCAACCTATAAGAATGTTCCAACGTGGTATCGAGATGTCATGAGAGTGTGTGAAAATATACCTGTGGTGCTTTGTGGTAATAAGGTGGATGTGAAGGATCGAGTGGTAAAGCCCAAACACATTTCCTTTCATAGAACGAAGAATTTGCAATATTATGACATCTCTGCTAAAAGTAATTATAATTATGAAAAACCATTTCTCTATATGATGAAAAAGTTGTTGAATGATCCAAATTTGGCTTTAGTGGAGAATGTCCCCACATTACCTCCTGTATTTCCACTAGCCCCTGAAGAAATGGCTCGAATGGAAAAAGAGCTGAGTGATGCATTAAATGCAAGCATTCCTGAGGATGATGACGAATTTTGATTCACGTGTGGCCATACATATCCCTTTCGTGATCCTTTTTAAATATTATTTTAATTAAATTCCAACAAAAAATTCGTACTTTTTGTAAAAATTAATTCCGATCGGAAATAAATATTAATATTCATATAATATTTTGACTGTCGAATATTAAATTATTGTTGGATTTAGGATCAATTCAAAATCAAATTCACTTACATTTTATGATCACAATTTATTTATCGTTCCAAAAGGTCGATCGGAAAGAGACATTTAGAGCTCGCCCTTGGAAGCCAATGAGCACTTCTTGGCTTGTTCAATGTAAGCTTTTTGAGCTGCTTCAACATTTTCCTTCTTTCCTTGCCAAGTCTTGATTGCGGAATCTTGCAAAGCTCTACCATAAGAGTAGGAGAGAGCCCATGGCTTTGGAGCATTGACCTTGTTGATTTCATTCAAAGTCTCAACAGCTTGCTTCTCCGATTGACCACCAGACAAGAACATAATTCCTCTCACTGCAGGTGGGACAGTGCTAGTCAAAGCATCAACAGTGTATTGAGCAATCTTCTTATCATCTTCAGTCTTGGTTGGACAATCGTTACCTGGCAAGACCATGTTTGGCTTCAAGATGATTCGATTCAAATCGACATTGTGTTGAATCAATCGTTGGAAGACGGCAGCCAAAACTCTCTTGGTGACTTGCAAAGAGACTTCAATATTGTGAGATCCTTCCATGACCAAAATTTCAGGTTCAACAATTGGCACGAGACCATTCTCTTGACAAATGGCTGCGTATCTGGCCAAAGTTTCAGCATTTTGATCGACTGCAAGTTGAGATGGCAATCCTCTGTCGTTGATCTTGTAGACAGCTCTCCACTTGGCGAAACGAGCACCTCTTTCATAGTACTTCTTAATTCTCTTCTCCAAATCATCCAAACCTTGAGTGGCTTGCTCACCATCAGTACCTGGCAAATTCTTTACACCCAAATCAAGCTTAATACCTGGAACAACTCCAGCCTCGGTTAAGAGTTCAGCGAATGGCTTTCCACTGAGAGTCGATTGGAACAAAGTCTCTTCATACAAAATCACACCACTGATGTATTGAGTGTATTCCTTTGGAGCAGTGAAGAGCAATTCACGATAGGCTTGACGATTGGTTTCATTGTTCTCCAAAGAGATCTTTTCAAAACGCTTTCCAATGGTTGATGTCGATTCATCGGCAGCCAAAAGACCCTTGCCTCTAGCAATCATGGCTTGAACAGTCTTGTCCATCTCTGGACCGAACTTGCCGCAGATATTGATGTGTTGGGAGGACATTTGGTTGTTGTTTGGGTGTATTTTTTTTTAAAACGCAGAAAATCAGAGGTGGTGAGCACAAAGCGAAGGTGGTGAAGAGAAAACACTCGAATTTTCAACAGGCGTTGTCTGTGTCTGCTGTGGCTTAATGGATTCGGAAGAGGCTTAAAAAAGGATTTTTGAAAAGGGACCTAATCGAGAAGAAGTTTCAATTATGTGAGAAGGCTCTTTGTATACACACACAAAACCCCAAACCCTCACAGAGAGCTGCTGGTGAAAATTGTAACGGTGGTAATTGTAATACAACAACAATTCATAGGTGATTTTCGTTGAATGTTTGAAGAGAAAGGAATCTCCCAAAATAATCTTTGACTTGATCAATCAACATTTAAGTGAAGCTTCACTAATCTGGAGAGGTTGGCTGGATTGGAAAAAATGATAAATTCGAAAGAATGAAAATGTCAAATTGTCGAAGAGAGGATGACTTTCCTTGATTGTCAAAGATGTTTGAAGTGAAAACAAACATGCATGTTTGAGGTGTTTATCTTGAGCATCTTCAGATGAAATGCAATTTGGTTTTTGGAGATGAGTTGACAATGATATGAGAAGAAAGAAATGCATGTTGTAAAGTGGATCTCGTTCGCAAAATTTCAAAATTCGCCATTTAGAGAGGTCATGGCATGATGTTTTTGATTGTATGTGAAGAAAAGAATATTTTCGATGGGATCCAGTTCTTCAATTATTGAATGAACACACCACACCACATCATGAATCATTCAACTTGTGAGAAAACTAATTCTTCGCCGAGCTACCCATACATCTTGAGCCCTTTTTTGGAGTTTTGTTAAAGACCATGAAAGGCCCGATCAAAAGAGTATTATTGTTTGCCAAGCAGCTGAAAATCAACACAGCGTTAAGCTTACACAAAAAAAATACAACAACACACAAAAAACTCTCACAACACTCTTCAAAATGGTCAAGGTTGGAATCAACGGCTTTGGTAGAATTGGTAGACTTGTCTTCCGTGCTTCATTGGAAAGAACCGATGTTGAAGTGGTTGCCATCAACGATATTATGATGACTCCTGATTACATGATCTACATGATCAAGTATGATTCTGTCCACGGTAAATTCAATGGTAAACTCGAATACACTGAAAACTCAATCAAGGTGAACGGACGTGAAATTCATGTCTTCTGTGAGAGAGAACCAGAGAAGTTGCCTTGGGGCCAATACGGAGTTGAATATGTTGTTGAATCCACTGGTGTCTTTACCAAATTGGACACTGCTTCAAAGCACTTGAAGGGTGGTGCTAAGAGAGTTGTGATTTCTGCTCCAGCTGATACTCCAACTTTTGTTATGGGAGTCAATAATCATGAATTCAAGCCAGAAATGACTGTGATCAACAATGCTTCCTGCACAACCAATTGCTTGGCTCCAATTGCTGCAGTCTTGCACGAAAACTTTGGAATTGTTGAAGGCTTGATGACCACTGTCCACGCCTTGACTGCCACCCAACCAACAGTTGATGCTCCATCCAAGAAGGATTGGAGAGGTGGTCGTGCTGCTGGATACAACATTATTCCATCATCCACTGGTGCTGCTAAGGCTGTTGGTTTGGTCATTCCATCATTGAACGGAAAGTTGACTGGTATGGCATTCAGAGTCCCAACTGCTGATGTTTCTGTTGTCGATTTGACTTGCAGATTGGAGAAGCCTGCTACCAAGAAGCAAATTGATGAAGCAATGAAGAAGGCTTCCGAGTCCGAGAGATTCAAGGGTATTTTGAAGTACACTGAAGAGGAAGTTGTTTCAAGTGACTTTATTCATGATAGTGCTTCATCTACTTATGACAGCAAGGCCAGTATCTCATTGAACGATCACTTTGTTAAGGTTGTTGCTTGGTATGACAATGAATGGGGTTACTCTAACAGAGTTTTGGACTTGATTATTTCAACTTCAAAGGTCCAATAACTATCTAACAATCATGATTTTTACTCCAATATGTGATTCTTTTGGAGTGCAGTGTGTGATTTTAGCACAGTAAACATCTTTTATTGATGAAGTTTCTGATTGCATTTCACCTTTTCAATGAATTGTAATTTCCGAGTGAAAGTGTCGACCATGTGTTAAAGCAAGTCACTTGAGATCATGCAACAGGTATTTGTGAATTTGCGAGACTGGTTATGTGAAGGTTGATGTCACTAATTTACCAAAACCATTTCAAAAAAGAAAACATTCCACTGCTGTTGTTTGATGACGAAGAGGTATTCGATGATTCACCGTTCAACCTATCAATCTTTCGATTCACCGATTTAAGATTGTGTTTTTGCTTTTCAACTTGTTCATCATTATCTTCCAAAATTTCTTTATGGCTATCCAATTCTTTTCCCATATCAAGAGCAATGGCTTTGATATTCTGAACTTTGTTCAAAGCAACATCCAGCAATTTATCTTGTTGCTCATAACGATGCTTTTGAGCTCTTAAATAATCTTCGAACACTTCGTTTGACGATGATTTGTTGTGTTGTTTCATGTTCATTGTGGTCATTTTCTTTGTGTTTCAATGTTGAGTCCGTTCTCTTTTGTAAGGAACAAAGATAATTACCAACAGAGTGTGGCTTTGGTTGATTATTTTTAGAGCAACGACCATAAGATGATTCGTTAATTGAAAGACAACAGTTTGTAATGGGGAGGCTCTTACGTCAATGTTCCAAGTTCTAATTGTGAGTTACAACAAACAGAATCCTCTTTACTGTTCCTCTTCTTTCAAGAAAGAAAAGAGATCAAACCTCCTTGTTGTTGAACTCTTTGAAAATGGGCATGTTCCACTCCACCAGTGGAAAATCAGGTAAGTAATATTGTGATGATGAAGATGAAAGGTTGACGTGATCAACGGGTTTGCATTGAACACAAAGGGTACAACCTGTATCTACAGCCCACTCCGATCGTTATTGAGAAGGATATGGCCATCCTTCTTCTCAAAGAAGAACAACGACTTCGGAGAGACCCTCAAACGCAACAAGCCTATTCTAAAGCTGATGATGATCTTCCTCGAATTGAAAAGATCACCATGGACTTGCAAGAACAAGTGGTTGCCAATGTTTTGGGAATGAAACGCAATACCTCTTTGGTGGTTGATGAAAAGTTTAATCAATTCATGATTGCTTATCGAAATTTACGATGCCGATTCAAAGATGATCCCGAAGTGAATACTCTCACCGATTACTTTAAGTACGACATGTCCCGAGCATGCACTCTCGAATGGAATACAACTTTGGATTTGAGTGCAATTTCAGTGGTGGATTTGATGGATTTCTATGATCATCAATCTCATGAAAACAATCATCAAGCACTCGGAACAATTTCCTCTCACGAATTGGCTCTCCAACACACCCTCTCATTGAACGAGTTATTGAAGAAGAGAAATCCCAACAATTTACCAGTGGCACTCATTGGTGCCAGTTATTCCTGACCACCATTTAGAAAACATCGAGACTTTCTCCATCGCATGGTGAAGACATTCAAATCTCGAGTGTTTTTCTTAACAGTTTACATTAAAGAAGCACATGCATGTGATGAGTGGAAGTTGGGAGACAATATTTGCATTCAACAACACAAATCCATTGAGGAACGATTGGATGCCACTAAACTCATGATGAAGGGTTTGAATTATCATATTCCTACTGTTGTGGACGGAATTGAGAATTCCTTTGAAAAGATGTTTGCTGTCTGGCCTGAGCGTTACATTTTATTGGAAAATAATGATGCCAAATTGTTGCATGTGAGCAATCCTGAAGCGTATGGACATAATCCTCAAACATTCTGTCGAGTGTTGATGGATTGTGAGCTTACTAAAGTTGCTCCCAATACTATGGAATAACTCAAACCGAATAGTATCTACCAAATGTGTGTCACAAGTACCACTCGTTTCTTTTGCCTTGCAGAGAGCGTGACATAACTCTCCAACAAATCACACGAATGTGACTAAGAGTTTATTGAAATTCTTGTGCAAGACAAAGAAGTGAGTGTGTGTCATCAAACGTACTGAATGGTTGAACAAATTATTAAAAGAAAATATGTTTTCCACGATTTTGAGGTTGCAGTTAATTCTTATTTGAAAAACAGAGAAATCATAATGGTGACATCTATGGTAATTATCCAAATATGGCTATCTTCCTTCTGTCTCTTCTTCGATAGATGCCTCTCCATCAACTCCACATTGGAAACAAAAAAAGAAAAGCTTCTTCATACATCTTTTGATCACAAACCCTCCATCCATCCTTCCCATCTTTTTGTATTAATTTTGACCAAATTATTTGATTTCAACCGTTTTTCAACTCCGAGTAGACATCATGACATCCTATTTTCATTCCATGGTGGCAATAATAGCTGCTCCATTCGACTGCCAACCACCATCATTACAACCTTGTCATCAAACCATTCCTATTGATGATCATAATCATTTGAATCCTTGTTTCGATCTATTGAATGCTCAACATTTGTTTCAAACGAACAACAACCACAACGCACAACATTCCAAACACTTCTTATTTCTCAATCGGGATATATTGAGTGAAATCTTTTCATTTCTTCCCATGTCAATGGTTTGGAGTCAATTAAGATTTGTTTCTCGAGAATGGTCGGAGACAAGTATTCGAACAAGAAGTTGTATTGATTTTGATCAATGTAGTGTGGAGGAGTTTCTCGTGACGAATTGTGGCGTGAAAGATTCTCAGTTGAAACAAGCTTGGGAGTATTTATTTGCTTACATTTTGAGAAATTGTCGAAATTTGAAACGATTTTGTATCAAGTTGAGAGAGGAACGAGAATTCTTTAATAATTCACATTTGAAAATGTTGGCTCAAAGACATGGAAGGACTTTACAAGAATTAGAATTGACGAATTGTGTCAATATTACAGAGAATTTGGGTTTTGACAAAACCTTTAGAAAATATTTTGTGAATTTAAGGAAACTCAGTGTGATTGGAAATCGATTTATTCATCATTCCGTTTTGAGACATCTCACCAAATTAGAATCACTTCGAATTGAAAAGTGTGACAAGTTTTATCGATCGGGAGATTGCTCTCGTTCCTTCTCTCAATCCTTAATGTAAGTAGAGAGTTTGTTATTCCTAGATTAGATTCTTCAATAATTCGCATTAATTCGAACTTGATGTTCTCACCTTTTTTACCATAAAAGGTACTTTAAAACTGACAAGTGCTCACCAAAGCACATCTCTCATTTAAGGAACTTGAAATTATTGGATTTGTCTGAGGGATCCATTGAATCACAAAATTTTAGAAATTTGAGTGACCTCTCTACCGATCACATGCCAGATTTAACTGCGATCGAAACAGTTAAACTAGACCCTTATGAAGTAGAACATCTCTTGTCCAACAATATGAAGTGTAAGGTGTTGCTAATTGTGGAGAAGAGATGTCGTTTTCCATTGGCATGCATGGAAAGTCTTCTTCAAATTTATTCGACTGTGAAAATTAGTCTTCCATCTTCCATGACTCTCTTTTTAACTCAAATACTGTCACTTTTATCAAAAGCAAATGTCACACATTTGGATGATGACGATCGAGATCGAGTTCAGCGATTGAAATGTGCTTTTTCATCCATGTTAGAAAATGTGCATCATGAAGAAAATAACTTGTCACCAATGACAGCAACGTCGAATTTTAAGTATTGGAATATTGATAACTTTTTTGTTTATCATGAATTGTTGAGATGTCTTCCTTTTAGTGTGAGAGAACAATTTTATATTGAATTTGTGGAGAGAGAACGACAAGAAGAAGCAAGAGAGATTAAATTTCGAATGCTCAAGTAATTCGTCGTTAGAAGACGATCCTGTCAGCAATCAACGTTCAGAAAAAAGAGCATCAGCTTAAATGCGTGATGGTTTTTATGAGAAAAGGACAAATAATTCACACAGACGGACCATCATGCTTCATACATTCTCATCTCTTCTTCACGATGAAAAATCCTTCCGAAACACCCTTGCGATGGATCCAAAAGCAAATCAGAGTTCTTTTTGTTCACATTTCTCTCAACGATTATATTCACATAATACTTTGATTCATGCCCGAGTGGTATTTTCAGATCGTGGATCACTTCAAGACATTCTTTCTATTCATGACTATGAAAGAAATTTGGTGGAAGATTCGATTCGTTTGTAAACATTGGTTCAAATATTGTCTATTCGCAAGAAAGAATATCGATTTTGATGGTCTTTCCGTTGAAGACTTTTTATTATTACATCCAAATGTCACTCCTAACAATATGGAACATGCTTTTAACGATCTCATGTGTCACTTGTGTTGGGAAGAACCAAGGTCATGTGGTGCTGTATTTCCTTTGTGCACCATGACAGGAGTGACCATTTATTTGAAAAATGAAGCTCCTTTGTTAAGAAGTGAACACTTGATTGAGCTTTCACGAGTGCATGGAAAAACTCTTCAAGAACTTTGCTTGCTGGGAAGATCCAACATTTCGAGAGAAGGTTTCAAACAATCCTTTTTAAACCTTCAGATATTGGAAACATTGTATGATAATTACGCAATGGATCATGGACTGTTACAATTAATTTCCAAAAATGAAACATTTAGTGGTTCAGGAATGTCCATACTTTTTGAGAGAAATCAGAGTAAAGGAAAAACAAGCATAATCAATATTGCTTAATGACGTAAGTAGTCATTGTTAAAAGAATCACTTGACATACAGAAATTGCTTCTTAAAATTCCATCTATTGAATACATGCATATATTCAACTCTGTAGCTTTGTGTGTTGTGACATTCCACACACGAAGAAAATTGTCAAATCATGCAAGAATCTTCTTGTGGTCGATTGGACAAAGAACCATAAAGCCATCCTTCTTCCAAACATCTTGCCTCCTCATATTACCATTGATACTCTCATTCTAAACGCTAACCAACTGGAATTTTGTTTCGAATTTGAGTTTCAAATCAACCAATTATACATTGATACGACAAAGAATCTGACAGATTTGGAAAACGTCATTAGTTTTGCTTTATTTCAATTGAAAAAAGATTTGAAATTTCCTATCCGTTTACCATACTGTTTGAAAGAACCTCTTCAATTTGGAATTGACATTCTAGACTGTGGCGGGATTAAATTCACATGAAGAGACAATCACCATGTCCCACACAAGGAAGTGATACTCTTTACGTAAGTGTGAAAACAGATCTTCCTGACAACTATGCTTCTTGGAGTGTTCTCTACAACAAGATTGATAAACCTTTGGACCAAGTGCAGAATCCCTTTCTTAATAGGCACGTCATTAATAATAAGAATACGGTAACCATTACACGAAGTGATCTTTTCAAAATCCTGAAAGATCTTGGTTTCATTCCCAAAAAATCGACATTCACAACAGAAACTCAGGATCAACCATAGAAAGGAGATGATCGTGACATCCATTTAATAACTTTTAGAATCCTCAATACGGAGAATCACCACTCCCTCTTGATAAGTAAAACCAGAATGGATCATTTGAAGAAGGGATCTTCGTTAGATTTCAGGATGATCATAATGGATCAGATTTTCCTTAGGCCGATCTTTTGTCTAGGACATCTTTCCTCAAATGTATTCCAAGGCCTGAACCGAACATTGTAATAACAAGTTTGCGATTCATTTTCAAAAGAACACGGCGTTTCTCGTCACATTATAAAACATGACATGAAAACAATGAAGAAACTCACTGGTATTCACTCTCTTTTTTCTACGAAACAACTCAAGTCTGTTGTCATGACAACTCTCAGTTGTTCTTCTTTCATTTAAAAATAAAAATTCACTCAGAGGTCACCAAATTAAGAATTTCCAAATTCATGCTGAGTTGTAAAGCTCTGAGAGCAGTTACTTCTTTTTGTAGGATTATTAACGGTTGGCATGAATGTGGTTCGAACAATTCCCAACCTTGAAAAAAAACACTCAAAGTTGCCTCTTTCAGATTGGACTTCTCGTTGTTCACTCCATAATATATTTATAAATAGATCCAAAATGTCATACACAACCATTCCTTTTTCATCTATTCTTCACAATGAAAAGTCCTTCCGTCACTTGCTTGCTGCTGATCCTCACGCCAATGAAGTCACATTCACAGCAGTAAGTCCATTGTTCGATTCATTCGATGCGTCAACTGTCTTTTCAAATGAAAGCTTTCTCGAACACATTTTCTCCTTTCTTTCCATGAAAGATTTGTGGTGGAAAATTTGTTTTGTTTGTAAATGTTGGTTCAAACTTTGTTTGGCCACCAGAAGAACCATTGATTTTGATGGACATTCTATTGAATATTTTCTTTTGAATGATAAAGAAATCCAACCTTCTCATGACCCTTATGCCATTTCCACATTCGTCAACAAGGCATTCATTGATCTAATGCTTCATTTGTGTTGGACAATACCAGAAATATTTGGCAGAGTTTATCCTGTGTGTAAAATCCAAACATTGAAAATCCGTACTGATCCTCACAAGGATCGTGCTGTAACGTTGAGAAGCGAACACTTGATTGAGCTTTCTCGAGTTCATGGTCAAACTCTGAAGCATCTTTGTCTCGAAGGAAGATCCATGATCACAAGAGAAGGTTTAAAACAATCGTTTGAGAATCTTACAATGCTTGAAAGTCTTTCCCTTGAGGAGAATGAAGCCATGGATCATGAAGTTGTCCATTATGTACCAACTTCTCTCAAGAGAATCACATTAAGGAATTGCGAAAACTTTTTGAGAGAACATAGAGAACAGAAAGAAAAAGTTCTTTTGAGAAATTTAGAGTAAGTAGTGTTCACTTCAACATTGAGGAGAAGTTTTTGATGAATTTTCTTTTACATCTTCATGATCGTTACTTGTGTTTCACATGGCGATTAGGTATTTATGTTGTCCCATGCACTATACAGAAATGATTTTTCAGCATGTGCATTCCGTGAGCGAGAGATTTGTTTTGGATTGGTCCAAAGATCCACACACTTGCTCATGGAACGAATGTTCACTCGATTCGAATGTTAAAATTGACAAGTTGGTCCTCGATGGGCATCAAGCACTCTCACTCTATCCATTCCAAATCAAGATGAACCAATTGGAAATTCGAGATCGTTTGGTACAGGCAATGGTCTTTGCATGTCGTCATTTACATGAACTTGACATTCCTCTCTTAATGTCACCTCAAGCAAAGGCCCTTGTTGAAGAATCCTTAAATGTTCTCCACCACAAAGAATTGATGGATGTGATGGTTGTTGATCGAGCTCGTTATGAACAAGTTTTAAAAGACATTCATCGTGTTTTGAATTCTGTTTGTTGGATCAAGGAAGATTCAACAACTCTCAAAACAACCTTCTTACTTCCAACCGTGTTTCAACTACTTGAGAAATTTCAATTCCTTTCTTTATCCATGATTGAGATTCTAGAGGAGAACAGTTTCGAATTGAAACTTTTTTTGGATTATTTCACAATTCAACGTGATAGGATCAATAAATGAAACTGTTCCAAGTTCATCTTCCTCTGTTCCAAGTTCTAAATATTCCAAAAAAAATAAATTCATGTCTCTTCCACCACCACCACCCATCAGCTCCTTGATTGCAGTCAAACAGAGGACACCTCTCAAGAGTTCCATTTCATCATCAAATTCCGTTTCTGATGAATTACTTGTTAAAATTTCCTCCCGAAAAGAACAACAAGTTCAAAAATCACCAAAAAAAGTCGAATGGGAGATTCCAGAACATAATCAATGGTGTAAGAAAATTGTAACCTTTGTAGTGATCAGCGACACCCATAACAAACATGATATGTTGAATTTACCGGAAGGTGATGTATTGATTCATTGTGGAGACATGTCCGATGATGGAAAGATTGAAGAAATTCAAACATTTAATGAATGGCTTGGAAAGACTCCATACAAACATCGAATTGTTATTTGTGGTGAGTGTTGGCATGTGTTTCATCACCACCACAAATTTAACTATTTTCAATTTGACCAATTTTCAAATTTTATGTGGAAAACATATAACCAAATTCATTAATAATATTTCATGAAATTATGAAAAACAAATAACCTATTTTATTCATTTCATGAAATTATGAAATTTACTATTTAGGTAATCACGAAGAAGAAATTTCTAGTCGTTCCCCTTCTGAAATCCAACAACTCATGTCAAATGCCACTTATTTACACAATACCAGTATTGTCATTGAAGGTATTAAAATTTACGGAACTCCCTATGTTTCCAACATGTCAGACATGCCAGGAGAAAACAAAGCATTCATGTCACGACGTGACAACAAGTTCTTTTATAGAAGTGAATCAGAATTGAATGATTCAATTTTTTCACAAATCGACCATGACACGAATATTTTAATCACTCACACACCTCCAAAAGGAATTCTTGATGGAATGTTACATTTTGGGAGTCCTTCTTTAAAGAAACGAATTAAGGAATTGAAACATCTTAAAGTCAATTGTTTTGGACATGTTCACATGGGTTATGGTGTGGAACGAGTGGACAATGTGACCTTTATTAATGCAGCAAGTGATGGAGATGAACATCCTATTTATTTTAATTATCATATCCAATAATGACCGAGTTCAAGCATCAACAGAAGCAGCATTATTCATATAATTGTTTAATTATTATGTTGTATAATTATAATTTCATATTTTTGGAGAACCAACATTTTGACATGATTGCACACAACTGTCATTTGGTTGTACATGTATATTAAAAATTTTATGAATCTTTCACGTAATTCAACAAGGAGGATCGACCCCAATGATTCGACCAATGTTGTGAGTGGTGAGTGTGTAACGTAACAACAAATCTCATAAGTGTCATTCTAAAATCTTCAAAAGGACATTCGTTTTGACAGTTGACTTTTTTCAAAAAAAAATGTTCAACTCGAACGTTGTTGGTGGTGATATCGATGCCTTTCTTCTCAGTGTTGGAGGTGGTGGTGTCAATTCCACTTCACAACTCTCCAAATCAAATTCACAATTAAAAGCGCGAGATGTGTGGCTTTACAATCAACTCAAAAAATCTCGTTCCTCTTTTTTCGATTCTTTTAAATTCAAAGTTGTGATTGGAACATGGAATGTGAATAGTAAAGTACCGAATTATAATGTAACAGGATCATCACTATCAACACAAGAAGGTACTCTTGAATCGACAACCATGATGACGGGTGACATGTCTTCGAATGTTTCATTATTCTCTTCTTCATCATCATTGAATCTAATGGATATGAATAATAATATGATCAATAATAACAACAATAACAACCTCTCATCATCATCGGTACCACTATCCTCTCAAAATAATTCCACCACAACTTGCTTTTCATCCTCGTCATCCTCATCATCATCACTCGTCTCGACAGGAATTACCAACAAACATCCACTCGATGAATGGCTTCATCTCTCCGAACAACCCGATATCATTGCCATTGGATTACAAGAAATTGACATGACTGCAGAGGCCATGCTCAAAAAAGAAACACAATCAAAATTGGAATGGATTCATGTGTTGGAATCGGAACTCTCTTGTTCTTCACATACTAAAACAAAATATGTGAGATTGAGTGATAAACAATTAGTGGGAATGTTTTGTTGTGTGTTTATTGCAGAGAAATATTTATCACAAGTGAAAGATGTTCAAGCAGTGTCATTGGCATTGGGAGCGATGGGTGTGATGGGTAAGTAGTACAAGTTTTGAGTGTTGGTGAATTTAGTGAATTCATTGCAATGTTTTTCAAAATCACTCTTGTGAAATCAATGACATTTGACACTTTTTCACACGCGCTTCGTGATGCTTTCTCTGTGACATTTTCACTTACTACTCTCATTCTTCTGTCTTCCTCTGTGACATTGAATTCTCTGTAAACCTTTTCATTTTGACATGTCAAAATTCCAGGTAATAAGGGTGCTGTTGGAATTCGATTGAAAATTGCTGACACAAGCATGTGTTTTGTCACCACTCATTTGGCACCTCACATGAATGGCGTTCAAAAAAGAAATCAAAATTTTATGGACATTTTTACTCAATTAGGTTTTGCCAAATTGGATAATTCATTACTGGAATCGACTTCTGTCGAGTATGGAAGCTCCTCTGCATTGACAAGTGTTACAACATCGAGTAGTGGTAATTTAACACTCATGACAGGCGTTTCAAGTGGATCAAGTCATTCAAATTTGACATCACAAAGTCTTCTCAGTTCTTTGACCAATTCGATTGCGAGTGGAAATAGTGCAAGTTCTTTGGCTGGTGGAAGTGGTAGTGCAGATGATTTTCATGTCATTTCTTCACCTTCAGAGAGTTCAGCAAGTAGTTTAGGTCTCACCACTTCTGGAAGCCAAGTCATGCTTCCCGATCAACATGATTACTTTTTTTGGTTTGGAGATTTGAATTACAGAATTGACAATTTGGATCGTTCTCAAGTCGAAGAATATGTTCGAGACAAACAATACAAATCTCTTCTCGATTACGATCAATTGACTGTTGAGAAAATGAGTGGAAGAGTTTTCATGGGATTCAAAGAAGGTCGAATTAATTTTCCACCCACTTACAAGTACGATCCTGGTACCTTAATTTTTGACACGAGTGAAAAGAGACGTGTCCCTTCGTATACGGATCGAATTTTATGGAAGGGTGTGAAACGTGATCAAGTCAAACAATTGTGTTACATGACTCATTTGAATTGTTTGATTAGTGATCACTTACCTGTGAGTAGTGTCTTTGAAACGGAGATTCAAATGGAAGTCGATTACAAATTCCGACAATGTAAGGAAAAACTGTTACGAGAATACGACGCTCTGTACAATAATAAGGTCATTTCTGATAATGATCTACCCAAAATATCTCTCTCGACCAGTGAAATTCGTTTCAAAGATGCTCGTTTTGGAATTCCTCAAACTCAAATATTGATTGTGAAAAATATTGGAAATGTGGTTTGTGAATTCTTCTTTGTCAAAAAAAGGCATGGAAGAACGATATTGTGAAGATTGGCTCACAGTTTCCAATACACACCGATTGCTTATTCCAGGAGAATCTATTGAAATTGAGTTAACATGTTGTTTCAATGCTCAATCAGCTCCTCCTTTTAATTTAGATGAAACATCGAATTCAACAGTTCCATTCGAAGATAATCTCATTATTCATGTTGACAATGGAAACGATTATCCTCTCAAAGTTTATGGAAATTATTTGAAATCCTGTTTTGGAAATTCTTTGAGTAATTTAGTTCAATGTTTTACAAGTGTGAGAGATCCACATTGTAAAGATCAAATTCAACTCGAATATGAAGATGGAACTGTATCAACATTGAAATCCTTATATATCCCTAAAGAACTCTTTTTCATGTGTGACCATATTGTGAAATATGGATTGAGAGAAGAAGGATTGTTCCAAGTTCAAGGAACTACAGATCAAGTGAGAGCATGCCGTGAATTGTTGGATAATGGAATGTCTCTCTCCAAACATTTTAATGGAAATATTCATTCTGTGTGTACATGTTTGATTCAATTTTTTGAAAGTTTGATTGAACCTATTATTCCTGGAAAGTTATATAGGTAAGTGAGTGTGTATTCTGCATTTCCTTTGATTCCATTCAAAATATTGAACTTTGACAACATTGCGAAAAAATCATTGAACTGTTCCATGTTATTATACTATTTATTTCAAAATATATTTTCATCATGATATGCATGACACAAGACTTTTAATGGAGAATTATCCCAATGGAGATTTGTGCCGATATTTAATTGATTCCAATTTATCAAGCTCTCATTACAATGTATGGCATTATGTCATGAATTTCTTGAGAGAAGTCTTAATGAACAGTGATGCCAATGGATTAACTACAGATTCATTGGCACAAGGATTTGCTGACGTGTTAGTTCGATCTCCAAAATATTTGCCACCTGAAGTCAAAAAGAAACATTTGAAAGGAAAGATTGTCATTATTAAGCACTTTTTCACAAAGGAATATAATCAGAGAATGGTTGCAGTTGAAGAAGATTGTAATTTATTTAAAGTGTAGTATAAAGTTTTATATTGTGCTAAATTATAGCAAGTATGGAAAGATCGAATAATTTTAAAATGAATATCTTGGATAAGGTAATTCAAGTTGTTTCGTGGCATCTTGTTGTGATCAAGCATCGGCATATTTTTGAAATTCTTCAAAGGTTTGTGGAAAGGTACAACCTTCAGCAGTGGAAATGGTTTTACCAAATTTAGCTAAAGAGAGTGAAATAAATCGTTTCGCTTGCAAATATCCATCTTCAATCATGGCATATCTATCTTTCTTCATTTCATTAAGTTCTGATATCATGGTCATTTGTTGCTGTGAACAAACTTTCAAACTTTGCTCCAACAATGCTTCTGCAAGAATATTCAAAAATCCTCCAGTATTGAGTAACAATAAATTCACAAAGTGACACTTTTCCTTTGCGACAGGTGTCACGACGTGAATACTCACAAAGAGACTATTTGTTGTCTTTTTTTTCTTCATCTTTGATTTCTTAGAATCACGGTAAATATATTCACTTGGATACTTTTCTGGGTTTAAAATTGCCTTGTTAATCATAATATATCTTCCTTTCACATAGACACATGTTCCAGCAGCATAACAAGTTCTATTGGTAAAAGGTCTTGGATATTTCACAGAAAATTTTGTTAACCAACTGGGATAAACATCCTTATTGGACTCTTTAGAAAAATCAATTTGTTCAAATTCGTGTTCTCTGAAAGAAACAATTTTACCTTCCTTGTCTTGATCGAAGAGTGTGGTTGGAACAAATTTTGTCATGGCATACCCACTGCAATGTCCGCTTATCACCACTTCTGCTGAAAATGGTAAAAATCCAATGATCTTTGCGTTGGTAAATCCTCCCATTCCAATGTCTTGAATATCCACAAATTGATCTCCTTTCGTTGAGAAAATATTTAAGCTATTGACATCTAGCATGTGTTTTAGGCAGGACATGTCACTTGCTGCCATTTCACTAAAATCTAAATCTTTTTGAGTGATATATTCTCGAAGTAAATCTTCTTTACGATATCTTAATTTGAGTACCTTTTCAACGTCTTCAGGGTAACAACACGAGTTGGCAACATCTCCATTTTCAAGGACGAAATTTTGCCAAATTTCAGATTGAGCAAATCTTGGTAAAATATCTTCTTTTACCAATAATAGTAGTTCTAATTCAACTTGATCAAATAAGATATACTTGACAAGCAAGTCCATGTCAATATAGCTTTGCATGTTTTGTAATGCAGCATTTCCAAATAATCTATGCTTTGATTGACCATCGATATTAATTTCACTATCTGCTCCATTCCTTAAAAAATTATCCATAATTTCAATCATTAACAGGTAAGCTTTTTCATAAATCTTCACAGTGGCACTGGGATGTAAAATCGTATCTGAATTAGTGGTGGAAGCTGTGTTGTCACTTGTCACAGACTCTATATCCTCATTCGTGACATGGGTGGTGTGAAAGAGTTTTTCCTCCTCTCCAACTGTTGATTCTTGATGAACTCCGTTCACCATTCCAAGTGAATTTTCATGATTGTTTGTATTTTGGGTCCAATTTTGATTTTCAGAACAATTATTTCCAAATCCTGTGGTGGGAGTCGTTGGTGAAGTGACTATAGAACTATTAAGGTTGATAATTGAGGTGGTGGTTGGAGAAGTTGCCACTGGTGATGATTTTCTTGTCAATAATGAATTCAATTTGAAACGTTTTTCACTAAAAGTTGTTTTTTGTGAATTCGTCATTGGTTGTTGAGTTGTTAAAGACATTGATACTTCTTCTTGTTTTGTGGAAGTCGGAGATGATGCCTTTACTACTGTGAATGATCCAACCACATCATGATCTTTCTCAAAAACAGGCGGTTGTGTGGAATTTTCCCTTCCTAATTGAGTAATCTTTCCAGAAGAGGAATTCATTGAAGGTTTGACTTGTTGAACAGAAGCTGAACTGGATAAAGGAGATCTCGGAGAGGATAATCTTCTCAATTCATTTACACCACTGTTGTTACTTGTACTGCTTGGACTGGTTGGAGTGACAGCAACACCTTTTCCTGAGACTTCCATATTTGGAAATTGTTGGCCTTGGTGTTGAGAGGTATTAGTCATCATGAGTGTCTTTTCGCTTCCACTACTGTGACTTCCCAAACTCGAGGTGCTCTTCTTTCGAGACGTCGTCGTCTGAATATTTGGAGTTTCATGAGAAAAAGGACGTCGACGATGACCATCGCCATCACCTCCACCATTCATCAAAGGCTCCAATAATTTCTTATACTTTTTAATTTCAACCAAACAATCCAACGATTCCAACACTTGTTTCTGATCTGCAAAATAACGAAAACATTGTAATGTTTTTTCATTGGATATAATTCGTTCCAAATTGGGTCGCATATGAATGTCAATGATGTGGTTTTTACTGTCCATTCGTTTCTTTCGAAAGAAAGTCGTATTGGTCGATGATTGCAATACTTGTTGTTGTTGTGGAATGGATGATTGTTGTTGAGATTTCATCATTGGAAAAGGAGAAGAATTCTCTCGACGATGCACTTCAAAAGGGGATGATGAAGAAGGAGAGGGTGGAGAGGAGGAATGAGTGGGTGATGATATTCCTCCGTTTTGATGGTTGTTGAGATGACGATGACTCTCCTCGGAGATGGTCAACGCCCGAAGAATGGTGGAAGCAAACATGGAGTGTTGAAACACGAGATGGCAACGAAAGAGGTTGATGTAGTAGGTGGAGGTAGCAGTGGTGGAATGATGATCCTCGATGTTCGGAGGAGGTGGAATGACAGCTGTCAGCTGATGTTTGTTTTTTTGAATTGATGATGATTAGCAATCACAATTCCTATGATCATAATACCATGTCCATGAGGCAGGTTCAGGACTTAATTGGGCTTACAGAAAAACCTTCCATAGTGAGAGAGATAATAATTAATATTAAATCCTATTAAGATATGATTCTCACAAATATGTATTGAAAATGATCCTAACATGTCCATGAGAATATTATTGGTACTGAATCTCTGGATCAAGTGTTTTTCCTCTGTAGCAATACATGAGAGAGGGATCAGTATTTTCTTTGGCATTGGCAAATGCTTTCTCTTGTGCAATGTGTGTTAAATCTACACTGTGATACATTAAGGCAGCGTTCTTTTCTGAAAGACTGTTGTCGAACATACTCCAGAGCATTTGCTTTCGTTGCTCTTCATCTCGACTCATAAATTCACGAACAGAATCTCGAATGACGGATTGTACAAAATTAAGGTGATCCATTTTGTAGTATTCTTCCAAGTCAAACCATTGGCATTTTGCAATTTCATTGGTGTCAATATCGATTTTTCTGCTTTTTGCTTCAAGAAGGCAAATAAAATAAAAATCACTCTTTCCAAATCTAAAACCAAAGAGGTGACGGAAGCCCATGATGCCAATGAATGACGACTTGACTCCTGTTTCTTCAAATACTTCACGCACTGTTTAAGTAGTTATTGGCGATGTTAAGAAGTAAATCCAAAATGGTGAAAATCTCAATAAATGTTTGACCTACCTGCTCCTTCTCCAATATGCTCGTTTGGATCATCGACACTACCTCCTGGAACTTTCCAAAAATCTAAATGTCCCATTCCCTTTGGCTTCCTACCGTGACGTTCGGTACAAAGCAAAATTTGATTTCGCTTAAAATCAATAGTAACACCTCCTGCACCAACATAATGCTGTGCATACTTTGGAATCTTGTTGGGATCTGCTTTAGGATCAAAATTATAGGTTTCGGGAAGCCATCTCGTTAACATGAGCATGTCTTCATTTGTATGATGCATCTTGAACTGGAATTTCTTCAACAAAATCGGTATGTATTCAGAAAATTCTGAAGTGACATAAATCCAAACTCCTCTTTTCTTTTTCTTCATCCAGTATTGCAATGAATTGGTCATGACTTTTTCAAAATTCTCAATTTCTGAATCAATGGTTATATTTACTCCATTATAATTATCCTGTCTTCCTGAAAGAATTTGAATGGTTACTTTTTGTCCATTCTCATCGACATCCTCAACCTTTTCTACTCGTGCTGAACTTTCTTTTTGAAATTTATCATTCCTTTCTTGTCTAACACTGGAAAACAATTTGTTACTACTAAAAGTACAGCCATTATTCGATTCGGAAATTATTTCGGGATGATGATTAGGCTCGATCATTTCGTTTTGCTCCGATGATGATGAAAATGTTTTTGCTTGTTGAGACATTTTTTTCAAAGAGTTTTGAATGTTGTACTAATAGGAACATTCAAATGATTGAGAATTGATCTTCTCAGAGATACTGAGCTGAACATGATGAAATTTCAATGATCATACTCATCATCAGTGGAATTGAGAAGAGAGAATTAATGAGTATTCAATAGAAAATGAACAAAAATCCATTTCCCAAACCAAACTTACTACAGAGGGGGTGACACTTCCTTAACTCAAAACCGTGCTGACAAGTTCAAATATTTAACTCCGCCCGTAATCATCTTTCAGTGATGGGCGAGTCTTAGCTTCATCGGTTAGTAAGTGACGAATTTGATTGGAATCATCTTTAAAACATTAGCATCATTTACCACAAAGTGTGAGAAGATGGTCTTGATAATTAATCTTGCATTCTGTTGGGCAAACTTTCCCTCCCCACCCTTTCCAGAGCAACTCAAGTTTGGAAATAGTTTTTGGTAAGTTCATAAGTTTTAGGAAGTGAATTGGGCACTGGTTGGTAGCTATACCAGTGACGAGTTTGGAAAAAGTAATTAACTAAGGTTGTGGGATGATTGTTAGCTGTTACTCTTAGATACAACTACTGTCTGTGCAATCAGTGGTTGGATTCATTCAGAAGAGGACATTACTTTCCATTATTTTCGATTCCTTCTGAATGGGCAGAGTTTTTGGCGTCATGGGACGTGTTTTTCACTCTGTTCTAAGGTACCATCCAATACAAGAAAACAAAATTCTCAAGTGTAAAAAGGGTTTGGAAGAAACAAAAGGAAATTCTGCATCAAACGCTCGAGAAATTAATGGAAAGAAGCACATACAAGCTCATTGAACAAACCAACGAACTCTCAGAAGGAGCCAAAGAATTCGATAGTCTTGGCAACATACATTTTCTCTTCCTCACAAAGGTCATCGTTAATGTACAACTTGAACACGTATTCAGCCAATCATTTTTTCAAGATCATCCCAAACCAGGCATGTCTTTGGCATCTCCATCTTCCAACGTCAGTACTGAAAGCGACGACATGGATTTAAACGATCATGAAAATATTGTGCTTTCTGAGAGCGCCACCACCACAATACAAGGAACAAAATCAAGTACGACAAGTGTATGAACATGGACAGGTTTAGAAGATTCAAAAATTTATTTAGACATGTTCCTGAACAGCATGGAAAACCATACCAATCATGCCAACCATCGTGTGACATCCAATAATGTTCATCGTCGAGACTAAAAAGCCTTAATCAAAAACTTATTAAAAAAATTTCATTTTTCTCGTAAGAGGTTGAAAAAATGGCTCACCTGCTCAAAAGCCTTTCCTTTAGCCAAGTTAAACAGAATATTAAAAAGATTTTTGATGATGGGAAGGAGAAATATGTTGCCAATTGTTCTCCCATGAGCCAACTCTTATGTTTGGCGGTAAATGAATCTGTATTGAAGGAGTTTCTTGATAGGGCAAACAATTATAAATGTTTGGATGTCATTACTTTCCCGGAAATGCTTCCTCTTCAAACCAAGGACCTAAACGCCCTCTCTTCGGTGGTTTGGAACAATTTACAGGACTTAATTAAAGAGATGGAGAAGGAAGAGAGAGAAAAAGAAGAGTTCGGGAGAACCTTGTTTGATGAAAATCCTAAGAGGACCAATAAGAAAAAAAAGAAAGCCCAGAAGGCAAGAAGAGATGAACCTCAAACCTCTGAATCTGTTACTATTAACCCTGCTTTAAAAGACCAAGATTTTCAGAATATCTCGAATACATTGGCTCCAAATTCTTCACTCCCAAACCAAGATGTTGGAGGCCTTTCAACTCCCTAAGAAAAAAAAATGATCTCTCTTCTCAATGAATTTAAGGGAATGGTGATGGATGAGATGAAAGCTCTTAGAATGGACATAAAGGAGGTTAAGGAAGATATTATTGAAATGAAGAGGGATATTAGTGAAATGAAGATGGATATTGATGATTTGAAGATGGATATTGGCCAAATGAAGACGGACATTAATCAAGTACGAGGAACGATGTTCCGAAATGACTCGATGTTTTATGAACTGCTAGTGAAACAACATTTCGAAAAAGATCCTGCATTTGAAGTTTATCATTCGTTCATTCTTGACAGACAAGAACATCAAGGATCATTTGACAGTGTAGCAAGAGATGATGAGTTAAAGGAATGGAACAAAGCTCTTTCTTTGCTTAAGGAAAATGGTACTCTTGATGACCAATCAGTGGTTAATTTGTCTCTCAAGCCAAGATGTATTGAGTTCAATTTTGTATTGGCTAGAAAGAACTCGACCGAAGTTGATATTATTGAAGCAACAAGTTCCGAGCTCAGACACGATGGCATTTTATGGTTTAAGCTCATTCAACTTGAGAGGCAAATAAGGTTTTATGAGAAGTGTTTTCCTACTCAATATATTAGTCGAATTGGAATTATATTTCCAAAAGGAAATAATCCACACTTCGACAAGTCTCTAAAACGTCTAATAAGCTCCTCAACCATTTTGGAAAGAATTCGTCACTACCAAAAACAAAAAAAATTTGTTCTATTGCCTTTTGGAACCAAACCTTTCTACCAACAAAAACTTTACTCAAAGGAAGAATAACGTTTAAAGTTGATTCAAATTGATTAGTCAATAAATAAATATTGGGGTTCATGACTTGGAAAAAACTTGCCTTATTAATTTATGCTTTGTCCTGTCACTTCTTGTCCTTACAAAAAAATGCGTAAAGTTCAACAAGGTATGCTTTTAAAAATGATGGTGATGATGACCATCGGATCCGTTATTCATTGTTGTTGGATCTCTATGATGATCATCGTGATGTATATTATGACTAATGGTGATTGTTTGTACTATTTGTAACTAAATTTTCATTGAAATAGCAAAGAAAGTTGATATCAAAGCTCCGAGACCAGTGATCAACACAACGGAATCATTCTTTACAGCCACGTGGGTGTTATTGAAACAGGCGATACAACAGATTTATGATAAAAAGAGTTCGGATCTATCCTATGAAGAGCTCTACAGAAGCGCATACAAAATTGTTTTAAATCGTCATGGAGAATTGCTGTACAATAATGTAGAGACTTGTATGCGTGAACATATAGATTCATTAATGAACAATGTATGTACAAATTGGAACAACAGATTAGTTGTGTATTAATTTTCGGATGATGATCAACAGACTTTACGAAGGTGTTCTGATGAATTATTTCTAAAGACAATTTGCAACGTATGGGAAGAGTACAAAACAGAAACATCAGTCATTAGCAGTGTGCTCATGTATCTCAACACCAATTATGTACAGAAGCAACAACAGCTACAACAACAAGTTGTCACAACCTCATCCGTACAACAACCTCAAGTGATGCACACTCTCTTTATATATGACAATGGCGTGGAGCTATTCAAAAAGATGGCAATTTATCAGTATCAATTGGGAGATAAAATCAGAAAAATTATACTGGATTGTATCGAAAAAGAAAGAAATGGTGAATCTGTAGATAGACTTTTACTAAAGAAAACAGTGAGAATGCTATGTGAGATGAATTGCTATTTAGACATTGTCGAACAGCCATTATTGGAGACAAGTTCTATATACTTTTCTCGACTTTCACGAGAATTATTATCTCAAACCTCGGTGACTGACTATTTAAAATTGGTAGATGAAAGACTCAGAGATGAGCATAAGCGAATTCAATATTATCTCCATCATTCGAGTAAGCAAACATTGGATCATGTTGTTAGACACGAAATGATCACCCAACATCTCAATTTTATAATGGAATCTTCCAATGGATTTTTGTCCTTAATCAAAGACGACAAGATCTCAGAAATGCAAATAATGTATAATTTATTTATTGTTAACGAGAAGGAACACCTCTCAGTTATGATCAACATGTACAATAAGTACATTAGCGAATACGGCACAAACTATGTTTTGGACGAACAGAAAATACAGGCCTCACCTGTAGCTTTTATTGAAGGGCTGCTCGAACAAAAACGAAAATATGACAAAATTACCTCTGTGTCATTCAATAAGAATGATCGATTTGCTAAGGCTCAAAAAGAGGGAATGGCAACGTTCGCAGATGGAACAAAACAAAAAAGACTTGCCGAATTTTTATCTCTTTACATTGACAGTATTATCAAAAACAGTGGATCTTCATCAAGTTTGGAACAAGAACTCGATTCACAGCTAGAAGAAGCATTAGAATTATTTGACTTCTTACGCGATAAGGACATTTTTGAGACTTACTATAAGGTCCACCTTTCCAAGAGACTATTATCTAAAAGTCACCAAGCACAACCTGAAAAATTATTCATTCTCAAGCTGAAGAAAAAGTGTGGATATAGTTTCACTTCAAAAATTGAAGGAATGTTTAATGACATGAAACTCTCTGCTCAAGCAAACGAACAGTACCAACAACATAAGGCATTCAACTCAAAACCTCCAAAAGTCGACTTTTATGTAAATATTTTGACTCATTCATTTTGGCCTGCATATACATTGTCAAATGCTAATTTGCCTTTGGAGCTAAACCAATGCTGTGATTCATTTACTCAATTCTACAATGATGTGCATAATGGCAGAAAAGTAACTTGGCAAAAAGCGTTAGGTGATGGCATTCTTGTTTCGAGGTTCCCAAGTGGAAAACACGAACTTGTCGCTTCGACATTTCAAATTGCCATACTGATGCTCTTCAATGATCAATCGGAATACACTTATGCCAATATTAGAGAACTTACTCAAATTCCAGAGAAAGATTTGAAAAAGAACTTGACCATCCTTTGCATGAACAAGACAAAAATCTTAATGAAGGAACCAAAAACGAAAAACCTGGAGGACAGTCACAAATTTGTTTATAATAACGATTTCAAATCTGCAAACTATAGAGTGAAGTTAGCGCTAACTTCAACAAAAGAATCAGAAGAAGAAGTGCAAGAAACTGAGACCAGGATAGAGTTGGAAAGGAAGCCTGTAATCGAAGCTGTGATTGTAAGAGTTATGAAAGCTCGCAAGAAATTGCACCATAATGTTTTGGTCGAAGAAGTTGTGAAGCAGCTGCTAAGCAAATTCAAACCAAATCCTATTGAAATCAAAAGAAGAATTGAAAATTTGATAGAAAGAGAATTTTTGACAAGAGAAGAGAGAGAATTCTATAATTATGTGGCGTAAATATTAAATTTTGAAAAATATCCGATAACAGTATTTATTATTATTGTTTTTTTAGAATAAAGACATATGTTTGAACACTCTATGAGGAACACCACCGCTCATAAATAGTAAATCCTCCATAAAATCTTCCTTGTCTCCAAATACAAATGCAGAAGCTTGATAAAATTCAACAATATTTTCAAGTTCTTCGTACGTGTATCTTGGTGGAACATAAACTGGATCCAATACTTCGTCTTTTGGAATGTAAACTCTATTTGGAGTCTTATTTTTGTTAGTGTTAGCAGCAACAACGAGCTTATTTGGAGCATTTTGTTGAATAATTCTGTTGAGGGCTCTCACAAGAGTGTAATTCTTTGCATGAACTCTTTGTGGAGGAACAGTGGTAAAATCATCAAGGTTACCATAGTGGTAGTATGTATAGTCGTGCAAGAAATTGTAGTCGTCAATTGCAAATAGCATTGGAGTCTCCTTATCATTAATTAATTCGTCCATTACGAATTTGAAGATAACAGAAATGTTGCTTTCCATCAAGAGAGCATATTCGCACAGTTCGTACAATGTAGTTGGCATCTTTTGTCCGGACTCTAAAGGCAAGTTAAATGTTCTGCTTAACTTCATTTTCTTCAAAATTTCAGAGTTTCCTGACATAAAGGCCTTCAAAAAATCTCTTGTTGGAAGTGGAGCATCAAAGTATCCTTGTAGTACTGGTGATGGCTCAACAAAGTGAATGCCATAGGTCCAATGATATGCTGATGGTATATGAACAACCAAAACACCGTTCAAATATGCATTGTACACACATGTTGCCAAGCAGGCGCTCTTTCCGCTGCCTTGAATACCCGTAAATAAATATCCAGGATCTGTTGTTTGTTTTCTCTTATTTTTTGCCAAGCTTTGGATCTCGTTAATGATTGGTAAAACTGGCTCTCTTACAAGTAAAGCCCTTTGCAAAATTTGGGCAAAGGTTTTATCCAAGTCTCCGCCTGTTCCAGTGATGGAGAAGTACTTCTTGTGGTTTTCGGGAGTAATAACAAACAATCTTCCAACATCGGTCTCAGTAAAATTGGCATCAGCATTAACAAATAAATGAGGATGGGTGGCAAGCATGAATGGTTCGTATGGATTGTCATGCTTGAGTACTACTGTATCCACAAATGATTGAGCCTCTGTGACTTGATCTTCTGCTTCCTCTTCTATTTCTTTTGGAAGTTCTTCTAATTCTAATGCACGAGTGACCTCATCATCCAAATATTCGTCGAGCTTATCGTACTCAGTCTTTATCTCTTCTCCTTTTTCTTCAGCCTGTCTTTCTCTGATTTCCTTTCTTTGAGCCTGTACCGACTGGAATGGCATTTCAGCAAATTCTAATTGCTTTTCAATAAAATCTGATTTTTCTTGAGGTGTCAAATCAGAAAGTTCTGGCAGTAATGAATCATCCTCTAACTTAATTCCAAATTGTTTTGCCACGTCGAATACGTTGCACTTTTTGGCAATCATCATGTCTTCATTGTTCACATAGGTTGGAATGGAGAATTTTTCGTTAAACTTTGGCTTATTTCTGAAGTTAGTATACGTGCTTGTTGCATCTGGAGCTTGTTTACTTCTTTCGTCCTCTAGCACTGCATTAACTTTTTCTGAGTTACCCATTTGGACTTCGAATTGTTCAGTCAAGTTCAAATTAGTATTGTTATATCGTTCCTTAATTTCTTTTTCTTGACGCTCTTCCGCTTCTTCCTCTGGTTCTTCTTCCTCATCAAATTCATCTTCAACTCCTTCCTCTTCAACATCTTCTTGTCCAACCTCTTCTACTCCTGCAACCTCCTTAGCCTCTCCCTCTTCTTCTTCCTCTTCTTCGCTTACGGTCATTTCCTCTTTCGTTTGCAATTGTTCATCTTCTTCCTCTTTTGTTAGGTATTCCAATGATTCTGGCATTGGAACTTGCAAAAGCTCACGCATTTGTTCTTCAATTTCTTGTTCTGATGAAATTCTAAAATTATCTGGAGGTGATACAGTTTTTCCAGCATTAAATTCTTTTTGAAGCTCATAAACATCAAAACCAAAGAGCTTAGCTTGCTGTACAAGATCCTCAGTAATTTTTCCCTGATTATTCTTCAATTCGAGATAAGTGAGATATCTTGCAATCTCATCAATGCCGTTCATATAGTTCACATAGGTGGAGTCGTGTGCTGGATAGAGATTGTTGTTTGAATCCATGCTAGACAATGTAGCAATTGTAAGTGGTTTCATTTCGTTAATCAGGTTGGAAAACTCGGAAAGTGTTGCTGCAACATCTTCGCTGCTTTTTTCAGTTTTTGGGTTCAAAATGTTCTTTGGAACTCTGCTGCCCATACTGGAAAGCCTATCTGCAACCTTTTCAATGATTTTCAATTCATTCATATCAATGGCATACACCTCCTCTTGAACTTGTTTAAAATCAGCCTCTTCCTCTTCAGTAAGTATGAACTCCTCAGTTTCTTTGAGAAATTGATCCGTATCTTTTACTACTTGCTCGACATAACTAATTTGTTTGTGTCCCTTTCTTGGCTTCTCTTCTTCATATTGCTCTCCCTTTCTCATCTCCTTTTCCAATGAATCAGCAATAGCATTACCATCAAACATGCTTTCCTCTTCGTCTTCTTCCTTGAGACCCAACCCAAATTCATCCGAAAAAGTAGGAGCAAGGTCTGGTTCCTCAACATAGGGAACATCAGCTTGCTTTTTATCTCTTTTGATGAGCAAAGGCATTCTATTGTAGGTATCAAAGAGTTCTCCAGAGTAAATTTCATCCAGAATTGTTCTATTCAAGTCTCTTGGATGAGCATCCATCTGAAGATTCTCCATGTCCTCGGCTACGGTTGCTGATGATACAGCTTGTTCTTCCTTTGCTACCTTCGACTCTACTCCTAGTTGTTTCTTCAAAGACAAGACAGGCTTTGTGGTCTTGAAAATATTAGAAGAAGAAGTAGTTTGATAGAGTCGTTTTTGTTGTTGTTGTTGTGTGTTGTTTCTAACGGAGGTGGTAGTACTCGTCATCGTACAAGCCGAATGGCAGCAAATACTGCTGCTGATGCGATTTTTACTTCCCACAGCAGAAGCGACTCTTTTGAACATTTTTTAGCAAATTTTCATTCGATTTTACAATTTATTATTGATAAAGAACGACTCAACGTTGGGGATGTTTTTCATGCCACCATGATCATCTCTTTTGTTGAAAATACTTTTTACATTTATTATTGTACCATTCATTACATGGTTCACTCACTACTTTCATTCCCTTTCTTTCACTTTCATCTTTCTCTTGTTTTAATAATGATGATATTTTGAAAGTGGGTGATATTTAACGTCTCCCGGATGAAACCATCATCTAACATTTTCTCCTTCAATCCACACCAAGAAGAGAGGACAAGGAAAGCGGCGCCGTCCATTGGTTCCTCCGTCATCATCGTTGGAGATGGAGTTATGGGTCAATTAGGACGCAAGAGTTGGCGAATGGACTTTCATTGGTGGTACATTTCAAGACCCAAAAGAAACTTTTAAAAGTCTTTGTTCTCTCTCTTCGCTCCAACACAAGACATAATCAAACAAAATGCAACCACAACAACCTTCCTCCTCTTCAACCACTGCTTCCATTCATTCCGTTCTGGGAGATTTAGTGGCACACTATCCTCACTCTGCTCCCATCATTCTCAACGAAGAGAATATTGATTACTGTTGTGGAGGACAGAGACAATTGTTGGAGGCTGTTGGCAACGATTCGGAACATGCTCAACGAGTGATTGAGAGAATTCTCAAGAAAGAACAGTCCGCAATTGAGAACAAGCAAAACGAAACGATCAATTTCTTGTCCATGTCGGCACAAGATCTTGTGGATCACATTATCGAACATCATCACAAGTATTTGAGAGAAAACATTCCAAAACTTTCTGAACTCTTATTGAAAATATATACAGTCCATACAGGAAAGTTGCTTCAACAACATGAAAAGGTTTCAGAGGAGACTAGAAGATCCATTGAACTCTTGGAAAATATGTATCGACTGTTCATGAAACTCTCTACTGAGCTCTTAATACATTTGGTGAAAGAGGAGAAGGAAATTTTCCCAACCCTTATTCGATATTTAGAAGAGGAAAAGGATCAAACTCATCACACCGAATCATCAAGAAGACTTGTGAAAGATTTTATCGAGAGCCTTCTGAAGGATCACAATGAGGCTGGTGATGCCATTAAAGAACTCGCCAGCATGAGAAAGACATTGCCTAATTATTGCAAAACTGTTGAGTTGACGAAGAAACTGTTGTTAGAAATGGAGGAGAATTTATATATTCATGTACACTTGGAGAACAATATTCTTTTTAAGAGAGTTCAAAACATGTAGTGATTTAACTCTTCAATCTCATTCTTTTGCATGACCATGGAGAATTATTATTACGAACAGAGTGAAACTTGCCATAGTACTTGGGAAGTAACCGAGCAATCCAGCATTCAATAATCATCAACCTTTTTTCTCTAGATTGACGTTTGGTTGTGTGCTCATTTCGTTTAATAAATTTCATAATATATAATAATTTGAATACACAAACCCCGCCAAATGTATCGCTCGCTTGTACAACAATAAAAAATGGCAGAATTGCACTTGATTGGAGAAATTGCTGGAGCCACAGGCTTCTTTGAGGATAATTTATTTTGCTCGTTTCATGTGGAGAAGGGATCCCATTGGACTCATGTCAGTGGCCTTGAAAAGGGGCAAACTCAAGTGAATAAACGACACTCGGAAGATCGAGTGAATGTATTTGCTCATCCCATCGATATTCACTATTCAACTCCGACCGTTGTAGGATGGCCTAAAATTGTCATACAAATGTGGTATCAAGACAGCTACGGAAGAAATGATTTTGTGGCGTACGGAGTGTTAAACGTACCTTCGCAAGGAGGATTTTTTGAGTTGGAGTGTCCAACATGGAGGCCAGTGGGCTCCCTTAAAGATCGGATATCGGATTTCATTGTAGGAGGAAGAATGCAAGTGAAGGATTTGTCTATTGTACATAATGGAGAAGATCGGAGAAAGCAAACGACCATTTCATGCGGAACCGTTTACATCAAATTGTCGGTGCTGCTGAGGAATTTCAAAAAGTATGGAGTGACAACCGTACAACAATGATCTCATCTCTTCTTACATAACCTTAAACGAAAAGCGAAACAAATGAAAATTAATAATTTATGTATTTTTAAAGTTTTATTTGAATTTATACATGGTTGTCGAGTTGTCGAGATCTAGGGTGATGGATCAAAAAATGCGTTGCACAATCCTAGGTTGTTGTGTTGTGCTTCACAGGCAAGGACAAGGTGGAGGTAAAATTTACAAGAACAAGTTAGGTGTTCGATCAGCAGATTACTTGCTTTCAGCAGGCTTCTCTTTCTTTTCCTTCTTCTCTCTCTTCTTGGTCAATGGCTTACCAGAGGATTGTTGATACTTGGTAACAGCCTTGGTACCTTCGGAAACAGCGTGCTTTGCCAATTCACCAGGGAGGATCAATCTGACAGCAGTTTGGATCTCTCTTGATGACAAGGTCTTGGTTCCGTTCACTCTACACAATTGAGCAGCTTCATTGGCAATTCTTTCAAAGATGTCTTGAATGAAGGAATTCATAATGGACATTGCCTTGGTGGAAATACCAATGTCGCTGTGGACTTGTCTCAAGACCTTGTAAATGTAGGAGCTGTAGGATTCATGTCTGGACTTCTTCTTCTTCTTGTCGTCATCAGCTTCACCTTCAGCCTTGTCTGCCTTTGTGGTCTTTGGGGCCTTGGTCTTCTTGGTTTCCTTTTGCTTGTCGGATTTTTCAGTCTTCTTGGTTGCTGGAGCCATTGCTTGTTGTGGGGTGTTGTTGTTGTACGATGTTCACTTATTTGTTTTGTTTGTGCTAAGAGTTATCATCAGGCTCTTGCATAAATACGCTGAGCGGTGTAACGAATTTTTTTGGTTTACAAAATTGAAGTGGATCGAAATTTTTTCGGTGGCCTGGCACTTGAGAAGAGCATTTTCTTGGCTCTAGAATGGCGAGCGTTCAAAGTGGATCGAAATTTTAGCACCAAAATTTTGGTGTTTTTTCTTGATGTAGGGCTATCGTTTCGTAGAAATTCTTTGAAGGAGATGAGCGATATGTCATCTACTTTGACTTCAGTGCAACAGCATCTCTTTTTCTGTTCGAATGCATCCTTTCAAATGTAGTTTTGAAAATTGGAGGGAAATGTTCAAAAAAGATGACCGAAAGTTTGCTCACCGTAAGTTTTCATTCTCATCATCATGCGGCTTACGAATGGAGAGATCCTTCATGACATGGTCGTAATTCCTTCCAGGTGGTCAATACGTTAGATACGTACTATACGGTAATGACAGCAGAATTGGAACAAATAAATCTTGATATTGATCTTATACATACATTTATTAAGAGGTGAGTTGTTTGAGGGTAATTCCGATCCTAATGATGATGATGATGATGAACATGAAAAACACACTCCAACTACAATAGATACGGAAATAGGTATTGGGAAGCCTCGCTGCAAAAGCTCAACAGAATTAAAAAGCAAAAAGAGAATATTGTAAGTAGTAGTAGCCGATTCATGAATCAGTCGTCCTAAAAGCCTCATCATCATTATGGTAGCTCAGAGATGTCAAGTTACAGATCGAACTTTTCAATATCCATGTAGAATCAGGTCGGGAATTGTGCAATCGTTTGGAGAGAATAAATCCAATTATTGTTCGCCCAAAGGATGATGACCTCATAGACGATCAACTCAAACAAGCAAGTGGAAAAGGTACAACAACGTCTTTGGATTCTAACAGAAAGGTCGACTTTCAGACACAACGAAAATTCCTTCGGGATGGATCCGTGCTGATTAATGATAATGTCAGAGAGATTGGTATTGCATCGAGTATTCTGGCCTATTCCAATAGTATCGATGTGAGTAGTGGAGATGAGGACGATGGACCTAAGAGAAGAGTGAATGTACCTCTCGCAGCTGTCGTCACACCATCCACTCAACGAAGCATGAACAACAGGTCATCCTTGTCGACCACGAATGGAGGAGGAGGTGCTAGTGTGTTGAACACCACTCCAATGAATAATGTTTCACCAGCGGAAATTCCATCATCAATCACAACTTCAGCCAATGTCAATACAACTTTCAATGGAAAGACGAGGAAGAAAAAGAAGAGGGCTCAACAATCTCCATCACAAGCAGCCGTACTTGCATCGAAGAAACTAAGTGAAGGAGAGAAGGCATTACGCAAGGATACGATCCTCACGGACACTTCATCCTCCACAGACGAAGAGGATACCTTCGACAGGGATTGAACCATGGAAACGAATTCTATAGTCGGACAGAGAGTACATTTCGTTGTTCGAATGATGACGAATTGATGACAACGGTGTTGGTGAATGAAAGATTTTATTTTTTCACCGCCTTTTTTAACGTTCACATTTTTGAATTTCAACTTTAAAAAAACGGTCAAAATGAGTGGCCACTATCACACCACCACCACCCACGCGAATGAAAGTGTTCTCTTCTCGCCACCACCACCCATGAGAGACTCTTCAGCCATGCAACTCTCATTCGGAGAATCCTCAATGATGATGCTTGCCATGAATAACACCACAACATCAGCCACCATGATGAATGATTCCTTTCAAAACAATACCGGAGAAGTTGTTCTCGGGAGTGATTTAGAGAGCCATCCGAAACTCACTTTTCATCGCCAAGTGGATATTGCTCGTAACAATATTGTGGATGAGGATTTGGAAGGGCAAATGATGGAAAAGCAATTCAAAAAATTGATCTTTTTATATCGTGAGCTCTATTCGAAGAAGCTTTCGCTCTCTCGTTTGGAACATTTGGATGAGAATGGGCACGTGATGGATCGATTCAAATCTCACAGTGTGGATGAAACTGCAGTGGAGAGAGAAAAAACAGCTTACAAGAGTAAGAAGCTTGAAAATCGACAATTAGAGGACGAGTTGGATGAAAAAACGAGACTTCTTTTTGCCAAGTTCGATCAAGTGAAATTCCTCAAACAACAATATGAAAAGATGTTTGAAGCGTTTGAGAGCGAAGCTGCCTCACAAAATGATGAAGATGTCCAAATGGAAACTCATCCAACAGCAGCAACAGCAACCACCGCCGATCAAAGGAATGAAATGCAAACATCCATTACGCCAGAACAATCGTCACAAGATGTTGAAACATCGAGTCAAGATGTAATGCCAGCAGCAGGACCAGCTGTGAATGACACGACAGCAGATGTTGTTCAACCACCAACACACTTTCCAACTGTCCTTGAAGATGATGAACAAGAATTACCAACTGAACCACCAAAGACTTTGGAAGAATATTTGGGAGACACTCGAAAAAGACTCTCTTTTTCAGATGTCGGTGAAGAAGATGATGGTGCGATGGTTGATGAAGACCAACAACAACAATCTTCATACAACGTTGATGATGTCAAGTCGTCCTCTTCAGTGGATAATCCAATTTTATCAGCTGTGAACGAGTTTAAGTTCCTAAAATGGTCTAACTGTATTGATATCATTGATTGTCGAGAATTTCACTCGAAACAAGTGGTCGATGTCGAATTAAGGATACCCTTTTTGACACATGGAGATGAAACTAAGCTCGATGTCTCTCTAACATTCAACAAGGTTAATAAGGAGTCCATTCTCCTCTCTGTACAGTGTGCTCAACCAATATCAAGTCAAAGAGTTGACTTCTCTGACATTATTGATCGAGCAATCAAACAAAACAATGTTTCTTATTTATTTTCTGCAATATCGAGTAGAATTCGATCTTTCAGGAAACAATAAATCAATTTGATTCAATAATTTCAAATTATAATTTAATGTTGTTGTTGGTCTGATTTTGTACTGTTTGCCATGTGAGTACCTCGAGGACTAAACAATTGTTGTTCCTCCTTTTTTGTTTTTTGCTCAATCGTCTTGAACTTGTTCAAAAAGTTGTGGAAATCGGCACTGACTCGAATAGATTCCCTATGATGAACAGGAGAGATTATAGCCATTCGATCTGTTGGTGGTAATCCCTGCTGAGGTGGCACAGATAGATCCTCTAGAGTTGAAGGTTGTGATGTAGTAGTGGTCAGTTTTTGCTCTGCCGTCTGTGTGACAAACTTGAACTTTCCATCATTCTTATACTTGCTTAAAAGCTCTTCTTGCCATGGAGCAATTATCTTCTTTGAAATGTCCGAACCAGAGTTAGAGGTTGAGGTCCTGAAAGTCGATGAAGTGGTACTCTTATTGGATTCTGTGGACAGTCTGTTGCTAATAAGATCATTACTTGTCATGTTGTTCCAATCCATGTTTGTATCTTGTTGGTCGAGTGGTTGTGAAGATGAAACTGTTGTTGAGTTGTTGTTGTTGTTGCTGGAGGGAACTTCTTCTTGTGACAGCGTGTGTGTTGTTGAAATCAATGAAGAAGAACTGTTCTTCCTATCGGATTCATCAATCTTGTCAATTCTAACATAATGATCTATGTCAGTACTTGTCTGAGAAGAATCATGATTTTCTCGCATCGTTTCGACTTGTGAATTCATCTGGTGCGAATTTTGATGATCTTCTCTCTGTTCTGTTTCTTCTTCAATTATTTCACACGTTGTAATTTTCTTGTCGAGTTGATTCGTTGTAGTGTCATTTCTTTCTTCATCCATTGTCGATTTTGAAATTTCATTCTTATTGATTTGTTCTTGCTCTCGATTTTGCATTGTTTGCATGGGTTGTTGTTCTCGTTTGGCATTTTCAAGCATTTCCAAGAATTTTTCAGGAGTCACAATTTCAGAAATTTGATCTCCATGTTCATCTTCATAAACAATTTCATCTCCAATTCGAACGATATATTCATTTTCAAATTCGTCCTCATAAACAATTTCTTTTGAATACATTTCTGAATTAATAATATTTGAAGTTTGATTCTTGTTGGATGACATGATATTAGAATTTTCAATGGTTTGTGAATTTTCTAAAGATGGTTGCTGTGACACTAATGAATCATGCATTTCCACCGATTTCATTTCATCCATAGGTTGTTGTTGATGTTGTTGAAACTCTACAGAATTTGTACTATTGGAATGATTCTTCACAGTAAAGTCATTGTCTTGACTTTCAAATTCTCTCGGAGAATTGGAAATTAACAAAACCGGAGTGGAAGGAGTTCCTCTCGGAGTCATGGTGCTTTTTCGAGTAGGTTGAGAAATGGGTGACATGGATGATGTGACAAGAGTTGTTGATAATGAAACTTGTTCTTTTTCAGAATCTTCTTTTTCATCTTCAATGTAATTTTCATTGATATCTTCTTCATAGTTTTGAAGAATGGTGACAGCAGATGCTTGTTTTTTTGGATAACTCTCAACAAAGGATTGATTTTGAAGTAAAATATTGTCTAATTGAGAAACTTTTTGAATCACATGGTCGAGCTTGGTTTTTGGATTCTTTCGAGATTTTTTCTTAATTCTTTGAGTTTTGAGACATGCCAAATATTTTCTTGCAAGTGATTGAATTCTTAAAATGGAAGGTAAGACCCATGCTTCTGGAATGTCTAAATAACCTCTTGATAAAACTTGACGATTATTATTTGTGACTTTTTCCAAAACTTGTCTATTCTTTTCAATGGCCGACTGAATGGCATTGATCCAACGAGTTTTTGTTTCTTCATTTCTCATTTTGAAAGTATAAATCACATCTTTGGTCACCAGTTGAAACATGTGTGAAAAAGCATGGTCATGATCAGAAATTATTTTTCGAATCCAAATAGATGGACTTTCTTCAAAACTTTCCAATGAAATGTGATACTTGTATCTCATTGATTTCTTTCCTAGTAATGCATCGATTTCTCGAATGCGTTTCTTTTTGGTTGCAGTTTCTCTCAAACCAGTTCTTGGAGTTTGTGGAGTTGAAAAATGAGTACTGCAAATCATGATCATGTCATTAAATAGAAATCCAACACAATGGTAGGAAGGATCTTGGAAAAATTTAGCATTTGTTTCATTTCTGTTGATGGCATCAATATCAAGTCCAGTTGGAGAAATTTTTGAAGATTTTCTTCTCTTTTCAGGGTGACGAGTGGCAAGATTTTTCGTCGTTGTCACGTACATTTCATTTTCATAAATGAAAAGGCGATTGGGTTTTGCAATAGAAATAATGTCACCATTTTCAGATTGTTTTAGAACCTTTTTGTTAATTTCGTAAAATTTGTCCTTATTGTCGAGTTCTGTAATTTGTTGCTCAAACGATTGAGAAACAATTTCAATTAATTTAAAGCTTTCAGAGAGAGGAGAATATTCATCATTGGTCATTGGTGTTAACTTTAACAATTCTATTCATTGTTTTCATTAGAGGAGTTGAATGTTCACACGAACATTCACATGATGTCAATAAAGATGAATTCAAAAAAGATGAATACTGCAAACAATTCATTGCAAAAACCTACGTGTCAACACATCTCTATAATATACAATTCTTCGTAGTGGCATTTTCATGGCCTGAATAATTTCAAATTCATTGCATGGTGAAAATTGCAAAGAATTTGAAAACATTTCTTCATCCTCTCCCAATGCATCTAACAAGAGTTTAGTACAAAAACGTTGCAATTTCTTCACAATAGCCTTAAAGCTCTTATCTTTCAATTTTCGATTCCTAAATTGAATCAAACAAGGTTCCAACATGTGTGAATATTGAACATAATTTTTAAGAAATGGAGAGAGACGAAAGAATGTTTGTCCCAATGAATGTTTCGCTCTCGGAGAGGATCCACTCGGAAGTGTGAGAGTTGGAGAAGAAGAGGATGATGACTGTTGTAAATGTTGTTCAACTTGTTTGAATTGATTCAAGAGCTCAGTATTTACTTTGAAGAGAATGGTTAATTGGGAGAGACAAAACATTCTTTCGACTTCTTCTGGAGTGAGGATGTTACATCTTGCGAGGGATTGGATGATTTTCTGTGACATTTTGGCAATGATATTGATTGTTTTTTTTAATAAACTTTCTAATGTCACTTGTCAAATGTGAAACCTACCTCTTTCAATATTTCAAAATAATTTAAATAAAGGGTTTCTGTCTTGATGAGTTCTTTCAAAATTATCGTTTTACTGCATTGCGATGATGACATTGAGTCTTGACATTCATTTTCAATTCCATTCGAATGTTGCAAATCATAATTTTCGTGATTATTGTTACATCCCGATTCTTGACTGTCGACAGCGTCAATGGCAACACTGAAACGAAGTTGTTGAATGGTGCAAGTCACTGGTGATGATGGTGAGTTGTTGTTGGCTGATGATGGTTGTTTTGGTCGCGGCATTTTTTGACAAGTGACAAGGATGAAGGAGAACGTTTTGCGCATCAGATCGCTCAAACACACCATTTCAAAATCATATGAATTTATTAAGAGTAGAGAAATAAATGTGCTATACAAGCATATACTAGTAGTAACGTATTCACAAGGAACTCACAGAAAGAAGGATTGTGGGATTATTGATGGTAATAAATGTTGCAATAGTTGGGAAGTGTGCATCCATGATGTCACGGAAGTGTGTGAAAAATTAAAAATTCATCACACCAAATAATAATAAGGAACAATCTTGAAAAGAGGATCGATCGTCATAGTTGTGTGTGAAATAAAAATCCAATAATAATATTAATCAGATCGACCAATAACAGTGTTCTTGACAATAGCTTCCTTGACATTGTCAAATACAGTCTTGATTGCTTCTGTATCAGTTGCGCATGTTATCCTGACATCAATCTTCTTTTCATCCTTATCTTCTATACGTTGGAGGAATTTTTCTTTTATGTAGTCAGCACATTGTCTCAAATTAGTATCATCTCCTTCAAAATCAGGGAAAACTTCCTTGAATACACGTTCTTGTAACTTCTTAGCAAACAAGTCACTCTTGTTCAAAAACAAAATAACAGGAGTCTTCTCAAAGAAGTGAGAGTTTACAATTTCATCAAACAAGAGGATGGATTCATCCAAACGATTAGTGCTATCGTCTTCATAACACTTTTGATCAAATTCACTCAAACTGGCAACGAAAATAATAGCTGTGACATCATCGAAACAGTGAATCCATTTCTTTCTTTCGTTACGTTGTCCTCCGACGTCGATCAGAAGCCTATTGAATGTTTTGGTGTGAAAATGGATAAAGAAGGGAATGAGAAGAAGAATTTCCACACACAGTTTGCATATGATTTACATCAAGATGCAAATGTGAAATGTGAGAATCATGTCACCAAAGAGAAACTGTGTGAGTCATGTGTGAATGTTTTCTCTCAAATAACTTACATTTTGAGTCCATCAATCTCGAACCTCAGTTGTACCACACCTGTAGTTTTTATTCTACAGTGGAGAACGTCTTGTTGGTTTGGAATGTAATCTTTCTGAGAAATTCTCTTCAAGTGTGTATAAAAGCTGTTGTTGTGGTTTTGGTTTTGGTGGTTTTGATTTGAAAAAGGAGTGTGAACAAATGACAAAACATTCATTTGTGTGAAAATTGGAAAGAACAACACATGAGGATATCGCAATGGATATATGATCATATAAATCACGAATGCCATTATTGTCAATCATCATGTTAAAAACATTATGAACACTCTCAACAATAGATTCAAAAAACTTACTATTCAGTAGAATCCAACAATTGAAATTCATTTCTACGCTTGTAAACTCCTTGAATTCCAGCATCTTCCCACAAATCCTTCAAATCATTTGCAAAGGCCTCATTATACACCTTGTTGATATTCAAGAGAGAATCATTTTGTAATTCAAGAATTTTGGCTGCCTTTTGTCTATTCTCTGGATTCTCAATGGGAATGTTGAGATCGTGAGAGGCCTGAATGAGTGCTTGCATGGATTGGAGAACGTTAGAGTGAATGGTGTCCACGAAACCGAGTAATTCGTGGTCATTGTAACCTCCGTCGTGTATGATTCTGATTTGCTGTTATTGATGTTGTTTGGAGAGAGTTATCATTGTTTGAAAGTTGTTATTGTTGTTTGGAAATTTGTACGGAGATGACGAGAATGATATTCATGAAAAATCGACCATCATATATCCATATATATAACATTGGATCATTTGAAGCAGCATTGAAATCGTCATTGACACCCACAAAACAGAGAGAACCACAAGGAAAGTGAGTGTGTGTGTGAATCGAGTGATTCAAAAGTGAGTGTGTGTGGTTGTTATTGAACGAGAGAGAAGACATCGTCGCGCATCGCAATCACACATGACCAAGCACAACAACAATCATCATGGCCAAACGCGTTTGGTTCATCAAGAATCATTTTTGGAATCCATTGGTGTGGTCGAAGGTTCACACAACCACGTTCACAGGCAGCAACCACGCAAGCACGCACGCGCCATAGAGAGAAACATTTCATGGAAGAAGAAACAGTTGTAACAGAGAGGTTCATTGTTGTTATTGTTGGAAGAAAAGTGAGATTTACATTGTGTAGTCATGATGATGGATATCAAATGTCATCATCACAGTTGCCGTTCAAAAGGATGATGACGATGGATATTCATGAGGAATTAGTGAACAACATGAATAGTATATTTGTTTTTTGATGGTTATTGTTCAAAACGTATGATTGGTAAAACGCAGTAAAAACATCATTGACACCAATTTGACAAGTGGCATAAAATTACCAAATATATAAATTCATCATCATCATTCTACATACCTTGAAGAGAGTTGATTTTCCTGATTCTCCAGCTCCCAGTAACAACAATTTAATTTCGCTATCCTTTAATCGGTCGCTCTCGAGTAAATCAGTAACTCTCTGGTCCATTTGTTTACCAGCATCTCCTCCTAGACAAGCTTGTCCCATTTTGTTGTTGTTATTGTTGTTGTTGTTGAATAATAATTGTTGTAAATGTCAATAATGATTGATTGTAAAAGAAATTTACAAAGAATGAGATATTGTTGTTGAGAGAAGTAAAAGTAAAAATAGGCGAACGGGAACAGCCGTGAAGATGATGTTTTGGAAGAGTGTTGAACAACAAATTTGATGCGGTTGATGATGTTGTTGTTTCTTTTTGATGACCGTTAAGTTAGCGTATTTTTTTGCAAGTGGATTTTGACATTTGACGTACCGAGTTACAATGGTTTGGTTCAAAAAAAGCAGCTATCATATAATGAATGCTTGATGAACTGGGTAATGTTTTTGAGAGAGGCCTGACATTCTCATAAGAGCTTTGACATCCAAAGAGGACTCTGTCAACAATCAATGCCACACGAAAGGGAACCAGATGACACACTCGAATACAACCAACCACCACTCGTGGGAGGAGTGCTGTTGTCAAGCATTTGGTCAAAAGTGGATAGCACCCTTCGTGAGAGAGAGAGATGATTGAATTTATTGCGTCCTACTAATGGCGACAAGAATTTCGAATTCTTGTCAGAAGAGGACAAGGATATGAGATTAATAAAATTGGCAACTTGCTCTTAATTAATAATTAAATTTGATGAAACGATTGGGAAGAAATGGATTCGCCCATATCGAAATTTCGTTGTTACAAATTATTGTATTCAAATGATGTTTAAACAACTGTAGAGTGCTTGTTGGAAAATTAACCTCCAAAATTAAGAACCAAGATTAAGGGATCATTAAATATTCCAATCTCCCATCATGACCATTCAGGTCAGATGTGATCAAATTCATACACAAGTTATCTTTTATGGATACAATTTAAACAGTTTTATACGTTGGATGGATTCGATTGTGATCCTCCTCCTCTGTTGAAAATGCTGTCTGTGCTGAATAGTCTGGCAAGCACACTTTGCAAGAGTCCTCGTTCGATAATGAAATTTTTCAATTCACTTCCAGTATCAATTCTGGAACATTTCACAAATCCGTAGAGTTGAATGCATGTCAACACGAGAGCAAAAATTACAACGACCATCCATTGGAAATTAAATCTAATAAAGCATACTAGAGAGAGTAAAATCCAAATTACAGGTTGTGTGTACATAGATCCCCAGAAAATCATCTTATCTAATCTGTGAATTTGCTTGCTGTCACTCTTGTTCTCGAATCTCCACACACTTGTTCCGTCTTGTTTAATATCATTCCACCATCTCAAAGCTACCAAATATCGACCTGTGATATTTTTAACTGTCCAAAAGTCAAACGATAATAGCAGAACAACTAGAACAAATACTAGAACAAAATTATCAGTGAAAATAGTCAAAAACAAATAGCAAAGTAGTGCTGCAATTTTGAAGAAGAGATGGAAAAAACAAACTACAGGATGTCCACAAGGGCAGCCTCTGCAAATATCGAACAAGAAATATTAGAAATTAAAAAATTAATAATTAATAATTAATTGTCAAGTATGTAAATGAAATAATGTAATAATGACAATATATCCATATTTCATGATAGAACATGATAAGCGTGATCCGAATATGTGATATACACAAGGTGTATTTGTATCCACAATTGTCGTGATTTAATCATCATAAAACATATTTATCATACAACCGATCAAAATAATTTTCATGGTCATCTATCATCGCCCGACGCTATTTTTCAACCTACTGATTATAACTATTGATCAACGTATTCATCACTGAATTATTATCAATACCATCTCCGGATCTCAATGGAGCAGTACTTTCACCGGGAAGAGGTTCATCAAACGAAGGAGGTTGATAGGAAGACATTTTTTGATTTGGAATTGACTTTGATCATCCTTTATGAAGACAGATAGGTATTCTTTTACATTCAACCATCCTATTATTGTCTGAAGCGTGATGAATTTCATTTCCAATAAAAACACCTCAACTGTTGTTGTTGTAGTATCCAATCCTTTCTTCAAGGCTTTTATGTATCAAGGCTTTGATTCCAACAAAAAGATCTTCAATGTAAATAAAAAGGCTTTCAATTAATTCGAAAAAAAATGGCAAGAAAGAAGTCCATGGTGGTGTCGTCCTCTACTACTCCTCAGCAGCATCAACAACAACGACGACAAGCATTGAAGGCCTTTTCTCGCACCTCTTCCTCAACGGATCCACAATCTTCATCATCATCGTATGAGGAACCAAGAAGTTTTGATCAACAAATGTCGGAGCGGAAGAATCTCGAGGAGGAAGGGTTGAAGAAATTGATGAAAATGAAGTATGAAAAAGAACTGTTGGAGAGGAGACAGAAAGAATTGGAATTGATTGAAAAATTCGAAAATAAGAAAGAATCCAGTGTTTGCGAGAATTTGCTTGTGCAGGAAATTACTAAACATCAAACTGAGGATGCCCAAGTGAAATTAAACGTGGGTGGGAAATTTTTTGTTACATCCACGAGCACAATCAACAAGCGAGAAAACATGTTGAAGGTGATGCTGAATTCTGACTTTGCCATTGACAAAGATGACAATGGCTGTATTGTATTTGCGGATAGAAGCCCTGAATATTTCCCAATTATTTTAGAGCATGTCCGAACAGGGTCAACAAATTATGTTGGGCTTTGGGAAGAGAAAACCTTGGAGTCTTTGGAACGACTGAAAAAACTCCTAGTGGAGTCTGATTATTTTGGAACCTCAAAGCTGAGTGCAAGAGTGGCTACCATGATCAGAGAAATAGAACAGACAATATATGACAGGAACGAAAGAGAGTTGCAAAGATTAAAAATGGAGAAGAGACGGAAAGCAGCAGAAAGTCAGCTTGAAGAAAAGTTGAATTCAACCATGACAAGCGATCAACAACAGGCAGATCAGAAGTGGCTGAGAATTTTCACAAATATGACATCAAAACATAAAGAGGTTTTCGAAAAGCAATTACAGAACATTGAAAGCAATTTGTCAACAGAGAAAGAAAAAATCAGAGAGCGAGAAAATAATATTAAGGCATCCACAGTAACTTTTAATGTTAGAGGTAAAAAGTTCTCTATTGGTATGGAGAAGATACTAATGCAACCTGAGAGCGTTTTCTACACCCTTATCAATGAAATGAACAATCAAGAGGTATTTGTTGACAGAGATCCTGATGTCTTCTCGTATCTTGTAGATTACCTGCAAAAAGGAAATGATGACATTTCTCTTCCAAAAGAATATTCCAAACGAAAAGTCATCTACAAGGAAGCAAAAGAGTTTAAACTTCAAGGATTGATTGATTTATTGGACCCATTGAGATATCCCATTGAAGATATTGGCGAAACGAACCTAAAGATCAAGAAGGAAGAAGATTTCTTAAGAAATTTATTCGTTATTGATCGAAATAACCCTATATTGGATGATTCTTATCTTCATCTTGTGAATGTATTCGACGAGAAGCACCAAGTAAGAGATATTTTCCAGCACAGAGGCCCTCAAGAAACTGTACCTTTGTTGTTTGATTTTGAAAATTCATCAGAAGCTGAGAAACTGTTGAATCCAAAATCTGGTCTCATTAAGCCCCCTATACCGAAAGTTTGTGATTCGAGAGAAGATTTCTTCACACAATTCAATGCTTTTACTTGTGGGTTGTTCAAAGATATGGACTGGAGCAATGTATTTGCAGCAGGTAAGTATAGGAAAAATTATAGATTTTGAGAAAATATAAAAAATGTAATATTAAGGTGGAGGAATATTGGCATGTCTTCTTCAAGTACCACATGAAAAAGAAAATACTTCTCAAATTGCTAATAACATTGTAGAAGATGAGAAAAAGTCTCCGTTAGAAAAAAGCTATTGGGAAGATGATGACGATTCAGAAGTAGAGACAAGTGATAGTGACTATTTTACATCTTCCTCAGATGAGGAATATCGTATGAGCTTGCCTAAACCAAAGAAAATTTTACCAAAACTACAAAAGGGGACAACAGATCAACGATTGTTCAAGTATTATTCGAACTCAAAAATGTGGCAAAACAGTGACATTGATTTATTCCTTTATGGGCTCACTGAGAACCAAGCCGAGGCAAAGATCGTGTACTTGTATCAGCTTTTTCAGAAAAATTTAGAACATGCAACTCAATTTCTTGAGGAATATGCTGTTAAGAAAGATGAGACATCAGTACTTAAGGACATATTGATCATTAGAACAGAGCATGCCATAACTTTTCGGTTTTCTCATTCCATTCGACCAGTTCAAATTATTCTTCGACTGTACAGAAGCCCAACTGAGATTTTGTGTGGGTTTGACATTCCTTGTTGCTGTGTCGGTTTTGATGGTAATCAAGTGTATTGTTTACCTAGGGCAGCCGAAAGTTTAGCAACAAGATGTAATATTGTTGATCCAGATCGACAATCAACAACGTAAGTTTTAAGCTGTTGTAATTTGACCTTGATTCAATGCTTTATTTACCATCCATCAGATATGAAACGAGACTTGTAAAATATGCGTAAGTAATCACATTTTGAATATTTCAATCTAATCTAACAATATCGCTTTAGTCAGAGAGGATTTAGAATTGGAGTGGCAGGGTATGATCCAAACAAGGTGAGACATCCAGCTCTCAAAGACTCTCGTTACTTGAGAGATGTTTATTATTACTATTATCATTCAAGCGGTGTTGACGACTCTGCTAACATGAAAAAAGTTACAGGACTTGCAAGAATTTTAATGATACTCCAGGGCTATATTCATTGCCGTCAAAAGAATCGTGCATTGTGGAGTGTTGGTGGAGGAAGTACAATTGAAAAAACAGAACGATTATTACAACCTTCAAAACTTCATGATTATGAAGAACTGAATTATTCTTCCAACTCTTACCTAAATGCGTCAACTTTGTACAATCACATTTCAGGAAGATTATGGTGGGCAAAACATGTCTTGCACAGAAAACCTTTCTTTGATTATGCTCTCAATGACATTAACAAAATTTTACATCCTTCGAAACAGAGAAGTACACTCCCTCGTAAGATCAATTGGATCACTGTGGAACCTGGACGTCAATTCGTTGGAAGCTTTCATCCAGAGACTCGAAATTTCTTCAAAGACGCCTATTTAAATCCTAAAGGAGAGCAGAAAAGAAAGTACAAATATCAATGGCAGAGAAAATATGGCCAGGACGGAAAGTTTGACGCTAAAACCAGTACGGCTTTGGAAAAACAATATCGTCGATTCTTAAAATCTGGAAATGAGGCTGATCGATTATTTTCAGTCTCCCCTGACATGCACATTGATTTTCAAACCAGATGTATTTATGACAAGCGTGGTGTTTACGTTGCGTCGGTGTACCGAGAAAAAATTGAGAGCTCTGTCAAGGTTGTGAAAAGAGTGCCCAAAATTTCCTTCGAAAGTCACAATGATCTCTTGCACGAAGACAATGAAAATGATTGGGAAACCATTGATTCGGATAGCGACTCTGAGAAAAGCTTGGATTAATTTCATGCAAAATGACTCTTAATTTTATTGAGATAATCAGCTAACCAGGACGAATTCACGAGCTTTAAGAAGGATGTGATAAATTATTCACATTATTTCACATCTTGTTGTGAACAGTAGTGGTTTTTTGTTAGTTCTTTTGATATTTTTCCAAGAAGGGTGAAATCACAGCATTGCCATTTCCTTCAATATCCAAAATTGCTCTTCGACAACCATCCGCTTGTTCCCACTGATTCAATTCATGATAAATTCTCATCAAGTACACAAATGAAAAATAGAGAGCTGGATAATCGGTGTGACCAGTGCCTCCTTTCTCAATACCCATTTGATTATCAATTAAATTGAGAGTCAAAAAGACAGATTTTGCTTCTTCGAGTTGATTCAACATTAAATAAAAACGTCCAAGACCAATAAATCCAACATAGGATTGATCGGGTTGAAGTTGTAAATCTCTAAATTTGGTGATCCATTCTTGTGAGAGTTTGATTTGTAATTCTGGATCATTCAAATGTTGAAAAGTTTCACGAAGTGACTCAAAAAGGTGTTCCAACTTTTCGTAAAAGTGAATCATAGTTTTTGCATTTGGGGCCAATAACATGCAATTGATATGTTGAATAAGAGTGTCGAAGATGGGTTGATTGTTTTGAAGAATTGCATCTTTTGTTGCTGATTTTTGAAGTAATGTTGAAAGATCTTTGATGGCAGAGATTTCCTTGCACTGCCACTTGTCAAATTCATTTCGTTTTTGTGGAAGATTTTTAGCATCTTCGAACAGTACGGACTCGTCACGATTGTGTGGTTTGTGACTGCTTCCCCTCGAAACTTTTCCATCTAATTTAATATCGGAAGGAATTTGCCAATAAAAACATGACTTGATAAAAGTGTGAAAACAATTTACACCTCTCCATGAAACATGTTCATTTTGTATGAAAGGATTCATCATCATTGAACGCTTCCAAGACAATGATTTTGAAAAAACTTTGCAAGCTACAGAGTTGAGCATTTTTGTTTTGGATCGAAGCGTTCAAAAAAGCGGATTCTTTTATTCGTGATTCTCAAATAATATCGGCAAAAGGAAATGAGATGACGACAAAAACATTATCTTGGTGGAGGAATTGGAGAGAGGTTATGAGATTTGGAGGAATTAATAATATAAGGATCTTGTGTGACGTTTCGTGAATGAACTTATGTACATATGGATGAAGAGAGAGAATTGAATGGCATGGTTGTTAAATCTGTTCACAGGATGTCGTGCATGTGAACATTGATGGTTGAATCTGTACACAGAAAGGTGACGAGGATGAACTCTTGTGGTTGCTTGAGGAGCGAGTGAGAGGATAATTTGTCATCTATTCATTCACCACCAACATTACTTTCGAGTGTAGTATTCAGAAGTATTGTTGCCACTATTTCCTGCATTTTGGTAATTTGGTGTGCTTCTGCCTGATGTTTGTTTTGGTTTTCCATTCGAAAAGCTATCTAACTCTGCGTCATTTCCAATGGGTCTATAACTTAAGGTTGATCTTGGTTGATTTACAGATGGTGTCGATGGCTTCATGAATGTTCCACTCATCTTTCGTTGTTTTAAATGTTCACTAATGAGCTTTTTAACTTTGATTTTGTCATTGTAAAATCCAATCGTGCTCACTATTTTTTTCTTTCCAGATTTTAAGTCAACAATAAAGGGTAATAACTGCTCAATGAACACAATCTTGGCATTCGAAAAATGTATGGCCTCAATAAACGCCAGTGCTTGATCTGTGTCAATACAGACGTTATTCTGTGTCAAGTATTCAACAATATAATTTGCCTTCTCATCATCAAAGTCAATTTCATTTTTAATATGGTCAATCATGGTTTGGAATTGTTCTTGAGACAACCCAATGACCATTTCCGAACTCTCGCAAGTATCGTCTGTTGCTGTATCCATAACATCTGAATGTGAGGCTGTATTCGGAGAAGGATTAGACAATTGACTGAAAGGTAACTCACTTCTCTCATCAGCATTTGTGACAAAACAACAACAAATATAATCCAAAATTTTCAAATTAACCATTTCAACTATTACTGATGTTTCTAATAAATAAAAATAAAATTCAATTTTGCTTGTTCCGAGTTGTTTTTCGGATGATTACCCGACTCAATTATTATTGATGATGTTGTTGATGATGATGAGGAATGACTATGAAGAATGTTCAAAACCGACAAATTTTGACTCTCTCGCAACAAAAGAAAATGAATTTCGCAAAGATCACGTTTGAGAATTTTTTTGTGTTCGTTAAAAAAAAATCCAAAACAAAGCCTTTTCGTGACTCCCTTTCGAAAGGGAGTTCCGATTCCAGCGTTTTCTCTCGAGTTTATATCTATTCGAAAAGAAGAAGAAAAGTAGGAAGACGGCCATCGTTTCAACAAGTGAGGATGCATAGGAAGAAGGATTCATCTCAATTTTAAACCTCTCCCGCCAGACCAAATTTCCCTCCAAAACAAATTACAAAATATAACAGAAAAAAAATGCAAGAACAAGAATCGAGAAGGGCAGGAGGCTTCTCATCTTTTTATTATTCGGAAGGAGGCTCTAACAACAACACGAACTCGAATCATCAAGAGAATGGAGGAACTTCACAATTGAGTGGATCTTATCATGGAAGAGGATTAAGAATTTCGGGAATTTCATATTTTACTCCTGTATCAGCTGCAACAAGTCAAACACCAATGACATGTTCATCGGAGCCATATTCCTACACTTATGATCCAGTAAGGGGAGGATTTTTGTCAACAAACGAAGCACGTGATGGATGTGGATTAGGAAGTGGTGCCTATACAGCAGCTATGAATCGATTGGGAGAACAAACACAATGGAAACGACAAACAGAATCAGAGGCCAATTGTTGTTCGAGATGCAGTGCATGCTCATCTTCCAAGGACACTCCAAAATGGCAGTTGTCACGAGAAGAAATAGAACTAAAAAACAATGCAGTTCAAGGACGGGATTTATTGGAAAGGTATAAGATTCAAGATGAAAAGCAATTTCGGCCGTACTCTCCCGATACTAAATCGTTGCTTTCAGGATTAGTGGGATACAAGGGTGAATCTATTGACACTTCAAGACCTAGTTACAAGTCATACCGATCTTCTGAATTCACGAAAATTGACACAGCTCCTTATGAGAAGCAATTCGACACCGATAAAGAAAATAATCAAGGTTCATATTTTCATCAACATAACACCTACCCAAAAAGCAAAAAACCATACGAAACACATACCATATACATGAATACCAATCCAATTTCTATCAAAAGTGTCACCCTTAATTCAAAATACGATCCTGCAGCAAGGTATGAACGAAATCCTGATGAACCAAATAATTTCTTCAAGAGAGTACGAATGGGCCGACTATATGCAGACAAAACCCCTTGGGAATATTATCTGCACTATGACGAGAATGATCACGCTCGAGACTCGTACCAAACATTAAAAACAAGAATGGACGAGTACAATTCCAAAATACAAAGTAAGGAAAACAGAAAAAACCAGATTGTCATGGACACGGACGAGTTTCGAAAGATGGTTGATAATTTAACAAAGAAAAATGTTTCATCACAAGAGACTCAAACTTCTGAAGATTTGGGAGAGAATAACATGGATGTTCCCACGAAATCCAGTTTACCATCGCCAGTGGTGATTCCCTCAGCAATGAACGCTCAAACAATGGTCATGGAAGAGGAGCTCACAAGTTCAACTGCAGGGTCATTCTCAAAAGGTTCTCTCCCCAAACAGAAAAACAAAAAGAAAAAAGAAAGCAAGAAGAATAATTATTCCTCAACCACAACAAGGTCTGACCTTGTTTCCTCACCTGGTTGTTCAATAACCACTGCAACGAACCGACGAAAATCACCTTCAACTGCGCCACCAACCTCCACTCCCACCTCACGACTGAATCAGCTAAGCGACGCAGAGATTCCCAAATCCAAACATCCACGTGTGATCACTGCAAAATCCTCTCACTCCAAGAAATCCAAACAGGACTTGACAAAGAAATCGGATGGTAAAACCAAGACCCTCACAAAGCCTGAAAGAATTAACACAACCAGTAGCTATTATTCAAATTGTTCTTCCTCTTCGTCGATCAATTCAAAGTCCACCAGGAGCTCTCTGATAACGGAAGTTCCCCCAACAAAGAATCATGGAAGAAAGAATCCTGTCTCATCGAGTTCAGACAATCGCTTCATGAAATCCATGAAACGAATACAAAGTGCTAAAAAGAAAGCAGAAACAGTTGACAAGTATATCCATTTGCTTGCATCTCCAGAAAAACAACTAGTAAGGCAAAGAATGGATAGCAGCAGTAGACATTCATCTCCATCTTCAAAATCTACAAAATCCGTTTGTTCTTCTTCAATGACAACAACATCTGCACGTTTAAATGACGATCTAAATTCAAGCCAATTTTCAAAAGAATATGACGAAATTTGTTCAGTACTACCTTCAACAGTTTCAACCGCAGTTGCCACATCTAAGACAGTTCAGAAATGTTTCGATGATGTTCTAAAGTATTTTGAAAAACACAAGTTTGATTCTGCACTTAAAGAAAATGCGTCAGATTTGGAAGATGTCACCCTCTCTGAATTTAGTGAAGACACAGACATTTTAGCGAAATATCATTCCAGTGACTATGAAGACCAAGAGGAAGGCGAAGCTTTAGAGGATATTAGCGAAATTTCAGAGGACGACAGCTATGACGAATTCACTCAAGACACTGAAAACTTAATGTTAAATGCAAGCAGTTTGTCCATATCGTCGAATTGTTCGATCGACACAATTTCAATGTCTTCCTCAAGAGATGATCTTTCTCTTGTTATTTCAAGAAACTTGTGAAGAGAACAAAGGCGAAGCACACAATTACCACATTCGTATTAAAAATCCCAGAATGCACCTCCGGATGCTGTCAAATGTCTGAATTTCAAAAACAAATACACCCAAAACAATTTTTTGTTCCTCCTTACTCACATGCTGGAGAATGACTCCTCTGTGCCATCATCCTCCGTCATCATCATCACAGGATGAAATGTCTCAGTCCAACCCAACGACGACCACTCGTCGAACGAACTTTTCCTTTCACAACAACATGCCAATAACATTACCATTCACTCCTTTTCCTCTTGTTGTGAATATTGTCCATCATCATCATTCCTTTCCTTCTTCAAAGCAATCCTTTCAACTTCCTTTCATCGTCGAGCTTTCGAGAAACAACAAATTCTCCAAAATGATGCCTTCTTCTTCTTCTTCTCTCTTTCTGAGGATTATTGTGATGTCATTGTGGTTGACACTTTTTCTCCTGAGAACTCCTCTCAACAAGAACATCCTTGCAATGTCTGTTACAGCTTCTTTCCTTCCAATCACCGCTACCATCACTACCACCACTACCATAACCAACACTATTGCAACTACAAGCGACATCACTGCCACCACCACAACGACAAATTCATCATCTTCTTTCTCATCTTCTTCTGGGTTATCTTATTGTGCCATTGCCAATACCTCTCTCATTCCGCTCACTGTCAATATCCTTCGAGAACAAGAACAAGAAGGAATTCAATGTCCTTTTGGGTTCTTTAAACGATTGGTGATCAAAAACTCCAACACGTTGAGCTTTGAATGTGTGAGTGTGATGGACATGTTGAACGAAATTGTCGATCGTAAAGATTGTGAATTCGTGTCATCATCGATCGATTCAAACAATGATGAACTTGACACAGAAGGACCCAGTACAGATCTTAGAAATTGTGTCTTTGACTTTCTTCATTGCTCTCCACGAACTCGGAAATGTACCTTTACGAATACAAGAGCACAAGGAGATGCTTGTGTGGATCGATATTCGTGTGTGGGGTCGATTCAAAAAGTCACTACCAATTGCTATGAAGGAAAATGTACAACCATGAAGGCAAATCCTTCTCTCCCGGTTGGCGCTCCATGTTTTCCTTTTGTGACAAGTGACAGTGGTGTCTCCTCAATGACAGATATGACATCTGAGAGTCGCTCTTTTATTCATGTTTTGAATAATACGTATGATACTTGTGTTCAGAATGCTATTTGTACCTTATCAAATGGAACTCATTATCATTGCATTCGATTACAAACAAAACGTGCTGTGATTTCTGAAACGTGTGGAGAATCTCAAAAATTCTCCAACGTTCAAGATATGAGTTACAAAATGTGTCAAAGTGGCACTTCTTGTGAACCACTCCAACAACAGCAACAACAACAAACATCTCCATTTTCAAGAATCGCTACCACTGCCACAACCTCCATTTCGAAAAAAGTGTGTATTCCTTATTTGCTAACCAATGATTTTTCCGACCGTTTTCGATTTCCTTTCAATTCATTGTTAATGCAGCAAGAATGTCCGTTGAATTACAAAATGACTTCTACCTATATGGGTGAAAGAAACCTGTGTGTGAAAAATGGAAGTGAAATTTGTTTAAATGACAACACTTGTGGTGGCTTTGACTCGTTGAACATAAAAGCGAGTTATTCCTTTAAAAGTGTTCCTTATCCTTCGTATTTTAGACAACATTTCATGAATAAGTTCACTAAATGTGATGATCAAAAGAAGAAGTGCATTCGAATATTTGGAAAGGAAAATGGAGTTTCATGTGGCGATCATTCAGAATGTCGTTCAACGTATTGTAACGCAGCAAACGGTATTTGTTCTGAATTGCCAAAGGAAGTACCTTGTGGGCCAAGTGTCACAAATCCATCCATTTCGAAATGTCCTGGATATTCGCATTGTGTTTGTGCCAACTCCACTCAAGGAGTTTGTGTGAATTTATGTTTTGCAGAATTGTCAGATTTACACACATGTGGCTATAATTACGGAATATTTGGAGAACACAGTCCAATTTCAAAAATGGAACAATCCCTAATCCCATTCATAGATCAGGCATCTTCTTTATTCTCTCTTGAAAATGGAAAATGCAAAGATTACTTGAACAATTATTATGAATGTATGAAATCTGTTCAACAATCATTGAATTTAGAGACACTTTCACTCTCAAATATCAGCCATTCAATATCACCATCTGCTCCTGAAGTGAACGATCGAGTGTTTAATGATCTTTACAAAGCATATAGTAGTGTTTCACCGCCCCTCATTTCTGTTCAAATGAATGAAAGCTACAAACCTGCAACTCCACTCGAACCCATTCAACTTAATATTGTAGACATGTTGAAAGATTACTCTTCATTGATGAAAAAATCGAACTTTTACAAGAATGTCAAAGTATCGAATCAAGTGGTGATTCTCACAATGGAACGAATGGTTGGATTAATTCCTCGATACAAATCTAAAACTATTGATTTCAGTAATATTAACGCCTGTGGCTGTTGTACTTCGAACATGACAGAATACCTGGAGGCGTCTATTGAGGGAGGAATTTTATTGATCTCTCAATCCAGAAATTCATCCTTGTATTTGAATACTGTGGATTTGAGTATCAAAATTACAGGATTTGAATCCATTATGGGACATGATTCGTTTTTAAATCGAAATTGGTTTGAACAATGTGACGTCATTTTGGCTCCTCCTCAAGATATCGATCTTATTACTCTCTCCATCAAAAATAACATGTTGATATTGGATCAAAATTCAACCACAGGTGCATATTCCATTCAAGAGCTTGAACAAAAAGCCATGTCAGATTTATTCATGGTTTTCACATCAAATGTACCATCAAAAGTATTGACCATTCCAAGAGATGTGAGAAATGCAGCCATGATCAATTCACAATTATTGGACAAGGTGTTGACGGCAGTCGGCTCTGTCATGATTCAAAATTACAATAATTTCATGCAATTGATGAACAACAACACTAATTTCACAGATTGTTCCATGTTCAATTCCACATTTACTGTGAAGGACTATCACACAACAATTTTCTCTTATCCACTCGTTTTTGATTTTAACTATCCAATGCCCATTTCTTCATCATCGTTTATTATTGAATATGATTCGTGGTTGGCAATGAATATCACGAACCAATATGGACTTTTCTCACAAAATGCACTTTCCATGATGGACAAACTTGTAGATCCCAATTGTTACAGTAGTTACAACTCGTATTTGGGTGTTTTTCACTACAATGACGTTTCTCAATTTTGGGATTTGGTTTTGAAAGATTTCATGTTGTGGACGGTTATTGTGTCTTGTTTGTTCTTTTATGTGTTCTTAATTGGCATGTTTAGAAAGAATATAGCCATGCAAAGAAGATTATTTGGACCATATATTGCACCATTCTGCATCCTAATTATTAGCTTAATGTACATTGAGCCCATATTAATGTCACTTTTCAAAAATGTTGGAAAGAATATCATTCCTCTCATTCCCATTCCAAACTTTTTCATGTCCCTTCTGAGTGCTTCCTATATTGTTATTTCCATTCGATTTTATTATTTGAGAAATCTCTATCAAATTCTAAAACATTTTCATGTCAGCATGACTATTTTGAGGATTTTAAAACGATTGGCTCATCCTTTCATCATTTTTCTGATCGTCATGTTCACAGCAATGATTATGTTTGCAATTTGGTTTGGAATCTTTTATGGAGTTTTACATAATATCATTATTGAGAAATTTGGTAGATTTGAATGGACACTTCAATTTGATGCTTCCTTATTGGCGTTAACCACTCAATTTGGATTTTTGAGTTTAATTTCCATCCTTTGTTTGGTATATGATGGTATTTCTAATAGGAGAAAGATTAGAAAACATGTAAGTGATCATTTTCAAGCAATCATTATGTGATTTTTAAACTCTAACCATGAATTTCTCAAAATAGGGATTTAGTTATTATTACATGTTTGACGATCCATTTCATTTGAGAGTGGATATTATTTCACAACTCATGATACTATTGACGTCAATTCTCGTCGTGTTGGATATTTTTGTTTGGAAGACTCTTGTCATCAACAGAATTGGAATTGCATTATTCTTTCTTTGTTCTCTAATGATTTTTGGAGGAAATATCATGCTTCTTGAAATTGTTTCATTGTTGAAAAACAAGAAATGGATGAAAACCGCATGCTGTTATGAACCAGGTCCAGAGGAAGTCACAGATATAGAAAAAGAATGGTATGAACACATGAAGGACATAAATTTCAGAGAATTACAAGAGGTAAGTCACTTGCTCTTGTTCTTTTCACATTTTACAATTTTCCTTTTTTAGGCATTTGCAATCAACTTCCATTCCGCAGAAAATCTATACTTTTATGAATTATTAGAAAAACTTGAAAAGAAACACCAAATCACATTCAATGATTTCCAACAATTAGGAAACATCATTGATTGTGTCAATCTTTCTGCCGACTCTCAAAATTTATATCAACAACTGGCCACACATTTAACCAATAATCCAAATGAAACAATTCCCTTCCATCAATTAGAACCAATCAAAATTGAAGTGGTGGTCCAAAACATTCTTCCATCCATTTTCATGCCACTCAAACATAAAAAGGAATATTTGAAATGGAAACATGTGACCTTATTGCAGAAGGAAGCAAGTGTGGTAGATGTCAAGAGTTTTGAATGTTGAATGAACGAAAAAAGAATTCGGAAAAGAAGAGGAAAAAAAAACGGATTCCAAAAATAAATTGTTTACAAAAATTGCCAACACAAAATGAATTTAATGACATCATCAATAGCGTCATCAGTTCTTTTTATTCAATTTCTTCATTCTTATGAGAGAGAGAAATAAATGTTCGTGCTGGAGGATACCTTCCACATCCAACATTCAACAAAAAAACACATTTCGTCTGGACACTTACAGATTCGTCGATTCTCATCCATTCCGATCATTTTTCTCAACAATATCATCATCATGGGTCAATTACTTTCCAACCTCTTTCCTTCCTTGTTTGGAGATTTAAATGCTAAAATTTTAATGCTTGGTTTGGACGCTGCTGGTAAAACAGCAACACTCTATAAACTTCATTTGGATGAAGATGTCACGACCATTCCCACTGTTGGATTCAATGTTGAAACAGTGCAATATCGAAATGTGAGAATGACGATTTTTGATTTGGGAGGACAATACAAGATTCGACAATTATGGAGACATTATTATCAGAATAATGATGCTATTATTTTTATTGTCGATTCTGCAGATAGAGATCGTATGGAGGAAGCTCGTGAGACATTGCATCAAGTAGTGCAGAGTCCAGAATTGGAAAATGTGAAATTACTCGTTTTGGCAAATAAGCAAGATTTACCTCAAGCCTTGTCTGCAAGCCAAGTTGCTAAGGAATTAGATTTGAAGAGCATAAAACAAGAGTGGTTCATACAACCTTGCTCGGCTCGAACTGGAAAAGGATTGTATGAAGGATTTGACTGGTTGTCAGGAAAATTGAAGTAACATGTCTTTCCAAAATTGTGAATTTTGGTAATTGCGAAAATACGACAGAGTTTGGATTCTGCTGTGATGCTGTTGGAAGGCAGTGTCAACAACACCCTGATCATCAAAAGATGTAAAACCGATTAAAGTCAAGTTGTCATATCTTTCTGGAATGAATCATTGGTTCAAGAATGAATTGTGAGTCCAATCAACTATTTATTTCGATATTTCGCTAGGCAAAGCATCACCCACTCTTACTCGGAATTGTTCAGAAGGAGAGTGTTTCACACGATTGTGGACATCTCCATAGGAACTATCTGTGACGCTGAAGGTGCTGGAGGCAGGTTGTTTGAACTCGACGATAAAGTGGAAATCTTTCACCTTGATGTGCATAAATTCAATGCACCCCTTGGAAACAAAGTCAGACATTTCGATGGTATTTGTAGATTTTGAGGTCTTGGGTTCAATATAAAGGAAAGCTTTTGGAGGTGAACCAGAATTAAATAGTAGGAATGTCATTATTCTGTCAATAACCTTAAAGTTATTTTCTGTTTGCAGTAAAGTTGGTAAATCTGGTTTCAACAACAAAAATTTAAGAGCGGTAAATATGATGAATGTATACAATGATCCAGCTGTCACCATCTTTCCATCAATATTTTCATTGTTATCATAATAGGGTTTCCACAACTTGACTGCAAATAATTCTTCCACTTCTTGGAATTTGTTTTCATACCACTCTCTACAACAAAAAGGTAGAGGTTTTAAGAACAAGGGATTTTGGGGTTCCACATCTGAGGTCAATAAGCTTTGTGGAAAAGCGGAAATAGAGGCCATGTGCTGAGATGACATGGACGTGATGAGGCAATAATTGATACATTCTGGAGCATTGTGAAGCAAATAGTGGAAAGCTTTGAATTTGTGCTCTCTTGAGGCCTTCAATGTTGGATTGGTCTCTTCTTTCTTTTTAGCGGCTATTGCATCGCTCAGAACACCAGTCAAACGGAAGTATTTACACATGTCGCTCAAGCAAAGGTAATTAAGTTGAACATTCAGAGATGCGTCTTTTAGAGGAGATTTCTCAAAGATGGATGTAACAATTTCTCGCAATTCGTTCAATTCTTGACTAGAGAGCGCGTCCAATTGGCCACACAACTCAAATGCTAAAGGTCCTCTTCTTGAATATGCTTTTTCAAAGAATGCAAGATCATCCTTGTCCTTACTTGTTGCCTCCTTCAATAAAATGTTATTAGACTCTCTAAATGCCTCCAACTTCTTGTTCAATCTCATGTAGCACAGTACAATGTTAGAGATGACTCTAGCCACATTGGGAAAGTGAGACAATGAAACTCGGTATTGCTCCAGGGCCTCTTCATATTTCTTCTCCTTAAAAAGTTCGTTACCATGATCGACATGCATGTTGTTATAGTCAAATTCAACAAACTCATCTCCATTAATGAATAATTTCAATGGTTTTGAAACAGTAATGTTCTGGAATACATTAAACACATTAGCGGAGAGAGGTACAATCTTTTGGCGTTCACCCAATGTTCGCTTAAAACACACAGACCGAATCGGAATGTTTGTATGTTCGGAAAGCAATGTGATAAACTTTTTGAGATCACTCTTTGCAGTGATGAGGAATTGATTGCCTGCACCTGTTTCATAATTCTGTTCTGCCAATGTATTCGCGGAAGGAGCGGATGGTGCTTTGCAAGAGTATGGACTTGTCTTGTCCAGATATAAATTAATCATGAAACAGGAAACTTGGTTGTCTGAAAACGATTTTGAGTTGATACAAACCAAATGTCGATACTTGACCACATCCGATACTAAGATGGTCTTCTTCTCTTTGGTTTGTTGAGTATTTACAGAAGAAGGAGTACCATTTTGATGATGATCAACCACACCATTGGCTGGAGCCGAGGAACCAACATTTTCTGGATCATCATCATCCATAATACTACCAGCAGAACCTCTGCTCCCTACTTGTTGTACTCTCAATGGAGAAGATGCAGGGAGGTACGGAGCACCTTCGTTGTTTGAATTATTATGATTGCTGTCTGAGTTTTGCAAGACGGGCATTCTTGTTGCGGATTGGTTGGTTATTATAAAATTTCTATTCGGATGTCTTGTCGTCGTGGCGTGATCTGTTGCTGATGGTGCTTCTTCTTCGTGATGATGAAGTTGCTCCTCCGTACGATGGCTTGTGGTGGAAGAAGAAGATGAACCTTCACGTCGTCTTTGTCGACTCTTGGGAGAGAATTTTTTTAAAAGGTAAGGCTCCAAATTCGATTCGTCGTGAGAATTCTTGAAAGGACGAAGATCGTTATCACCACCATCATCACTATAATGGTGTTGCTCAATAAAAGGATGGTCCTTGGTGTACAAGTCACTTGAGAGAGGACTGTATGTTCGTTGGGGTCGACGTGACCAACCAGTGTGTTCGTAGTGATCTTGAATGAAAGAGTCTTCGAATTCTTCTTCTTGTTGATGAATTTCATCAAAGGAATATAAACGAGTGGAGTAAGAGGTATTATTGGTGGTGGTGTAATAGGGAGTTTCATGGTGATGGACTGGCTCATATTCGTCGTCATGATCATCTCCATGATGTGAAGAAATGTGCATTCCCATAATAGGAAGAGTGGTCTCTCTGAGGTTAAACGAAGAAGTAGCAGAGCAATAATAGGATCCCTCAGGTGGATAAATGTCAACATAATCATTGTGAATGTTTTTGGCATTTTGCATTGAGGAAGAATTATTTTGATTTTCCGCAACAGATGTGGGAGATCTGGGTAAAGTATCGAGAGTTGATGATGCTCCCTCCACCACAAAAGGAGGAATAAAGTTAGGTGTGTCGTTGTTTCCATTCACATCATGCGACGGTTGAGGAAAATCTTGATTTTCAATTTCATGATTCGATTTGACTTTCTTAAGAGGAGACTCTGCACTCAATGAGGAAGTAAAATTATTACTATCTGATGTTGATGACATGGCTTCAGTTGAGGGAGTCTTCATCGAGTAATTTTGCAAATTATCACTACTGTTTCCATTAGCAGAATTATTAGTAATTGCTACTGTTGTTTGAAGAGAAGCTTTATCGCCATTCAAAATTATCTTTTTTTCGATATTAGAGTAATTACTCTTTTCCAATCCACAAGGTGTTACATTTTCTTCGTCTTCTTCAGTAGTTTTACGTGTACGTTTTGACATTCTCAATACAACTTCCGATCAGAGACTCTCGACAGCAATCGGAATGTACGTTTAAACTTTTCTCTCTCCGAATGTAAATATCCAAATTGATATTCAGGAAAAACAAATACCTCTTTCAACCACAACAGTCGATGATGAGTAAAAATCCACAAATCCTCGAACAGTAGGCTTGAACCCATGAACCATAGAAAAAGGTTCGGAATAAATTGCAACGGAGAGTTGGCTGCCTATTTTTACGTATTTTTTTCGAATTTCTTTTTAATGGAAGAACGAACAAGTTTCTGCTGTTGGCAACAGTAGCAATGCAATATTGAAAGTCAACCAACAATTCTCTCCTTCATAAAGTTTAACTCTCTATTTGCCAACATAAACATGTTTCCCTCCATAATCTTCTTTTCCTTTGTCCCTTTTTTCAACTGGTTTCTTTCTTGCTCTTTAGGTGTGTTGTTGTTGCTCTTCTGAAAGGTAAAATTATTCGCGAGTGACAGCAAGCACAATTCAACGCCAAAGGATGAGAGGTGTCTCAAGAGATGACGTTCTTCTAATGAAACTCGTAAAAAATTGTCTGTTCACATGTCGTTCTTAAAGCAACTCAAAGCGGTTTTGAACTCTCAATAATATTAAAAATTATCAAGTACGCAGAAGTTTGCACCCAGTCTAAGAAATGTTTATAACTGTGGCCACACCTGCTGCTTCCTAATCTATTTTAGCCACTAACCTCATTCAACTATCTTTCGCCTCAACATTTGCCTTCTCACCAGTTTTATTATTTCTTTATCTACTTTGCCAATAACGCGGAAGCCAGCAATTAAGATTTGTTTCGAGGTGATGTGGATGTTGTAAAAGAACTCGATAAGTTTTTTTTCGTGAATTAACTGGACTTCAGTCAACTTATTCGTCATTTTACAATAAGTACATTGGGCGCGATTTGCGACCCCCAAGAATATAAGTTCGGAAGCTAAGGTAATTCAAGTAAGGACAAAAAAAAATTACCAAACGGCAAGAAAATGAAAAATCAATCCTCAAAGGCTTCTTCATCCTCACAAACCAACAAAGCGACTCTATATAACCTGGAAAACAGACAAAGAGCAACAATTAACGTTCTTCAAGAAAAGAAGAACAACCAAAATTTGTTCAAAATTGTTCCAGATGATGGAAGTGCTATTGATGGTAATTGCGAATATGCCACCAAAGCGGAATCCTCCCCTAACAGTGCTGGGGGAATTTCATTGAATGAGTTGAATTTAGTGCTCACGAATTATGCAAATGCAAAGAAAGAAGCAGAGAAAGCTCAAGCGGAAAGGAAAACGCTTCAAAGCGAAAACCAGGAGCTAAAGTCTTTGCTCAGAGAAATGAAAGAATAAATGGCAACAATGAAGAAGGAGAATGATGATAAGATCCAGGTCCTGCAAGATGAACTTGAGGCCATGAAAAAAAAGGCAGGTGGCTATGGAGAAGGAATATCATGCTGAGGTTGAGGCAGTGAAGAAGGAGCTCAGAGAATTAAAGGAAGACATGGACAACCTTAAAGTTGTCAATACTCTTTCTAAGGCTTTCGCTAAGTTGGCAAGAAAATTATTGGATCTTCTCAAGATTGAAAAACTAGAGCCAGAACCAGGCTTGAAATGGTGGGAGATTGTGTTACAAAAGTATTTTCCGAGCAATATGGATGTAGCTTTTGAAATTTCTAAATCCGACCTCAAAGACGTTTGGGAGAATTTTTCCAAGAGGACCAGAAGAATCGAGGTTGCTCATTCCACAAGCAATGAAGTAACTTTATGCGACTAGCTGTTGGTTAAATGGTTGTAAAGTGAAAATAAAGACTAAAAGAAAATTGTTATTCTTGTTTATTCATCATTGGATGAAGGTGTCGAAGCAGGCATTACATGTTTTGGTTTTTTGAACTTTTTAAAGAATTCCAAGAAGGACTTTTTCGATCCCAAAGGCGAACCCATTCGATTCTCTGATGTGTGATGATTAACATTCGAACTTGTACTCACAGAAGGCAAATTGGAATCACTCATCGACAATGCACTCAGAGAGCCATTTCCTGCTACATTCATCATCATTGAACTCGACGATGAAACAGTAGACAAGACAGAATAGGAAATTGTTGAATGATCACTTTCTTCTTGGTCAACGCCAGTTTGATAACAAACGGAAGAATCCATTTCTTTCCACTTTTTGAACGTTTCTTTCAATTTTTCAGAAAGAACGGAGAGAGCCCAATCGCTCTTGTCGTTGCTATTTTTTCTAGCTTGATGGACGAGGTCAATAATGGTGAAATGTTCTTGATTTCGAACATTGAGAGCAAAGTTAGAAATGGGTGGATGTGAACTTGAAGGAGAATCTAATAAGGAAGGTTTAAAAGTGTTTTCCATCCATGAGAGAATCCAACGCAAGCCATCGAATAGCCACATGAAATCATCCAATGGTGAGGAAGTGTTCATAATGACTGAAAGTGTCATGGAATGTAAAATGGTGTTTCCTTGCTTGTCCATATCAAATGTCATTGCTTCCAGTAAGTTCGGTGAGGACTGGTTCGGTCGTGGTGACCTTCCCTTATTAATTGTTGCTCCTAGTTTTGGAGAAATAGATTGTATACTAGAGCTCGAATTGGTATTTAGAGATAGGGAACTGTCAGAAAATTCGGACGGAGAGAAATGTGACACTGGCGTCGAGGAATTTGAAGACACCTGTTGATTGGAAAGCACCAAATAATGACACAGAGCCTTCATACATTCCAAATCATTCAACACAATGGCTTCATGCAGTAAATTTCGACCAAATGAATTCTTCAACAAGAGTGCCTTGTGGAAATGTTCATTTCCAAAAATAGATGGACCTTGTTGGAGAATTTCTTTAAAGAATTCTGCATGCATGGAAAGATTGGAATTCACTCTTCCTGAACTGTTGTGTTGATTGGATCTGAAATCTCTAAGACATGCGAATAAGGCATTTTCATCTCGTTGATTTCTCTTTAAAATTGTTTTTTGACTTTGTGAACCAATATATCGAACAAGTTTTAAATCTCGTTCTCTCATGGCAAAATGAAGAAGTGATTCACTGATACCAATGCCTAACCCAACGGTTACATTGAGTGTTGCTCCAAATAAGATCAATAAATCACACAATGCGTAATCTCTTTTTCTTAACGCAATGACAATTGGCTGATTTCCATGAGAATCTAAATGATAGTTCAATTGTTTTTCCTTCACTATAGGTTGACTCAATAAAAAGACAACACTTTCATGGTCAGCAATGGCCATGTCCATGTTTTGCAATCCTGAAGAGTTTTGGTTGGTCTGGGCTGGATCTAGAGCGTTGAGGGAATGATCCGAACAGTTGACATTTGAAAGGTCACTGGTCTTTGAACCCAAGCACGCGTAAAATAACGGAGTAGCATTATTCAAGTCGTGGAGAGACCATAAATGTTCTTGTCTGAGAAGACATTCTTTCGAGTGCTGACTTTGACATCTGGCATCGTTGAGGTGTGACTCTTCTTGTGAACTGTTTTGAAGGGAGGACAACAGAGAAAGGGAATTTGAGTTGTTAAGATGATGATGGGAGCACTTTTCATCACAACAACACGATTGCAACCAATGAAGAATATCCACCTTATTATATCGAGCTGCCAAATGCACCAACGAACAGTTCAGGCATTGAGGAAATATTAATTGATTAGTGACATATTCCACCACTTGAGGACCTGTCAGCCACTTTTGTGTTGTCAAATCTCCATGTTTTTGGTTTGTGAATTCACCATGATGCTGCTGTGAACCGGAAGCAATCAACGATGAAGAAGAAGCAGATGAAAAATATTTCTTTTTCAATATTCGACTCAATTGATTCAAAGAAGCTTGCAGAATCAAATCTAAATGTTCGGATGATTGTGATTTTCGTTTGGAACTCGTTGGATCGAGTGAATTGGATTGGAAATGGTCAAATAAGAGAGATTTATCGTACAACTTTTTAGGATGGTGCATGATGTGCTGTCAAATGTTATGCTGTCAAAGAGAATGATCGACTGATAACAGTTGAGTAATGTTGACGTTGTTGTTGTTGTTGAATATATTATTAGCAGAAATAGAAGAGGATCTGGAAGGATATCAAGCGAGTAGCTTCTCTATCTTGTAGAACAAAATGTTGCGTCTTTTTTCGAAGTGTTGATGTGATGCGCCAGCTGTCATGAGTACTGTTTAAGGATGATTTAATTCTGTAACAAATGAATGAGCAACTAAAATTGACTGGAATGAAGTCTTGTCTAGCGGATACAAACCACTTTTAATTCTTCACGTCGTGAATAACCGCCAAAGGCTTGGACGGTCCTATTTTGGATAAGACATTTCAATCGATTCTTGTGTTTTTGATGTTTCTTTAGGAACGATTGAAATTTCGGTCGATCGCTCATGAAATTGATGTCAAGATATTAGAAAGATATTTTGAGGAACGAATCCAAGAAATTGGTTTCATCTCTTTGAAAATTATTATTTGTGAATACATTTGAAAGCGTTGTATTGCTGCTGAAGAAGTTATTATTATTTGTGAATATTTTGTCATTTGAGAGGATTTAATCCTTGTTTCTAATAGAGAGATGACAATTTCAATGTGACACTTCTCTCGGGTGTTGATGTGATGCTGACATTGATGAGTTGAATCATCATCATCTCTATATTACTTATAACCATTATGAATGACTTATACCCAGGACTTGATATGAAGAGAGAGAACAAAAACAGACTGTTCTAGCTGTGATGTATTTGTGGTTGTCATGACCCTTTCAGGATGATGGTTTCGAACAAGGGTGTTTTGAGCACTGTGCATCAAAGTGTCAATTCTTTCTGCTTGCTTCATCATCCACCGATTGTAAAATTGTTCAATCACAAGGTGATTGTTCGATCATTAAAAATGTGTGGAAGAAGGCTTGACGAGGAGGATGATGAATCAAATTTTATTACTGTTGATGTTCATGGTTGAATGATTTATGTTACTATAGATGATGAAATAACGAGTCTCCTCCGAGATTGGGTTTGAAGAAACAAGATTAATTTTAGGAATGAATCGTTCCGCTCAAGGTCATTGATTTTAAAGTGGTTTCAGAAATATTCCTTTTATATATCTATCAGAACATCAAGGTGTGGCTGAATGAATGAAACAAAAAGCCATTGAATTCTGACCGTATATTTCGATCAAAGATTTATTTGGAACAATTCCTCCTACAAAAACACATCTTCTACAAGTCCTTCTTTCCGAATCATCATCATCCACCATACGATTCTTCTTCTTCAAGAATGTCCACAAGAGAAGTTGAATTAATTCGTAAAAACTGGGAACCCGTTTTAAGAGATATCTCCAAGCTTCAATCTCTCACGTTCTATGACAAGTTAATCAAAGCAGTTGGAAATGCTCAGATCGTCCTCATCGGAGAAGCCTCTCATGGTACTCATGAATTTTACAAACACCGAGCAGAGATTACAAAAAGACTGATTGAGGAAAAGGGATTTAATTGTGTGGCTGCAGAAGCGGATTTTCCAGACTGTTTTCAATTGAATCAGTACGTGAGAAATATCACACATGGTAGCAGTAGTGAGGAGGCCCTTTCAGGATTTAAGCGTTTTCCCACTTGGATGTGGCGAAACACTCCAACGAAGGAGTTTTTAGAATGGTTGTGTGAATATAATAAGAAATTCGAGAGCATCAAAGAGAAGGTTGGATTCTATGGACTTGATTTGTACAGCTCGGATCGAAGTATGCATGCAGTGTTGGAGTATTTGGATTCGACAGATCCTGAAGCTGCCATGCAAGCAAGAAAGGACTATGAATGTATGAGAAATTACATTGAGAATAAGCGTTCCTCTTCCTTCTTCTCCAAACTTAAAAAGGATTGCCAAGAGAAAGTCATGAAGGTCCTGCTTGATTTGCAGTCTCGTACGAGAGATTTCTTTGAAAATGACAAGTCAGTCTCTGAGGAAGATCGTTTGTTTTGTGCTGTCCAGAATGCACTTGTTGTGAAGAATGCTGAAAAGTATTATCGAGCCATGTTTCTCGATGGGAGTTGGAATATTAGAGATTCTCACTTTTTTGAAACACTTCAAGAAATTCTCAAGTATTATGAGAAGACTTATGAAAGGCAAGCAAAGGTAGTTATTTGGGCTCACAATTCACATGTAGGTGACGCTTCTCAAACCGACAAGATCAACCGTATTGGAAGAGAGATTAACATTGGAAGATTGTGCAGAGAGAATTTTCCTCTTCAAAAGGTATATATCATTGGATTTAGCACTTACACTGGGAGTGTCACAGCGGCCGATAATTGGAACGAAGATCCTCAGTACAAGAAGGTTAATCCAGGAATGAAAGGATCTATTGAGGAGTTATGTTTTAGGGCAACTCAACATCAAGGTGTCGACAACTTTTTATTGCTCTTTAGAGACAACAGCGCAACTGCAGCCTCTTCTGCCACAGGAGCGAGTGATATCGTGATTGACAAAGAATTGGTGGAAGCATTGGCCAAAACCAGAGAAGAGAGAGCGATTGGAGTGATTTATAGGCCACATACAGAACGGGCTTCGCACTATTTTGGTGCAAAAGTTTCTAAACAATTTGATGCCTTGATTCATTTCAATGTTACAAGAGCTGTACATCCATTAGACACTCAACATGAATGGGCAAAGAAAGAATTGGAGGAGACTTATCCATTTGGTCTCTAATTTATGAGGAGTGTATGTGAATCGCTTCGTTTAACTTTCCAAACCAATTAATTAAATTAAGGTAAACCTAATCGCACCAAGCTTGGTTTTATAAATTCCAGCAAAAACTTTATTACAGAGCCAAGTCAAATCTTTTTGGAGAGATGTGGAAAAGATGATCATTCTAAATTTTCTTCATTGTCGAGTAGAGGCGATACCACCGTTGAAGTGAGAGTGGACTGATTTGACGATGTTGCAAGCTGCAACTGTTTCCTTTCCTTCTTTAGAGCGAGGTTGTACTGTTTAAGTTGTTTCACAAATTCTGGCATTGGCATCACCAGCGATCGCTTCTCTCTGACATATTTTAAACTTTCTGACAATGTCCATGAATTCTTTTTCATCAGATACATGATGACAATACTGGCACTCCTATTGATTCCAACATGACAGTGAATCAACAATTTTCTTTTCCCCTTTGATTGATCGAGTGCCTCTTCAATAAATGGTAAACACTCATTGAATGTTCCAATCAGATCAGTATTTTGAGTTTCCTTCATTTTGACATGCTTTGTGACAAACATGTGACTGGCTTCAATGTATGAATTTTCGTCTGATCCTATATCAGGGACTTTTTCATAAGATCTGTCATGAAATCTTGGATTAAACTCGCTTGCAATGGTAAGAATATGAGTAATTCCAAGATTTTTGATAGTAGAATAGTGTGACGACGCTTGCTTACATCCTAAATAAAGGTTTTCTTCAACCATATCAGGTACCTTGAAACTATTCTCAGAAATATCCACTTGCTTTTCAAGAAGCCATTTTCTTAATGGTGTGTCTGTTTCAATATGCTCAGATAATTGTTTGGAATTTTGTTTAGCCTCTAAATATTTCAATGAGGTCAAATTCATGATGACATTGTCATCCAAGTCTACAATTTCGTTGTATTTCAGATAGAGATGTGTAAGTTTAGAAAGTTGTCCCAATTCGTCCGGAATCTTTCTGATAAAGTTACTTGACAAGTCTAAACATGTGATATTTGCACACCGAGTAAAGAAGCTAGCTGGGACCTCCATGATTCCATGATTAGCAATCTCCACCGTTTCAAGATGAGGCAAATCGATGGTATTGCTGCTTGAAAGTGGAAAATGAGAAATGCTTCGGGCATTATTCGATACTTTGTAAGTTCGTAGGGTGGGGAAGCAATCAATGAAAGGGATGGAGGTAAAGTTATTACTCGAAACAATCAGCTCTTCCAAAGCTTGACAATATGAATGTGGAGATGAAGAGTTTTGTTCTCCAAACACCAATACTTTTTCCAAATCTCCGCTAAACATGTTGTTCTGTACATTAAAATATGTCAACGTTGAAGGCACCCAAACCAAATCATCTTGAATTTTGTTATTTTCCAAGTTCACTATTCTCAAGTTGGGAAAAACCTTAAAATTAAAACCCTGTAAAAAGTTGTTGGACAAATCTAAATCTTCAATATTGTGGAATACTTCAAAATTACATGTATCAATTTTCCCCTTAATTAAGTTATTGCCAGCCTTTAAGCACTTGAGTTTCGGTAAGGTTTTCAAAATTCGAGGTAAATCTTGATCTAAATTTAACCTACAGTGGTTGACTGATAACTTTGTAATGTTAAACTTGTGTCTAAAATTGTAAAGGTCTGGGAAACCGCGAAGAAGCGAGTCATCAATTTCTTGATCCTCAGAAAACTTTTCCTTCTCGTTCTTTGACAACATGATCACCTTTTGTACAATTTGTTGATTTCTATGCTGAACGCTTCCAGCACCAAATGGATTGCGATCAAAAATGAACGTTCGTAGACTGTCAATGCTAATTATATTGGAAGGAAAAGTCACTAGTTTGCAATCCACCATCTCTACATGCTCCAAATTCGGTAAATTGTCTCTACAGACTCTTGATAAGTCTGCTTCAAAATCAAATCCTTTTTCAGCATGTTCTGATAACATGCTTTTAAATTCTTTTTTCGAAACATCTTGATGATGGGCTGCAGATTTGTCTGCCATTGGGTTCATTTGTACGTTCTTGTTTAACTTTAAAATTCTGAGATTTCTTAATTTAAGAGTGAGTGGGAACGTTTTAAACAAATTACTTGAAAGATCCAGTTCTGAAAGTGAGGGATCTGCAACTCCTGCCTCAAAATACCGTACGTTAGTATTGTAAGGATTTGAATGTTTTAAAGAAAACACCTTTTCGTCAGGACTGGTGCTTTGGCTCGGCGACCAGACATGCGGATCGTTGAGTGTTGTTGGACTATGTTCGGATATGTCCATTGGCGCTGAGGCTGCTTGAAGAGATGATATATCTACATTGTGTGAATGCTGGGTCTTCCTGGAGAAAAAATTTAGCTTCTTTTTGATGCCCAAACCTCTATTGCTGGAATCGTTTTTGTCTTTTTCAAACATGGTTTGTAAACTGTTGGAATTTCTCTTTTCTGAAACTTCGATACTTTCAGAATTCAGATGATTGAAGCTTAGATCCAACTTTTGTAATTTTGGAAAAAACGCATGAACAAATAGAGGATAAATTTTGAGTTGGTTGAAGCTCATCTTTAACTCTCTGAGACTGTCGTACCTGTATGCTTTGTGGTCGTCATCCTGGGTTGGATTGTTTGAGTCTTTTTGATCTTGGTTATTTTTGAATAAAGAAAGTGACACTTTTCGTTGTGGGGATGCATTTTCACTTTTAAGGTAATCTCGTCGTTCCTTATCCAATAATTTCTCAAAATTTTTTTGTTTCTTAATTATGGATTCAATTCTGGACACTTTTAAAGTATTTCTTGAAATATCCAATTTTGTGATGTTTGGTAGAACATAATTATTATCACAAGTCTTTCGGTTAGGCGTTTGGTGATGAGCAAAGGGAGCAAGTAGAGGTGGTAGTGAAAGAAAGAGTAAATTAAATGGAAATCGGTACAAATGATTATCTGAAAGGTTGAGTTCTCGAATGTTGGTCAATAGTCGTAGACATTGTGGAGATGTATGAATTCTTTAAGAATTTAGCCATAATTTTTAAGATTTACACTCATGAAATTATTTCAAAAAAGTACATACTCTTTTTCTTCAACCTGCTTGGATTTTTCGAGAGCATAGCCATGAAGAGAGATGTGCATTTGGCTTTGTATTGAACAAATCACTTCTCGATCTAACGGAAAAGTTACTTGACGCATCAGAAGCTCGTCATTTAAGTTTTTTCCCTCGAGCGTTATTGTGTCAGGTGGCATTATAAAACTGTTTTCAAAGAACGAAAAGGTTTCTCCTTGTGACGATGCTATAGATGCGGTACTGTCAGAAATTGTTTGCAAATTATACGTCTCGGAATTGTCATCTCTTAAAGGAAGTTGTTGTTGTTGATAAATGGAAGGTTGTTGAATATTATTGATCGTTTGTGGTTTAGCAATTATTGGTCCGTACGTAATATTCTCCAAAGCACGTTGATGATGACTATAAACATTAGTCTGTGATTTTGGAAGTCGTGTGTTATGACATAACACACTTCATATAAATAATAAAACATACGGTCGCTTGATCAAAGTTTGATGGAGATGCTATTTTCGGTGGCAATAGTGTTGCAACTTGTTTTGACGAAGCAGAAATTTGCTTCATTTCAAATTCAGTCAGATCGTTATCATTGCTGTTCAAACTATCATGAATGCCACTCACAAAAAGTTGTGGTTGCAAATTCCTTCGGGATGGCGAGAGAGGAGAAAAAGCTTTGGAGGATTGTTGTTGCTGCTGTTGTTGATGTGTCCCATGCTGTTGCAATACCGATGAGATGTTTGGATGGTTGAGAACGCTATTATTACTTGGGAGATTGATTGGTTGTAAGTGTTGTTGTTGTTGGGATTGTTGAAAGGAGGAAGAGAGAGGATGGATCATTTGCTGTTGTTGTGGTTGTTGGGATGTTGATAGAGTATGAGCAAATATTGTTGTTGCGGTCGTCGGTCGTGAGGAAGAAGAAGGCATATTCGCCAATTGATTTCTATCAAACAATTCCTCATCCATGCTTGTGCTTGATGATTGTGTTGATTTCATTATGAAAGTCCACCAATGAATGAATGATGATGATGGTGTTGATCATTCAACGGATGATGATTGGAAATGATGAAAGGCAACAATAAGCCTTTTTCAAGGTACTGTTCTGTTTGTTGTGGGAAAATATGAATATATTCAGTGATTTATATATTCACGGAGAGAGTACTAGTAATGAAGAATGATGATTTTCCGATTTAAATATCAAGATGATGATGATTTTAAATTTTGGGTTTTCCGAAAATGGTGATGTTAATCTCGTTCGCTGATGAACAACTTTCGATAAGATCGGAGAGTGGAGATGATGAAAATTCTTCTTCAGAAACCAAATGGATGGAAAATAGTCTTAGAGGATATGTATTTAATAATCAAAATGCCGCAACAAGAATTTGATGATGATCGCAAATTCGATTTTTTTTTTCAAGTTCACCGCGTTTGAACAAGTTCGCAGATCATCAGAAATTCATTTAGACATTTGACACTCATGAAAGAACCAGAGACAAGAACTCTCTCGACAGGACCGAAATCCAAGAGGTCGTTCTTCCATATCTTTCGATTCCACATTCAACCATTCTCTCGAACGATTCATTTTCCAAATTTTGGAAAACTGTTGTTTCATTTCAGAACTCTATTTAAGGTTAAACCTTAAAAACAACCTAAATGAAATAGATTTTACAACTCTTCAAAATGGATCTTTCAGCTCATTGATATGGAAATTAGACGCTTGATTCCAATTTTCCGATCACAATCATTTGCATCACTCACATGATCTATTTGAGTCCATAAATTTCCTGTTCTTTTGCTCTCAACAAAATGTCTCAACCACTTTCTTCTTGTCAGTAACAACAACAAACTATGTTTACAAAAGCGTTCACGATCCATGACTTTCTATTTCAACGAATCGACAAATGCTGTTGTGGACAATGAGCTAAATTTGATTGGTACGAATGCAATAAAAACTATTCTGCAAATCATGTTGACTCTTGTTCCAATTGTTGTGTTGACTGTCTCAGAGTGTGTTGTTCTATTGTCGAAATGGTGAATCAAATGCATCAGAAGAAACATTGAAAAAAAGTGGTCCGTTAGCGAGAGATGCGAAAGTTTGAGTTTAAATATTTTAGAGACGTTTCACCAACACGAAAGTGATTAGCGATTTGTTTGGAAGATGTGATAAGGAATGGTTTATTTTTTGTTTGCTTAATTTCCTTAATTGTCTTAAATGTGACAACCCACATGACCACATGGTCCGAATTTGTTTCACAAATATTGATCAAACTACCACAATCAAAAGATATTTCCCTACAACTCTTTTCCATTCCTTGTTATTTGTTTTGTTCCTTGTTTTGTTTGAAGTTAAATTAATTTATTTTCCTTCTCAGTGTGACTTGTCAACCAAATACTCCAGATGGGACATAACTTTCCCTCTGAAATGGTAATTATCTTCGACTAAAGCCTTCAAATAGTTTTGCAGTTCAGAAAATGTTGTTTCATCATTCTTTTTCATACATTCGACGTACGACTTGTATTTCTCTCTATCTTTCATCAAGACCATGATTTTGCCTACAACTTTCATTAAATCCAAAACGTCATCCCATGATTTTCCTTTTTTTTTGGTGTTTGACTTGAAATCTTTTGCTTGGAAGCTGAGTCTTGTACTTTGGAGACTCAATGCAACGCTTTGCCCAAAACAATGCATCAGCAAATGTTATGTGATCTGTCATGAACCTTTGATCATCTTGTGAGGAATGCTTTTTAATAATGTTCATGTCATGGCAATGAGAATTTCATCCAACCAAAATGATTTGTTTTGCTGAAAATTCTTTCAACCATTGTTCCATTACTTTTCTTACTGGTTCTAAATTGATACCATTGAACTTGTCTTTCTTGAATATATATTTACCAGTATCTCCGTCTTTCTTATAAATGGGTTGATATTGCAACTTATTGTTGACAATAACTACTTTTCCAGCAAGAACAAATGAATACTCCCACAAAAGGTTGGTTTTACCTCCTTCTGTGTCATAGAAAACCAATAATGTAGAGGTCAATCTTGAATCTGATATTATTTGCTGACGATCTATAACTTGATCAAATGTGGATGCTGGCCTGACTGGAATGAGCATTGTTGGCTTTTCCTTCAATGCCTCCAAAATGTCCATGTAGATGTGATGGAGTGTTCTTTTATACTTTCCTCCAACATTCTTCTTCACATTAAGTTTGTTGTCGTCGATGAAATTCTTTAAATACTTCCATGAACACTCATTGAAGGGACGAAGGTCGTTCATCTTTGGTCGAGCAGAAGATGAACTATCTTGTTTAGAAGAAGATTAAGAACACCAGTTTTTGATGAATGAAGAAACTTTTTTTGTTTGCCGAAATCCAACCTTTGACATTCAATAAGATCACCTCCCTCACAGGCAACATATTCCTTTTACAGACAATAATCTCTCCATTTCGAAGATAAATTCGAAGAGTTTGAATATTTAAGAACAAACTCTGCTGTTTTTAAAAAATAAACTCGTCCAAAATTGGAATTAACATGAATTTGAAGGAGGTATATTTAATGACATGAAATACTTCATGTTACTGCCTAGTCTCTCCTCGTACGGTACCTCATGAGGTCATGTTTAATACCACGACCACCAAATGAAACCATCTTCAAGAGCCATCTCATAATTCAATTCACTTCCATCCTTACATGATACCACTTCTTCTTTCACCACCGTGTATTGAAGTCCACTTTTCGAGTGCGACTTCTTTTCAATCTTTGTTCTTGGATTTAACTTGGAAAGCGCCTTTTTCTGTTCTTCTTCATCATCGTTATTCAATAACGACCTTGAAGTACTATTTTCTGTCTTGTTCTTTTTACTTTTTGACATGTAATGGTGGTGATGAAAAACTGTCACTTGAACATGTCCATTCATCATATTTGTCACTGATTTTTTCCTAGAAGAGTCTGTAATTGTCGAAGAAGCTGTTGAGGAAGAACCGACCATCTTTCTCGTCTTGGCTCTTTTTTGAGATTTCATCGACAAGGAATCTTCAACAAAGACAAAACTGCTCGTGACGGATGGAGAAACTGTCATGCTCGATGCACCAGTTGTTGTTATTGAAGGAGAATCACATTGGAATTCGTGAAACAGCAAATGATTGGCACTCACTAATTGCTGAGTTGGAGAAGAAGCGCCATTTCCGTTCGCCACAACTTGGAGACTAGTTCTGGAAAAGGAGTTGTTGTGATCTTGAAGCAGGTGAGGAGTAGAGTTGATCATTGTTGTATCGGTTGATATGTGGATGAATTAGAAACAGTAATGTGTGAAAAACGAAAGCAGCTGCAGCACGTTATATCTTATGATAGGCAGGTGAGAAAGTGAGGACTTTTTGTTTTGGTTGATGATTAGAAAAAGCACACAAGACCATCAATAACTACCAAGTAAGCTTGTATTATATGAATATTCACCGCTTTTCTAAGAGAAATCATGATGAGAGAGATGCTATCACATGTGAAGAGGGATTCTGCGCAAATTTCTGAATAGGCAAGAGCGTGATATCATGCGATACTTTTTTTGAGTGAAGCAGCACAAAATGTCAAGATAGTTTTTGAGAAGCGATTGTTTTTTTTGAGATTTGGCAACTGACGTTTGGAAAGAGGTGATAAATCTCGAGTTCAATTCGTACGAACGACGAAAAATGTCCTACATTAGTAAGATAATTTCGCGAGATTATCTTGTGAGACTGGTTTGAATTTTCATTGGTTGTGGAATAATTGATCGTTGCAAAACTGTTATGAAACGCGAAAACTGTTGAATGGACACATTGAGAGACATCAACAACACTTTACGGTTTTGATAGGTTGAGTATTTACGGTTCTCGGGTTTCAATAACCATGTTGATGATGTGTGAACAATGTCGAGACGCTATCAGTGCCACCAACATGCCAAATGATGCACAACATGCAACAAACTGAGTGTTACGTACCACCATACGATTGCTCTTCATGTGAATCGAACATTGCAAGTATTTTGCAAATTGGCTGTACGGAGTGTTAATTGCTCTTCATGTGAATCGAGAACATGCAAGTAGTTATGAATTACGCAATAGGCCACCAAATGTATCCATCTTCCAACCCAATTTCATATTTGAATTCTTCTTTCTCTTGACTTTCTTTTCTCCATGCTTTTGAAAGTTGGTCTTCAACAAAGACGAAGGTTTTTTCGAGTTGAATGTTGAGTGTTTTCATCTTGAAGGTGTCTTGAGCGTTGTCATCAAGTGTGATCGTGGTGGCATGTGAAAGACTTGACATGTTGAAAAAGTGTTTTGTGTGAGAATGAAGAGTCGCTTGCGAGATGTGAATGGTAATTTTTTGGTGCGATTATCTTTCTGCTTGGCGATATCGTCCACTTCTGAGCAAGCAAGTGGACTTGTTCAAGCGGAGCATTGATGTGACTTTCATTTGACACGCCATGCTTGCCTCATTGAGAAAAAGCCCCAAAAATGAGCAACAAAAGTTCACACAACTTTTTGAATTGCATGAAGTATATTGCATGAAGACATGACCACAAGTTTTGTTGAACATTTCAAAAGTCATTCATTGTTTTCTTGAGGATTGACCTCATCCGACATGAGAGAGGAAGTCGAGCTTGACACAGCCATGGGATGGTTGTTGCCATTTCCATTCGAGATGGCTAATGCAGATGGAATATTTTGATTCACCGCGTTATTGTTGTTGCTGTTGTTGAAATCTTTTGATCCAAGTTGCAAGTCCAATGACATGAGTGGAGTTGAAGGCTCCATAAGTAGTGGTGTTTCTGAATCGACGACTTGTTCCATCTTATTGTTGGATTTGTTGAACGATGTTGACGTCACAGAATCTGAAATGGAGGAAATTGGGATAACAGTGTACGTTGGCACGAAATAGATTTGTTGGGAAGAATCGGAACGTTTTAACTCTCCTTGTTCGGTCGATAATATTTTCCTGACTCTTTCTTTTAGCTCATCATATTTTGCAACATTACCATGCATATTTTCCAACGTATTGATGGCATCTAGGCCCCACCTTAAGTATTGTTTCACTCGGGGAATGTTGTGATTGGGTATCTCTGTGATTCCGACCGCGATTGGTAAATCATCGAGTCCAGAAGAAAGAACATCTTGTGAGCCATATAATCCAAATACTCCATTCAAAAGAGCTGTAGATTGTAGCAATTCAAGCTCCTCTAACTGCACCTCTACGGCCTTAATGATGCAAGGAAGTATGATCAAACTACAATATGGGAACGTTTCATTTCTAGTAAGGTCTATAATCGAGTAGGCAGAGTGAACAGTGATCGATGAGTTTGGTTTGGGAAATCTTGATTCCTCAGAATGCTCGCTTGTACAGGTAGGATCGTCACACACTAAAGAATCAGAGTCAAATAGTTTTGAGATCAAAATTGCTAAGCACTCCACAATGCTCAAGGCAGTCAACAGCGAAGTATTCAACCCAATGGCAGAAACAAACGATTTGATTAGAGAGTTTCCAAATAAAAAGAATTCTTTTGCCAATCGCAAACGCTCAAAGCACTCTTTTGAGGTAATCTTGGGTTCTGCGTTTAGAGCGCTCGATAGTTTAGAATCTACCTTGTTTTTCAACATTGTGCATGGTATGGACAAATAATTATCAATCCACAACGAAGTTTCATTTCCAATTCCTCTTATTCTCTGTTCATCTTCCTCGTGGATATGCAAAAAAGAATATTCATATAAAAATTCATCACTTTTTGGAGACTTAGGCAAACCGTCAAATTTGGCGTTATGAGACTGTTTTTGTTTCAATGTTTTGATCAAAAACTCTGTCACATCAATGCCATCGGTGAGCTTTTGGAACTTGAAAATTAATGAAAATTGTGAATATACATTTGATAAATGAACTTCGTTCAGGTGAGCTAATAATTCACACATATCCAATAGAGAATGACTAGGATTGTTTGGAGTATGGTTAAATAGCAAAGTGTGAACGTTTGCAACAAGTTTGTGTAAAACATGCTCTTGTGAATTCCATGAAGCGCTAGATCTGTATGTTTTCCATCCATGTTGTGGTAACTCAATTCTTAAATTTTCTTGTTGGTCTTCCTTAGACAGTATATTTGCAACTAAATACTTGGATACCACATCAATATAACTTCGAGCGAGGGATGGCTTGTGAAAACATAAATGTTGTGCCAAATAGGCAAATGCAACCATTAAATGAAAAACAGAATAGGTCATTGGTACACTAGGGCTATCTTTCAGATATTTGTAAAATTTCTTAAGAATACTCTTAGCTTGTGAAAACATCTCTTCAGAAATCTCTCTATAACCAATCCGCTCAAATGCTGCACCTTGAATGCAAAACATTAAGGCTAAGTCTATTTCATTAATGGTATAGTATGGAATATGAGTGTCATTCTCAATTTGTTGAACAATTTGCTGCAAATGATCAGAATCGTAGCCTATCATGTGAGCCAGTTGGGGAGAGGGTGTAGAAATGGAAAGAGGAGTTGGTGTTTCTGATTCTGAGCCATACAATGAAGTGGAAACGTGTAAATGAGGATAAGTTTTGTGAAGATGTTCTTGCATTAGATGAGGCTTGTGGATACCTTTTTGTGCCGTCTCTGGACGATGATTGATGGGATGAGTAGATTCATGATGATGATAATGATGATGCTTGTGCCCACCAATGTTGAATGTTTTGTACAGAGTGCACAATAAAAACTTTTTCAACATGGTGTCACTCTTCTTATTGTCCACTTCTTCATTGGTCAAAATGTAAAATGATACTAGCGAGTCATACAAACAAAAATCTCGAACCAAACTCAATTTTCTCTCGTCAGAAATGCCTTCTTTTTTTGCTAACTTCTCCTGATGCATGATCAACACTTCTTTGAGTGTATATGTTTTAAGCTTTTCCAAAGGTGACTCTTCTGGTTGAACTTTTGTTGTCAACTCAATTCTCTTGTGAGAAGGTTGATGCTCGTCTCGAGGATGCATCAATTCAGAATGCACAAATAGTTCTGCTGGTTCTTCCTCCTCTTCCTCACTCTCAACATCTTCATGAGTATGTTTTGTCCCTTTGTGATGTTTGGCATCTTTGGATTCATGTGGATGCAACAAGCCTTTTGTGTGATGTGTGGACGATTTCTTTTTTTCCATTTGAGGTTTCCTCTCAACCACATGTTGTTGTTCTGTTTCTTCTTCAATATTCTTCTCTTGTTGAATCTTTTTATCATCGGAAACGGTCAACAATACCCGAGTGGGTGCTTTGGCTTTTCGATTTCTTTTTGCTTGAGGATAGACACATTCCTTACCCTTTCTTTTGCAATTTGAACAAATCGGCAACGCTTTGTCACACTTTCTATGTAATATTAATAATATTTGAAAATATATTATAATTTTCCAACAATTAATACATGACGATTGCAAAAAAATTCATGAAACACATACCGATGTCCCTTTCGGCATTCACGGCATGCAATAGGTGAATACATTTGTAAAACTTCAACGACTTGACCACTCAAGGTGGTTTTGTCTTGTTGATCAACATCATACGAGGCGTTGTTATTTTCCTCTTCTTCTTCGCTTTCTTCTTCGTGGCTAGGGATGTATTCTTCATCGTTATTTAATTCGGGATCATCTTCTTCAGGGATATCCTCTTCTTGATGTTTTTTGTGTGATGAATGCTTTCTGGAAGGCATGTTTTTTTTTGTTGGTCGAAACACAAATTTTCCTTATTTGTTCTTAATCTACTTTGGTCGAATGCACCAACCAAACATGCTGTGAACTGTTTTATAATTTATTTGAACAGCAATGGTGACAGTCGTGTCTAATTATAATAAGTAATAATTATTTGAAGAAACAAAGGATGAATCAAATTGTTGATTCCGCGCCTTAATATCATCTTTAAATTTTTCAGTACTATCCTTTCACAATGAAATGCTCATTTTGAAGCCTTGTGTCTGATTTCATCATGACAGACATAGCACTAATTGTCACGTAATGATTATTTATAAGTAGGTGAGCCTGAATGTTCCCACTTAATCTTATATAAAGGAATCACTTGATCTGGATTGAAAATGATGACTTCACTGCATCCATCAGGCGAAACGTGCGAATCATAACCAGGCTCCAACGGGCGTCCTGTCTCCACTTGATTCATGTGAAAGGCCTTTCCAATTAGTACCATGCAAATCAATAAATACTGGTTGCGAGAATAAGCCATGGAAAGTCCAGGATATTCTGTCAAGTGGTTGCAATTAAGAATCGCAGAAAACATCATGTACTTGTGTGAAATATTTCAAGTAGCCACATACCTGAAAAGTAAAAACCTTTGCCATACCAGCCCATATCTGTAGTGGATCCGATTTTTTCAATTAAAAAGTTAGTTCTAAAAAGTGTTGAAATGCAAGAATGGAAAAAATTGTGACAAGTTAAAATATTAGTAATAAAAGTCATTTTCGAAAATGGTTCGAACCAAAACCTTCTGATATTCACACACTTACCTTAAAATATTCTCCATATTCGTTTCTGAAGTACCATGGAACAATCTGTGTCAGCAGCAATGTTGATGATAGAAGAATAAATCAATGATGATCATTCATCGCAAGACAGTAATAATCCAACATTGTACTTACAATAATGGTTTCATACTTTCCAATAAAAATCCATGTTTCTTAGCCAACTCTTTCTTACAATTGTTAAATCGATTCATAATGTTTGGATTGACCACATATTCAACCTCTGAAATGTATGCAGTTGGATACGACGAGGCATAAGCTGGTGAAGCACCCAAACGATGGAATTGAGACTCACAAAATCGATAATGGATTTGCTCGCCTTCCAGGTCAAAAACGTTGGTTGGACGAAGCGAATATTTTCTCAATTCTTCCAAGTTGGATGGTTTCTTTTCACCACTCGAAAAGACAGCATTCCATTGTTGCAAATACTCGAGCTCTCCTTTACAGTAAAATCGAACATTTCTATGCTTTTTTTCTTCCAATAACCTCTTCTCGACAAGCTTTCTTTCTTGTTCAATAATTTTTCGTTTATGTTCCAATTCCCATTCGTCCTCATCGATTATGGCATCTTGAGAGAAAGAGGGTTTTCTTCTAATACCTTCCTCTTCCTCAATGGATGCCAATTCTTCAGGTGTTAACACGGAAGCTCGATCGGCTAACACTTTTTGCTTCTCTTGCATCAATTGTGCATACCTCTTTTCAAGCTCAATTAATTCATTCTTTTTGGACTCGATTGATGAAGAGGCAGGGATCTTGTCGACCTTCTTCACAACTTTGGCAATTTCTTCGGGTGGTGTCTGTAAATCAAATTCGTTCATGATGGACTTTCCAGAGTGCAAACTCAAATAATGACTATAATCAACAATGCAAGAACATGTAGAAGGCACTGCTGGAGCACCTGAACTTGTCAAATAAATGTACTTTCGATCGGGTGGTACAGGATCGACTTGAACATGAACAATAGATCCTGAAGATGATGATGAAGAATTCTTCTTCTTTTGTTTAAACTCAACTTCCTTTTTGATCTCACTCTGATAGAGAGATAACAAGTGCAAGACGGTTGGCTTGTATTGAAGAGTCTCTTTCAATGATTGAAGCTCTTTCAAATCGCTCTCCAAATATTGAGGAACGGTATGAGGTGGAACTGAAAGGCTGAGCACTCGGATCTTGTTGGAAAGACCACTCTCTTTGATGGTGGTCGTTGTCGTTGTTTCGGAAGCAATGATCGAGGTTGATGAAGCATTGGTGCATTGATCCATCACCATGGTGGAGGTTGTGGATGAAGAAGAATCAGAAGAAGTTCTTGTTGTTTCAGTGGTGGTTGAGCTCGTAATGGATGTGGTTGGTTCATCAGCTGAAGTCATCGGAGATGGATCAGTAGAGTCTGTTGTGGCAGTAGTGGTTGTAGTGGTGGTGGTGTTGTTGTTGTTACTACTAGTATTGGACTTGCTATACGCTCCACCACTTTTGAAAAAAGTTGAATATGGAAGTCATGATGATGTACAACTACTCGCTATTATTTGGTATACGATGTTTGGTATGAGGATGATGATGACTCCGAAATGATGATACAATTCTTGAGAGAGGATCTAGTATCAAACGATTTCAAAATATGTACACTATAGACACTCTACGATACGAGGAATGATCAATTTCTTTCTTGCACTATTTACGATCAGCAAACACACCAAGAGGAAATTCAATTCTCAATCAGCACCGCGATCAGAGAGCTTTCAAGTTTTTTTCATGAAAATAAGTGGAAGACTGGAGTTGAAACTTGTGACAACCAAGTTCATTGTTCAGATGTTAAAGGCGAAGAAGAAATTTTCAGGACTTGTTCTTTCTGTGCCTGAATGCGAGAATGCAACGTATTCATCATCTCCTCATCCACTTGTAGAGAAAGTTGTTCCGTGGAAGCTCGTTGTGTGAGAGTGTCACAATCTTGAAGGGACTTCTCGAATTCGTGCATTTCTGCCCAAACTCGAGATCGAGCCAAATACAAATCAGTAAAAACATTGAGGGATTCATTCTTAAATGGACCATTCTCAACCATGTGGATTGCTTTCGTGAAATATAGCTGTGCGTCTGGATACTTCTTCAATCGTACACAAATTTCTCCTAATAATTGATAAATGTGTCGATCAAACGAGTGAGACTCTGAAGAATCGAGTGCAATTTGTAAGCTTGAAATTGCCTCAGACAATAAATGATCAGCCTTAAAAAAACATAATCCCATGAAATAATACATCTTGTTGGTGTCACATGTCATGTTGCCTTTTTGAAATAGCTCAATTGCATCGACACAATCTCGTTTTGCCTTTTCAAAATCTTGTAACTCTATAAAACACTCTGCTCGTAACAATTTTAAGTCGACAAATCGAGAGGGATGTCGTTTCTCTAAATTTAGGGCAGCATTAAGCTCCAAAATGGCATCCACATAATTTCTCTGTCTCATTTGAATGATTGAAATATTCCTAAAACTGGTAATTAATTTATCTTGTTGTCCTCTATTCAACTTCTTTCCTCGACTCCAGTTTACATATCTACGAAATATCTGTAAAGCTGTGTTCCAATCTTGCTTTTCCATTGCATCTGTCCCTTCTCGCATTAGATCCACCGTCATGGTATTGGGTCTCTGTTTAACCATGTCTTGTAGCTCATTGAGAAGTGGATCATTGTGTTTACGTTTTTCGTCAAACAAACGCTGAATATGATAGTGTGAACAATTCTTCTGCTTTGATTTTTTCAACAATATAATAGAACGAGAGAAGTTATCGAGAAGGATGAATCCCAATGATGATCGGAATGACGTGCATTCGTGGCATCTTGGTTGATGATGAAACACAAGAGTAGGAAATAAATTTCTTCTCACACGAAACAAGAACATTTTTTTAAAGGAAGAAAAAAGGAATGAAACCAGATTGATACACTACAAAATAATTTCTCGGGCAATGAATAACTGGGCCTGATAACGTAACAATAAACGTCAACAATTCCCTCTCTCTTTAATCATTTCAAATTCCCATTGTGTATTAAAGAGTGTACTTTGAAGTTTCATAATTTTCCCAAAGTTTTCCCATATGTTGGGTTGTTTCTTTTCCATAAATTTCTGACGCTAAATCAAAGGCGTCTCTCAAACAACCTTTAACAATTAAATCTCTATCTGAGGTGCCTAATTGAGTATGAGTGTTTCTGTTCTTGATGTGAATTGTGTAATCTTTCTCATCGACCGAGTACACTCGAGAAAATCCTTTCATATGAGCAACTAATTGTGGAGCTGTCGTGTCAGCAGAATAACACAAACTCACAACTGAGCACAGCTCTCTCAATGCAAGAAATACATGAAATCTATTTTGCAATACATTTCCGTAACCATGAGTGACTAATAGTTGATGCAAAATAGGATGAAGAGAAAAAGTCTTATCTACCAATTTCAGATAATTCTTTTCTCCATAAATTTGCTTCATTGCTTCAACTCCAAGCTCTTCACGAACAAAAACACTCTTGAATAACAAATCACCGTCCAATGGTGTGCATAGATGAAGCCAATCATTTTCATTTCGTGTGAGATGATGCCTATCGTTACTACTACTACCAATAAAAGTCTTTTTCATGGCAGACAAAGCGTTCAACACTTTAGGAAAGCCAATGAAGACATGAGTTTGAGAGACAAGTTCTACAGCCATCGGAATTAATATTTTACAATGATAGGCTTTTGAATGTTCTTCATGTTGACGATGATGAGTATGAGCATTGGCTGCAATCTGATCATTCATTTCCAACAATCCTTGAAATTCATCACTCAATGCATGATAATCTCCTTTCGTTGCAAAGGCTACTATTTTACAAAGAAGTCTACATTCATCCGATAATACATTCGGACTACTCGTTTGATGATGTAAATGTTTCATAGGAGAAACAGATTGATGAAAGTTGCGGCGAGAAGATCTTTGAAATTTACAACCGATCAGTCCTTCAGCTCTTGAAGTAGTCGTCAACAAAGGCACTGACGGTTTGATTGAAGAATAGAGTTTTTTCATTTTTTTTTAGAATTGATTTCCCTCAAACCATTCTCTCTCTTGTATTCCAATGGATTGGAATGGTAGTATCAAAGACGAACCTCTTCAACAATTAGACTTATCTCCCCCAGCTTTGACTGATTGGCTAAATGAAATATATCTCTCATTCGCTGCCTATGTTGGCAGTTGTTACAAAAACGCCACTTGGAACAGTTCAACTGTACTCAAGAAGGCTAGAGGATATATAATTAAACCCAAAACTGCAAAATTTGCAACTGCTTGGGAAACATTTAGCAGTCAGCTTGGCGAACTCAACTCCAACAACATCTACACCTCACACCTACACACCCATTAGACACACTATCGTCGGACAATTGAGTACCTATAATTTGTTTATTTTTCAATAAACCCATTCCTGTATTTTTTTTTAAAATTGATGAAATATTTCCTTACTTTGCTCATGACAAAGATTACTGGACAACGACATTACTCAAGTTTTATCCAAAATTTAATGGACTTGCTTAAGGATTTAGATCCAGAGGATAGCCTGTAATATTTAGAGGGATTGTTTTTGAGAAAATCTTTCAGAGATTGATTGCTCTTCTGAGTGACAACAAAGAGTTCTTTAAGAAGCTTGAAAATATCTCGAACTGTGCTGTTGGTAATACTTAAATACGATCCGATATATCGAGAGGCAATATGGAAAATGGTTGAGTCTTCAAAGTCTCTGTCATCAATCAACTGGTTCAAAAATGTAATGTTTGAGGTGTCACCTCCTCCGGCTGGTATAAACAAATAACTTGATGCGGAAAGACCATAATGTGAAAGCAAGAAACTACAAATCATTCGTGTCACTTCAAAGTCATTCATGACAATACTTTCCATCAACAGATTTCTTCCAAAACTATTCTTGGAGAGAAGAGCTTTGTGAAATTGCTCCTCTCCGAACAATGTTTTTCCTTCATCTAAAATGGTAGACAAGAAAAATACGTGGTTTGGAATGGTGACAGCACAGCCATCACATCCTCCTTTTCCTCCGAAATTTGTCGTTGTTACCTCTTCTTCACTACTTGTGTACATTCCACGCTTATCGTTTAGGCATTGAAATAATGGGGTCTCATCTCGATGATTCTTCTTGAGAATAGCTTTTGATGAGTGACATGCCAAATATCGCACCGCCTTAATGTCTCTCTTTCTCATCGCATAATGCATTAAGGTTTCTTGAAGTCCCATTCCAAAAGCCAAACCTCCACAAAGGTCGATCTTTGCACCAAAAAGTTGAAGCAAGTCACACATGTCGTAATCTCCTTTCTTGAACGATGCAATGATTGGAAGATTTCCAAAACCATCTCTTCGTAAATTCAATTGTTCCTCTCTTACGGATGATTTGGAACATAAGAAGGCCACACAATCTTTTGATGATGAATTTACAGCATAAAACAATGGTTCCAAACCATTGGAATCCTTCAGAGACCATAATGTGCTGTCTTTCACATCAATTCTCTCTACATGAGTATTTACAACAGTACTACAATTTACAGATGTCTCACTACTATACATTTGGATCCATTCTAGCAATTGAACTTGATTGGTGTCACATGCCAAATGAACCAATGAAAATTGTTGTCGATCCTTCACGAAAAGCAATCGACTCGAAAGGATATTCACAAATTGAGGTGGCTCCACCTTCCATTCTCTGGAGCAGAGAACTCTAGTCAAGACATCTACGAAATGCTTCACAGCTTTCTCCAGCTTTGTCTTCAGTTGTTGAGGAGAATTTGATGTTTTTATCTTTGTTCCTTGTTGTTGTGTGTTTAATGAAGAGGATGAAGTCGGAACTAGTTGATCCAAATAGATCAATGAAAAGGATGAAAAATTCAAATCATTATCTTCTTCGTGATCAGAGAATGTTCCGAAAGAAACATATTTCCGAGCCTGCTGATGAGAAGAAGCCTCACAACACCTTTGAAAGGTTTTCTGAATGACATGTTGAAGAAACAATCCTCCGTCAAATTCAATCATCTTGAAGGGTGATTCCAAAAGATTTTACAGATCAATACTGTATCAACAGACTATTAATAATATATACACGTTTTGAATCACGTTGATTCGTGGTTAGAGTGCACAATGGATTTGTTGGATTTTGTTTTTCTGAAAAAGAGATTTCGTAAGTTTCAAAACCGCTAAAAATGTTCTTGCATGTTGTATGTCCATCCGAAAGTGTCATTAGTGTTCCCAAAGATTGCGAAGTCGAACCAAAGTTGAATTGTTCCAAATAGGGTATTTGAAGACTACTGAGGTCAGAGGATTTCTGAAAGTATTCATGTTGTTTGGGGTTTCATAAAAGGGTTGGTGACATTCAACAAGTCCAAATCTAAATCCAACGATGATTCATCAATGTGGGTGACAAGTAACAACATTGATGACGAGATGCAAAATAGGATCTTGTGACTCAAACTTCCTTTTGACAGAGTTAACTTTGCAGAAATGAAAACGAAATAAGACATGTTCTGCGAGTGACCATGTAAGGACACTTGTGGCATGAAGATTGTTATGCAAGTCCTTCAGAAACGCCTCTCACTTAAATCAAAGTTCCACTAAATTCGAACACCATTATTATTATTCAATGATGATGAGGATACGACTCCAACTCCACCCCATGATGATCTAACACTGAAAATTCCAAGTTACTCGAAACTCTAATTTTGATCCATGCACAATTTGAAACTCTCCATTTTCGCCCCATTTGAAAGTTTAATGAATACAAGACGCTTCCAAGTATTCCCCCATGAGTGGACAGCAAGATAGTTTGTCCCCAATGATTGTGAACAATTTCCTCAATGAATGAACGTAATCGTGAAAATGCTTGTCCGTAACTTTCTACTCCAGAGTCCCATTTAAAATTTAACACTTGTTCCTGAGTCGATTCGCGATTGGGAGTGGTCGAGAGTTGTGAAATATATTGTCTCCAATCGGCTATACTCTTTCCTTCCCAAGAAGCCATGCAACGTTCTCGGAGTTTTGAATGTTCATAAATTTTGACATTTTCATGAAGAGGTGATGAGCTCACAACAATTTTCGCTGTTCGTTTTGCTCTCATTAAATCCGAAGTGTAGACACACGAGAAGGGAATGTGTTGAAAGATGGATCGGAGAGAGAGTGCTTGTTCTTCTCCTTGTGCATTGAGTGGAATATCGGTGTGTCCTTGGAAGATACCTTGTTGATTCCAATCAGTCTCTCCATGTCTCATGATATAAATTTCACAGAATTGTGTGCTTGATGATGACAAATAGCAACAAGTGGTTCTTTCTGCTCTCTCCAAGTTGGGTGTAGAAGACGAAACTTGTTGTGGAGATGGTTCGCTCATTTTTTGTGTGGTTCAGTTTTACGTCCTTACCAAATTAGCAAACAAATATCAATAATAATTCATAAATTACATTTCAATTTTGCAGGAAAAGCAAGGTTGATGGGGTAGTTAAATTTCATGATTTTCTCAAATTGGAGAAAAAATGTCTAAACTCTATTTCGATAAATCCTATCCATCCACTCATTGGGTAATGCAACCCTTCACATTATCAGATCCGAAAGTGATTTGCCTCATCAAATTTAAAAGCAAATGTGAATACGTGGTGCATTTAAATCCGACAGATCGGAGAGGTTATCGATCCATTGTTCGATTCATCAATAATCAAGACATGGCAAGTACATTCAATCGAGATTATACCACCACTGAAAGAATTGGTCTTGCATTGTCTCTTCAATTCATTGCAGAAGCTTATTCAAAAATTTGTCCAATTTCACAAATAGCAGTGGCTGGCAATAATTCTCATCATGTGGATTTGGAAAATCACTTGGTCTTGATGGGTCACGAAGATGAGCCATCGTTCTTACATGGTCACGTATGGGCAAGAGGTTTTCCAAATGAACAATATGTTCAAGATGTCGAACTAGGAGGACCAATGCCAGGAGAAATATTTGACATGAGGGCCACTGCAAAGGAAGTGAGAGGGAATGAATGTATGATCTTGTGGAAGGAGCAAGAGATGGCAAATGTGGTGAAGAGAGTCAAGTTAGAACTGTCACAAATTAGGCAAGAGTATGAGGAACAAGGGTTAAACATTCAATTGTAACAGTTAGTGACAAATGGCAAGTAAATGCATTATTTTGTCGCAATGACGATCATACTTTGCCTTATTCGAGATGTTTGCTATTATCACTTATTGGTGTCTTTCGAATGGCGTCACAAATGCAATTTCTTTAGCGTAGCGAAGCCAGCTCGAGTAATTCTGTTTTGTAATTTCATTCAGCACTCTCGTCCTAATAACCCTGTCTTGATTGTGTTGAACGTAGAAAAGTGCACCAATCATGAACACAAACAGAGCACCACTCAAAATAAAGTGAGGTAAAAAAGTGGATTCGGTGAATATTCTCAAACTGAAAAATATGATTAAAAATGCATCTGCAATTGCCAAAGAGGCGATGAATATTTTGAGAAGCAAAAAGCTCTTTTTCTGAAGAGCAACATAGTCCAAAGGTGTTGGCTTGTTTTCAATAACATCAATACTGTACTTGACAGAGGCATCATACATTTCTTGAATAAGGTATCTATCAAACCAATGCTTAATCACCATGTAAAACAATCCACATGGAACAATTACCGGAATAAATACGGCATATGCCATGCATAATGTGAATACAGCCAGCATTTTGGCGTAATTGGAGTCAATTTTGAAAAGGTACTGATCTGTGGCTGCTCGTAATCTTTCAAGTGGAGACTTGGCTTTACGGTAAAATGATAATCTGGTTGCCCAAATGTACCAAAATGCATCTTCTGTTCGAATAAGATCATCCATATTACTCATCACCGCAAACTGCAAAACAGTGGAGAGCATAAGAGCTCCGCTAGCAGGAAGAAACATTTTCTTCAACATTTGTTGAAAATCATCTTCTGTTTTCACATAATTGATAATACCATCAACTGATGATAGCCACAAGCTAGGCATAATTAAAATGGTCAACACCACGTAACAGTATTTCCTTAATGTGAATATTCGAGTGTATTCTTGGTTGCTTTCATATTTTCCTAGCATGGTCAACTTGCGTAACGTGTAACCGATAAGTCTCGAAGTCCAATACAACGAGAAGGATGGTAAAAACTGGAAGAAAATACTTCCTACGACTCCAGTTGCTGCTTGAATTTTTCCTACTTCCATTTTGATCACTCCAATATTAAATCTGAAATGATGACATTGAATTGAATGGAAATAATAAATAAATCATGGCCACAATAAAAAAACTTACATGGACTGAATGGCAGAAAGAAGAGAAGCTGGACTTGAAGCTACAATGAAAAATACAATCAACAAAATGTGAAGCAACACATTCATACCGACTCCTTCTAATGGTGATCCTGTGATCGCATTGCTTCTGCATACAGTGTACCAGTTGATGTCAATGGGTTCTTGTTGAAGTGAAGAAATTCTCACAAGATTATTTTGGAGACGTATTTGGTTGTTTAAATATCTACTAAGAGCTTCTTGTGCCTCTGCCTCTGTTTTGAAAATGATATATCCAACACCAGAACTTTCAATTGCTTTGTTACCAACAAACATGGAAGCAACCGGGTCTTGATTGAGGTCAGTAGATTTTTCTTCTGCATTCTCCTCTATTTGTACATCCTCCATTTCATTTGGTTCTTCAAAGCTTTCTATGCTGCTAATTTTAGGCATGCTCTTGTTTTGCAACAAGGCATTATACACAACATCCCATTTCTGTATTTCTTTTTTAAGTTTTTTTCTTCTGTTTTCCAAATGTCTGATCGCTTCCTCTGTAGTGAACAGATGAATTTTTTTGGCTTGAGTTTGCATTCCAAAGCACTGAGATACAATGTTTTTGGATTCAACAATTCCCTCATCCACAACAATGTGTTCTTTCAACTGAATCAGCTCAGAACCTCTCTCCGTTTTCATGTGTAAAAAGTGGTCAAGATCTTCCTCTACTCTTTTAAGTACAGTCGATAAATTCAATCGATCCACAAAATCATAAATTAATACAGCACGTAAAACTTTGCTGTTCTCATCATCAATTGGCACGTTAAAGTTAAAATATGTCTCTACAAAAGATTTGAAATCATTCAAGTTAGTCATATCTCTGGGTAATCCCTTAACGACAACAACATAAGGTGAGAGAATGTCTTTGGGATCCACTGATTTGTAAACATCAGAATCTATTGTGATTGAAATTTGATTACTCTCGGTAGATCGTAAAACACCAAGAAGACCGTCTACCACATTGGTAAACATGTTATTCTTTGAAGACGATGGATTAAGGGTGTCCGTTTCAGAGGAGACGCCAAACGACTGATTTCGAATAATTGCACTATAATGAAATTGGATAAAGAAAATCAACCCAACCAACACACATAAAATCAACACTCCAATATGAGCATAAAGTTTGATGGGTGAATTGGCAACCATTTCAATAGTCGTTCTCAGTAAAGCGTTATCTTCTTGAGTAAGGTTTTTCACAGGTTTTGTGCCTTTCTGTAAAATATCGGAATCAGGATTAGATATATAATCTATTTGTAAAGAGGAGGTTTGTTGATCGATGTAGGTCATGTTATACTCATAAACTGGTGGTTGTCCTGTTAAATGTATTGGCAACAGCACGGCACATGTCAATACTGTGCAAATCAATAAGATCCAAATAATGATCTGTTGAAAATATAAATAGACAGCAATGTCCTTTCCATATCTTTTGGTATTTCTGATTCGATCTGTTTGTGCGTATGATGGTACAAAGAATGATAATACTGCATCCTTCAAATGTCGAAATATAGCTGGAAAGAACAAAGCAGAAGAATTAAATGCATCAATGAGCATCTGTTTGAGTTTTGGAATCACTCTTTCCTTGAACTCAGATGTTTCTGAAGGTACTCGTGGAAGCTGATTAAATGGATATTGGGCTGCTATTTCCTGATAGGCATGGCTCAATTTTTCTGTGTAATAGCCGGCTCTGTGACCAATAAAAGACAACGCATGTGGTTTTTCTCCTTCAATTTCAACTGTTGTTTCCTCATTTCTTGAAGTTTTGGTGGAAGGCTCAGCATGAGTTTTCTTCGATTCGGCCTCTTCTTCCATATCTTTTAAGTATTCAATAAACAATCGTTTTTTCTTCTCAGGATTAAACACTGCCAATTGTCTGCAACACAAAAAAAACATGACAAAGTAGATCAAGGCAACCACGATATTTGCAACCAGAGTGGTCAAAACTCCCGCGGAACCAGCAATGTCTTCATTTATATTGACTTGAGTATTATTGCTTGTGGGAGTTGGTGTTTGTTTCAAATCAAAGATTGGCTCGGCCATCACAGTGAAACGATCGAGAAGACTGAAATTCATGATGATCATCATGAATAATATCAAACAATATCCACCCACAAGTTTGAGATAATTAATTAAAGATGATGATAATCGTTTCGTCGGAGAAGAACGGCCAATATGGCCACCACGGTAGTGATGAAAAGAAGGCTTGTGGGTCATCATTTTTTTAGCTTAAAATTCGAATCCAAATTTGTCGAAAATACAATTTCATATAGTACACGTGAAATTGAATTACCCAAAGAAAATTGGTTCGTGAACCACATCGTGTTGAACTGTTCTACCATTTGAGCTCAATACGTTTTTGCTTAGTCCTCTTGAATTTGTTTCAAACCCGCTTCAACAATTGTTGAATATTTATTTAAGCACTGAAAGCAGCAGCTCTGACAACTTGTGATTCAGTGTAAGAACTAACACTGAAGCCAGAGTCATTCACTTCATAGACACCATTGCTGTAGGACTTGGCAAGGACCCAGTGACCACCATTTCTGACGTTCAAAATAACAACCTTACCAGAGCAGAGCCAGTTTCTAATGGTAGCCTTGTCTTGAGTTTGTCCGAGATAGGAGAAGCCTGTTTTTGTTCAATTAGTTCAACATCAAGTGTGTCAGATTATGATTCAAAAATTAAAGAATGACAGAATTACTATTCAATATATTTTGACAAAGAAATATGAACACTTACCAAATCTTGAAACAGATCCCCAGACAAAGAGATCTCCATAGTATCCACCATTGCTCTTTAACCATGAGTTCATTTGTCCTGGATTCATGCTGCTCTTTCCACGTCCGTTCAAAGCACTTGTGACGGAGGTCATGAGACAACCAATAGCACAGACAGTGCCTGAATGAAAGAGGAAGAAACAAATTCCGCATGTCATCATCATCATTGAATTGTAACATCATCCAATAAAAATATGGAACCATTTCACAACAACCAAATCACAATCGTATTAAAATTCATACATGGAAAAAAGCTAATGCCAATACTTACTAGATCCCAATCTGTCACTTCCCCATCTACCATCACATTGCTTGAACAATGGATAATTGTAGGATTGTCTGCATCCATTACCACCACCTCCACCAACTGGAGTCAAATAAGCAGAAGCAGCAAATCCGCTTCCCCAACTTCCAGAAACACCATACCAAGTGTATCCACATCCACTTCTGACATCACCATTGAATCTAACTTGTTCATTTGGACTCAATTTTCTAACAATGCTTCTGTCGGTACAAGCACCTGATCTCACATTCAAAGTGGTGGTTGCAGCCAAAATATCACCACTTGTCAAAGTAGATTCGCTGTCAGTCATTTCTTCCATGGAAACTTCTTCGTGAGCCTCTTCTTCTTCGTCATCTGCAGAGTCAGTTCTGGCGAGGAGAATTGCGCTTGCTGGGAGGTCAACTGCAAAGTCGCGAGTGTTGACAGATGGTTGGCCGATGAGAGTTACAGTTTGTTCGGCAGGGTATGCCTTTTGAGCAGAAACGAAAGCACTGACGGCAAGGAGAGCCAACAAGACAAGGACGAATGAGACCTTCATTGTGTGTATTTTTTTTGCTGATGAAAAGTACGACGATTGTAATGAAGCACTTATTTTAAGAAGATGCATACCCCTCATCAACTGTCATAATTATGAAGTACAATTATAATGAGGGAAAAGTTATCAATTGATTTATGCATTGTTGATTCGCTTTAATTTGAACGTGTGATTTCGGAACAATTATGTTTGTTCAAGTGAGAAATCAAGTGGTCTATCAAATTGACCATCGATTGATAATTGATTTAATGATCCATTACTGTGAATACCCAAAAAATATTTTTCTTCCCCTCTTGTTCAAAAGGTGTGAAAATTGGAGCCCTTGTTAATATTTCATGCCTTTCGAAATGCATTGAAAATAAAGTGGGGGAACTCTCTCAAGAAATTTTAGTTTAACATTCAAAGAGAAAAAACTCATGTTGTCCAATAAACAATAGTTGTTTGTTTCTCACTTAGACATCATCAAAACTGAATCCTTTCCCCAAAAAACAGACTCGGTCATTTGCTTGATTTTGGGAGAAATTTGGAAAAATGAACTTGGTCAAATCGCGATCCTGACTGAATAAGATCCCAAACCAACAACTCTGTGATGAACTTTATTTTCACAAACAACAAGAAGAAAAATCAGCTGCACTCTGATCACCTTCATCACATCGTTTTTGCAGATTTTGTTGTATTTTTGAGCCAATTTGATCTCTTTGTACTGATCTACTACCATCATCATGAACGTTCTGAGTGCCAATCAATACGTACACATCCTCGACAATGACTCTGGTGTGGTCCGTATCGAGATCGGACCCAAGAGAATTGCCCTGAGAGCCAATGAAGAGATTATTAAAACCAGTGATTTGGCTATCATTAAGGAGGGACAATATTGCGTGATCAAGAATCCCTATGATTATGAGCATGAGAGAAATTTGATGGGAGAACGAAAGATTGTTTGTGGACCCATCGCTTTGGCTCTTCATCGTAACGAATATATTGAACGAATTTCAGATGTTCATATTTTGAAATGTAATCAAGCCTTACGTTTGAGATCATTGGTAGAGAAGAAGGTCCTCGTGGATGGCAAAGAGAAGGATTTAAAGGCTGGAGATGTCTATCAAATTCCAGGTCCATGTCGTTATGTACCCGATAAGGACACAGAGGTCTTGAAGACAGTCAATTCCATATTGATCAATGAGAATGAAGGAATTTATGTAATCGATACGGACACTTCAGAGAAGAGTCTCGTGAAGGGACCAAGAAGTTACATGTTGAAAGCTACCGAGGAGTTGTTCTACAAGCAATACACGGAGATGGAGAGAGCTGCTCTTGGCTTGAGTGATGCTGCTACCTATGAGGCCACTGTAATTCGTTTGGAAAAGAAGCAAGGTATGTTGTTGGATGTGTGATGAATTTCAAATCTCTTTCGCCTTAAACTTGCCAAATGTCATGTTGAATGGTTTTGTTCAAAATCACTTGCCTCCCCATTTCATTGGCTGCCAATGATGAACTCTTTTAACCATTGTAGTGGTTTGTGTGTTGGATGCTGAGAGAAATGAAAATGTCATCAATGGACCTTGTTCCTATATTCTTTCACCTGAGGAACATGTCAAGTGTCTCCATCTCTCTGCAGGCAAACCAAAGAGAGTGAAGCAAATTAAGGCAGCCAAGATTATGAAAGGTCCTGATTTCACAAGTGACTCGTTTAGAGTGAGCACCAGAGACAACGCAGAGCTGCAAGTCTTACTCACTTATAAGTGGGAATTCTTAGTCGATGACTCTGAATCTCATGTAATGTTCCGTATGACCGATTTCATTGGATATGTGTGTGCCACATTGAACAGTCGTGTTCGTGAGTTGGCAGCTCTATTCACATTTGAAGAATTCCACTCAGGAACTGTCTCTCTCATTAGAAAACATCTCTTCCGTGAGTCTGTTGTAAAAATTGGCCATGAAGAACGAAAGGTTTTAGGAATTTACTTTGACGAAATCAAGTTGTTGATCTCAGAGATAGACGTTAAGGAAGTAAGCCCTGTTAACAATCAGATCAACGACTTGCTCAATCAATCTATCAAATCCAACATGAAAATTGTCTGCAACAAGATGGAAACTGAGGCATCGAGAGAAGCTCAAAAAGAACAACTAAAGGCTCAAGCAGAAATTCAAAAATTGCGAGAAGAATTGATTGACATTGAAAATGAAAATCAATCGATAGAAAAACTCGAAAATGCAAGAATTGATTCTCTCGTTATTGCAGAACAAACCAAGACCAACATTGAAATTCAAGAGTATAAATGTGGAGGAGATGGTGCCATCGAGCTTGAGCACATGAAAAACATGATTGAACTTCTCGCTTCTGAACAAGGTCAAAAGTATTTGGCACTCAAGAGAGCAGAATTAGCCAATAGCATTCCAGAACAAATGTGGTATCTCAACAATGAAAAATTGCACTCATCATTATTCCAATAAACTGGAAGGAAGCAAGGATGAAACTGTATGAATCGACTACACGGTCTACTACACCTAATTTTCACATTTTTCTTGTATGAATGGGTGATCATGAATAAGTATTAATTTATAAAATTGCTTTGAGTGATTGCTTAAAATCCTTTAAAATGTAAAACCTCCATTTCCACTTGGATTAGAACTTCCAAATGAGAAGGCTGGCGCTGGAGCAACATTATTATCTGTTTTCGACTCTTCATCGTCTTCTGAAGGAAAGTATGTTTCCAGAATTTCCAAAGCTTTTTCGTAAATATCATTGTTGGGGTGTGTCTGCAATTTTTCAATCAAGTCTAAGCCGCCACATTCTTCTATGGTAGCAGTGACCACAGCGAGTTTATCAGAGGTTTGATAATATTTGAGAATGGCAGATAAACCTTCCAATACAACCATTAAGATCTTGGCATCTGTCAAAGAAAGAGCCTCACAAAATGGCTCAATGACTCCTGCCTGAACAACGTACTCAATTTGTTCACCTGATCCTCCCTCACAAGTATTTGCTAGTGCCCAAAAACCTTCCTTCTTTACCTCAAAAACTTCAGTTTTGACCTTTTCAATAATGATAGGAATAAGGTTTGCATCGATAACAGCTTGAATTTGTTGTTTGGTACCAGCAGTAATGTTTGAAATGGTCCACATCACTTCTTTTCTAATTGATTTCTTTGCATGATTAAGGAGAGGTGGTAGGTTTTGCAAAAGGCCACAGGATAACACAGTTTGTGTTTGAAGATCGTCACCTGTTGCAATGTTTCCGATCGCTCGGAGTGCTGGTGTTTGAACATTGCTGCTTGGATGAGATAATAATTCTACAAGTCTTGGAACAGCATTGTTGTCGATGATAGCCTGGATTCGGTCACATGGTCCGTCAGATGCATATGATACTGCCCAGCTGATATATACATGGGTGGCAATATAATAATCATTTTGTAAATAATAATCAAAAATTGTTGAAGAGTTTCAATGAATGAAGTTATAAGTCAGATTGGAAAAGTGCACAAAAATTGCTTGTTAAACTTACCAAGTGTCAACAAGAATTTCTTCATCTGAAGAATAGAGAAGTTGGGTCAATGTTGGAATTGCCTCACACACCAAGCTCCATTCTGGTACAGGTTTACCTCTGAACAAGTTAGAAAGAGTCCAAGTTGCTGTTTAAGGATCATCATTGAAATTCCAATAAAGAGACACGAATATTGGTTGTAAACACATAAGAAAATTTTTCAAGATGAGATATTTCAGATCATATTACAATAACCTACCATCTCGCTTCACACGAGCGCTGTTTTCAGAGTTAATCAATTTGAGTACTTTTGTCATTGCTCCCTTTGTCAAAACCAAATCTCTCAATGCTGCAGAATCGCCTGCAATGTTGCCAAGAGCCCATACACTTTGTTGTCTCACATCATCGTTTTCGCTTGATAATAAATTAATAATCTTTGGTACACAATCTAACTCAACAACGTAACGTGTGTGTTCAGAAGTGCCTGAGGCAATATTTGTGATTGCCCATGTAGCTTCAAACTGTAATTGATGTATTTGAGAGGCACTGATAGTTCTCTTGCTTTCATCAAAAGCCCCTTCTTTAAAACCAGGTGGTTTAGGTGAGTCCCCAAAATCACAATTATAATACTTTTGAATTTCTGCAATGTCTAAGAATTGCACAAAATATGGTACAGCACCTGTTTCAACGTTAATCATGTTGAGAAATGATGTTGACACAAAAATAGATGATCGTTTAAAAGTGGAATGTGAAACAAAAAACCGATGGGAGGCAGGACGACTTACCTGAAATAATTACTTCATCAATTGGAGGATTTCTCTCAATTGACAACAATCGTCTAAAACGTGTGGTAGATTCGAGTACTGTTTGGAAGTTATTCCACTCCAAGTCCAAGCTAGCCACCAAAACAGATAAATCACGAACTTGATTTGACACTGGAGCTCTCTTTCTTCTCTTATCGGGTGTAACTCTATTGTGAGCAGAATATTGTTTCACAAAATTACGTGTATTATTGAGAGCACAGTGCATTACAGTTTCAGTATTTTCCTCCTTGTTAGTTGTTGTGCTAACCATATTAATAGTTGGAGAAGAAGGTTTTGATTCGGCCCATACGGGATTCACTTTTCTGGCACAATGCTCTTGTCTGATGTTTGCCAAAATTCGTTCTCTCGTTTGAACCTTCTGCATACGTTGTCTGAGCAGAGTTGCTTGCTGCTCGCTTTTTCGTTGGACAGAAGGAGGTGGTGCCATTATATTGATTTTTAGTAATTCGTCCGATGACGATGATGAAAGGATGAGAGGATGAATAAATTAAAAGATGATGAATCTGGATAGAGATCTCTGCTGAGAGTGAAATTCTTATCAAAAACTAAAAGAATACAGAATGCGATGATCACCTCTAATTGATTTGAAAGTGTTCCCAGTTCGCAAGAAGATCGGTGAGGACGTCTTTGATATTTTTTGAAGATGAAGTTTGATGATCTTGTCTTGGTTTTGCTGGAAATTGTTGGAACAGGCTTTAAAGCATTGTCACTGAAAACACAATTCAATGAGTAAACGATTGAATCATAATAATTGAAACATGTCCTTATTGTGGCACAATGAGTTGAGTCCTCAAATCCCAAAACGTTGAGTGTGCGACCTCAAGTGAACCAACTTGTTAAATGTCAAATGAAAGGACCGAACTAAAAAATTGAGTGGCTGCAACAAATGTTCCACAACCAAGCCACCACCATAACACCACCACTACAACGCCAAGAAGGACATCAACCACACCATGAATACTCCACTGAGTTGATCGATCAAGAATTATTCTCGTCAACAACCATCAATGGAAACAAACAACAAGAAAAAATATTCACCGATGATGTTCATCAAGAGGTTGAGGACGATCCTAAGGATTTGGCTGACGCGACGTTGAAACCAAGGCTGGACTTGAACGATCGAACATTATGTCCACCACCATCATCATCGGAATGGACCAACAAACAAATTTTAAAAAGATTTACATCCCGAAATGTGATGATTCGGAATGATTCTTGCAAAGAGGAGGAAGTTAATATTTACAGCAACATCAGTTCTTTCAGTGATATTGCTGTTGCATGTTTGGAATGGATAAAGAAGAAATTAAATCATCATGAAAAACATGGGAATGTTTCATCAAATTTTACCTCATCATCAACAAACAGTTCTATTCCTCAAATTTTGTCGGATGAAGAAGAAATTATGTTTGGTTTTTCCTCCACCTTTGCACTCAAGCACAATCTCTATTTGGAATGGTTGTTTTGGCTTGTTTTAATGATTACATTTGGCTTTCTGCTTATTCTCTGTAAATGGTTCCCATGGCTGAAAACATGGATGACACATTCATATTGCAAATCTTTTAAAGAGGCAGATGCTATTCTGTTGTGTAGCAGAACAAATGTCAATGCAATGGACGGCTCTCATGGTAAATGGAACTGTTGCAAAATTGAAAAATCTCGTATTCACACGGATGATGGTAAAAAGCAAGGTGAAATTGAGATTATTTACTTTAAATTCCGATATGTGACGTTTATTTACGATGAAGAGGGAGATTGCTTTGTTCCATGTAATTTTTCTTTGCAAGAGTCGTTAAAATCGAATGGCAATGAACAAAGTGAAGGTCTATTCAATGGAGAATCAATTCATCGTCTTGCCATACACTACTTGCATGATCATGATCGAAACATAAGAGGCAAGATTTTTGGACGAAATGTTATTGAGACTCCTGTCAAACCGATACTGTCATTGGCAATGGATGAGATATTTCATCCATTTTACATCTTTCAGATTTTCAGTGTTTGCATTTGGTGTTTAGTTGAATATTACATTTATGCTATTGCCATTGCAGTGATTAGTACATTATCAGGCTTGATAAGTTTGTACACAACCCGAAAGACAATGGTTAAACTAAGAGAAATGACCTCTTTAAGTTTTTCTGTCAACATGATTGATCAGATCCATGGACAGACGAGATATTCCAAGATTGATTCTTCACTTCTACTTCCAGGTGATATGATTGAGATTGAGAATGGAATGACTATTCCCTGTGATCTTGTGTTGCTGTCAGGGCAGGTGATTGTTAACGAGTCCATGATGACTGGTGAGAGTACTCCTGTGAAAAAGATACATGTCCCCTATTCCAACAAAGATCTCTTAAAGAGCGATCTCTCAAATTCCACATTATTTGCGGGTACTCATGTTATCATGACTAAACCAGCTTCGGGATCACATCATAATTTCTCCTTATACTATCATAATAATTTTCCAAGCAAAGTGTTAGCAATGGTCACTCATACAGGATTCCAAACAACTAAGGGTAGAATGTTATTACCTATCATATATCCGAAACCTAATAACTTTCGATTATATAGAGATAGTTTTAAATTTATGGGAATAATGTCAATTGCTGGATTTGTTGGAGTGTTTTTCACAGTTATTAATCTTGCCAAAATTCATGTTTCTCTGTTGAGAATTATATTGGAAAATATTGTTCTGATTACAATTGTTGTCCCTCCTGCGCTTCCAATTGCCATCACCACCACTATATCTTTTGCTGTTGCAAGGCTAAAAGAGTCGTGGAGAATATTTTGTATTGCTCCCCAAAGAATTAGTTTCTCTGGACTGATCAAGTTAATTGTTTTTGACAAGACTAACACTCTAACAAGTGACAATTTAGACCTTCATGGATGTGTGCAGGTCGACCCAGCTTGTGGGTCATTCAGTCATCTTCTTCACAGCTTTGAATATGGTTCTTATTTAAGTTTCGGAATGGCCACCTGTCATGACTTGTGCAACCTTACCACGACTGAAGGCGTCACAAAAATTGTGGGAGATCCTTTGGACATGAAAATTTTCGAGTCGTGCAAATGGAGAATCGAAGACTCAAACAACAATGAATTTATGACTGTCATTTCTCCTGACAACAAACATTCATTCTCTATTTTGAAGATATTTCAATTCAAGTCATCACTGCAACGAATGTCAGTGATAGCAATGAATTTACAATCACAGGAAATATTCTGTTTTTCAAAAGGCTCCTCGGAAATGATTAAGCAGCTTTCAAAACCATCCACAATCCCACACAATTTCGCTCAAACTCTGTATAAGTATTCCCACAAAGGATATCGCGTTATTTCTATTGCATACGGAAAAATTGCAGATTCTCACACAATCCACAATATACATGAATTTATTGACAAGATGGAGCGTGAACAAGTAGAGAAGGATCTCAATTTCATTGGCCTCATTTGTTTGGAGAATAAGTTGAAAGCCGATACATCTAGAGTGATCAAAAAGTTGATTGCAGCAAATCTCAGATCCGTAATAGCTTCAGGTGATAATGCTTATACTGTAATTTCAGTAGCCAGAAAATGTCACATTTTACCAAGCTCCAAAAAAGTTTACCTTAGCGAGCTTTTCTCTGACGAGGTCGATGAAGCATCCTCAAATTGGCATGAAAATATTATTTGGAGAAATGTAGACTGTGAGCAAGATGTTATTACTTCAGAACAAATAATGAATGGGGATGAGTCCTTTGGATCCAATGTCGAATTGGCTGTGACAGGAACTATTTTTAACATGATCTATAACAGACATTTACCAGATTTGGAGCTTGCCAAACAACAAAAACTTGAAACTCCATATGTGAATATTGGCACTCCAACCCTTCTTCATCGGTTAATGAGTTATTGCAGAATTTATTCAAGATTTTCACCCAGCGACAAAATGAAAATTGTTGAAGAATTCCAAAAATTAGATTATTACGTCATGATGTGTGGAGATGGACAAAATGATGCAAAAGCACTACAAACGGCCAACGTTGGAGTGTCGCTCAGTAGTGAATCTGAAGCTTCTTTGGCAGCACCTTTTACAAGTTTGAATCCTAGCATCAGTTGTGTAATGGCAATAATGAGAGAGGGACGGTCCGCATTATGGTCTTCATTTCAAGTCTTCAAGTACATGTCTCTCTACTGTTTGATCCAATTCTTTTCAGTCTTAATTCTATTTCAGAAGAACAGCAAACTGTCAGACTTTCAATATTTATATGTAGACATGTTTGTAATATTGCCAACCATTTTGTTGATGACTCGGACAAAAGCTACAAGTACATTGAAAAGAGTGCGGCCTCCAACCTCTCTCATATCAAGATTTGTGATTTTGAGTTGGATTGGACAGATAATTTTAAGTTTTTCCATGATTGGGTTTGTGTGGAGTGAAATTCATCAAATTGGAAACATTGACTCGTGGCTTAAATTATTGGAGCATCCATCTAAAGATGTCACGAAGAATTATTGGAGTTATGAGTCGACCATTATATTTTTGATTTCCACTTTTTGCACAATCAATTGTGCGATCAGTCTAAGCATTAGCAAGCCTTTCAAGAAAACCCTTCTAACAGATAATTTCTACTTTGTCATGTGCTTGACTATTCTTTATTTTTTTACGTGCTATTTCACACTTGTTCCATGCTCATGGCTCAAGTCGGTATTGCAATTGATGCATTTGCCCATGTATTACAAAGTCAGAATTATTATCTATGGATTACTACATTTAATAATGAGCTATTGTTTTGAATTATTATTGGTTTCAGAACGCTTTAAGAAGATTGTAAAGCGAATGAACGTGGTTGCTTTACTTTCTGTCTTGAGAAAATTGTTTGTAAACATTCCTTCTGTGAGGGATAGAATCGAAAAGTTAGTAGCGAACAAGAAAGCCAGAAGAAGAAAATACAAGCAGCTTAACGAGAGATTAGGTTTGAGGACTGTTCACAACCGAGAAATTTCAAAGCTAAAAACTTCTCTTAAATCTGAATCTAAGGCGTATTTGCTGCAAGAAATTGTGTGAAGCTCCATAAAACACACGGTGTTTGCTTTAGAGAGTCCATGTTTGCAACTCACAGGTTGTATTCAAAATAATCATTATTGTAGGCTGAAAAGACTTAGTTGGCTTTACTGTTGGTTGCTGAGCCTTATTTGAAAATTTGGATTCTATGATTTTGATAATCTGCAATAAACAACTCTCCATTCACATCGTTGAAACAAACACCTGTTGGTTTGTTGAATTGTGAATTATCCTTTCCTTCATTTCCAAAATTACGCTTAAATTCTTCAGTGACATGGCTGAACACTTGAACTCTATTATTGCCACAGTCACAGAGAATGATATGATTGGAAGTTTCATCCACTGCAAGACCACGAGGAGTGGTGAATTCCAAATTACTTTGTCCTTCCTTTCCAATAATCTTAATACATGACAACTCATCTCCCTTTCTTGTCACAATCTGGACTCTATGAGTACTTTGGTCAGTGATGATAATTTGGTCATCTTCACTCACATAGACGCATTCAGGTTGAACCAATTGCACATTATCATCTCCCTTCTTAGCTCCGAATGTCTTCAAAACTTTACCATCACTAGCTCTCAAGACCTTAACACGATGATTATCACCATCACAAACAAGAATTGTGTTTTCGTTCATGGCCTCTGGGAACAAGGCATTAATCTTCTTAGATTTGCAAAGTGCAACACCAGCTGGTTCAGTAAACAAGTTCATATCGCTTCCCTTCTTCTTTGGTGTACCAGAAACCCAAACAGGTTCCAAATTCTTCTCATTAGAGAGAACTTTAGGTAAACTGTACTTGTAGACAGCATGATTGTCACATGAGAAAATGAGTGAATCATTTCCATCCTTACTTGGTTCAATACACAAGTATCTAGGAGACTTTGATGTCTTGAGTGAACCCTTATACTCTCTAGTTTTGAGGTCAAAGAATTGAATTCTGTTGTTACGACTGTCACTCACAACAATACAATTGCATCCGTGTGAAATTTTCACATCCCATGGTCCCTTGAATTGATCATTGCCAGATCCATCTGATCCAGTTTTACCAATAGTGGCAACATGTGAGAACTCCATTGAGAATGGAGCATAAGGATGAGAGGTAACAGAAGTAGAAGAGGAACTACTCTCAGAAGAGGATGAAGTATTCATGGCGACCTTTGATGGTTCAGTGGAAGTGGTTCCTGGAGTTGACTGCTGTTGTTGTGACGATGGGGCTCCAGTGTTCTTGGCACTCTTTTGTTTTGGAGGAGTTTTCACAATTTCACCCAAATTCTTCAATTCGCGTTGGATGTACATGATTTCAGTATTGGTGAGTTGAATGTCATGAACTTCATCCAAAGTCAAATACTTAAAGAAGGTCTTTAAATCTTCGAATGCTTGCAAAGTTTGAGGAAGTCGAGTCAATTTTCTTTCCATCATTTCATAACCACTCATTTCATGCAATTTGTCGAATTCACTCATATAGTCAACGGAAACCTTCTTCAATTCAATGATCTTTTTCACATAGTTTGTTTGAGTTTTTGTAATTTCATCGATATCAGCAAATAATTGATCCTGTCGATCTTGCAAATTTTGTCTCAATGTGTCACACACTGCCTTGACCTCTTCCTTCAATCTATTTCTAGCTTCCTCAATCAATGAACTCTCCAATTCCAATTCGTTATCGTGTGTTTGATGTGAATTTTCCCAATCCTTCATACTTTCTCTCAAATTGGTCAACAACTTATCCAAATTGGATCGTTCTTCTGGTTCAATTTTGGCAATCATATTCACATCATTGTGACCTTCTCGGTGTTCTTCAACCGCACAAGCACTGCATACTAACTTTTTGCAAGTTCCACAATACGTATTCACTGGAATGTGATGTCTTTGACAGAGTGGAGCTGGACCTCCAAAACTCATTGAATTTGGGACGAAATTACCATTTGTACGAGGAGACATTTGTTCCAATAAATGAGAACCCAAACCAATTCCGCTTCCTCCCAAATTATTTCCAGCACTTGAGCCAATCAAATCAATGACATGATGTGTAGGTTCTCTCTTGACGTGAATTTTAGCATCACGGGCACACAAATACATGTTACAATCGACACAGTGAGAACGAGCTTCTTGAAGGACATCGACTTCTTCTTTGCAAATGTGGCAACAAGGAGCTGGAGTGGCTTCTTTGGTCATCGAAGAGATAGAACTACTCGATGAGGAATGAGAGAGAACTTGAGGTGGGGTGTTGGTACTATCGGTTGACATCTTTTTGTTGTTGAAGGAGATGTCTTGAGACGAGTGAGAGTGTGTGAAATTTTTTTTTGTTGATTTTAACGGTTGATTGTAATGATTGACAAGTGACTGCTCGTGATGAAGAGTCAATGAAATGTCAGCAAACAGAAACAACAACATTGGTAAGTGAGTTTGAAATTGATGAAATCGGCACTTTTAAATGCCCATTCAAGACAATAAGTCGATTCAAAGCATTGTCTTTATACAAGTCAATAATTTTAAGAAGAAATGATGATGAGGATCAAGTAAAAAAAGACTTGGCGTTCACAAGATGTGAGGCAACAACGAAATGAGTCCAATCAAAAAAGTCTCTTATTTCTCATTGACAAGTGACGAGCTTCTCAAATTGTCAATGTGAAGACCCATTACAGTTTCATCATTTACATTGAAGAATCATTCTTCCAAACCTCAGTCCATGCTTCGAAAACTCGTTTAACTCCTTGCTTTGAAACTACTCAAAAGAACCCTTGACATCAAGTTCTTCCATGCTGACTAACTTCAGGTGAACTTAACACCGCCACTCTTAAAAATTAAATTATCATGTCCAACTCTGATTTGCATCTTGTCATTCACTATGAACTAATATTTGGTAAATATGTGATTTCACCTATTGCTTTGATTTTCACTGGTTTTATATTAGGTTTGCGTGTAATAAATGTCAAAAATGATCTGGCCAGTGGTTTAATCATTCCGTTATCACTGTTGGGTTGGGGATCTGCTATTGTCACTTTTGCAATTGCTTTAGTCGGTCTTTATTTGCTTTTTTAATGATTCCAAGAATTAAACAAAAACATTTTGATAAAATTTTAAAAAATGTTCACAACTGGGTTCCATCTGAATGATGAAAATGTCATCTCATTTGGTTGGAATTTAAACGAATGATGATGATCATTCCTGAATGGATCTTGAACGAATAACAATCATAGGAATACGCAATTCGGTGATGCAAAGAAATATTTCTCCGGAAGAAACTTTGAAAATTGTTGATGAATATAAAAAGTTAAATTCAATTCCAATATTAGACTCCAATTTGAATGTCACAAAAAAGGCCTTGGGAAATTGTAGAAAAATTATTACTCTGTTTTAGTCATGTCTCATTCAAAATTTCAATTCACCAAATGGCTGCCAAATGACATTAAATGGTGATGGTGATGATAAGATTTATGAAAGTGATAATGATGATACAATCAATGATTTAAATCATTCTGAATTTATTGCGAGTTTTCTGAGCTGGATATTCCAAAAAGATCACTTTCAAATCGTTCATAATTTTCTGATAATTTTGCCTTGACTTCCTGCTTTGATGTAATAGGATCAGGAATTTCACCCAATCATTCAAGATTTAATTTCAAATATTATGCAAGTGATTTGGGTGATTTGGTAGTTTTAATTTCAATTATAATTGTATCGACAATATTTTGGACTTTAGTCATTCCTGTTCTTGTTACAAGTTTCGATCTGAATCGTCAAGAATTAGTCGTTTTTAACAATGAAAAAGCAAAACCTCAAGGAGAATTAACAAAAATACAATTACCATCCGATTGTTATTTACGTGATATTGCATTGGCAACGTCAGCTGTTCCAACCTTTTTCCCATTCGAACGATTGAATCAATCACCGATCCAAGTGACTGTCACAGCGAACAATCCTGCCATGCTGACTTATTTGAAAGCTTAAAAACTCTATCCTGGTGACAAGATTTATTGGGATGTGGTTTGATTGCGAGTGCTTCGAATTTAACTGAATCATTAATGCAACAAATGATTGAATTGTCACCCAATTACAAGTATTGGAGAATTGACGTCAAATTGGATCAATGTTATCTTGATGTAAATTCGGAGACACTATTATTGATTTCTATGTATCGAAAGGTTTTTTACTTGTTTTCGACTAATTGAAGAAGTTGAAAAACCATTAGCGAAATATTTTACGTTAATGCAACTAATACATCAAATTTTTGACGATGTGCATCATCATTAGCGACGAATTCTCATTTTGTGGCTATGTATTCACTTGAAAGTGTGTCATGTCAGTTTGAGAGAGAGATAATGTCGATCATGCAATTGTGAAGAGTCTTTTCAACTCAATCGCAATTCCAGTCCTCCATTTGTAACAAACTTTAAGAAGTAACCGCCATGGCTCTTGTAGCTCCAATTAAACCTGTTGAGGCATCATTAGTGATGTGGTGTTTCCTTCACGTGTCAGCAACAATAAATCGAATTGGCAAGTTTTGATGGATTGAAAACATCATAAAAACATCCTATGATCGTTGTTTTATTAAAATTCCCAAAGCTTGATGTGTTCTCGAAAAAACACTCTGAAATTGGTGGACGTGGATTTGGAATTGGTAAGAAATATGATCCTCCACGATCTTCAGACGATTACGACTACGCATAACAATTGAAGAACAATATTTCGTGTGCAGTGTTCAGAAACGGCGATTGTATCTTTGTTACGCAAGAGCGACAACACTATTTCAATTGTCCTTTCCAATTAGGTGTCATACCTACAGATCAGTACTGCCTCTCAGGGTTCAAACGCATCAACCGACACCTGTCGATTTTAATGGTAGGACCAATCCTTAAAAACCCACAACAAACCAAAGCTACGCCAGAAAAAATGTGGACTGAGGACGAAGAGGAAAAACAACAGCCAAGAACTTGAATAGACAAGCTGTTGAAGACAACCTCAAGAGAATCTTCACAACTACCTCGAAACAGTGAGAAGCCTAAGGGTTTTACATGGGACGCCTTTAGGTGAACTTGTGCATGAAGAAGTCTAAACGCAAGTTGGGATGTCTTACTCACTATTTCCAGTGATGAGATGCCCTATACCTTTTTGGGGTTTAGGTTGCCTCTTGTTCATTTTTTGTAAGCTTACAGAGAGCGTTTTGTGCCTTTTTTTACCATCTGGACTCTGACTTCTAATTTCAGTAGCGTCTACAATACACCTTATTCGTTTAAAGATGGGTGAGAGACTTGTTTCGTCGTATCTATCATCAGGATTGAAGGACGGAAGGAGTTCTTCCAAAAGATTAACAAATTCTCTAAGAAACAGGATGAACAAAACCCTTGGGATAACAAGCCAAATATTCCATCACAATAAGAAACCACTTGTATTTGATTACACCATTAACATACTGATCATATATATATATATATATTGAAGAATATCATGAGAGAACTCGAATTGTGAACCCAAAAGAGGCGAATGAGCCTGTAAGAAACAGCCAAACCGAGAGTGCTGACAGGTTTGTCATTCAAATTTCAACCCATTCGGAAATGATCACCCAAATAAAAAGTGCGTTTAAAACAACAGCTACTCGTTCAGAGTCTTGAGTTGGATTACTTCTCATACTATTGCATAAACTTATCTATTGTTGCCATCTATTTCCAACTTGCGGGCTATTTAGAGACAAGGAATAAACTCACTATGCATATACCAGCCACAACCGGGACCTGAAAATCAAAAGAAGCAAAGAATAGAATTCTTTGCAGGTGCAAATTATCTCGAAACCATAGTAACAAAACCCCCTGAGTCAGTGTTACAACTACACTCAAAGCAAACTAAACATCTGACATAACACGAACTTATAATTATCTTAGTAATAAATGGCAATATTTAAAGACCTCGACAAGAGAAGGTTATTGAATTGATATTTTTTCAGTTGTAAAGGTTTCTTTTGCCATAGTAATAACTAACAAGCCATCTTCTTGAGTTGCCCCTAATATTTTGCCATGATTAGGAGGAAGAGGAATTTTGGTTCTGAATAGTCCTGAAATAGGAATCTTACAATAAACTACCCTGCCTGTTCTGGTTTGTTTTTTCTCTCCAGCAACATACAAGTTTCTTTTGGTTTTGGTGATTTCTAACTCTTGTTTTTTGAATCCAGGAGTGATAACTTCATAAATATAATGGTCATTATTTTCAAGCATATTGTATCTAAAACTATTTAAGACAGTTGTTTGTCGTTGGATTTCATTATCTGAAATATCACTAGGAGGTACTTGTAGTACTTCCAATTCTTCTTCCACAAACTGGGTAAATGTTTCGTTATTACGTTGAAGATTATATTTTGGGTGAGGAGTGTTATCGTCCGAAGAACAATCTGTTATGTTTTTCATCCAATCTTTGTTTTCAATAATTTTGAATGATGTGTACATCTTTCTTCCCAAGTATTTGATGGAAAGAATAAGAAACTCGATGTTCTTGTCCTGGAAATGAGCAAAAACTGTACCTAAAAAAAAGGACAGTTTTTCCTTTTGGATGTGTTCAACAACCATTTCACAAACATTCTCATCCGAACGTTTGATGTTTCCTGTGATATCCAACAACTCAGCAAAACCTTTAATAGTAGTTTTTCCAGCAGTATGTCTGGGAAGGGAGACGTTAAGAAGGAGTGATGGCATTTTTTTGTAGGTGATATTGGCGCCAAAATACGTTGCAACTAAAAATACTGCAGAAACTTCCACATGAGTTTAATTACCTCCTTGTGTGTTCATCTTGAATGACTCTGCCTCTGAAGCCCAATTAAGTTCTGTGGTCTGTATGAATGGTTCTGATGTGCTCTTCTTCAACCGTTAGAACAAAATAAACAGCTTTATTTGTTGCTCTCTGGCCTGACTCGTTTTGTGCCTCTTCCTCTTCTTCTGCTTCTCACCACAACATCTTCCATCTCGTCTTCTTCTTGAAAAGGAGCTGCAAGTTGCTCGGGCAAACTTGAAGGCAATGCCACAACGCCTGTTCCCTCATCAGATGAGAGGGATGCCTGTGATGGTTGCACCACCAACAGTAGCTCGTCTTATTTGATTCTTCTTGTTTTTAGCGTTCTTAAGTGCGATGTTTTCACCCAGTTCTGCGATTAGGATTCTTCTTCCATTGCTCTCTGAGAAATCCTTTTTTTGGGAATTATGACTATGAATAACCAGTTGAGGTGTGGGGACGTGTATTAATATCAAAATCACCATCGTTGTGGTCGCGCAGTTCACTCAGTATTACAAGATTTCTAAAAAGTAGTTCTTTGATGAAAGTTTTTCTAATGCAAATGTGATTAATCTTCTTCTGAAGTACTTGTAATCATTTTCATGTAAATCATTCCAGGGTTGTGGCATAACAAACGCACGAAAGTTGATGTCTTGCCAACAACAGACGGACCCATTAATATTAAGGCGCTTCGTACAATTGTCCACCCTTTTCAATGACTCATCATCATGTTTCATTGTGTACTTGAAAATCAATTCTAAACCGTTGCTACTGATTGCACTTGTTAATATTTTTTTCTGATCTGTTGAAAAGGTCTCTCTGTTAGCTTGAAAAATTTTTGTCCAGCTTCAATAGCACGTAATTCATCCCCATTTGTAGTGATATTACTGTCTACGGAATCATAGCTTAAATCTGAACCAACCTCTGAGACATCATCGCCATTGTTGTTTTTGTTGTCAGTTTGGTCTTGCGTAGAATTTTGTTGTGATGACCAATTTTCATAATTATCGAATGGAAAACAATTATTGCTTTGAAATACTCGCAATTGTTTTTCTGTCATTTTGTTTTAATAAGCAATATCAATATCTTTCATAATAAATTCTGTTATTCCACTCTTATGAATATTCTTGCTGTCACTAAGAATAAAGATATTGAAGAATTTTGCTACAGAAGGAAGAATATCATGGAATTAAGGTCGGGTGTTTGGAGAGACCACAAACCCATTTTTTCCTCTAAATTAACCAAACGATTCTTGTTGTTTATGTCTTCGAAACACGTTTTTGTGTTGGGTGTAAAAAAGAAGATAGATTCAAGTTGGGTTTGGGTTTTGGGTTTGGGTTTGGGTTTGGGTTTGGGTTTGGGTTTGGGTTTGGGTTTGGGTTTGGGTTTGGGTTTGGGTTTGGGTTTGGGTTTGGGTTTGGGTTTGGGTTTGGGTTTGGGTTTGGGTTTGGGTTTGGGTTTGGGTTTGGGTTTGGGTTTGGGTTTGGGTTTGGGTTTGGGTTTGGGTTTGGGTTTGGGTTTGGGTTTGGGTTTGGGTTTGGGTTTGGGTTTGGGTTTGGGTTTGGGTTTGGGTTTGGGTTTGGGTTTGGGTTTGGGTTTGGGTTTGGGTTTGGGTTTGGGTTTGGGTTTGGGTTTGGGTTTGGGTTTGGGTTTGGGTTTGGGTTTGGGTTTGGGTTTGGGTTTGGGTTTGGGTTTGGGTTTGGGTTTGGGTTTGGGTTTGGGTTTGGGTTTGGGTTTGGGTTTGGGTTTGGGTTTGGGTTTGGGTTTGGGTTTGGGTTTGGGTTTGGGTTTGGGTTTGGGTTTGGGTTTGGGTTTGGGTTTGGGTTTGGGTTTGGGTTTGGGTTTGGGTTTGGGTTTGGGTTTGGGTTTGGGTTTGGGTTTGGGTTTGGGTTTGGGTTTGGGTTTGGGTTTGGGTTTGGGTTTGGGTTTGGGTTTGGGTTTGGGTTTGGGTTTGGGTTTGGGTTTGGGTTTGGGTTTGGGTTTGGGTTTGGGTTTGGGTTTGGGTTTGGGTTTGGGTTTGGGTTTGGGTTTGGGTTTGGGTTTGGGTTTGGGTTTGGGTTTGGGTTTGGGTTTGGGTTTGGGTTTGGGTTTGGGTTTGGGTTTGGGTTTGGGTTTGGGTTTGGGTTTGGGTTTGGGTTTGGGTTTGGGTTTGGGTTTGGGTTTGGGTTTGGGTTTGGGTTTGGGTTTGGGTTTGGGTTTGGGTTTGGGTTTGGGTTTGGGTTTGGGTTTGGGTTTGGGTTTGGGTTTGGGTTTGGGTTTGGGTTTGGGTTTGGGTTTGGGTTTGGGTTTGGGTTTGGGTTTGGGTTTGGGTTTGGGTTTGGGTTTGGGTTTGGGTTTGGGTTTGGGTTTGGGTTTGGGTTTGGGTTTGGGTTTGGGTTTGGGTTTGGGTTTGGGTTTGGGTTTGGGTTTGGGTTTGGGTTTGGGTTTGGGTTTGGGTTTGGGTTTGGGTTTGGGTTTGGGTTTGGGTTTGGGTTTGGGTTTGGGTTTGGGTTTGGGTTTGGGTTTGGGTTTGGGTTTGGGTTTGGGTTTGGGTTTGGGTTTGGGTTTGGGTTTGGGTTTGGGTTTGGGTTTGGGTTTTGGGTTTGGGTTTGGGTTTGGGTTTGGGTTTGGGTTTGGGTTTGGGTTTGGGTTTGGGTTTGGGTTTGGGTTTGGGTTTGGGTTTGGGTTTGGGTTTTGGGTTTGGGTTTGGGTTTGGGTTTGGGTTTGGGTTTTGGGTTTGGGTTTGGGTTTGGGTTTGGGTTTGGGTTTGGGTTTGGGTTTGGGTTTGGGTTTGGGTTTGGGTTTGGGTTTGGGTTTGGGTTTGGGTTTGGAG